TATTCAGAATGTGGTGCCAGTGGTGGTGGTGGTGATCCTGGCCTGGTGGAGAGGGCAACGACGGGCAACGATAGACCAGAGGCCCTCCCCAAACAGGTAAGGTGTCGCAGGGTTAGAGTAGGCAGTGGTAGGCAGTGGTAGGCAGTGGTAGGCAGCTAAACTTGAATGGAGCAGGGGTGGTCAAGAATTATTCAAAGAGTGCCCAGGTGGCTTGCAAGATGCAGCTGCAGGGCGAGCAGAACAGCCAGAAAGAGGGGAAGGCAAGCGTGGTGGTGTCCGTTGGAGTTACAAGTTTGGTGTTGGCTGATACCAGTTACGAGAGAGGAGCAAAGCGCTGACCCACCGAGACTGAAGGTGTTGCACTATCTGCCTCTGGGGCTAGGGAGGCCCACTCCTCCACACTGGCTAACGTTAGGTGCCAGGGAATCCGCCATGGGCCACGGCCATGGCCTGTGCACGCCTGTGGATCGCAGAGATGCTAGGGCCTCTCCTAGGCTCTCTCCTAGGCTCTCCGAGAGCTTGCTCCTTGGCGTCAGGTGTCAATGGGGTGAGCACTGAACAGTGAGCAAGCACCTGGAGGAGCGTCAATTTTCCAATCCTCGCTTCCTCACATTGGACCCCTCCCACGCAATTCAAGGCACCGTCCAATCCGACTCATCTTCTCTTCCTGTCTGAAGCAAGCCCACCTGCTCGCTGAAGCCAATACGAATGACTGTAGCAGGTGTCAAAGATTTTCGATGATTGCAGGTATCTGCCCACTGTAATACCGAGTATCCGTACTCTATCCACTCGGGTCGTGCTCACCAGATACCATGCAAAGATACGGTTACAGCCTACAGGAACGGGCCTGGCGGTACGAGGAGAACCGCCTGTAGTATTGTTGTTTTCCAAAGTATTATTGTTATCCAGCACAGACACTCGTCCGCAACGGAGAGAGATCTCTTATCCATCTCAATTGAACCACATGATTCGGGAAGACCTGATGACGCTGAGCTCGTCACGAGAATCCCTCTGCTCTCGATCATAACTTTCGATTGCTTTTGACGACCTTCCTGAACATCTTCATCTCTGCTGCCGCTCCTTGAGGCCCACTAACCATGAGTCTTCGTATGAGTCTTGCCTGGTTGGATCTCCAGACTGTTCCTCGTCGGTGCAGCCGACATGGGTGGTAGCGCCAGCCCAAGCAACCACTGATTTGTGCATGCTACTCCGTACTCGTCAATTAATTACTGCATGAGCACCCACACCATCAAATTTTACCTTCAGGGCTTGCATGTTCTGAGCATGGCCCTGTAACTGGCCCTGGTCGGATTGTTGAAGGCGTGGGATGTTATCTCGTCCTGGATGGCTTTGGCCAGACTCACACAATCGCAGCCACTTCGCCAGTCTCCAATTACTCCGCTCCGAGACACTTGCCGCACAGAAAATCACAGGTCAGAAAATTTGAGGATCCCCTGCACATGGCAATTCAGCAGAGCATCGGCCTTCTTCACGGGGCAGCTTGAAGGTGCTGTCTTGTCCGGTGGCAAATTCTTGTCAAAGAACGACCATCACGTTTTTGAAAGGTTTTCTGGAATGTCGACCCTCGCTGGACAGCAATGCAAGGGATTTCGCAATAACAAAGCCTCAAAGTCTCAATCCTTGACCACGACGTCAGCATGCTGAACTCATTCTTCAAGATTCTGCCATGGCCCATGGAGACTTCAGCAACGTTAGCCGGAGTCAAACAACCTCGCTTTGCCAGGCTCTGCCTAGTCAGGAATCAGGATGGAGCCATTTCTCCAGGACGAATGATCTCCCGCTATAGGAAGGCAAGGGCCGCTGGCGACTTGCTTTTGTGCAGTAGCTCCACGTTCCTTGCGCATTCAACTTGTCAGTGGGGTAAGCTGTCCTCTTTTCTCCACTCTGCACACAATCATGTTTCTTGACTGGATGCTGGATGGTGTGTGCCTCGGGCACCGGCCATTCAGTGAATTGGCGCAATGGCAACACGCAGATCTGCATCAACTTGGCATTGTTGTTCTTGAATCTTGACAGCTGCTGGTCGCCACTAGGTGGTTGAAGACGCCTGTTGTCCACGTTGAGATTTCAAGAGCCTGTCATCATGGTGGGCATTCCACCACCCAGTGCTCGCTCAATATTGACCTCACCAAATCTACAAAAATCTCAAGACATCGATGTCTGTGATCTGGTCTAAGCTACTCATAATCATTTGCTGCGAGCACTCAAGAGTTCAAAATCTGACTAGTGTGTTAGTCGCTCTGATGGATCGATAGATCAAACCACGCATGCAATCACGTCTTTCGATTTAAGGTACGGGTTACACAGGACCACAACCAGCAAACCAGCAAAACAGCAACGCTTCCAGACCAGATATGCCAGACCTCAGTGACCTATCGAATAACTCGATTTGCAACCCCACATGGATATAGCACAAAGCCAGCGATGCTGGTGTCCGTCGTCCCGTTCTCAACACAATTGTGTTTCAAGTGTGAAATCCACCCCAGCCTCGCATGGAGCATTAGATTGATCATTCCTGGAAGGGAGAGGTACTGGCTAGGCTAAAGACGCATCAACCTGCATTAACCATAATCAAATGCTTGAGCTCCTATTGTAGCATCTCCAGGAAAACCCCACCTAATCAAACAAATTCATGGCCCGTGTCCCCAGATGAGATTCCCCAGCTACCTCGTTCTCCAGTCTCCATGCTCCCTAGTATCTAGTAGGCTAGCAGTCCAACTAAACTAGTACCCGATGCGAGGGTCGAGAGACAGCCCAGCACGTACGCGGCGTTGAAGACTCAAGAGGCCTCTCCTTGTACCAAGTACTAATGACAAGACCAACTATCCACTACTGTAGTGCGGAGGCCAATGAGAGGCATCAATACCAAGTCACATACGAGATCTCAGTTCAGTTCCAAAACCTCCCAGGCACGACACATCGGATTTCTATGCACCGTGATGCTTTCAGCCATCACTGAAAGCTACCAAGTAAATGTCCTTGTCACGGATCATGACAGAATGCGCAGTAGGTGAGACAGCATACGGATAGTTGCTTGACGTCGCTTCAGAGAATCATCTTACTTTCAAGTCCACTGATAGATTTGGATAGTGCCGCGCTACCCGAAGCAGCACGACAAAATAACCCCGGGGTCAAAAATTCAATTTCCTTAGCCAGGAATCATGGCCCTATCCTCCAGGTTTGTTTAGCGGCGAAAGCGTTATCTATTGCACAACTCGAACCCCCACGCCCACCCTGAATATTGTCAGCAGGTCAAGACCCCAACTATAACAAGGTCCAACCATGCCAAACACCCATATCGCAGCTAAACCCGACTCGAGATTCGTTGCAAGCTGGACTAGAAACGCAGTCCTCGTGATCGCATTGGCCGTCCGTGCTGAGACTATTATCTGTTTCCACGAACTCCGCAGGTCATTGGGCCTGCGAACCCGTCATGCTACTGGTCCTAGTTTGACGACGCCAATTTCATCAAAGGTGCAAGATACCATTCGCGCATGAAAGCGACCGCTTGCTGTCCAAGATCATCCCGTCTTGAGGTTTTTTTAAATACATGTTCTTGCAGCCGTGTCGGTACGCGGCACGGTGCGACAAATCATTAATCATTTACCCTTACAGAGTACTCGTCGATCGAAATGAAGATCATACGAGAAGAAAAACCTTTGTTACGTTGATATGCGGATGATCGTCAGATCAGCAGCTGATCCACGCGGGAGAGGCCGGATAGGGAGGGAAGTTTAATTATTGCGTGAACAAATTTCGCCACGCAAGCGACAGCATTTCTGTCGATTCCAGTGGATCATGAAATCCAAACGTGCAGTGTTGATAATAAACTTTGGTCTGCTGTCGTTGAATATAAACGACCCTGCTTATAAGCAAATTGTTCGAGTATAGGCGAAGGTCACATGGAGAAGATTTCCGACCAAGGTATGCACTCGCTTTAGCCAAGGTCAGGATCTTGTAGGGCGAAAAGCTATTTCTTCATAATCAGCAAATTCCGGGCACGTCCCTTGGAAGGCATGGCAAGCGAAGACGACCAAGGCTTCTTGGTAGGGCCTAGACACACGGAGTAGTGCTGACGCTGCTGAGCGACGACATTATCGTGTGCTCAGTGAACTAGTATATGGACAGGGTCGGCGAAAAGTCAGCTCTGGGCATCCTGCCCACTTACAGTCTTCCAGTTTGATCTGCACCATGTCGCAGCTATCAATTTATATCGGACTGAAACGTCGTTTTCTTTCCTGGTCCCAAATCAAAAAATGTTGAGGGACCATTTGAGGCATGCGGAGAACCCGAAGTGGGAGAACCTGTATTTGGAAGCCCACAACGAAGAACTTTCTCTGGTGTCGCTCAGGCTTTTTTCAAGAGTGGTCTTTCAAGTTCGTCCCGCCTGCTCAGTGGATTCTAACGCCGAGTCGAAGCCTCAGCACAGGTTTAGGGAGTAAACAAGCAATTCTAACCTTCCTAAGACGCTCCGAGGTTTTTTTAGACAAACGTGATTCGCATAGATCTAGACGGATATTAAGTATCAAGGATGCCTATTCGCATCATAGTAGATTAGCATGGCCCTTGGGGCTATGATGGAATGCTTAGTACATAGTACCAGGGAAGAAAGCTCTGTTAATCTATTACGAAATTACGAGGTACGAGGGAAGGTATGTCCCTCCCAACCCCAGGGTAGGCTATGGCGCTAGAACCCGTGGAAGGAATTGATGTCTGAAGGAGAAGTCCACGACGAGAAAATGGCACCCCATTGCGTCATTCATCGGCAGGCACCAATGAACTGACAACGGGAATTTACCACCTACCATTCTCCTAACACTTCGACATGGCGGAGTGGGTTTTGTGGTTGTCTCTCGACATGATTCTAAGTTCTTAAGAACTGGAGGCCTCAACTACTCGCCGGAGTACATATATATATTGCAGTCTCCAGCATGGACCGTGTCAGTTGCTCAACCGTGTAGGTGCCCTCAACGCTTCCAATGGCGCTCTCTGTTTATATTCGAATTATCCTTGCCGTCTCATCCCTCATCTACGGTATCAACGCTCAAGGCTGCCCAGAATGGATAACGTCCATGCTGGAGGTGACATTGGCCAATTACACTACATGGCCAGGCATCCAATTGACCGTGGCATCGCCTCAATGTGGTATTGGCTGCACGACAAGTGTTCAAACGAAGATAAAAGCAAGTGGATCGCCCGACAGCCCAGCTGTTATTGAAAATCCAACCTGGCCAGGGATGCAAATGACACTATCGTCGCCGGATTGGAATTATGATCTTGATTGCACGGCCAGCGAGAAGTCGATAGTCACCGATTTTGCGGGTGAGCCTGCACTCCTCAACAATACCCCATGGCGGCTTGCGAGTATCACCAAGACCTTTACAGCGGTGGCGATCTTGAAACTGGCGGAGCGAGCACAAATCGATCTAGACGCCCCCGCTGTGAGATATCTACCCGGTTGGGCTATCGACCTCGTTCAACAATCTCAAGGGGCTGTAAATGCTTCGCAGATCACAACTTCACACCTTCTGCATCACACAAGTGGATTAGGCGATTTTGCCACTGATCAACGTTGGTTAGAAGAAGTCTTGACTAACCCACATCACCTATGGACTCAAAGATCTGTCATCGAATGGTCCACATTCAACTCGAGCCCCGTGGGATCTCCCGGACAACTCTTCCATTACACTGACACGGGCTACACCCTGCTTGGCTTGATTGTGGAGAATATAACAAGGACTGATCTCGCACCAGCCATCCGTGAGTTGACTAGCCTTGACAAACTGGACATGCCATCTACATGGTGGGAACTCTTGGAGCCAGAGCCTGAAGGTTCGTTGAAACGAGCAGGACAGTATCATGGAGACATCGATATCACACATTTCAACCCGAGTTTCGACTTATATGGTGCAGGTGGTTTAGTGAGCAATTCGAAAGATCTGAATAATTTTGGTCGAGCGCTCTACGAAGGTCGGATATTGAATAAAACGACCACTGAGTTGTTGTATGTCTTGGAACCATCGGGGGTTTATGGAAATGGGGTGGTAAAATACGACTTTGGCGGCCAACAAGGCTGGGGCCACACAGGATACTGGCACACTTGGTTATATTGGGTTCCGTCTCTCGATTTGGTGATTACTGGCGCAAGCAATCAAGCCGTTGGCGACCAGTTCGATGCGGATAAATTGGTTCGAGATATTATTGGCCATGGTTGTGCTCCAAAGTAGAATTGAGTGACGCCTATCAGGAGACGGTCACTAAAAGCAGGAGTCCATGAAAGAGGAAATGGTGATAGAGCGTGGTTCCACCTAGCGGATAGCTGGGTATGAAAAAAGTATAGATTTGTCGACTTCAATGCGGTTTTCGATCGATGACCATGAGACAATTGTGTGCCGCAGATTCTGGCCCATCCACAGCATAAATGTATCACACCTTAAATCTACCGCGACCAAGGAGTTGGTTTATACTGAACCCGCCATGTGAGCAGGGCGTTTTCATGATGACGCTTCAAGTTAGTGTTAGAGTTCCAGTTACCCTTTTCCGTTAGGCTTCCTGGGCGATGACTCCGCCCACTCGGATTAACTCGCGGATATCAAATTCATTGCATCTACCCCTGGCATTGATCACTTAAATATAAAAGGAGAAATTATTTGAGAATGGTAAGAGAACTTCGAAGCTACTACATGCTCAGCGTGAAACTCTCTAGTGAGCTCAAAATTGTCTCTCGTTCAACATGGCGGAAAGAGACTTCTCACACCTGTCAGATGTTATGGGGAGCCTGCCCATGCTGAAGAGGTACATAGTGATCTGCCTGGCATTCGAGCTCGACGACTATCAGACAACAGCAACTGATGTGGAAACTGCTCTGAAGGATGCCCTCACAAGACTGGCAAGCGCGTTCCCTTTTCTCACCGGTCAGGTCGTTATGGAGGGACGACGGGAAGGCCACAGTGGACGACCCAAAATCATTCCTCTCCAGCCGACCATCAGTCTACATTCGAAAGACCTCCGGCATGATCCTGAATTCCCCAGCATGCAGCAGATGCGTCAAGCCCAATATCCTATCTCCATGCTCAACGCTGAGGTCTTGAGTCCGGCGATAGCCGTCAGCTGGTCTTCCGAGGGCTTCGAGAACACCGCCCCTGTCTTCATGCTGCAGACGAACTTCGTCCGTGGGGGCTTGATACTGACCGTCGCTGGGAACCATATGACGATGGACATGACGGGACTGGGGATGGTCATCTCGTTGCTCTCCAAAGCCTGCCTCGCCGAACAATTCTCCGAAGAAGAGATCCAACAGGGCAATCGATCACGAGGAGATGCTGTCCCATTACTCGGAGAGGACTATGAGCCAGGGCCCGAACTCGACGATGCCTACATGAAACCGCGCGCGACGGAGGAGAAGAACAACCCGTCTCCCACCTCCGAGCCGACCACCACATTTTCCCTCCCACATCCCCCACCAAAATGGGTATACTTCAACTTCGGGGCTTCCGCCCTCTCCACCCTCAAGAGACAAGCCAGCAACCAGACCATCACGCCTTATATCTCGACCGACGACGCCGTAGGTGCACTATGCTGGCAGGGCATCTCGCGGGCACGCGCCTTACGCCTCGGCGACCAGGTCCGCACAGTGTTCGCGCGACCCATCAGCGCCCGCAAATACCTCGGCCTGCAAGGACTCTACATCGGCCACATGGTCGACATGGTATACAGCACCGCGACGGACGTGCACGCTCACCCATTAGGCCCCACGGCAGGCCGCCTGCGCAGCCTTCTCCTCGAAGACGCCAAGATCACACAGCACGTGCGCGCATTCGCGACGATGCTGGACCGGCTCGACGATAAATCCGTGCTCGTCAACGGTGCATGCCTGGACCCGCAGCGCGATATCGTGCTGTCGTCGTACGCGAACATCCGCTGCTGCGAGCTGAGCTTCGGGCCGGTGTTGGGCAGGCCCGATGCGGCAAGACGCCCCAGTATGCCGCCTTGGCCGTCGCTGTGTTATTTGATGCCCAAGTCGCGTGCTGGGGATATTGCTGTTGCGTTGTGTCTAAGTGAGGTGGATATTGCGGCGTTGAGGAGTGATAAGGCGTTTACGGAGTTTGCGGAATACGTGGGCTAACTAGAGGGGCCTTGATGGGAGAATAAGATGGCTCGGTGTTTTTGTCGTTCGGGAATCTGTTGAGAATACTTTTGCTCGCGGAAAGAATAGAACGTTCCCAGCAATCTCTAGCATCTCTGGCTAGTCTGCAGTGATTAAATGGCAAATATCTGTGCTGGCGATACTGAGCAACGACATGCAACGAGAGCTTCAACCCCATTGCCACATTGCGAAAGCTCTACCATTGGCTCCCAATATCATCTGGGGATCACCAAGCAAAAGCTTCTTCAATCAACTGGACCTCAAACCCATTTGCTACCGCTTGAACAACGCTCTTCCTTACATCATCTGCCATGCCTCCGGGCGCACATACGAGTACCGCTATACGACGAGATGGCTCGAGGACCGACTCCAGTACTGATGGAATATGCATGCGTGAGCCTGTTGTCAGTGAAGTGATACTACCGTTGCTGGGTTGAAAAATCGAGCGAGAAGGAGAAGCCGACGAAGACGCTTGCGTGATGATCTCCTCGGTTTTCTCATTCACCGCGTCCGTGGCTGTTTGGTTTTCGGCCTGGAACTTATCGCCGGAACCTAGACGGTCGTCTGAATATCCGGTCTGCCAGATCTTGATCTCGACGTTTGCTTTCTTGGTTTGGCTGTTAGGAATCATATGTTGCGTGACATGCTTGATCAGACCTTCCTCCCTCGCTGACCATGCGAAGACAAATCTTGTGCATTTCGCGGTCAATGCTTTCTTCTTCGAAGCGCCACTTTCTGTAGCTATAATCTGCAGATCTAGGTATTGTTTCAAGACACTCAGGGAATATGTGACACCAATACCCCCTGTGATACATAGAATCGTGTCCGCATGTTTTAGGGGATATAGGGTCTGACTATGCCCCGCGTAAGGACCCTCAGTGAGGATCCGAAGATGATGGTTATGGGACGGCGTCGAGGAGTTTGTGAGTTTGTGAAATAGGGAGCGTGTACTACCCGTGTGAGGGCGGAGGAGGAAACGAATGAAGAATTCACCTTCAGCGTCGGACCGGTTGTCAACAGCTGCTTCTCGTACAGTTGTTTCCGTTGATTTCCCAGGCAACTTCTCCGACAAAGAGACATTACTGGAAGATTCCCCTGAGCTTGCACCTGAAGAATAAGCCAGTCCTTTGTAAGCATTCGGATCGAGAGTTCCCCATTCGGCAATTGTGAAGGGATGACTTTCCCAGAATTTCCCGGGAAAGGCAAGGAAGGTATGCTTGCCGGGACCCATGGCATTCCTCCATCTCTTTCCGGGGAAGACAGTGATTTGAAGGAAATCAGACGCTGGAATTCTTTCGACGATGCTGGGCGTCGCACCTGCCCACTCGTTGTACCAGGCCACGCGGGCAAATCTCATGAGTCGGTCGAATCCCCAGAATGCCATTGCTAGATAGATCCAAACCTCGTAACCCCATCTTCTTTTGAAGCGTAGCTCCACATGGTACCAGCAGCCTGCAATCGCTAGGATGGCGAGGATTATGTGTGTTATGAGGAAGAACTCATATGCACGAAGGCGGATCGGCAGAACGGATGCGGCGATGGCAATGCTCATGGCCACCGTCGCAATCATTCCCCACCAGTAGTACGCTTTCTTCGCCTCCGCATAGTAGGCAGCTGCACCTCCCGACCAGAAGTATGTCAGGGTATAAATGATTGAATGAACGATAGCCTGCACAGTCGCCACACGGGAGACCCAGCGATGAATTGTCAGGAATGTAGTCTGGGACCATCCGGTCAGAGCGACCAGTAGATTGTTCCTCCCTGAAAACACAATAGCAAGGCCAAGATTTGCATAGCTGAGCACTCCTGTGCGATTGCTGATGTATGAAACAAGCTGATCTCGGTCTTCGGAAAACCAGGTATTTGGGGACTTGATGTTGTAAGACACGCAGGAGAATACGATGTTCAGCGCCACGTATATAAAAATAAACAAGGAGAGAATACGGCTCGGCACATAGCCAATATTGTAGGGCAAAGGCTCCAACTGGCGTGAGCCAAACAGTGAGGGCATGAACAGGTGCTGGTTGAGTTTCCGTACCAGGCCGCTGGAAGGTCCAGGCTTGTTAACTGCCAGGTATAACGTGTACGCACCGGCCATCAGAATCAGACCGATGGTGACGAGCCAAACAATCAGACTGCGTAAATTGTTTAGTATACTTAAAAGCATTCCCACAATTGGAACTGAATTACCTGTATCGTGTATGTCTCTCTTCCGATTTGGCGAACTCGTCCAAAGTCCTCCAGTTATCAGCATAAAGGACCGGATTCACAAGCTGAGTGGTGTTCAGCCACTCGTCATCCTCCGCGAGTTCTCTCGTGGGAGGTTGGCTCGGGATGGAGTCCTGGAGGCTTTGCACAGGAGTCAACTCGGCAGCGACTTTCTGGAAGCATTGTGCTTGGCGCTGCTCTCCCGCACCTTCTTCTGTGCAGTGGCTACTGATGCAGTAGGCTAAAGTTTGCAACCAAACCTGATCTCTGGTGCGGCACTCGGTACTTGTGTCGGCCATGGTTTCTCCACCCATGTCCATTCGTTTCCTCAATTTCATGTCCATGCCTGAGTGATGGTCATCTGAGAAGGTCGTACAGTTGAGATATAGAGCGGAGAGCGCATCGTGACAAGCATAGCAGCATACGGGCTTGTACATAGGAATCCCGAGGCCAATGACTCCATGTTTGGTCTCCTGTAGTTTGAGTGCTGCTGAGACCTGTGATGTAAATGATAAAATAAGGCCTGAGAGGAACACCACTACCTGGGGAAAATGATAATGCATGGTTAGGTATTTTCAAAGGCCAAGGGGCCATTCAAACTTCTTAGCAGAGGAGAAACACGAGTTATAGGAAGTGCCAGGACAGAAGCAGACTCATATGAACTTATCTTGCAAAGTCTGACAGTTCATGGATCCGAAAACAAATCCTCAAACTATGCCTCAACAACCTAAGGCTCAAGCCAAGGGAGGATCTTACCAGGTCGGGAGCATTTTTGTGCATTGGTTTTTGAAGTCTAGAACTTGGCCTGGTGGGCCCCTGGGGACCATTCCCATGTGGCAGTGATAAGTTGTCGGAAGTCAAGTGTACATTTGATTATTATCAACCTGTCTTTGAAAGGTTCATTTCACCAGTGGGCACTTTGCCCAGCAACCCACTTATACGGGCTATTGCTTAATCGTGAGATGGACCGATGACTAGTCCAGAGCAGGATTTGAGAGCGGCGCCATGCTCGAGAGGTCGCTGACATTATCGAATGAAAAGGTGACTGATTCATGCCCGGAGGAATGTGTCTGCAGATTGAGCAGGTTTCGATCCAAAGGTTACTGAGTTGGAACTACAAGAGCAGTGGGGAAATCTTAGAGAAATCGAAGCCGAAACGTGTGAGCAGGTTTTGGCACTGATGCCAAGAACTCACCATCCCGCCAGTCGACCATTATTTTGACTGGCATGTGGTAAAAGCATATATCGTACGTTGATGAAGGAGACTACCTAGTAATCTGATCGGTGATGGTCTGGAAAAAGATTGATTGTGACTGATATTTCAGTCCAATCATATTAGTCATAAGTTGTACAGAAGAAAATATCTCTATGAGGTCGGTAAAAAGTCCTGATGTGCCCCCCTTTTTGGTGAATTGAATAGGTCAAATTTTGCGCTAACCTCCCTGCTTCAGATTCTCTTTCTGAGCCAATGCCGGAACAAAAGTGTAACAAACAACCAACTTGGGTATCAAAATGTAAAGTACTGTCTCAAAGGTCTGATGCCTGAGCTTGGCAGGGGAGTCTTCTCCTTCCCACTGTAAATAAAAATCCAAATATAGATCCATTAGAATCGAAAGCAAGACATCCAGTCGAGCTTGAGTGTGGTATAATCCAGAAGTTCTTTTATAGGGGTATCAATAAAACAAAAAGAAATAAGTTTCGAGGTCGGGTTGATGAAGCAATGATAGTCGACAGACAAGCTTCCGAAGACAACGGCCATCAAAAGGCAACCCCAACACCAGGACTTCGCAATGGTCCATTGATCTCTTTGATCAAGGCATCGTCATCATCGATCTGCCTGATGATGTCGGTATAGCAAGGTGGAACATCAGGCACACCACTTATAATTGGCCTTAACCCATTCGAGATGCTCTTGATTGTTCCACTTCGACTTTGCAGATCCGGCGCTGTCGTTATGCTACTATCTGTTCGACTTTGTACCTCAAATGACAGTATGTCGGTATCAACAGTGCTTGCGATAGTTGACTCAGTCATAGTCCTCTGGTGTTGTTGTGGCCAAAGGCTGAGTGGCTTGGGTGGGGCTGAAGAAAGTTGATAGAATTGAGAACGCTTCCGGCGGTGCTCTGCGAAGGACGTGGATGTCGACGAAGTTTTGGTGGTGGCAATGGTGCTGATTGAGCTTGAATGTCCACGATGCGAAAGCCACTGCGAAATTCGCTTTTGTGTCTGGAAATTAGGATGAAAATATGCTGGCGGGTTCGTCTCTTCACGAGTTGCTGTGAGTTTGGAGAAATTTCTTGCAACGCCTGAGGGAACAAATGGTGCTGGTGCCGGTGCGTCTTCAGATGATCTGGCCTCGATATGAGGGGACATTGTAGGTGTCTTTCCAACGAGAGGGAAGTCCAGCATCACACCATCGACCATGACTGAAGTGGTTGGGAGTGGACTGAACTCTTCTTGCATAGGCGTGAGGATAGCAACGGATGGTTCAGAACGGCCAGTCATGTAAGCCGAAGGTGGCAACCCAGGGAGAGATGCCCACGAGACCGGATGAGAATGAAGTGCATCGTACTCAGACGGCGGTCTCGACACTGAGATCACTGTCGAAGATACGTCGAGCCGGAAGTGGGACAAACGACGTTGTTCGATCATAGACGCAGGTTTCGCTGGTGTAGAGAATGTAGTGAACGTGGAAATTTTGTGTGAAAGGAACTCTTCTGACTTGGTCCGGATCAAAGCTCGAGCGGGTGTTTTGATTTCTCCCACATCCGTGAAACTCAACCGGTCAAATTCGGGCAGGTCCGAGAGTCTATTCGTAGGCATATATATGCTCAGCTCTAGTGGACGGTACTTTACAGTCGGTCGACGAAATGGCAGGTCCTGACTTGTTGGAATTGGTGGTTGTGGTTCCGAGATTGATGGTCTTGGCCTTCGTATTGACAGGCTCGATCTCAATGAGGCCTTGCCTTGGGAGACCAATTTCGACAGATGCGAAGGTGGAGGTGGAGTAGGAGTTGCTGGCATGGTATCAAATACAGTGAGCTTCATAGGCGGTACTAGGTGAGGCTGTTGATACATAATGCGCATTTCACGCTCAACTCCTACAATGTTGATTAGTTTGCTGTTTCTCTTATACCATTGCGAAGCAGAGACACTGACCTTCAGGTGCCTGTTCATTTCGGTACAGTTCATCTGCACGGATTGACGATGACGATGAACCAAAACAGCCGAAAAAGGTGAGCGTGCACGATGGCTCAAGCGAGTCTTCTGGCGCAGGTCTTGGTTTCATACTGGCGATGGTTACAGATCCCGCCACCACGTGTTTTTGGTGGCCAGTGCGCAATCAAGATGAAGCATTCGAGTTCGGTGATATGATGCCAGCATCAATCAGGAAAAATGAATTGAATAGTATGTCAACAATTGAGGTGGAAGGTACAGTTGATGACCAGATCGCAACTGCAGTGTTGACATGAATTGAAAATCACCTCATGAAAGAAATCCGGAGGTCAGGCCATTAAGAGAGTGGGAAGACAAACCTGAAACACACCTCTGGCACCACTCTCGTGGGCAATTCACCGAACATTGGTTCTTGAGGCTCTTCCACATTTGCGTGTACCTCGCTCAGAGATAACGTTACAGCGGAGACATGAAACGCATCAATCACAATCAAGTCGGCGCTTGTTTGGGAGGTGGAAGTTTGCCTCAGCCCGGGATTATACATTGTCAACAGGATGGTTGGACGAGAAGATGCCAACACTTCGGGTCATGCCAGGTCAACAATCAACCCGAGAGGTCGAGAATCACCAAGCGCCGAAGTCAGATGAAGCCATGGAATGGCGGATTTCATCTTGGTCAACGGCGTGAGCTGCGATTCGTGCAACGGGAGAGATGGCAAATGTGAAGAGAAATGAGGGTGAGCGCCTTCTCTACCAATCACGGTGCAGAATTGACAAGGAAAGATGAAGAAATGTGATTAGCAGGACTAGCCTTGTGGAGCTTCGGCTAACCTGCCCATCAGTGCTCAACTTCGAATGATGGCGTCACCATGTCCTCAAAGGGCAAGTTAGGCGATGTTTACTTCGACTCGTAACCGTTAGGCCGAAATCACTTCCAGCTACACCTCATTGGCAGTTCCTCAGAACCTTGTACACAGATCCATTAAAGCCACACTTAAGTTCACTATCCCAACCTCCGTCAGGATACCAATCACAAGTCATTTTGTCTTTGCCTTGTGCTTACACATGCTTCAAAGCGTCCCGGTCTGAGCTATCTGAGTCTGTCTCACACAGCAGGTGACTTCCTGTTGTTGTTGTTGGGTTACCAACCAAGTCTTTCGTGCATCTGCCTTCTTGTTGCTTCTCAATGGAGCCGAACGTCAAGCTCATAGTCCAGGATAAAGGTGGAGAAAAACGAGAAATCCCGGTCTGGAGCCATGTCATGATAAATGCCAGTCCTTATTTTCGTACTCTCTTAGATCCGGCCAAGTTCCAGGAAGGTCACATCCTACAGCAACAGAATGCGCTCACGGTGGAGTTGTTGGATACCAATGCGGAGGCAATGCAAATTCTCTGTGACATCTGGCATATGAAATCTGGTCGGGTCTCTTCTGCGCAGATCTCCGTAAAAACCCTCTTTGAGATCGCGGTGCTTGTCGATAAGTACGATTGTGTTGAGTCTATCCGACCTTGGCCCACGATATGGTTTCAAATGAGCCATATCGCGTTTGCTTATGCATCTGTCTCGGCGAACATGTATGCCATTACACAATGGATTTATATATGCTGTCACCTTGGCTACAAGCACGAGTTTGAGTCCCTCACGACCCGGTTACTCAAGCACACCACCGATGAAGATATACTAGGGAAAAAATCCGTGTACTTCTCGAATCTATCTCTATCACTGCAAGGTGCGTCATTTCATTGACCTTAAATCCGATCTAACTCGGTCTAGAAGCAATCAAACAACGACGAAGGACATGTATCAATCTATTCCGCCAAATCTGCCTGGACCTCGTTTCCGACCTAGAAGGTGGAACAACTTGTCGTGCCGACTCCTATGGTTCTACTGCTGAGCGGAGACTTGACTGCTCCTATCTACGACTTGGAAAAGCGATAATGACTTTGAGGGAATGCCTTGGCTCTGATTGGCAGCGCGAACAACAGTGGACCCTGGCAATATCTGATCTTTTTGAAGCATTAAAACGCGTAGACTCGAAACTTCAGAAACCAAGCGATTCTACGCCTCACGGACATCATGCTTGCTACCAATTGAAAAGTGGCGCGAAGTATGATTCTTGGGCGAAATGCGGTTCATTTCTTGCAGCGGTAGAAAAAGCTTATGGTGATGCATGCGCTCCTTTCTCATTCCAGGAATTCGGAAATATTACTTACCGGACGGTGCCTTTGCTTTGATGCTGACACGATCGTGAGCGAGGCCAAAAAAAACCCCCCTGCCAACGCGACTTTCTACCTGAAGCGACAAGGGCATCTTCTCCAACCTCTTCTATGTCCTGCTGATCTGCTACAACATCACCTCTTCTTTGCTGTCTCTTTACCAGCCACCGCGATGATGGGTGTTCGTCCTACTCATTCACTTCCTCTAGCTAACAAAAGGCAACATCTTCATCGACCTGATGATCATCAATCTCGACATCCCTGATACCGTCACCAAATGTCTCAGCGTCACCTCGATTTCCACCTTAGAGGCTCCAGTAACGTAAAGAGCAATATCAAGGCGAGGCGCTATGGTTGAATCGCCCAAGGTATGAAGTGGTGTTTCTAAGACATTTGTACATGTCTGACATGAGTGACCGCATCGCCAACCAAGAGAAGAGATGAATTAAAGAAGAACTATGGATATTGTGCTGGATTTCAGTACCACTAAGAAAATATTCGAGAGACATCCTGCGACTCAGATTTCAGTATCTCTAACTCTTCATCCAATATTGTTTAGGCTCCTCTATGTCGCCATCCAGCTGTGGCATAGCTGAACACTTCGTAGTGTGACCATCATGAGGCTGGGAGCTGATAAGGCTGAGGGGAAACTAACTAAGGTGGAGTAGAAAGCTTCAGCCGCGGCGTGTGCCGACCAAGTACTTCGCTGGACGAAGCTTGGCACGAGTGCTTCAGAGAAAGTTGGAGTTCAAGAAAGAGAATCATCAACGAGAGTCATTGTCAACTCCAAGCTATCGTAGCGATAGTGGTCGTAAGCCAGCTCCGGTGTCGAGAGAATCCTTACCGAGGATTACCACACGATCATCAGGCTTTCCAGCAACCCACGAAGACCTCCTGCGCCCAAACAAATATCCATCGCGTGCACAGCACAGCACCTCCCGGACCATCCTCCATCACCACCAACATGCCACCTAAAGGCGCCTCTACGGCTGTCAAGCCCATCCGACTGCAATCAGTATCACACCTGAGGATAAAACATCCAGATAAACAGCAACCGAATCCATGTCTGGGCCCGATGACAGCAATGTTGAGTATGTTGATATTGCTAGCTCCTCTGCCTCCAAAGATCACATTTACTGACAGACGACTGCGCTACAGACTGTTGGGCCGCAGGCGGTGCCGCTGGTGGATGCCAGGGTCTGGAAAAAGCATTGCGTGATTGCATGGATGCACCAGTACGTTTCTCTCCTTTAGCCAGTCCAGCACAGCACGGGACTCTCGATATCTAGCTCCCCGTTCCCAAGCATTTGAAAAAGACTCCCCGATGAACGGCAGCAGAACAAACTGCTAACCTCACCTCACCACCATACAGAAAGCCCCTCCGAAACCAAAGTCGACAATCAACTATCATCTCGCCCGACTGTATCCCAAGATCGCGGGACCGCGGAAACGATCTGGTAGCATCGGGTAATTCTGTCGAGAATATTCAACTGCCCATTGCCAGCATCGGAGCAGCAAACTTGGTTGGAGCCCTACCCGCGCCGTCCGACGCCCTTATGCCAACAAGAACAAATCAGATCGTGACTAAAGGTCGAGTCGGACTTTTGGGAGGCCCTGTACGTATTCCGGTATGCTCGACATGCACCAGCAAGAGCAGGATCAATCGCATCGACCACCCTTGTTCCGGAACCGTGTCGACTACCAAACTGTCAGCCGGACTTGGTGAATATTTTTGTTTCCTCACCCGGAAGCTCCAAGTCTATCGCCACGCACATACACCTGGAACAGAGAGCACTCAAGAGCACCTGGAGTTAATACTCTGACCTCGCACAACTCCCATCAGCAAATCAATCAGTCGAAAACGACAATGACACAAAGGGCTCTCTCGCTGCAACACCGAGCCTTGGTTTCGTATGAACAACGTGAATTCTCTACCAGACCACACCTGCACCCGAAGCAGGAGCAGGGACGGCACTGGTCGACTGTACAAACACGTGTTATAGCAAGACCTAGAAATAGAAAATGTACTATATATGTTATAAGAAGAGAGCAACATGGCAGAAATAGAGCGGACCACGGTTCCACACCATCTCATAACCAAAGTCCGTTGCAGTTGCGTATATCATTGTTATTGTATCTACTATACATAGCTACTATCCGTGTCGATTCTCGATAAAGTTGAACGAGTGAATACAAAAGCCCAAACCTTTTTTGTAATCCTGAAGTTTTGAACCCCAACCCTCCTTCCTCTGTTTTCCAAAATCCAAACAAGATGATCTACAAAGTAAGAACTTGGAATGTGAATGTAGCGAACATCCCAGGATGTCTTCCTACTAAGCCAAGTAGGTATCCATGCACTCGCACTCTCTGCTGTTCGAGACGGAAGTTCCATATGGACACGTATGTCTCAAGCTGGCGATCTGCCACGCTATTATGCACCTAGCTATCGAACGTGGTTCTCTTGAGCCATGACCGTGAGTGAACCGTTTTCCTGGGCTATGGGATCATTTACTGGCTGTTCAATGTGAAACGTCCGACTTCATGAAATGTGAAGCGTTCAATCAGAGGGAAAAGGAAGAGGAATGGGTTGATGGTGGTTATTTGTGTGCTTCAGCCATTGTGAATTTGCCAACCTATCCTAATAGTACAGTAGAAGAATGATGTTCTAAATCATTCATGTATGCCAAATGCACCTCGATATGCCCTAACTTCAAGATTTCGCTAAATAAACTTGACAAAAACTTCAGATTTCATGTTTCAACGTTCATCAGTATGCATTCCTCTCTCGCTCCCATGACTTTCCAAAAAGACCCGCTATGCAATGTCCGATGCCATTTCGATTCCAATAGGTATGCATGTCATAAGTTTGGGGAATAGGAAATGGAAATTCGTTGAAATGCTTGGTCGTTCAGTCGCTTCCCTTATGAATAAACGCTTTAGATACCGGTGGCCATGTTTCCGGCTGATGCGTCCATATAGAAATAAGACCCATAGGAGAACAATGAGAGATTTGCTAGAACGCTTCCGAAATAATGTATGTCGCTTTTGATCCGAACTCGTGCGTCGCAAAACAAAACGCCATGGATGACTTGAAAGATGTGAGGAAAAGGTCGGAGGGTTGCTGTTGCACCATCCAGTGTAAAATATATGTTGGAAGTGTGTTGGCGATTCAGGATCGTTTGAACATGAAGTAGCCATACATGCCACCCACGTCCTGTTCGACCAGAGGAATTTTGCGCATTCCCCACCAGCGAGCACCCATCTTCCAGGGCCTTGAGCCGTCGTCTACAACTGCTGGTTGGGTCGTGGATTCGATTGGCTGGCGGACATACCAGCCTCTGCGACCAAGTTCCTTCACAACCCATTCAGGTTTCTTGACATGGACATTGCGACGCTTGATCTCCTGGAGAACATCTGAGCCTAACTCAATGACCTCAAGTGGGCAGGTATCGCGGCCAGTAAGTGATGATGGGGAGTAGGACAGTGACATTTGGGTAACTGATTGGATGTCAGTTAAGTCAATGTAGCGCAGACTACAGGTCGATGGAATGTTGGATTCGAGATCAGAATCCTCTTCGTCCGAGACAGAGCTCGTGTCGGAGTCGGTATCATCATCCTCTGCCTTGAATAGACGCTTAATATCGGAACCAAGACTGAGGTTCGCACCACGAAGGCCTAGCTCCTCAACATGGGTAGTCAAGCGACGTAGTGCTGGAATGTGGTTTGCATTGACTCTCGCTCCATTCAAGTTGAGGGATCGAAGAGTAGGGGGTAGATTGGCCAAGAGATTTGTGATATCGGTCTCAGAGAGGAGTCGATGCCGAGAAGGATCAGCAGCAAGGTTTAGATAGACGATGCTATCCTTGACCGCAGGATGAGTGGTGAGGAATTTCACCACATCAGATCCTCGCAACCGTGTGCATCTCTCAAGGTTCAGATGTGTGATTCTGGCCGTGTGCGGGATGGATACCAAAGCCGAGCTGTTGATGAGGGTGTGAGCAACATCCAGGTGGGTGAGATTACTGAGTCTTGGAAGCAAGGCTTCAAGAACGGGTTCTTGCAAGGTGGTACATTCGTGGAGGGAGAGGCCCTTCAGATTGACCAAGGGCTCGCTACCCATGCTCATGCAAACACGTGTAAATGCCTCGGTGAATGGGCGTGAGGAACAAGCACAGAAGTCCAAAGCTGACATGAGTGGCATGTTGAAGAGCTTAGCAATAAGATCGGCGTCAAGTTCATCGTCGATGTGCTCATGAACAAGGAAGGCCTGGAGATTTGGTAGAAGATCTAGGCAAGCTTTCAGGGTGGTGGGTGTAAGGTATGGAGTCTGATTTCGGGTGGTCCTAGCACTGCCGAAGCCCATGTTGGAGTAGTGGGAGAAATCCAGCCATTGCACCATCTCACCCAGGGTCTTGTCGCTGCTGAGGCTTCGCATCAATTTGGAGAAAGCTTTTGATTGAGGAATGGAGACATGTCGATACATGACGCGTAGTGCAGCATAGTGGAGCTTGGATGAGGTAAGAGAGCAGGAAGCGAGGTCGACATGAGGGCGAGCGTAGGGGTCGGCAGTATGATCAACTGTGACATACGAGAAGATGAGCTCCAGGATTTCCTCTGGCATGCTTTCGAGATATGAGACTGTCTGATCATCCGAGGTCTCTGCGAGTGACAGAGCATCATCGGAATCATCCAAGATGGCGTTATCGTTGGCTGTTTCTGCGACATCTCGTACGCCAATGGACTCCCGAACCTTCTCTCTCCAGATTTCCAGACTGAAACTGGCGGCTCTGGGATGGAATCGAGTAATCTCCTTGGCAAAGGGCAAGTTGAAGAGCTTTTGGGCCGACCTCCTCTTGTCCAACTCGTCGAGAATCTTCTCTAGCTTCTTGGGATTGGTCCGGGCATAGCCTTCAAGTCTGGTACGGATATGGTCTTCGTGTGATCCTCCAAAATGGAACGAGCACAACCCCTTCGTCTTGCACCATTGGCTACATGGCCAGGCAATCCATTCGACTTCCTCGAGATCGTGGCTGGAGAGGGACGATTCGAATGACTGTGGTAGACCTTCACCTAGGATATAGAGTTAGCTTGGACGTACGTTGCTGAGAGGTGTGGGTCGGGTGGCTTACCAGACTCTTCCTTCACCGAGGCGTAGGAGAACTTCCTGCTCGAGTTCATGTCTTCTGATGGTGGCAGCAGTAGATGGTACGGTAGGTGGACAGGGTCCTTGTGTTCTTTGTTGTGATGTGTAATGAGTGAAGGCGCTTTGTGTGGTAGTGAAGGAATGGCGCAATCATTCGGTGGTCTGGGTTGGTGGATTGGATATGGCATGTTGGTGGTGCGTCGGTTTGAGTCGGTCTTATGAGTGTCTCGTATGTCGAGGGGTAGTAGCGGTGTTGGGTGACAGCTCAGAATGGTGCAAAACTAGATTAGATGAAAAGAGGACAATGAATCCACCGGGGCAGGAAAAAATGCAGGGAGAAAGAGTGGTAAAGGTTTTATGGGGGTAATAGAAACACAATGAAAGGACGGAGAGGGTGAATGTTGTGTCATTGTTTTCCAGGGCCGGCAGCCGGAGCAGGTGAGGGACGCCACTTGCAAGCCTTGTCAACTAAGCAGTTAACGGCAGGCACTTTGATCGCCCTTCTGCGCCTTCCCCCAGATTTTTCACTCACCTTAGGACGCATTGGGATCGGCTGGCGGCGAGACTTCCGGAAAGGAGCCATCAGCTTTAAATTTTTGCCTGGTTGGCAAAGGAATGAATTGGCCTTTTCCCTAAAACTCGAAGGCGGCTGTATCTCCGAAGTCACCTGGTTGTTTTTTCCAACGCGAGGCCAAAAGCTAAAACTGGAGATGGAAGCTTCCAGGAACCGGGCGATGAGTCAACACTCCCAGTATTGGATTTCCATGTCAGGTGGTCTCTGAGACTTGAAGACTCAGCAAGATTATTGAGGTTGAGCCCGGCGGGCTGGGTTGGCTGGCTGATGCCAAAGATCGGTGCAAAATTGCAAGTACAAGCACGAGCCCGGTCCTGAGGACACGACAGGCTCCCCAGGTGGTTTCTGCCCGGGTCTGCCATGCAGTGCCCAGAAGCCAGTGTGGCCAACGCGTGCTTTGATGGAAAAATGAGAAATGTGGTGTCAACAGAAGCATCAGATTACGTACGAGGGGCGCCCAAGGGGTCCGCGCGAAAGCTTACCCCAGAATACTTGGCGGCCTCCTGGCCCTCTTCCGTCTCACGTGAATCGTTGAATTTTTCACGGCTTGGGCCAATTCTGCTGGTCATGTGCCCGGTCTCGCCACAGTCGGTGGTATAATTTAGTCACAGCTTCGCCTCGAAGCGCGCGACGATGTAATCACGGTCCTCTTTGACGCCATCCGGCCCTGGCCTCACCCTTCCTCTCCGAGCATTCCGTGACACACATGTACAACATCACCGGGTCACTGCTTGCCTAACAGGAACACATCCTTTCGTGTTCTCCGCGGGACCATTCCTGATTTGGGGTTGTTTTCTGTTCAATTTACGACTACTCCCTACTCCTACTCCTGGGTTTCCTGGGGCCCGACTGGAAAAGCCTTTGATTCAAGCATTGAAACTCGCATTGTTCCATCTTCTGTAAGGTATCATTACCAGATCCGTCCCAAAACACGTATTGCCATTCGTCGAACCGACACCCGTCAAATATACGAGCACAGACCAGGGGAAATGTTGAGTCTGTTCTGTTCGACGAGCATCGAAGGTGCATTTCGCCATTTATCCATGCAATCACATCAAACGTCGTGCATGACCTGTTTTATGAGTCAACCCAACCCCCCTGAGTGATATCGAACCTCCTCACCGATATTCCAGTTCCTTGCCGCGACGGTGTCGGTGTTATCCGGAAATTCTCAAAATCAGCATCCAACCCCGGTTGTGGAGACTTTCCCCGCAAACTCTCCCCTGCTCGGACCCTTTCGAGAAGCCCTTTGAGCACTCCGCCTAGCCACTCAAAGTCCTTGAGCTCTAGGTAGATCTGGCCAGAAATTCGGGTCCACAGTTTGCCGTCGTAGGGGTAGATTGCAACAAATGTATGAAATTCGTCCACCAGCGTCTTTTGCATCCAGTCAACGTGCTGCATGACATCCGTATGTTGGATAATGATTGGACCTGCGGAGGTCAGACTCGGTGAGTTGAGAGGCGATGACGATCGTGGTACGGGCTCAAGGAATGATGAACCCGATGGTAGTCGAGCGCTTGCCGCTGAACTCGGGAATCCGTAGGAGCTTTGTCGGAGAGCCGGTGAGAGACCACCTGCACTTCCTGACCCACCCGGTCCCATACTGATACTTCCACGCGTGGTTGCACCGACAATGGTCACGGGAAGGAGAACATTGGACATGGCACAGTCCCGCAGACCGCCAGACCAGCCATGGTGTCCACCGCCTCGCCGGTCTGTAGCTTCGTAGCTCCCCATGGTTTTTAGCCCGAATCCTGCGTCCAGGTCGTCCATGACCTCGGTTCCCAGCAGCATGGCCAGGAGATCGGCGCCTCGCTGCGCAATATCCCGGATGTAATTATATATAGCCTCCTCACCACCACACAAGTTCTGGCGGAAATTCAGCGCCGCCGGGACGCAGTAAAAGGGTGAATTGTCAGCTGTAGCGACGAATTGAAACAGATTTACAAAAGGGGACTTGTCTGTTACTGGAAGTACTCGACGGATGGGGAGATCGTCATCTAATGGGGAATAGCCATGTGAAGTGGGATATGTCGTCCGGATGAGATGTTGATTCCGTTTTGGTACATGGAGCACTGCACAGCCTCGTGGAGTATATAGCCATCTAGAAGATGTTGGTCAGCACAAATGACCAATGATATGTAAGGCCTTCTAGTCCAATGGCTCTCTTGCACATGAACAGACTTCAAGAACATGATGACTTACTTATGGCAATTGCTGACAAAAAAGTCGGCGTCCAGCAGTGCAAGATTCAATGGAATCTGCCCCACACCATGTGCGCCATCGACCAGACTGAGAATGCCATATTCTTTACACATCTTGGTAATCCTCTCAAAGGGGAATCGAACTCCCGGTAATGAGACGATGGTTTCGAAGACGCAGACTTTTGGCGTCAAGCCGTCGTATAGGACACGAGAAATCGTCTGTGAGAGTGCATTGAGGATCTCAGAGTGCGTACACGGTAGCGAATATGCGAAATCTTGCCCGTGGCCGACTTTTCGAAGTTGAACTTGTGGATTTGTCTCTTTGATGGACGCCAGGGTCTTCTCACACGCGCCATAGATGGTGTCGAAGTAAATGATACAGTCTTTCTCCTTGTATTGAATATTGCGGAGTATCGTGTTGACACCTGGCACATGAGATTAGATTCAGAACCGTACTTCGGATCATCTCGCTATATCTTACCAGAGGTAGCGTTCTGTACAAAGACGCATTCGTCAACGGGAACATTTAGGATCACCGATATTCGTTCCCGAGCTTTGTCGAGAAGGTCGATGTACTGATAACGAAGAAACTTGTCGGGTGCTGCTTCGGCAAGCTTTTGATAGCCTCGCAATGCATTGCGCACAGGTAGCGAGTAGGTACCGAATGATCCTAGATGGGTCTTTAGTTAGATTTGGATATTCTCACAACACTCTGATGCTCGACAGTATTGTCGCCAAGGGGCTTGGTTTGGTCAACCATGTTCCGGGGCGGTTGGACGATGGGAATATTTCTCAAGGATGGCAACAACCTCGATGGATGCTTGATAGATTGGGCGATATGCAGGATTATCTTCAAGACTCCGAGGTAGATAGTTCTGGTGCAACCCCCGAAACATGACCAAGCTTACTGAACATGAATGGAATTGGGCCAACAACGTCAACGATTAGAGGCATAACCGTATGGTCTCTCAGCTCGTGTCATCATCGGGCTTATCGCAGTAATATTGAACTCGGGATAAGGTCAACCTGCAGATCTTGGCGCTGGGGAATGGCAGGTGCGATTATTGACAACGGGAAAGGATGTCGAACTTGTTACGTACCATGATTTAAATTGGTGTATTTGAGATCAAACAGAAAATGCGATTTGAAGCCATGGCCAAACTCGGTCACTTCGCCAAAGGAACCCATCTCTTGTTCCCCAGATGCGCTATCGTGAATTACACTTGAACTGATTCGGTGGCCGAGGAGGGGCAACGAGCGAAAGGGGAGGGGGAGATTGCTCCTCCAAAGCCAGTCGTCAAGAAACAGCTGGACCTGTGATCGTTGGAAATTGGTTCTTCACCACGAGTTTAGACAAGATGAGAGATTCCAAACGACAAACACTCAAGCGGAGAGTGTCTGGATATGGGCTTGTCGTCGTGGGGAATATGAGGTTGCGATGGGATGTGAGTCAGTCTGATAAAGCTGAAAAACTTGACCGTACCCGACGAGAAGCAATACGAACCACTAATTACTACTGTAGCAAATGCGGGCTGAAGGGCGGAAAAATTAAGCCCCCAAAAGCCAAGATTTCAAATATGTCTAATCATTAAAAAGGTCCTGGCGCGGTGGAACTAAGGTCTCTTCTCCATAGATGATGATAGGACGAACAAGAATTCCCTGGTCGTTAGCATGTTTCGGTCATTGAAAGCATTTGCTATTTGCTTAGTTGGAGAGGCTTTGGCTCCTCAACCTGGTAACTCTGGGGGGCAAAGACTGCGGTTCATTAGGCTGTGAAACGCAAGGCCATGATGGGCCCATGGATTTTTGGATTGCAGGTGTGAAAGGGGGCCTAAAATCATCAACCAACGTCGTGTCATTCTATCGATTGGCACCTCAAGTGAGATGACTCAGCAGAGAGGAAGGAACGATTGTGCATTTGTGGGATCGAGAAATGAACGACATGGGATTCCTGGAAATGACTGATTGGCAACATGGTCGTTTCATGCTTCAAGATGCTGGTCCAGAAATCCGCCCGAAATACTTTCATACAGGCGAGGCGGCACATGCTACCGTGTTTGGGATAGTGCCTTCAGTGTTTCGTTGAGCAATAATCAGAACTCTACCAAAAGTCGATAAATGAGTTTCATCTGTTATCATAAACCGATTGTTGTTTTGTTTGACTTCTGATCAACGTCTAAACAATCGGTTCGGTGCCGCGCGATCAAATATTAATCAGCACGATTGGGTGGTGGTTTCGGTCTGATGGCGATGCCTCGGCTCATTGAAGAATCACCGAGTGAGGGGCGCCGTAGGAGGGATGACCGCATCAGCTACTAGGTAGCTATGCTCTTATGTTCTGATACTCGGCATCAAAAGTCGTCTCTCGACATACATCTGTTGATAGACGAGTAAATTGACGAATTTTGGCCGATACAGGCGAATTTTCACCGATCGCTATTGCTAAGCAACTCGAGCGTGCAACAAAAGATTAATATTCATCTTCCAGACCCCAACACTCGGCTCCAACCTGGTAGCAAATCAATACAAAAATAAAAACCAAAATGCCAAAGGCAATCTCGATATCGAAGATCGACGGTAAGCCGGGTCAAGTGTACTACCCGCTGTCGCTGGACGAGGTACCCAAGCCGACGCCAAAGGGCACTCAGGTGGTAATCAAAATCCATGCGGCGGCCCTCAACCACCGTGATCTGTTCCTGCGTCAGCATCTATACCCGGGGATCGCGTTCGGCATTCCTCTTCTTGCAGATGGCGTTGGCACGGTGGTCAGCCTGGGCGGCGAAGCCGACTCCAAGTGGAAGGGCAAACGGGTCGTTCTGAACCCCGGGACGGGCTGGAAGGACGACATCGATGGCCCCGAGGATAAGGGCGGATATAAGATCCTGGGAGGAACCAAGACCCTTCCCAACGGCACCCTTCAGGAATATGTCCTGATCGACCAGTCTGAGCTCGAGGAGGCTCCGGAGCATCTCTCGAATGCAGAGGCTGCCGCATTGCCGTTGACCGGGCTGACCGCCTGGAGAGCCACTTTCGTCAAATGCGGCGAGCGGAACCTTCAGCCGGGGAGGAACATCTTGATCACGGGGATTGGCGGTGGTGTCGCTCTCGCGGCGTTGGAGTTTGCACGCGCGAATGGAGCCAATGTGTTTGTTACAAGCAGCAATGATGAAAAGATCAAGAAAGCAATTGCGCTGGGAGCCAAGGGTGGCGTCAACTACAAGGAGGACGATTGGGACAAGAAACTACTAGCACTGCTACCGGCTGAGAACAAACAACTTGATGCAATCGTGGATGGCGCTGGAAGCGACGTGGTATCTCGGGGTGCCCGACTCTTGAAGGTGCGTGAGCTCTTCCGTCTGGCTGGAATTGACTATGCTAACGTGTTCATAGGCGGGTGGTATCATCTCGGTCTATGGTATGACGGTTTCACCCAAGATGCCCTTCTTGATGCAGGCAGTCCTGAAGAACATCGAAGTCAAGGGTTCAACCATGGGTTCCAGAAAGGAGTTCAAAGACATGGTGGCATTCATCAGCGCGAAAAAGGCAAAGGTCGTGGTGTCTCGTGTTGTCCATGGACTCGACCTAGACGCCATCAATGGGCTGTTCGAGGATATGAAAAAGGCAACACAGTTTGGAAAACTCGTGATCGAAATCTCAAAGGAAGGCGGTGAGAGTAAATTGTGATTATAATTAGAAGATCCGACATGACATTTCCTTGACTTTCCCGCATTCTTTCTCATTGGGTGGTTGACCATCTCTTTTTGTCTTGAGGCGCACGACTGACCCGATGCACTTTCCTGGCGGTATCGCAGGCTGATGATGTCTGGGTGGTAGAGATACAGCTGTACCGATGATCTTGTTAATGTTTCTATTTGTGGGCACAAGCCACGTCAGTGCGATCCATTGAAGAGTGAGAAGCTCCGGAGATGGGGCTGCATGCAATGGTATCTAGCATATCCGGCATCTAGTGCCCGGGGGCTAAAAGGTCATCAAAGACCATTGAATGTGTTCCTGTAAGTTGGCAAAACGGCGGCGATGGGTAGCTGCAGTCTGCTGCAGGTCCTGTTGGTGCATGTCCTATGTACTAGGCTGCTCCGATAAGATTGACAAGACCAAAACCGAACACCACGCGCCAACACGCACGTTCAGAGATAGGCATCCCAATTGAGGCGGACCAGAGTGGCCATTTCTCTCGATTTGGACGTTGGGTCTCAATCATCTGGCCCTGACAGTCTTTTGTGCAGCAAGAAACATTCATCTTGGCGCAACGAGTGGGCATAAACGGACGAGAAACAGTTTGGTTCTCTGCTGAAATTGAGCACACATGTACAAGGTATTTCGTGCCATGGGTGATATGCAGGTTGACTGCACAATGGTTGCACTGCCCCCATCTAAAGTTGGTACAAGGAACGACGGTTACCAGACCAGCATCTCAGTCTCAGTGATTGTTTGGGAGAATCCCCTTACAAAGAAGTTGATTGGAATCCTGGTTTCATGGCTATCATGATAACAGCCGTCAAGCTTCCGGTCGATCAGATCTTCGTCGCCACCCTTATCCAACGGTTTCTTTGCACCCCGGACCTTGGTGCTCGAGTTGTTCAGGTAACATTGAAGTCTCTGTGATACAGATCGACAGCTTGCAGGGAGTCAGGGTCCAGATTGTGACAGGCACTGGGTAGGGTGTGCCGACCGCATTGGGTTGTGCTGAATTTCATCGCACATTAGGATTCTACACATCTGGCGAGTTGGAACAAGCGATCGACTAATGTGATCGTTGTTGCCCTCGTTCAGTGGAATACCAAGCATCCGGCGTGTCATATTTTAAAAGCCTGTGACTCTATTCGCTCGCTTCAAAAAAGGCCGGTCTAAAATTCCTGGCCACTGGCGCCCTGGAGTTGATTTCCAAGCCATAACGGCTAGCCTTGCCATGGGAAAGTGGCTGAGTTGGAAGCGAGCCAAACTAAAGGAGCAAGGATCAAAACGGCAACCTCGTACCGAGTACGTGTAGGAAGAGGGGCCCTCATCCGTGCGAGTGCTCTTTAAATCAAGGGCTGGTTTTACAAACTGATAATCAACGGCACGGGTCGCTTCAGGCTTTGGTGAAATGGATCTCCAAGTAGGGAGCGAGGAGGATTCTGATGATCTCAACCCCACTTCCACAATGTCCCGGGTCTCACTCTCCAAGGATGAAATGATCTTGCTGCTCGCAATGTTTATAGCCGGCAATGGGGAAAGGCGTGTGATGAAAAAGAGAACATGCAGAAGCGCATCATTCTTGCGAGTCAGGAGACAGGCTGAAACACATTCGGTACGCCTCGCGGTGCGCCCATAGGCTTCATTTTTGCAGAACATCCTATTCTGGGATCACGGAGATACCTCTGGATCAAGGCGTGCGTTCAGGTTGTGAAATCATGGTGATAACGGAAACTGTGAAAGCTCGAAGCGTGCTCTGCTCACCTCGCCTGATGATATGAGTAACTGGTGCTGGTTAGTCAACAGACCAGATTCACAGAATGCGGCAATGACCGGACACTAGGAGAAATGATTATGGACTTCTTGACCAGACACTTGTGAGATGTTGGTTTCTGTCGCGACTCGCGGGTTGCTGGCATGTGGATAAGGCTTTGATAAACCCCCTTCGAGGGCTGGTGCTTGAGAAGCACGCTTGTGGCTGACGGGTGAAGCTTCCCCAGACTGACCAGTTCCTGGTAGTCCACTGGCTATTCCAAGTACGAGCAAGGAGGAACTCCGTACTATAATCGTGGGAAACACCAAACCAAGTGCTGCAAACTCACCTCAAATCCATCCTCGCTAGACCTGCAGGTGTTCTCACAAGTTACAATTAGCCTGGCCTGATCTGTTGAGTTTGTGAACTCTGACACTGACGGTCGTGGTGCCAGCAGAAGGGAAAGGGGCGTAGAATAAACGATATGGTGATATGCAGGAGTTGCATGATCCCCGAAAGTGGCTATCTAGCCCCTTTGCCTTAGGCTTGCCTCAGGAGGACAGAAGAAGAACAAATGACGTGGACCTGGTCCAAATCAAGGACTCCGTCTGAGAGGATTTACGAGGACGTGAGCAATGTGGCAGTGCAAGGGTGGTACCTGACATGACTCGTAGAGTTAACAGCATGCATGGGGCTCTGAGAAGCTGAGGTGTAATCTGCATCCTCCGATGCACAAACGGTGAACATAGCTCGGTGTCGGAGATTCTCAACTGCACCAGATAGTTGGCCCGACAGCACCGAGTAATGATCGAGCCATATTCGGTGATAAGGGTTCGGATAAATTCGTCGTATGAACAAGAGTTGGGCAATGGTTCACCTAGATCACCCAGATTCTGACCTGCGGATACAATCTGGTGGTTGGATGGTTGCGCACTACCAAGGAACCGAGGACTCAACGGCTACTAGGTGGCCAGCTAGAAAAGTCATGGTGGTTGACAGAGGTGAAGCGCAAACAAACAACGCCAACCACGCACGATCCTGGAATCGCGCGTTCATCCCTAAACACTGGATCAATGTCAAAATGTGAAGCGAAGGGGTTGGCTCCGTTGCCGTCGACGCTATCCCTCAACAAGTGGACTGTCCTGACGTCGAGTCTTGGGTGATCTCCGCATGAGACTATGAGGTTTTGAGGCAAGCGTACCGCTGGGAGGCAAAAAAAGAGGGAAAAAAGGACCAGACTCCTGGTTGGTGATAGGGGGAAGAAGACCCAGTTATGATGACCAGGGTCTGCGGTCGGTTACGTTGGCGTGGTCAAAAATAGATACAAGCTAAAAGGGGGATCATGGAAGAAGACGGACGCCAGTGCCAATCGTCCTTCAGAATCAGGCTTGCCCTGCCACTTACGGTCCACGGAGAGGGCCCAGTTTCCAAGTGCCAGTGAGGGAGAAATCCCTAATAGCCGTCACAGAGTAGTGGTAACCAGGCCAGAGTCTCGTATGACCTCACCAGACGCTAAAGGCAATTGACACCCAATGAGGAAACAGCGTCGGCTTCAGCCTGCAGGCGCCAGGGAGAAAATGGAACCTGAGATGCTCCTTCCTCGACGACAGACAAGGTGTCGATTGGGAAAGTGCGATGAGTATCAGTATCCGTACCGAGTAGAGGCAGGCACGACGAACAGCTTTCTAATCATGGCAGGAACGATGAACGTGACGGAATTCACGTTCAGCTTGTTCAACACACAGGAGAAGAGGCTGTGCACACTACTTTCGCCCCCGTGGGCTCCAGCGTGATGCTTAATTCTTTGGGCTGCCACGCTGGGGACTACACTTTGGTGGATCGACCTTCTACTCTTTTCGAGATCGTCGTTGGTTGGAAACCTTTAGGGTATCCGTTCCTCAGAATTCAAGGGTTTCCGAGCTGTTCCCTCCAACCCCGGCCGAATCGAACAATGTTGCCACAACTGCCAGTGACAGTCGTAGTCTTCCGTAGCAAACAGAAAATGTCCCAGAAAGTGAGAAGGACAATGTTATTCGTGTCGTACTCCGTGTTCCCACCCTTTTGGGCTTCCTTGGACCCATCATGACTTTGAGTATTACATCAATGCCGCCTGCTGCCGAGGCCGGTCGCCTCAATGCTGTTGGTTCCCAAAATTGAGAATTATGCCATCACGTTGGTTCTTGATGGTCGGCCCTGGGCTTTTGGTAAAAATAATGAATGGTCCGCGACGTGCATGAGCCTGAGGGACAGTTTGCATCGCCTACGGCACACAAATCGTATCGTATCGTCCTCTGACAATGCAGTGTGGGCTCATCCATCATGCACTCCTCTCATCAGGACTAGACTATCCTCGTCGACCTGCAGAAACTGTGACAGGCCACTCGCATCAACCATCGCTCGACGCTTTTCTCCTTCAATCCGTCCCCGCTTTTTCTATGCTAATCCTGTCTTTCTCTCACACAGAGCCATCCCTCGTGCTAACCCTGAACCGCCTTCCGACCTCCCCTTCCCCCCTCTGGTGCCAGTCGTGCCAGTCGTGGCCTCTCAAGTTTCTACCCCATCGACCAGGCCCGCTAGCCCGTCACTGCCACTAACTAACCCTCAAACTCGTTACTCGCCTTGGTGTCCATTGGGCTTGCTCTTTGCCTCTCTGGTCGACTCGCCGAGCATGCCCTGCAGTGCCTGACGGTGAACTTTTCCCACACGTCGCACTCCCACTGCATCCACTGGCCACACTGCCACCCATCGTCCCGTGGAGCCCAGGCCGATATAGCCATTTACTCCCCCTCCTTCCCTCGGGTCCTCTGTCTTCCATTTCCGCTCTCCACCATCTTCATCACTCACCTTCGCTCAAGTCTTGCTCCTGGTCCTGTTCGCAGACCATACTTTCGTTTTTAAAAAACATCACACTCGCTTTTCAGACTTTGGTATATCGTTCGTTGGACATCAATCGCTCAAGTCCCTCGATTCCGGTTCATTCGCTGAAAAGACTCGTACTCGACCCTCAATCCACTCACCTACACCCTCGAACCAAAATTCGCTATTGATCACAAGGAATCAGAAGTGAAAGGGATTGAGTCCAGTACTACTATCAAAATATCATTGAGCAATACCTGAGATTACGTCGCTCGTTGTTGTTGGGAAAGAGAATTCGTCCTCGTTGGCATTCACACCTCGTCTCGCCACCTGTGGTGCTGGCGCTTCCGCCTGGCTCGGAAACATCACCTTGGATATCACGTCGTCTCTAGATCCCCAACAAGGGTAGAGAGGAGCAGAAAAAGGGTTCTTCTTCCAGGCCAGATCGTAATCAGGTCCTGCTGCCAGGTAAGCCCACATTACCGAATATGGCCCAAGCCGCCTTCATTCCAAAATCGCTAGCGACCCTCCTCCTTGCTTGTTGCTGCATATCCTTACTTGCCCTCGAAATTATGTATCATTCTTATTGATTTCAAAATTCCAAATTACTCTTCACTCCGTGAAAGATCAGCCTAACTAACATGCTCTAGTCACAGCGGTTTCAGAGTGGCTACTTCCCGATTAAAGTCACGCACTTTTACCCCCATCATCACCATTCACTATCTCGATCAGACCCCGCTCAACAATTTTTCTCAACTTGGTACGCATTTTTTACGCAAGACGGCTACGCGAAACCTGATAATTGTGGACTAACAGTTGAACTAATTCATGCTGGCAGTTCGTACCATTCCGCTGGGTCTCTTTGTTCTCGAAGATTAGCCTTGCTTCATCTTCCCGTGCCTGGCTACTTTTGTGGGCCATCATCGGTTGCGATTGAAATCCTTCTCGCTAGCCTTTGAGCGATCCCTCTATTGGGCATCGCAACTTCCTTCGTTGGTTGATCGACCACCTGTCTTGGAAATCGTGGAAAGTAGCCTGTGCAAGGCCTCGACTTCACACTTCCACGTCAATCACCACATCTTCGAATGTGTACCAGAGTAAACTCTTTGGAAACATTCAAATTTATCGGATCTCGATAACATTTTGATTTGTCGTTCGCTTTGATTTGAGACTATCAGTCTCGTCACCCACACTCGTTTAGCAAAACAGACGCTCGCTTTGTGCTTTATTACCACAAGAAAAAAACCCCCAAATCCATTCTAGCAAAAACCAGAAACAACCGTCAAGCTGGCGTCCATAGCTTACGATCGTTTTCAGGTAAGCATCATCTCATCCTGGTCCTTGTCTCACTCCAGTTCTGGCAACACAAGTGTACCTTTTGCGTTGATGGACTTACAAATACTGACTCTCTCTCCCTCTAGTCTCTCCCGGACTTCCATACCCCTTTCATAGTCGACGACGCTCTTGACTCGTCGGTGATCATTGGAGAGCAATTCGCCCACCAGTTCCAAGAAGGCCCCGAGGCCAAACCTGGTCAATTCTTCCCAATGTCTGGCTATGATAGAGTGGGCCAAACTGGACTCATCGGTATGTCCCGCGGACCTAAACATCATTATGTTTTACTGACGAATCACGTAGACCTTTCAGCCCAGTCAACCATGCATAACCCGATGCTGTTCGACGCATTCCAGCAAGGGAGTTATGATCACCACCCACTCCTCAACCCCAATGGAGTGAGGTTGGTTCAAGAGTCAGATCTACAGTTCTCCATCGGCAACGAGGAGTACCACGACTCCAAACCCATCCTCATGAATGCACATGAAGTCAACAATGTTGCTCAACTCGGCCATTATAGCCCACCTCATTCACGGGTTCCATCCAGCAGCTCTATCGTGTCAAACCCCCGCAAGCGCAAGGCATCCAGTGCCGATGGCATCGAGCTCGTCCAGAATAAGCGAAAGGCATCCACCGTTGAAGAATTCGACATGCTTCCCATTCACAAGAGACCCATGGTAGCACAAGTTCATGTCCAAGATCCCAACGGAGATTACTATGACATTAGTGGCCAGACTTCGCCATACTCGCAGTTTGTGCCAACCCCAACCAGCACAGGACTTCCTGCATACACCACTCAGAATTCTTCACCACGCCCTAGCCATCATTACTCGACCTCCAATGCATCACAGGTGTCGTTGGCTGCACCCCATACTCCAGCATTCAGTCCTTCCTTCGCCACTGTCAAAAGCGAGCAGAGCCCAGGTGCTCCAATGACCCCTCTCCCACGTCCTGGGTCGACCAACTCTGTGAAGTCTTCTCTTCCTCAGTTGGTTCGCACGTCAACCATGCAGCAGTCACCTCCCAGTGTCATGAGTTCCATGGTTGCTGGACAAACTCAGACATTCAACCCCTATGCCATGTACCCACTCAAGGCCAGCCTCAAACTCAAGGGTGATCTTGAGACCATGAAGCAGAATTGGACTGCTGATGAGCGTGAATGTCGTCGCCGCTTGGTGGAGTTCAAGCGCAACCAGAGCAACTGCACTATCAACGCCGAGTTCGCTCCCGTGACTCCTCAAGACCGTGTTTCGGGCAGCATCTGTATCAGCTGCATCTGGTGGAAGGAGAAGAATGAATACTTTGTTACATCTGTTGACACCATCTATCTACTTGAGGCATTGGTCGGAGTTCGTTTCACCGTTGAGGAGAAGAATCGCATTCGTCGCAACCTCGAAGGATTCCGACCTATGACAGTGTCCAAGGCCAAGACCGACAGTGAAGAATTCTTCAAGGTCATCATGGGGTTTCCGCACCCCAAGCCTCGTAATATCGAGAAAGACGTCAAGGTTTTCCCATGGAAAATCCTGTCAACTGCGTTGAAGAAGATCATCTCCAAGTACTCAGCAAGTTATTCATCAACAGCTGCAGCCATACTTACCCCTCAGGGTAACTGCATGCATCCTGAAGGAGCAATTGAGTACTATGAGGTACCGCCAAATGGTCCTCAATATGGCATGCCTCAGGACATGAGATATGTATCGGGTCCTGGTCCAGCACCACTCAGACTGCATGGCCACATGGGTTCTGGACCTGGTCCTCATGAGCTCCAACTCCAAATGCCAGAGTATACACCGGCGTACACCGTCAATGGCCAATACCCATATCAGACCTTGCAACAAATACCTCAGTCTACTATGGCCATGACACCACACCCCATGACAGCGCCAGTCACACGTATGCCATCATGGGGAGAGTTTGCCAACTTTGTTGACGACAGTCCAGTCACCATGGCTCCACAAAGTGCACCACCTACAGCATACCCCCGTGGACCAATCGACATGGGTGGATATGTTCCACAAATGCAATACCACTATAACTAATGGTTGTTCCTAATCAGCATTCCTTTTCTTTGCCTTGTTTTCACACCATCATATTCTGCGCATAGCACTCGGCGCTCTTGGAAATACACAACTGGTCCAGCCTATTTTCTTTTATTGTCATGTCGGAGTTGAAGCACCCAGGGGATGACTGGGATTTGGGAGGATGGGATGAGTCATGTACACACTGACACACAACAATCTGTATATCAGCATTGAACGATGTTTTGCATACATAGCGATTTGATATTTTGCTAATCGTTTGCTTGGGAAGGGGCAAGGGTGAGAAGGGGATTCACAGTTATGGCTGTGACTGGAGAGAGATGAACCTAATGCCAAAGACGAACCGGAGAAAGTGATGGAGATGTAAGATGGAATGCCCAGGGCTTGATGTTCATGAATGACGAGGCACAGATTTAAGCTGTGTGATGGCTGAAATGCAGTTGTTACAAGACGCGCAAAAATAGAGCTATTTAAGTTATGAATTGATTTAATCCCTCTTCTCTGATCTTCATTTTCGCATCCATTCATGAATGATAGTACTCGACGTAAGAAAGCAAGCGACTAAGCTTCCTGAAATACATTGATCGTACGTGGACTGGCTTATGAGACATGGCTGCATGAACTTTTTCTCACCCGCTTCTGGCGATCATTCCTATTCCATCATCACCTGACAGAGTTCAGGTATCAACCTCGACTGCATATTAATGTTATTGTTGTAATTGATCTCGAGGCTGGGGTTCAATCGATACATGATACCTCGGCACCTCGTGCTTTTGTGCAAGGCTGCCTATGCTCACTGCTCACCAACTTGAACGTAAATGGGTACTAGTGGATGTCTTATCCCCACATCTGGTTAGTGGACAAACTAACCTATTAGGGACGCCTATAAACAGAGAGTCTGCAGCCGCAACCGCGTCCCTTCCTCCTCCACAACCTGGTCCTTGCACACACACTTCTTTGCTTTTCATACTCCATATGCTATCATCGTTACTCCATTCATCGACCATCCGTCTCAGCAGCTGCTGTGATGCACCAATGGTTATAAACTCACCTGTGGGCTCTCTGTTCATTCCCAAACCCTAGATCTCCTGCGCTCATCAAATAATCAACCAATGGCACCATTAAGCCTGACCGCGCTCACGCCCAAAAGGCAAGAGCAGCATCATCTATCTTTCGAAACTGCATCTCTAGATGGCTCTTCAAGCCCTGCTGATACCTGCAGTACCTCTGCCTCTCCACGAGAACGCCTCTACTCTTCGCGATTCACCTTCACTCCAAAGCGCACAAAGACAGTCCCTCGTGCGTGGGAACGACGGCCAGCCACGCCATACATAGCTCGAAATGAGGCACAGAAGATTTGGAAGCGCGTTCCGCTCAGCTCCATTACCTTAAACTCCAACGGCTCATGGAACAAGGCCGAGCGAGCACCCGCGACACGACATGTGAAGAAACTCAAGATTGCAGAGGGTGACTCGGAACAGGACAAGGAAAACATCAACTATGTTCCTTCGAAATGGGACGATGATCGAAGAGACTCTAGTAGTCCAAAGAGAAAAATCGCTGGATTCATCGCCATTAATAGGGATAAAAATACTGCCTACACTGAGGCCGAGAGCCTTGCGACAAGTGAAAATTTAGCTGCTCGAGCCCTCGGAAATACCGAATCTCAAGACTCCGATCTTTCAGACCGTGAGGAATTTCAGCATCTTGATGATTCAAATGCTTCTTTGACATTCGAGCAGGCCAGGTGCTCCGACCTGGACACAAGCGATTCGCCTATGGAAGAGGATGATGGTCTTTTGCAAGATGCGCATTCAGCCGATGAGGTAATGGGCGATGGATGCATGGCAGAAGATGAAGTCATTCCCAACATTGAGCGTCTTGATCACAGCCATTCTGATATCATTGAAGAAGATGTGCTATCCGACACCTCGGTACAACGCAATGTTCAGATCCCCCAAATATCAACCGCATCAAAAGCCACCCCGTCGGCAAGTGAAGACGAAACGGCATTCCTCCATGACTTTCTATCTCGGGCTCGAGCCCAGAAAGCCGCCAGGGGACAGCCAGAACAACCAAATAGTAACGATGAAAATCTTCAATCCCTTCCCAATGTGACGGAGATGGAGGATGAATTAGTTGAGGAGCTGAGCCCCATCGGAGCTATGGGCGGGACGGAGGAACCTCTGATTGGCTCAGCAATAGACAGCACGACTCTTCCTCCAGATACTCAACCAGAAGCCGGTCAACTCTCGCCATGTCGACGCAGTTCAAGGTTAACAACCAGATTACCCCGACCTCAAAAACAAATTACTGCTGTCCCCAGTACCATTGCTCTCAAGCGACTGACGGGAACTGAGTTCATTTCTCAAAATGAACTACAATCCGTGGCTCTCATGACTAGAACGAACACTAAGCGGAACAAAGGGGTTGCGCTAATACCCAGACAGAGGCTCATCCAACTTGATGCTGAATCCACGGCCAGTCCTGCTAATGAAACGACAGAGAAAAACAAGAAAAAGCGCAAGAAGACGAAGGAGGTTACATGGGCCGAACAGTTGACAAGCTTCCAAACACATACTCCAGTGCTTCCTTCAAGTGCAGTGGAAGAGCCCGACCAGCCCGAAGTATCTGTTGCATCAGACACTGTTCAAGACGAAGTCCTCCCCGCAAAGAGCCTGGAATCTGAGGAATTGGTAACTGAGGAGGAGAAGAATAAGAAGCAGGTCAGAAAGGTTCGCAAGCTCAGAAAATTGAATGTCGGGACCTTCAACGGGACACCAGCACCCAAGAAGACCATTAGCCTACCGGTTCCAGTCGCATCAGCATTTGCCATCGAAGTCCCCAAGTCCTCTCCATTGTTGACGGGCAGTGAAGTTGGAGCAAGCAGCACTGTTCCACTTGAGGGCAAGAAGGATTTCACAACTGCTTCAGCACAAACTAAGAGTTCAATTCCGGGGTCTGAAACGCGGTTACAGTCAAGGATGAGAACTCGAAATAGGACTTCACTCGCCGCATCGACTTCATTGAGATGAGAAAGTTATGTGGCGGCTCTTTCATGTACAATCCTTTGATATCTTAGCGAGTGGAAATAGCGAAATACAGGGCGAGCGCTTTGAAAGATGGGATTCCAAGTCTTTCATTTCCCGGGGCCAGTCTCAAGTTCTAATATCATTCTCACACAGCCTAGGCCGCCCACTCACCATCAGGCACTTCGACTACGTGCATAGCAGATACCGTTCCTTTGCGAGTCCAAACGGCGAGGAAAACGCCATGATAGAAGATATCGCAGTGGTTAGCCTTGCCAAACAAAACCCCGCAAATGTCCAGCCAGCTCATAAGCTCCAGAGGACTCAGTAGTACTCAGCAGTGGCGGCAAAGCCGAAAGGGGCAAGCTATAAAACTGATCTACTAGTTAGCACATATTTCTCAAGATATGCCGCTGGTCTTCTTGAATGGAGCCCAGTAGTTGAAATCTCCTTCTCGCTGTGTAAGGTGCTTAGTCCCACTCGCTTCCTTCGTTGTCGTTCGGGGAGTTCACGTGTGTCAGTGATACTGTCCTAGGTGATTTTGGTCAGTAATAAGTGTCCAACATCCTATCCTATCCTCGGTAGACGACGCACTGCCGCACGAAGTCGACTTCGCGGCTGGCTGACTGGCTGGCTGAAGCAGTGATACTGAGGCTCCAATCCAAGCCTTTGCGTGCGCGACCTGGCTCGCTCGGGACTTGGGATGCTGTGATGCTGTGCTACTGTAGTGCCATCATCCAATCCATCCGCGGAAGTAGACCGTCCCGTTTCGGTTGTACAGATTCGACAAGTAATCTTCAATGAGAGCGGGTCGGGTTGGTCGAGGTCGTCCCACGTACGCCCCAGCTTACCTGAAATGATATGCTCGCACTGGGCTTGTGGTCAGTTGCCTTGAGGTGATTGATCTTGCCGCACAGAAAAGGCAGAGAGAGAGAGAGAGAGCGAGAGAGCTGACGGCCGGAGTGAGAAGAGTAGGTGGGTGTAGGTTAGCTACGAAGTATTGATTGTGACAGCAGACTTAACTAGGTAGGCAAACGTGATTGAAGCAGCCTCACCACCTCGCTGTGGCCCTTCCTCGCCGCGATCGACAGCGGTGTCTGCCCACTATTGTCCTTGGACCCCGGATCGGCGCCCTTGTCAAGCAATCGTCTCGCTACGGCCTCGCTCCCATACATCGCCACCCACCATAGCGGTGTCCGCCCTTGATCATCTTTAAACTCTATGTTTGCGCCCTTGTCGAGCAGGAGCATCGCCACCGCCTTGTGCCCCTTACACGCCGCTGACGACAGCGGCGTTCGCCCGTCAAAACCTATAGACTCGAGGTCGACGCCCTTCTCCAGTAGTAGCGTCACCACCGCCTCGTGCCCGTGAAACGCCGCTATCGACAGCGGTGTCACCCCAACATAATTTTTAGCCCCTGGGTTGACGCCCTTCTCGAGAAGTAGCTTCGCTACCCCCGCGTGGCCGTTCGCCGCCGCCCAGTATAGTGGCTTCCCCCCATCCTCGTCCTTAGACTCTAGGTCGGCACCCTTCGCGAGTAGTAGCTTCACAACCACTTCGCTCCCGTTCGTCACCGCCCATGACAGCATTGTCCGGTGATCTTCATAGGTCGACTCGGTACCAAACTTATATGAAGCACACAGGAAAGCAAGAAGTATACCATCTTTATGCTCGTATAGGTACGAGGAAAGGTCTCTTCGTTGGGAGAAAGTGAATGTGCGACCAAGATCAACGCGTTTGTTGGCAACTTGATAATACTGTTCATGTAAATTATGAAGCGGAGACGTTGGTGGCTGGTCATCTGCCTGGATTTTCAATAATGTTTGTACCGTTTCTGTACTTCCAGTAGCTATGGCTGCAAAAATCGGCGGCCCATAGCGCTCAGCTTCTATTTCGAAGCATGATAGACTGGATGGGTGGATTCTGACTAGGCTAAACATATTGCGCTCTGCTAATATATATAGCAAACTTACGTATGGGGTGTGTCGACGTATTTCGGCCTTTTCAAACAGATTGTCCAGTCTCACCCATCGAGGAAGCTGGAAAGTTTGGAGAAAGTCTGCTTGGCTGACTCCAGTAGCTTGTGCCTCATTAGCGTGGTATAGAACACTTCTCGTCGCATATTCTAGGAATGGAAACCATTTGAGAACGGATTGGTAAAGATTATTCGCCTCCTGAGTCGATGCTTTCGGCAGTGGATCAGTGAGAGGAATGGAGTAATCGACGTCGATACTAAGATAGTTTAGACAGCATTGCTTCAAGCGTTCGTGGCTTTCTCCATAGAAGTTGCTCCCGAGATTGGACCAAACTTCCCCCAGTCCGTTTTCTTTGAGAAGAAAATCCTTGACTGACTCGTGGATGAACTGGACGGTTGGAGTTTTTGACTTTGTGATTTCAGCCAACCCTTTCGAAGAGTTCAAAATGAATTTCTCGATTGCGTCCATTGGCGTTTCATCGGGATCCCATTTCGATATATCTTCGGGTTCGATTCCAGAAATTATACCGTAGTATAGTTGTACCGGTGTCAAAGGCTGTTTCGCGAAAAGCAGCCACTGAATACACAAGAGTAATTCGTCTTGGTTACGGAGGTCTCGTGTTAGAAGGTCACGGAAAAGCTCGTGTAGATCACGCGGAATATCTTTGAGTTTTTGTTGAAGACGACGTATTGTTCGGCCCTCGTCGTGCTCCTTATTCAATATATCCACCACAAGGACAACCCACATAAATACCCCAGATGACTTTTCTTGAAGATCAGCTCTGACCTGCTCCGCTTGGTTACTATGACCAATTCGTAATTCGTTGTCGATATAGTTAGTGATATCCTGAGTGTGTCCTTCTTGTCCTTCGAGGTCCATATTAAGGCCTTTTGCGATTGTGATGTGAGGATAATGTCTACTTGCAAAGCAGACTTGAAAGCGAGCATGATTTGATGTGGTTGGTTGTCCCAAGCTTTGAAAAAAGGTTATCATCTCCCGAATCTGATTTTCATCACATTCATCCAAAGCATCAATGAAACATACCAAGGAGGACTGTCCAAGGCGCCCTACGGCCTCGTGGAAGAGTGCCTTCAGTGACTCAATGGTCCAATCGTGGCTTTCACCATCCCAAGCCGCTAATTCGAGACAGTCGAGTCCGATCTGAAGGCCTGGGAGTCGTTCGAAAAGTTGGAGTAAAAGTGATCGATACATACCAATGGTAGACTTCTCGAGGCTACCACCCCGCGCGTTGAAGAAGAAGGAGATGACAGTTTTACTCTTCATTGACTTCCTAGCATTTGTAACAGCAAATTTCATGAGGGTCGACTTCCCAGCCCCGGGCTTTCCCTTGATCCATAAGAAGCCATGATGCTGGCTAAACTTTTCAGAGTCCAGCCAATGCAGATACTCGGGCCTTTTAAGCAGCCATTTGCACGTATTGGCATGAGCTTTCTTGATAGTGAGATGGCGAGTGTCAATCTGATCGAATCTCAACGATTCCAACAGCCACCGCCTCTGTTCTTCATCTGGTAACGGCCTCTCATCGCTTGTCGGTGGGGGTTCCGAAAGCTGAATTGCAGATACCACTGAGAGAAGTTCTTTTGCGTATGCTGCAGCCGTCACTGCAGCGTAATTCTGCCACACCTTATTCTTGTGTGAGTCGGCATAGTCGCAAATTCCCCGAATGACCAAGCATGGAAATTGGTCCATGAGACCGGCTGCCTCCATTTCAAAGCAGAGTATTCCGAGTTGCTGTGCTAACCTCTCTCGAGTTTCGCCATGCTTCATGACCTGGTTGCCAGACGCAATCAATCCGTAATGAATTCCTGGGTGGTTTCCTGATCGAACAGGCCGATACACTAATCTACCCGGGTCGCAATGTTTACAATTACTTTCTGATTTGTTGTGCTCGTACCGAGCATCGAACAACTGGTCTTGTAGTCGAACAGATTGTGTAAATTTAGCCGCCATGTCAGGATAATTTGTCGCTATTTCAGTTAGATAGTCCGGAATCCGACTAGGACGCAACATGTGGTTGGCTTGTAGTCGAGATACAGCCGTAAGTAGCAGTTGAGGAGGCTTGTTCAACGTGCCGACGCGCTCGAAACCTCCGTGTTGAACAGTCTTGCCGTAATCGTATTGAACCACGCCGCTGTGATTCCCAGCAGGCTTGCTCACCACAACATCTCCCAACCGAATGTCGGCTTGTTCACTGGGTGCTCCTCCTCCGATGCCGACCATCAAGCGAACACGGACTGAGGGGAAAGTAGACTCCATATCATGAGCCACTGTTGCTGCAGATGTGGTGCCATAGACGCCTGAAGGTATACAGGCAACGGCGACATTATGAACACCCATCTGTCCCAAGGTATATGTGTTATGGTCAGTTGGAGAGTTTGAGAGGGGCGGGTGAATCTCGTCCAACATAGCCGTGGCCGCAGCCAATTCCAACGGAAGGGCACAGATCCATCCTACAGTATAATCAGAGTGGCAGAACTGGGTCGAGGTGGTCGCACGGTAGTACGGTGATGCACCGTCAAGGTTCTTGTCTAGTCTCCTCCTCTTGGCCAGATGAAGCGTTTCGGAAGCACCATGCCTGTGGTTTGGTCGTTGCATGGTGCAAAGGGGTTTAGAGGCCAGACAGGGTAGGGTGCAGTATTGTATTCATTCAGTGTTTCCCTTGGGCAGGAACGGAGTCGTGGCCAAGTCAGGATATGACCAAGACCCTGAGCCACAACTAAGAGCATAGTATTTGGGCTATGGCAGTGTAATCGACTGTACAGAGGGATCGTAGGAGGCAGTCGACAAGAGTAGGAGGAACCTGCGCAGTAACAGCAACATGTTGAATGCCTCGAGGCTTTGGGCGGCTGGGCTCTTACCTACGTAGGTGCCTAGGTAGACAGCATACTCGTAAGGCGTTGACTTGAGCAGCTGGAGAAGGCTGAAGGCTGAAGGTAGAGAGCCCAAAGGACCATGAATGCGCACTAACTAGAAGATGTGGCTGTGATTCATGGTTGAGTTGAGTTGCGACTTCTACCTTGGATACCTGCGGATAAGGCACCTACGAGTACCCAGGAAAGTACTAAGTAGATGCCTAGGTAGGCAACTAGATCCCTAAGGCGGCGGCACCTGCCAAGCGTTCAACAGCAACCCCCTTTTCAACCTGCCCCTCGTGCCTCCTGTGTAGCTAAATCTCGACGACATCTACAGGATTAGTACCTATACATTCAGTCCACTCTAGCAGCGTGGAACAAGTATCGTGACAACAAATATCTGGTTCTGCCTCCTTTTTGCGATCTCATCGACTTCGTCCTTACCTCGATTTGTTCCGCTCTTCAAGGACCCTCGGTCCTGGCCACTCAACAGTCTCCTTGTGGAATTGTATCCCACTCAGTCTTTCCAGTTTTCTCGGTAAGGACCCCTAGGCTAATGATCTTGAAGCTGTAGCGGACAAACTTAACCCACTACCGCTGATGTCCATCTTCTCTGTGCAGAAAGTGCTCGTACTAGGCGGCAGATCATAGTCACGGAAGATCCGCACATCCACTCATTATGGATCAACATTTGTATGTTCATCAAGCCATTATCCGCTACTCACTTACTCGCTATATTGTTCTGATAGCAGACAATCGTTACTGCCATAGAAACGTTGTCGTCTATTGAGCAATTGTTTGTTCGTCGTGCAGCATTTGGCTTCTTGTGGACGTATGGCTGTCTTGCCCAGCCCGAGTCTGCAGTAAGACGATCCATCTACTGCTGTCCCCATTAGATTCAATTGGACGTATATCTCTATGTTCTTGGTTCTTAGCCGACCATTGAACTACTGAAAATTGGGATGCTTCTGCTCGCTATCAATACGGAGAACTTCGTTCTACTTCATGACGCAAAATAAACACGACCCTCACTCGCGACCTTCTCTGCTTCGTCAAAAGCCTCGGCCCAGTCTTCCAAATCATACTTCTTGGAATATTGATTTCCATACATGTGCCATTCTTGTTTCTCATTATGCAACCTCATGGTACCACTTTCCACCAATTTGATGAAACTCGTCACATCCTCGCGCTCAAACATCCACTTGCCCTTGATGGTCAGGTCAAAGTGCATGATTTTGGAATGCGGGAGGGCAAGATCGTTTAGGAGACCTCCCATGAGACACAATCTGCCCCCATGGCACAAAGACAAGACACCAGCCTTGATATGAGCAGAATCCTTTGCCATAGGAGGTGATATGTCGAAGAACACATCGATATCTCCACCGTTCTTGGCCTCTTCCAAAGTCTTCAAGTCTTTCTCCAGAACTCCACTTAGCGGAACGGTGACGATTCGTTCCTTCTTGTCTTCTGTCTCCAGTGCCTTCACCCTCTCAAGCACAGTGGTGTTCCGCCCCATTGCAATGACCTTTCCAGCACCCAGCTCCAAAGCCACATGCACAGCCGCGGCGCCAAATGAACCCGTCGCGGGTGCAACGACTACTGTCTCTCCCGGCTTGACATCGATACACAAAGGTCCCATGCCGCCATACGGAACCAGCAGCCTGCTGATGTACAAGAGATCCTCAACCGTGTAACCCAAACCTCCTTGGTCCACCGACCCCAGCAACCTCCTCTCATCAAGCCGATAGCAATTCTCCAACGGGAATCGCACGTACTCGGCATAAGTCCCATCACGATACCCACCTTCAGCCATCAACTTTTTACTGCCGGGAGTGAAACCATCAGTGATGGCGCTGAGGAATATGTCGCCTTTCCCGTCTCTGGCACGCATGGTGACGTCCAAGAGACATAGATCCCCGACCTTGAGCCGAGTGGCGTCAGGACCCAGTGCGACGACACGTGCAATGGCCGACGACCCGACTGTCAGTGGGACGGGATACGGGTAGTTGCGCTCTCCGTTGTAGATCTGCTTCATGTAGCTGAGGATGCCTGCGGCTTGGACGCGGAGGACCGCTGAGCCTGGAATGGCGGTCGGGACGGGGATTTCCTGTACGGAAAGAGGCTCGAAACGCCTATCTTGCCGGAGGGCGCGATGCGTGGCCGGTAGAGTTGCTGAGGTGCTTTGTGCCATGTTGGTTGATTGAGAGTATAAGCTGCCGTTTATTACTGGATGGAGGCGGTGGCACAGTGATTATTGAATGATGGCTTGGATGGCTTGAGAGCTATGAGCGAGGTTCAAGACGACGGTCGCTCATCGCCAGATTTTATATCTCCCCAGCTCCTTTTCCTCTTCCGTCGATACCAGCCATGGAACCCGGTCAACCAGCGTGCGAATAAGCGTTAACTCCACCAACTAAGTCCCGTAATTGATATGAAATATTCAGACCTCTCCCCATCAATCGATGTCGTTATTGCAGTTCTGACACTCTAAAGCACGAAACGGACATAATGTCGCGTTTAAGCACGGTCTGGCACTATCTCCAGAGAAGCGTGCCGAGGGTGCTTCTCTAAAGAATCATTGTTTCATCTTGCGGCAGAATCGACGCTTTCTTCGTCGTTAACACTGGAATTGATGTTGGTAGAGGACGATCTAAACCGAATACGCTTGAAAGAGCTTAGCGCCTCGTTATCGGTATACCTGTCGCTTTTGGTGCGGGGGGCCTGTCTGGCGGAGATAAGAAGGGTGCGGTACCAGGTGTTGGGGATTGGATGCAGGTGGTGGTGTTTCCTTGAGTCGCGGTGGATACGAATACGCGGGGCGACGAGGCTGCGGGACTTGGGGTTGCGAGTGATATTGCGGTGTTTGCCGACAGGCAAGGTTGAGTGACTCAAGAGGGAATTTCTGGTTGTGATTTGTGTTGCTGGGCGATGCGCACGATTCGGGGTCGGATTTCGTGAATGGGCGGCCGCCGTGAGCATTCGCGCTATACCAATTGATATGTCTTTCTGTTGGTTGAGCACCGCAGACTGGTCCCATTGATCATGCCAGGAGTCATGGCTTGCAGCCATAAATGTACTGGGGGTGATCTCTTGTATATCATTTTCATCTGGTCGATGATTCGCCCACGCCATCTTGCTCTACCGGTGATAGACCTCATTGCTTGAGTAGACTGCTCAGCCTGTACTTGGTGCCGCAGTTATTGTGCTCTCATCTGTCGAGGAAGTTCGTCGTGTGAGCAGGCGCTCGAAGGACGCGGGCCTCATGTGGTCACTCATCGTTATGAGAACAGAGTTCGAGATCAGTGAAGTCTGGGTCGCATAGGTCCTCGTAGTCGTTGTCCAGACCTCTGTGGTGGGTTCCACCCGGGTCCCTGTCTTTGTCGTTGTCTTGCCCGTAAGCACCTCGCCTGTCGAGTTGCATGTACGTACGCCATCCTCCGGTGCCGTAGCGTGGCAGGTGATCCATGTCTTTGCAAATGCATAGTAGTCATCATCAGTGGCCGTGGAGTTGTCGCCATAATAGAAGAGTGAACTAAAGACGAGTGTATAATCTCCGTTTGGTTTTGTCTGCATAGCCACCATTCCACTGACATGATCCAAAGCTTCAACAACTGCATAAGCCGTCATCGCGGTCACATGGCTGTTGGCGAAGCCCCAGACTCGTGAAAGTGTAGGCGTAGTTGATGCCAACTGGACTGGCAAGAGCACTGCGAGCTCTGTCGTCGCAGTAACATAGTTGATCGGAGTCGACACTGAAAGAATTGATGGACTCTGGGCACCAACTCGGCTCTGAAACCACCACAACCAAATGATAAATGATAAGCCCAGCTTCGTCAACATTGAGTGATAAAAGCAGTAGCTAGTTTGATAGTGCCAATGTTGTGAGGCATGCGAACCGGACGTAATACGTGGTGTAGAAAGAGTAGGTCTCAAATATCACAAAATTGATGGTTCAATAGTGACATGAAAGCAATCTGTGCATTGGGATGCCTCCAACAAACGAAAAAAAGGGCTTTGCCAACCGTAAATGCCATCCGCTTGGGAGTGAGAGCCAATATCGCAGGATAAGGAATGAAGTGAATGAATTCTGGTTGTGAGGCTTCATGAGTGAAAGCTTGAAGCTCAAAACTCACTAACTAGTTACTTCGTAGGTTGCAAGGTACGGATACCGCCCGAGCTACCTGGAATAGATGTATGTGATGGGTACCTACCTAGCTAATAACCATAGCCAGGGCTCCCTGTATAGATTTGGTTAGTCTGTGAGCTTTAGGCGGCCCTCCGCCCCTGTGCGGGGGTGGCTACCCCTTCACGCGCCAATGAGTGCACCACTTTGTTTTTCGTTGCCCAGGGCTGATCTCTACGAGTAGTTAGAATCAGGACCAGACTGCAAGCCCTTTTGTCCGTACAAGGTTCTTAAACGTGTTGAACGGTATTTACTGCGACGGGGTACGGAGTAGCACTCAAACTGTGGCAGAGCATGTTTCAACTATCATGTGTCCTGGCAACATTAGATCCATATGGTTGGCTGCCTCGGATCGTGTTCCTAAGTTTGATCTTCGTGCCCATGGATACTGCTTGACGACCGCCCCCATTGCGCGAGGGTTCATCTTCGTGTCACATCTAATTTGCATAACCAGATGTCGAAAAGGGGTTGTAACCACCCCGCTCAAATGATGTCGTCGTGGGATGAAAGCGCAAGCAACGTGCTCTGAATTTATTCCGAGTACATCATGCAGAACATTCATGATCCGCGCCTATTAAATAATGCAACCAGACCAAAGTACCAACAAGCGTTGTGATGCTGAGGCAGAAGCATCCCATTCTCTCGAACCACCTCTTATTGCTTCAAGCAAAGCAAAGTCATCCGACGGTAAGAAGACTTGGTTTAAGCCAACAATATTCCAGAGTCACCCACGAAGATGGCATCGGATCTCACATAACACATGGATATGGGAGATTGCTGGCATCTCGGTTTGTGTTGCATGTCTTATCAGCATCATTGGCATTCTTTTAGCTTATGACCAGAAGCCACAGCCTCGGGCTACAAGCGGAATTTCTGTGGGTAAACCACTTCTTCTAAGCGTGAAAAAAAGACTGACGGTGTCCAGCTGACTGCAACTATCGCTATACTGGCCACAATCTCCCGTGCTGCTGTACTATTCGTAGCAGCGTCGGTTATTGCGCAGCAAAAATGGATCAAGTTCGTCAAATCCAAGAACAGTCTGAGCATTATCTCTCGCTACGATGACGCTACACGAGGACCACTAGGATCTTTTGCCTTGTTGGTAGCACATCCAAAAAGGTAGTCTTCATTGTCTGAAATCATACATGCCATGACCACTGATGATGGGTTATTTTTAGTGCTGTTGTGATGATTGTGGCGGCCATCACAGTATTGGCCCTTGGCTTCGAACCCTTTGTGCAGCAATCCCTCAAACTGCCATTGCGAAATCTCGAACTAAAGGGCACATCGTCCATTCTTCGCGCTTCGACGACCATTACACAAAGCCAGCTTGAAATTGCTTCGAATGTTAGCCTGATCTACAATTCTATTCTCTTACAGGGGCTTTACTCGGACGTCGTGGCGCCATTGCAACCATCTTGCACCGGAAGTTCTTGCGATTGGCCAATGTACTACACAGCATCGGTCTGCTCATCATGTACTGATGCGGTTAACGAGACAACCCTGGATCGTGGAGAGGATCAATCATTGCATTATTTCGCCACCACCGACTACCTGGACGACTTTCAAGGCTTCAGCGAGATGTACGTTCCAGAAGAGCAAAAGTCAGATACTTTGTCCCTGGTATATCCCATCTGGCAGTGGAATTCATCGACCAACTACACCGTAACTGTTGGTGACTCCCCACCAGTTGATGTCCCTGTTAACGTGACTGCCGTCTTGGATCTAAGTGGTTATCTTTCACAAACACTCTCTTACCCGGAGGAACTCGTATTCGATGCCACAAAACCTAGAGATGGGACTCGCAACATGAGTGGGCCTTACAGTACTCTGGGTTATCTTAAGTTTGGTGAATCCCAAGACGGACTGCGGCTTGAGATTAAAGCTGCTACGAAATGCACAATCAGCTTGTGTGCGAAGGAACTAGTGAGCACGCTTTTCAATGGATCTTTAGGGACACAAGTCAAGGAACAGACCTGGGGAGAATATTTCCCGATGATGGGCAGTACTTCCTTCGGTTACAACTGGACGGCCACCCTCGGAAATCATACATTCCAGGTACTAGACAAGATATTACCAGGCCAGTCAACGAACGCAAATATATACCCCATAGTGCAGTTGTTGGATAGGACCATCATCAGCCTTGGAGGTCAATCATTGCGGAGCCAAAAGTATGCAGGCGGAGTTAGAAGCTCCTTTTTGACGGACCCTCCTTCGAACACTCAGCGTTTCATCACTGGACCTATGCAGAATTCTTCAGCCCGCATCGCTCAAGCGTTCACGAACTATTTTCAACAGAATGGCGACACTCTGATCTCGGGAAAAGTCTACACTGTGGTCACTTTCGTGGACGTCCATTGGGCGTGGCTCATCTTCCCACTCGCCATTGTCTTAATCTGCTTCGCGAATCTGATTATTACGATCTACCAATCCAGATTACTCAAACTCCCCATTTGGAGGACTTCCCCTTACCCGCTCCTTTTTTCCTGGCAAATGGAGGACAACAGGCCGAGGGCTACAGTTTATGACGTGCCCGCAGTGGTGTCAGCTACCGGGCGAGATCCAGCATCGGGCGATAGGATTCCCGAAGAGCAAGATAGAAGCTCAAATTCCGTGGGGGTGAGCAGGCCGTTGTTAAAACGCTCAGTTGCTATCAACGAGTATTCAATCAGTGCTTTGGAAAGCGTCGCGAGAGGGTCGATGGTGCAATTGAAAAGAACAGATGGTCGATGGATGTTTGAGACGTCAGATGTGAAGTAGGATGAATGTTTCACGAATTCAATGAATCATCCCAAATAGCACACCATCTTTTCGCCGCCTTCAATACTTTGAGACAATTGATCGTCTTCGATGAAATACCTTAAACAAACAGACCCGTGTCTTCTATATTAAATCAATGTTGATAGCGGTGTATTGAGAAAGCCTATTCGTGTCGCATGCCAGAAGATGGTCAGGGGTGCAAGGCTGAGTATAACATATTATAATTGGTGGATTACGCCATCGGCAGAGTTTCCGTTTGCGGAGGGATCATCCCTCCAAATGCGGAGAAACAAGTCGAGTCATCCCACGCATGCCCACCACACGACCAAAGATAAACACCTCTACTTTTCACTCTATCAACGATCTCATGGCTCAATAACCCTCCTAAGACACCGTCAGCAAAATGTGGAAACGCACCATTCAAAGGTGCAGCTTCTCCACTACTGCGCGACGATGGACTGCCCCTGAAACCACCCAACAACCATTCCCTCCAGACATCAATGAATGGTCTCATCCTCCCTCAAATGCTTCGATCTCAGATGAGGAAGTCTATCGCTTGGCTGCAAAGCCTCGTCAGCCCTTGACCCTTGCTGATCTGGTTAAGTGAGTGCTATTGCTATACGTCCCCATTACAAGTCCTCAAAGCTCACCTTACTTCCCTCAACAGACATGGCAAACCACCTCTTCCCGATGCCGCCCTCCTCTCATCCGCCAACTTCACCCTCTCTCGTCTACCTGCCCGTCTGGCTCACCGCATACAAGCCCTTCGAAATCTCCCCTTTATTGTCGTGGCGAACCCCAACGTCTCCAAGATCTACAACAACTATCTCCATTCTTTGTCCACCCTCGAACCTTTCTACAAGAAATCAATCACCACGATAGAAGAAGAGATCAAGTTCACAGAGGTCATGGCCGATCTAGTCCGCACCCATTCCAACACAATACCTACCCTTGCTCAAGGGTTTCTTCAGTGTAGAAAATACATTGATCCGGCTGAAGTTACCCGTTTTCTTGATCAACATCTCCGAGCACGTATCGGCACTCGTCTTTGTGCTGAACAGCATCTTGCACTACATATGGCCAGTACGGGTGATGCCGCTCTGCAGCCTCCAGATCCATCCCATGTTGGTGTCATTGACCTCGCACTTCAACCTGCAAGTATCGTTCGACAATGTGAGTCATTTGTAGCTGAGGTTTGTGAGCTGAAGTATGGCATTCGACCGTCTTTGGTCATCAATGGCGAAGTCGACGCTGAGTTCGCACACATTCCTATGCATGTCGAATATATCATTACAGAACTGCTCAAGAACGCATTTCGAGCCACCATCGAGTCTGGCAATGAGCAATACCCTATAGAAGTTACCATTGCCTCAGCACCTGATGTCACGACCACCAAGCTAGACGCTCTCAAAAAATTGTCGGTGACGGAAAGCACTAATCATGATTTCTCTCAGGATGGCCTCGAAGAATATTGCTCGGGCGACGATAGTGAGATGCCTCCACTGAAAACCGCTGCTCCGTGCATTACTCTTCGGATTCGTGACCGGGGAGGTGGTATTTCAGCAGAAGCCTTGCCCAATATCTGGAGCTACAGTTTCACAACATTCAACAAGGAAGAGGCCGATGAAGCTGCTAACGGCGGCAACGGCAATTCTGAGGGGTTGAACGCAATCGCAGCCAGTGGCAGCAATCAAAGCTCCATCGCGGGTTTGGGATACGGCTTGCCTCTAGGAAGGGCATACGCCGAATACTTTGGTGGAGGCATCACACTGCAGAGTATGTACGGCTGGGGCACAGATGTTTATCTAACATTGCAGGGCATCGGGAAAATGGATGATCTGAGAAAGCGACCAAGTGCTTTCAAGGAACTTGAGATGGAGCACAGACACGAGCACAAGAGAGGCAAGGATTGAAACTAGTCACCATCTCCATTACTGCAGGTCGCTTTCACCCTGTCTTTTCCATTCATGTGAAGACAGCATGAAGCTTACCACTGGCTCGAGCTGCAAGTCTCTCCTGCATCACCACACCATACATCTCCTTCGCCCAACGACACACAATCTTCCTTGTATCCTTGGGATCGATAATCTCCTCGATATTATAGGGCTGCGCTGTTCTCACTGGGTTGATGAGTCGAATGTACTCATCCTCGAGTTCCTTATATCGTCTCTTCCAACCTTCCTCGCCATCTTTCTCTCGGATCGTCTTCAACTCGTGGCGGTGACCTACCTCGATCCCGCCGTCGAGAGGAAGTGAACCCCAATTTCCTGAAGGCCACGCCACGCGCATAATGGGTTCTCGGCTGTCGAGCATCACACCACCAGCAACACCAAAGACGCGTCGCGTGATCACGGAAAAGATGGGTGTGGTTGTGGAATAGTAGGCCTTGGCCAGCTCAACTCCCCATTTCATCGTTGCGCTGCGTTCAGCCACGGTTCCGATTGCATAACCAGCTGTAGAAGTACAGAAGGGGTTAGCGTGGCCATAGATGCAGTAACACGAGGGCATACTTACGAACATCCACAAACTGCAGGATGGGCAGATTGAATACATCACAGAATTTGATCATCTTCATCAACTTCTGACTGCCCAGGGCGTCCAAAGCACCACTGTTGACTTCACAATTGAGACTCAGAATACCCACGGGTCGACCTCCCAACCTCGCGAGTCCTGCGATGCCTGTGCGGCCCCAAAGTCTTCCAATTTCGAACCAGGACCCACGATCCACCACACTCTCGATGATCGTGTATGGGTTGTACATTCGCGTCTTGCGTCTAGGGATGATGCTTCGCAAGGCGATATCCTCTCGATTGACCTCATCGTTGTCGCAAGGACTCACTGGTGGAGCTTGTAGCTCGCCACAGTCTGGTAGATAACCCAACACGGTGCGGATCTGCTCGAAACATTCAGCCTCGTCCTTGGCCAGATTGTCGATTGTCCCGTTTGTGCAATGAACATACGGGCCGCCCAGATCAGCGAAACTGAGGCCTTCTTCGAAAGTAGCGCCTTCGACGACCTTAGGTCCTGCATTGAACAACGACCCTATATCCGCGGCCATCACAGAGAAATGTGTACTGACCACTCTGGCAGCTCCCAGTCCAATTGCCGGTCCCACAACAGCCCCCAAATTGGGAATCCCTTTATTCAACTGTTTGACCACCGTTGCCAATACCACGACATGCGGGATATACGAATACCCATTCGTCATAATGGTGCTGACGCTTCCACCCCCACTCGACCCATCCACAAGCTTGACCACCGGCACCTTGAGCTTCAGCGCTAGACTCTCGCCATGTAACGTTTTGCCCATAGTGGCACCGTCGGCATGGCCGGAGCGAATGCTAAAATCATCCGCTGTCAAATAGATCTGGCGTCTTTGGCCAGTGCGTGGACATGTCACGCGTCCAAACCCCTGCGGATTATTTGATGGCGTGAAGTCCTCGATGTGTTTGCGTTGTGGGTTTTCGACGTCTTTCTTCCATGTCACGCTGCCCGTGATAGAGCCGAATTCTCGCCATGACCCTGCGTCGAGGAGCTGGTTAATTCGCTCGCGTGCCCAGAGCTTCCCTGCGGTCTTTTGGCGCACGTAACCTCTGTTATTTGGGTCGGGGGTCGAAGCGATGTTTTGGAGTTTGGTGATCTGTGCGAGGATGTCGGAGTAGTCGTCAGGAAGATCTGATGAGGAGCCTGAGGATTTGGCGGCGCGCTTAGATCTGCGTGCTTTCTTGCTGTTCGCTTGAATCCCCGCTCCAGGTTCGGAAGACGGTGTCGGCGACACTTGAGAGCTGAGCTGCTGCAGCCTCGACGTCACCTGCGTCTGCTGCGAGTAGACTGGGTCGTCTGATGGGGAGATAGTTCCTTGTCCGGGTTTTGTGGTCCCCAATGGGTGACCCGGCACTGTAGGCGCAGATTGCGGCTGTGCGTAGACTGGATCAATCACTTGCGTGGTTTCCTCCTGAATCCTCGAGCCATCTCCAGCGGATTGTGAATAGACAGGATCGTTCGCTGGCGAGATTGATCCCTGGCCCGGGTTCGCTGTCGCTGGTGCCCCTGCATCTGGAGCCGCAGCGCTGGCGATCGGCTGTCCGTAGACTGGATCATTGATCTGGGAAGATGAAGACTGCGCATCCCTATTGCTATTGTGGGGACTAGTCTCAGTAGTAGCATCAGCTTGCGAATAGACTGGATCGTCTCTTGTCACTACGACCAACGAGCCGTTGTTGCCGGCATGGTTTCCTGACACATCGGCACCAGGCTTCGTGTCCGATGATATTGGCTGTGAATAGACCGGGTCGTCGATTGTCGTTCGTGCGGTCGTGCTTTTTTGGTTGCCCATTGTGTGGTATTGGGTTCAATACTATCTGGTTGAACACAGAGCTTGGAGGTCGAGGCTCGGATATGATATCCCCTTGGTGGCCTCTGGGTGAGGGGTTCGGTTCTCGGGGCGTTTCTCGCCTGGTTACTTCTGGTTTCCTCGTTAATAGTTCTGGACGTAGGCGATGGACAATAGGAAGGACAAATCGAAGGATGATTACGATCGTGCTTTTCGAAACGTATGTTCAGTTTTCCATGTCACCGGATGCTTTGACGACAGCAACTAGCTTTGGGCCCGCGGAAGATATCACGGCTTCCCCATACCTCAGTTTTACCTCGGCTGTCCCCTTGCCGTTAGCGGGCTCCTACTTCGAAGTTGGGGAATGTTTAGTGGGGCAGGGGTAAAGGGGTACTAAAAAAAGGTTCAAGGTTAATTGTAACTTCATTGAACTCCTGAGTATGCTCGCGATTAACAACATTAAGTCGCACAGAGACTCGATTATACAAGAGGGGGATTTCGTGAGCATAGTGCCCCAATGTGAGCTTGTGTCGCGCTTGCAGATGAGTCCGACCACAGGTGTGAAAGCCTGGAAAAGCAGATGAACGAGACTCTTTTGTGCTCCTCGGACCTTAAAGGTCGGGAGCCCGCTATTCACACCTAAGCAATTGTGACACTATACCTCAACAATAGAAGTACATGCCTCTTGGCAAGCAGCAGGTAAATGAATCACGGTAGGTGCTCAGTGACTTCGGCGCACGAGAATTACACGTCACCGCTTGACCTTGAGGTGGGCTATATTAACGTACTGCCTGTGACTGTTGTTGGCTTTCAACTACTAGCTTTTCGTCCTCTGCGCTTCGAGCTGGAGTCTGAAACGTGAACCTTGGACATCTTAATAATAAATCTCAGGGCTTTTAGCGAAGCAGCCACATGTTGTTCCGAACGAGTGTTAGGATGGCGATGGCATCTACCTCCAGTGAAATGGTTGGTGCGAGTGGTCGTTGCTATGTATTTCATCAGTTGATTCAAGAAAGAGAGCACCTGGGACGCCTCTGGTTGGCAACGTCTGAGTTCCCCTTCCCCATCACATTGCCAGAAGATTGGTAGACAGACAATTCTCCAGATCTGGGCATGACAAATTTATCCTAAAGGATATTCCCGAAAACATTTTCTCGGCTTTCAACGAAGATATAGGTCCTAGCCTTCCCAAAACCTCCTATCTACGTCTACCGTTAGACACCATTGCAGAACAACGCATATTTGTCTACAAATACCTGACCGACGACTTCTTGAGCCTGGTTTCGAAGCAAATCCCAGTTCGAACCGCGAAGCACATCCTCAAGTCCACTCTGCGAGGGATTGCCGAACTGCATGACCAAGATATTGTCCATTTGGGTGAGTGAAGCAATTTTTCTTTGCTTTTGATTCAGCTAACAATCCTCAGATATCAAGCCTGACAATATTATGGTAGACTGCTGTTACGTCGATCAAGTACTCACAATCGAAGAGGTGCAGATCATTGATTTCGAGAATGCGTGCTACCTACCAAAATCTAGGAACATCAAAGGGATGCTGGCTGGCAACGATAATTGGCGAAGTCCAGCCGCCCATGTCCGGGGTGCTCTCAACAAGCCGACAGACATATTCTCTTTTGGCGTGGTGGTGAGTACATTGATCTAGACAGAGGTACTGGCCACTGACATGACATCATTAGTATATCTTTGCTATGTTTGGGCGTGTGATCGTTGGCCGCGATGACGATTTTCAAAAACATGAAGAACTGGATGCACTGCCTGCTATGATCCGCCTGTAGCGCCAGGTTTCGTATTTTGGGGACGAGGACGGATTTAACGGACTCATGAAGCACATTGGTGATGATGAGTTCAATTGCTCGATCCTGCGGATGTTATGGGAAGAGCGAAATGAAGACTACATCCCGCACAAACCCTTTGCGGATTGGGCAGAGATTGAGGACGCGATTTTCAAAGGTCTGATCAAGGCAATGATGAATCTGGACCCATCGAAGCGTATCACGGCGCATCAGGCTTTGGAACATCCTTGGGTTGCAGACTGCGAGGTCGATTAGGTATTGTGGGCCATTGCTTCTGTTAGATGACGAGAACAACATACTCTTACTTCGAACATGAGCTGATACACGACCCTGATGCATAGAATCTACAATATTCGTGCAGTAGATGAGATCTGAAGGCCCAAACTGATCAAGCAGAAATAAATAGCGTAAAGAAGTAAATAGCATTTTCCAGGCATCATCCGCGTTGATTATAGCGCGTGGGGAAGCTGTGGAGGCACTTTCACCATTGCACCGTGCAGAAACATAATAAGACGGTACTATAATAAAGTGTTAATTTTATTACAATAGTCTATCGCTTTATGTATGTCTGACATCTAATATCACGGATATGACTATCTGCGGGTGCTTCATCACTCTCGCGCATTATCAGACGACCAAGATATTTTCACGCCATTCAAACGCGCCTTATTATACATCACTTATCTGAACTACCTTGGTCCGTAACCATTTTAGGTCACATCTGAGATCCAAACAGGCCTACCGGCTTCCAGTGCTTGCAAAACTCGTAAATTTGCGGTCGACAGTTTCAGGGTGAAGGTAATCAATGAGAATAGCAGGCTGTCATAAGGTTAGAGTTATATAACCAAAGTAGCTAGACCTTGATGAACACACTCGTATGAAAATTCCTCTAGAATCTACCTACCAGCGTCCTAGGAAGACTCCTTAAAGATTGAACATATGTCACACGACCTCGCTGTCAAGATTTAGCCAGCGTGAACGCCCTCAACATCACACATTAACATACCTTCAAGAGTTTGTTAGAGCGCAACAGCAATTCTGTTGGTCTGGTACTTCACCGTACTAGGTAGGAAGATACAGCATATTATTGCGCAGCATCCGAAAGCAATAGTGGTGTACCAGACGAAATGGAGCGAGTCGGCATACGCCCACCGGATACCAAGTTCAGCAGCTTCGAGAATCGAAGGAGAAAAGCCTGGGGCGGTAGTAATCATTGCTGGCGTGCCAAGGAGAATCGTGATGAAGGCTTTTGCGTCGGCCAATGGCAGGCCAGCCTTGATGGCATACTCGGCTGCAAGAGCTGGGAGTTTGGTGATGAGTTTATTCCTGAAAATGTTATAGTATGTGCAATACCCAACAGCACCACCAACACTTCTAACTGTAAGTGAGAGAGCGGCGGTCGTGGTAAGAAGGGCGTCAGGTGTGACCAATAATGCAACAGTGGCGGTGGGAACAATCATGCCTCCAACCCCAAGGCCTGAGAGTGTTGCAAGCGCGACTGTCAGCTTTGGATTGTCGGGTGTCATCGCGGCCAATGCTCCGGTACAGGCAGTCATGATGACTGCCGCAGTCAAAAGCACTTCACGATTGTTGTTCTTGAACGTTGATAGGGCCACGTTGAACAAAATGGCACCTATTGTCATTGAGATAGCTGGAGCAAGACCCTTTAAGCCAACCTGAATAGGATCATTGGGGTAGACACTCGACCATGCCATCGGGAGGAAATTCAGCACTGAATAGAAATTCATCCCACCCACGAACGCTGTCGCAAATGCGATGGCGACAATGCGCTGCCCTTTGAACAATGCTCCCGGGACCATGGGGTACGGTGCAAATATCGCTTCCCAAACGATCCATGTCGCAATAAGGGCGAGTCCAACGATGAGGCAGCACAGCACATATGCGCTATGCCATGGATGTGTGTAGCCACCGGCTTGCAATGCGACTAGGCTACGGATGATTAGCCTTTGATTGGGAGGACGAGCATAGTAAGTAGAGCCACTTACAACAAAGTCAAGCCGACAATAGATAAGAAGCCGCCCAAGTAGTCCATCTTTGTCAGGATTTCGCGAGACAAAAATCCTTCTGCACGCGTATGCTTACGCGGGTGATAGAAGATGAACAACCCAACCCCTGTCAGTCCATTGTACATCCTATCCGCTGGTTAACTTGGCAGCTTCGGCCTGCAGTATGGAAGTGGGAGCTCACAATGAAAGCCAAGCCGTCCAACGCCATGTTGAATGTGTTCCTAACAACTGGCTGTAGAGTATATATGGGGTAAAGATGAAAATAAAGGTTGCCATGATACCCATACTATATCCACGGTGCTTCACAGGTACAACCTCCGAGATGCTTCGGCATGGGTCAGTAGATTGAAGAACCGTGGAGGATTTGGTGCGTACCCAGCGAGTCCAGTGAGTTCTCCAATGCCTGCTCCAGCACCGGCTAAAGCCATTCCAGCCACGCCCTGACTAAAGCCATGGGCAGTCCCAAGGACCAGAATGCCGATCGAAATAAGTAGTGATCCAAAGAGGGCGATATAGCGCTTTCCGAACAGATCCTGGAGGTAGCCTGTGTAAGGAGCGATCGATGCAGTGGCCAGAGTGTTCGCGACCGGCAGCCACACTGCAGTATCAGGAGCTTTTAAGTCGGCGACAATGAACGCCAAGGAACCACCGACAAAGTAGAGGATGATTTGGGAACCTTCGAAACGGTCAGCGTGCTACCATTGATTCTTGCTTGTGCGCGTACCGGTATAAAGCATGCACAGGAAGATGAATGCAAAAACATTGCGGACAGTCCAATCAACAGCTCCATCAGAGTCGTCACCTTTGTGTGCGGCACGGTTCTCTACGTCGATTGTGGAGAGGGAGTTTTCTTGCATCAATATCTTTTTCTCGCCTGATGGAGATTGCACAGGGTCTACATTCGCGATATGTCCCAGTATAGTCGCCTCCACTCTCTTGATATCCTCGAGTGCGGCCATAATCATCTGAAGTAAGAACTAGACAACATAAGGAGCGATATAAGGCATTCGAAGTCTTCAAGAGCTGAATATATGGCTTGCCCCATGTCGGACACGAGCTGTACGAGGTAACGAGAGTTGCATTCGTAAAGTGGGGCATTAGAATAGGTGGGGATCGACGCTAACGGACGCAAGCTTCGGCCCAATGGTCTCAACGGCGCGCTAAGGCTTGCTTAGTAAAGGCTTATCATTCCTGATGGGGTAGGCGTTCATCATGCGAGTCAACCATATATCCAGAAGCTATCTGAGGTTTCTGGCTTGATGGACAACTCCGGTGAGTTCCGCAAACGAGCCATGCCGATCCGACCACAAACACTCGGCTGCATACGTCGGGAAGCTTCTGCAATTAGCATTGGGAGTATATCTCCTCACGCTGTTGCACGGTTCACACCTACAACGCGGCCAGTAAGATCCTGGTCTGCGCACCTCCTGTGTGTTGGATAGAGATGAATTGTTTGACCATGGCCATCTGGTATTTTCTGTTGCTGCACAGGCTACGGGTGCCAGTGCCTGGCTGAAGTTACTTAGGATTTACATCTCTGCGGTGTCAAATGCCCTCGCCAAACGTGCCCAAGAGGCCCCCCTGCCGGCTTCCTTGGCATATTCAAGCTGGTTTTCCGCGTGGGCTGTTGAGAATGCACAAGCGCTGAATAAAAGTGACTCGGTACATAGACGACGTCGGCATCGCAATGGTGAGAGAGACCCATTTGGAAGGCATGCCGATGGCAATTTATATGAATAACTTGGTTTCTCCAAACACTCGATTCCAGAAGGGCATTCTCAGCCCCTCTCTCGGTGCCTATTGGCCCATCGCAACACTCACCAATGTCACGACCTCATGTGGGTGGCATGCCTGCAGATAAATAGCGTCAGACAGCTGTTAGCTTATGCAATACAAGGTAGTGATGAACCTTTTAAGCTCCATGGTGAGTCAGTATGCTGCTTATCTATCATATTCAAGGGGAAAAATTAGACGTTTCACACACCTTATCACCATTCTAACCTGTTATAGACTAGTTCTGGGGGCTGCCATATTTTACAGCACTGCAGTCCAAGTATGCCTAATGAGTGGTATTCTTGAATGCCTTACAAGATCGGGATGTATTACCTCTTTAGCAAGCTGCTGACTGATATGCCGTTTCCAGACAAGAAAGACTCGCGGAAACATTCCACCGCTTTCTCAGCCTTCCCTCCCTACGGTGCCAACTCACCTCATCACCCACGTTTTCTTTCTCGTAATTTCTCTCCGTGGCCATCAAATCAATATGACCGCCAAGTGTAGCAACATTACTATTCGATTTGCTCTCCCAGACGGGATCAAGGTTTCAGTGCGAGAACGTGAGTTAGAAGATGCTGCTCGAAGGTCTCATGCTGCCCGAGCAGCCCATGCAAGGCGACGTCAGGCTCGTGAGAGAGAAGCGCCATCGTTTCAAGAGCCGACACAGTCGAATGAGTCAACACAGGTTGAGTGTGCTCCAGAAAATCACACACCCCAAGACGTTCTTGTCAAAAGCTTGATCTCAACAACACGAGAACTAGACCAAGCCACAACTCAGGTACCGGTCGCAACTTACCAACTCTCTCTACTAGAAGGTAATTCGGATCCCTTTGGGTCTTTCTCTATCAAAATTACGCCTCAAATCAATCGAGTCCTCGCCTTCATGCGGGATGCAATCTATCCAAGCATCTACTATCATAATAAGTTTATGTCGAAAATCAACGAGGGGAACCCCGATCGGTCAAATTGGATATCGGCGGGCATCGGCGTCCAAGCTTGGGAATTTGCCATCGAAGGTTTGCATAGCGAAGGCGCAAGTCTAGCATGTATAGCCAGCTACCTTGGCAATATGGCCATGCTCCTGCCCGAACGTGCAAGGCCAAACGCAAACCGATTAGCACTGGCTTTGGCGACGAAAAGTTGTAGTCTTCTCCAGAAATCTTTGCCAACGGATGGGACGTCAGTCAATCCCGCCAAAGCCAGGGTCCTAATCGCACAGATCTACTTCCTGTATCGTGCAAGTGTTGTTGGGGAGGATCGGATGTCTGTCGCAATATATGGCCCCATTTTAAAGAGATTCCTCGTAGAAGGCATTTCTCAAGGTCTAGTCGACGTTGTTATGCTGTATCAAGCCGCCGTCGATGACATCGATTTCGTGTCCAAGTTTATGTGTCGCCCATTGTTCGATTACTCGTGGTTTGGTGAGATTAGCTCAGGTTTCTGGGCACTTGCGGAACCACTCTTGCCCTTGGTCGGGGCCGAAATATCCACAGGGGTGCATAGAAACGTGGAGTGCAAAGAACTGCGAGACTACTTTACTACGGCAAGACACATGAATACCTATGCAGAGCATATGATTCCCGAGTCTGCGTGGGGTCCCACCGCCCAAAAGCGGCTGGCATACTCTTGGTTTGCCACGAAGAGCTTATGGGCATTAGGGTCGGCCCTGAATCTCTACTTGGACTTACGAGATGACCGATATACCAAGTCCACTTCCACTGCCACTTCTGGCCAACGGCTGACTCAAGCTGCATTGACACTTGGACTGGTCTACTACTTCCGCAATATGGGCCATACCACTACAATCGGTTCTGTCGACATTCGAGACTGTTCCGCTAGCCTTATGCATGAGCTACGGGCGACGATAGCGCAAGCCTTGAAGATGTCTACTGAAAAAGAGTTACATACATACGCAGATGCTCACCTTTGGGTTTTATTCCTTGGCGCGTTCTACGAGCGGCGTGAGTGGCAAAGGTTGGGTGACGCGGCTGGACGCTGGTTTCGGCAGAAGCTTGTTGAAAAAGCTTTGCAAAGTAACAAGGCGACTTGGGCTTATCTGCAGCCAGTCCTGGGCAGGTTTTTCTACATGGAATGGGAAAACCCTCATGGTTCAACCTGGTTCGACGACACAGTCATTGAGATAATGGGGGACCAGTATCGACATTTGCAATCTAAGCTGATGCCCGCAGATTTTTTGCATAGTTCGAAGACTGTCGGCCATGGCAATCCTCATTATCATTACCATCCACCAAATATATCCACGTAGCATCGGCATCTTCCGAGATGCCGCTACCGGTTCACCTATAATGATACATTACGCTTCTGAGGTTGTTGAGGCGTGTTCCGTTACTGATGAAAGAGATCTCGAAACTCGCATGCCATTTTCACAAGGTATGACTTTTTCACCACCACCGTCGCGGACCCAATCGGACATTGAAGAGAGCTGGCATTCCAAAGTTTACAACTTTGCACTAACTATTTACGCGAATTTGCAAGAGACTAGAGCGTGACAGGCAGCGCTGTGACGACAAGTTACGCATTTGTGTTCTTGAAGTATGCTGCATGGTTTGGCTTGGCACAATGGCACTGCCTGAGGAAAAGGAACAAATAAAGGATCTGTCAAAACACCTGCCAGTAGAATAATCTTTAACTCCATAGTCACACGCCATAATAACAACTCTTGCACCTCAGCACCCTGCTTGCGCAAAATCATGAGCTCACACGATAAGATCGCCGCCAGTCTTACTCAGCTCTACAAATTCTTCATCAAGTTTGGCTACCTCAAAGAGACGCAGATGAAGTGGCCTCCTCACAAAGATCTCGATCTAGACCTCACACTCGCAAAGAACAGCGGACTTAGTGAATCCTCAATCGAACTATTGAAGAAGATTCCTTGGGCAGATGTCGCCAACACCGACCTTGCCTACGAATCCAAGATTCTTAGTTACTCGCACGACTATTCCTTCGAATCATGTAGACATCCTGTCTGTCCCAGTGAAGATGTCGATGAAGAGGGAAACCCCCTCCTTGATGGCAATTTACTCCCCTTAAGTATCGCAACGCCGTCATATGGCTCACACCTGCTGGTGAATGCTGATCGAGGTAAGGAACTATATCGATGTGCTCGCTACGTTCTAATTGGTTAATCATCCTACACACAGGAACCATCAAAGACTGGGTATATTTGGACGAAGGATTTAAAGACGTGACCGAGATGAATGCCTTTTTCTTCCTCGACGCAATGCGAAAGGAATATGAAGCCCTGGAGGAGATCCCCTCGGCGAACATAATATTGAACTCCGAAGTTGCTCCCCCCGGTGGTGTGGTGAGTAATGTCGAGCATCTTGGATTTGTAATTCTCCTGACACAGAAGTAGCCCTGGACCCCTGAGAATCTGCCTAGGACAAGAAATATTCCGTTGGAATATGGATGGCCAGAAAATTTCTGAAGTCATGAGTTTCAGGACAACATTGAACACGTGTGGAGAGCCTGGTTCCACGAAGAGCGAAACGCACATCAACATACTTGGGCCTTGGAACAACTTGCACTTGAGGAGCCAAGAAATGGAGACCTGGGCGAAGAGAGATTGCAGAGTGAGGGAGTGAGTGCCTCTACGCTTTAGAACGACAAGTTTTCTCCTTAATTTCCAGCCTGATCACGTGTCATGACAAGACCTCATTGTGGGACATAGGCCACACCATGAGGCATTGATTGACCCATGGATCCACAAATCTCATGCACCGATGCACAACATTCAATTGTGAAGCAGGAAAATAGCATTCCATTTTTTACGAAGCATATCAGTTGCTTAATGCTTGCTTCTAGAATCATTTTCATTCTCCAATCTGTCCGCACCCCATCATAATCAACTTAGGTAAATACTCTATGCAGCCTGCACGACACTTGACGGCGGATCACGCCAAAGAGGATAATCGATAGACTTTATGAACTTGTCTTGATATCGGATGCCCTCGCTGGCATCGATCGTACCCTCCGCGGACGGCAGCACCGGTGAGATGAAAGCATCCCAATTCGGGTCAAAGAAGAATGGGATTGAAATGCGGAGCGAATCACTGTTGTGGCAGACACGATGTAATGTGGACTTGTATGCGCCTCGTGTCCATTCTGACAACATGTCACCGATATTGCACACATAGCAGCCCTATGATTTTGCGAAACTTCAGTGATCCAGGTCGATGTTTTGTGCATGAATGCTGGGGTATGGACTCACCTCGATTGGGTCGGCCCAAATCCACTCGCCCGTCTTGCTTAGTACCTGTAGAGATTTCTTGCAAGAGTCTGTCAGGAGAAATGTGAGAATGCCAAAATCTTCGGAGTTGACATGTTAGTAATATGTAGCGATAAAACAAGGATGATCCAGAGCCTTGCCTGTGTGCTCTCCAATGCCTGCTGCACTCTCACTCCGGGTTTTTCTGCCTTCATAGCCAAGAATGCGCAAATTCCAGAATGCTTTATCGATGCGGTCAAGAAAGATACTCTCATCAACCGATAAGCCGATTGCTATTGCCTTCATAACGGAATTTCCTAGATTTTCCAGTTGGTCGATATAGGTTTCGGCTGTCGTGCGAAAATCTGCAGGAACTGAAGGCCATAGATTGGGGCCCATGCCTGTTGTGTATGGCGCCTCCTGCACTGGTACCGGACGGAAGAAATCTACCGCCTTCGACATGTCATCAGTATCCTCACCTTGAATGTTGGTGTGGTTGCACTGACTTCGTGAGCCCCAGCTGCGTTCTTGACTTTCAGCCAACCCCGAGCGCTATCTCCTCCCTCTGCCGACCCTCTCATTGCGAGACGTTCCTTCTCCTCTGGTGTTGCCGTTTCGAAAACATGGCGCGTCTTGGCAAGCATGTCGGCGACCAACTCGGCAGGAACCCCATGGTTCTTCAGGTAGAAAAATCCAACTTCTCGACATGCCTTGTCAATTTCGAATGCAACTTGTTTCTTTTGAAATGACGAGCTTGATGCATCAAGGAATGGACCAAAGTCTATCACAGGAAGCGCCATCTTGCGGCGCGGAAGAATTGATGATACGATCGAGAAGCATGGCTGAGTACTCTCATGTCAATTTGTACACTCATTATTGGCCGATGTCAATGTGCATAGAATCAGACACAAACTGTTTGTATCAGCTGAGAAGCGGTGGCCTGCCGCAACGGGCGGGCACTGATAAGGGCGATCGCTAACCGCGGAGCTCCGATGCCGAAATGATAGGCACAGCCCTTGGTGAGCACCCATCACAATGCCAGGCGCTACCCTCTGAGACGACAAAGTCGTCTTTATCCGGGAGGATGACTCCCTCCTTTGCGTGTTGTGGATTGTTGTCTCAACTAAGGGCAGCGGTTGATGATACAATATCTACGAGGAAAGTGCAAAGAACGCGTCAAGCAAGAAGGGAGTTTTGCCAAGACGTGGGAGCTTGGGAGAAACGCGTCGTCCAACAACTTGAACTTGATCCTTCCCACACCACATGACTTGCTTGCCATCAAAACACGATTCTGCATGATATTCAGTAGATTCACAATTTGCAATCTGTTCTGATGATAACAACAAGTCGTCCTCCCAGCCTTGCTAGGGAAGGTTTTCTCCACTTCGCTTTGCGTAGAAAGGCCTACGCAATGAAGGCTTCCTCGGTATTGGTGGGTTCCTTATCTTTGTAAGTACAATGACCTGTAATCAAACCGTCAAATCACCAGTACGCGCTTAGTAGCATGGAGATAGACAGTCTTGGATTACACCTTTGGCCCATCTGCACTTACATCGCGGTGCTGGTTCTTCTGAATGATGGTTTCAATTGTCCTTTCCATACAAACTTCGCACGAAAATTGCATCCTTATACCTAATGCTGTCATTGGACCAGGCTGCCGGGACGAGCGTAGCCATTCGCGCTTGTGACCATTGTCGCACCAGAAAGATTCGATGTGACCGACAAGTACCATGTGCGCAATGTTCGACAGTCAAACTCAACTGCTCTTTCTCAAATTCCGCCCCAAAACCAAGGGAACACCGCCAACGTATTCTGATCTCGGCTCAATATGAGAAAAAGATTGACAGCATTGAATATAAGCTTGGTCGAATAGAGAAATCCCTGAGCAATCTATCACAGAGTCATCCTTCGGCCATTTCTCAAATGCATACAATTTCGCATACAGCGACTTCTGATACACCTCAAGGAAACACCGCACTGTCTGGCTGTTCAGACATAGGTGTTGATGCTGAACAATCAATTAATTCCAGAACTCCCGCTTCCACCACGAGAGACGTTGAGCATGCTTTCGAGGGTGACAGTTCTGTCAGAGCTCACGTCGCTTTTGCAGGTTCATTCGCAAGGCAGGCTATCGAGAAGAGCTCTCTCGGTGAAGCCGGTTCCAGAGTCAATGATGCTCTTTCAGCATTACACCAGATTCTGACAATTCGCAGACCAGTCAAGGACGATAACTCCCATGATCAAGGTGCGACGGGTATTGCAGATCCGAGAGCTATGCCAATGCCCCCTCTAGATGTGACCCTTCAATTACTCCGTGAACTCAGGCAAAGGTTGCCTCCGACTTTTGAGCTAATCTGTGCCGTTACAAGCATCGAATACTTCACGGAACAATGCCGCAAAGTCTACTTCGCAACAGAAGAGTTCACAAAGGCGACGTTCATCATCGTCAATGTTGGACTGTTTTTCATCTTCCAAGGTGAGATCATTGAAGCAAGTAAATCTGGTGATGGCGAGAGAGTGGCCAACCTGCGAAGCTATTGCAAAATCTGCCAGCAGAATATCAAGGCAACCTTGCAAAGTCTGAGTCTATTACTCCCTGCTCGGAAAGAAAATGTAATAGCACTGGTTTTGGGTGCTAGTTATGCTGTTGAGACCTCGGACCCGTCGCAAGCATGGTTTTTGAATTCAACAGCGTGTCAGCTCTGCATCAGCCTTGGCTATCAGCGAGATGCATTGCTACCTGGAGAGGACGAGCACACAAAAAGCATTCGGGCAACGCTGTTCTGGATTGTCTACATTCTCGATAGAGCCTTAGCCCTACGACTTGGTCGCCCAGCTGTCCTGCAGGATTATGAAATCACGCTGAATCGCACTTTGCAAAATCTGGGAGAATTCGAAATCCACCGCGAAACCATCCAATGCTGGTTGGCACAGGCCGGAGTACAAGGTCAAATATATGAGGAGCTTTACAGTCCAGCCGCGTTGAGAGGTTCAACAGAGCACCGCTCACTATCCGCACGTGGCTGTGCCAATATTCTTCAAGCTGAACGATTGAAACTGAAACATCGAATTCAACGACTGGAGCTTGATACCACTAGCCCGGGGGGCGAGGTGGAATTGGCTTTGATAAGATCAGATGAGCTTGCCAACCTGTCAGTGCTCACTCTCGTCTATCGAGCACTTCCGCCAGACCTGTCCGAGGTAACACCACAATGCTCTAGAATTTTTGCAGCAGAGTGCATTGAAACGGCGAGAAAAGCGATACATGCGCACCTCAGCCATGTACGTAGCCTTGGAACGAACACAGATTTGCTTACAACATACATGCACTGGTAAGTTGAGAATGCGATGCAATGAAATGTGAACCAGACTGGACAGTGCTGACACACTTCGATGGGCAGGATTATTCTCTTCTGCCCTTTCATACCTTTCATCGTTCTCTTTTGTTACTCAATAGAGCAAGGTAGCATTGATGACCTGCAACTTATTGAACAATTTGGTAACTCTTTAGAGCCTTGTCGAAAGTTCTCTAACCGAGTGGAAAACCTATTTCAGTTATGTCAAGCTCTAAACAACCTTGTGCGGGTGTTTGTGCAAGCCAGGATGTCAACTACCATTCGCCGAGGCTCAAGTCTCGATTATCTTCCCGATTATGCCATTGGCATAAGACAACTTGATCCACATCCATCCAGGGATTTAATCAATGATCAGCTGATGTTTCCCGGAGTCTCTCAAAGTCCAATTACCCACCAACGCTCACAGTTGACGTCTCATGGTCTAGACCAAGACGACCTCCACATTTTCGACATCATGAATATGATGGACACGGGCGACCTTCCCACATCATACAGCACTCTCTAATATATTGCGCTTTGCTATCCGAACGTAATGAGCCCTGTCAGGAACATCGAGGTCGATTTCTCGACATGTAATGGGGTGTGGCGCCAAAGCCGGAGTCCCCGTATCTGTGTAAATGAGAAGATCGGCGGAGTTCACCGCAGAGATGTACCCAGATTCCAGAATAAATATCAAAATGGAATGCACCAAGGCTGACAACCCGCGGGTGCCCGAAAACTGAACATAATCTCGATCGTCAATCTACGTACGATGCTATCAACGCTAGGAAATCCGCGAGGGTTCATCAGTAGCCTAAGGGCATGCCTAGTCTTCTACCGTGATCGCACAATCATACTTGTCGTGCCATCACCTACCACAACAAGGACGCTGGTGGTGCCATCTAGCCAAATAAGGCATTTAAACTAACATTGGGCCCGATTGCCGTACGAAAAAGTCCCCAAAAATCGTTACCAAGCATGGCCACCCACGTCCCAGGCCATACTACCATCGAATCAAAGCCATATCCTTGGCCGTACAACACGGACTTAGGTCCAACGACTACTGCCTTGATTATCGTGGATATGCAAATGGACTTTTGCTCTCCAGGAGGATACCTAGACTCCCAAGGCCTTTCAATTGAAGCAACGAGAGCTATCATACCCAATATTCATTCGCTGCTTTATGCTTTCAGGTCCCACGGATTTCCTATCTATCATACACGAGAAGGTCATCGCTCCGATCTGTCAACGTTATCTACTCGCGAACAAAAGCGCAGTCGTAATAACCCCAGTGGTATTGGAATTGGAGATCAAGGTCCACTAGGTCGTCTGTTGGTTCGTGGGGAGCAAGGACATGAGATCATTCCTGAGCTATCACCAGTCTCCGGAGAACCTATCATTGACAAACCCGGCAGAAGTGCGTTCCAGCATACCGACCTCAAATTACTTCTGGACAATCGCGGTGTCAAGAACTTGATACTATGTGGTGTGACGACCGATGTCTGCGTCACCAGCACGATGAGAGATGGCAATGATATGGGCTTTGACTGTCTGCTGGTATCAGATGCTTCGGCAGCTGGTCAGGCAAACCTTCATGAAGCTTCAATAGCTAGTATCTGCGAAGAGGGAGGGATTTTTGGAGCAATTGCAGTGACAGTAGACGTGCTTCAAGCGTTGGATCGATGAGGAAGGTGTGGTAGAAGTGCCCTTTGCCTGCTAGGATATACTTTACGCACAAGCCTTTATGGGATAGTTGAAGTCTCAACAACTTTCCACGATCTGTCGCCAAACTCTATGGAGTCTCCTAATTTCCTCCCTTCTACTGCTGACCATTGGCAAGGTAGCACGGCTTCATGGCTCTTTGTGCTCCTAGCGTCAATTTTCCATTCGCCATTTGAGTCTGTCTGCCACCTTTCCACCCAGAGATCGGAATCATTCTGCAAGATTCCCTGACAATAATTTCCAATTCTTATAACCATACCCTTTTCGCTGTTGTTGCCACTTGAAGGCATCAATTCCATTGCCATATACGACGGATTAGGTTCAGGCGACCCATCCAACCAGTATTCCTTAAACATTTTCCACTCTCCTCGCAGCATCATGAATCCTATCTCCATCGTGTCTCCATTTGACAAAAGATACATGTCAGCTCCATCGGTATCAAACGCCCGGCTCGAATCGATGGAATGTTCCCATTGGACATGTATCGTGCTTTCGTATGCCGCACAAGATTCTGTACCCTGCGGCATGTGGGTGAAGGACATCCCTGCTGTGGCATAACCTGGAAACTCCCCGGAATCTTTGATGGCAGAGCCACGAATTTCAGTGTTCAGCTGGAAACGAATATCGACATATCTCCCAGATGGCACCGTCAACGCGACGACAGATGACACCTCCTTTGGGGCGTCATAGCCCAAAGATAATCCGCGACGGATCTCGACGAGTGGGCGTTTCAAGAGCTTTTGTGCCCAGTTCGGCGTGTTGGCCTGTTCTTCTGCCATTTCTTGAACATGGAGACAAGAATATACTTTGGTACTCCCCAATCAGTCGTGAATATCTAGTTCAAATCGAATATATCTGCAAGGATTCGTCACTGTTTAGTTTTATGGCCATGCGCATGAGCACGAACATGAACATGACTAAAGACCTAACCACATCTGTACCTTCCGAAAAATATTCCAGGCCATGAGAGCCTTGGGAAGACCGATGTCCGTCCTCTCATCTCACGGAGCCCGCGCGACCCCGTCAAGCGAGACCGAGATAGTTAAGGCTCCACTTTTGTGGGGTGCAGCGCGTATCTTTAAGCAATCGAAGCATACTCAGGTCTTCTTATCTCCACTAGCACTTCAAAGCAGATGATGTTGCGTGCAGACCACGATAAGAGTCACGGGTACAGATAAGCTAGATTAACTGGATCAAGACTGGACATCTTGTGTGGATGGCTATAACGATGGGTCGCCCCCTGCATACATATTACAAGGCCTCTGGCTGCTTGGAGAGAGCAGTGTGTATCTGCCCTTGGTGTTCACCTCAGACAGCCAGCGTCCAGAAACCTCTTTGCACAATGGCGAAACAAGTCGACATCAAACGGACCCCGTCCCCAGTGGTGTCGATTGAGGATGGCAGCATGCGTAAGGCAACCGCAGAGGATGCGAGATTGCAGGAGATGGGGTATGAGCAACAGATGAAAAGAGGCTTCAACTTCTGGTCCATGACTGCCTTTTGTCTGACGGGCTTGGGACTGCTGCCCAGTCTTGGAGGTAATCATTCCAATAAAGCTTCTCTGTCATGGGAATACATACTGACAAACCACAGGCACGATCTGGTACAGTTTGGGCTTTCTCGGTCTGCTGCCCATGACATGGGGATGGCTCATCGCTGTCTTCTTCATCATGTTCGAGGTCTTTGCTCTTGCCGAATTGAGCTCTGCGATGCCAACAGCGGGTGGGTTGTAGGTGATCGATTCCACCTCCTTTCATGGGAATTGCTCGAATTGAAGTCTAACGATCAATCAGATATTATTGGTTGGTCACATTGCCGAAAGAGCATGGTGGATGAAAAGCTGAACTTCCAGGACATATCGAACGGCACCTCCAAAACTGAAAAGATTCGCCTGCTGGGTAACTGTGAGAGCACCTTTGATACCGCTTGGCGGGCGACACATGATCATGCTGACCAAAGATGCAGGCCTGGTGCATGGTCCTCTCAGCCTCTCTCGGAGGCGGTTCGTTCTTCATGACTCAGGCAAACATGATCCAAGCCCTGGTCGCCATGTTCCATCCTGATTTTGCGCCAACTGATTGGCAGTTATATCTGGTACGTATCGGTTACCAGAGATGTTGTAAAAATGACTAACAATTTCTCCAGATTTACCTCGCATGCGTTTTCCTGTAAGTCCTATACTCGCGACTGCATTCTCAAGTACTAAGTCCACTTCAGCTGCGCAGCAGCAATGGTTTTGCCGAGCAAGATCCTCGGTCGACTGAGTAACATTTTCGTCTGGCTGGGCACGATCACATTCTTCGTGATGCTCGTTGCTTTGCCAGTATATGCTCACAAGAACGGCCGTACCAACTCTGCCAAACAGATGTTCACTTCATCATATAACCAGACGCACTGGGAAAACAAGGCATTTGTTTTCCTGATGACATTCATGGTGCCTCTCTGGTGTATCAGCGGCTACGACTCGACCGGTATGTCAATCCTTCTCCATGAAACCCAGACAATCGAAATCGGAATTCTTGACTAATTGCTTGCAGCACATCTGGCTGAGGAAACAGAGAACGCATCTGTCGCAGTGCCTCGCGCGATGTGGATCTCGTGTGCTGCAGTTGCAGTTCTCGGCTATATTTTCAATGTGGTTTTGGCATACGTCGCGACAGACATTGATGCGATCTTCTCGTCTCCCCTCGGCCAGCCACTCGGAGCGATTCTTGTACTATCCATGGGTGATGGCGGCTTTACAAAGCTCCTGTGGATCTGCACGGTGATCTCGAACTTCGGTGTCGTCTTCGTCATCAACACAGCGGGCACCAGGATTTATTTTGCGTATGCACGAGATGGCGCACTGCCGATGGCGAAATGGTTGAGCACAGTCAACCCGGTCACGAAAACGCCCATCAACGCGACCATTGCGCTTTCCACCGTTTTCGCTTTGCTGGGTCTTATCTCCCTCGGCTCCTCAACAGCGTTGCATGCGTTCTTCTCCGGATCGTCCTTGGCTGGAGCTGTCACTTATCTGATGCCAGTATTGATGAGGTAAGGGATCAATGATGCGAGACCGTCACAAAACGAACTAAGGACTGACTTTATTGATAGATGCCTTTATGAAGACAACCCAGACTACGTACCCGGACCATTCAGTCTCGGCAAATGGTCACGGCCAATCAGATGGGTAGCCAGCATATGGACAAGTACGTCTGGCATCATGTTCCAAATACCCCTATATTCCCAAATTCCTGTGACTGACATTCGCCTTCCTTAACAGTATTCACACTCCCCCTCCTTGCCCTACCCGAGAATCCTTATCCGACAGCCAAGACGTTCAACTGGAGTCCGGTTTTCTTCGTCGGACTTCTGAGTATTGTCGTGCCCTGGTATTTCTTCCGAGCGCATAAGTGGTTCCATGGACCGACTGTGCAGAGCGCAGCTGGAATGGCTTATTGAGCATCTTTTGCTAGTCCCGCGAGCACTCAGAGCCCTTCCTACATGGTAGATTCTTGGTAGGCTAGAATTGTGCTTGATTGCATTTCTGAGTCTCGATAGACACACAGTAAACCTTAGCTAGGAATGGCCGTTAGTCATTAATTGATCTTTACCGAAGTAATGGAGGGCATTGCAGTCTGACCCTTTGCCTACAACTTGTTTATGAGCGAATCACCTTGTAAACTAGGTGGTTTCCCCTGATAATCGGCAGCCTCGGCACCCCTCTTGCGCCAAAAGCGGCGTCAGTCTGGCTCGCGGTAATCCGCACTAAATTCCCCAATGAGTTGCCGAGGTTGTCGACCTTTCAAGGCGGAGTGTGGAGAGAGAGAATCCTTGGGGTAGGAGCCCATCTCTACGACATGCCATTCCACCTGTCTGTTAACTGGCGTGGCTACCTTGAGCAATTCTTACATCGTTTTTTGTCATTGAAGATCTGGATTTGTAGGAATAGAAAGCTGCTACAAGCGAGCAGGGCAGCCTCATTTAGAATATTCGTGGAGGTACAAGTCTGGACTGAATTACACTCGAGGAGCTATTCGAGCAACGGAGCGTGGACAGCAGAATATCATTGAAGAGAATAACAAACAACCAGACCAGGTATTTTACTTGAAAGTCCACAATGCCACCCATACAGCGCCCTATCTCGCGGATCCTGATCGCCAACCGCGGCGAAATCGCCATCCGGATCCTACAAGCATGTCAAGAGCTCTCCACCCCTCTAACGACCGTGGCCATATACACAGAGAATGACAGCACGCACATCAGCCTAGGCCGCCCGAACCAAGCGGTCAAAGTGCCGTCGCCGTCGTCGTACATGGACATCGATTATCTCATCGGTCTTGTCAAGGAGCACAGCATCAACGCCGTGCATCCCGGCTACGGATTCCTCAGCGAGAGCGCAGAGTTCAGTCGGCGGATGTGGAGTGAGGCGGAGTGTTTGGTCGTCGGGCCGGGCTGGGAGGTGCTCGAGCGCACGGGCGATAAGTTGAAGGCGAAGGCGTTGGCCATGGAATGTGAGGTTCCCGTACTCAAAGCAATGGATCGCCCGACGGGGAGTGTGGGTGATGTGCGTGCTTTTGCGGGCAAGGTTGGGTATCCGTTGATGATCAAGGCGGTAGACGGCGGTGGCGGGCGGGGGATTAGACTTATCAAAGGCCCGGAAATGCTGGAGAATGCCGTGCAGAGGTGTATCGCTGAATCGCCGAGTAATACGGTCTTTGCGGAGCAGGCTGCTGTGGATGGATACAAGCATATCGAGGTGCAAATCCTTGGGAATGGCAGGGGTGCTGTCAGGCATCTCTGGGAGCGGGACTGCAGCGTGCAACGACGATTCCAGAAGATCGTCGAGGTTGCTCCAGCACCGGTGTCGCGGCGCAATGTCATTGCTAAGGTGATCGACTCTGCTATTCGGATGGCTAGGAAGCTGCAGTACCTGGGATTGGGAACGTGGGAGTACTTGGTGAATGTCAAGGCAAGGAAGTTCTTCTTCTTGGAGATCAACCCCAGATTACAAGTCGAACACACCATCACTGAATCCATCACCGGCGTCGATATCGTGAGAGAGCAGCTACTGTACGCTCAAGGACTGCAAGAATCTGAGGACCTAAGACTGGGAGAATGGTGGGAGGCCGATAAAGCACCTCCATCGGCTTCTATCCAGTTGAGACTCTGTGCGGAAGATCCTACTTCGAACTTCGCACTCAGCATCGGCAAGGTCTCGGATGTGCAATTTCCTACTGGCAGCGGTGTGCGCGTCGACAGCCATCTGTCGAGAGGAGGGGTCGTCGGGACTGATTTCGACAATATGATGGCTAAGATTATCGTTACCGCGTCCACGTTCGAGAGTGCAGTTGCAAAGGCCAAACGAGCGCTTGCAGAAACGAAGATCGTCGGTGTAAAGACGAATCTCAACCTCCTTCGAGCCATCCTGGATGACAAGACATTTGCAGCTGGAAATGCGGATACCAGATGGTTGGAGAACAGTCTTGAACAACTTGTGGCTGCTGGAGAAAGAATCGGTGAATCCATTGAGGAGCTCGACTCGACATTGCCGGCGTTGTCCCTGAGCGGCAATCAGTCTTCGACAACTACTGGTTCAGGAACGGCTTTCCGAAAAGGAGATGCTTGGACAGTGACCCTGGAGGACAAAGCCTCACAGTCCGAGACTAAAGCACCACCATCACATTTCAGTATCGAGAGGATAATGAGGAACGAATTCCCCGAGGCATTGATCGCAGATGTATCGTATACCGCGCCTGGCGCGCAGTCGCAGTCATACAAAATGACGATTGCAAGTACGACATCATCAGCTGATGCCACAGCATCGACACACCGACGTGGAGATCCAAACGACAAGAGTCATGTGGTCTTACCTATCAGCGGCAAGCTGATGGAAGTGCTTGTGGATGAAGGCGACGAGATACAGGAGAACCAAGTCATTGCATTCGTCAAGCAGATGAAGATGGAGTTGGAAATTCGAAGTCCCAGGGCCGGCACGATCAAATGGGCAATTGAGTTGGACAATGACACTGGAGATGATGTAGCGGAAGGTGTGCTGCTGGCAGAGTTGGAGGATGAGATACCAGGCAGAAAGCCTGATATCAGATCACGCTTGTAGATATTCAGATTTACACTGAACTATGTAGTAGATACCACAGGGCCCTTGTAGCCATTGAACTGTCCTGTCTCCTTCAAGATGATGGGGATCTCATCCTCGACTAGAGATTCCAGTACACCTTTCTCCTTAGGTTCCCAACCCAACTCGCGCAATTTTCTCGCCCGACTTCGAGAATTTGAGGCCACCACCCATGCGGTGCCTTTATCAAACAAATCAACAAAGTCGGTCTCGGGGATCTCCTTGGTCTCGGGAGACTGGATGCGACCAGCGGCATGTAGTGCCTTCCCAATTGCGACGACTGGCTCACGCCAGGCAATCTCAGACCCATTCTCACAGAATATGTAGGGCGTCTTCAGCACTTCATCTGCACTGGCTTTCTCGAGCCAGTGGAGCAGGGCGATGTATCCTCGAGCGAGATCCAGAACATGAATGACCGACCAGACCGAGGCGCCTTTCCCAACGTGGCCGGCGTAGCCGTGCTTGATGGCGAATCGAGTCAGGGTAGGCAATTGGATAGACAGACGCTTGTATTTCGGGTTCACGCCGTAGATCAGTGGTGGCGTCATGATGGCCATCTTTGCATTCGGGCTCAAGCGATGGCGAGCCTGCAGAATTGCCAGATCGATCATGCGGTGAGATGCAGAGTCTGGCAGGGCATCGAGAGTGTCTTGGTCGTCGTCGGGGAAGATTTTATCGCCCTTGTATTGGCCCTTGGAGTCATCACTGAGAAGACTGGTACCGCTGGTGTGGATGAAGATGGTCTTCTTGTTGTCTCTGGCGCGTCGATCGACGCCTTCGATGACGGCTTGGACAGACGGTAAGTGGTCGGCCGTGGCGGTGTGGATGACAATATCGCTGGCGATGGTGTGCTGGGTGATTATTCCACTGTCGTCAAGGTTGCCAGCGACAGTTTTGGCGCCGCTTTGCTCGAGTTCCTTTGCATAGGATTCCCGGCGGGTGAGCGTCGTCACAGAGTATCCTTCCGCCAATAGAAGATCGAGGACTTCCCGGCCGATGAAGCCTGGTCCTATCAGGAACACATTCTTACCAGAAGGAGCCATGCTGAGAGTTGGTATATATATATTGTTTATGTGGCCAAAGTTTGGCAGACTAGTCCCGACTGTTTGGAGGTGAATGTTGAGCGGTTGGAGAAAGGCCTTTTATACTCTGAATACGCTGTACGCTTTGAATGCGCTTTTCTCCAGTGGCGTCATTGTTGCGAACCATAGCCGACCACCCATGATCTCCTGTGAATGGATGGAAATTGGCGAAAGACAGGAGCGGATCTTGATATCCTTGTAGAAGACTGGCAAATGGACCTGCATATTCTGGGGAATTGACGTCGATGCTCTTCACCTTAGTTAATCATCTGGCGGCAGAGGCCTAATTGGGAAAAGCAGCCGAAAATATTGTGAGGTCAATTGGAAATCCGAAGTATCCTTTTGGAATCGAAAATGGTTGGCGAAAGGACAAAGGAAAGACGTTGGCAGGATTGAAGCGGCTGCATTTCTAAATCGTATGTAACATATCTATGGGTATTGTAATTATGCAGACGCACCGACATGCACATTTCCCTTCATTCTGCTGGATATATTTCCGGCCTTGGTAGTCCCGTTGGTACTCACAGATGACTTCTTTTGATCATCGTCATCCGCCGCTTTCCCATCATTTGCATCGTTCGTGCTGACCAGACCTTTCCTCGCTCTCCACTGCCACTCCCATAGGACGGGAAGGAAACTCCAAAGGTCAAAGTCTGGCCATAATACATCGAGGAATACAATTTGAGTGGTTTCATGACACTGCCACAACATAAAGTCTGACAATCGGCTGACACCACTGGTACGAATTAATAAATCAATTGGTGGGTCGGTTGATGTGTACATGTGTGAAGTTAAGGTCTGCGGCGAAATGAGTTCGGGGGATGGATATTGAGGTTTTGATGAGTCCCCTTTCGCGGATAATCCAGAGGGCGGTGAGCTATCATCGTGGTGCAAGGTCGTTGATGTAGACACACTAGACGCATCATGCTCTGACTGTCCTTGTGAGAGGGATGAGAGGGAGGTCGTACTTGACGAAGGTGACTGAAGCTGAGATGCAGATGGTTGGAGGTAAGTTGGGCTGGATGTTGGGAACTCTGAGAGGTGTTGGGACCGAATGGTATTCGCTATACGCTCCTCCTTAAACGGACTCCTTCGCTCCTTTTCTGATAATGGCTGACTGTATTCTTTGACCGTATCTCGAACGGCCGAGGTGATTTCTTCCCTGCTCGTGTATGGAAAGCAGATGTTGAGAACGCAACTGCCGTCGCCATTGTTGGACGTCATGTTCACTGCTCGATCGACTGCCTCGAGCACATCAGGTTTGATCAGTTCTCTCTGTCCGAGTATGCGAATTCGTGCGCCATAGCGATCGAGTAGGTCACCATGTTGAACGAGTTGTTTCAGTTTGATCTTGGCCATTTCCATTAGAGCATCGACTTCGTATTTGGATCGTTTGAAATTCTCGATACTGAAGGCATAGATGGTGACATGAGTGACGCCGGCTTTATAGCAAACTTCGAGGATCTATGTTTGATCGTCAATGTTGTTCTTCTCGCGCGATACAAGGGCAGGGATTGAAAGCTTACCTTGGCCAGTGCTTCAAATCCCAAGTTGTGCCCTTCAATGGTTTCCATTCTGTGGTTCTTTGCGAAACGTCGATTTCCGTCCATCACAAAGGAGACATGCTTGGGCACTGGGCCCTGCCGGAGGGCACCAACGAGGAGATCTCGGAGCTGATTGAGAGCCCACTCGGCGGGAGGAGAAGATAAAGCCCACTTGCGGAATCTCGACATGGTGGTGATGGGGACTTGAGTCTGGTGTTTAGATGGAGATAGAAGTCGAAATGGCAGTGGTGTTCAGACCGGTTCTAATGAATGTGTGATTCTCGAAGATATCTAGGAACCCAAAGAATGATGTTCGACTATAAGTTGGTCATGGTCAAGACTGAAGATCAAGAATGAATGGATAGTGACAAGGGTCCACCACAGAGGCAAGCAGTATACGTGGCTGGTGAGGCCGATGTGCAACTGCGCCAACATTTGTTCCCAGTATGAAAGTCTTGGATTTTTCTTAGGCAGGAGGAGCACCCTGGGTGACGTACCTGAGCTACGTACAGCCGCCCGTAACTGACGCCTTAGGCTCTCGGCCCTCCCCTTCTACCGCAGCCAGTCGCCCAACCAAAAAGTTGAAGCTTCTCACGTGACTTGTGCACGGGACATCAATTGCTACTTCGTACGAGTACTCGTCCGAATTGTGGCTTGACGGGTGCCATGGGAAGTGGGTCGTGGTAATCCGAGGTCAAATACGAAGCACGAATACGGGGATGAAAAGTGCCCGAAATCAAGTATGGTTGGAGGCGAGGTGTCTTTCCTGGGGCGGGTCAGCAAATCTCCGTATTCAATACCTGATCAGAGTGAGCTACCAAGGTACTTACTCGGTACTCCTAATAGGTACCCTTCCTCCTGCCCTCGGCCCCATTAGGATACTCACAGATATCTCGACCGCATCGATCGTATCAACTAGACTTTTATTTCCCCGAGCGTTTCATTCAATCTGCCGCATCATCCTTCAGTCTCGGCCATCTGCTATCAATAGATATCCTCTGGTGTCCCCTCCGGTGGAGGCAACGACATCATATGACTCCACTAATGGATTCAGAATTCGGAGGCTTTGTGCCTTTGCCCTCAAGACCTACGAGGTACTCGAGAATGCAAGCATTCAGGCTCCAGGCGATGCAGCCAGACATCCTTCCTCTACTTGATCTGGGTACAAGGGCCAATGGAGTACTGGACGAAAAGCATGACCGTTACCACTAGAGAGCTAGGTTTAGGTGAAAATAGAGTTCTTCAAGGGAAAGCTATCCCACAGAACGAGGTGGCTGAATTGCCCTGTCCGTACATCGGGGATCAAAGCAATGCTCATGCTGAACCCTATTTCACTTAAACGATCTGCGACCTAAAGCTTCCCCTCAGAACTTCTTGGACTTGTACAAACTCAATTTCCTACGAAATCCGAGAGTCTTTCCACCTCAGCTATTTGTTTCAGCTTTGGTGGCCATGTCTTCTCCCATCCAAGACTATCAATTCCAAAATGACCCTCTCGTGGACAATGTAAGCAGTTGATGGCCCACCTCGGATTTTGGGATATTTGTTGACAGGAGCCGTCGAAGTCCATGGGTGATGACAATGACTCAGCACTTGGCGAATCAATAGCAGGGTCGTTGTATACAGCGTCCTTAACCTCGTCAGTGTTCAATTACACCTACGAGAATGGTCGTCGTTATCATGCCTATCACGCCGGTAATTATGTCCTTCCCAATGACGAACAAGAGCAAGACCGTCTGGAATACACGCATCATTTATATCGATTGCTCGTCGGCGGAGCCTCTTATCGAGCACCTTTACTCGATCATAGACCACAAAGAATACTTGACATCGGATGCGGCACAGGGATATGGTGCATCGATGTAGCAGATGAATTTCCGGAAAGCTCGGTCATTGGCGTTGATTTAAGTCCGATTCAGCCTTCTTGGGTCCCACCTAACTGCAGGTTCTATGTAGACGACATCGAAAGAGAATGGACCTATTCTCCTGCCGAGCATTTCGACTATATTCATGCCAGAGACTTGATAGGTTTCATTGGTCCCTGGAAGCAACTGCTTTCCCACATTTTCGACAATCTCAAGCCTGGTGGCTTCTTCGAAATCCAAGACTGCACCACTCCACCAGAGTCCATTGATAGTGGTCTCGACCTTGTCCCAGACCTGGTACAATGGCAACTAAAAATGTTTGAAGGAATGGCAATGCTAGGAAAGGAAAGCCCGGGAGATGCCTATGGGATACAGAGCTATATGACTGAAGTGGGATTTGTTGATACTCATGTAGAAATTCACAAGGTATGTCAAGATCATTCTCAACTTCATACTGTAGCCATTTTGGAAGAGAGATCTAATAAAGGCATTCTAGGTTCCTATAGGCCCTTGGGCCCAAGGAAATAAGCATAAAGAACTTGGACTTATCTTACAGGAACATGTCTCGGACTCTGTGGAACCATACACCATGGCCGTGTACACCAGAGCATTAGGCTTCAGCGCCGAGGATGCACAGGCCACTGTCGAAAGAGTCAAAAACAACATCCAGAAGACCGAGGCGCATCTATATCTGTCTTATTATTTCTTATGGGGACAGAAGCCATTTTGAGCATGTTTAGCCATGGATTTGGAAGCATCACTTATCTGTGTGTATGTATGTGAAACATCAGTGGTTCGGGAAAGGAATGATTGCTTAGCAACTTGCTAGCTACGACTCTACGACATTTGTTGAACTGGAAGGGCATCAGCGCTGGGATTGTTTTCCGTCGACGCAGATAACAGGACGTCGTCGAGCAAATGCACTAGGACTAACGGCACAGACTACCTACAGAGGAGGAAAATCTTGAATGTACAAACGTGGGCCCAGGAACTAGCATTGGTTGAATGCTATAATGACCACATTCTAATACACACATTGCAACGAAAAGCCTTCTAGATTGTGCGTGCATCGCATCCATGCTAATCCATGCCCATAAAGCATCGTGCCTTCCGATATATCAGGACGCCGCGTGCCTTCTCAACTGCTTTATCAAGGTGTCACTTCCAACCCTCAACCATCCCCGTCAAACTTCCAATGGCTGCTACGACTCTTGACTTCCCTCAAGTTACACAAACACCTCGTCCGCCAGCTCTCTTCAGAAACATCACTTCGATACCTAGGTAACAACACTCGTGTTGGCCAGCTATCAGCTCAGCCCTTGGAGATCACAAACTGGCATATGGTCGATTGCAAATCAAGCATCGAGCCATCACCATGCCGGATCCTCTTGTACCTCCGTGTAAGCTCCATAACCACAATAGAATGGGAGCTCTTACCTAACCTTTGTCATTGCAGTTGTATTCGCCAGATCCAATCCATGTATCATGCACTGTCTGCCCTCTTTGTCTTGCAGGGGCATGCTGACGGATTGCCTCCAGATTACATGTTGAATTCGAAGCAAATGAAGAGGCATCGGCGGAATCTGAAACGAGATGGTATGGTGTCCCTACTGCAGGATGGCAAGTGATTTACTGAGGTTGTAGAGCGGAGAAAGCGTGAGACCCTTGCCGTGTATAGCGACGTTCTTGCGGCCTATGGCGATGCTCTTCACGTTGCCCATCGTAACACTCCCGGTGCTGGACTTGACGGCCTTCTCTCTGTTTGGAACAAGGTTCTTCAAACCTGGAATGCTGTTGCTGGACAGGTGGAGAGTGGCAGGTTCAGAGAGATTGACAATGACGAATTGCATGAAAATGCCGACCTGACCATCGAACCTCGTGACAACGAGAATGGCGAGTTTAATTTCAATTTCAATGAAAACTTGAACGGCAATGCTGAAGAGAACGACGATATCAACATCAACAACAAGGAAAATGCCATCATCAGGGAAAGAGAGGAAGATATGTCACCCGCCAAATCGAACAAAAAAGACGTGCAGCATTATAACATCTCTGTTCTGAACTGGCTCAGGGAGACAGAACAAGCTGCAAGGCCTGCAAGACAGGCAAAAGTCGAGAAGTATCTGGCAGGAGAGGTCTGATGCGAAACGATGCTGAGGAAGTTGCACATCTCGAAGAGCTGCAACGTGATCATTTGATGCTGAAGGAAAATATTTTATTGTCTTGATAATTCCGGTATGGATAGCTGTACAGGTCGTGAGTTAACTATGTATGATGATCTTCCGCTGGCAGGACACCACTGCACACCCCACCTAATGAGATCAACGGCCAACAATGGATGGGTTTTGCCATTGTCAGACCGTCCTCTTTTCGACTAGCCCTAAAATGCATGTCAGAGTGTCACTTCCCATTGGCGTTCGTCGGGTTTTCGACACGGAGAAGGGGAGCGTCCCTAATGACATCGGACTACTTGAGCTGCTTGAACAGCTGGCCGGCGGCGCACTGTGTAGCACAATGTTGAAGGTGGAAAACTGGGAACATAGTCAGCACGAACAACTCATTGCGGCTTTTCGAAGATAACCGCGTGGAAATCTCAACATACATTCTTCAACGCAGTCTTCCTTGGGACCCTTGTGGTCGGGATCCTCGCTGGCAGCAGTAACTCGCTCGACGCACTCATCGTAGTGGTGCTTGTAGCCGGAACACTGGGCGGAACGGGCACAATCTGATTTTCAAAGGAGTGTCAGCTCGGTCGTGAACATCTGTCAATCGACGCCCCGCAGGGCGGGAACGAAGTTCTCTCGACAGAGAAGATATTTATTGGACAAGAAAGAACCTACCCTCTTCCAGCTTCGGCTTGGGATCAACGGGCTCCTCTTCCTCTTCCTCCTCCTCCTCTTCTTCTTCCTCGTCATCGTCATCACCGCCTTCCTCGTCGTCTCCCTCGCCCTCAGCAGCTTCGCCGTCCTCGTCGCCGTCTTCCTTCGACTCCTCGCCGCCGTCCTCGGCTTCCTCATCGTCCGCGGGAGCTTCGGCGTGCGCTTCCTGCACGAACGATACTGAGCTCATCAGGTCCGAGAAGAAATCGGTGATTCCCATCGCTGCGGTTGTTTGGTGGGTAGGGGGGGTTTTGATTAAAAGTCGAGGTGTTCTAGAGGAGAGAGAGAAAGGTGTTTTGGGGCTCCGCGAGCAGGCGCTGCGTGCAGGGGTTTTGTGCGGTCGTCGAGATGCTCAACCTGAGTAGATGAGCTTCAGAGTTCGAGAAATGAACGGCCTCCCCTTCAGAGAATTTGTGGAAGGAAATAGGGTGAGCGTTGCAAGTGAATGTCGAGATACGGAGTAATTGTGAACCTTGAAGGTAGCTTTGATTTTAGTCCATAAAATTGAATCGATTGTGATTGGTTAAGAGGGATCTGAGCTTTGAGATCACGTGTTGGAGTTAATGGGTCACTCGAGCCCGACTTGATCGTGAAGCTTTTTATCCATCTTCTGGAAAATTCGTAATAGGGTAAGTATAAAATCTAAGGATTTCAAAAGATCTAATCAGTTACAGGAGGTATGAGCACTGCCTCGCCTCTCGTAGCTCCAAGTTTGCTAACCCAGCACCTGAAAACACCCTGCTCGATATTAAATACACAGTCACCGACGTGGCTCGAGTGCTTCAACCTATGATTGAGTCTGCGAGAACCTTCGATCCAACTCTGCTTGTATGCTCTGCTGTTGAGTCTCTTCGTATCCAGGAGGTGCATCAGATGGCGGCTGTGCGTCTGGCGCCGGTGAGCCTGTCCTTCTCGCTCCGGCGACGATTGTCGGACTTATGGATCCCGGTGATTGAATGAGGTCATCCGCATCTGTGGTTGTAATGACCGGTGCTACCCTGTCGTGCCCCGATTCTTGGTATGATGGTAGCTGGTCCAGATGTACATTCTCCAGGTTCACGTCCCCAAGGTAACTATCCTGTCGTCGACCAGTCTGATTCTCAGCACGAGCCGCAGAAACGACTTGCTGCAACCTCTCTTTGATTCGTTTGAATGCAGGGCTGAAATCTGTCACTCCACCCTCCTTGAAGGTCAATTTCAGCTCGATGGCTGCCTGCGTGCTGGGAAGATTACCCCCTGGTACAGGTTGTAATACCGATTGCCATGAGTTTGGTCCAAACCAAGGGAATACTGGATGAGAATCATGAAGATTGAGAAGCGGTGCTGAGAATGATTGGAACTCGGGGGTGGCCTTTTCGGGAAGATAAACAATCTGTTGCATCAGTCAGCAGGGCGGAAGGAGGTCTACATCGACTTTTCATGTATTTACCCTCTGATTGGTCAGATACGCAATGCCTGAATTGCAATGAATAGACAACGGGTTGTTTCCAGGATAAGTGGTCGGAGTAGTTAGAGCTAGAGCTATTCTTGGTGAAGATGTGTGAATGATTCGCTCTCCAGGTAAACGCACAAATCCCTGCGAACCATCAAGCATAACCCAACTGGGACATTCAAGATTAGCGAGGATCCAACGATCGGTAGTTGAACATACTTGATGGACATGGCTTGAAAGGCGAGCCAGGCTCAATCTTCAATACAAGGCTCGCAGATCCTCGAGTGGTGGTATATCAACGTTGCCAATCGCAATAGGCTGCTGAGTTGTCTTCTTAGAAGGGGCGTCTGAATGGCATAAGCACGCTTGTGGAGTACAATTGCTCAGTTAAGATTGAATATGACCGTGCTCTTGTGCAATAGGTTTCTGAGTCAAGTGCGCCAACACTCGTTCTCGTGGTGAAAGGCTAAGAGGATATGCAGAATAATAAACTTGATCACTTGAAGTCTGACATTCGTAGATATTGAATGATGACTGTGGAACGTTGATGGTGGCGGCAGGTGCCACTGGACTCGGGCGTCAAGTTCAATGTGCTTGTGACGGCGATGCCAAGAAGGAGGGATATTGCCCCGCCTGGGCCTTTGCCTCTCGGGCTGCCCTAACAATTGATCGAAGGCGCTTCGTTCATCATGAATTCGTATCATCAATCATCAATATAGATACTCCGAGCCTCCGTAACAGGAATCGCTAGATTCATGTTCCCCTTCTCAATATCTGAAATGTACATGCTAAGTCGAAAACTTCACCTCATGCAGGCATTGCACTCGAGTGCGATGACACACTATCACCTTCTGGTCGGAGGGGCATAGTGGCAGTGTTGTCAGCCCCGGCCCCCAAGGCTGCCACAATTCAAGTTTCGTCCCTACCTGTTTCACTCTTACCTTTCTTGTTTAAAATATCTGCCTGAGGTCTCGTCTGAGTCGTTTCGACTTCCCGATTCTTGTTGTTGCGATTTGCACTTCAAATCCCATGTAATTGTACACCGAAGACAGAGTGTCCCTTTTGTCGCGTTGAGGCGTCACCAGTGAGGCTGTTGCTCAACAATTCAGACTTAATTGAGTGCAAGATTGTGAGCCTTGTATGCTGCATGATCGTTAACGAAGACCGACATAGCAATGCTGCGTATTAAGAATGCAATCTTGGGGGATAGTGGGACAACAGATACTCTTCCCACGGTGACAGAAGGAGAGCCTACTGCCCGTGACCAACTCCCGGCCTTGCTCTCTCCGTCACTTTCAATTCATCAGGACAACACACCAGTGCAGGGAGTACCACACTGGCTACGCGAATTGAACAGATCCCGTGCCATGAGACACAGTCGAGCTTCTTCTATTGTCTCAACGCGCACCAAGTTCTCCACCACCACTCTGCAAGAAGATGCCCAAAGTATCGATATCAATGTTGCTGGTCAATATTTTCGCATCAGTCGTGATGGCTCTCGGATCACAGTCGACGAGCCTCCACCCTACACTGGCCCTGGTGTGACTGTTCGTTTTGGAAGTGGGCAGACGACTCCTGTGAGTCGTACAAGTGCGCTGAGTGAGGACATCCGAGGTGACGATGACAACCTGTCGGAGACAGAGGATGGGGCCACCACTCCCAGATCAACTATAGCACACATCGGCACAGAAATACTGGTGGGCGCCAATATTCTAGATCCTTCCGAGTTCGAAATGCCATCCCCAGTGGGCCCAGACCAGCTCACGCATCGGTCGTCAACTAGAACGTTGGTCGGATCAGAAAGACAGAACGCGTTGAATGACTCGGAGCTGTCACAGAATTCCGATGAAAGTCAGGGCGATGAGAGATGGCAGGAAAGGACTCCAACCTCGCGTACCAACCTGCCGCCTCTTAGAGCACCGACAGTGCACTCACTACCAGCCACACCAAGCAGGCGTATGCGCTTGCCTGCCCTTGTGACATCCAACAGTACAGGCACCCTACCAACCTCTATATCACGTCCTTCCTCCCAGAGGTCTGGTAATCTACCTGCTCTTCCTGAAACTCGGTCGGCGGGTCCTGTGTTATTCAGATCACAATATGAACGCGAACCCAGGTCACCAGATTACATTGGACAAAATGCTAGGGGGATATTTCCCCCAACACACGGTTCGAGCACTGTTCGAGCAACCACTTTCTTCAATGTCCCACGAGAGATCGAAGTGGGTGGTGGACTGAGGACAGGGCGGTCCGACATTGAGAGTGCCTCTGGAAGCTACACTCCATTGTCAATGGACACGGAAAATGATATCAGCATGCACTATGCCCGGATGATGCGGAAGCTGGATTACGCTCATCGCAAGGCATTGCATCTCAAAGACAAGGAACTTGCAGAAATGCGGGAGCGTCTCCATGAGAAAGACACTGTCCTGAGGCAGCAACTCCGCGCCAAGGACTTTATGATTGACGATCTGAAACAACGACTGAGCAATCTTGAAGAGAACGTCGAGGTAATGCTCGAGAAAGCGCGCAATCAAGTCGAAGATCTGTGGGAATGTCGTTGGAAAGACCGCGATTTTCATCTCCGAGAACGGATGCGGAGGATAGAAGAAGAAGCACAGAAGGTGGTTGACAACATCAAGCCTCGAAATGCAAAAGCGGATGCACAAGATGCCTCCAAGCCATCGATTGTGGCAACTTGAATACCAAGGACGAGCCACTCAGGATGGGCCTCAACATGAGAGGTTAAGGCTACCATTTGGGAGTGGATACAAAAGGTTTATGGACCCTGGCAAAATGTTGGGAGATGCAATAATAGTAATGCAGGATTCTCAAACATCTACGAAAGATATGGATTTATGTTAATATACGAGGTTGCCACTTATCTCATGATGGTCCAGCCAGGGAATATTGTGTCAACAATCCCTCTGGAGCGATTCTCCAGAATACCTCTACTTCCATCTCCTTGTAGGATTACTAACTAATGGAGTAAGGTTAGACGCAGATCCTGTATCATGATAAAGTGACCAGTGAGTACGAGACTCATCAAGATCACTACAAGAAAACAGCTTGGCCAGAAAAGTGTTCTCAGCGTTGTTGAGGGCTAAACACGGGAAGGAGAGAGGCTCTCTCATGGCCATTCCACCGCGGTTAACCACGAAGCGAGCTAAGGACGGTTAGCGATAACCCCCGAGGGTCCTATCGGCCACTTCCTTAGGCATGGAGCCCCGCCAATGTGGCACCGACTGCCCCAAACGAACTGGTCGAGGGGTGGCCTCAAGGATTTTCTTCCGTGACCTCACAGGCCTTCGCAGGCAAACTCGAACCCCACGTCTCAACGATACCCAAATGTTGCTTGGGCGCGCTGGTAAATGTCTCAACGACTTCTACTTCCTACCAACCACGTCTTGTGACAAGGTCATTTATCTCTAGTAACAGTCTGTATACCAGAAAATCGCCCCGATAATCTCACGTGCTCCGTTCGGTTTACTTTTCAAGATCTCCGGTGCCGTCGGATGATATCCAGCTCACAGTAGCCCCCCCGTCTCAAGGCGGAAGAGTTCTATCGGCCGTTGATAGATCTTCTGCTCTATCCTGTCTTCCAAACACCCTACACTCCTAGCCCACCATGGCGAACAATACGGACACCAAGCCCGCACCAAAACGTGGCAAGAAGAGGGGAAACAAGTTGCAGATACCATGGCTTTACGATTTAGTCTTGTGGTCAATGTCTGTTCTGATAGACCTCTTCTTTCGAGAGGTCTACCCTCGAGGTGCCTGGAAAGTACCCAGGACCGGACCTGTCATCCTGGTAGCGGCGCCTCATGCAAATCAGGTAAATCCATGATACCAGGGTCGTTATTAAAGAGTCGTGCCCTGACCGCGAACTATAGTTTGTTGATTCCTTGGTCCTGATGAGGATCATGAAAAGTGAAGCAAAGAGACGCATCTCGTATTTGATAGCAGAGAAGTCTACAAAGCGCAAGTTTATCGGATCTCTGTCCACAGCCATCGGGGCAATTCCAGTGGGAAGAGCTTTGGATAAAGTGAAGCCAGCAACAGGAAAGATATTCCTTCCCGATCAAGACAATGACCCTACACTTCTCCAGGGAGTCGGCACGGATTTCACAAACGGCCAATTCGAAATCGGAGGCTTGATCGTGCTACCTAAAGTCAAAGGTCAATCTCCAAGCACCGAAATCGCCGAGATTTTATCACCTACCCAACTACGGTTGAAGAAAGCTTTCAAAACTCCCGAAGCCATCGAAGCTCTGACATCGAACGGTTTAGAAAGTGGAAAGAATACCCCTGGTGGTAGTAGTGGACCAAAAGTCGAATCTCGCGGGACCAAGTTCAGCGTGGCTCCATTTGTGGACCAGACAAAAGTGTATAATGCAGTCTTCGAAGAGCTTGATGCCGACGGGTGTATTGGTATCTTCCCTGAAGGTGGCAGTCATGATCGACCGGATTTGCTTCCATTGAAAGCAGGAGTAGCAATCATGGCTCTCGGGGCTTTGGCCAACAATCCAGACTCTGGAGTGAAGATCATCCCGATCGGAATGAATTATTTCCATGCTCATAAGTTTCGGTCGCGGGCTGTCATCGAATTTGGACATCCTATCGAGGTTCACCCTGATCAGGTCGCAGCGTATAAGGCCGGAGATAGGAGAAATGCCGTTGGTTCACTCCTCGAAACCGTCTTCCAAGGCCTAGTTGCGGTAACACAGACTAGCCCGGATTACGATACGCTAATGCTTGTCCAAGCAGCTCGCCGTTTATACAACCCGACAGGCAAGAAATTGCCTTTGCCATTAGTTGTGGAACTCAATCGGAGGTTGGTTCAAGGCTATACACAGTACAAAGACGATCCACGGGTCATGAAGTTGAAAAAGGATGTTTTGGACTACAATCGTCAACTTCGAACCATGGGTATCAGGGATCACCAAGTCGAATGGGGTAATGCCGCCAGACGACCATGGTGGCTAATCCTAGGCATTTTGCTGTACAGATTGGGAGAACTTCTGTTTCTCGGAATCTGTACTCTGCCTGGTCTGGCGATGTTTTGGCCGGTTTTCGTCACTACCAAGGTGATCTCGGTCAAAAAATCCAGGGAAGCTCTCGCAGCCTCGACGGTCAAATTACAAGGTCGGGATGTCATAACTACCTGGAAGCTGCTAGTGGCAATGGCATTTGCACCAGCACTTTATGCATACTACACCATTATCATTACTGCTTGGTTGGTGTACAATCGAAGGGATGGCTACTACACACACCAGGTGCACTGGTTACTGAGAGCACATACATATGTGCCTAACATCATGCCTACATGGCTATTCTCAGTCTTGTTTCTCATTTTATGCATCAGTATCACTTTTGCAGCCTTGAGAATGGGGGAGAGAGGAATGGATGTGGTCAAATCCCTCCCACCACTCTTCGCCGCCTTGGATCCCCGGTCATCGAGCCGCCTCATAAAGCTGCGAGAAAGTCGGCAAAGACTGTCTGCCGAAGTGACAGATGTGATCAATGCACTTGGCCCAGAAGTATTCCCCGACTTTGACGCCAGCAGGATTGTGGCAGATCCTTACAAGGAGGGAGCATACCAATCAAGCTATAAAGCAATGCCAGAAGAGCCAAGAATCACTGGTGCAACAGAACCTACTACTCCTACATCTGGTGCCATGGAGGACAAGACTCCCGGAACGCCGACTGGAAAATCTTTTGGTCTACTGCCACGCAATGAGTCATTCGGCAATATTGGTACGTTTGGATTCTTTGCATCACGACCCGCTACTCCAAAGAGTCGCAGCCGGAGCAGTTCTGCGGGCGGAGCCCTAGCAGCTCCGTCCATCAAAGGATTTAGCACTTTGGATGGCAAGGCGAGCTTTGATGAGGTGAGTAGACAGCTTCGTGGAGCGATGCGAGAACGAGGTCGTAAAAGAGGCGAGAGCGAAGGTGGCGAGAGTCATACAGAAAGTAGTTGGGACATGGCGTCGGATGGACAGATGACACCACCGACAGAGGACGAGGAACCGAAGAAGGAGAGATGAGGGTAGCATTTGCATAAAGGTGGAAAGCCTGATGGAGCAATGAGGCTCAAGTGGATCATGCAGATGGCGGAGAAAAGCAAGGCCTGACTGTTTTTGAAGTGTTTTGACTTTGGTTCTTCTATGATCACGAGATACTCCTGTTTTATGCTTTAGCGAGTTCAATAGCATGTATGATTCATCCCATTTAGATATGGGTCCCACCTGAACATAGACAGTTCGGGAACCAACTCGTTGATCCAAGAACTGGGGCGTGACACGTGACTTTGTTATGTCAGCATGGTAATAGCGGCGGTGATTACGACTCCAAATCAAGGCAACGGGTGGTTGATGGCCTGTGGCGGCAATCACTGGCTTGACAGCCTGAAACTGGCTTTCACATTGGCCTCAACTTGCGCACGGGCAACTTTCAAGGCACCAGAACACGATCGACAACAATAATCAGGCACCAGTGCCTCCTCTTTACTTCCTGTCGTCACTTCGAGCCTCAGCTACTCGTGTTCTTCATGTCTCCAGCGATTCCCACCATTTGATTCTACTGCCAGACGTCTTGAGTGATGGTCTGTTTTCCACTTCAACTTGTCCCACTATTCGTCCGGTCCCTTCCAATCTCGTTGTTACACCCGGATGATTAATCTCCTACCATCGACGACAGCATCTCGCAAGCACCTCGTATGCTTTGCCGTTACCTCTTGACGTGGTACCGCTCTTATTGGTGTTTGTCGACCCGTTAGCCCATCTCATTACACGCTTTCTTCTCCAGCGAACCGAGCGGAGCAACAATAATACTACACCACAATCATGGATCCATACAACCATTCGAACCTCGACTCCAACCAGACTCCCTACCCATCAGGTTCAAACTTGGCTCCCTTTCGTCTGGACGAGGGTTTCTCAGAAGAGACCGCAAGCCAGGATGACCGCAGTATCTTTGCGGCCACGGCTGCTCGTTTTCAAGAATGGGTTATGGCACAGGATGAGCACGCGCGGGCTGAGATTGCGTATGAGGTCCTACGAACCCTCCGAACTTCAAACATAGCCGCCGTTGTGGAAAGACTCACACCACTCCTGCATATGGACCCGATAGAGAAGCTCCCTCCCGAAATCACTTCTCAGATCTTCTCCTACCTCGAGGCTAGCACCTTGTTGACTGCCTCGCTGGCATCTCAGACATGGCGAGCGCGTATCATGGACACGATGCTCTGGCAGGAGTTATACAGAGGACAAGGTTGGGGTGTTGACTCGTCCGAAGTAAAGGCCTTCGAGAATGCTCATGCCATCTCGTCGAGGCGAGACATTAAGAGAGCTCGTGGTCCGCGGCCTGGTCAACCGCAGCTCAAGAAACGTGCCACATCAGACTGGTTGGACTCGAGAGGTCGGAAGGCCTCTGCCGACGTGTCACAGTGGCGTGAGCAGCATGGTGTGGTCGAGGCGGATATCGATATGCAATCCGAGACGGACGATCAGGAAATGCAAGATGCCCCACTCAGCGCCCACAACTCACCTCAACGTCCGAACAAGAGACATAGTCATGACTCTGATAATGACATGGATCAAACATCTAGTCCTTCGGAAGCCACGTCTGACGAAGAACTCTCGCGCAAATCATCAGCTCCCCATAACGAAACTCAGTTCAAATCCCAGTTAACAGTACAACCGAACATGCGTGGGGAAAGGCTTAGTTGGCTGCATCTGTACAAGCAACGCCAGAAGTTGGAGCAGAACTGGACCAATGGTCATTATGCCACGTTTCAACTTCCCCATCCATCCTATCCCAACGAGGCACACACAGAGTGTGTCTATACCATACAATTCTTCGGAAAATGGCTTGTGAGCGGCAGTAGAGACAAGACTTTACGAGTTTGGGATCTTGAGACTCGTCGACTAAGGGGCAAACCACTGGTCGGTCACTGCCAATCAGTATTGTGCCTACAGTTTGATCCTACTGAAAAGGAGGATGTCATCATTTCCGGTAGCAGTGATTCTAGTGTCATCATCTGGCGGTTCTCTACCGGGCAAAAGATTGCCGAGATTCCAGGTGCTCACGAAGAATCCGTTCTGAACTTGAGGTTTGACCGTCGTTACCTTGTGACCTGCTCCAAGGATCGACGCATCAAGATTTGGAATCGCAATCAATTGACAGCAACAGACCCAGACTATCCTAGGATCAATCGTGAGAGTAGCGCTCGAGTACCAACCTATATCGTTAACCCAACAGAAATGGAACCTTCCCTGCTAGAAGCAAGATTGGCTAATGGCACCATTCGAACTTTGAAACCTTACACATTGCTGTTAACACTTGAGGGCCATGGTGCTGCGGTAAACGCCATCCAAATAAACGGTGATCTGATCGTCTCCGCCTCTGGTGATAGACTGATCAAGGTCTGGAGTGTCAAAGATGGTCGTCTGTTACGTACACTACAAGGGCATCAGAAAGGAATCGCTTGTGTACAATTCGACAGCAAAAGAATTGTCAGCGGAAGCAGTGACAATACAGTTCGGATTTATGATCCATTCACTAGTGCTGAGGTGGCCGAGTTGAAAGGCCATAAGAATCTGGTCAGGACTGTACAGGCCGGCTTCGGTGATCTTCCTGGAAGTGAGGAAGAAGACACTGCAAGGGCTCGAGAAGTGGAGAGAAAATATCTCGAAGATGTAGCTAACGGTCTCATCGTCGAAGACAGATATTATAGCCGCCGCATTAGGAATGGGGAGTTGGGTTCTTCTCGGGTTGCATTAGGATCGAAGCTTCCTCCAGGTGGTGGTGGTAGCAAGTGGGGGCGTATTGTGTCGGGATCATACGATGAAACCATCATCATCTGGCGGAAGAATGCCCAGGGTGATTGGGTAATTGGTCAAACCCTCCGCCAGGAACCTCATGGTCAAGAGAACGGAAATCCTCGTGCAAGAAATGCACAACCGCCGGTAATTCAAAGCACCTTTCCTCCAGTCCCGAATGCTCTCGCCACTGCTCCAGCTCCAACTCCAGTTGTGGCTCCAGTCCTAACACAAACACCTCAACCGACTGTACTGGTACCGCCACCATCGACGCACGGTGCTGCTGGAGTGGCACGCCCGGCTGTGGTTTCTGCTTCACAAATCATGCAGCAGGCTATGAGCACTTCCATGGCAAGCCTCGGTGTGGGTATCACCAATGCCATGGCAATTGCGAACTGGCGCCAGTTGCCTGCATCAGCCAGAGCCGGATCATCTTCTAGTTTCAGCAATGCCTCGAATTTGACGCATGCAGCCCAGGCCTCTATTTCCCAAGCTGTGCAGCAGGCGTTCATTGCACACAGCAATCAAGGACCAAGCTCAAGTCCAGCTCAACAGGTTCACCAAGCACCTGCAGTCACTCCGGCTCCTCAACAGCAGCAGCAGCAACAACAACCGCCTGTTCCCGCGCCACAAGTTCCAAACCAAGCGGGCGCCCAAAACGCTCAAGCTCAAGCTCCTGCCGCCCAGGCTCAACCTGCTATAATCCAACCCCAAGCACAACCACAAGGTGCTGCACAGCCACAACAGACAGTATCTCGAGTATTCAAATTGCAATTCGATGCGCGTCGTATTGTCTGCTGTTCACAGGATAGCCGAATCGTGGGTTGGGATTTCGCCAATGGGGACCCAGACGTCATTGAAGCCTGTCGATTCTTTACTGGCCCATGAGGGTAATGTACAAGATTGGTGATATTGCAGGCTTCAAGTCATCTTGGAACGTCTGAGGCCTCCATAGTCTTCGCCAAGTCCTTCAAATCGAAATTATCATCTAATATTCCAATGACGCCCGTCACGAGCCTTTTTAAGTGAACGGAGGACCCGGTGGCGGGACAGTCACACAGATGGAAAACGAAATGTCCGAGATGTTCGGAGTGCTGAATATTTCCTTTCTGATTTATTTTTCAAGGAGAACACACAGCTGGATCTCTATCTGACCTGCCTGGACATGTCATGCGACGAAAGCAGACGATCTCCATATCGATCATTGACAGGTCACCACATAAGTATGTGAGTCAAGCTTGATCATCAGAATTCAATCGCGTAACATTATGCATGCATGCATGGGGGGTGCATGGATGCATTGCGTGCCTACACTATCATTATGCTCAGTCTACGACGAACAAGCAGCGCCGTTTGCAATCCGTCACGTTTAGTTAGTAACCCCAGCAAGCAAGCATGCAAGTGGGAACCACAGTTATCCCGGGGATTATATCATGCTAGGTAGCGCAATCCCAGAACATCAACAGCATTTTTGTTGGCAGCTAAACTTGATTTCCTCGCAATGAATTTCCATTTCGGGTTCCTCTTCATCCCCGCGTAAGATACCATGCTTGATCATATCAATGAAACCGTGACCCGTCCGTTAGGCTGAGGCTGAAGGACTCCCATTGAGAGAATCCGTACTCCCTAGGTAAATATGTACTACTACTGTACAACCGGTCCCTCCCTACCTACCTAGGTACCCCGGGCTCTGGTCGAAGAGTATTTCCCACATGTATCCGTACCTCGTACTGCGGCATCTGCGGCGTCTATCGCGCAACATGGGCTGGCTGGATGGCTGGAAGGGCTGGCTGAGCTCGAGGGTTTCATTGGTTGTGGCTATACAGATGCACTCTACCCGAGACCTAATCATCCGTACAAGTATTTATCTGGCTGTGCGTGCTCGGTGGGCCAGTGGTAGCTCGGCAATTGGTTCAAACAATAAATTAATGAATTAATTGGGCGCGGCGGGCTGCTCAAGCTTTGTACTGGGTGGGAAGCACTTACTTCACTTGAATACGAGGTACTGATTGTTGAAGTGCATGAGTTCGAAGCGGCTGGAGATATTATCTCTGCCTATTCATCCAGAACCCAATTCATTCTTCCCCCTCATAGATTCAAAACCTCTCTTACGTGCACTGCATTTGATAGACATCTCCTCAGAGACTAGCTGGCATCCAGCCGTCCTCCACCGTGGCTCAGCCTTGTGGTACTTCAAACACTCCTCCCGTCAATTTACTCCTTACCGCACCTTCCTAATCCCAGTTCATGACATCCTGCATACCAATACCTGCACCTAGTTTCATACTTATATTCATAATCATATCTCACCATGATGCCGGCATCAAAGCTTGACTCAAACATATCAATACGCTTTCAAAATTGTCCACCGACAGATTGTTCACAATTGGTTACCATCACCATCACCGGTGCGGTTGCCCGCCCACTGGAACACCTTGTTCGTCTTCTTCAACAGCCTCAATGATCTGGCCTATGCCACCCTGAGTAATCTGATCGGCTTCCCATCTGCGCCGTCTAACGTTCGCGTGACGGCCGAACAGTCCTAAGGCTAGGACAGCAGGTACGGGCAACAAGGCGAGTACCGCTTGGAAGATCAAAGCTCGGTGCATATTTTGTGGAGGATCTGCACCATCACCAGCCTTGAGAGCGTCCATGATGACAATAAAAATGCCACCAAGGAGTTGACCACCACACCAACATAACGTACTGGCCAATTCCGGACCCAAGGGATAGTGAATCTCTACCAAGAACTCCAGAACAACCGGAACCATTCCAAAACTTGCGGCACCTAGCAAGGCGACTACCACGTACACAAAGGCCAATGATCGACTACCAGGGGCCCAAAGGAAAATCAGATAACTGATTCCAACCACGGGTACAGCCGACTTCATGAACAGAAGATAAAATTTGTATTTGTCCATGATTGGAGACGAGATGGCGGCAAAGACAAGCCCAACAACAATCAGGATGGCTCCGGCAATTCCAGCATTGTCTTCACTGAAGCCGTATGGCTCAAGGATTTGATTGATCAGACTGCTAAAGGCATTGAAGAGGCCGACGTATGTCGAATATGCTAGGAATATGATGAAAAATTCTGGGGAATGAAGGAGGACTTGAAGATCTTTCTTCATGGAGCTCAAGCCTTGGCTTTGTTCGTTGGAAGTAGCACCTGCTGAAGGTGGAGTCGGGGGTCGCGAAGGGATAAAGAAGGCGGGAATACATGCGATGGAAGAAATAATGGAGACGTATAAAACCAGGTTGGGAATATCCGAAGGCTTGTCGGCCCAAAATGGGGATATCAACTGACCAAGAGCGGCACCAAATGGGTTGGCAAGGGAGGCGACGGCAGTTGCAGCGGTTCGTCCTTGAGGACTGAACCATATGTTGCTATATGAGGTGGGAGAAGCCAAAACGAAGGGCTGAGCAAAGCCCAGCAACAGTTGGCCAAACATGGCGCCAGCGAAGCTGGCTTTGTAGGTGGCGCCGTATTTCACCCAACTGCCAACAAGGAGAAGGCCAGCGGAGATCATGATGGACATCTTGCAACCAAATCGATGCAAGATATAGGAACTGAAGGCAGAAGCTGGTACAAAGGCGAACAAATATGCTGTCGATAGCCAATTGATTTTGGATTCCGAGATGTTGAAGAACTGGGAAGCAGTATCAGAGACGGGAGCAAATGTGATCCAGCCCCAGGAAGCGACGATATTCAACAGAACCAGCTGGGTCAAACCAAAGAAGCGTCGTTTGTACACCTTGTATACAATGGTGTCGCTGGTGGAAATACGGGAGAGAGTGCGTGTTGGACGAATCAAGTGAGTGTTGTCGGCAACTGAGGCTTGTGAATCGAGGGAAGCACCGGATTGTGTTCGAGGGTGCTGAACCACATCTTTGACAGGTGGGTTTCCCATGTTTTCGAAGCTGCAAGAGATAAGAGCTGGAGGCTGATTGAGAAATATTGAGGTCTGGACGTTGACTTTGGAAGTTCCAAGGAAAGTCGCAAAGGTTGGTAGAAGAAGGGGCCTGCCTTCGAGTTCTTGGGGATCTCCAGAGTCCAGAGTGCTTTTGAAGCGAAAGTGACTATCATTATCTTGCCAGCATTGGACCTTGTTAAGCGATCAACCGAGGTGCTTTTGATAAGGCAAGCGATACCACTCTACCTGCCTAAGTGTTTGGATGGGAAGATGATACGGATACAGGTTGTCTGGATCGCCATGCGATCATGCGAATCACAAGAATGACGGGACCCATGGGGCCACTTTCAAGGTTTGAGTTAACGATGCTTGACAACCGGTGCTGTTTCTAGACAGGTTTAGTGTTTCGGACAGAAAGCTCCATCTGGGATCCATCCGTTCTACGCAGTACATTTCCAGAAGATGATCTCGTGACTGACAGCTCCAAGGTGGTGTTGGGCGTATCTCGTATCCATTGAAGATGGCAGTGGTACACGAGGGGAGCTTCGGGAGGTACGGAGTATGTATCTACGTATTATCCTAGTGGTGGACGATGTGGCTTTCTCATCATCTACATAACAACTGTTGGTGCTGACTTGTGTCTATCCAAGTCACTACCCCTAGAAATGCTCTTTTCAATACCTTTGGTGCCTACGAGTAAGTAGGTGCTAGGTAGCCAGAGCATGCCGGAACTAGAGCCGAGATACCCAAGGTACCTGCTGGGTGTCTGCCTGTCACCGCCACATTTACTTAAGCCACCCGGGCAATTTGGTGACGGAATCTGATGCTTATTAGGCGTCAAGGGCCCGAGGCCCTCTGAGTCTCTGACTGCACAGTCCACCATTGCTTCAAAGTCAAATTGGCAATTGGCATATGGTTTGACTGATGATGGGACCTTGCATAGAATACCCCATCTTCTCCCGTGCCGATATTACTTTTGTACGACTCTTCGGAATTCGATCAACCATCAAAGTCAATGAGATGCTTCTATCTATCCGTCGGTGGCACCTTCCACTGCCAGATGATTGATCAATTGAACCCCCTTAAGGAGACTCGTGGCATTCAGTTCGCCTAAGCTGGCTCCTTAGGCCGCGCTTGATCTTGAACCGGGACTGGTTGAGATTGCGCCCGAGTGGCCCCCATCCCGGTTTGCTGTCATCCGTCTCCCTTTTTCTTTCCTCTAACTTGAACAGTTGGCTCATTTCCAGGCTCAGCTGCCATCCCCTGCCCTCCTTTCTCCAGCGGCACTGATTTATCTGTACTAGCGAGTTACTAGAGGTAGTTAGTCGCTTCTTAAAAAGTTCGACTTCGTGTCTATCTCTGGACTACCGATACTCAATTATTGACGAGATTTCGGGTGTCTTGTCCTTTACGTGTTCAGCCTGCCCAGCCATACCGACACTCCTTCAACTGACTGATATTCGTTTCCAATTCTAATCCTGCCTCCCTCGTATTCGACTCACCTGTCATAATGCAACACTAAGTTACACACACTGTAAAGACCCAAATCATGAACAGGTTGAAAACATCCTTTCGATCAACATCCGATACCTGCTACCCCTAGGGTTCGATCCTTTGTCTGCTAGGAGTACTCTAGTCCCATTCACACCGATCCATCTGCCAAAGAGGAGGAAGGAAACAATATGCAACGATTTCAGTTCGGCCTTAGGCAGTCCGCCGAAAGCGTCGACGACAATCGCAGCCGTTATGTTCCCAGTTCTGTATACAGCGCAGGCGGTCCAGGACCAGCCGAGGATTCGCCTGCCGTCGACCAGACTCAGAGTTATATGTCGGGAGGATTACGCGGTCCCTTTGAAGAACAAACTCCTCGTTTCGCACCGGTAAGCCGTAAGATCTTGACTGTTGGCTCTCAAAACTGACAGCAGCCAGCCGAGTTTCCCACCCCAGAAGGGACCTCGAAATTCTACCCTTCTAAACATCAACGATCCCGTCGCCATGCATTTGTTGACAGAGACTGCAATCAGTGACAGCAGAGAATTCGAAATCTTGTCATTCGACGAAATAGAGCAGTTGAAGAGAGACAAAGTATTTCTCAGAGGCAAGATTGACACAGTGAAGCGGAAACTGGGCCTGGAAAGCAAATTACGAGATGCAGCACAATCCCTCAACCGTCTATATTCCACCCGCGAAACAGGAGACAACAACAACTCTCCCACCAAAAAACGTCGAAGCTTCCTAAATGCGAGGGGCTCGGCCAACGATACAGTCGCCCGAACTGATGATGAATACACCGCCAGTAACAAAAAGGTCGAGGAATTGAGCCGTGAATTGAAACAGTTGGAGATGCAGTTCGAGAATACCGAGAGGCGCATTTTGGAACACACAGCTGGTATTCTACAAATGACGCACAAGGGCCTCAAAAAGAATATCAGGCGGACCGAATTGCCGCGGAGTCCGGAGAGCATGACCAGTCAGATGAATGGTCGTGGCTCTGGTGCTATTGATGGACTTGATGACTTTGACGAGCGTAGCCTCTATCAGGTTCCGGACTATGTGACCGAGTTTGGAGCTGCCTCGGGTGCTCCCAACAAAGGCCGACCAATCAGTCGAGACACCCAACCTATAGATGACTTTGCGAACCGATTACAAGAGCTCAATTCCCGTCTTCATGCCATGATCACACAAGCCGGTCCACACGAACATTTCGATCCACCTCCTCAACCTACCGATGAACATGTTTCAGGTCGCGTGGGTGCTCAGATTCAGGCATATCTCGGCTACATGTCACAAGGTCTCGATGCTATGCAAGCAGCCCAAGCTCGTGCAACTGCAGCCGTCGAGAAATCCTTGGTGGATTCGGAGGATCAGGTTGAAGATGTCAATATACGTCTACAGGATATGCTCGAAAGGACAAACTCTGTTAGTCACAGCCCGCTGTTACCTAACGATGAGGCTCGTGGGAAGGATTTACAGTCTCAATTGGCCTTCTCGTCTGTTGTCCTGGAGCGTCTGAATTCAAGAATCGAAACTCTGGTCGAACAAAAAGACATTTTGACCAGACAAATTCAGCAGCAGCGTGAACTCAACAGCAAGTCGGATGCCCAGCGAGATGCTCATATTCATGATCTCACAGAACAGTTGGAGGGCTCGAAGAAATTACATGCCGTTCATGAGGAAGAGTCTCAACATTCTCGGGACCAAATCAACCTCCTCATGGAGCAACTGGATAGTGCAAAGCAAGAGAGTGTTCTTCTCGAGCAGCAACGGGGCGTCAACGACAGTAAGGCTGTGGAAATCGAACGATCAGCACGCAAGCAGCTAGAAGACAAACATCTCCAAGATTTGAAAGCAAGAGAGGATCAGCATGCCGCAATTTTGGTACAAATGCAAGGACTTGAGACGAGCAAGGCGGAAGCTGAGGCCGAGCTTGCAAAGTCAAAGGAAGAGATGAAAGCGCTCGAGGTGGAAGTTGTAAGAGCACAGACCGAATTGACCGTGGTCAAAGCTGAGCTGGATGGTGCCTATGGCACACGAGCTGAACGAGCGGCTGATGTTTCTATGAACCCTGCGGTGCAAAAGGAAATCGATGCACTGAACGCCCGAAACGCCGATATGGAGAGTCAATTGGAATTCCTGACGACACAGCATCAAACCAAGGGCACGGGTAGTGCGGAATTACAAAACAAAGTCAACGCTCTACAGCAAGAATTGAAGGATACCATCGAGGAGTACGAAGTCATGACGAAGCAGAGCATTGATGACGAGAAAGAGCGAGATCATCTCGAAGAAACTGTCGATACTCTTCAGCAACGATGTGAAACGCTTGAAATGCAACTCAATGAGGAGAAGTTGAAATGGATGGGTGTCAAAGCGGGTTCTTCCATGGAAACAATGTCAACAATGGTGTTGAAGAATGAATTCAAGAAAATGATGCGTGAGACACGTGCTGAGAATCTCAAGACGATCAGGGTGAGTGACAGGGTCGAAATCTTGTGTGCGTGAGGCCCATTCTAACGAATTTGCAGGGCGAGCAAGAAGAGCGACGCAGATTAGAAGGAATTATCAAGGGCTTGAAACGAGATTTGCAACAAACCACATCTCGAAAGGACATCCCAGCAGTCCAAAATGGTGGAATAGAAGCGCGTTAATCATTAGATGCCATGACTCTCACGACCCAATTTACGACATACGAGGACCATGGAGCAAGACCTACAATGGTCGAGAATGCTCCATGTTGGAGGGGTGTTAATACTAATTTGTATTGCATAGCGAATTCGGAATCTGTACCATTAGCTCCTCATTGGGCCCAGACAAGGGAAAAGGGCGAATTATTTTAATAGCACATTTATTGGAAATGCGTGCTAGGGGGCAAGGCTTGATCAAACAAACAGGAATATGGGTATTTCTATCATGGATAATTTGGAGCATTTTGATATACTGAGGTATGTCAATCACAAGAATCAACATCAACAAGACTTGAAACTGTTGGACTTTGTCAATCGTCGCTTCCTCAGTTCATCCGTTATGCAAATCATATGTCAGTCTCTCCGTCCGAAGCTCTTGCCATTGCGAGAGAGGTCCTCACCCATGCAGCCACTTGTCCCTATTTGAAGACTTTATCCTACAGGGACTCATCAATTACTCAAAGTCAAACATTCCTTCCCAACCTCTATCATACCGATGATTTTGGCTACACATTCATTTGGAGATAGAAGCTAATCAGCAGAATAACCTCCCTCCCTTTCATCCACCAAATTCGTCGCTGATAGATCCCGTGGTCATGGCTGAATGCGATATCCTGCCCGAGACCAACCTATCTACCTCGGAAAAGGCCATTCGCAGGACAAAATCCTTCCAGTCATTGCGTTACCAATGGCTGAGTTCTGACGAAGCCCTCAGTTCAGAGAAATACTCAGACTCGATTTACGATGCGGAACCAGTGTTTTCCAAACAGAATCTCCCCGAGCTCATCAGTCCCGCCAGTGTAGAAAGTACTGACGACAACACGAGTCCCGTTCTAATGCTTTCTCCTTCATTGTCACCTCGAACGCCCCATAGTCAGTGGCCAATTCTCCAGTTGAGTACCATAATCGAACAAAATAGCATTCAGACACTCCGAGCATCACGATCAGCTCCTCGACTGCGAGACAGTCCCGAGAAGCATGCTACGCTCGTTCACCCAAAGGCATCCGATCGTTCCCTTCATCCTTTCGTCCATGCAGACACAACCATAAATGGTTTACCAGACACCTCATTATATCAAGCTCGATCCCTGTCTTTGAATAACCTCGATACCATACTGAATCAGATGATAGCAAGAGATTCTGAGCCTCATTCATCATTGACCTCAGAAGGAGGCATTGATATTGCTCAGCTCCCTCAATATCCCCTTCGACCCGGTCTATCGCCCCCATATCGCTCTCCAACACCTCCAGGTCTGCCATCTTTTGGCTCTCCAGAAGCACAGACATTTCGATTGACGCCTGATCAACCTAGATCACTCTGGTCTCGTTTCTGGGGGTCACCGACGGTGGTGCCTGCTGGTCAAGCACAATCAGCTATCTCAATGATATCGCCTTCGATAGATTCGGATTCACCATCCTTAACGCCTCAAGTCGATCTGACCAGTCCATCTAGCGAGGGTTTCAGGCGTACTTTGGCTATGATAGGGATGTCAAGGATTGTCACACCACCCGTTAAGCCTTCTCAAAGTCCAAGAGCCTCTCTGCCACCCGGAATCACCATATCCACGACACCTGGACCACTTGTTCAAGCCGAGGATAGTACCTTTATCAGGGGAAGGTTTCATTCAAGAGTTAGTGGGCATGGAATTGGCATTAGAGCGCTGGAATCACATCCGCTTGTTCGCAGATCACAAAGTGACCACGGAAGCGTTATTGAGGAACAAGTTAGGGCCATTGACAAAGCGTGTCAAAGGGCAGACCGAGAAGCTCTTCATGAAGCTCGATCGGTCTCGTCTTCCGGACGACCAAGGGGGAGGACACAACGGCGTTCTGGAACGGGTTCGTCGGGTATTCCGCCCATGACAATGACCCACAGGTTAGACATGGACGGTGGCTCTATACCAGATAGCACGCGAAGCGGTCCTAGATTAGCCAGTATACTTGAAGACCGCAGAGAGCAGAGCACATTACAAGTTGGCAACGAAAAGCTGAAGCAGAGAAGGATGAATTGGAGGAAGGTATGTGTCGCGATGGGCTGTTGCCGTGACTTCTGGATTTGGTGGTGCTGTGGGTGTGGCCTCGAGCCTGAGGATATCCATGGGGGAGGCATCAGTCTCAATCCTGAAAGATCACTCTTGTATCGATAACCCATCGTGGGGGAAGCGAGATATATTGTAGCCCGAATGACATGAATATATTCTAATTGTAGCCTCATCCCAACCTCCGTAGACAGAAGCCTTCTCAGTCATGCCGGCTCAACACCGATGAAGGAATTTTATATCCCCCGGTCACAAATGGGTGTAATCGCCATCCCCACCAATTCGAAGCCCGCAAGAGCAAAAACACAGACACGCTAAAACGCTAGACCACAAAAGATAAAAAAAGAGCCAACCAAGACCTGCCCTGCCCTGCCTGGCCATCACGACCAAAACGAACATTCCACAACGAACAGCTAAAAATCACTGCACCAGTTCATCCCGCCCCAGCATCTTCGCCATGGGATCGTCTGCCGCGACGCGGTTGCGCTTGTACGACTCGAGCTCGTCGTGCGAGATGCCGGACTGGATTTCCTGGAGGGTGCGTTTCTTGGCCGTGGTTGTCGTCGTCGACGAAGATTTGTGGTCTGTGTCGGGCACGACGTGTTCACCATCCTGTCCGGTCGTGATTTTCTCCTTCTCGTCGTCTTCGTCTCGTGAAGCCAGATGGCCGCCGTCCTCTAATAGCGCCGTGCCCGTGCGCAATCCCTCTGCATCTTCAAAGGCGCGCTTTCCCGCATCGCCCGTGCAGTAGCTGTTCTTCACCGTGCTGTGGCAGCACGCGTAGCCCCACGTGAAGTTGCGCCACCAGCTGCCCCAGACGCTGCTGTGGTTGTTCGTGAACACGTCCTCGGCGTACTTGGAGCGCGCTTTCTGCACGGGGAGGCCTTTGACGTGGCCCTGGGCGTCGTACTCGACGTAGCGCTCCGATGCGCGCACGGCGTTGAGTTTGGAAAGTCTTTTGACGCTCTCGTTCTGCGGGAGATGTTCGGATCCGCCGTACTTGTCGAGGAGGGCTTTGCGCGCCGAGGCTTTCTTCTCGGCGGCTTCGAGCGTGAGTTTCTTGTGGAGAATCTCGCCTTCGGTGGGGTTGGCTTGGAGGTGCAGTTTCTTGCTGCCGCTGCCCGATTCTTGTGTCTCCCACGCGTATTGCTGGGCGCGCACGAAGGCGTTACTGTCGTCGGTGGACGGGCGGATGAAGTTCTCCTCCGCGATAGATTCTGAAGTACCGCCGTCTTTCGAGAGATCTTGTGCCGATGTGTCCATCGAGCGGGTTTTGGGGTCGTAGCGTGCGCTGTCGAGGTCGAGGTTGAGTAGGTATTTGGCGGTGTCTTCTCGGAGGCGTAATTGCCGAGTTGAGGTTGGTTGGGAACGTCCCATGTCGGTTTCTTCGCCGTAGCGGGCGTCGGAATCTGGGTTAGGTGTTGCGTCGCCACTTGTGATGGCGCCGTCTTTTAACGTCGTTGCGGCAGCTGCTCGCTTCAAAGACTCGAGTTCTTCGTATTCCTGTACCACTCCGCCGTACTCTCGATTGTCGTACCCATTCCAGCGATCCCGTTTGGCATCCCACCCGAGTGAGACATCTTCGACGACTTCGTCAGCTTGTATGTCCTTTCCCGTCCACTTGGCGCCCTTCTTCCGCGGCCGACTCAGGCAATCCTTCGTCTTATGGGTCATGGCACCGCAGTTTTCACAGGCTCCCTTGCGGTATTTGGTGGCTGCAGGCCCGAGTTTTTTGCCCCGGTCGTACCATTTCGCCTTGTCAAGAGTGTCTTTGGATTCTGTCTGTAGACGTTGGTGTTCGAGGTAGTCGGCGTCGCTGGTAGTTTCGGCCCAGAAGGGTCGTTTCGAGATGAAGGATGGAATGTATTCGTTGCGGGATTGATCGGGCCCGGAGGGTGGTTTGTTGGATGACATCGTCGCTGTGAAGAAGAGTAATGTTTTGCAGGTGAGAGGAATTGACAGAGAAGATGTGGTCTCTGTGTTGATCAACGGGTTGTAAAGATTGTGGTGAGTGCTGGTGGGGAACGGAAATTGAGAATGAAGTTCACAGAGATGAAATTGCGGAGGCAATTCTCAGCCTTGCGTCACGTCACATGCAAGATACCATAGCCTTGTGAGATCCCGGCGCAATGGTCCCGCATGGATCTCGTCAACAACAACGACAAATGATGCTCATTCGTGAATGTGTCCAGATGAAGAGATACTTTTGGGCTGATGTCGCGTCATACCAAATTAGTATACTGGTCTGCCTGCATCCTTCGAGGTAGAAGCCATCCCAACATGAGCGACGCCGCTTCGACTACGACGAAGACGCGTCCATCCCAATCCATTCAAGATCCCTATGATCGCAATGGAAACCTTTCGAGTTCGTCTCAATTGTCTCGATCACTACCAGGCCCTCCCTCTTGACGATTTCGACCCTCCACTTCCTCTGGGAACCACACGCGAAAATGTCAAAGAACGACCTCGAATATCGGTCATTCGCGTCTTTGGCGCAACCGATACAGGACAGAAGGTGTTGATGCACATCCATGGTGCTCTCCAGTACACGTACATTGAGTATAGTGGCAGTTTGCTTCCAGAAGATGTCGAAGTAGCGATTCGAACTTTGCAACTTTCTATCGATCATGCTCTGGCTGTGAGCTATCGCAAGAACATCTACGAAGGAAAACATCGCTATGTCGCACATATCTCGCTTGTCAAAGCTATACCTTTCTACGGCTTTCATGTCGGATACAGGTTTTACCTCAAAATATATCTGCTCAATCCGCTGCACATGACAAGATTGGCCGATCTCCTGCGCGAAGGTGCAGTCATGAAAAGAGTACTCCAACCGTACGAAAGTCATATGCAATATCTGGCTCAGTGGATGTGCGATTACAATCTTTATGGTTGTAGTTACATCGAGTGTTGCAAGGTCAAGTTTCGTGGTCCAGTCCCGAACTATTTTGACTTAACCAATGCCATGCATCAGTGGCATGACAGATCAATCTCTCCAGAAGATATCTCGGATGAATCTTCACTTCCTAAACAGAGTCACTGTACCCTGGAAGTTGATGTACATGTCAAAGATATCATGAATCGTAGTAACGTTGAATCTCGGCAAATTCACCATGATTTCATTGAACGTGTCAACCCACTTCCGATTGATGCCAAGTTGGTACAAAGTATGGCAGGATTGTGGAAGGATGAAACTCGCAGGAGGAAGACCAGAATGGGTTTGAAAGACCCCAACAGCACTCCGTTCCCTGCCGAAGTTCTGATATCTATGTCTGCTGACGTTCGGAATACTTCTGATGGTGGGTGGATTCATGAGGAAGAGTTCCGTCAGAAGATAGCCCAACTCGCCAAGGCAGAGTTCGAGCAGAGTGATAGAAATGAGCTCCAGTTTGAGACTTTTGTGAAGCCCGTAGCATTGGAAGACAATGTCAAGACAGCACTTGAAAGCGTGGAAGATCTTTACCCTGGAAAGCTGATCGATGCGCGAGCTTCAAATGCAGATCGCAATACAGGCATCAACGATCTCAACGATCTCACGGTCGAGAGCGAGAGTCGGATACTTGTCGACGAATCTCGTGCTCAAGATATCGCGAATGGTCTCTACAGAAGTTCAGACGAAAGTCCACCGTCAGACACAGTTACAGCTACAGCCAACGAAAATGAAGATGGTCTCAAACAGCCAGGAACAAATGGTGAAGTTACAACACCAATTAGTTCTTCGGAATATGCAGAATATGGTATCCGACCTGCTGGCGATTTCATTCATGTTGAACAGGATACCTTTACTATCCCAGATGAATACCTGCAACACAACCTCAAAGACAGCACCAGCTCAAAGCGAACACGGCAGTCAAAAGTCCCAGATTTCAAGCCAAGAAAGAGGCGGAAACAGCTGGTCGATGAAGATGACTTCTTGCCAGAGATGACATTCTCGGGGTCAGAAGATGATCCAGATTTTACTGCTGATGCTGATGAATTGCTCCGCGCAGCAGAGCCATCAATTTCAGAAAAACATCTCATGAACGGAAGCACTGCTACTTCGAAAGTTCTACGGAGTACTGAGCAGACCGCTGTACTCAGAGACCTCGCAAATGAAAGTAACGCTCCACCAGCCTCGTCACAACAATCCACCCTTGCGTTTCCCGCCGTCAAAAACCCCCATGATCCTAACACGATTTTGCGTCTCAGCCAGAGAAGCTCACCATCTCAGAACCTATCACAAGCCTCTCTCGACAAGACCGTGACTCTACCTTACGAGCCCAAAACTCCAGCCAAAAGCGGAGTGTCAATATCACAACAGACTATCCTTCCCTCAACGACTGGAAAAAGCAGCACCTTCGGTCTGTCCCAGAACTTTATGCTTAAAGGCTTGGTTTCGAGTAAGCCTACTTGTTCATTAGAAGTCTATCAAGCTCGAGCGCCCAGTTTCAAGGAGGTCGATTCAACGATGTGGCAAGAAGGTTTGCCGGATGTAATCTACCAGGATGCTTACTATAGTAATGAAGAGGATGTACCAGAACTAGCCAGACAATATGCTGGGCGAGAGTTCAAACTCGAAAGTACGACTGTGCCATTTCTCCCGGACTTTGATCCTTCAGGATCGTCTCTGGCAACATTCGGCCGGAAACCTGCCATACTACTCGATCAGACTGCCGAGCAGACGAGAGACAATCAGAGGAGGAAACGATGCACGATTTCACAATGGAGTATTGCTCAATCACCGCCACGAAAGGTAGATGTGGAAGCATGGCTTGGAGAATACGAGAGTAACGAGAATTTGGCGGTTTCCGCTCCAGTAAAGCCGAGTACACAGACAAAGAAGCATTCGCAAATCGATGGACCTACTCAGAAAGGGAAACATGGCTTCAAGTACACCCAAAAACAATCAAGTACTAGTGTGCAGCACGAGACACAGTATATGAGCACGATGGCTCTCGAAGTCCACGTGAACACGCGAGGGGCTCTTGCACACAATCCTGACGAAGACGCTGTTGCTTGTATCTTCTGGTGCCTACAGACAGACGACGAAGACCTTGAAAGCAACGGCATTAGGGCTGGCTTACACATGGGAATATTGGCCGTGGCAGATGAACCACATACAGCCAAAATGATCGGACGCAATGTTCATTTCGATGTCGAGGAAGAATCAAGTGAACTTGACGTCCTCACGAGACTGGTCGATATCGTCCGGTATCATGACCCAGACATCCTTACAGGCTATGAGGTCCACAATAACTCTTGGGGATTTCTCATTGAACGTGCAAGAATAAAGTATGATCTCAATCTGTGTGATGAAATCTCAAGAATGAAATCTCAATCACATGGGAGGTTTGGGAAGGACGATGACCGCTGGGGATTCAATCACACGTCCACGATTCGAGTCACGGGTCGGCATACAATCAACATCTGGCGGGCAATGCGTGGGGAGCTTAATCTGCTCCAGTACACGATGGAGAACGTGGTCTACCACCTGCTTCACCAGAGAATTCCGCATTACTCCTTTCGTGATCTGACGAATTGGTACAAAAGCAAGAACCCAAGAGACCTCGCCAAAGTGGTGGAATACTTCAGCACGCGGGTGCAGCTGGACATTGAGATCCTCGAAGCCAATGAACTGATTCCCAGGACAAGTGAACAAGCTCGACTCTTGGGTGTGGACTGGTTTTCTGTGATCTCTCGAGGCTCACAGTTCAAGGTAGAGTCGCTCATGTTCCGAATTGCCAAACCGGAGAATTTCATGCTTGTGTCTCCTAGTAGGAGACAAGTTGGTGGTCAGAATGCCCTGGAGTGTTTGCCTCTGGTCATGGAACCACAGAGTGACTTCTACACGAGTCCACTTCTGGTCCTTGACTTTCAATCGCTCTATCCAAGTGTAATGATCGCCTACAATTATTGTTATTCAACATTCCTGGGAAGGGTCGTTAACTGGAGAGGGACCAACAAGATGGGATTCTCGGATTATCGGCGAGAACAACGACTGATTGAGCTGCTAAAGGACTACATCAACGTCGCTCCCAATGGCATCATGTACGCCAAGACCGAAATCAGAAAGTCACTGCTCGCGAAAATGCTCAGCGAGATTCTGGAGACGAGAGTCATGGTCAAGAGTGGCATGAAAGTGGACAAGGATGACAAAGTCTTGCAGAGATTATTGAACAACAGACAACTTGCACTCAAACTCATTGCGAACGTCACGTACGGTTATACATCAGCATCTTTCTCCGGAAGAATGCCGTGCTCTGAGATTGCCGACAGTATTGTTCAAACAGGGCGGGAGACACTGGAAAAGGCTATCGCGTTCATTCACTCCGTAGAGAAATGGGGTGCGGAAGTCGTGTACGGAGATACCGACAGTCTGTTCGTATATTTGAAAGGTCGGACCCGTGAGCAAGCATTTGATATTGGAGAAGACATTGCGGCAACAATTACCAAGATGAATCCTCGACCTGTCAAGCTGAAGTTCGAGAAGGTCTATCATCCTTGTGTGCTCCTCGCGAAAAAACGGTATGTCGGCTTCAAATACGAGAGTCGGACACAGACGGTGCCTGATTTCGATGCGAAAGGGATAGAGACCGTGCGTCGAGACGGTACACCTGCAGAACAAAAGATTGAGGAAACGGCGCTAAAGATTCTGTTCCGCACCTCTAATCTCAGTCAGGTCAAGAGTTTCTTCCAGGCACAGTGTGCAAAAATCATGCAGGGCCGAGTTTCGATTCAAGATTTCTGTTTTGCTCGAGAGGTCAAATTAGGGACGTACAGTGACAAAGGACCCCCTCCGCCAGGAGCACTCATCAGTGCGCGACGTATGCTGGAAGACCCACGGCTCGAGCCACAATACGGAGAGCGAGTACCATATGTGGTGGTCACAGGCGGTCCCGGAGCCAGGCTGATTGACCGCTGTGTGGCGCCGGATGTCTTGCTCAACGATGCACACTCGGATCTAGATGCGGAATACTATATTTCCAAGAATTTGATCCCGCCGCTGGAGCGAATCTTCAACCTCGTGGGGGCTAATGTGCGTCAATGGTACGATGAGATGCCCAAGTATCAGCGCATCCGGAGGGTTGAAGCTGGGCCCGCTACAGAGGGGAGAGAAATCGGTGGACCTTCGAAGAAGACACTAGAATCGTACATGAAGTCGTCAACGTGCTTGGTTTGTCGCCAGTCTTTGGACAGCGAATCCCCAATCTGCAACAATTGCTTCCAACAGGGTCCTCGCAGTATTGTGGAACTACGATCACGGCTGATCAGAGCGGAGCGCAAGGCTGCGCAGATGGCCAAAGTGTGTCGATCGTGCTCTGGGCTGGGCTGGAACGAGGAGATTCGTTGTGATAGTAAAGATTGTCCAGTGTTTTACTCGCGGACGCGACAGAAGGCGGCGGTTGCAAATGAGCATGCGGTCGTGATGCCTGTGTTGAGAAGTCTGGAGATGAAGCAGGAGGGGAATGATGATTTGGCTTGGTGAGGATACTCACTTGGGTGCTTAATGGATTGTTCGATTGTTACGAGTGTTGATTGATGATGCATTGCATAATGGGGGCGAATAAGGCTGGGCGAGGCTATAGGTGGCTGGTTGTTTACGATACCCCCTGGAATCATCCTGTGTAAGATACCTAGGTAGGATAGGGTATGACTAGAGTTGTAAAACATCTCATACTCATATTTAGTGCTAATCATGATGTCCAGTCCTGGTCGCTATCCTGTTATGTGAGGTATTCTTTTGTGCGTTTCTTGCATTAGGTATTTAGTGCGTGACATGTTCTCTTGATTTAACTGGAGTCGATGTTAGGCCGGCGCTGGGCACCTCGTACTTAGTCCCTCGTTAGGCGTGGTTTAACTGTTGGGTGACTGTCACCCCGCTGCTAGTTGGACCGCTAAGCTTGATTTTAGTTGAAAGGCGGTGCGTCTCGACGTCATGCTTGGTGCCCGGAGGATCGCCCACTCCACTGCGTTGCCAATGATGCCCACAGTCGCGGGGGAGGAGCGACCGACTTGAACTCCGCAGGCTTTGGTTCCAATTGCCAGATTCTAGATACACAGTCCTTTGAAGTGACTTCCACCAACCACTTCAGCACAACATCATCGGGATCCTGCTCAACGGAATTTACTCTCGTCTCTCTGTCTCCTCTACTCGTGCGGTCGCGGATCTTATGCGCACCGCTAATTACCTCTCGATGCGGTGCTAACAGATGGGTCCTCTTAGATGGTTCCTCTTCGTTTACGTCCTGGGTGGAATTACGTTCCTTCCATTACTGATCATCCTCGTCCTCGCCCATGCCTACTATACCCTCCCTCCAGCCAAGGACAGTATCTCGACGGATAGCATAGCTGACGATCCTGCGCAACTTTCTCGCTCCGAAGATGATAAGTCTGCCCTCAAGTCCGCCACCGACGATCTAGCAGAGAAGTTCCACCGCAAGCATGATTCCGATGTAGCTGCAGGATATTTTGCCGTCTGTCGCGAATATGTTCCTGGAGGCGTCAATGGGAAACCTCCTGAGAGGCTGACTCCAGCGGGTGAGGTTGTGGCTCAAGAATCTCCGAGTGTGTATCAAACTATGTACAGAAGCATATTTGATAGATCGCAAAAGCCTACAATTGAGCCGAATAAGGATGCTACTGGAAAGAGTGTGAAGAGAAGCAACAATGTCTTTTATGTGGTTCTGAGGTATGTTGTGCCTTTCATGGTCTGAGCTGTGGCGGTTTTATGTCTAACCATGGTTCAGGCACGGTCATCTCATGTTGTATGATGATATCCAACAATTGGAAGTCCGATACGTCATTTCGCTCGAATATCACGATGTTGATATCTACGGTGGCGGAGAGGACATCCCCGAGGGCGAGATCTGGATCAAACGCAATGCTATTCGATTGACCCGCAAACGAACCCGAGCAGGCGATAAGACCAACTCATTACCCTTTTTCTTCTTCAGTGAGAATCTGTCGGAGAAAGAGGACTTCTACTTTGCTCTTCTCAAAAACCTGGAAAAGAGCGATCATGAAGATGTTCCTATCCCACAAGATTTCGATGTTAAGCATATTGTCATGTTGGTACAGAAGCTTCACTCTTCAGAGGAGCATTTACAAACAAGATGGCTCAATGCGTTCATTGGGCGTATGTTTTTGGCTATGTATCGGACGCCCGACCTGGAACGTTTTATCCGGACCAAACTCACCAAGAAGATTTCGCGAGTCAAAAAGCCCAACTTTATCACCAAATTAGCTTTGAGGAAGATTGATCTGGGAAATTCAGCTCCATTTATTACGAACCCACGACTTAAAGATTTGACTGTGAATGGAGACTGTACAGCTGAGGCAGATGTCAACTACACAGGCATGTTCAGAATTGAGATCGCGGCTACTGCACGCATAGAACTTGGAACACGGTTCAAGCCACGTGAAGTGGACATGGTGTTGGCCGCCACATGCAAAAAGCTTGAAGGACATGTGTTGCTCAGATTCAAACCCGCTCCAAGTAACCGCCTATGGTTTACATTTGAAAAAATGCCTCAAATGGATTTGGCATTGGAATCTATTGTCAGTACGCGACAAATCACCTACAACGTCATTCTGCGAGCCATTGAAAGCCGGATTCGGGAGGTCATTGCTGAAACGATTGTGCTGCCTTTCTGGGACGATATGCCTTTTCATGATACAAGCCACGAAAGATATCGCGGTGGGATTTGGAAGAAGGATCCGGTGTCAGCGGCATCGACTGATATCCCCAATGAAGAACCGGAGGATGCTGCTGAAGCTGGATTGTCTGGGACAACTACTCCTGCGGATATGTCCAAGGACGAACGGATTCTAAGTATGCCTGCTTTGGCCGACACCAAAGGACTGGCAAAGTCCAATTCAGCCCGAAAATCTACATCATCCTTCAGCGAGATACTAGGACTGAAGAGTAGCGAACCAGCAGAGAAACCAGATCCACCCACACCGAGACTTATGCGATCGCCTTCGTTTGCGAGTGCTGCAACTCCAACCATCACTAGTAATCATGCCGACATGAACCCGCCACCTCGAAACGGCGAAGGAACACCAAGAAGTGATAGTGTTGCATCATTTCTGAAGGGCATCTCCAAATCAGGTTCGGGAAGCGCGTCGCCATCGGGATCTCAGACAGGATCACCCCCTACCGAGTCAGCCATGGCTAGTGTGATGAAAGAACGGACTGGAAGTGTTGGCTCCAAGGGTTCGAATGATGGCAGTGCACAGCAATCCGAGCTGCAAAGCTCCAATTTTGCGGATTCGCCCATAGCCCGTACCCCGACCACAATGAGTACAGCGTCATTCAATTCTACCAACCAGACTGATCTGAAACGTGACGGATCACGCTCTTCGCAAGAGAGTAATAAACCTAAAGGGTTTGCACAGGCAGCGAGATCCTTGACCACAGCAGATAGGAAGCAAGCGATGGCGTCGATTACTGCAGCAAGTGTCGCGGCACAAAGATGGTCTTGGGGAGTACTTGCAAGAAACAAACAACGCGAGTCACAAGCACTCGCGGAGGGCGGGACGTCAGAGACAGGTATAGACAGTCCCGCAACAATTCCAAGAGAGCCAATGGGTCGTGGACGGCCATTACCACCTCCAGGTATACCTTTACCTCCACCAGAGAAACCAATCAAGAACAACACCTTTTCATTGCCAAAGCGGAAAGCGGTACCTCCGCCTCTACTCCCTCAACGACCAGATAGTAGCATTCAGGGAGAGCCATCTCCCGCAAGATCGTCACCCAGACCGCCGACTCTTCCCGACCGAAGAAGAAGGCAAAGTTCAATGTTGCAGGATGGAGATGCTGAAAGTGAGGTATTGGTGGTTGAGGCGCCTATGGAGTCAGCGCCAACGAGTCCAGCACCGGGCCAGGATGAGCATCATGATGATTTCTTCGGGCATGGAGAACCAGCAGGGAATGATAGACATTCTACGCCGCCACCGTTACCAGCACGAGACAGAGATAGTCCTCCCAATTACGAGGACGACGACTTACGAGAGAATCAGGACCAGGAATTAGATAGGCAGGAGATTGGCATGTATACATAGGTGACAGTTGCATGTCTGTGACCACCTAAATAATACAAGCCAAATGATAAGCCAAATGGAAGAGAGCTTGCTATTGACTCGTGCACCATGAGAGACATACAGTAGCAAAACAAATTGATGTCGTGCACACCTCAGGTGGGATCTTCATAGCATTTCCGTATGCGCGCGACGGTTGTAAGCCCAATTCTCGAGCTCACAAATGCTTTTGGACGTGATAGCTCTAATGCAAAGCGTGAAGCATCATGGGGAAAACACCTCCAAAAGCAGTGGATAATTTACCTGAGATTGTGAGCGACGGCTTCCCCGGCAAGCGGAAGGCTGCGGCTGACGTATTCAGGCCTAGAGGGAAATCTTAGGCGCTTTCAAGTTAGTAAGTTAGCACGCCCGGGAGCCCTAAGAGCCCCGATGACAGGGTATCTGCTAGGTACTCCGTAACCGCCTAAGCATTAATCTCGTCGTGGTGGCCAAAGCCCGCCGTTGGCTGCAGGCCGCCCTTCGTCACCACGATCAATGTTTTACCTGCGCTGCGCGTTCAATGCTGGGCTTCTGACCTTGGAGACTGAGAAACTGGCAAGGATTGGCCTCGTTTAATGTGGATTGAATCAGCAGCCACCACTGGTCCATCCCGTTGCACACCTCCAAGCTGCATCTCCTGTTACTCGCTCCTCGATTACCTCTCCCTCACCATAAGCGGGTCAAGGAGAATTCGTCTGCCTGCCCTACGCCCATTATTATGTCAGTGACACTTTGACAGCATCCAAGTTCAGGTCCCAGCTCCAGTTACCAGTCACCAATCCAGGTTCCACAACTCTACCCGTTTCGCCATCTGCATACGTGCCACCACCCTGCACAGCCAGACTCCAGTCCAGCCCAGTCCTGCGAAACTGTAATTCAAGCCTTAATTCCCTCCGATTTCCAGAAACATCCGTCATCCTGGCGTACTTTGGTCCCTCGTCTCCAGTGGGCAGGAGAAAAACACGAGCAGATGCTGTCTACGACGGGTTTGGAAGAACCGAAGTAGACACCACTTCCCACCCACACTCTCAATCCAACATGGCCTACGCTAATCATAACGACGGCACTGGCCGGAATGTCAACATGTCCAAATCTGAAACCGACCTGGCCATCAACATCCGTAAAGCCACCAGCATCGAGGAGACCGCTCCCAAACGTAAGCACGTCCGAAGCTGCATCGTCTACACTTGGGATCACAAGTCCTCTCAATCCTTCTGGGCCGGCCTCAAAATCCAACCTATCCTCGCCGATGAAGTCCAATCCTTCAAAGCCCTCATTACCGTCCACAAGGTTCTACAAGAAGGCCATCCTGTCACCGTGAAAGAGGCGCAACAGAATGTCAATTGGGTAGAGACTGTGGCAAGAGGTGTCAATGGCGAGGGACTTCGTGGTTACGGTCCTCTCATCAGAGAATATGTCTTCTTCCTGCTCGCCAAACTAGCCTTCCATCGTCAGCATCCAGAGTTCAATGGCTTGTTCGAGTATGAAGAGTACATCAGCTTGAAGTCCATTAACGACCCCAATGAAGGTTATGAGACCATCTCTGATCTCATGACTTTGCAAGATCAGATTGACACTTTCCAGAAATTGATCTTCTCTCATTTCCGTGGAGGCGCCAACAACGAATGTAGGATAGCTGCTCTCGTCCCACTGGTTCAGGAAAGTTATGGTATCTACAAGTTCATCACTAGCATGCTTCGAGCAATGCACACGACTACTGGTGATGATGAAGCTCTCGAACCCTTGCGCACCCGATACGACGGCCAGCATTATCGCTTGGTCAAGTTCTATTACGAATGTTCTAACCTGCGATATCTGACCTCCCTCATCACCGTCCCGAAACTTCCCCAAGATCCTCCTAATCTCCTCGCCGAAGACGAAGAAAAGCCTGCCTTACCAAGACGTCCTGCCAAAGAAATTGAAAGGGCGCCATCTCCAGTGGCCAAGAATGGTACACCGGACCCCAAAGACATGGAAGATTTCTGGTCAAAAGAAGCTCAGAGACAACAGGAAGAATATGAAAATGAGCAAAGACGTCTACAACAGCAATGGGAGGAACAGCAACGGCAACAGTTGTTGTCTCAACAGGAAGCGCAGCGCGCCTTCGAGGATCAGCAAAGGATGCAGGCAGAACAACAGCGCCTTGCGCAGGAACAACTTCTACGGGATCAATATGCAGCTCAGACTCAAGGACGGCTTGCTGAATTGGAACGAGAGAATCTAAATGCTCGAGCCCAGTATGAAAGAGATCAACTGATGCTACAACAATACGACCAAAGAATGAAGGCGCTTGAGGAGCAACTTAACCAGCTCAACAATAATTACCAGTTGCAAGCTCAATCCAAAGATGATCAGATTGCTTCTCTTCAAGAACAGCTCAACACGTGGCGAAACAAATATGAAGCCCTGGCCAAACTATATTCGCAATTGCGACAGGAACATCTGGATCTGCTGCAGACCACCAAATCCCTGAAATTGAAGGCTGCATCGGCCCAAGAGGCCATCGAACGGAGAGAACGCCTCGAACGTGAGATGAAGACCAAGAATTTGGAATTGGCAGATATGATCCGAGAACGAGATCGAGCTCTCCATGAAAAAGATCGCAGTCAAGGTGGACATCGTGAAGAACTCGAGAAGTTAAAGCGAGAGCTACGATTCGCTCTAGAAAGAGCAGAGAATGCCGAAAAAGCAAAGGGATCCGAGCTCTCATCCATGTTGACAAAATATAATCGTGAGATGGCCGATCTTGAAGAAGCCGTGCGGTCCAAGACAAGGCAACTCGATGAGATCCGATCCAAGCATGGGGAACGGAACTTCGACCATGAAGCAGCCCTGCGTGAGAAAGATGACGAAATTGAGATCTATAAGTCTGGCATGGAGCAAGCCCTGGAAGAGCTCGAAGAACTCAAGCTTGGTGGCGGTGAAGCTGATGGTGCTCTTGACGGTGCCATTGACGAGGTCATTAACAGCAACATCACGAAAATCAACGACATTATTGATTCAGTTCTTCAAAGTGGAGTGCAGCGAGTGGATGATGCCATGTATGAACTCGACTCGCCCATGCAAGCCGGTAATCAGAATGCCACTGCTCCTTATGTGCTGTCTCAGATTGAAAAAGCCTCTGCTAGCGCGACAGAGTTTTCTACGGCTTTCAACAACTTTGTTGCAGATGGTCCCAACAGTCCTCATGCCGATATCATCAGAACAGTATCTGTCTTTGCTGCCTCAATTGCTGATGTCTTGTCTAATACCAAAGGTTTGACGCGATTCGCGACGGAAGACAAGAAAGGAGATGAATTGATCAATTCCGCCCGCCAATCCGCATTAGCGACCATCAATTTCTTCCGCAGTCTGCAATCTTTCCGCCTGGAGGGACTGGAACCTATGCAGAAGAGCGATGTCGTGATCAACAGCAATCACGATGTACTGATGAAATTGCAACGATTATCGAAATTGGCCGATGCATTCGCACCCAAGGGCAGCAAACTCACCACCTCTGGTGATCTGGGTGATCTTGTGGACTCGGAACTGACCAAGGCTGCCAACGCAATCGAAGCTGCCGCAGCGCGTCTCGCTAAGTTGAAGAACAAACCTCGCGATGGCTACTCGACATACGAACTCAAGATCAATGATGCAATCCTCGAAGCTGCACTGGCCGTCACAACCGCCATCGCCGCACTGATTAAAGCAGCAACAGACTCGCAGAACGAAATCGTCAAAGAAGGCCGAGGCTCTAGTTCACGCACAGCCTTCTACAAGAAGAACAACCGCTGGACTGAAGGCCTCATCTCAGCCGCCAAAGCCGTAGCCACCTCGACAAATACGCTGATCGAAACCGCTGACGGCGTCATATCTGGCCGTAACAGCCCGGAACAGCTGATCGTGGCGTCCAACGATGTGGCGGCATCGACAGCCCAACTGGTGGCCGCATCCCGCGTGAAAGCCAGCTTCATGTCCAAGACCCAAGATCGTCTGGAGCAGGCTTCGCGTGCTGTTGGCGCGGCGTGTCGCAGCCTCGTCCGCCAAGTCCAGGATATCATCAAGCAGCGCCAGAAGGACGATGGCGATGCCGTCGACTATGCGACGCTTAATCCCCATGAGTTCAAGGTCCGCGAGATGGAGCAGCAGGTATGTGATCCTTATTTTCACTCTACGAACTGGTCTATCTCACCCATTCACTTCCCTTGTATTTGTACCATCAACCATGGCCCCTAATTTATTATGTTCTATTCCACCATCCCCATCCATCCCGTCTTCATATAAGTCAACTAACCACGCGCTTTCTTGCATCAACAGGTCGAAATCCTCCAGCTTCGCAACGCCCTCGACGCCGCAAACGGCCGTCTCAGTGAAATGCGGAAGATCTCGTACCGCGATGATTAAATTTGTATACTTCCCCATATGAGTGACACAATGGAAAATTGAGTGCGAGAGAAGAGCGTATGAGATGTGATACTTCATACGAGTCTGAGGAGACACGGCTGGGGGAGCGAAAACTGAATGTGTAGGTATGCTTATATGTAAGTAATGATGGAAAAGGATACCTACCTACCTACCTACCTAGTCTCGGCCTTTGAAGTCGTTGTTGTGTCGAATCTTATCTTGTCCGTGTTTCGATTCCTTGCAAACGCATCCTAAAAGCAAGGTACCGAGTAGTACGGGGTATGCTGTACTCGGTACAGTAGCAAACAATTGAATGTGAGCGTGAACATTTCTCTCCCGGCAGCTGGGCGACCAGCACCCGACAGAGGTTTCGACTAGAGGTGTCGCTCGCTTTATTTGTAACTAAGGGGGGTAGGTGTGGAAGGGCCTTCAATTAAAGCTGTGCCGGAACGAACACCACGGCAAGTACAGTGCGGACAGGCGGTAGAAAGCAAATGAGCTGGTATCGTGCAGTTCGGTATAGTGTGCAGTGTGCAGTGAATTGAAGAGGGAGGAGACCTCGAGTGAAGAACAATGCCTGGCGGATGGGGCTGATGAACAATGCGGGCCAACTGAACCGAGTGCCTGACTACCTACCTAGGTTGGTAGGTAAACTGACAAACTGGGTGGCCTTGGAAGACAAGAATGGGCATTCTACCTACCTACCTAGGTAGATATGTACTTAATGCTCCTTCGTCAACTGCAGGCTAGACAGTCTTGCCCGATTGATTTTTGCTTTGGCACGTAGCGTCGGCTGCACTTAATTGCAAGCGTGCAGCATGCAGCTTACCGCTACCCACTGCAGTCGATTGTCCCCAACTCCGACGCTTGGGCTGAACGATGAGATGGAGTGTTCTCGGGGTGTTGGCCAGGCGTAGGCGCCTGCACTGAATTCGAGTACCGAGTTACACGTAGGCTGCATGTCACAGGAAGTGGGAGGAAGTCTTGGTTGTGTTCTTCAATTTCAATATTCTTCGCATGTGCAGTCGAATTAATGCGGTGTGCTATGGAACTAGCTATGCCATGCTACTTGAGGTATCTACTGATAAGCAGTGTCCTCTTCTGTGCATTGTGCAGTGCCTGGTGGATGTATCCTTCCGAGTCTGGAGTTCGAGATGTGAACAACCGCCCCCCATCCCCACAAGTCCAAGCCTCCCAAGCCCGCTGAATAGACTCCACTGGATCCAGCTGCAAGCTCTGCCACTGGATGGGAAGTTAGGCGAGAGGAAACCTTGAACAAGCGAGAGAAAAGTTTCTTGAGACCTCCATCCATCCATCATCCATCCTCACCCATCAATTCCGTGGATTGCCTTGGCTGTTCAATCATTGCTGTGCTGATAGTGCATTGCCTCCGATGTTTGACCTGCCCCATTACCATTATCCTGTTGTTCCTACTGTCTGCCCAATGAATCTGATCGGGCTTTCTGACCTGGTTCGCCAATGCGGAGTGTGTGATCTTTTTTTGGTTTTTTATTACTTTTTATGTTGCGCTTGGAATGGGCTGAAATGAGAAACTCGATGCTGTTTTTGGTTGTTTTGCTTTTTCTTCTTGGGGGCGTATGGGGGCATTGGAGAGTAAGATTAAGCTCCTCCTGTTCATTTGGGTGCAGTGGGAGGCAGACAGAGCCACCATGCTTTTCATGAATGCTGGCTTCTAGGCTGAGAAGGTAATATGAAGCGAGCACGAATTTGTGGGTGGTAATGGTTGTATAGCTCATGACTGATTGTGATAGCAAAGAGGCATTGTTGAGAACAATCTTGTTGCTTGCTCTCATCAAATGTTCGACACTGCAGGAGCCGCAAGTCCGACATGGACAAATGAAGGTCCAGACATGGATTCAAGATCACTGTCCTTGCCCTCAGACTTGTGCCATTTGTAAATTCTGCTCTTTATCGAAGTCTGGGTCTTTGACTATTGACTCTCCTTTCTGGCTCACTTCTTCTCCTCGGAGTCGAAGTCGATGTAGCCACTGAGGTCAAGGTCGAACGGATCGAAATCGTCCTGGACGATGCGAGGATCAAAACCGAGGACTGGAGCCATTCTGGGATGGAAGTGGTAGCCGATCTCGAGCTGTTCATACGTGGCTTGTTGGTCAGCTGTCACTGCATCAATGGTGAGGTAGCCGTTGCTGTCTCTGAGGCCACTGTCTGTGGTATTGCTGGCTGGCGTTCCAGTGCTGCTCGATGCGGTGCTCTCGGCTCGGCGAACAACATGTTGAATCTCCTCGTCAATCTGCATGAGTGGTAAGCTAGAGTAAAGGTGCGATGGCGATGACTTGGTACTTACTGTTGCCGAACGTTGACTAACTTGAAGTGAAAAACATTGCTGAGGAGGTGCAGCTGCGACTGCCATGTTGACAGATCCACCCTGTGGGCGACGGTCTGCATCGGTGGGGGCTGGTCGTCTGCGAGATGCACGATCCAGGAAGCCATGTGCATAGCAATGCTCCACAATATCCGCGACCGAGAGTCGAGTTTGAGGCGGATACTGAGTATTGACAATGTCAACGTTGAACTTCAAATCACGTTGAAGCACCATCTCTCCATCCTCTTGCAGAATAGGCTCAGGCACCCAACCCATCATGACAAGGTATTCAGCGGCTGGAACCAAGGGAACAGCTATAGCAGCAACTACCAGAAAACGCTCCATGGTCACAACTTCAGCGTGGTGGTCCCGGAGATCGGAAAAGGCGCGGCCCAGAAGACCAAAGATGTTGCGTCGAGACTCTTTGCCCCACATCTGTCGGAGGAGACCAGACTTGAGTTTCTGAGCCAGACCATCAAACAGGGAACAGTAGTAAGCTAACATACATCAGTAAAGTATGAAAGAAAGCATGGACTGAGTGACGAGAACTTACCGCGAAAGCAGATGAAGCCGTTCACCACACGCTTGCTGCCGGTAGTGGACTCACGACGCTTGTGGACACGACTGATGGTTTTGGTGAGAGGAGGTTCTTCTGGCTCAGCTTGCTGATCGATCACTTTTCTCACTGGCTCTGAGCCCATGGCATTGGCGATAGTCTCTCGCGAAGCCTTCACGCAAGCTTCAGCAAGAGACTCGCTGATGATGCTTAGCTGAGCTGGGTTGACGTTGCGAAGGATGGTCTCAAATGCCGCCACGAAGAACTCTTTGTCAGAAGCCATTTTGCTTTCGGCGATACAAGATTGGTGGGCGCTCGGACTTCCGAGAAAAGGGGTTGGTATGTGAGACAGAGGTCTTAGAGGTTTGAGAATTGTATCAACGAACTCGAAGAAGAAAGAGATCTTTCGTTTGCACAAATTGTATGGGGAGAAAGAAAGAAGAACTTTGACGAATGGAGAACGTTAGCAATTGTGATGAAGTGGAAGTGACAACTTTCAGTTGCTGTAGTGAATTTTCAACCACCTCACCTGGCTTTCGCGGCGGCTGGGACTAGTGGCAAAGAACAATACTAAGAACTCTACTTCACATGCATTGTCCCCTCAAGTGCAGGACGCTGCAGCTCTACTGAACTACAAATACTGAGCATTTTGTTTGGAACACTTCTGCAAACTTCTGTTTATCTCATTATCTTTGAATCAACAGCGACGGCATGGCTCAAGTCACCTTCAATGCCCGCCTTACTGCGGAACACCCTGTTCTCCTTGAAGTTCAGCACCGAGGTCTTCTGGATGGTAGGCTTCTAGATGCATTGCTCCGTTCTTCGCTGACACGCTCCAGCAAAAGGCAAGGTTGTGACTACCTGTAGTCCGGAATATCTTCTCTCGATAGGCCTTGAGGTCCTGCGAGCGAAGGCGTCTCCAATAGTCAAGTTGACGAAATATATCTCTTTCGAAGAGCAAGCTTTGCGTGTCCAGTTCATTTCAACGGAAGTTCGAAGACTTTTTCATCATCCAGGACTTTTTCCCTCTGATTCTGCAAGGGTCCGATTCGCCGCTCTGTTGGCCTTAGATTCGGGTTTGCAATTCGTTGAAGCCGTCAAGGAGCATCTCCTGTCCAGTCTGCAACGTGATATGAAGCATTTCAATTGTGAATCAGACGCACAACCAAGTTACAAGAAAGGGACAAAAGGCTGGGAGAATTTCTTGCTTAATAAGGCTCCCGGAGTACCGAAGACGGTCAATGAGGATCCTAGGCAGACGGCTCCTAAGTCGGCGTTTCAGCTCATCCCCCCAGTAGGAATGAGAATTGTGGGAGATGCCAATCGCGAAGAAGCAAATGTGCACCGCTGGATTGTTCAGGTGGGAATTCACGATGCCTTTCACCTCCATCAAAACTCTAACTGCCTGTAAAGCACCCAGATCCTCCGAAGGTCGATCAAGCTGCAAGTACGAAGTTAATGATGATGGACATGGTTTGTTGTTGTCTTCGCACCTGATGTAATCTGGCTAATGACAGTGCAGGATGATCCGGAGGCTGAGGGGGAAATGCCCGACATCAATCTTGTCCAGCAAAGCGAAGCTGTAAGCTGCTGCAAGTCGCAAATCCCTTGATCGTCTGAGCTAAGAATTCATACAGGTCGTCTACACCCCAAATCCGTTTCGCAAGGTAATTCAGTCGAATGATTCCACAAATATATGCTAACGAAAGAAGGACCTCGCTCTTCGACTTGATATTCCCGCCTACGGTGCCGAGCGTCTGGAAGAATACTCGCCATTCATCGGTAAGCAATGATTCCGGTCGAAAGTGGAAGTCCAGGACTAATTGGTTTAAACCAGATCGATTGGAAACTGATCCTCTACCCAATAATATGCCGAACGCTGCTTTGAATGGGCCCACCATTTTCCCATTGATCTCTCTCCGTTCTTGGAAGCCTCCGACCAATCCCTATGATCTCCGATACGTGCCTGATCCGCCAGTCCAGGAACAGACTGAATAAAAGCCTGGTCTTCAATTCAGCAAAGCCGGAAGTATCCTTTTTTTCAGGCTCCTCCACAAACACGAACTTGTCAAAGCTGCACTCCCATAAATGTTGATCACCTGGACGATTATGAATACGCCAACGAAACGATTGGAGCACCTGCAAGCAATGGATACCTCAAGAACAAACGAGACACTTTCATCACGGATTAGAGGGGGATGGTATCATTAGTAATGGGTCAGAAAGAAATAAAGGAGAGGTATGGGAACACCTCGAGGTAAAAGTTCTTCGAGGCACAGCACTAACAGTACTTTATCTAGAAGAAACAACACACGATCGCCAAATCTGCAAGACCATCGCCGTCTCTCTAGATTTCCCGACCGCAGCCACCGAACAAGAACTGCTCCGGAACATCTCGCAAAGCGAGGAAATAAGCCTCTGGATGTTTCTGGGCTCTTTTGTTGCAGGATATCTGTCACCCCAGCTCGCTCGAACATCAATTCTCCTCCGCATATTCCAAGTTGAATAGCGGCTGGTATGGAAATGGGGTCGTGCCTGTAAATAGCTTCATAGATTTCCAACTGGACAAATTGACTTCCATAGCAAAATTCATCAATGTTCTTTCGAACAGCAAAAAAGAAGCCCTTCCGCGACAGTGTCTTTCTTCTGCCTTGTGCTCTCTTTTTCGGACATATTGACTCGATCAGTGTGACGGGGGAACTCTCGATTCCTCAATTCTTGCCAGATGTTGCCTTGCAGCCACCTAGATCTCACTACACGCAGTCACAAGTTTGTTCTGCCTCCTTTCAGACCCTTGTACCTTGCGCACACTCAAGACATCCAAGTCGCAGCCGTTCGCCTCCCACGCTTCTCCCACTTGATGTAGCTTGTCCCAGGTTAACCAGCTCGATGACTCTACCTGCGCCTCGCCCTTCGCTACACAGGCAGCTAGCTAGCGCAGCTCACAACTTTCCGCCCTGCCATCCTATGAATCGAGTGAACGTGCCCGTTACTCCACACGCGTGTAATGACGCGTCTGCGCTGAGCTGAGCTGCGCGGGACCAATGTCCAGCCGTGGGAAAGTCGATCGACGCGTTCCTGAGATCTGCTCGCCGCTTCCTTGAATGTCGAAGAGTCATGGCGTAAGTGTCTCACTGCACCGTGCTACTCTATCTCCTTCTAACTGGAGGTCTCAGCTTTGCCTAGGGTTGCTGATTCCTGAGAGAGACGTTCCGCACTACGTGTCGATGTTCCAGCACTTGTGAAGGGTGAAAGATTAGCGCGGATGTTAAGTGTGAAACGGGGAAGGGGAGGGAGATTGGCAATGGAGGGGACGGAGCTTACGCTCGGGGGTCAGGGTGCGGTAAGAGAAAGATGGTCGTTGCAGGGTAATGGAGAGTGCAATGGATACTGGGTAGGAGGTGGTGGGGACTGTGGTTAAGATCGAACGGACACGGTAAGAGAAGGTCAAGACAATCAGCATGATAAGATGAGATCATGGGTAGAAATGGAAAAGAGCCGGATGGACGATGAGCTGATTCTCATTTATAATTCGTGATGGGTTCATTCGCGTGTGTTCTTAATTATGGCTGAGGGGTGGGCGTGGCCATTGGTCCCGAAGCCTTGCTGGATCGAACTCAAGCAGCACAGAGTCGATGGACTCTTGTGGTACTTGAGCCATTCGAAAGTCGAGCTTTCCCCACTAAGGGAATGCTGCAGGTGTGCACACTTACACACGCATCAAGTTCCGTGCTTGTGCATGGAGGTAGATCGCTGCCATATGTAACCATGCAGGATGAGCACAAATTTGCTCAATTCCGGGTTTTGGTCAGTGGCAGGGGCACATTCATCGGCACACAGTCTTGTGCTTGATATATTAGGGTGGTTTTGAACAAGGTCAAAGCCGGCATCATCAAGGCGGGTCGGGAGCAGCACGAGTGTCCCAATCACTAGCCCAGATGAAGGTGCTGCATCTCCATTGAGTACCTCTCTCCTTGTTTCCACTGGGTCCTAAGGGGCGATTACACATCCAGAAGGAGCGGCCACAGTTGACACCAGGCTTTCGTGTCACCATCGTCTTGCATGGCTCTTCGTGTTCACATCTTGGGGAAACAGGCTTTGCAAACAGCTTGCCCCAACTTTGTTTTGCGGCAGAAGAAGATGCTTCACTCTCAAAGGTTGCGTCAGATTTGGCAGGTGATGGAAATGTGGAAGGTTTGGTCTCTTCTGATATGACGATTCCAGCATCAGTGGGCGAAGGTGGGGTCTCAGAACCACTCGTGTCTTCAGTCAGAGCCAGCTCCGATTTGGTGTTCGCTACTGGAGAAGGTTTTGCTGCGAAGAATCCTTTCAGGCTTTGTTGACCTTTGACAGCCCCATTGAGACCAGACTGAGAAGCGGACTTGGATCGTTTGGCAGTAGGCGCAGATGCCGTACTGGCTAAACGTTTGCCATTGACTGCTTTGCTAGGAGATTGGGTATTGATGGCGCTAGATGTAGTTCTAGAGAGCGATATTTTATTCGTTGGTGGATCCATCGCAGTGTCGGGGGTGTTGATCGTTTCTTCGACAGAGAGCGACGATGATAAAACTATGCTTTCCGTGATCTGACCTTCACCATTTTCTTGAATTGTACTCTTCGAAGTTGGCAGTAGTGGTTTACGGGTGAACATGTCTTTGATGCTGCGTCTCTTGTCAAATTCCTGTATCAGTTTGCCAGACATGGGCAACAGATCTTTATTGGTCCAGTCCCGTTTTCGCACACCGGTCTCGAACATGCCAGGGGGATTCAAGAGGTCGATCATGTGCATCTCGTTGTCGCCATCAAGTATCTTGTCCTTGAGAGTTGCATAGACTGGGCAGTGATCCGAGCCTAAGAGGCCCTCTTGTATGTTTGAATCGCTGAACCAATCCTTCATGTCATGACTGCAGACCACGTAGTCGATCCTCGCACCAAAGTTCCCAGGTCGAGCATTGACTTTAGTTTCCCAACAGGTATACATGCCTCTGCGACCCTCATGAAAGCCACGACAAATGTCCCACATTACTGAAGTCTCGCGACCTTCATCTCTTTCGCCATGAACTTTGCCACCAACAAGAAGCTGATTGAACATTCGTCTTGCGGGAGTGGAGATCCACTCGATGGCATTCATTTCATTCTTCCGCATGCTCTCCTCAGCTGCAGCCGTGTCGATTTCTTCTCGAGAGATATTGAGATCCCCGGTCCAAATCACTTTCTTACCCATCTTTACTAGGTTCCGAATTCTTCCATCGAGTACCCTGAGGAAAGCGGAGCGGAAATGTGTACGGGTTTCGTCTCTTTCTGCTGGACAATATGTGCCGATCAGGACGAAGGCTGGGAATTCCAGGATGACACATCTTCCCTCGGAGTCAAGGGCGGCAGGGTCGAACTCAGACTGCGACAATTGTTCGAGGGTGGGATATCCTCCGATCTGTTCATCTTCCGGCAGGTCTCGAAAGCTGGTGGAGGAGTTTGGTCGAGTGAGAATTCCAGTGATGCCTTCTTCGGCTCGGATAGGTGCGCAGACGGCATTGCGAGTGTATATGACGACGCCAGAATATCCTGTAATCGTCAGAGCGTGCTAAAGCAGGCGTAATTGCCATGGGAGGAGGACTGTTTTACCCTTTTTGTGCTTTGGGAGGCTCCAGTAGTTGTCCCAGCCTGGAACAAGCACCATATCATCTCGGAGATCTTTTCGCTGGATCTTGGTCTCTTGAAAGACAACTATGTCGGCCTCAAGGATGTCAAACATAGCCTCGAAGGTTCGTTTGTCTCTCCATGGCTGATATCCAAAGGGATTGCGAATGCCATTGACATTCCAAGTTGTTATTCGAATGCCCATGTTGTGGCTGCTAGAGGCATCGCCGCCTCATCGTACTAGGCCTGAGATCAAGACGAAAGGCTCAAGAGACGAGGTCTGCCGGTAGAGCAAGGTTTCAAAGTTCATGTGAATGTTGAGGTTAGGTTATGGCGAACCAGTGTCTTTACTGATAGAACGCGAACGCGGCGCGCAGTCGCGAACTCTGAATTTGGATGATGTCGTAATCACTCACGTCTGGCGGCCCTTAGGAGCAACGGCCCTAACCGTAAGAAATGCCAGTGGTGGGTGGTTATGGGGATGCCTCAGGCTCCAATGGGCGAGAAGTGAGGGGAAACTGATGGCCGGACACGCCTGGAGGCCGCCCGCTCCATCTGGGCACCCAACCTTGGGTAACGGCGGGTGTTCTGGTCCGATGCCGTGGATCTGAACTGCTGGGTGGCTGCCACTGCCAGTACCAGTGTCATCCATCTTTCACCCCCAGCACTGACGTAATGACCGCTTTTCTTCAAGTTTGTAGCCAAATGCCCAAACAAGGCCCCGATTCATCTTCTACTGTGCCGTGCTCACTGCGTGTCTTGTTCTTCAAACAATTGACATTACTTCTCAATCCGCTGAGATCATCCAGTTGTTTTCTCCCCGATTCATTCTTGCATTCATTTATGCCCGGTTGTTGTTCGACTTGTATACTAGCTTGATCAATTAAATCAGAGGATTCGAGCACTCGACAGCCTGTTCTGCCCCGCCACACGAGTGGCTGTGCCATCAACCAAAGTCTACGTCAAATCTGTTCTCTCTCCTCAAGCTTAATTCTTCACATCCCTTGGAATAAAAGCGAGACGCAGTTCGTATTAGTCTGCTTTTCTACATCTCCATGCGATTTTTCTCAATAATACCTTGATTAACCCCGGCCTGGGTGACGGCCATCGCTCGACAAGATGTTGGAAGGCTTGGTCGCAAACCTTCTCAACCGCTTTTTGGGCATGTACGTCAAGAATTTCGACCCAAAACAGCTCAATGTCGGCATATGGTCGGGAGATGTGAAACTTCGAAACCTAGAGTTGAGGCGAGAGGCTCTCGACCAGCTTCATCTCCCTATCAATGTTGTAGAGGGTCGCCTTGGGGAACTCACACTATCTATCCCCTGGTCAAATCTGAGGGGCAAGCCTGTCAAAGTCAACATCGAGGATGTATTTCTTCTGGCTGCGCCAAAGGAAGGTGATGAGTATGATGCTGATGAGGAAGAGAAGCGTGCTGTTGCTGTAAAGTTGGAGAAACTTGAGAGCGCCGAGCTCTTGAAGGAACAGAACACCGAGAGCATGAGTCCCGAAGAGCAGCAGAAAAACCAGAGTTTCACTCAAAGCTTGGTCACCGCTATTGTCGACAACCTTCAGGTCAGCATAAAAAATGTTCACGTTCGGTATGAAGACTCAATCGCCACTCCCGGCCATCCTTTCGCAGTTGGTCTCACTCTAAAGGAGATGAGCGCTGTGAGCACGGATGCTGAATGGCGCCCAACTTTCATTCAGTCCACCTCAGGTACGACACATAAGCTGGCAGTCCTCAACTCATTAGCAGTCTACTGGAATAGTGATGCAGAATTGTTTGGCACGGGCAAGGGTGGAGATGTTGGAGCCGAGGCACAGGAGATCGATAAGGACGACCTGATAAGGAAATTCAAAGAGGGCATCGAGGAGACCGATGGTTTTCAATATCTCCTTAAGCCAGTCAGTGGCCGAGCCGGTATCGAATTGGACAAGTCTGGCAAGACCGAAGTACCCAAGGTGAAAGCACGACTGCTATTCCAAGAACTTGGTTTCATCCTTGATGAAGATCAATATCGAGATGCTTTGATGCTCGTGGACCTTATGCACTATTTTGTGCGACATCAAGAATACAAGAAGGATCAACCCGAAAAATCTCCCAAAGAAGATCCTAAAGCCTGGCTCAAATTTGCCGGAAATGCCGTTCTCACCAAGATTCATGACCGCAATCGAAGGTGGACCTGGGACTACTTCAAAGAACGCAGAGACAATCGTTTGAAGTATATCGAGCTGTTCAAAAAGAAAAAGAAAGAACAGAAATTGACAGAGGAAGAGACCAAAGACTTGACTGACCTCGAATTCAAACTGAGTTACGAAGATCTGCGCTTCTGGAGGTCGCTCGCTCGAAGCCAACTCCGGAAAGAAAACATCAACGCCCCTAAACCCGCACAGAAACAAACCTGGTCTTCCTGGATATGGGGTTCGAAAGAACAGCAAAGCCAAGGGGAGAATGAGGACGCGGGAATGACAGAACAGCAACGCAAAGAGCTATATGACGCCATTGATTGGGACGAGAAGAAGGCAATCACAGATAGTGTTGATCTCCCCCGAGAAACCATCAAATTGCAGGTCGAATCAAGCCTGAGAACTGGAAGCTTTACACTCAAACGTGATCCACACGGAGAGGCGAATGAGATCCTGAAGCTGGTTTTCGACAACTTCAAAGCCAAGGCTCTTCAGCGTCCCGACTCGTTCCTTGCTGACCTCGCCCTCGGAGGATTTCGTGTCTATGACGGGACGACGGAAGGGAGTCTCTTCCCACAGATCGTCAAGGTCAAGGGTGTCGAAGAACAATCAAAAGACGACGTCAAAGAGGATACCAGCACTCTCGAGCAACAGAGCAAAGAGAGTTCGGAAGAACAAGATGCCACAGAGAAACAAGAAGACAATGACAGCCTGTTCCATCTGCTATTCGAAAATAAACCACTGGACGAAAGTGCGGATACCAAAGTCTTCCTAAAACTGAAGAGTCTTGAATTCATCCACAATCCAAAGTTTGTTGTCGAAATAGCAAAGTTCTTCAAACCACCAGAGCGACAAATGGAGTCAATTGGTGCATTGCTGCAGACAGCGGGCGCCACCGTTGAGGAGATCAGACAGCAGACCAGAGCCGGTCTGGAGTTTGCACTGGAGGAGCACAAAACCATAAACGCCAATTTTGATATTCAGGCTCCTATATTCATCATACCCGAGAGTATCACAGAGGAGAGCACACTGTGTCTGATACTGGACGCTGGTCATGTCAGCCTGAATAGCGAACTTGTGGATAAGGATACAATGCGGGATATTCATTCCAAACAAAAGCAACAATATACCGAGGAGGATTTCAAACAGCTCGAAGGTCTCATGTACGACAAATTCCACTTGAAACTTGATTCAACGCAAGTCTTGATTGGACCTGGGATTGCAGCCACAAGGTCCCAGCTAGAAGATCCTGATGATGCGAAGAATATGCACATCATCGACCGCATTAATATGGATTTCCTGATCGAGAGCTCGATCATACCAAAGGCTCCAGATATCACCAAGATGCGCATTTCCGGTTCGATGCCCGTCTTGCATGCCTCTATCTCGGATAGGAAATATAAGAACATCATGAGGTTGATTGATGTTGCAATCCCGAAATTTGACACGGCTCCGACCAAATCGGATGGAGCAGAACATGAAGCTGTACCGTCAAGACCAGCCGAAGACTCCAAATCAAAGAGAAAGTCGGTTGTCTTGCTTGAATCCAAGGACAAACCAGTTATTGACCATGATTCTGATTCTGAAGAGTCCAAGGAGAAGAAGCCCGAGAAGAAAGAACAAGAAAAGCCAGCCAACATTCATCAACGCAATTTCGAGATCAACTTCACCGTCGAAAAGCTCCAGGCATCACTGTACAAAGCCGACCCTGAAGAGAAAAAGCCTGATCAGCTGCTGGCAGAGCTTGTGGCAGAGCACTTCTCCTTCAATTTTTATCTGCGTCCCTACGACATGGCTGCAGAGGTCATTTTACGCTCCTTGACTGTGGATGACCATATTGAAGACGACCCGCTGCCAGAGTTCAAGCAGATCATCTCTTCCAAAGGTTTTAAGGCCGAAGAAGAGAAAGATCTTTTCAATATCAAGTTCGTCAAGGTCAATCCGGAATCTCCTGAATTCAAATCTACATATGAAGGAATTGCAACCAATCTCGATGTCGCAGTATCCACAATAAACGTTATTGTTACCAGAAAGACGCTTTTGACGCTTCTTGATTTCGTCCTCACCACATTCGCTGGACCTGGGGACAAGCCGCCGGACCAAGACGTCAAACGTATCGAAGAAACTAATGACGACGAGAATACTGTTGATGCAGCGCCCCAGGCACAGCAGCAACCCGAAAAGCTCAGAATTAAAGCTGAGCTGAAAAGTATAGCGCTCATCCTCAACAATGATGGTGTAAGACTTGCGACTCTGTCACTAAACTCAGGTGATGTGGGCATATTCCTAAACGCTGGTACTATGCAGATCAAGGCACGACTGGGCAGTTTATCACTAGTCGATGATATCAATCAAGGCGCCCCAGAAGATTCATCATTGCGTCGGTTGATTGCCATCGAAGGAGACGACCTTGCTGATTTCAAGTATCAAACTTACGATGCAAGTCGCAAGGATTACCCGGGATATGACTCGGGCATATTCTTACGTTCAGGTTCCATCAAAGTGAACTTTTTGGAAGAACCTTTCCGTAAGATCATGGAGTTTGGCGTCAAGTTCGGGAAAATGCAGGCTATATTCAACGCTGCAAGGCAAGCTGCTGCCAACCAAGCCACACAAGTCCAACAAAGTGCCCAGAAGATGCATTTCGATGTTGTCATCAAGACTCCCATTGTTGTTTTCCCGAGAGCCATGGTCGACAACCGACCTCGAGATCTTTTGACAGCCTATCTTGGAGAGATTTATGCAAATAACAAATTTGTTGGCATCAAGGGACAGAAAGATGGACCTGTCATCAACAAACTCTCGGCTGGTATACGCAACATCCGCTTGACCACCGAATTTCATTATGATGACAACCAGTCGCAGGAACTGGAGATGATCGACAAAGTTGATCTGGATTTCAAGATTAGGTATTTGGAACATCAGGCCGGTCTTGATAGGCCAGATCTGGAGATCGATGGATCCATGTCGCCTATCAACCTACGAATATCCCAAACACAATTCAAGTTTTTGATGGAGCTCTCAAAAACAATCCCTGCTGCCTTTGCAACTGAACAAGACCCTGATGATGAGATTGCCGAAGAACTACCAGACTCAACTGTCGCTCCAGCAAAAGCAATTCAGAAGGACGGCAATGATTCGAATGTAGGTACCAAACCTTCATTCCAAGCACCAGAACTTGGCTCTACAGACGAAACTTGGACGAAGCTGAACCTCGTCTTCAAAGCTCAGATGATAGGGCTTGAACTCATCCTAGCAGCAGATGATGTGCCTATTGAGAATTTTGAAGCTGCCAGCGTGTCGAAATTTTCCTTGAACGAGACTAATGTCAAACTGCGCATGCTCAGCGACGGAGCACTTGAATCAGAACTTCTCGTTCATTCATTCACTATCCGCGATAGTCGATCCAAGGAAACCAACAAATTCAGAAAGATAATGTCGCTGATTAACAGCGATGTTAAACAGCAATTCATGGCAAGCGTGTCAATATCCGGAGGCGCCGATAAGCACATGATTCTCATGCTTACAATTGACAGTCCGAGGATCATTGTTGCACTTGACTATCTCTTTTCTCTTCAAGCATTTGCCAACACCGCCTTCGCGACTAACGAGCCTCCGCCAATCGCCGAGATTGAGGACGTATCGGAAGACGACTTGCTTAGTCCCGTCGAAGACCGTAGTCAATCAGAGGAAGAGACTAGCAGCGAGAGTGAAAGCTCTGGCATGAGTATATCCTTTCGTATTAATATCGTGGATGCTCAAATCATTCTTATTGCAAACCCAACGATCTCGAACACTGAAGCTATTGTATTGGGCACAAAAGAAGTCCTGGTGTCTCGTCAAAACGCCACAACCCTCCAAATTACCAAGGTGGGCATGTTTCTATGCCGGATGGATAAATTTGAGACGAGTCGTCTTCGAATCTTGGATGATTTCAGTGTACAAATGTCCATGGATAGCCGAGGTCAGGGCAAGGAATCTTCCTTGACTTCAATACATGTGGGTATCGAACCGCTTGTCTTGCGATTGTCATTGCGTGATATTCTGCTCGCGATGCAAATTATGAGCAAGGCTTCCTCCACTATGCCCCAAGGAAAGATAGAAGAAGATACTGAGCCAAAGAAGATTAAGGATGTGAAAGCAACTTCCAAGGCTCCATCTTCAAGACGAAGATCAGCTGGTGGCGCTACAGGCACTTCGACAAAGAAATCCAAACGCTCGAAGTCAATATCGAAACCTCAATCGAAGCCAGCAGCCAAAAAGTCCATTGTCATGAGTAGGGAAGAGCTTGTTGCTCAGATTGACGGCATACGAGTTATTCTGATTGGAGACCGGCACGAACTTCCATTACTCGATTGGAGTGTTAAGAAGTTCGATGTTGATGTACGAGATTGGTCAGGAGCGATGACTGCTGACACCAAATTCGACACGTTCCTCAACGTCTACAACTTTTCCAAATCGGCATGGGAACCTTTGATTGAGCCTTGGAAGCTCGGTTTCCACATGTCGAAGCAGGTACAACCGGAGGTGTTATCGATGGAAGTCTATTCGCACAAGAACATGGAACTCACAATTACTTCCGCAACCATCGCATTAGCATCGAAATCCTTTGACTTCTTGTCCACAGATGAGGATATACTGTCAAAACCTCGTGTGGCAGATGCCCCCTATCGAATTCGCAACTACACTGGCTTCGACTTGAGCGTTTGGGCCGATGAAAAGAGCGACAACGCAAACGCTGCAAAGTTGACTGATGGCGAAGAATATCCCTGGCGATTCGAGGATGCTACCTCCATGCGCGAACATCTCACTCCAGAAGGTAATGCCGGCTTAGTAGGTGTCAAGCTTGAAGGTAGCGGATTTGATAGTGTCAGCCGCATCCCCGTCATCCGCGAAGGTGAAACTCTTTACAATCTGAAGCCACGCAAAGACAACGTGCAACACCGAATGCTTGTGGAGGTCAAACTTGGCTCGGACAATGTCAAATATATCACATTCCGCTCCCCACTTCTCGTTGAGAACAAGACACAAATTCCGATCGAAGTCGGTGTTTACAGTCCCGAGGATGGTCACCTCTTGAAGATTGAGAAAGTCCCCCCAGGCGAAGGTAAACCCGCACCAGTCGGTGCTGCTTTTGTCCATTCACTTGTCATTCGCCCCGACCAAGGTTTCGGCTATGGTTGGTCAAATGAGCGCTTGTTCTGGAAGGACCTTCTTAAGAGATCCACAAGAACGATCACTTGTCAATCAGAAAGTAAGGACAACTCGCCACCATTCTATTTTCAGATGCATGCAGCCTACAACGAGAAAGATCCCATGACGAAGATTTATCCTTTTATGCGGATACAAATTTCTGCTCCCGTAGAGGTGCAGAACCTTCTGCCATACGATTTCAAGTATCGCATCTATGACAAAAACACCAAGAAGGATTGGACAAATTTCCTCAGAAAAGGAGGCGTCAGCCCAGTACATGTCGTCGAACTCTCTCACCTCTTGCTCCTCAGTGTTGACATAGAGGATACTCCGTTGAAGCAGAGCGATTTTGCGATCATCAACAGCAATACTCAAGAAGATTTCCGCCGTGAGAAGCATTTGAGTCTGAAGGACGAATATGGAACCCAACTGAGGTTAAAACTTCACTACACTAATATCAAAGATAGTGGTGGTGCCTTCAGAGTTTCCATATATAGTCCATATGTGCTCCTGAACAAGACTGGGCTTGACATGGAAGTCCAGAGCAAAGCCTTCTTCGGATCATCGAAATCTTCAGCTTCTCAAGGGAATCGTTCTAGCTCAGGAAATGGCAAAGCTCTACCCATGCTGTACTCCTACGGCACAGATGACCGTAAGAATCGATCGTTGCTCAAGATTGGCGATTCCACTTGGAGTAAGCCACAAAGTTTCGATGCCATCGGAAGTTCGTATGAAGTTGTCCTACCATCCGCAAATGGACGTACCGAACTTCATGTCGGTGTCTCCGTGTCGGAAGGAGAAGGTAAATACAACTTGACCAAGGTTGTCGCAATTGCTCCAAGATTCGTGCTCAAGAACAAGATTGGAGAAGCAGTCGAGCTTCGTGAGCCTGGTTCATCAGAAGTGATCAAGGTGAAAACCAATGAATTGCTGCCTGTCTACTTCATGCGCCAAAGTCCCGAAAAACAGCTGTGTCTCTGTTTCCCAGGGGTAGACAACCAATGGTCATCACCTTTCAACCTTGCAAATGTTGGCATGACCCATGTCAAACTTGCAAAGCATGGCCAGAGACAAAAATTAATCCGTGTTGAGATTATACTTGAAGATGCAACTCTTTTCCTACATTTCAGTGTCGAGACCAAGCATTGGCCCTTCTCAATGCGTAATGAGAGTGATACCGAGTTCTTGTTCTTCCAGGCCAATCCGAATATCGCAGAGGACGAGGAGGAAGATCGCGGTAGTGGCTGGAAGCCTATCCGATATAAGCTCCCTCCACGAAGTATCATGCCATACGCCTGGGACTATCCTGCCTCGAAAAACAAAGAACTTGTTCTCACCTCAAGAGGTAGGGAGAGATACGTCAAGCTTGCAGAAATAGGGAATTTGATTCCCATCAAGCTACCAGCGACTGAACGGGCTGGGCCCATGAAGGTAATTGACGTCAACATAGTTGCAGATGGTCCCACCCAAACATTAGTCCTCTCCAACTACAAGCCTTCAAAGTCACTCTACCGCCAAAGGACAGGTGCGACGACTGCATCACAGACAAGTCTAAACCAGGGATTCGAGGTGAAGCAAGTTGAGTCAGAAGTTAATTTCAAGGCTGAGCTTCGACTTGCTGGCATTGGAATCTCCCTTGTCAACACTAAGATGAAAGAATTGCTATATTTGACCTTCCGAGAGATCGACCTCAAATACGGAGATTCCAAACTCTACCAGACAATTGGTGCTACCATTAAATGGATACAAATCGACAACCAATTGTATGGAGGCATATTTCCGATACTCCTCTATCCCAGCGTTGTTCCAAAGACTGGCAAAGAAATGGAAGCTCATCCTATTTTCCACAGTGCGGTTACAAGGGTCAAGGACGATTCATATGGTGTTCTTTATATCAAATACGCCACTCTTCTGCTTCAACAAATCACTGTTGAATTGGATGAAGACTTCATCTTTGCCATGCTCGATTTCATGAAGGTTCCTGGTGCTTCATGGTCCGAGGAGAAAGAAGGCAAGCTTTGTGATGAAGATCTGGATGTTCCAGAGCCTACCCTAGAACAACAGGGTCAAGATGTCTACTTCGAGCTCCTGCATCTACAACCCATCCAACTCGATCTATCATTTGTGCGAACTGAACGAATCAACGCCGAAGATACTCTGGTGAACAATCCTTTCATGTTCTTCGTCAATGTCATGACAATGTCCATCGGTAATGTCAATGATGCTCCAATCAAGCTCAATGCACTTATGCTTGAAAATGCACGAATTTCTATTCCTGCCCTCATTGCAAATATTCAGAATCACTACACGCAAGAAGTACTCAGGCAAATCCATATCATCCTCGGATCTGCCGACTTTCTTGGCAATCCTGTCGGCCTCTTCAACAACATCAGCTCTGGTGTTGCCGACATCTTCTACGAACCTTACCAAGGCCTGGTCATGACTGATCGACCTCAAGAACTAGGTATTGGTATCGCCAAGGGAGCTAGCAGCTTCGTCAAGAAATCAGTGTTCGGATTCAGTGACAGCATGGCCAAATTCACGGGTTCCATGTCCAAGGGTCTTGCAGCAGCAACCATGGACAAGGAATTCCAAGATCAGAGGCGGATGTCGAAGAGTCGCAATCGGCCGAAGCATGCACTGTACGGTGTCACATCCGGAGGAAATGCTTTCGCTTCAAGCGTGGCTAGTGGTATTGGTGGACTTGCAAGGCATCCCCTCGAGGGTGCTGAAAAAGAAGGAGCCTTTGGTTTCGTCAAGGGTGTTGGAAAGGGCGTTCTCGGCCTTGCCACAAAGCCTGCCATCGGTGCCTTTGATTTGGCATCCAATGTGGCCGAAGGTGTGCGCAACACAACGACTGTCTTCGACGCCGAAGGTCTCGACCGTGTACGTCTCACTCGTTTCATCGGCATGGATGGCATAGTTCGGCCATATTCCCAACGCGAAGCACTAGGCCAATTCTGGCTCAAGACCAGTGACGATGGCAAATTCTTCAACGAGGAGTACATTGCTCACCTAGAACTTGAGGGAAGAGATATGTTGGTCATGATCACCTACGATCGGATTCTGATGATCCGCACGAAGAAGCTGAGGATGGAGTGGGACGTCAAGTTGACCGATGTGCAGACTATCAGCAAGGAACGCACGGGCATGAGTTTTGGTTTGAAGGGCGGCGCTAATGGGCCTTTCATCCCTGTTGCAGATGAAGGGAGTCGGAATTGGCTGTACAAGCAGATTGCTATTGGTAAGTCTTCGTTTTGCCACCTCTTGACGGAAAGGGACTAACAATTAGTTGCAGCTGTGAATGCGTTCAACGACAAATATAATGCCAAGGGTTGATAATGATGAGTGTGCTGATGGAAGGATGTAACGATGGCCGTTGAAGTTGAACTTCCATTTAGAAACACGATCGGTGGTACCAGGCAACAAGCGGTTATAATGGGGGGAAAAGCATAGCAATCGGAGCAATTTTTTGGACTTCATGGTCCTTCTGGGGAGAGTGATCATGGCATTCGTCTCCCACGACAGTACCCTACATATGGAGTTTGTACCTATACTAGAATTGCAGGTTTTGATAATGAATATTGTCGCCGCATCATGTCTAATATCATCCGCGCTCGCTTAAATATCTTTAGTAGCTCCAGGCCAATATCTAAACTAGCCGCAGCTCATTTCTACGCTTTATCGTTCCGTGAGATCATTAAGGGTCATTCCAAGGTCGTGTCATTGGGCATATCGAGATCATGTGTTGTTCGTAGTCCCAGAAAGACCAGCAGAAGTTCCACTTGCGCCTGGGTCTGGCGGCACACCAGGCTGCTGAGCTGGCGTGGACGGCGACTGCGTGCCTGCACTTTGCGCTGCTGATCCAGCACTCAGAGTTTGAGACAGACTTGAGAGTCGCTGAGGAATCGTAGAAAGATTCGTGTATGCCCCCGTGCCCGACAAGAGGCTAATGGTGGACTGTGAAGCGGGAGTCATGCTCATGCGCGAGGAGGCTTTCTGCTGCCTTCGTCTTTCCCTTGCAGATGCTTCCTCCGCTCTGCGGATCTGACCGAGTTGGTCACTGGTGGCATTCTGCTTCCGGGCATCCTCTTCAATGATGCGGTGCTCTTCTGCGTAAATCGTCAGCCATGCTCGGAGATGGGAGGGAGGCACTAAGGAATTCCTTATTTACCTGGGGAGAATTTTCCATGCCGCAGCGCCAATGCTGCTTTGTCAAAGACGAAGATGCTCTCCTTGGCGATGAATACCCTGCCTGGGACCAGATCAAACGGAGGGTTTTCATGCACTAGAAATGTGGTTTTCCGAGATTTTCCAGCATTCACGGCGTACCAGGTGATGTCGATCCGACCCGTGGGTGAGAACTCCTGTCCACCAAATGCAAAATACGTCTCGCCATCTTCGATTTCCTCCATGTCATCCTGCAGATTGCCCCGTTGCACCACTTCCATAGCAACCCAATTCTCGTCGCACCCACTGTCGAGCTTCCCACGAGCTACAATGTGATCGGTGTCATCTTCGTGTGCCCGTAAAATGGTAGCCGAGAATGAAAATGGGTCACCAACGTCAGCCCTGGGCTGCCAGCCAGCCAGTCCCAAAGGCTGCAAGGCTGAACGCAGCTCATTTGCCAGACCCCGGGAATCAGGGGCTCTGACTGCTATTGATTCATGGACCCGCGACACAAGTGAGTGGATTTCTTGCATGAATTCTTGCGTTGATTCATGCTGGTACGTGTTCGTCGTTTGTTGCATTTCTTCCGTTGATTTATGCTGGTACGTGTTCATCACTAGTCGCATTTATTGCGTTGATTCTTGCATTTCTTGTTGCTGCTGGTGAGTTTAAGCACTACTTCTGGTTATTCATGTGATCCCTGTTGCACAGGACACAAGGACGTACTCAGTAGCGACATCTCTGAAAAGTTTCACAGCGTTCGTCAACCCGGCCACAGCATCCTTCACCTCCTCGTTGCTAGGTTTCATAAGCTTCTTGGAACCCCCTCGCCGGACGCATCCTTCGACAGCAAGCATGCGCTTCTGGCACAGACGAGTGCACGCCGCGGCAAGAGCCGGATCAAGATAAGTGGACGATAACACCCTCTCGCTCAAACCAGACAGTATCTTGCGATTTATGTCAAGTTCGAGAAATGCGTCCTCTAGTATGAGATCTACCTCCTTAGCACCCCCCAAAAATGACTGTATTTGTCTGTTACTACGACTACCAATATCAACAATGCCAATGACGCTTGCAGACAGTGAAATTGGATCTGCCATTCTATCGGGGTGCCCTAGAATTGAGAAGGAGAACAAGACCCCAAATGATATGCTTCAGGTGGTCAAATGTTGATCCTCCATCCAAACAATTAGTAAACGACAATCGAAGAATCCGGATCAAATAATATCACGAATCGAAGTTCGCAAAGGCTCTACAAGCAAGGCAAAGGGGCCTGAAATGGAAGGCAATATGGCACCAATTCAGGCACCTGCCTTGGCAGATGGCAGAGTTTCACGAAGTTGCATTTCTCCAAGTTATTTGGCCGTGTGTTCTCCCCAGTGCAAGGATATGACATTGCACAGAGCAATTCATTTCTCACTGCAAGGCAAGGTGCTAGTCGCTAAGCTTATAACCAAGGCAGGTGAAAATCGAAGGTTGGGAGCTCCTAGTCAAAGCGGTAGAGGCAGACACACCGATAGATTTAGGGGAGAATCAAGATGGCGGGCTACCCAAAGCTCGCACAATTGATGGACCGAGAGCCTGAGACAGCAATCGTGCGGAGATTTGGGCGGTTGAACATGCTCAACATTCTACGCCTTCAGGCAGAAATCCAAGACATGGAGCGAGAACTGGACCAGATTCTTGAAGAGGATGCGAAATCTGGAGACGCAATCCGCGAATCTTATACCAAGGATTTCAGGCTCATGAGAGACTGGCGAGAGGCTGGTGACTCAGAACAATATGATCTGCTGGTCAATATTGGCAGCAGACTGCAAGAATATAGTAGGTGGTCGAGAATATAGTGGGCGGTCGAGGCTACTCGAAGGACGATGAACTGATCGAGCCGCAGATGATTTCGTGTCGCAAGACCTTGTGCTGAGCAAAGCTGAAAGTCCAAGTGTTAGGGAACTTGCTTTCTTACAAAAGTGGCTGATAAGGCCTGGTATGGGCGATCAGTTCTTGAACGACGTCGAAAGGACAACCTGGGACTCTTCAAATGCCCCGGACTTGATTTCGCTCTCTGGTGCCGTGCAAGGCAAGGACCATGTTTCCAAATTTATCTATGGTGTGCTCTTGGACTTTCATCATCGAATATGGGGCAACACAGGCGTGGTTTGTCAATACTATTGCATAGATCTTGTTTGTCTTCCTACGGTTTCTAACGAAAGCTAGTCTTCCCATGAATTGCACCTCGACAAAGGTATCAGAAAATATCGCAATACCAGGCTTCTGTGGCTAAGCAACACCATCAATGCAGCTCTATCATCTCTGCGTCCAACTGTGATGATTCTGGTTTTGTACTTCGTCAAGCGAATGCTCGTTCGCATTGGATTGGTTATTGTTTTCACAGCCATATTTTCTTTGGCCCTCTCTACCTTTATAAAAGCAACTAAGATCGAGAATTTCTCCGCAACTGCTGCGTACGTATTGCGGAGTATGTTCGGACATTTAGGCTGATATGTGTGCAGGTTCGCCGCCGTGGAAGTGGTCTTCATTGGCAGCACAAGCACAAATAGCACTGCATAAACACCCTTGAAATCGAGACTGGCACGTCAGTCAGGGGTGCGGTGAGCTGGATTGAACTTGGCCTGAGTCAATGAGTAACATGATCTATTTCACCACGATATTGCAAACATATGACGATCAGTCATTGGGCGAATGTGCTACGTGCGGCTAATAAAGTATCTCACGGTTGGGTGCGTTGGTGCAGCTCTTCAGCTCGCCCTTTGCACCTCCTGAGAAAGTCTGCCTCTGGAATGAGTCAAACTGCTGGAGACAGGTCAACCAATCGAACAGGTTAAAGTCGTTGGGCAGGATATTGGACAACGAGTAGGAATACATGGGATTGATAGTCGGAATCGTTGATGGACGAGGTGGCTTCTGGGGTGGCCCTTGTCACGAACGCGCCAGTTCTCGGGCTACGTGAATCCAAGTCTACAAAAGAACCTAACTGAGTTCGTAACTTAGGTGCCGGCTGTGCAGCAGAAGAGGGGGTGCTAAACGCGTAGAACCTGGGATGACCACGAAGCATCGAAAAGACCTTGCAGCCTTGCGCTGGGGACTGTACCGGTTACTCATAAGCGCCTGTAGTTACCGGGTATCACACCTGTTTGCAGAACCAACTGCATCTTCCACCAAGGTTTCGCTTGTTTTTCGGAAAACCGGACCATCACGCGCCGATGCTTCTCACCAGGATCAATTGCTCCATCCAATATACTTTCTGGCAGGAACCCTGGTCAATCCCCACGCGACTGCCTCGAAATCCGGGATACTAATTCTTTCCGAAACTCAAATGGGATGCTGCTGCAGCCGCATTCTTCTCAACACGAGATATGGCTGCAGATCGACCCCAGCAGGAGCAGATCTGGGCAGGTAAGAATCCCTGCGCAAGACATTCCCTATTCAAGGCAGCTTCACATGACGTCCTATTCGTGTTCTGCTTCATTCTCCTCCCCAGGTTCAAGTCTGCATGACTCGCCACTTCCTTTCCAGGCGTCATGTACTGTAAAGACTACGAGGTACACAGGCATGAGGACCTTCCGAATCCAACAGTCAGGGGTGTGCCTTGTAATGTGTTATTAGGATGCTCTTGGGAAACCCATATCGCATCATGACCGAGCGAGCTTTCTTCGAGCAATCACAAGTCATTGCGTTTATGCACCCCCCCCTGATCAACAAATCGATATCAGCGCCTCAAGTTGTTGCAAGCCTGTGGCCATTTTGAAAGCCCAAGGTGGTGTACAGGCGGACGCTATGTACTCGGTCGTCACCGCACTGGGGTCGGCCATTGCTTCCGAAGCAATCACTCGCACAAAATGCAGACGCTCAATCGTAACAAGATATCATTCCATTCTTTCATTCTGCCACTTGAACTCCCCTTTCAATCTCTACACGTACTTCAGCATCCCGCTTTATCAAGTGAAGCACGGAAACACACTCGAATTTGCAGCTCTGGATTTGCAGCGAAGGAATTCATCCTAAATCAACCTACGAAGTGAATCGGGAACCTAGCTAGTGCATCTCGCGGTTTGCAATTCACGCCTTGCATTTCACGCATGGGATCGATTATGGTCAGGTGAGGACAGCCACCGACGAACAAGATGGGTCCCAACCATGAGTATCATCATGCCGACCAACCAAGAATAAAACGCATCAAGTGCGAAGAGGGATGGAGGTTCTCTCTTCCTCACCATATCGCCCAGATGATGGCTGATGTTCAAGTATGCCCAGATCTGTTGAGCACTTCACACCGATTATGGACGACGCCATCTATGTTTTACTTCTTTGCTCGGTGGAGGTACTTAGACTATGATACGGCCATAAAGTTCAAGGATCAATTTCAACCAATTCTGGACAGCGTCAGTCGTCTGTTTCAATCTATGGCTCGGGCTGGAAATTACGGACGGTGTCATATAATCGGATTGTTAATGCTCATCGGGCAAGATACCACGGTCTATATACAAGGCACTCGCCATACAGGGACAATAGTCGCATGGTACAATAAGCCGACAACGATGGAATTGCCGATCGAAGTTCTGTTTCAGTCTTCCAGCCACCAAGGTTCATTTTGGGTGTTGGAGATGACCGGGGCTGAGCATAGCATGATGGACGGCGATGTATATCCTGCGACTACGGGTTCTGGAATCCCTTTCACCTCTGCAAGGCCGGCCTTTTGACCGCCGATGACTTGATATTGGACTTTACTGGATATTTTGTCAGCTTTATCGGCTTCCACAGCTTTGTTGGTACAACTTCATCTATTCACCCTCATTCAGACAACGATGATATGTGACCCAGTCATCTCCCTTCAGTGCAATGGCCACTTGTTCCTTCCTGGTGCTCGAATGATATCGATATCACACTGCCTATGCATTGCACCCGCGCATATGAGGATGTGCGATTAGCCTTGATGTGACAACAAGCGATCTGATCACGCCCACTATCATTAATGCGTGCTAAATGAGGATTGACTTTCGACTGTTGCACTAGTGTGAATGACGGGCCTTTTGATGCATGCACATGCAGTGCAGATGTAAGTGCACAGTAGTATAGCACCATCCGGATGAACACGGCGCTAGATTAAACACCAGTATCCTCCCGTCACCCTTTATGCTTAACCAACGTCCGAAACTCTCTGAAGATGACAAGTGTCCTTCCACACACAGCCTTCTCATGCACTTGCTGCCGTCGGGCGCCCAGGTCAATCGGGTAGGAAGGGTGACTTTCGGCTCTTGGAGTTCGTATTTTACACACCAATTACTGGTACTCCGAACGCATAAGAGTGGGCCAGCGCGTGTTAGGCTCCTTCTCCATGCTCGCCAAGAGATGATGGATTCTTATCAAGAACCTACCTAGGTAAGTATGTACCATTTGTTCGTATTGCGCCGTGTCCGATTCTGATCGGACTTTACCAAGGACACCCATGCTGCTCTGCATGTCGCGGCCAAAGAAATCCTTTGAAAGGATCCGCCCCTGCGCGTTCAAGTCCTTCCTGGGTCATGCCACAAGATCTTCCAGCGCTTTTGGTTTCTATAGGTCCAGGTATTGCACATCACCCTCAAATCTGATTACTATACCTGCCTCGAGCGACCAGAGCTAGAGAGAACAGGTCATCTTTTCCTTACTTTGGTAAACTGTGGGCAGTTTTCATCAGACGCTATGACCAAATTGGATATTCACGAGCCCGCGATTAAGTACAGCTAGAGGAGCTTCTCTTTGAAACACATCGAATGACCATCACTCCATCGACTCAGCCGACTCAGCCGACCTAAACGTCGATCGCCCAATATTTACCCTTTCAATTAAGCCCAATCACTTACTAACACTTGTTCACCTTCAGCATTTCATTGTGTACATGTGTACAGGAACAAGCTCAAGTTTTGCAGCGGCCCGCAAGTCCGTTGCTCGCCTCTCTTTTGCTGGGAATATCAAGTTTTACCTCAAACCCCGACCATGTTCACATGTTCTGCAAACACGGAGTACTCAGCTTGTCACCGTGTCATTCAGCATTCAGCACTGGCTATCGTCAGACTATTGGGTGCCTGAGCAATTATTCCCACAACGCAAACACATTTCGTGTTCAGATCCAACGGGTCTATCGAACAGCCGAACAGTCAATATTCTGCGGGCGGGCTCTGGTCGGCCAAGATCTTCTTGTGAGTTGTAGCATCATCCTCGTGTTTGACCAACTTCACTCCCTGGCACGAGTCGAACCTGTGTCTGGATGGACTGGATGTCCTCGCGCAAGACCCGCCGGCATGATGAGGCAAGCTTCCATTGAATGACATGTAAGTACTTTTGCAGGGGCCCCAGAAGACAAGGACCACATACATACCTCAAATATGATTGATCGACCTTGACCGATTGCTCAAATCGACCCGTCTCTTCCCCACCAAGGTCCACAATCTCGTGGATCATTGCAGAGGGAGGGGTCGCCACACCTCTTCAGGCCCAGCCCAGTGTGAGTGGTTGATCGCACGAAGATCGTGCATTTAACCATGCGAGGAGGGAAGCTGTCCCATCTCGGATTGCCTTTCCCGTCGGGAATCTTGAATACCCAAGCGGCAGGCATCGGGGAAGATCCTGAGCAGTCGCGATAGATGCATCGCTCACTATCGCGGTTCTGCTCGAAGAGATTGTCCAGGACATCGTCTACAGAGAGAGATTCGCAGGTTCATCCGCAGTGCACAAGCGGATTTTGAGTTCTCGTTGCACTAAAATCACGGACGTGTGGTATCATACAGTTACTGTCTCCCAAGCTACGTTAACAACTATCCTGGGCTAGCTTGATAACTTCCTCTAGTCCCCTTTCCAACCACAGCCTCGTTCTACGTATCACGTGTCTGGACTCCGAAAATCAAGCAAAAGATCAAGAAAGCCGCTGACTTCGATGGAAAGGAGCAGAAGCGCAGGGATAACGCGTGAGAAGGTCTTTTAAAAGGTCTCATGAAGATGGAGTCTTATCCACTATTGCCATTTCCTGGCCTCCTAAGCACCCTTCAGGACACCTTTTTCGCTTCAGATGCAACCTTTTCCAAGCCTGATCCGTTTAAAAGCAACCCGTCCTGGTCATATGTCAGATGAGCACTAAGTCCTGCAGAACGACATTCTATCGGCAGAACATCAGAATTAACAACTCACCATAGTGGACGTCGGGAGCAGAGTTGAAAGATAACGAGTAGTGGTTGAATGTGCACCTCTCCAAACCTTTCCTGTCGCACCGCCTAACACGTCGGAAACAACGGCGTGAGCATATTCGGCAGCATTTGTCGCCTTGTGACCATCTTCCGAAGTTGCTAATAGTTTCAGCCGTTCCTGAGCTGCATGATATTTCGACGTAGGCGGCAAGACTGGTTCTGGGCTATTTCTACAAATCTCGGTGTCGACTGCCCCAGTAACGACTGTGAGGACTTTGATACCCACCGGCGCCAATTCAAGGCGTAAAGTTTCGTCGAAAATATGAATCGCACCCTTGGAGGCATTGTAGATGCCTGATATCTCTTTGTTAGCCTCCATCCTTGCGTATGTCTTCCTTGGGTTTCCCTCGCTCAAACGTACTGCAATATGGGCTGTAGAGAGACGCGACGATGGATCCGATATTAACGATGGTTGCGCCGTCGGTGGCAGCCATCAACAGCGGAGAGAACGCTTGAATCATTCTCAAGACACCCCAAAAGTTGACCTCAAATAATGCCCTGCCCTCGTCAAGATCTGAATCTAGAAGAGGCATCCAGTACTGCCTCCCGGAGTTGTTGACGAGATAATTCAGACTTCCGCCCGTTTCAGCACGCACAGCTTCCACGGCAGAAACGACTGAGGCTTCAGAGGTGACATCAAGTGGAAGAAGTGTGACGTTAGACTTCTTGTCGAGACCGGACATTTTGGACGCGTTTCGAGCGGTTGCAAAGACCTTCAGGCCTTGCTGCGCGAATGATTCCGCCAATGCATAGCCAATGCCTGGAAAGGCAATATTTTCAACATCAGTTCGCGCACAACGGCTTGATTTGGCAGTCGGGGACAATGAAGGATGACTTACCGCCAACGCTACAGCCCGTGATCAGTACAGTCTTCTTGCCTTTACTCGACATTCTCATCCTCAGCAGTCACGATTATTTACGTGGCGTGGAAGGAGAAGGTGCGATACAACGGCTTTCTCGCCCCAGTTTGCACGGCTGGCAGCCATCTTTATGTGGTCACTGTGTTAATGATCACCATTCTTTCACACTCAATGGTGCACTATCCTAATCAAAATAGCAAACCGTCGAGGCTGCAAAGTCTCGTCCAAATCATCCACCAGATATCCACAGTGTCCCTGATGGGTTTAGCTTGTCAGCAACCTACAGAAGCGAGCAAAGAGAATCCACCCGCCTAATTTGACAGCTCACCGACTTGGTCGATTATGGTCTGGTGCAGCCTCGGCCCATCTTCCTACCGTCAAGGCGTTCGTCCGCCGAGGCCACTTCAACCTCCGGATTTCTACTTCCTTAACCACTGTACTCACGCAGTCGGGTTGACTGTAGTCGCAGCATTCTTTCCCTTAACGAGGAATCAACCACAGCAGGGCAAGTGGGACTTCAGCTTCCTGGTTAGACCATATCTTTCTTCAGGCAACGGCATTCTGTGACTTTGATTGGGACGGAAGCCGAACGACAACTACCACTCCATGCCACAATTGTCTGAGGTACGTAGGCTGGCACAGCCTCATAAGCAGAAATCTGCGGCCTCTAGCTCAACCCTGCAGCTGTGTGACACGCTTGACTAAATTTCCCCTAATTCAGGCATTGGAGGGCCGCGACGATTGGACCGGTTTGAGTGATGCGATTGAGCGAAGAAAGGTACAAAATCGCTTAAATCAGCGTGCTCGTCGTAAGTCATGGCTTTTGTTCCGCCCCTTATTCCAGAATCAGAGATCTAGCTGTGTTCACACCTTACGAGGCGTATTTCGTTGCCCGACCTTACTGTCGGTCGCAACCTGTTTTCGCTCTGGAACTGATTATTACAGGTCGAAGAAACAATGGACACAAATGGACACCTCTCAAGTCTAAAATCGATGATGTCCACCAAGGACATCAGAAGGTGTCGAACCAGGGAAATTGCCATGCACTGGGCTTGCTGAAATACAAGGCGGACACTCAGGAGCGACAACACAAGGCCTGGCACTTTAATATCTCCGGTCTGGTCCAAACCACAGTCGGAGGCTCGAATCAAACAGGACTGCCCAGTTTCTCTATGTTCCCATTGTCAAAAGACCACTTGATCCCCCTAGTACATTACAATGTCTGGCGCGCCATCGTCACCAACATGATCCTTCTCGGCTCTACCCAAATGTTTGAATGTCAAGGCCAAATGGACCATAGCTTGGACGTGGTTCCTTTGCCGATGTCATCGAATATCCCTCCCTCGCTAGAGCCAACATATCTGCAGCGACATATTGAGCACGAGCCGTGGATTGATCTCTTCCCGCTTGCTGCTCTTCGTGATGCCTTGATACTTGCTCAAGGTATGTACGACGATTGTGATCTGTGCTATGATATGGTCGGAGGCTTCGATACGAAGGGTGGTCAAGACCCCCATCCAGTCCCAAAGATGAATCCGCTTGCACCTTCGCCTTCGCCTTCTTCTTCGTCTTCGACATCGTCGCTCCTCTCCAGGACTCGGTCGTCCACTACAGTTCCACGACAAACATTCAACCCGGACGCCGAGACTGAGGAAAACAACGGCCTCATCATTTGGGGCAATCCAGAATACATCGGTTCTTGGGAAGTGTCCGAGGGATTTGCGAGGAAATGGGGCTGGATGATAAGTCGGGGCTGTGGTGACTTACTGCGTGCCACGGACTGTCATCGACGTGATAGATACGACGATCCGATCAAATGGGACGAGTTTGGGATTGCATATGGCTAGTCAACGTTGTTTGATTGGACAAATGCGCTATTCACCAATGGCCAGACGGATTGATGAGGAGGAAGCCTACACGGATGGAAATCTAAGAAAGGCTTGTCAAGGGCTTTCTTTCGGGAAAAATAGCAGTGCTTTGATCCACAACAGATCGCTTGCATCAGCCAGCAAGGCGTCTTGTTCAGGGCAATTCAAGGATATATTTGAGCAACGAAGGCGAGAGATCCTTCGCCCGAAAGCACATGATATGATACCGATGGTACTTGGACTTATATATATCTCCTCCAGTACACAATATGATCGACCCGTTGAACGCCACCATTAATCTTCCATCAAATCGTCACAAGTCCCTTTCAGACATACAAAGAGCATAGAGCCCTTCCATATTCCAGTTCGTATACGACCTTTAAAGCCCTAGCGAAATCAGGTTCGGCTCTGGACGCCTCCTCGAGCACTCCATCCATCCATCAAGACTTGGCATAATTGATCTTATAAGGCTCATAACCCGTAAGGGGCACGTTCTCCTGGGTGCCCGGGAACGCCTGGCCGGCGCCAGCAGGGACATAAGCGCCTCTGGTGCGGTCCTTGCGCTTCCTCCGAATGTGGCACGCGCAACACGTGACCAACAACAGCACGACGATCAACACGCCCACAATCGCGCCGATCACCGCCCACTTGTGCCGTTGGATCCAGCTGCCGGCGGCGTTGGCGGCCGCAGACGTGGACGTCGCTGTGGTGCTGGATTTCGTGACGGTGCCGCTGCTGGCGGACTTGGTGGTGCTGGTTGCGGTGCTGCTGCTGCTCGACGATGATGAGCTGGACGCCCAGTAGCTCGCGTAGTACCGTGGGATGTCTTGCACGGTCGCGTCGCCGCCTTGCCATGTCAGATAGACGGTTTCCGTGCTGGCATATTTGTCCGTGCAGCTGTGGTAGCTGTAGCCTGCAGGGCCGGCGAACGTCGCCATGCCGCAGAGGGGTCGGTCCGAGGGGCTGTGGTGGGTGTTAGAGCCAGGTGGATACATAAAACGTGCTTGAGGCCGTAGTATTGATGGGATTCCTCTAAGCACAGAAACTTACCATATCAAGTTCCACGAGTTCTTTTGGCATGCCGAGTCACAGCCGTAGTTGACACTTGCCCACGGCACGCAGGATGTCTTCCAATTGCAGTCCGCCGTTGCTGAGCCGGCGCAACATCCGACGACGTGGTAATCCGAATTCCAGAGACACGGTTGATGGTATGGATCGGCACAGACGAGTGCATCATCTGATTTCGTTAGCACGAGCGATGGGTCAATTGATTGTTTGTTGAGCGTTTGGGATATGAATCATTTGGGGATTATTACTGTAATCTCCATTAACCCAACCACATGTTGCCGAGTCGACGGTCGCTACTCTTCTTAGTAGGTCTCGTTGATGTGTGAGCTGTGGTGCGGTGGTGATTTGACTGTAGGGAAGCTCAACCGCCGTGGCGACCAGTCCTTGACTGACAGATGCGATCAGGCTGTCCATCGCTGTGGATCTTCTGGACGAGGAGGAATCAAAAAGTAGCGTCAGATGGTTTTGGTAGTACAATATATGATTGTTCAAGAAACAAATGATGAAGATGAAAGAAACCAAATTGAATTTTCAAGAAGGACGTCGGTCTCAGCCGGTCCGGTATAAAGCTCTGGGTACTCGTCCTTAAGGTATCCAGCACTTGCTCGCCCTCCACAGCTACCTGATTGCTGGCAGGGCAGCCGGAGACAGAAGACACAGCTCACCGAGGACTTGGCTCAAGCTAGAGATCTATACGGAATACCAAGACACCAAAGAGAGACAGCTGAGGATCCAGCCAAGAAAGCTGAAGCTCACAAGAGGGCAAGCTTGTCAATCAAAAGCAGTGGGAAAGTGGTCGTGCACGGCGGTGGGATTCAAGGTGGGCGGCGGGAGAGGGGTCCCAAAGGCACGAACACGAGGTAGCGCCCTCATCCCAAGGTCCATGGTCCCGTGGTGCAGACCGCAGAAGGACCAAAAACCCTAACTGAGACTGCCCATTTGGTCCAAGGCTGGAAATGCGTGGATCCAATAATTGCCAGCCTGTCGGGGGAAAAAGAGGGTTGACGTGAAAGCTTCAAGAAAGACTGGCAGCTGAAAAGGTTGATCGAGGTTGACCGGATGTCCTTGGGAAAAGTGGTGTTGTTCCCACCAATTGCGTCGTGGCTCTAGCGAAGACAATACGGGATATTCGGGCCTGGACTCTCTGCATTGGGCCACATCTTCGTATCAACCCGCCACGAAGTATATCCTAGGGCTGAATTAGAATTTCAGATCCCTGTTGGGCAGACAATGCGCCATGCGAGTAGCGGTCGACATGAGCGGTATTTGAAACAGTGCCTGTTGATCGGCCGGATAAGCAGCAGAAACGTTCCATCAAGCCAACTACATACCTAAAGAACTCACTTATAGCAATCAAAGACACTCGGCAGGGTGAACAGTAATGTCTATTCTGACAGCTGCCCATGATCTAACTTAAACTTCTTGTATATAATTTGCTGGAACACTTCGTGTCTCCCCATTCTTTTCCACGTCGGCCCAGCCATCCCCCGTGCCCATACTGATCAAAATGAATCTTTCGCCTTCTGTCATATCGAACTCGGCATCACTCTGTGCCGTGTAGTCGTATAATGCTTCAGCGTATTTCACTTTCTTTGCGCCCCGTCTCGGAGCAACCACCGGGCCTTGTTTCTTCTTTGCAGCGGCCATGCTTGAAGATGCCAAGGATGCACTGGAGTTGGAATACAACGATGGTGGACGTTCTCCCGCAGGTGTGCTGACTGCGGTAGGTAATTCTTCAAGATATGCAGAAGGAACAAGGCCTTCTTTGCCGAAGCCAGCATTTACCTTGGTCCAGCCTTGATCTACTGATCATTAGTATGAGACATATGCCTTGGAAATATATTCCACTTACCATCGGGCTCAAGAATCTTAACCTCTGTGCCTTCGGAAAGGGACACCTCACCAGAGTCGCGTGCCTCGTATGGATAGATCATCTTAGCCTTGGGCTGACCATCTCCATTGGAGGCTGGTTGTGAAGTCGCACTTACATACGCAGCTGGGGGAGGAGCAACGATACGATTCCTCCTTGCCCCAGCCGCAGGAGTAGAGCTAGCATTCGACGGGGCGGAAGTGAGAGGAGAGCTGTTGGTCGGTGTCGTATCATCCTGAGTTACAGAACGAGGGATGTTTCCCGACAAGGAGCGGGTCGCACTCGCAGCATATCCGGAAGAGAGACTGTTCATTGTGTCCTGCCTCGTCAAGGGCGGTGGAGAGCCCACTCCATTCGAAGCAGGAATGGGAGCCTCCACTGCGGCAGTCGCTGCAGCCTGTCTCTCAACCTTCAACTTCTTTTTCTCTTCCTTTGTCTGCTCTCCCGGACAATCGGCAGGTACTTTCATTTGGCATTTACTATGACATGTAAATCCACAATCTGTGCAAATGAAACCCTTTGCACTGAGACCCCATATGCGATCGCCACAGAGATCGCAGTTGGTCGGGATCTTGAAAGTTTCCGATTTGAAGGCATGGCTTTTTCCATACATGCTGAGATCACCAACAACCGCTAAAATGGTCGAGGTTTCCACCTCAGCCGTCAATCGTTTCCTTTCAATGGCGTGGACCTCTTCCTGAACGGCAAATTGAGACCGCACACAGTCGACCTCATCACGTTTATCTTTTCCCTCCCGAATATTCTGCCGCACCTTCTTCACATTCTCTACCTCCCGCCTTTTGGTAGTGGCGTCCGTTTTTAGCTGATTGATCAATGGTTTGCTCTTCTGGAGGATGTTCCGTAGGAAAATCTTGGAGGTCTCGTCGACCATCATGTTATCGTTATCCAACCACACAGGAGACGGTTCGAATATCAAGTCGGATGGTTCCTGCCATTGAACAGCGTTATGCTGCACAAACATATTGCTATCCAGGGCCGGGATATTTCGGGGAATCTCGGTTGACAGATGTGCAATATGATCAGAACTTCTCTTCAAGGTATTGGCTTCGAGAGCAGCGGCAATTAGCCAGATGGAGTTCAATTTGGAGACTCGAGTCTCATTGAGATCTTGTAGCGAGTCAAGGAGTTCGGGAACATATTCATGATAGTAACACTCCTTTAATTTATTTGTGACATTGATTCCGATCAGGTAGGTGTTCTTGATATTGTTCATCTCCATGAGTTGCTGATTGTATGAACTCTGGGCCTTGCTCTTGTCGAAAGACGACTCGGCCTTCTTTCTCCGGTTTTCGACCTCTTGACAAACAGTGTCGTATTTTCCTTTTAGTTTTTTGAGATCACCGTAGGAGGAGTCTCGTTCCTTGAGCAGCTTGGTCTGATAATCCGCATGGCTCTTCCTCAACTCGTCGAGTTTCCTTGCGTTGTATTCCAGTGGGGTGGAGACTTGACTGAGCAAGTCTTGGGCAAACTTGCCATGTTCGTTTGCGCGGGCTTCTAAGGTGGAGAGTTGAGTGGTCCAAGTGGTGAGAGAAGCGGCTTCCAAAGAGCCCGGCGTCAGAGCAGGGTTGTCACCAACGCTCAGATTGCTGGACTTCTTGGATTTCCGATCGTAGTATTTCTTTGCCAACGCAGTCAACTTTTGGCTGTATTCTTTCTCGATGGCAGAGCGTTCTTGGTAGAATTCTTGAATCTCCGAGAGCCAACCTATACCAAGACCGACCTGGAATGGATGCACTTAGTCATATGAATTGGTCAAGCGGGGAGATGTCATCGCGGAGGGTCATGGCAACTCACCCAGTTATCCACAGGTTTGTAACCGTCCTAAGGCGCATGGTCAGTTCAGGTTGCGACGGGACAAGCGAGAGATCATGCCCACCTTGAGTTCGGCGCCAAAGCTGACAGCCTCCACCTGAGCCATTGTGAGTACCTAACGAGAGATGGACCAGGCTCAGCGGCATCGTTTCATGTTCCAGAGAAAGCGACACTCGCAAGTGGCCAGTGTCTGTTTGGGGGGAGTAGAAGTTGTAGTAGTAAATACTCGTCTCGGGGAGGTATGAATTGGGAGCGGAATGAATGAGCCAGCCAGAATCTGGAGTTGATGGTGGGGAGATGGAAAGGCAACGCAACGCAATGCAACCGCAGTTCAATGCCGTGCCAGTGGTAACGCAAGCCCTGGCAGAATCCGTGTCGGGTTATATCCGGAGTGTGGCCTTGTCTGGGTGACATGGACCCCCAGTGGCTTACCTGGAGCGGCTAGTTTAGGTACCAGTCCACGTGTGGCTCAGGCACCAGTTTCAAGGCTTGAATTGGGGGTATGGAGGGGACTGCAAATGCGACCCCGCAGCCCGCGCCACATACGGTTAAATGCCACCTGTGGCGCGGCATATTTTCGAATTGACATCGAAGTGACCGTCTCCTCTGCCTGCGCTTTACCTGAATTTCAATTCACTCACATTGACCAACATCTACCCTCTCTACTGTTCAATCTGCCAGTCAATTGATGTTAACATCTGTAACATCAACTCTCACTCTGTTTGGCACTCTAAATATTAACACTCTATCCACCTCACTCGCTCCTCCTACCCTTTCACATCCTCTTCTTTCGTTTGTCACATTCCAGACTTCCTCGAACGATCAACTCTCTCCTTGTTGATCGTTGAGCATTGCGATACTCTTTCTCTATACCTGCCGCACGCCAAGTGACAATCACTATGTCAGAAACTCCCGCTGAAAGCGGTTCTCTTGCAGACCGCATTTCCAAACCAACTGGACCAAATCCGACTGCTGATGCCTTCCAACCAAAGTCTGGCACCTCATGGGCCGACGAGGTTGCCTCTCCTGCCACAGAAACTCCTCCCAAAGTATCTGAAACTTCAGAAGATATCCCTCAGGTTGATGGCGCCACTGGTCCCTTTGGTGGTTCAAGTCTGCACGAACCAGACTACCAGGTTGAAGTCAAGCTGGCCGATATGCAAGCCGACCCAAACAATCCTCTATTCTCTGCGACATCTTTCGAGCAACTTGGCTTGTAAGTCACTTTTTGCTGAACAAACTCTTAAAACTGGTCACGAAAACTAATCACTCCCCTATTACAGAAGCGAAGACATTCTCAAAGGTGTCATGAGCATGAATTTCCGCAAGCCTTCGAAGGTCCAAGAAAAGACTCTACCCTTGCTGCTGCTCAACCCTCCCCATAACCTGATCGGTCAATCACAATCAGGCACTGGCAAGACTGCTGCCTTTGTCCTCAATATTCTGGCTCGTCTCGATCTGTCCTCTGAACAAATGCAGAAAACCCCTCAGGCTCTTGTTCTAGCCCCAAGCAGAGAACTTGCTCGACAGATTGTTGGTGTTGTCAAAGTCATGGGCGCCTTCGTTCAAGGTCTTATTACTGAGGCTGCTATCCCTCAGGATGCTGCTTCTCGTGGCAAGAAACTTGAGGCCTCCGTTGTTGTCGGAACACCAGGAACTGTCCAGGATATGATCAAGAAGAGACTCATGGATTCTAGAAGTGTTAGGATCTTGGTTCTTGACGAAGCCGACAATATGCTAGATCAGCAAGGCCTGGGTGACCAATGTGTTCGTGTCAAAGCGTGAGCCCCCTTCAACCCACGTTTACGGTCCAGTAACTAACGCATACTCCAGTTTATTGCCAAAGAACATTCAAACTGTCCTGTTCTCTGCCACCTTCCCCGACAATGTCGTCAAATACGCGAATCAATTTGCTCCCGGAGCCAATCAAATGACCCTTCGACACGAAGACCTGACCGTGGAAGGAATCAAACAAATATATCTGGATTGTGACAATGACCAAGCCAAGTATGATATTCTCGTCAAGTTCTATGGTTTGATGACCATCGGTTCCTCAATCATCTTTGTCAAGGTATGTTGATCTTATGTGTCAGATCTTGCCATCACAACTAACACAGACTAGACTCGTGAGACTGCTCTTGCCATCGAGCAGCGTATGACTGCAGAAGGTCATAAAGTTGTATCACTCACCGGTGGTTACGAAGGTGCACAACGAGATGTGATTATTGACGCTTTCCGCATGGGTCAAGCCAAAGTTCTCATCACCACCAACGTACTTGCTCGTGGTATTGATGTCCAATCAGTCTCCATGGTCGTCAATTATGACGTTCCAGACAAATTTGTGGGTAAAGGAAAATTTGTTGCTGATCCTCAGACTTACCTCCATCGTATCGGTCGGACTGGTCGATTTGGCCGTGTTGGTGTCGCCGTTACCTTTGTCAGCAGTCGAGGAGATTGGGAGAAATTGATGGAAATCCAGAAATACTTTGCCACTGAGATTATTCAAGTGACAACCGATGATTGGGATGAATTGGAGGATCAAGTTACCAAGATCATCAAGAGTTCCAGAGCTGGCGCCAATTTCCAGGACGGAGCAAGAATGGGAGGGACTTAGGTTTAATGTGCCTTGAGAACGGATCATTGGTGGCCTCGAGAGAGGTGCGTGAATCGGAAATATCGCCTGCAGAAGGCATTGTGTGTGAAAAACGGAAGAGGTATGGTTGCAGACCAGGAGCTACCAAGGTCAAAGCATATCAAGTGGTCCGGAGGAGAATCTCTCACCAACTTGAAAGGACATGATCAAATGTGAATGCACAAGCGGACTAGATAGCATATGACGAAAGTGATACCCACAAGAAGAAGAAACGGAATCCGGTTTTCCATCGAAAAGGACTATTGGAAGAACCAAGAGGATCAAACCCTTAAAATGAAGAGACGATTTGATCCCAAAAAAAAAGAATTCACCATGAGCTGAACAGAAATCTGCGCTACCAGTCACTCGACTTCCCTAACAGATCAGCAATGGCCTCGAGACTCTTCTGGTCCTCCTCGTCGAAGCCCTCGAGTTCCGCACAATCAATGTCGATCACTCCGACAACCTATTTTTGAGACTCCTGGTCAGCAAACGGAGGAGCTCTGGGGATCAGAAATCAAAAGGGTATCAAGGGAACGTAAAATCTCCAGAGACAGAAGCAGAAAGAAACACAGCACGGATTCAAATAACGTACCTTGCCGCCTGTCCTGATAGGCACTACAATCTCACTCCGACTGTCGCCATCACAAGCGATATGGCCCGGGAAGGCCTCGACATCCTTGACGAGCACGGTCCTCCCAGTCCCTTGAGCCGCAGCACCACACACACCACGTCCGATCCTGATGGTCTGGCACGCGACCTTTCCCATGAACGGGCCAAGAATCAGTTGGCCTGCTGGGTCCGTCGGGTCCAGCACGTAGAAGCCAGCCCAGTTGACGGCTGAGGATGGCGAGGTCGACGGGAAGCTGTGGTAGAGGTGCCATAGTAAGGATGCTGTGTTGGCCGTGTTGGCCACCCAGTTGCGTTGGTCGATTAGGAGCGCGGTTAGTGAAGAGATGAGTTGCTCGTAGGCTTCGGATTTGCTGAGCGTGGGGGAGAAGTTGGATGCGTCGGCGTGCGGCTATATGTTGAAGGGTGAGCCTGGTTATTATGGTTTCGAGACTGAAGCATTCGCAGACAGAATAGGTAGACTATATAGAGGGCATCATGAAGAGCGGGAAAGGATGTGCAGAAAGATATTTAAAGGCTTCAGAGCGGTTCGACTCCTCTTCATGATCGTCCTCTCTCATTCTTCAGTGGACATAGGGCATTTTGATCTCGTTTAGACATAGATCTTCTATATGCCCTGGACTATAGCGAAGATGCAATTGTAGAGGAAAAACAACCTTGTTGCGCACAACCTCCTCCTGCGACTTACCATGATAGTAACGGACGAGAAACGAAACCAACGATAAGTCGGTCTCCCCAGACACACACGACTTTCTACCAGATACTGCTTATGAGCTCCTATCTCTCATATGACAGGGAACTCTAGTCGTATTTTCAAGATGGAATGAAGATCGTGGAAGTTGACTGTTTTTTTGATATAGTTTGTACCGAGTATTACCACATTGCAGTGGTGGTTTGGAAAAGTCGCAATATAAAATCCGCGATCCACAAGCAATCGGCTGTCTCCCGCGAAACGGAGGGTACATTCTAGCTGGTTCAATCTGACGCCATCTATCCTACCTTAATTCGGTTCGCGTTGTTCAATCTAAAAGAAAATGGAAGCGCTTGAAAACACCATTCTCTCGACGCTTCATCCATTCCACAGATAAATTATGACCTATGAAACATTGCTTGGAGAGTCTTCGATGGTGACCTCGTCAGCGTCAATCAATGTGCCTGCCGAACATCCGGCCTCGCAATCTTTGAGACGGCGCAATTCAAGTCCGAGCGGGTCGCCGTCGTCGCAATACGCTGGAGACGGTGAAGGTAGACTCGGATGAACCTGACCTATCTCTACTGTAGGGAAGGGGTGAGGTCGACAGGAACACCATTCAGAATCATGATGCTTCATCAGAGGCCGTCTAGGTACAGCTCCCAGATAGGGTTGAATTCCGAAGAGACCAACGGCCGCCTGGTAAGCTGAGGCTTCTTAAGTAGATCAATTAATTAGTCATCTGACGAGCTTGACGACCCCGTAAGCCTTAAAAACACCCTGGAAAGGACCGTTCGCAAAGGGCAATCGATTCGTAAAAGCACTGCAGAATCTAGGCACCACGGGCATGATATACCAGGATCACATGCATTGTGTCTACCATGGTGGGGTTAATTCATTGTGGAGGGACATTCAAAAGCCACATGAGGTGCCTCAGAACCCTTGGTGCCCCGGGGCCTCGACCATGCATCACAGCCCTTATCAGCGCATTAACAGCCTTATCGCCGGGGGTGATGCAGGGGTCGTTTCGCTGTCCATACCCGACTAATCTGAAGGGTGCAACACAGACCTAGGTACGTGACGTCTGCTAAGAGGAAATTCAGACATACATAACAGGCCATGCCCTCGTCTCTCTCATGCCCGTGATGAGAGAAGCTGCAGCCCTGCCCGACTGTGATATTCGTGAGCATTGAACTAGGAACCCGGTAAAGGCAGAGCCCACCCGCCTTCGACTTTTCGACCAAGATCGCCAAAAACGTTTCACTAGTTAACTATCCACGAGGAACAAAAATCCAGCTGAGCGGTATTCTGAGGCCAGCGAGTCTCCCACGACATCGATCTCATCTCATCTCACCCCATCTCGGACTCCACAGCCTGTAGGACACGACAACAATGTCGTGCCCAGACTGTTTCCGCGGCTCAGTGCACGCGCACGGCGAGCCGCAGGGCAAGATCGAGACCGTCCACGGGCTGCGAACGTACATTGCGGGCGGGGGCAGCGACATCGACGGCACGAGATCCAAGTCATCGATCCTGTACCTGCCGGACGCGTTCAGCCTGAAGCTGGTGAACAACCTGCTGCTGGCAGACCAGTACGCGGCGCGCACGGGCTGCCGCGTGCTGATCCCGGACGTCGTGTACAACGGCGGCATGTCGCCACACGTGCTCCCCTTGATGGAAGGGCTGATGGAGCCGAATGCCAGCTGGAGCGTCGGTGGCGTGCTGGGGAAGCTCGTGACCGCGCTGCGCGTCATCCCCTATGCGCTGCCCTGGCTGGTCTTCGGGCATCCCTCGAAGGTGTATCCGCAGGTCCTGGCGTATGCGCGTGCCATGCGCGCCGAGCTGCCGGCGGGCGGGAAGCTGGGCGTCGCGGGCTTCTGCTGGGGCGCGTGGGGAGGGACGAAGCTCTGTGCCGAGAGCGCCGTCGAGGGCGGCAGCGACAGGCTGATCGATGCTCAGTTCAACGCCCACCCGAGCTATATCGTTGACACACCCGAGGTGGTCGTCGACGCCATCACCAAGTTCAAGGTCCCGTGTGCGTCGGCCGTCGCCGAGAAGGATTTCCAGTTCAATGCTGAGGTGGCCGGGAAGACTGAGGCCAAGGTCAGGGACGCTGTCGGGGTCACGGGGGGCGATGGGGGGTATACCTACGAGTTCAAGATCTATAAAGGATGCAAGCATGGTTTTGCCGTCAGAGCCCAGCAGGATACCGCCAGTATGGAGGGGTACAAGGAGGCGTTGAACCAGGCGGTTGCTTGGTTCGACAAGTATTTGAACTAAGAATACCTACCAATTGGCAATCGTGCATGGACTCGATTCGTCAGGGTCATCATGATCCAGTTCTAGGGGGGCCCTATTTTACGTTTGCTTCAACACCGGACAGGAACGAGAGAGGCCAAGGAATGGCGCAGCAGTCTTGTTTACCCAAGTGTCGTTTCCTCCATACTCCATACTCGACATCCCATGTCTTTCCCTTGCTGGGTACCAAGTACTTTGGGCTGGGACCCGAGAAGGAAACGGAATACCGCTGGGCAAGGATCTCATGCGCGTTCACGTCCGCGTCCACACTCGCTCGTACTGTAGGTACATACGCCATACCTGTCCCTTGGTAGAAGTCCATTGGCTGGATCGAGGTTTTCTATAGAATTGAGTCAGAGGGGGAGGCTGTGCAAAACTACTATTATCATTATGTACAAGTCGGTGGTCTCCATGGGGCAGAAGTCCTGTCCCCCCCTTTTCCGCCTCTCGCCCAAAGCTAATTCGTGGCGAGCCTGATGCTGCAACGGAAGCTGCGGTTTCTAGTTACTGGGGTATTTTAGGAAGCTGTCTAGGTATGCACTGATAGTCCGGACGCCTTGTATCGATATTGTTCATTCTTGGGATTGTACTTTGTATATTTCCTGAGTACTGTGTCTGCGTGAAAGCCGGGATATCTTGGACGAAGTTGAAGTCCGTCGGGATTAACTGGGCTGAAGTGCGCCGTTTATGGAAAATTGTCATAGGGGTAGTTTCTCACTTTGTGCTCTTCAACGGACAGTGCGTCCAGTATACGTCTTATTCTTCATGTGGATTGCAGACCATTGGACGACGATACGCGTGCATGTCTTCTACTCCCTACCTCGTAGGTACTACTTGTTCACCACCCTAGTTAGTCCTTCAATAACCCGAGGGCATGAAACCCCCAATGAGCGTGCATAGTAAAACCGTGGATGGAGCGCTGAGTGACTCAAATATCTCGTTTCCATTCCTTCCTAGCACTAGTACTCTCAGCCTCCCCACGTGAGAAGGTAGATTGTGATGCTCCCTGAAATTCGTTTCCACGCTTGTGTTTCTCGTCCGTGTTTGTTCAAGATTGACTCTGATGTCTGGCTGAGAACCTGTGGTAGATCGATATCTGCGGACCTCCAAGATGGAGACTGACCCAATGATCGTGGAACAAATGTCACCACGGCCATTACTGGAATGAGTTTTTCCACCAGCAAATCCCCATTCTTTCGGGTTTCTGATCCTGAATATTCAGCGATACCACGTCCTTCGAAACTGCTTCTTGACACCATCGCAATGTCCAGAGTCACCAGCAGCACAGAGCTCCTCGCTACAGTGCTCTCCCGTTTCAGGAAACAATCGAAAGAAAATCGTATAGTGGCTGTATGTCTCGTAAGTGTTTCGTTAACAGGGGCGTACATGTGCAATCCAAAGGAAAATCGTCCTAATCACTCCAATTCCTTCGAATATCCCTCGATTCCTTCACTTCGAGGCTCTCCCTTGTTCCCACCGGAAAGAAACAAAACTCCAGACGTGTGATGCCCTGGTATGTGAAATTCAATGCCCCGTACCAACTCGCCAAAACCGATGCATGGGATAATGTATAGATCGAATAAAAGATGAATATCTGAATAAAATGTCTTCGGAGAAGTTGGAAACGAATGTGCTATACATGAAATGAAATACCGTGCAGTGAGGGCGTGGTCTACGCCTTGATGTAATCAGGCATTGGTATGTTTGAGGAAGAGGCTCTCCATGAGGTGTCGTCTGTAATGGGAACATGGACTGAGAAGGTAATCGTGACTGGAGGATTTGGAGGAAAACGCGACTCTCAGGGATTCATCCGTCGTCTTCTCCCCCTATTGCCACCTTCAGGTCTTTGGTTAAGGACATCACGAAGTAGAGGGTCATCTCGATCAACATCCTCGTGATGCACGCGAACATGACGCTGTAGATTATCCGGTCTGGGGTATCTATGCTGTTGATCAGCACAGAAAGGGCAAATATACCCAGGAGATGTGTGGACAAGGCCGTGTCTGCGAAAAAATGTACTTAGTAAGGCTTTCAGAATAGATGCAGGAGGATAAACACACCTAATCATTTCATTTTTCCTCTTGAACCCTTGACCACCTACACCTCTGGGGCATCCTTTGACTGGACAGAAATGAGGACGCTGATTAGAGTGGACATTCTGATGACTACTCAACAGATACTGGGTCTGAAATGGGATTGCGACACATCCTGGAAAGGTACACCTGAAAGGACCAGGAATCAATGAATTGTCTTGCAGATCCAGCGAATCCATAGCAGAGTCTTGAAGGGGTTTCTCTTCCTGGGACAGTTGCTTCACAACTTCCTGCTCCGGCAGAGTGGATAAAGGACCAGGATAGGACGTAGCCGGTGATTGCGTGAGATGAATAGACGAGCCCGGTGTGGAAGTGCTGACGGAAGAAGGCGTAGCGTATTCGGAGCAGGTGGAGATAGAGCTATCTCGAGTCGATGAACGCCAACTGCTACTGGCGTATCTTGAGGGGTGTTCGGGGGGTGACATTCCCGGGCCCTGATGTGGAGAATGAAGATACGATACTGGAGTTTCAGTCATGTGAGGTGAACGCATCGGGGACAATCCTGCCAGGCTCATGGAAGCTGGATCATTGAAATGTGGGATTGTCAGATTTCGTATCGACGGGAGAGTTTGTCTGTTATCAGGTGATCCGGCGGGTGAGGAACGAGGAGGAGATCTGTGCAGGGCCGGTAATGTTATGGCATCTGGATCTGCATTTTGAGGTTTGATTGCGAATCGTCCTAAAGCAGGAGATGTTACGATCGAGTCCTCATCTCCACGCCCAAGTTCACGAGGGGAGTGGAGTGAATCGAGTGCGAGTGGTGGAGGTTTGAGATCGAACTCCTTCTTTCGACTGTCTTCTGGTTTGGGACATGATAGTGACCTCTGCAGAGTGTCTGTTTCGCACAACGAGAGCGTAGTTGGAGGAGTGTGTACTCGTCTGCTAGCAGATATTGGCCCTGGCGGATCGACCATAGGGAAATCATCTCTCCTAGTAACCACAGGCGCACCCTCTACGAGGACCATTGACTGCATGTGCATGACAGGCGGCACATTTTGAACGGCTCTTTCCTGGCTCCTCATATGACTTGGTCCAGGATTTGAAGGTTCATCGATTTCTTCTGATTCACTTCCTCCCTCGGAATCGCTTTGAGAGTCTAGAGGATGCCTTCCAGCATGATTTGCAATGTCGGGTCGATTGTTCTCTAGGTAACTAATCAGTACTCTGTCGCTCTCAGATGGCCGGGTTCGACCTTTCCGCCTCCTCTTACGCCTCCTAGGTTCACCCGCTTTGTCCTCTTCCTCCAACTCACTAGACTCTGGTGTCGGGTCGTAGGGTACCAGAGGTGGCGGGCTATCCTCTACTAGGCCCAAATGTGGTTTGATTGCCGACAGTGGAGGACTTCGTCCCAGAATGTCTGTATCAAAATCGATTTCTTCCACTTGATGATCTTGGACGAGGGACATGAGTGTAGACGGCTATTACATTGCCCGGTTGGCAATCGTAGAGTGGTGAAGGGCCGAACCAAGATTCTTGTTTGGATTTGTTGTCACAATCATGTGTCGTGGCCGTCAGCCGGTATGTTTGAGATCTGAAGTCCTAAGACATGTTCATGTCAGCCTCAGCCTCAGCCTCGAGGCGTCAAACCTCGAAAGATGAACACTGCGTTTACATAAGAAATGGCATCAATCCAAGAGAACAGAAGAAGGATTTGACTGAACCGACATTCCGACCATCAAGTTGTTGATCGAAACGGGGCCAAAAGTAGCGCAAGATTTGGTGAACGGGAAGAGGGTTGGTCTGGAACACCGTAGACCAGCGGCAGCCGTGAGGGTAGACCCGCTGTGTAAAAGGCAAAATGGTACATTATTGAGTTGACGGCGGGTGAGTTCAGCTGTCGCGGCGTCGGATGAAAGAAAACAGGGTCCTTCAATGGAAGAGAAGAGGGGGCAAGAGGCGCTCGTACTGTACCAAAGGATAATAGCGCGTGAGTCTGGCAATCAATGGCGGGGTCTGGGCGGCGGCACAGTGCGGCTCTCCAGACCAGTAAGTTGCCGTCAGTGAGAAAAGAAGATAAAATCGGATCGTGATGTGACAACCCGATCTTAACAAGAAAATGTCGAAGACAGCGGATGAACCAAGTGAAAACTATCGGTAGGAGCAGCGGCGTTGGGACTGACGTGCCAGTGCGAGGCTGATGATTTAGACTGGGTGGTGGGTGGACGAATTGAGATGGACAAGCATCACATTTCATAGCCGCATCATTGCGAGGTACTCGGTGCACGAAGTGGATAAGTGGGAGTGGATTCAGGAGAGCCGGTAAGTTGTGAGGCTTAGCAGATGAGGAGCTACCGGCACTGCCACGATGAAATATGAGGGATTGGAGGATGAGGACGAGGTGTGAGTCTATTTGGTGGGCATGCGAGTGGACAGGCGAGGTTCAAGAAACAGAATGGGAATGATGCGGAAGTGGATTCGGAATCATAGATCTGACCAGGGACAGAGTTGAACTTAAGCAGGCAGCAGGGATGGATTGAGAGAGAAAAAGGCGTTGCAAACCTTCTCCGGATTGGATTTTGATGCATTCTGGAGGGGAGCTGCGAGCTGCGAGCTGTGAGCTGTTCTTTGGAGGACAGCAGTTACCAGTGTGTATTGTTTGGTGCCAGTAAAACTAGTAGTGGGTGCTGGTGTGCGTGCCAGGCATTTCTTTGACGAGATTCAAATGGAGGGAGAAAATGGCTTGCTGGGCCTTTCTATTTCTGGGCAGGTCTAAGGCACGCTGGCAGGCGCGTTGGTCTAGATTGTGAAGAGGGAAAGCGCTAACTACCTAGAGGATTGTCACTGAGGCTCCCCGGCCGGCGGGCCTCGGGCTTGAAGGATCCCTGCTGAAGCGGGAGAGGCTAAGAGGCTCCCCAATGCACGAATAACAAGACCAGAGGTGGGTGTCGAGCACGGGCTTCTCAGGCAGCATGGACAGCTCAATGTTCAATTATTGGCTCTGTATCAATCTGGGGCGCTTCTCACCTCCATCAAAATGCACTCGAACACGATGCGGCTGGGCCTTTGCCCAGCTTATAAGGGCAACTGACGCACATTGCTCAGCTCAGGAAGTACCTACTACTCAAGTGCACAGAGCAACAAGCATGGCCACCGAGGTCGATCATGGTCTTCATTGATCGGAACTCGATAGCTACACACAGTAGGGAAACCACTATCATGAATGGTCAATTCCTTCACAAGTCTGGTCGGCCCCAGTGTCTCTTCGTTTAATCTACTCCAGACGAGAGCCACGCGCCCCTAACCAGGTTCAAGTTAGTTAAACCACTGCTCGAACCCTTCTGGCATTGCGGAAGTAGCCTACAAGGGCACGCCTAACCCATTCAACTGCTCACACTGTAGCTAATATCGACAAGGGGCCATGGAAGCAGGTTAGCGTCAACGGCAATCTCTGCAATGATGAACTCTCGTTGCTTGACCTGAAAGCATCCCCACGGACTACTCCTTTTGGTGGAAGTACGGATACCTCGTAATCGGTATTCTGTTAGAAACCTCAGCTCTCCTTGCGGCTTTTGGGTAGAGCAGGAACTTCCCATCTGGTTCGAAGAGCATCTACGAGCACCTTAACTTAGTGGTCCAGTGTGTGTAGACCTAACCTGGTTGCCTGTTATTCTAGACCGTCAAATGCTGAGGTCTGCACCCAAGTCGAGGATGAGTACGCGTCCCCCCTTAGGTCGATACAAGTCGACTCATGCCATGAATATACTTCCAAAGTCCCAATATCTTGGAGTTGTGGGGGTGTGCTTCATGTTGCTCATAAACTCCCCGTTAGGCTCACTCAAGCACCAAATTCAAGACACAAAGCTGCCTTGCGGTCTGGGGTCCTCGGGCTCCCTAAGTAGCCGAGTCGACGGACCGATGATGGATGACAACCGTGTTCCAAAGAATGGCCCGCTTTTTGGTTAGTCTCTTCGCACGGAGTAGTACTCTACCTCGTACACTTCAGGCCTGGTGCATGGGGTGACGCTGCCTCGGTGTTTCCCCCCCAAAATATTCCTGGTGATGGATTGCATGATAGATTCTTCACGCGAGAAAAACAACCGAGGGGTTCGACAATTGGGCTCCAGGCCAACAAAATGCTTCCACCAATATCAGTGATGACACTGATGAGGGCGTTATTGCTGATCCAATGACAAGTCGCACGAGGCTCAAATTATGCGTCGGCATCCTGCAGCACCTGTCGCCTGCAGTTGGAGCCGCAGTGAGACTTGTACCTTAGCTGCATGGACATTTGGACTTACGAGTTGCGAGTATCCGCTCTGACATGGAGACCTCTAGACTGCAACCTACGAAGCACCAAACAGAAAGCCGGTCATGTCACTGTCAAAAGCCCAAGTTAAGCCTCGCCGTTTTAGTTTAAGCGCGGATGTGCCAAAGAACGCGCATGTCCACATCTGAAAGTTTCATCAACCACTGGCATCTCACCAACCCGCTACCCATCTCGCAATAGCTTGCCGGATGGAGCAGAGACTTTGTAGGGTGTCATCCTCCGAGTCCTTGGGGAAGAGGTAAAATGCCACTGCCATTCTCATCGGCCTCCTCAAAAACCTCGACATGTTCTAGTTTCACATTAATAAATCAACGTCCAATGATGCCAACGGGTCGGTAGTTAACCCTACCCGAAACCCGATCGCGACCAGCGCCACGAGTTTGACTTGGGTACCTCAATTGCGAGTTGCAATTTCATGACCAAATATAGATGTCTCTCGTTAGTCAATAATGGTGCCATGTACTTTCCGAGATTGTATTCGTGTCCTCCAGAGATCCCGCGAGGAGTAACGTCACCCGAACATGGTCTCAACGGCACTTTAAAAAGATCTAAATAGGGACCCGAGATCAAACTTTCCCAGGTCTCCATCAGACAATCATTTACTCACCGTATCCACTTGCCCAAATTGACCCTCTGACGTCGTCGCCGCCGCCGTTGAGCCACTATGATCTGTAACTATCGCATCCATAGTGAATGTAACGCGAGATCGTGCCCAAGGAGGCCTACTCCAGAAGTTGACACATGTTGTGAGCAGCAGACAATACGAGTACGAAGGTGCATCCATACACCACCCTTGGTGAGTGCCTATCACAAGCGATTGTCTGTGCCAAAAGCTTAAAAAACTTCACCGTCCACAGTGGATGCGTGGTGCCTCCTATGGATTCTTCGAGGTTGGAGGCGCACCAAGAATTCAAGGCCGCCAGACCTCTCGAGGCTCGAGCCAGGTTTTGCCATTGATGTGCACGTAATCTGTGACACCGAACGGAGAAGTTCGACTTCTGGAGTAGGAGCATAGCATAGCCACACTGGACGCTTGCGTACGAGACAAGTTGTAACCATTGTTCGTAAGTGGTACCTTGATTGGATCAATGGCGCGCTTGGCGGGGGCCGATGTCTTTGCATTTGATTGTTCATGTCTCCTGAGTCTTGTGATGGCTAGCATGGCATGGGATGTCTCAAAAGAGAGTCAGAAGTGCCAACGACGTCCAATGCCCGGCACCAGTAATGGACAACTGTGGGCATTCCGGAAATCAAGTCGTTTTGCAATGCCAACTTCAGTTGAGAGACCTCTTTCGAGAGCAACTGGATCAAATCAACTCTGCGACTGAAACCTTGAACGATTGGAGGTGTTCCGCCTCTTCAGCTTCGGCTTGGTCACGAGCTTTTCTTTTTCTCAGCTGAAATGCAGTGTACATCTGGGACGCCATAGGAGCGAGTCACATGAGTTGACCGAGTCGCTGCCGAGCCCCTACACCTTTCACCGTGCAGCTGGGCTTGGACGCAAGAGTTCATCTCTGCACCCTTGGCATTTCAATGCCCCAGCAGTGGCCGCTCGGCATCGTCCTCTGTTTCTTTCATCGAATCATCAGGCTTGTCGCGGTAGAGGATATAGTGCTGTGCGATGAAGATGAGATCAAATGCAATGCTAATGTTGGCCAGGCCGAGTTTGAGGGGGTTGCCAGTAATGCCACTCCAGTCCCCCTGGAAACTAGCATCAATGACAAGCTGCAGCAAAGACAGAACACCACCTGTGATGTCGAACAATATTCCGGCTATGCTCCAACCTTGGGTGGATTGTCGTCTATAATTCATCCATACCTGTGGGATATATTTGACAAAAGTGCTGAGAAGCTTCACATAGCCAAGAGTATAAAGCTTGATACAACAGGTCAGTGGGAGGTGGCACAACAAGCGGATTGGACCATACCACGTCAATCCATTCCCAATCTTGGGGACCCTCCGAATGCGCAGCGGAGCCGAAATATACCAGACCTGAAACAGCGATGATGGCGATGACGCTTCCCCAGAAGATGCCCAAGACGGGACGAGAAGTTCTGGCCCGATCGGAGCCTTTGAATCCCCAGAGGGCGGGGAAAAATTGGGAGTAGGTCAAGAGTACAATTATGACGGCGTGAATGCCAAAGGCGGCATCGTTGAAACGTACGGTAGGCTCTGGGGCAAGTGGATGTCTCGCAGCGTATTGTTGTCGGATGGTAGAGGAATAGAGAAAGAAGCAGGTGGAGGTGCTATAGCAGAAAAAGCCCAGGACATTGAGAGTTGGAAAGTCGATCGTAAAGCCTTGTGTTGAACGACGTTGCCAATTCAGAATGGGTTGGGGATAGAATGAAAGAGACCATAGAAGCGTATATATCCAGCCTGCAGCCCTTTTGAGTGTGGAAATAGTCAGAGATGATAATACACAAATCTCAGATGATGAAATACCTGGATAAAGCTCTGCCGAAGCGCAGCAGTTGATCGTGGTCAACCATGACTGAGTACCAAGGTATGTACCTGGACAGATAGTATGGTCTGGGTTATGATTTGACGCCAGGGTTATGATCCCGTGCATGCAGCGTTTGGTCTAGATCAGGATCTCTACATGCAGGTGTGCTTTCGAGTTGTGCTTGGGTTGAACTTGAAGGAGGGGAAGCCGCCACGATCAAGTTGTAGAGGGGAGTTAAAGCATGCCCTTGTACGTTGTAGGTCTACCCCTCCAAAAAATCTGGTTTGTCAGGATGGTGAAATAATGGGCAGGAGCACGGTGATACGCTAGAGCTTAATGGGTAGTGTTATCGCCAGGAAGGAGCAATGGGGAGCCACGGGGAGCCAAGGCAGGGGTCGTGCCGGATTGTTGCCCTTGCCAACAGAGCATCCCCGATCTAACGGCAACTGCGAGCCATCAATCACCCAGACTCCCAGACCGCATCATGTCACCTGCGTTACTTGTGCACACATCTTTCTTCAGGCTTATCATAACGTGGCCATCGGTCTATCTGAAGTTTCAATATCTCAATTCTATCGCAACACTATCGTCATCAAGTGCATGACAATACACTGCCACTGATATACCTGGTACCAGACGCCTGTTACCCCACCCGAGAATCAAACCACATTCTACCACCTGTAAACAAAAAATTCGTCACTACCTCACTGCCCAATCCACTACCCAACTCCGCGCGTTACCAACTCTGTCATCTCGGATCATAGCTTATCCTTACCACCATTAACATCTCATCCTCCGCTGCATGGTCAATCACCTTGGTAGCTAGGAGCATAGCCTCCAGCAAAACCATTACGGAATTCAACACATAACCTAAAGGATTACGCTTAAACCTCAACTATGTCTCCTTCACCACAACTCGCCCCTCCAGGGAGCAGCTCCTACGATTCGGCCACAATGCATGTTGGAGATGGCACTTGGGACGCTGGTAGAGACAATTTCCTGTTACCCAACTTGGTCGGTCTCAACTTTGCGACCATGAGATATAATGGTATGAATGTCCCCAATGCATTGGCAACCCATGCATGGATCAACTAACCAGTCTGCAGGAATGGGCAACCGCTTTTTCACCATGAACGGTTATCATGCTTTGGTCAGGGCTCATGGTATCATAGCTGGCATCACCTTCCTTGGAATCGTCCCTCTTGCGATCTTCATCATGCGCTTTTACGGTCGCAACCCTCGACTAGCATTTCGCTCTCACATCTGGCTTCAGATCCTCACTCTTTTGCTCAGCACCGTCGCGTTTATCTTGGGCTTCATGGCTGTGGGCCCCGAAAGAAGTCTATCAAATCCACATCATGGCATTGGAGTCGCTATTTATGTTCTCATCTGGGTCCAAGTACTCGGTGGATGTCTAGTTCATTCAAGGGAGAAAGGAAAATCTCGTCGCTACAAACCCATGAAAGTCATGCTGCATCAATGGTTTGGTCGGTCTATTGCCCTTCTGGGAATCATTCAAGTGCCCCTCGGTCTAACAGTTTATGGCTCACCCTTGTTCCTCTTCGTCCTCTATGCTCTTTTCGTCTTTGCTCTAGTCGTCCTGTGGTTCATTCTATCCTTCCTGGCCGAACGCAAGAGAGGAGAGTATGGGAGCTACGGAGGCAGTTACTATAGTGAAGAGGTTAATGAGCACCACGGAAAACACGATGAAGGAGGAGGCAAGGGCAAATGGCTTCTGGGAGGGGCTGCCGCTCTTGGGTTGGCTTCGCTATGGAGACGACGATCCAACAAAGACAAAGAACGCCGGGCACATCCCAGCGTCGTGGGCACAGAAACCAGTATTTCGTCTTCCTATATCTCTGATGAAAAGTACTCGAACGTCTCACCACAACGAAAAGGCGTTGGTCATCGCCTCCTCCAGGTTGCGGCCATTGGTGGAGCTGTTGCTGCTGCCAAAAAATTGTTCGGCAGAGGCAAAGATGATGAGTCCGACGTGGGCCCCTATCGACCACCACTTGGCGGCAATCAATCTGTAACCACGGATTCCATGTCCCGAATAGAAGAAGGGAGACCACCCGTCCGACCAACAACACCCCTCGGAAACAGTCCAGGTTATGGTCGACCAACACACCCTCTCGCTCAACCTCCCATGACTCCCGGATCGGCCGGCCGGAGAAATTCTGGCTCCTCATATTCTTACGATGATTCATTTGTCTCGGGCTCGCCCTCAAGACGAGATAGAAGAGGTCACACTTTCCGAGATGCTTTGGCGACGGGCGGTGCGGTTTTCGCTGTTCGATCAATATTCAAAAATCGGCGCCAGAGAAAAGAAGACCTTCGTGCAGAAACGTTGAGAAAACAAAGAGTCGATCAAGAAAAGATTCAACGGATGGAATCTGTGCATAAATACACTGGTGATGGGGTCAGACCGCCCAGGCGAAATCACCACCATAGAATGGGCAGCCAAACAGCGTCCGACATATCAAGTTCTCTAGAAAGCGGCACTCAACATGGCATGAGTGGTGCTTTACCAGCGGCGGGAGTTGGTGCCGCGGCAGCGAGTGCACTTGCAGACAGGAATAGGATACGTCCGGTAGGACATGACCCTCCTATTGTGGTGCCAGGCCCTGCAACAGCAGGCACTCTGGGAGACATTCCACCACCTCCTCCACCCCACCATAGCGACTATGCTTCTTCTGGTAGCGAAATCTATACCACCGCTTCTGGTCACCAACGACAACGCCACCACCATCACGGTAACGAACTCGCTGCTGGTCTTGCTGGTGCTGCAATGGGAGCCACCGCAGCCGAGGCTCGACGCCGCACTAGTGGACGTAACAACGGCAATACCGACTCGATGGAATCCCCTCCAGTTTCAGTGAAGATCAACATGCACAATGATGGGCGAAAGGTGACACTCCGTCGCTTGACAGAAGAAGAAGCCCTGGCACAGCGCGAGGCCCGACGGAAAGAGCGACAGGCAGCTGCAGCTGGCAGAAGAAGACGCAATTCCAGTCTCAGCAGTAGTGACTTGGGAGAAATCGGCGGTACATCAGCAGGAGCCAGCACCGACCGTCGATGGCGGCGGACAGAGGCTCTTGAAGCACAACAAGCAGCAGAAAACGAAGCAGCCGCCGCTGCCAACCTACCTCAGCCTGTACACACCCCAGCAGCTTCTCTATATCCGACCCCTCCCCCGCCAGGTACAGGTGGTATTGGCGTCGATCCCACCACAGGACAAACCTACCATGTTCCTCTCCCACCTCCAATACCTGGATCTGTAAGCAATCTCGGGCCTGCTGGTAGTATTACAAGCCCAGGGACGGAAACCAGTGGGGCGACAGAGTATGCCAACAATCGTCGACGGAGAAGGGCTGAGCGAGCGCAAGCGCGTCTAGCCCGCGAAGGTCGAGCGCAAAACACCGTGGACTTTACATAAAGTTTGAGCAATCACACATTTCCGGCGATTGTTATTGACAGAAAATAAAGGTTGACTTATGGATCTGCGGTTCTGGGACTTTACATTATCCAGTTTTGTATATGTGGACGAGCATATGACGAAACATGAAACTTGGAACAGAAAGTCCTATCTTCTGTATAGCATGATGAGGATGATGTTGTCGTTATTGGTGCTGGTAGGAAGCAACGGCAGTTTTCCGACATCTGCCAGGGTAGGGCGGGAAGTTGGACAAGAAACAGCATAATTGATGAGTTAGGTGGGAATTGATTGGACAGCATCTCTGACGACGACATGATGAAGGCACAAGGAAAAATGGAACGAATTGATTGCATCGGGTTGTGTTGTGTTTTGGGTTTCATCCGTTCGAGAGGGGTTGTCTGAGCTGGTGGGTTCTTTGCACATCCTCCCTTATGAACATGTATAGCATTCCGTCCCTGAACACAGGCACAATCGAAACATGATGAAAGCCACAAGAATGAATGCCTCTCACGCAGTAAAACGACATATGATTCTGATGAGATCTTGCCTCTGAATACTTAGTACATTAGTGTGACTGAATAGTCTCGGTGGTTGTATCAATAGCCTTTGGTTTGGAAGATGTACTCAATAACCTCCAGTTAACAATAACGTATATATCTGGAATAACGAACTGCACTTTTTCTCGAACCTTTCCGCCGACTCCCAACGATATCGCAGCAACTTTACGTGATGGCATCTTGGCCAGGCCGTTTCGAGCTATCACTAGAGCTCCAAGAAAAATCCCCGTTCTACAGCAGTCCTCTCTCAATTTGCCTTTCTCTCCTCGACCCTCGCATTACTGACGCTTCTCCTTCTATCGCTCTCTTACGTCCCTTTCTGTTTATCTCGTGCGCTCGCTCTCTCCATGAATTCCTTTTCTCACTCCCTAAACCGTGCCAGACCTTACTAGTTTTTTATTCTATCTTGCCCTCCCTCGCTTCCATTAAATGCTCTTCTCCTTTCCCCTCGTCGTTTGGCTTTCCTTGCTTTGTTACGGCCTTTTGGTATATACTGTTCTATCTCCTGTTGGACTAAAGTTATACCTGAAGTGGGGTAATATGAATATTTAGAACCTCTTTTAGCACTGGATTGTCTAGAGTACCATGGCAATGACGTAAATAACTAGTATTACCTTAATTTAGAGTTTATCTAATAAAGGACTAATAACTGGGGTTAATAAAATGCCCCTTTAAAGTCGAAATCTTAATAACTCGATTGGTATACCTAGCGCCTTTATAGTCTGGATTAGTAGCCTTGCTAGACGGTTATTGGCCGATCCAATATAGCCTTTTAGTTATCCGTTTCACTGCGTATAAGCACTCTCGACTTCCACATTAACCTGTGACCGAGATAAAGCTAGCAATCAATCCGGTTTCCATTATAAGAATGGGACACACATTCAAGATGCTGGCATGTGAGATGAAGAATTAACACCGACAATCTCATGAGTTTTGCAACTCCGACCGTCCGCCAGTGCTTGGCCAGGCATAGACGACAGCGCCGTCGTGGAGGTGGAATCGCTTGTCTTGGAATCGCCCTGTCCATGGAAATAGCCAGCCTGTGGGATGAATTTGTCGCATCGTATTGACAGGCAGTACACAGCTTGAGAGACAGAAGAAAATCAAAAAGATACTAGATCTTCGGTAGATGGCATGAGTAGCTAGCTTTAAGCATTCTATCAATTTTTATTACTAAGTATCTCAAGAAGGCTTTCTTAAGTATTTGTGGGGAACTGCTTTTTGTCGCCATTGCTGCCTAGGCTAGCTGTATATATAGGCGTGCCTTATTTCTGCCACTAATCAATAGACAATATTGTTCGCCCCCCATCGTAACTTACGGGACGATATAAAATACGACACAATACTAGACCACTCCTTGCGGCGCGCGAACACGGCGGTCGACCGTGCAAGCGGCATAAAAATCGTTACATGGGCTTCTGGCCGTAGATGACGTGTCTAGAGGCGCAAAGTTAGCGGGCTTTGCGGAACAAGATCCAAAGTCACTTACATGCGCCAGTACGAATGAATCTTGGTGTCTCTGAGGTCCTTCCGGACCGGGACCAGGAACGCCTGGATTTCCTCAGGTGTCATTCCGAGGGCCATGGTCCACAGTCGGACGGTGAATCCGTCCAACCCGTCGAGCATGTTGTGCATATTCCAAAGCCCCATCGTTTTCAGATGCTTGTCTTTGGCCCACGGGTTGATGGGCCATTTGAAGATGTGTTCTTTGACATTCTCGAAACCTACCTCCATGATCCATTCCTTATACTTGGCTGTCAACGAGGGACTTCTTTTGAGGACGTCACAAGCTTCCATGTATTTCACATTCCACTCTCCAAATGCTGTGCCATCCAAACTCCCGTCGTCGGACAGGAGCGGCATGTACAGATCTTGCATTTCAATCCATCCGCCTGGCTTCAGCGAATCGTACGCCCGACGGAACAAAGCAGGAAAATCCGCGCTGGCGGTGAAGAGCATTCGACCATGGATGAAGTCGAACTGTTTGTCAAATGTCCAGGCCGTGTCAAAATCGTCCACTTCAAACTTGCAGTTGGGTGGGATCCACGTGGGTTGGATGGGACTCAGGTCGATGCCAAGGACGCTCGACTCGGGATGCTCGTCCGCAAATTGAATTGCCCATATTCCAGTGCCCGTCCCGAGGTCTAGGACTTCATGGAGCTTGGAGTCTATGGGGGCTAGATGCAGCTTCTGGTCCAAGGATTTGAGGAACATCTCGTGCTGCAGGTCGAGCCTGTCTTGCTCTTTATCGTCCTCCGGTAGGATGTACGAGCCATCCTTGTATTTGTGGTATTTGCGGCCATTTTCCTCGACCCCCTGGAGCAGGCTGGACCGGATAGATTGGGTTAATTGAGAAATATCGTCCCCCAATGCCGATTCTGCTTCATTCGGTTCATCTGCCTCGATTTCGACATTGGGATGCTCGGGAGGCTGCTCTGGCGAGCTCATGGTGTTATTCACTCGCCTCCTGGCATAGAGGGTAACTGCAATGGTAAGAGATTTGGAAAGTATACGTCAAGGTCGGCCGCGATTGAGAGGATCGAACCTTATCTACTCGTACCCGTTGGCCGTAGATGAATGTGGAAAGGCATGGCGTGACTATCTACGGATACTTCATGTGGGGGTGGTACTTCGTAGGTTGACCCCGCACGGCTTGTTCACGGGCCGAGAGGGCCGACGGGCGCTAAACTTGGAGGGGCCTTCCACGGCAACTCTGCACTTCGCACCGGTGTCAGTGTAGCACTCTTTCGTAGCGGGGCATCTAGGTTGACTATCACTCAGGGAGGTTTTCCTGGCTTTGCTTCAATGAACGTTGCACTCACGCAGTCCTATAAAGCCTTTACTGATAGCTTTGAGATATTTGGTAATTAGACTTTTTCCATAGATCAAGTTCCCTTCCGTCGCCTGTCCCGTCACTACCACATCCACCAGCATGGTGGTCACCAGCCCTGCGCTGCTCACTTGGGGTTTGATCAGCCTGCTACTGGTCGCCATCTTCTACGTACGATTGTACACCCGTCTCAGCCATATCCCGGGCCCGCGCCTCTGGGGATTGACCGTCCTTTCCCCTCTTCAAAACTCACCTCGGCGGCGACATCTACGACAGATTCGGGCGCCTCCATCAGCAATATGGGCCGTTGGTGCGAATAGCCCCAAACACCCTGTTGACGGCAGAACCAGATGTCTTGCGTCGCATGTCGGCGGTGCGGTCGCCCTATGCGCGGTCGGACTGGTACATTGCCATGCGTTTGAACCCGGGACAAGACAACGTCCTCTCGAATCGAAATGAGGCCAAACACGAGGATCTAAGGCGGAGAATGGGATTTGGATATTCCGGCAAAGAAAACCTCACTCTCGAGCAGGATATCGACGATTGCGTACTTGAATTGGTCCATCTCATCAACACGAAATACGTCAGTGGCCCTGGAAAAATGATTCCGATGGACCTGGCACGGAAGATTCAGTTTTTCACCAGCGATATTATGAGCAAGCTGTCATTCGATGGCAAATTCCATGATCTCCGGGACGACAATGACAACCTGGGGTATATCCATGAACTCGAGACGATCTTTCCCAGCATCTTTTGCACTTGCTGCATCCCTCGAGTCATCGAGTTCCTCACCAACATCGGCTTTCTTGGTCTCTTCGCGCCCTCTGCCAGCAGCAAGCTTGGTCTAGGCAAGGTATTGTCCATCACACGAGAACAGGTCGCCAAACGCTTTGGACCCGATGGCAAGGCCAAGGGCGAATACAGTGACATGCTTGGTAGCTTCATTCGGCATGGACTTACCCAACAAGAAGCCGAGTCGGAGAGTGTCATGCAATTGTTTGATTTTGCCTTTGAGTTGCTGCTAACGACATGCTGACAGGGTCGACAGGGCCGCCGGGTCGGATACAACTGCCACCGGGCTTCGAGCAACGCTGCGCGGCATCATTTCCAGTCCGCTGGCGTATAAGAGATTGATGACCGAGATCGACGAGGCAGTCACAGCTGGAAAGATACCTTCGAATGACCTAGTAATCTCCAATGCCCAAGCGAGGGACCTTCCATACCTGCAGGCGTGCATCAAGGAGGTAAGTACTTTTGGTGCCAGGAGTTGACTGCTCTGTTGACAGTGTGCAGGGGTTGCGGTGGTATCCGCCTATTGCAGGAATGTTGGCGAAGAAGGTAAGCACCTGCAGATCGAGGGTTTGTGGTTACTGACGACCAAAGACTCCGCCCGCGGGTGACACCATCAGCGGTCACTTCGTTCCTGGTGGCATCTCGATTGCGTAGGTTCACCTCGCGCTTAGATTCCCAATTTACTAAATCCACCCAAATCTAGCTATTCGGCAAAGCAGGTCCACCACTCACCGGCTCTCTTTGGTCCCGACGAGAACGCTTTCCGGCCGGAGCGATGGATTCTCCAGAGTGAGGGCGGAGACGAATCATCTGCCGAGAAACTAAAGGCCATGGAGCAAAACAATGAGCTCATCTTTGGATATGGCAAGTATCAATGTCTGGGTAAGACCGTGGCCATGATCGAGCTGAATAAGGTGATCTTGGAGTTACTTCGTCGTTTCGAGTTCAGCCTTATGAACCCCTTGGACCCCTGGAAGACGAGATGTTTCGGGATTCACTTGCAGACCGATATGTGGGTGACGGTCCACAGACGGTCCTTGCGTGCCCCCAATATATAATGAAGTATTCTCAGAGGCCGAATGCTACAGAGTTGATGTCATGTATACTACCAGTCCTTTCGTAGTGAACAAGACCGTGAGATATTCCTATGATCCTCACGCTTCACTATAGCATAGAAATATACTCTGAGAGACGGCGACTTGAATAATACTGTTTTTATTACTTCAATCCCTTTGACAAAAATATATTCAGGCTAAGAAACAGTGCCTTAAATACTCGAAATGTTCTTAGCGCCTGGTTTGCGGTGCCACCCGTTTTTCATACAGGCTCGCTAGCAATAACTCTATAATTGTATTTGCTCTAAACTCTGACGACGTAGACTTTTTATATTAGCAAGTAGCTGATATAACGGTGTAGTTGAATTTGAGATAATCAATTCTACGGGCGGTGAGTTAATGATGGAATATCCATATTTGTGTGTGCATGTACCATGAGCAGACGGTGTTATTTGTTTATATGCTAAATGCAATGCAGACGGAGGATCGCCTGTGTTTATGTATTCCCAACTACCTGCGCTGCTATGTTCCCTCCAGTAGGAATTATTGATCCGACCTGAATGGAGCAAACAGAGCTCATGAGGAGTCAAGGATCATCGCAATATCAAGACATGAAGAAATCAACACGGTGAATGCAAAACGCACAAACTCCGGATCCACGCACGCACGCACACATGCTTCATAACGCCCCAACCTGTCCAGTCCATAACTGTCGCATTATCATCCAGAATCCGTCTGCTTTATGGCCCATAAGGCTATTCGTTCAAGCAGTAGTCGTCACATCGTCAGCAACCTGGTCATACCAGCGTCCATGGGCCTTGAGATCGACAGCGCGGATCTTCTCCAGAAGAGCCACCATGCGATTGACCTCTTCGAGGAATTCAGGCATACCGATACGTGCCAAAAACTCGGCTGCACCCGTGGTTGTCCGGACACGTTCGGTTGTGCCGGTCGCTGAGAGCCTTGCGAAAACATGTTCTCGAAGGGATTTCAACAAAAAGCTCGCGATTTGTTCGGTGAAGATGTCTTCCGACTCGTTTCGGGTGTCGTCGAGCTTGGAGGGGTCGTAAGTTGTTTGACTATGAATCGCGTCTTGGCGGTCACGCTCAGCGAGTTCAGCATGCTGTGCAGCAGCGGCAGCGGGAGGTAGGACCCTTCCCACAAAATTTGATACTCCTTCTTTAGTCGATTCAGGCATGATATGTGAAGATGCCACCAAGGACACCACTCGCTCAATTCCTGTTGTGAGGTAATTCAATGCCATCAATCTCTCTGCGTCCTTGGTCCACAATGACTCTCGATTACGTCTGAGGCGGATCTTGGTCGTAAGTAAGATGGATGAAGTGGCAATGGCTTGGAAAACATGAGCCCTCAGCTTCAGCATTCGAATATAGTCCAACTGTAGAGTTTCCGGGAAGTCTCGGTATTCAAGATGTGCGTTTCGGAAAACCAAGTCAACCAGTCCCCTAACGTATATCGTGTTTCCATTCAAGTTTGCAGAGGACACGCTCGCTTTCGCATTGGTCCACCAAAGTTTGGTTCGTTCTAGTGAATGTACACCGTCTTGTAGATCACGCTCGAATGATACTATCTCGTGCTCGTGACCGCGTTCAGCAACGGACTGTGCAGCGACCCGAAATTGAAAGTTGATATGATCCAGGGTCATGAGATCAATGATGTTTATGAGCTCGAAAAGTCTTTCAATCGTATCACCCTTGCTAGATGAGAATGCTGCAATGGCATCGTCCCTTCCCGGAGAACAGATTTGACTGATAATTTTGGCGATAGTCTCGAAAAAGGAGTTGTAAGAGAACATTCCATTTCGGCATTGCTGAGTTATCAGGGTAGGATCCAGAAAGCCATCAATTCGATCATACAATGGGTGTCGTGGACTAACAAGATTGATCAGCTTTTCTCGAATGAGGACCGCCATCGCGTGAGTCCATCTGGTTGTTGCCTGCCCGCTGCCATCTTGCATACTATTTCGCATGCTTGTCTGGAGAGAGTCCATCAGGTCCTTCCTGGCATCGGTCCATGGACGCTGCTGTACTTCAAAAGTGCCATTGACCTGTATTTCATGTGCAATCTCTCGGTTGGATGGTAGAACGGTCATTATCTGTCCAAGGCTATCGGTGATTGACGAAGTCTTTGGCGATTGTTCCCGGGCATCCGATCTTGGTGTAGATGGAGGAGTGATCAATGTTCCCTGGGTGGAGCTGATCGTCTCGGCACTAGGGGTTGTGGCCCTCGGGACCTGCTTGATCTCTTTCTGTCGCTTCTCGGCGGCGTATTGCTTGCGAGCCTTTCTAACAGCAAGCCTAACTCGAGTCAAGGCGGCTTCAGGTCCAGCAAGCCTTTTCAATCTCGCCAGCAGTTTAATCTGTTCTTGTCGCACTGCATCGAGATAATCATCCCCAACATGACCAGCATGATCATTCTTGGTTGCTTGGAGAATCAAATCCAAGTTCACAAAAGAATTGACCATAATATCTATCAAAACATTCAGATCCTGGCTCTTCCATGCGTCAAAGGTAGAGCAGAAATCGTTAAAGGAAAATGCAAGATGATCCTTGGTCGAAGGCACACTAGTGAGGTGAGGGCTGGCCAGCACTTTTTGGAAGTACGACTCGAAACTTTCTACCAGACTCTTCGCCTTTCCCACCAGTTGTTGTTCCTGCGGGTCATTTCCGCCGTGGCTCAAAGCCTGAACAGGATGCGCCACAATCATGTAAGAGCTGAGGAAGATTCGAACTGACTCAGTCTCATCCTGAACCCCATCCAAGATGCCGGTTAGTTTAAGCAGTGCCGTTGTAGTTGTTGTTGTTCTCTCGGTAGCAAGCAATCGCGTCAGATCCTCGAAGGAAGCCTCTCGAGTACGTGCAAGGTTTATCTGCAGTTCAGCAAAATTACCAATAGCTTTCCGCCTCTGATGTAGCCTCCAGGCACGTTGTATGATCTTGGCTGCATAGGTACGGTTGGACCGCTTAAGAATGACTGGAGCGGCTTTCTTCTCCTCCACGGCAGCCAAAGACCCAGATCTTGGTCTCCTCAGGCCTTGCTGATATAGAGACTTTCGACGAGCCGCCTCGGCAAACTTCCCAGCCATTTCTTCCTTGAGCTTAGCTAGCTCTGCGGCCTTCTTCTCCTTTGTTTCTTCTGCGATCTTCTTGGCTCGTCTTACTTCTTCCTCGCAACGTGCGGCTATATCGGCGAGCAATTTCTCTCGAGCCGCCTGCGCCGCCAAAGACTTTTCCTCACTGTATGCATTTCTCTGGGATGCTTTCGCCGCGGCAGCACGTAGTCTGACCTGCTCGGCGTGGGCCGCTCTATCCGCCAACCGAGCCTTCCTGCTCTCTATGATTGAAGCCCGCCGAAGATGTTGTGCAACATGTGAACTGTGGGGCCCACCATGACTGGAAAGAGCCGAGGAATGCGAATGTATGGAAGAGAGTGAGCTTCTGCGGGAGGAATTGGCAGAAGATTTCCTGCGTGCAGTTGATTTCCTGTAGAATCTAGCAGCCAGACGAGCAGGAGGCTCCGCCCAAGTGTTGGGCTGCTGGTCGTCTGAAAGACTCATCTCGATGTCGTCGGTGGGGAGTATAGGCTCCATTATAGGCATGTGTGGTCGCAGAGCGCAAAGGTGAATGGGCTGAGGTTTCGGACTGGAAGTTGGCAGTTGGTGTGTGACTGAATTGAAGGGTAGGCTTTGGAATCAGACGATTGGTAATGCAGGTGAGATGTGGTATGCTATCGAAGCGGGCGTTTGATCACGCAACAACAAAGAGGGCTATGTACGGAGAAAACAAAGGTGCAATCGGGACGTGAAGAGGTTCACGAGAACGGAAAAGGAGAATAGTAAAGAAGATAAGAGAAGAAGACGTTGGCAAAGGCCAACCAACGACCGACTTCCCACGGTCGAGGGGCAATTATTGTCAGGAGTGAGGATGGGGGAGACAAGATCGCAGGGTGACTCTGACGCTGCGTCTGAGGTGGTTGGGCCAGTGGGTGGGAGAAGAGAAACTTGGTTAAGTTTTGGTTAGTGCATCACCAATTGTGCGAGTATTGCCAGTGTGCTCTGTACCGCGTGGCGGGTGCCCTCCCAGCTGGCCCCCAGCCCGAGGGCCTGAAGCCTAAAGCCTGCTTGCAACGTCCCTGCAGCCTTGGGTACCTCCTTGGCACGGACGAGGCCAACCTGTGGTGGTCCGTGGATGTTTCTAGTGACCACAGGCGGTGCTGGTGCTGGATGCAGCCACTGCAAACCAAAGGTTTTGGCCCCCTTCCCGGTTGGCGCCTATCGCTCCCGGGCCGTTGATTTTACCACCTGGAGTTAGGTATCCTTATTGGGAGTGGTGCACCTATGAAGTCAGTATAAAGTCCGTCGTATCCGCACCTGGCACTTCGACCGCCGGCGCGAGCAGTTGACTGATGTGCCACTGCCAGTGGGCAAACACAACCCGAGATTGATTTCTATGGTTCTGAAGCAGGTTCGGACTTTGTTGTTGGTCCTATAATGGCCCTGAAATATTGTGGAAAGTGCAAGATGAAACTGGTCAAGTTGTGTTTAATTTAATCCGGTTCAATGTTCTCTCAGTCCTTGAAACCGTTCGAGGCAGCCGGATACTGTTGCACTGACCATTACGAGGCCCGGATCCCCTCCTGAGTTGATCGTGAATTAATGCCTGTCTGCTCTGCGTGAAGTCAGTTTTGCGGCTCCGCTCCCCAATTGACAGACATGAACGCTTCCTCCCGCTAAGGCGTACTTTGTTCTCCTGATCTTAACCCTGCGCCATGGCTTGCGCTGAGTTTGGTGGTTGATTAGACCTGTCGTTTTTTACAATCCTGCCCAACTGGAGGATACGAAATCACGAGTGACATCCGTAGGTATCGAGTACTCCGTACTGGCATCATCAGTATTGCGTTGTCAAACCGTTTCAGGGATTCGAAGCATAGCGCATTATCTTGCCCATCTTCGCCATCAAGACACGGGCTGGTTCGGTTCGTGCCATGCGTCATCTGAAGATCGATCGACTTGCATTTCGCTTATTACCCGAAAATGCATCCGCTCCGGGGAAGCGACAGTGCACATCACACCTCGACTCCCTGTCCTGGAGGGCAGATGAGAACAGATTGAACTCGCCGCCCACACAAATATCAAGCACAATGTGTCAGAGTAGGTGGTGGCTGGCTGTCAGATCCCCAATGGGCATATGGACTACCTGTGCTCTTTATGACGTCTTCTATGCTTCTGTCAAGGGCTACTGCTGGCATCCTGGCTTCTGATCCGTTCCCCAGCCCTATCTCAAGTCAGACTCTTCCGCCATCCGAACTCCCTTCAATCCCGCTCACACCCTTTCAGTCCAGATGATTTCATATTCCAGTCCGTGTTATGCCTGACGGCAATGTCAAGAACAACCCGTGTGCAAAGGAGCTTGACCTCCATCCGAAGTTGGGATTGGTGCCTTTCGAAGTGCCAGTCAGTGGTTGTTCTGGTCGGCCGCCTGTACGGAGTAGTTGACATGTTCAACTCCTTGCTGGACTGACTACGATCTATTCATTTGCCATCTTTATCCGCCTATTATTTCCAGATATGAGTACGAGGCACCCCTGCTGTTCTGCATCTCCTTCTCATACAAGCCAAGTCTAACAATTACTAGTCTATTGCGCTTTTCCGGTATACCAGGAGGCTGTCCATTTGTTCAACCCCACTGGATGATTCAATTCGACTGTGCTGATAGCCTCTTGACAGGAGTAAACGTCAGAATACCTCTCGAGCTTGAAATATTGACTCACGACCGTCAGTCTAATCTCCGATAAATGAAAATTTCTGCTGATCCCCTTTAGGCCCTTCCGTCTGTGGACACATAATGGCGTGTTCTCTCAAGTCCAGCAGTATTACCCATACCATCTCACTGAAGGACTCGAAACGCGAAGTACTACACGCTTTTTACAGCAAGTTGGCACGACGGTCTTTTCCCAAGTTGACTGAAGTCCTTCGGTACACCTTCGACAGCAACTTTACGAAGAAATGGATGAAGCAAGCGCTACGATATACCCTGGAGAAGAGCAAGACTCAAATTGTGCTCAAGACAATCAGTGGCTGCTTTCTATACCACAACTCCTCCCCGAAGGAGTGCCATCGCAATCATTCTTCGATAGCCGCTCTGCAGACCATCTTCCAGACCTCGATGACGAAGGATACAGCGATGGTGCGAGCAGCCCTACGCCCAGTTCAACGACGATAAGCTCCACGGTCCACGAGGGTGTCTGGGAGAACAACCGCTGTTACCCAAGCTATGGTCGCCATGAGTACGGTTTACCGATCGATACAGAGGAACAGAAAAGAATGGTGCTTCAACATGAAAAGCATAAACTTCTGCTTGGAAAACCTTATCTTGCTCCACTCGGCTCTACACCACAGAAAATTCTTGATCTAGCAACAGGGACGGGACTATGGCCCATCGAAGTAGCAGATCAGACACCATCGGCTCAAGTAATCGGGGTTGATATTGCACCCATAGCGCCTTTGCTTGTTCCTCCGAACTGCTCATTCGAGATTGATGATATTGAGCGGACTTGGAGTTGGTCGAAGAGTAGTTTCGATTTGATCCACATCAGAGAACCCTTATACTGCATCCGCGACTGGGACCGACTATTCAATCAGATATATACTCACCTCAAACCTGGTGGCTGGGTTGAAATTGCCTGCACTTACATGCGACCGATCCGCAGAGGCGGGAAGTCGGCCATCACTTCCGAATTCACACGAATGTGCGACCAGCTGATGTCAGCCTCCGAGATCTTGGGGACTTCTTCGAGGTTTCCTCCACAACTCACCAAGAACTTGCGCAACAGAGGCTTTGTGAATGTTGTCGAGAATGTTTTTGAAACCCCTACAACTCCCTATGCAACCACCGACCTAGATCAAAAGATCGGTCTGCTTGAAATGTTGAACCTAGACATGGGGACGCCGTCAATTGGATTGCGAATAATGGAAAGGGCATTTGGTTGGTCTGAAGCAGAGACTGAAATGCGTATGCAGAGTTTTAAGAAGAGCTCAAGGATGTTGAGGAGGGGAGCATATTTTCAATAGTGAGTATTCCCAGATTCATCGCCACAATTGAAACCCCATTGTCTAATCAATCTGCGAATAAAAAGCTTTGTGGTATATGGCCAGAAACCGCCAGATCATACTACAGATTAAAATCATTATGCCTCTCGCGTTCCATTCCGGAGTTGAGCAGTGGCATTTCTCGAGTACGGGATTCGAGTTCTGCCGTCAAGCCCGACCCCATGCCCTCAAATACCATACCTTTACGCTAAGCGTGGAGGAGATGACTCAGATGAGGAGAACGTCTATTCAGTCCACAATAATGCAGCCATTCATACTTCTTCTGAACAGTGATCACAACACTAATGCAGTAAAACACTCTAGCCGAGCTTCATCTTGCGCTGCATCTCCGATAAGCATGCCGCAAAGATCGATGTATCGTCCCGCCCGACTATCATACAGCTTTGCGTCCTATTGTCCACCACGTTGCAACAGTCGTCCTCATCACACGTCATCTCTGACCGAAAGATACAGGTGTCTCGCCTTTAGCACAAGTGGCTGATCGTTCAGACCTCTTTAGTAAAGGTTTGGTTTCTAGCACTGCCAAATGCATGGTATATAGGTAGCCAGTCCACCTAGCCAGACCATAGGTCTCAAACCTTAAAGAAGCAACATGGATCAAATTCAAAGTGTTCCAGGCTTAAAGGAGATCTTTATCACAATATCAGAGACATGGCACTTCATCTTGCCCCTGTCGCTATTAACCTACTATGTCGTCTCTACCACGCGATCATATCTACGCCTCCGACACTTCAAGGGGCCGCCACTGGCAGGGCTTTCCAGCTTATGGATGATCCAGTCGGCTGTTCGCAACAGAACATACTTGAGTCTATCCGAGGCCTGTGATAAATATGGTAGAGTACCCTGGGCCTGGCATCCTTCCCAGTGATCGATGTCTGACATGCAAATCATTCAGGACCCATCGCTCGAGTTGGGCCGAACACACTTGTCACCAGCGATGAAGACCTGATCAGGAAGATGTGTGCCGTGCGCTCAACCTATAGTCGGGGAGATTGGTATCGAGCATTCAAATTCGACGCTGATCGAGAGAATCTTTTCTCCGAGCCCGATGAAGAAAAGCACATCAGGATGAGAAACAGGGTCACGGCTGGAGTAAGTCTAGATTTACTCTTCCTCGAATCCTCAGAGACGCGGTGACCGATGCAAAGAATTCCCTTGAACTAAAGATCTTCATTCATGTAGTACTCCGGCAAGGACAATCCGGACCTCGAACTCGACATCGATCGGGTCTTGTGGTCCTTGTTCGACCTGATCAAACGGAAGTATATCAGCGCCGGATCCAAACTCAAACCGATGGACTTCGCAAACACAATGCAGTATTTCACGCTAGATGTCATTACCTCGTTAACGTTGAGCGAACCATTTGGCTGGGTCAAGGAGGACAAGGACATGTACGCATACGTGAAAGTGAGTCGCGTCCTTGGTCGTGCTAGAGTTTGAAACTCGAGTAGCTTTCGATATGCTGACACGATCCACTAGACCATGGAGAACAGCATGCCAGCCATGATCTTCATGTCCGCAGTGCCCATACTGAGCAAGCTAATGCGCATCCCCGCGGTCCAGCGGGCCGTGCTGCCCACAGTCAAAGATCGAGTCGGCATGGGCAAGATCAAAGCGGTGACACGCGACATCATCGCACGTCGTTTCGGCGAGAACAAGGAGACCAAAGCCGACATGACGCAGAGCTTCATCAAGCACGGCCTGACGCAAGCAGAAATCGGCGACGAGAACCTGCTCCAGATCCTGGCCGGCTCCGACACGACCGCGACGATCCTGCGCTCGGGCCTCTTCCACATCATCTCGAACCCACGCGTGTACGCGCGCCTGCAGACCGAATGCGACGCCGCAGACGTGCCGCTCACGGAGATCGTCTCGCACCGCCGCGCGCTGGACCTCCCGTTCCTCAATGCCTGCGTCAAGGAAGCCCTGCGCTACCACCCGGCGGCGACGGGCCTGCTGCCGCGCAAAGTAGGACCGGAAGGTGACGTCCACAACGGCATCTACCTGCCTCCAGGCACGGAGATCGGAATGTGCACGTGGAACATCTACCGCAAGAACGTCGCGGCATACGGCGCAGACGCGGGCCTGTTCCGTCCGGAGCGATGGCTCGAGGCCGATGCGGAGACAATGGCGAAGATGGAGAGGTCGCATGATCTCGTGTTTGGCCATGGTAAGTATCGGTGCATGGGGGAGAAGATCGCCAAGATTGAATTGCTCAAGACCATGTTTGAGTTGATGAGGCGGTTTGATTTCAGTTTCGTGGATCCCACGAAGCCGATGCGCAGTGTTAACTATGGCTTGTGGATTCAAAAGGATATGTGGTTGCGAGTCGAGGAACATGTAAAGCTGCCGTAGTGGGAAGTTCTACAGAAGACAAGCAGTCCAGCATAGCCATAGTAGAAGGCATAGCTGTAGTGGAGGCTAAAGGCATCATATGATTTCTTTTTTATACATATTCTGCAATTGTACAGCTGGTGGCCGAACTTGTGGCCATCTTAAGAGCGAAGGCTTTGAAAGGGACAAAGACGCGCAAGAGTGTTGATACACACACATGGTTCTGAAACTTCACTGCCCAGTTAAACAGTAGAAGAGCGCCTATTGCCTAGCACTTGTCCTTCCATCCTGCCACACTGGCTTGAGTCGTCGTAGGCAGTCCTCCCTGGCAGGCATAGCACCAGCTTCGGAGAGCGTTCCCTCAATTGCACCTGCAGATTCGAGGCCAGTGATCCACGTGTTGGGATGGTTTGCATGGGTCGCCTTCTGTACGCACATGTCGAGCACCCAAATCTGCACCAGTCTCGATTGAACTGACAGTCGCGGGGGACCCTAACCAACAGGAACTAGAAGGCACCAGTCACGGATGATACCCTCTCCCTGAATTCGTCGGCAAAGCTGTTAGTTCTGGTGCCTTTCTTGCCATTGAGAGTCTCCAAAAGCTCCTCCTTGGTGGGATCGATCGTTCCCCAGATCTTCCACTCCCTTGCCACTCCCTCCAAAATGAATTGTTGCAGAACAACATGTTCGGTGAGGGTTTCAACATTTCCCTCTGTACCCAAGAGCTGCACTGACTTGATTCGAACAATGCATTCGCGAATAAAAGATTGTGTACCGAAAGGGACCGCAGTCATTCTATCGGAAACCACTCGAACGGCCGCACGAGGGAGGAAAAAGCTCAATGGCCATTTCATCATCCACGAAGGATACTCAATCCCAGAGTATCGGAGGATTTTCCAGGGCTGCTCTGGAAGACGGAGTTCCTTTTGCCGCTCGATCATTTTTTGGCACTGGTTGTGAAGGCCATCGGCACAGATGGCGTGTAAATCCTTGAGATTGCCAGTTGAGATCCCGTTATTCAATCGAATGTGAAAATGCGCAGCCAAGGCGAGTCGATCGCTCATATACATAGCGCGAGTCTTCCTTTTCCCGGTTCTCTTATCCTTGGGCACATCCCACTTGGATGCATATATGATCCTGCTTTGAATTAGTTCCGAATAACGACGGACAATACAAGTGAGACACTGACGAGGACAAGCCGATGGCGCTATCTTTGAATTTCCTCCACAGTACGCGTGCTTTCATTTTCAGTCCATCTGGGTAGTCCTTCAATCTCTGTGGTAGGATGATAGTGCCTGGGAGTCTTCCAAGATCATTTCCAACGTCTTTCTTGTCCATAAGAGCCATCTTCGCCTTCATCGACGGCTGTTTTGCATTCGATGGGGCTCTTCGCATTTCTCCCAAGGCGGCATGGCTGGGTCGAGTGGAGGAGAAATGACGGGCTTGAAGGGATCGCGCCTTGCGTGAGCACTGGAAGCAAAGTTCGTGGTTCGAGGTAATGGTTCGCAAAGGATAGGATGCGTTGCTGAATATCCCTCGGGAGATCTGGAGGGCATTTTGTGACATGACGAGACAAGCACAAGCTTGGTGGTACCAAAACCCAATGCGTTGTGAGAAATGACCGTCGACAAGATGTCGCAACGATTCGAAAGTTGAGATATACCGGGCATGAACTTCGGGGACTAAAATTGCTCAAAGTGCAAAGTACTACCCCGTAGACACTAACTGTTTCGGGCAAAAGCTCAGTGCTGCTCTTTGCGCAGCCTTACCTCTCAGTTGCCGCCTTAAAATCCGTCCAGCCTTTGGGTGATCTGGGGTTTCGCCCTTGAAACTTTCCAAGAGCTTTTGAATATCACAACTCAAATTTGGGATGGTCGTCAATCTATGATTGGCACTATATGACATGATTATGCCATGTTCTCATAATCTTGATCCAATTTGTGACTCGTTACTCCTGCCGCGGTACTCAAGCTTTACATGGTCTCTCTAATGGAACGAGTCTACAGAGCAGCACTTCTTGGTGGAGACCAAGCAACCAATGCAAGGTCATAGGACATGCACGATTAGCAAAGGTAGGACAAATAGTCACATTGCATGAAATTCCAGGCCATGGTTTGCGACTGATCCTAGAGGAAAGCTTCCTGCATTAAGCAGTACAGACCTCCGCGAAAGATTGGTTAATTGGTCCCTGCTATGCTCATTTTTAATCATATTGACCATGCGACCAGACTCCATGTTGTGTGAGGGCACCGATTGAGCCCTCTGTAATGTACTAGGACGCCTCTTTATCAACCACGATTAATGCTTGTGAGGAACCTGGCTGTCGTATAACCTCCCTGATCCTCAAACCTGCGATCTTGCCGACTAGCTCATTCCAACCATCAAGATCTCGTTCCATGCCATTCATTGCAGCCATTTGAAAAAGATCACGGGCACGTTCGAGTGCCTCGGCGCGTTTTCCCACAGTACCTGGCTCATGGAGCATAAAGTTGTTGAGAAGCATCACGGCACCAGGTCTCATGATAGCAGCAACGTTGGTCAATATTTCCTCGCATTTTAAACTGGTCCAGTTGTTCAAGATCATTCTCAACAGAAACACATCAGCATCGCGGGAAGTCTCAGGCTGAGGGTGGAAGAAGTTGTGTGGCACGAATTCGATCCGCCCAGAAATATCCGGCGACAGCTGTGACACATTTGCTTTGGCGATCATAGGTGGCAAGTCCTGCACGGTGAATGTCAATGCTGGATATGCTTTGGCGAGTGCTGCACTGATGTGGCCGGTCGAACCACCAACCTATTTCATTTTAGCATGAATCTCTCACGAAGGCAGACAAACCAACATCGACAACATGCGCATTGCCCAGTGCTGTCCAGTCAAAATACTCGACAAGAAACTTTGGACTTGTGTCGTCAGCACCTGCCAAAAAACGCATGCCTGAGCCAAATCGTTTCGTAAGCTCAGGGGTTTTGGCGACATGTGCATAGAAGGAATTCTCGGTTTGCATAGCAATATTGAATGCCGCGGTGTTCATGCTCGATGGAGCGTCGTGGGCCTTGGTCGCCTCGGCCAAGCATTTCATCATTGGTGAGAAGAAGCCAGTCTGGAGAAGAACAACCTGCCGATAGTCCTCGTTTGTCGCAAAAGCGGCGGAGTATGGTGTGTGCACAATCTGACCTGGGGTCGCTTCTGAAAATAGACCTTGGGTCATTCCAAACCTCATGATCCGTCGAAGCTCCTGTTCTGGAACTGCGGCGGCTTCTGCAACCTCTGAGTAAGTTGTTGTTGCATCCAGAGGGACGAGCCTTGGAATGTCGAATTGCAAGAGCCAATTGAGACACGACTCGGCACAGTACTAATGTGAAATTAGGTTGTTACACGTTGGCAGGCGAACGGAACGAAATACTCACATTGATCGTGGTTTGCTCCCACTGTTCAGTCGGACCCGCAGCGATGAGCTTCCATTTGTTAAGAGTCTCCAGCAATGCTCGACGGCTCTCTCGTAGGTTCGCCGGTTGGACAACCCCGTTCGAGGCGCCACTGGTGCCTTCCACGTCAAGACATTGCTGATATCGATGTGCTGCGTCGACGATCTCCTGGATCTCGACCTCAAGGGTGTCTTGCATCTTGTTGACCCGTGATGGTGTCCAAAATTTGCCCAACACTTACAACCTCTCAGTGCTACCTGTGGAATGTACTTAGGAGAGGGAACAAGTCAACTTATTCAATAGTGTCTCCGTACATGAAAGGCTATAGGTGGAATGTCTCAGCTAGAACTTGCGGTACGCCACATTCAGGTGACAGCATTCCGCTCATTGTCAACCTGCTCGGCAAGTTGTAAACTTAACTAGAAACGTAATCTAAACGACATCTGGGAATACGAAGGTCTGGCAAAGTCAATCCCGTGTCGACCCACTTAACATCCAATTCTTCAATACCTATTGGTATTCCTGCACAGTGTCAGCATTTTGACAATTGTAGCATCCGTTTAGGAGGTCTTCGAGTCAGGCAGTGGGACCAAGAATGTCGACTTATTTTATTTGCAAGGAGCCCTGTAAGTCTCAGTCTCACATACCGCCACATTTAGAACGCGCTGCTAGGAGCGTGCCAGGTGGTCAGAAGCACAGGCCTCGAGTACGGAGGACTGCTCGCTCAAATAGAGCTTTTCTGTAGAACACGAGGGCGGCTCGTAGTTCCTTCCTAGCAAATGCTTGGCTAACTCCTCTTTGTCCTCAAAATTACGACATTGGGCTATTGTGGAAGTCAGGGGTTAGTCGGTAAATAGTAGATCCTAATGCCAGGAGCCACCTTAGACTCACCAGCCAACATCGACTTCGAGTTTCGACCAAGAATTCTTTGAGAAATTTTTGATGCTTTTCCCAGTTGATTGCTATCAATAACTGGTTACTTGGGAGCCAGTACTATACGTCCTATCCCCACAGGCCTTCAATTACATCGGCACGCCATGCAACAAAACTTTCAAGAGTCTGGAGTCCTTCAACTCGCTAGCGCGTGCCTTTAATTCGTCCACATCCCAATTGACCCAGACGAACTTCCCTTTGAGAAAGTCGGCTTCCTGCGAGGCCAGCCAGACGTGGAAATGTGCCGGGAGTTCGCCTGGAATGGGCAGTCAGCAATTGAGATACGGGCGAGAAAAGGGTCCAAAGAATATTGTTCTACTTACTTTCATCCTGTCCACCATAGGTATTCATTTCGGATGATACCACGCCAGGCTGAACGTTGAAGACTCTCAGGTTAGGATTTTCAGCTTGGAAATAATCAAACATCTTGGTATTCGCTGTCTTGACTACAGCGTAGGACCAAAATTGTCCAGGGATGGCGTCGATGTGTGCAATTCCAGAAGTGATATTCAGCACCGTGGCATTGGGACCCAACAGTGGCAACATTTCCTTGATGGAGTTGAAAGCGGACCCCATGTTCAACTTGATGGTCTTGTTGAAGTCATCCTCATCGTAGCCAGCGACCGAGCCAGGTCCTTGAAAGGTCCCAGCATTGCTGACGAAGACATCAATACTGGCTCCGCCGAGTTGTTTGATCGCGTCAGCGAAGGCAGCATGCACAGCAGCACGGTCACTCAAATCGACACCCTCAACTATCACAGTGGTGGTCCCATTGGTGTTCGCACTTCGGATTTCTTCCGCGGCCAACTTCAATTTGTCAACTCGACGTCCGAAGATGACAATGGCCTTTGCCCCGGCCTGAGCAAACCCAATTGCGGTCGCTTTTCCAATGCCGGTACCTGCCCCGGTCACGAAGACAACTTTGCCCTCGGCTCTGAGCTCTGGGCGATTGGGGGATATTTGAGGATAAGATTTGTTGTGCCAGGTCTTAGTGAAGGACTTATATGTCCCGTTTCCTGGATGTTCCTCGATGAGAACACCCATGGTTCTGTGAGTCAAGAGAAAGTGTAAGTAAAAAGACGGTTGATTGTCTGGTAAGTGTCTGGATCTTGTCCCTGGTTGAGACCGGATTTGATTGTACAAGATGGAGAAGCTGAAGTGAGAAGAGGAAGTCTTCATCTGATGACGATCTGGACTATTTATCTACTTCATGGGGACAGTTTTCAGCCTGGCCTCACAGCTAGGCGATTGATAATAGTTCTACGATCATGAGAGCACACCAGGCCACTTCTTCCCAGCCGTTCGTGATAGCTATTGATTGTCGACGCAATAATTCATGAGGTATGACATGATGGGCTCCGCGGAAGGATGGTGCTGATGTCTACTGAGCTTCCGTGGAACCTCCTTCAGTGCAGGTGAAATTACAAAGCATTGTCTGAGACCATGTAAAGCATTGTTTCCGCTTACAAGAAGCAACGCGAATCAATTCACGACTAGGAGCAGTTGCTGCAGCAGCATCGACCATTAATCAAAGCTATATTGTTTGATGCGGCCAATAACTTTGGATATTATATGGCTGATATCACTGCCCTCACTTCTATCATGGGAAGCTCTTATGTATGCTACCCTTGTTCCTCTGCTTGCCATAGGGTCTCCGGAAAGTGAAAACAAAAATCATGGTTATCTGCCATTACGACAGCTTGGTCATGCATTTGCTGAGCTTGCTGCAATAACTCGGCACACGTACCATGAAACCATTGCAACGCCTCACTCCTGGTCTCCTCTACGACCTTGTCAAGCACTTGAAGCCCAGCGTCTACAAGATGTTTGTCCCAAAAGAGCTTGTCATGGTGCAGTTTGTGCATGTTGTTGGCCGTCAACAACATCATGGCTGTCATGTACGAACATCCCATGATCCTACATTGTTTTGTAAGTTTAAGGTACCACCATAGCGCAACTACCATCTAGAAGCGGCGAGTACAGGCCCGAGGACAATGGGGATAACCAGCTGTCAGTGGAGCAAGCAAGAGTACTTACCAGAAGTTCCAACGGTCGATGGACCCGAGGTGTCCAAACAAAACCAGCAAATCGCGTGCCTCATCTACCAGAGTTGCCCAATGAGGCGGCAGTTCTAGGATATCTCCTTCTCTTCCATACCTTCGCAGACTGGTCACCCATGGGGCATGCCAGGCATGCACCTGGAGAATGGCAGTCTTACACAAAAGACTGGTGGCATCCAGTATATAAATATACCAGAGCTTATCAGAAGCTACTCTTCTAGGACACTCAACGCCGGTGAACTCGGGTGGAATGGAGGCTTTCCACTGCTCAAGAGCGCGAGACAGACTCTCCAATGCGTTTAATCGATCTTCAGGACTGCGTTTTTGAGAGCGCACTGAATGTAGGTAGTCGTATACCCCACCTTCAAGAGCGGCCAGCTGAATGCGAGTGACGAAGTAATTCATCTTCACGGTTCCATCAGCCGTGGCGACGATGCCGCTACCGATACTGTCTGCATCGGTATCAGGAATACCATCAATCCGATCTTCTTCGGCTTGAGTATATGGTAAGGCGAGGTCGATATCATCGTCAAGCTGAATCGACGGCTGTTTGCAGCGGAAGCTGAGATCTTTGTCCAGGATGTACGCCATCCAGAAGACATTCGCATGCTGGCTCGCCAGGGCGGGACTCAGATGTGCCGATGCTGCTCGACCGTTCATGCCGAGTCTATGTACGAGACGCATGGTCGTGGCAATCAAGATCAAGGCAGGTTGTAAGTCTTGCGATCCTTGAAATAGTATAACCATGCCCACCAAGACCTGAACATTGAGCAGCCTAACATCACGCAGAATCACTTCTGACAATACAGACTGGGCTCGGTTGAGATATTCGATGGAGTACCTGGATAGTGGACTGCCAACAAGGCCATGGCGGTACGTGAGGCCGAGCACGACATTTATGGCCGCCCATGCCACTGGACTTCGTTGTTGAGGGGTAAGTTTGCAAGTGTCGTGAACCAGACGGAGAAGAGTTTCGGGGTGGAACAGTGGGAGCACAGTGTTGAACTTTTGTAGAAATGTATTGACGAGAGATAGGACCTGTCTCAGGGGAGGCAGTTCCATGGACGTATGGGGGCTGTCCTTGTGATCGGTACTCCCAACTTGATCTGGGGCCGTTATTGGCAAGGTGAAGGAGGAGATCGGACCGGGTTCTTGGAGCCGGACTGAGAGCCCATTCTGCTTTCCAGCACCGACACCAGCTCCTGCTGAGCCTTTTGTGAACTTCTCGAGCAATGCTTCCAGGTGCTGGACACGGATGTGTATGTTGTCCGTGCTGTCCTCCGTTCTGGCCGATTCTTTGCGCTTCCTGGGTCTCGCTTTGCGGCTGGGGGCTTCATAGGTGCACTCGCTCAGGTATGTGACGCATTGTGAACAGCGAGGCTTCTGTCCATCACATTTGATCTTGCGCACATAACAGAAGTCGCACGCCTGTTGACATCATATGGTCAGTGGCTGAGAAGGCGCCAATAACACGGATTGACCATGAGATAGAATTGCAATCACCAGGGATTCAAACCTTTCTACTGATTTTCGATACTTCCATCGCAGATTCACAGCTTCCGCGGAGGCAGAGGAAGCGACAGTAAGAAAGGAGACAGTAGCATCGGATGTCGGGATGCAAGCAGCAATACCTGTTCACCGATGTGCCAGTCCTTCTCGACGTCCTACATAAGGATCGCGATAGTGCTTCCGCGGAAGCACGTCCGAATCGGTCCGCTGACAAACTTGGAATGATCAAGCCGACTGGTTAGTATGGAGAGCCCGAACTTGATTGGTCGCATATCAGTCTCCGGACTGTCAAGCTCGTTCAGCGACTTACAGGCAGGGTAGGAGATTTCCAGATATTCAACACTAGATGATACGGTACGGACAGAGTGTTCGACTGTCTAATGGCTTTTAGTCGAGATGTTTGGGGCCATGGTCAAGTATGAGCTGGTCCCGAGAAGTTGTGACGGTGGTGGCGTCCAGAAGGACTTAGGTGAAGGGTTGTAAACGCAGCTTGCTCTCAGGAGCAAGAACATCGCGGACAACATATGTTCCTTGCTTTATTAAACTCGGTCGTAGTTATTTGCAAAGGCAAGACCAGCCAACTCGTCGAAGGGTTCTCATATCCTTTTAGATAGGCTATTACAGAAGCTATGACGATCGCTGGATCGTGCACAGTGGCTCTCGGTGCGGTATGAGATGGACGAGGTCCATCGTTTGGTTGAGGTCCACCGTCTCGTCGAGAAGATCAAGAGCAACATCAAGATCCAGAAGCTGATCGCCCAAGCCTCGTGAGGAAAAGGGAAACAAAATCCTTGGTACTTAAAGAGAGGATCTCGCTGACTAACTTGCCGGCTTGATCCCCATTCACCCACCATTCATCCTTTGCAGCGGACGATCCCAATGTGGAAAGAGGGGTCAGGACTCTCTCATGGCCCAGACATTAGCAGTCTACTTACTGTCCACTAGTCAATTTGATCGACTATCTGTACTTGGTTATTGATAGGAAGCCGGCAGAGGAGCCCGCGATACCAATCGATGAGCAGCAGTACGTGCAGCCTGAGCTCATTTTTTAACGCTTCATGAGACTATTGTTATCTGAGCTACGAAGGCACCTTAGGGACGTGCGAGTACAACTAAGGTTTACGGTTCCTGACCTAGTATATATACAGGACCCATCACCATGCGTACTTCAAAAGCCAATGATCGCTCCCGGGAGTCAGTTTTCTCGGTCAGTTACTTAATTACCTCAAACTCAACTTGAAACCCATCACTGAGGCCACCAGCTCTCGATGGCAACAAACAAGTACCTTTTTGTGAACCGCTCTTCGCTACCGGAGGCTGGCAAGGCACGCGATTCTGCACGATCTTCAGCAAGATCCCATGCTGCAAAAGTCACTCATGATCGACTGGGAATCCAACGGAAAAGCAAACTTCGACAGGCACACTTTCCAAACCTAGAAGGCCCTCGTCCTGTACTCCAGATCTCTAGAAACTCTTCAGAAGGTCTGTAAGCACGGAGTCCTCAATGGTCATGGGTCCGGGGTAGTGCGCACTCAGACAAAGCACCACCTAGCCTATGCCATCTCTTGACAAGTACCTGCGGGTTTACGTATACTGTACACGAAATATGACTGATTGCCCCACATAACAGCTTCTGCTCAACAGCCCAAACCCAAGTCGAAGCCGGAGATATTGAGATTCCGACTTCAGATTCCGAAGAAACCCCCGGAAGAAAGACAACTAGAGAACGATTATGAAGCCTCAGTGCAGGTCAAGACCACAGCGGTACGGCCAAAACTAGTGCCATCATTGAGCACCAGCAGTTTAGACCCCTTCATGCGAACAGCAATCGAGCTTTCTGTACCTGACAAGCACTTGCTGCATTTCTGTGAGCCCGACTGACGTTCTCGCCGTCCGGAAAAGTTTGAATCTAATGGGCATTAGACTTGACAAAGGCTCCTCATGAGATCTTTGGGTCGGTGTCCGGTCCACTGGTGCCTAAGGTTATGGAAGCAACTCTCCGGAAAAGTGAGGTTCAGCTTCTCTGGACGCTGATCGCAGTGGAGAGCCATGAGGTGAGCTTTCAGCCAACAGCCTCAGCCAGGAGTCTTTCAATTCTAAGGCACCGAGCCCGTGCCTACGACAAGATGCAAGCTAGGGTATTTGAAGGCAGTGCACACTTAGACGACTTTCTCGTCACATTAGGAGTGGTCGCTAGCATTGAAAAGCGTATAGGCAACATCCGGCACTCGGAGTACCACACACAAGCGCTCAAGAGATTAATTGACTCTCGAGGAGGACTTAAAGCAATACGTCAAATGAATCCGGTACTCGCGCTAATGGTGGTTAATATCCTTATCGAGATCGGAATTCCTGGGCTCTATGAATACCAGGGTTTAGTAGCTAACTTACAGACCCTACACCAGAGGATACTACGGCTCCAAAACTGGAACTATAATATACGAAATACCGAGAGGAGAGTTTCAGCAGCGCATACTAAAGGCGGGTCGACATTTAACTCAATTTCCTGGTGGCATGCATTTAACGAGCCCGCCTTGTCTAAGTATATCGAGATACCTCCTAGCAAACTTACGGACGCTGAATATCGTTTCTATCTCGCAATGTTATTTTTCATCTATACTACATTCTGGGCGTTCCGCAAGACTGAGGCGGCAAGTAAAGCTTACACCGAGCATCTCTCGCGCTCAGCGACAGCCAGCAAATCAACCAATTTCATACTGCAATGCTTTTCGGTGAAGCTTCCGTCGATATTATTGCTCATTCTACTCGCACAGCATATTGCGAGCTCAGTAGAACGCGATTCGTAAACTATAAGCGCCGTATTTTCAGTGGACGAGCTGTTGGATTTTGTCGAGTTGATGATGATGGCGAAGCCCGCGTCAAGGGATATGGTGCTGAGGACTCTATGGTCATGGCTCTCAGCCTCTAACACAGAGGAAGTCCTCCTCTTGAGTGCCTCGCAACTGGATAAACTGGCTGACGAAATCGAATTTCAATGGTTGGATAATGAAATACTGTATAGTCCACTCTGCGACTCAAGTCTAGCACCACTTGTGCTAGATTAGAACAAGCTATGAAGCGAATTCAGTAAGTTGAACCAGTTTTTGAGGCACTGCCGAACTTCTCCGATTCTCTAAGTCATCTTTAATTTACTAAAGCACTAGAGGTACTTAATAGTGGTGTTTCTGGTTTCAGCTGTTAGCTTGAGAACTATAGGATAGAATGAGACCACTACTAGGATAGGGGTGAGTGGGAGGAAAGTAGAAACGTGAGTTGAAGTGAGGAGGGTGAGTTGAGAAGAAGCAGTTTTTAAAGCGGCACACCTGTGGTGAGCGCCCACGTAAGCAGCTTTAATGTGAGCCGCCAAGACCTCCACCTTAGCTTCAAGTTTAAGTCGTGGCTGGGTTGGAGACATCTTCAGAAGTCGGGCGACTCATCTCTTCAATCTAACATTTCCTCCCAGTCAGCAAAATTGAATATATCTGATTCATCATGTCTTCAAAGAAAGACATGCGACGGGCGGATCTCGGTATGCTTTTGACGTTGACCTTCTGCTGGCTATTGCTGATTAGGCATTTCCGCCAGTGATCCCCTACGTGCAGCCAAAGGACGACAAACCAGCCGACTTTGGCTCAACAATCACAAGCACTATGCCTATGGCAGCTGTATGAAGAGACTCATCTTTCCAGTGTTTTTGGTACTCTGGGCTGACATTAGTACGACCATAGATGTTTACCAGAAACCGGTAAGCTCTCCATCCTGGGAGTCGTCGATAGTCTTGTTGATACTGACAATGATCCGCAGAATGCTTGGATGGTAAGAACAGAGCTTACATCTACATTTGGGCCTCGAAAGGGTATTGACTAGGTGATGCAGGTTTGCACTTCTATCGTCTCTCCTGAGCTGGATGGGTGAAACTCCCACTCAAAAGGCCAATGCGACTACACCTGGTTATCTCTCATTTGGCATGTCAGGTAAACACGAACAGCCCGTCCTTTCAATGTGGACAACAGATTGCTAACGATCTGAACAGTCATGGCAGTTGGTGTGGTATGTATATTGTATCTACTTGGACGACGCCATACTTATGTGTATCTAGACATATATGCCACTCTTCCTACCACCGCCGCAAGTTAGGGGGCCCACTGGAACAGGAGTACCTGCTGCAGTGCCTCCACAAGCTGGATAGGAACGGCAGTAAAATGCATTTTTGTGTGTAACACTATTCGTGCAAGCGATCTCGTTAAAGCCGTTGCCAGCTTCAGTGTGGTTTGTTTTGAGTTATGAGGTGCAAGTGAGTGAGGGAATTTCTATCACATGTGCAGCCAAAAGTCCTTAGGTACCTCCGTTTCTCCAGATTTGAAGTGCCGAGTTGAAAGCCAGCAGCTTCTAGAACGAGAACAAAGCAAGTTTTGAAACCACTACGGATTGTTTGAGTCATGTAGACATGTCACTTAGGGTCTCGTAACCGCCATCTTGCAGTAATGTATCTTTGAAGGTGAAGGCCGTTTGATCGTATGTCAGTGGTGGCTGAACTTGAGCCTTTGAAGGAGTCGTGCCTGTGCCTGTCACGAGTCTTGGCGGCGTTATTCATTGGAACTGCCCTGGACTGCGCCTGTGGTTCATCTCGCCTCCCCGCCTTAAAGCCCTTTCTTCCCAGTCATTCTTCCAAACCATCCTTCATAACCAACACTCTCCACTCTACAGTTTACGCTCTTGCGCCTTTCAAGTTCCCAATTTCAGGAAATCCCCCTTCCAAACTAAATCACCCTTGAATTCATCCAGTTCTCCGGAAACAGACGAGTTTATGTCAACTATCCAAAACCTCAAAACCTTTGGTAAGCGACCCCTCTCTTTCAGCCCTCCCTCTCGCCACGCCAGCAGCCTCAACACGCCCGTTCTCCCACCACATCCTCTATAGAGAATCGCCAAAGGCCATGCGCTGTCTTCTCTCTCTCAAATCAACAATCTCCTGCTCTTACACCGACACATTTCTGGCTCTCTGTTGATCCGGCGTCTAACCTCTCATCTAGACCCCTTCGCGGAGGTTGACGACGATACTGGGGATACGAAACAATCCCAGAATTACATCCATATTCGTATTCAACGTAAGTCGACCCGCCTCATTCCCTTTTCTTTGACACGAAAATTGACCAACATGCTTCAGAACGCAATGGTCGTAAGACTTTGACAACCGTCCAAGGCCTCCCCACCAAGTTCGATCAAAAGAAAATCCTGAAGGTGATTAAGAAAAAGTTCGGTATGTGGACACTTCCTTCTATGTTCAGCTGAGAGTGGGTTACTAAGAGAGGAAAAGCTTGCAATGGCACTATCGTCGCAGATAGCGAAATGGGCGAGGTGATCCAGCTTCAAGGTGATCAGCGCAAAGATGTTCAAGAGTTCTTGGTAGCCAAAGATGGCCTCGAGCTCGATGCAAAGACTATCAAGGTGAGCGAACCATTCGCGTCGGTCTCTTCTGGCGGAAATACTAACTCAGTTCTCAGGTCCATGGTTTCTAGACGCTTCGCCCTATATCCCATGCTATCCTGCCCCGTGTTTGAGGACAGATAGAAGTTGTCATTCATCGGCCGAGGACAATTCTCCTTGAACAATTTCTTTTCGCCCCTGACCCTCATGGCCGTGGCTTGGGCAAAACCATGATAGCATTTTCGGGATGCGATAGGACGGACGCGTTTATGATACCCATGATAGAATCCACTTTCGGATGAGGGGAGGAGCTGGCGTGCTCTTTGATCTCAGCAGTTCAGTTCGATAACAATGGAGGAATGGGTGATGCTAGCAGTACTCATTGGTACTACACAGACAAGAGCGGACTTGTCTCTCATTCATGGTTTCAGTTCCGCCCCATAAGTTCAGAATGAGTATTCAAATACTGGCTCTGCATATCCCTCGTGCCGTTCTCCGCTGTCCTTTGATAATCACATGCTACACTTCGCTGTTTGCAGGTTCCACGAGCGTACGCATGAAGCAATCCTCAAGTTCAATTACTTCCGACTACCAGTAGCCCTTGCTGACGTAGATAAGCAGTCGCTTGCCATTCTGAACCACTGACTACCCTCGACGATTCCAGTGCCAAGACTTGAGAAACTCACAACTGAACTGTAACCGCCATGCTGATCTGGAGTTTCAACCTGACCCTGCTTCCAACTTTCCAAGAAATTGCTCTCGTGCTCAAACCAAACCTTGCATCGTCATCGTCAAATATTTAAATTTTGCTTCAACGACCAAAAAACGAGCTATACTGGTCTGCATAAAGCGGTTGTGCTCGTCAAAACTCACATTTCAAGTGGCGATGCAGCCGCCATAGCTGCAACACATTCCTGCGCTGGCGAACTCGGACCCTGTTCCGTCATACAGCTCAGCTCTACAGAATGTCCAGGCAGAATTGCGTATGTTGGAGGGGCGGCCAGATCGCGACACAGTGGTGGACTTGAGCACCGTCAGCGTTACTCGAAGCGCGAGATATCCACGCGTCGCCGTCATCCTTGGGGTTCCCAGGAAGTGGCATCTGCCCTTACTGCTATGTCGTTCGTTGTCCACGGTATCTGCATTATGGTGGGCCTGTCAGGCTCTCGTCAGTATCGCCAATATCATACGCCACCAGAAACAGGCGGTGGGCGATCATGTTTCTCGTCCCGCCGAACATGAAATTACAGGGCATTGGATGTTCCGGCGCCTTGCCATTGCTCAGATAGCCTTGAGCTTTTTATGGGTAAGTACATTTCTACAGTCTTGACAGATGAAAAGTCTGCATACTCCACTGAACCTCTGCGGGTTGTCTCACTTTCGTTGGCAATCTATCTCGAATTTGTACAATTACTGACCGAACTTCTTGCCAGGCTGGTGCGGCTGCTTACCTTGCCCATTTATTTGCTTCATCCCTCATGTCACGCTGGCTGCTGCACTACTCCCCCCTTGCCGTTCTGGTCCGTCTCTGCAGTCTCTCAATCCTCTTATCCTTTGGAAGCATGCAGATCTTTCGTTTCACAGCTGCTACGGAGCCAGACCTTCTCAGATTGAGCCGGAGTTTGTTGGCGTGGATCACTATCTCTATCGCATTGATGCTCGCTTATTTTGTTACTCAACAGGATATCTCTGTCGAGCAGGATAAGGACGATCAACGCCGAAGGCAGATTCTTCGTCTCAAATGTTTGTATATCATCTCGGCTTGCAGCCTTTTCAGCTTGTTCGTATTGGTCTGCCTCGTTCACTGGGATGCTGTCCATTGGCAGTCGTTCGCTGTTCGAGAGTGGCTCGAATTGGCATCATCCTACTGGCAGCGCGTTTTTGGTGGATACAGAGCCGAACTATGACCTCGTCTTCTTTTTGTTGGAATCAATACAGTAGGAAATGAAATTGCCCAGTGTCTTTGCGGCCATGCCATCCCTTGCCAGTTCTACAATTTAAAGTCAGTTCGTGTGTTTCCAGAACCCCGGCTGTCATTCATCGACTTGTGAGTAGATCAAGCAAGTTCACTAAGTCCTCCATTATTGGTTAGCATACGCCGGTAGTGTTATCCGATAGCCTCAGGCATGTGCATTGTTGTGCGAAATTACGCGTAGAAACACGTGACTGGATCTTGGCGTCGCAGGATGAGATCCCAATCTGGCCACCCTCTCCTTTCAGTGCCCGGCCAGAAATGCGCCCTCGTGTCTAGGCTGAACCATTGACTTCTCGTAGTTGATTTCTAACCTTCGTTATTATTCTAACGTCGCTAATCATTCAAGATGTCGTGGCGCAATCAGGGCATCACCGGCTCAAACAACATCCCTCTTGGAGCACGCCGTCGCTTCGGGGACGGCAATGGTGACTCGCAAAATGGTAGCTCAGTCGAGTCCCCATCCTATGGAGATTCTGGCAAGCGTGGGCGAAGTCCAACCAGAGGTACATGCCCCAACACTGTATTGGTAATCTGCTCTAACACATCATCCTCAGCTGAACCTGCGGTCGACGGCGTGAAGAGGCGCAAGAAGCGCAACCGATGGGGTGAAGCTGATGAAAACAAGGCTGCAGGTCTCATGGGTCTCCCAACCATGATTCAGGCAAACATGACAGCAGAACAGCTTGAAGCGTACACTCTGCATCTTCGTATCGAAGAGATTAGCCAGAAGCTGCGCATCAATGATGTCGTCCCAGCGGAAGGAGACAGGTCAGTCCTATCCCTATCCTCCATCAGAAATCCCAGTTCTAATTGTCATTCAGATCGCCTTCACCACCTCCCCAATACGACAACTTCGGTCGTCGTGTGAACACTCGAGAATTTCGTTACCGAAAGCGATTGGAAGATGAGCGTCACAAGCTTATTGAAAAGGCCATGAAGACCATCCCGAACTATCATCCTCCATCTGACTACAGGCGGCCGACAAAGACACAAGAGAAAGTCTATGTCCCAGTCAACGATTACCCCGAGATTAACTTTAGTATGCTAACTGACCCTCTGACTCTATTACAAACCCTCGTTATTTCATTTCCCTTCCATATGCTATCGCCTGCTCCAAGAGGCTGCGACGGTAGTATAGCATGCTGCACTAACCAGAATTTTCCCCTGCAAACATCTGTATTTTGAGTACCTAATACTAACACCTAGCTTTCTCTCTGTCAAGTTGGACTACTTATTGGACCTCGTGGTAATACGCTCAAGAAAATGGAAACCGAGTCAGGAGCCAAAATTGCCATTCGAGGCAAAGGCTCCGTGAAGGAGGGAAAAGGACGATCAGATGCAGCTCACACTAGCAATCAAGAGGAAGATTTACACTGTCTCATCATGGCCGATACTGAAGACAAGGTCAACAAAGCCAAAGCCTTGATCCACAACGTTATCGAAACCGCCGCCTCCATACCCGAGGGCCAGAACGAGTTGAAGAGAAATCAGCTTCGAGAACTTGCAGCTCTCAACGGAACCCTCCGTGATGATGAGAATCAAGCTTGCCAGAACTGTAAGTCCATTTATTCCCCATATTGATTTCCATATTAATATTCTCAGGTGGACAAATTGGACATCGGAAATACGACTGCCCAGAGCAACGTAACTTCACTGCCAATATCATTTGTCGAGTTTGTGGCAATGCTGGACATATGGCAAGAGATTGCCCCGATCGTCAACGTGGTAGCGATGCCCGTAATAATGTTCCGGGAGGATTCAATGGACCTCAACGACGACTTGGTGGCGGTGATGCTGTTGACCGAGAGATGGAGGTACGTAATTCTTTTCAAGTGTGAAGAATCCCACAAAATCTGACATTTTCCAGAACCTCATGCAAGAACTTTCTGGCAATCCGTCCGGCAATGGTCCAGCTGGTCGCATCGAAGCTGGTCCTGGTGGATACGACCAAGGCGATTCGTATGGCGCACCGGGCGGTGGTGATACTCGACCATGGGCACGTCAACCTACTGGAGCGCCTGCACCATGGCAACGCGATCGTCAAGAACGCGGTGGCTATGAACAACGTGACAGTGGATCCTCAAATCCGCCATGGGCTTCGCAAAACCGTGGTGGTGATTCATATGGAGGAGGAGGGTATGGCGCCGCACCAGGACAAGATTCGGCAGCTCCTCCATGGCAAGCGCAGGCTCCTCCTGGTGGACAAAACTACAACTATGGTGGTTACCAAGGATACGACGCTCAAGCGGCTTATGGTGCTCCTCCACCAGCTCCTCCGGGTCTCAGCTCTTTCCTCCAGCAGTATGGAGCTCCACCTCCACCTCCCGACTCTCATGCTCCTCCTCCACCACCTGACGCTCAACCACCGCCACCTCCTGGTATGGGCGACTATATTCCACCTCCACCACCTCCTGCTTAATGGTCTCAACGGGCTCTGTTTGCTAGGTGCCTTTTCAATGGCAGTAACTTGCGTCTACTTATTTCGTCTTTTTGAAAAGCTTGATAGTCGGAAGCACACAGATGGGTAAAGAATTGGGGGCTCCTTTTTTCTCAGGCGTGTGCTTCAGAGTAACGACGATGAGTTCGGATACATAGCTCTCATTAAATCGTGCAACTGTACTTTAGCTCTTTCACTCCATTAGGAGACACTGATCCAGTTTCTCGATGTTTTCAATCCCACGAGATGTGTTCATCCCACGAGATGTGTTCATCCCACGAGATGTGTTCATCCCACGAGATGTGTTCATCCTGTCAATGTATTGCTACCTCAGGTATGTCGGTAGGCAGCAGACTGCTTCGAGTACATTCTTTAATTCCACCAATCAAATGTCACTAAATGGGCACTCGCCTTGGCATTTGGCTGCGATTGAAAGAGGCGAGCTTTCCCCTTCCATCGCCATGTTTTCCATTTCCATCTCTATCAAAACACATCTCTGAAAGGCCTCTTCATTTCCCTCACTCCTACTAAGTCTCTACCCTCACCGACTCCCAACTTTCAACTCCACACGAACAAACAAACCCCTCCCAAACCCTCGACGAAATGCCTCGATCACGCGGAGGAGCAGGACCTGCCCGATCAGCTCCGTCCAGACCAACAGCTCCGGCCGCACCCCCTCGCTCGGCCGCGCCACAGCAACAACAGCGTCCATACTCTGGCACTGCCGCTGCTCCCGCTCAGCAGCAGGCTGCCCCGGCGCAGACGGCTTCACAAGGACCTGGTCTCTTCGGCCAGATGGCCAGCACTGCGGCGTAAGTTTGTCTGATTTTCTTTACTCTCGTACCTTGCATTTTCCGTTCTAGGACACAGAAGCAGATTCAGTCTGGGGTCTCGCCCCTCGGAATCCTTCGCCTCCATATTCTTGTTATGATAGTCGACGTTCCCGACTGTCGAGGGATATCTTTTATGCACTGTGGAGCGCGAGGGAATCCTTGGGGAAACACTTCGGCCGAGGTCGAAGTTACAGGCCGAAGGGGAAAAAAAGAATACCCGGAAGACCCCTTCTCGTACTATGAGAACAACATCGTACTAACCAAATATCTTTTTGCACAGTGGTGTCGCAGTCGGCTCATCGATCGGCCATGCCATCGGCGGATTCTTCGGTGGCGGTTCGTCCTCTGCACCGGTAGAGCAGCAGCAGTCACAAGCGCCTCTTGATGCCTACTCCAATACCGGCAACGCCATGGGTGGCAACGCTCTGTACAGCCAGTCCGGCGCCAACGAGGCCTCGGGTCCCTGCGCCGCCGACATCAAGAGCTTCACCGACTGCATGAACCAGAACCAGGGTAACATGACCATTTGCGGCTGGTACATGGAGCAGTTGAAGGCTTGTCAGCAGGCGGCGAGAAACTACTAGAGCCCGTCTGCTATGTATCGCTGGTGAGGAGGGATACAGCTACCACTCGAAGTTTGTTTTGGACGATTTGCTGGATGTGATGATTTTCCTTTACCACGAGAGTTGATGACGAGAGATCGATCGATCAACACACACAAAACTTGTACATACTAGGAAATATGATCCTGCATCTGGCATTTACTTGCAGGGCGGGATGGATTGTATGATTGCTCGACTCAATCTACCGGGCGGGCCAACATTGCCCGCTTCCAACAACACAGCATAGCATGGGAATGGGGCTTGGGATGTGATTCGATTCAAGCATTGAAATATGTATGCACCAAAGCATCCACCCGAATCCAAGGGATACTTACATAGCATTGAGTTCTACAATAGACAGCGCAAAAGCATCTCGTCTCTCCACTCAAAACCACTTCTTATACTGACGTCTCTGTGTCGAAAACTGTCCTTTCAATCCATTCCATGCGCATATCTCCCTGATGTTGCATGTCTGTTTGTAACTCCATGACGAACGAATTGCTATCATCATCGTTGTCGTTGTCGTAGTTTTGTCTGACCTATCTTCAAGCATGCATAGTATGACGCTCCCACCTACGTACACCACCCCCAAGGAGCGGCTTTCCATCGCCAAAGATCCGGCAAACCTTCAGAGACCAGGGGAAAAGGGGCGGCATCTTCCCCGCTCATTGATCATCGATTGTCTTCTAACACACGTTAGATGTCCGCAAGATGAGACATGGCTGGAGTCTCGCGGTGATAGTCTAATCCTCGCATATAGTGGAGTTGTGGAAATACGCATAGCTGCCTGTTCCATGAGAGCATCGATTATAGGATCTCGTTCCCTACCCTTGTGGATCGGTTGATAGCAATGGGTAAACAAACTGCCAGCTTGTGGGAGGATGAAGAAGCGGATTGGGTATTGGTGGTAGACCTGGCATGTACGTGCTCTTCAGGTCGAGGCCTTGCTATGGAGAACGCACGCACCGACTTACGCGGCCATGCGTAGTCGGTCGCGGCTGCCCGCCCATGGACCGGTATCGGGATATAAAGGAATATCCTTCTATGCCACGGAGCTAGCACATGTTCCTGGATGGCTTGAAAGTTCTTAGCGAAAGACGGGGATTGATCTCTTCGAGGGAAGACTGTTCTCATCCTTCCCCTGTAAGACGCTCGTATGGATTTCCAGTCCTGGTGCAGGTAGAAGAACGTGTAAATGAACGAAAGCAACACCATGCTCATGGGGTCCTGAAGGATTCATTTGGTGGTGGTCAGGATCATTCGTAGGAAGTGCGTCAATTTGTAGGGGGGTTCAGGCGGGCTTCGGCCGCCTAAACGAAGTATGGCTCTCTGGGATTGGATTGGCATGCCAGTCTGGATTCGATGCGGAGATACGAATTGACGGGGAATGAGCAGGACAGCTTTCGAAGTGTATCCCCTGCTGTTGGGTTTCAGGTGTTGCCGATCTCGCATTGGTCTGTTCTGGTCGTATTTGATGACTTGCCATGGAGAGCGGCGGCATGCCCTTCAGGGCATCTTGCTCGGACTCTGGCTTCAGTCAGAAATCACATGATAGAGACCTTACCTTGAAAGACTATCGTAGTGACTGAGGCATTGGTCCGCCACCAGTGTTGAACAACTTGCAAATAAGGCCCGCTGCATCTCAGCTGGACATTACTTCCTCGGTCCAGTTATGATAGACTTTGATGTAGCCAGTAATTACCTGATCACAGCACACATTATCAATTAGGCATTCCAAATGGTGGGACCATCCTAGGACGCTTTCCAGCCATCTGGTTCACAAGCTATGCTCACCTCGAGCTGATCTTCTCTGGAGTTTAGGTCTGTTCCCCGAGAGCCAAATCAGCATAATAGCTCGTCGGATGACAAAAAGGTACGAGCGTTGCTCTGTATCCTATTCGTCAAAGCTCGGAAATGCAAAAGAACCAGAGAGGATCAAGAAGCTTGATTTATGATCTGAGTTGTTGCGTGCGCTTTTGGAAGGTCTGATAGTAATCATGGCCCCCAAAGGGTTCGACTCTGCGGGACGTTCTGTCGAGTACCTCGGCCAAACAGGAATCTGAGTGAGGGACTGAGACTTCAGACGGCCGTAAGTATCTGATCGACGCGGCTGTGTGTTTCATATGCCCGGGTCAGAAACGCAGCGCTCGGGAGTAAGGCCGGGTAGTTGTCAGCCCTACGATCAATCCGAGATGGGCAGAGAAAGTCTCCTCAAATGTAATCACCGCGCCTCTTCGGGAAAATCAACGAGGTACTCGATGAATTGAGACAGTAAGCCCTATTCAAAGATTGGTACCGTGCAGTCGGTGTCATCTTCTGATCGTTAGAGCAGCATGAGGGGGAGATAGCCGCTCGGAACAGAAACAGGAAGTTGATATGCTTACCAGCGTTTTCGGAATGTCACAGAGGATCCTCTGAACGAGCTCGAGCACGGCGAAGCCTAACACTCGAGGAGGGATCGTGTTAAACGAGGTCCACAGTAAGACAAGAATTTTTCTAAAGTCAGAAGCTACCTCGTGGCAACCTCGGGTTAATTGTGGTTGCTGACACAAATGCTGACATAGTATAAACTCCGGGGCACTTCCAGAGAAATCATTGGCAGAGTACGTCTGACCATTAAACTGTCCCACCATTGCGGCTCTGTGGACTTAAGTGGGGTTGACAAAAGAGCCTTCTTGTGTGAGATTCGCGATACGAGATCGTGTATGGCCAGCAAGCTGCAAAGTGAGAACCGAGAGTTACAAAGTTCTTCGTCTCTGGCGCCTCAGGATCCACGAAGCCAACAAGATGTTGAAGAGATGGTGGTAAGCATTCCACACATGGTTGATACTCACCTTATCAAATGAAAGTCGTAGTAGTATACAGTCACATAAGCATAATGAGAACAGTCTCCACCATGATAGTAGTTCGGCTGACCCCGACAGAGTGGTATCTTAAGAAAATGGACTTGTGAACGAAAGGTGTGGATTTTCACAGTGCCGCATATCCATGGAACGAAGCCTCGTGAAGACCGTGGCTACAAACGCGGAATATTCACGCTCGTGGAATGAGTCAGATAGTGGTCAATGTTGCTTTTGAGGTGAGGGAGCAAAAGCCATGTTGGGAAACTCGTAGAGCACCCTGGAAAGTATCACATTATACATGTCGATACATAGCCCGATGCTTTGGGTTGAATGACTCATTCATCAGTCAGAAATGGTTCCCGAGGCATTGCTCATGCAGGTTTGTTGCCCTAAGGACAAAGGGCGTGTGGACTGGAGAATTAATCTGTTAGACGAATACGCAGGAGATTTGTGGACGAATGGTAACGAAGCAAGAAGATGATGCCTGGGAACTAAGAATAAGCACAGCCTCAAGAACCACAAAATGATTGGTAAAGGCATTGTGGATAGACAGAAGTACATGTTCAAAAGAACGCTTAACCGCATCAGGTAATGATAACGAACTCGTCTTCCTTTCCCGTTGGGTTTCTCTGTCTCCACTCTTTAGGCTCCTTCCTTCTCGAAGGTTGCCAGATAAGGAAGGGACATGCAACCCGCGTATCATGCCGTCTTGGCTGTGCGGCAGGCTGTTTTAGCAGCGTCGCAACCAGTCCAAGCCACGCTTCAGATCAGACGAGCACAATTCTTGCTCGTTCGGGGGTTTGCTGGGACAACACGTCGCGTTTCGCGAGTCGCAAGCCACATTGCCCAGTCATTCGTATTCCTCGTTGGCATCCCGTATTCGTCACTGCTCGTGGCATTTCAGGCTACGGAGTTGCACACATTCTGATTTGCTGCCGGGTTTTCGATGCCTATTTTGTGGCTGTAGACACGAATGTGTCCGGGTCGAGGAGCTACTCGTAAAGTCACACACAAAATTAAAACAGCAACATCAATTCCGGTGGCACGTGGAAACACGACATCCTCAGCGACGGCACCCGAATCACACCTCTGAAGATACCTTCAAGCCAGGTGATCACGGAGATCACGAAGAGAATTCGGGAAATATGTATAGGTGTTACCTTCAAGTACGAATACGGGGAGATTATATGCTCGGAGTCGTGTTGTGCGCCGCGTACGACCAATTTGAGAAGTCACCAACGGGCAAGTCACGAGGCTGTTCTAAATTAAGGGCAGACATAAAATTATGCCGATCAAGACATAATTTCTTGGTGGCCGAGGATTGAGCACGTGCGAGCCGTTCTGGTCAGATTTCCTAAAAGCCGGTTCAAACATGGAATTGTGCATAAAGCCCGGATCAAACGATTGGTCGGCGATTACAGTTCTGTGCACGCATCATTGTGCATGGAGCTCATCTTTGGTGGAAGAACTGGAGCCCGAGTTCCTGCGGATACGGAGAGAAACTGAAATCTTTCCGAGCACCGTACCTCGTACGTCCGTGTCCATCTGGCAACGCCTGACATCTGATGATTCCGAATGATGATTTGTTGCACCCCACCTACTGTCCAATCAGGCTGTTGGTTTTCCCTGACGCCTGGCTCTAACCCAGGCAATTTGCTGTGGAAAGGTCACAAGCTTCAGGCAGCGAGCAACTTCGTTGGCAGGACGAAGCATAACCCCAGAACTCGGCTTCGTGTCTCAGGATGCAATCCGAATGCCCGTGCTCTGCCACATTGCAATGGTCTGATGGCTTGGGACCATCTAAGAACGTTTGCGAGACGGACATTACACCCTGCATATTCAAAGATGCACCGCCCAGAGCTTGCGAGGCAGACCATCACCTTGGAAAGTCATGACGAGACTATTGCGAAACGTCGCTTGACTTGAAGCAGTGTTGATGTTGCGACCCTTGCTGCAGCAACAAAGTCTTGGTCTTGAATTTCTACCTAAAGCCAATAAATATTAGTATCCAAGGTTTGAGGATAGCCTACTAGGAGCCGGAGGGGGGATTCTAGGGGTAAACACGCCTAAAGGTCGGATCACCAAAAGTCTCCGGGTGCCAAGTGTCACATCACTTAGGGATCATATTGGGGGCCCTAGGCTTGCAGTCTCCGTAAAAGGGATGTTCAGGTATGCCTAAGACCGTGGAGTCAATATGCTTGGGCCTCAGGCATTATGGAAGCTTTCCCCGCCATGATATTGGGAATGCTTTACCAGCTTCCACAGGCTTCTTTTGTGGTGATCTTTCTCCATAGGCGTGCTGAGTAAAGACCCCTCGAATGCCTATGGCGGATCTTCGTGATCCCCGACACTCTCAAGGGGTAGGTCTACAAATCCACGGCCTGGTCTTGCTGACTGCCATACTGCAAAACAATTACGCGTTAAGGAAGGCGGCCGTTTAGAAAGTCATGCTTCTTTGAAAGATAAGATTTGGATTATGGCAGCAAGTTGCCTGGGCTTTGATGACGGGGAGGCTTTGCGAATCGCGACCAGAAGCCAACGTTACGACGCTCGTTATGACTGGGGCTTACCAATTTGGTTGCAAAAGTCAAAGAGTCACATTGGCTGGAGAGGAAACGATTGGCCAGTAGTTCTGGTTTCCCTACGCTTCCAAGATTCTTATTTGACATTTCTCAGCAAGACGGGAGCCAGTCAACTCTAGATGCGTGTTACTGACAAACACCAACAATAAGCCAGAGAGCCCGCAGAGATAGTGCAATCTCCTAACAGGGCTGTAGATGACCTGGTACACAAATAATAATAATGGAGCCAAGAGCTAGTTGTAACGGCGTTGAATTAATCACACAATAGGAAAGTCCTCAAAGGATCTTCAGAAAGAGTGTAGAGAGTGAGAGGTCAATCGAAGAGTCATCAAAAGTCAAAGGTCACGTTCAATGTAGCGGAAATGGCATGGAGATACGAAGGGCTGAACTGGAGATAATCAAAATCAGCAGAGTTGCTAATCCAGGAAATAAGACGAGACCGATGGTCGAAAATTGAGCCGTGGACCATGGACCATGGACCGTGGAAACTCGGACTCGAGGCGGTTGCCATATTCGGACCTTGCTGCGATGGGCAGCCGAAGACAACAAAGCAGCGAGTGACTGCTGATGGCTGATGATGGCTCAAAGCGCGAGTACGAGCACGGGCGAGCAGGTTAGCAACGCGAGATGAATGCGAGAGCGAGGCGGGGCAGGGGGTGAGCAAAGTTGGTCAGGCAGCCAAATTTGCAGGTTACGGTGAAGGGACAAACGACGGCCGAGCCAGGAGCATAACGTGAGGAAAGTCCCCTCTCGGGTCCGTACTGCCCCCATGTGCCAGAATGCGAGTGACGATGACACGGGCACCCCAATGCACAAAAGATGGAAGGCTGATGAGAAATCGGACGGAGGAATGGGTTGCACCCTTTAGCTCCAGGGTATCCACACCCACAGCCCTGGCTTGCGAAAGTGCAGGGGCCAGGGTGTGGACAGGGGTCCGCTCTTCTCGGGCTTTACGCACTCCCTTCGCTTCTTACTCAGGCACACTCAATAACACATCCTGAACTAAACGTTAATGCCAGTATCTTACCTCCAGCCTGTTCGCTTTACAAAAGAACTGCTACACCCTCCACTTCAGCCCAGTCTCTTTTCCCTCCATTATCAAAGCATTCCACAACACAACAACATCCAGTCCACAACATTCCATGAACGTTCGATACACTCTACAACAACAAACTTACTTGACTGAAGCCCCGTCGCCGAGAAACAGCCACACCCGCTTATCGATTACCCACCAGTGACTCAGAAATCATCTCGACCAACAAAAAAGTCGACATGCCTTCCACCATCAGCTTTTCCGCTCCTGCAGCGACCAAATCACATTCCATCTACACTCGACCAGCAAAGAAGCAAAAGATGAGCATCACTCAAACTTACTTTCTGGCTCACAGTGCTCGAGGCAAGCTCTCCAAGGAGGCTTCCCGACCTGATCATGACCTACGACTATTGGTCGGACACGCCAACATGCTAGACTCTCTCATGCTCGATCTCGCCAACGCAGAGCAAGAACAAGAGAGATGGTTCAACAACATCGTCTCCGGATCTCAAGACGAAGAGGAGGAGAGACATCGACATGTCGAGACCATTGTCGAGGAGCCCGAGGCCGACTGGGAGGCCGAGGATGCACACAGTTCAGAGGAGGACTCTGATGACGACTTTGAGGAGAAGCCCATCCACAACATCTCCACCATCGAAGTCGACTCAGATATGGAAGACGATGAAGACTCGGAAGATGACGAGCTCGCTCTCACCCGAACAGCTTCTCGACATTCTCCTCCCGAGCTGAGTCTCGACACCGATTCCGACTCAGAAGATGACCACATGCCACCTTCACCACCAACCATCACGTTAGAGGTTCTCAGTGATAAGCAAAGACAAGCCATTGCCACTACCTCTTACTACGACGCCAAGGACACTACCTCACTATCTCCCGCAGAGTCGGAAGCCTTCACTCAAGAGGGCTTCTTCTTACCATCAAGGCAACAGCCAACCATAATCGCTGCCTACTGAGCAGGCTGATTGACCGCCCTTGATACGACTTTTAGCGATTGATACCACAGCGTTCTAGCAAACATTATCCAGCATGTTTTTCACGTTTATTTACGAGCATTGGAGTGGGAAATTTGGATTCAGCAATATCCATCATGTGCCATTACATCAATGACAGTTCAGAGATTGAAACAAGGGTTGACAGCTTGAAAGAAGAAGGTGATCGATTCATTGTGGACCTAGTAGTCGTGGTTGAAATACCAGCCTAGGAAAACAGTGGCATCAATCAATCTTTGGATTGACAGCATCCACCCATCACTTCACTCAAAAGACTCTCCTCTATGTACAAACCAGATAGTTCTCCCTCACAATAGTCTGAGGTTGAGACCACCATCAAAAATGATAATAACTCATATCAAACTCAAAGAAATTCCGTTCCTGTGATTTTTCTCAGTGTTTCCTCTACAAACCGTTATCGCCGACGACATCAATAATTTTTTCCCCACAGTGAACTTTGATCTTGAGTCACCGCTGATCTTCTGATCAGGCCCACCCGTGACAGCCGGAGCCCGGAAACATTTCTCTGCCCTACTACGAAGTACGAAAGTGCGCAAAAAGAAACCCACCGACCAATCCGATCGGGTCTTCGGGCTCGCGAGATTTCTACGGCCGAAGAACGAACACTGGCACTGGCATGTCTTTGATCCGTCCCTCCGCTTCCTGTCCGCTTATGTCTTTAGCTCCACTATTGCCTTCCAATGCTGTATTATTATTGCCCGGCCAGCACCTTAAATCCGCAAGGACCAGGTGTTCAGTCTATTGCAAAGTGCACAGGACCAATTTTGGTGGTCCGTTGGTCATCCGTGTGCAAGAACGGTCGACTTGGAAATAAATGCTCCAAAGGCAAAAAACATTGGAAATCCATTATGATTATTGCTAAGTCTGGCTCCCGAGTTTGGAAGTAATCATTCCTCGTCGTACGGGTCCTTCTTTGAGCCCCGGTTCCTGTCTGAGGAACATCGTCTGTCCCTCGGTAACCTTTTTCGTGATCCTTCATTTTCGTCCTTCTCGTCCTTTTCATTACCGCGGTTCCCACTCCCGCAGGTCACGAGGGCCATTCGTTGCCTCTTCATTCTTATTTACTCAAGATGATCCCGGTCTTTGGCGAGCGTGGATTGGAAACAAAACAGCTCTTTCTCGCCTCTCCGCTAAGGAGTATAGAAGAACTCTGCATAGATGTTCATAATTCATGAATCCTGTAATGTGCGTGCATGCCCCGGTGCCCAAGAAATGTCATGCGCACGCCCCCGCGCCTATTTATTGATTTTTCGGGCAAGGATTTTAATCATGGCTTATTATTACCTTGCCGGGGCTCGTTCGCGCACTGTACGAGTACCTACGTGCGAGCTGAGGGAGGAACTATCTATCCGACATCTGTGCTAAGACTCGTGCCTGCCTGCGACTTGTCAAGAAGTCGTTCGCCTTATCTTACTCGCTTAGATTTCACCGGTCCCCACGCACGCCGCAAATCCCTACCTATCGACAAAGGTTCCAGGCGCTGCTTTGGTAAGCTGATCAGTGATACCAATAACTAGAAGCCTAGAGGCTAGTAGCCTAGGGGACGTGGATTTCCAATTGGTACTCCACACGTAGATATTCTCTGAGATTCTATCAAGTAGGGGATGAAGCATTGCTTAACAATGTCGTTGGTGACTCAAAAATCGTTGCAATCTCGGAGATGAGGTCCATCTTTCGGTCGAGATGTACTTAGGGGGCCAGATGCATCCCAAACACACCATCTGCATCCTCGAGAAGCAATCATCAGGCCTGCAATCCTGGAGGCCGTTGCTTTTTGCGTCGCCGTTTCAACCTTGTTTGACTGGAAATCAAGCTTGTCGCACAATTGTTTCGGACCCTATTTCGGCTAAGTTGCCCAGGTAATTACTTGCTGCATAAATTACCATACTCGTACCTGCTGCCCTGTGCTTTCCTCTGGGCATGTCCTTGTGCTACTGCTGCACATAAAAACGAGCATCGCACCTCCATGTCGAGACTACGATTCATCCATGGATGCTTCTACGAGTAGCAATCACTCATCACCGCATCTGCTAGGCTCAGGGAGACTTCGTGACGACTCGCAATTGGAAAACAACTTCATGATTTATGAACTTGCACAAAAGTATTCCGAGTCCGGATCCAATGGCCAGTGCAGGTGGTCTGAGATCGAAAATGTAAGTACGGAAAAGGATTGCGATCGAGAGAGGGTCGGAAAGTCCATGGACTGTTCCGCTTACTCAACCCAACACCAACACCAACACCAACATTGTTGACATCGAGATCGTGTCACTGGATCAAAGTTCAGTAGGTCATCTGGTGCCAACGAGCCGCGTGTGTGCATTTCCCCTCTCAATCACTATCGCCTTGGGATCAAATCATGATTCGTCCATCGGCAGGCTTGAGTAACCTCGAAATTTTCAGCTCCGATGAATATTGCTCCCAATCCGTGACAAAGCTTCGGCTCAGTGGCCAGCTTGAGATGACCCTACCCATCGACGATGATCCTCGAACGATTGGCCCTGCTGACCAGGCGACGTTGAGCTTTTCGATGGGCTGCTGCATGGTAATCTCAGATCCAGTCAGGTGTCAGGTCTTGCTTCCATTAAAGTTCTTGCCCATTCAAAAACTTCCTGGGGGTTTGCCTGGTCTTGGGCTGAATTTGATGTCCGCTGAGTTGTCAACAATCACCTACCAACAGAATTGCGTAGGTACTTCCCGAGAACTTGTACCGTGCCAACCTTTGAGCTTTCTGCTTTCAGAAGTCACTTTTTCGCACGTTCATGCATGCGCTCAAGTTCTGGGGTAATCGGGATCTTCAACGAAAGAAGCCAGCAAATCAAAAGGCATGTGTCGTCTGCAACTTTCCCACCAAGCTGCTTACGTGTATGGTCGGAGGGACAACCACTGCTGATGTGATGACTTTCCAAACTGTGCTGCATGGCGCTATCCCTTTCTAGGAAAGTTCACTTGCAAGAGGTCGCTTTCTCTGACCAGCTGTCTTGTCGGTTGATACTGCACGTGGGCTACTGACTCCGGATGCACCTGATCAACAGTGCGATGGTCGGTGTACTCCAAATGGATACATTCTCCCAAGTTAATGCTGTCAACATATGACATACTACAATGCATCATCAGAGTCTTCCCTTGGAAAAATTCCCGGCTGCTTGTTGGGTGTGCCAGGAATCAAATTCCCCCAGTGATTCACCGGACAAACCCCCCGTGTCGCGGCACAAGCTACTCAGCGTTCACGCTAACCCAACAAGCGAGTGGATCAAAACTGCTGACTCCTCCTGTGCAATATCAAATTGTATCAAGTACCTGAAGTCACTCACCCTACAGGACGCGGGTAGCCTCCGACGGCCTTTGTGCTCGTACGTCAAGCGATTCAAATGGGATCGTGGGGGGCTTTTCTTCGGTAATCCTGCTAGCTCATGACGCATGCCTTCTCATCAAACACAACCGCACGCTAGGCGAGGCTGCAGCCCTGTTCCAGCAACCACCCGGCATGAGGTGGACCCCACTGCCATCAACAACGTCTCCGTGGATTGAGGAGTGTTGAACACATCACAGAAGAAAATACAACGGTGACCTACCCCCACCTTGAGGGTTACACCTTGTCGCCTACGTTGGCGCTGCCCACAAGAATGCTAGTGCTTCGTCTACGAGGCTCTTATGCAACCAGGATGAATCTCCCGAAGTTCAAGTTGGCAAATTGGATGTTTAGCAGACCAGTCCACAGCTACAGAGCCTTTCAGCCTACAATCAGCCGAACAAATTGGCATATTTCGCCTGAGTAGGTGGTAACGCGTTGAGGTGATTAGACCTTTCCCAACCTATCCAGGATATCGATCAGTTCCACCTGCAAACCAATCCTTGCACACAAGCGAAAGCCGTGCTGCATCGAAGTGGTTAACCTAGACACTAGAAGATGTGATGGAAGCTGTGGAGCTTCACCAATCTCTTCGCTTCACACCGTAAAGTTTTTCAATGATAGTGGAAGCCATACTACGTGCGTCATATGCATCATTCACTCGACATCTACTGGTGGTCTACCGTGGCTCTCAAAGGACAACTAAGCATCGACAAAGCGCGCCACCAAGATCCAGGAACTAGGAAGCAGATATGATCGACATGCCATCAGGTGGATTCATACAATGCCACGCTTGATGGACGCTGTGAAGCAACTCTCGCTTGAGATCCATCACTGGATATGATAGGGTGTCGACTACTACACTTGTAGCAAAATCCAAAAGCCGTGTCAGTCAAAATGTATTTTCTAGACAACTTGGGAAAGGCCTTCAAAAGTTGTGAAAATTAACGAGAGGCTCAACATCAAAGCAGCACGACCATCTAGCGGTTCGGGGGAGGCTGTTGCTGTTTTGAAATAGTGATTTGATTCTAACCAGATGTTCATGCGGGTGCCCATGAGCAAACGTATACTAAGTCTCGATCTTCAGGTGAGCCTATTTCTTCTTATCTTCATCCATCCCTTGCATGATCCATTTGGTGTGACTAGATTTTTCTGGTGTCAGCACGTGATCAAGCCTTTCCGACAGGTATACACGCAGGCAAAGGCTGAAGGGAGAGAGGGAGCGAACTCACTGCTTCGCGTATTCATCAAGCTTATCTTTTTCTTGCAATTTCTTTTTGATGTCCAAAGGTTTTGGAACATCAGCACCTTTCTTCACGCCTGGTCGAGCATACATCATTTCCTCCCATTTCTTCAACGTGGGAAACTCGTCAATGTCAACACCCGCCCAACCAGCCCATATGACCCAGCCAACGGTGGTGATGTCCGCGATTGAGATGTGGTCACCGACGATGAAGCCGGACTTTGAGGACTGGAGATGTTTATCCAAGACACCGTAAAGTCTTCTCGTCTCATTCACGTATCGATCCATGCCATACTTGATTTTTTCAGGGGCATAGCGAACGAAATGATTGGCCTGGCCTTGCATGGGTCCTAAGCCGGCATTTTGAAAGAACAGCCAGTTGTTGACCTCATAATACTCTCTCGAACCTTGAGGGTAGCTGATCTTATGCTCGGTGTCGTATTGCTCGGCGAGATACTGGAAGATACTGCCAGACTCAAATAGGCGAATCGTCTTTCCATCATCGAAGGTGTCAGTAATGGCTGGGATACGACCGTTGGGGTTGATATCGAGAAACCACTGCTCCTTCTGTTTCCCAGTCGATATGTCGATATGCTCGGTCTTGTACGGAACCCCTAGTTCTTCGAGCGCGATGGAGATCTTGATACCATTTGGAGTGGCATCGGTGTAAAGAGTGATATTGGGACGCTTTGAGTCGGACATAGTTGCGGCAGTGGAAACGTATCGTACTTGCTGGCTGAGACGGTTGATCATGCGTTGAGCACCTGTCCTTGCAAATGCCATTATATATCAAATGAAAACTCACAACCCGTACCTCCAATCGAAAGACAGGGAACTACACTTTTTGGTTACATCATAATGAGCAGCATGGACCAAATAGGAAGGTCTGAGGTATTGCATCTAACACCTGACGGAGGATTCGGAATGGTCGCCGTTAAGCAACAGGCAGCACCAAGCATTGATTGGATACAAAGCCCGAAACTTCAATGTTCAGATCTTGATCCGAGAACCGATACGATCTCAACCTTGAGCGACGTATTCGAAAACAGCAATGAGAAAGCGAACATGAACTACGGGGACTGCTGAGTAATGCATACGGCATCTGTACCACGTGATGTGGCTTGGCAAATCCCAGTTGGAGAAATCCAATAATGCGGGCGACTGCGTCAGAGGCGGAATGGCTTATGGCCAAAACTTTTCGATGCCGATCATCCAGATGATCTCCGCTCCTCAAAGTTCCAGTTGACCGTATCAACGAATGTTTGGCTTCTGCATCACGTCCCGTGAGGCGAGCTTCGACTTCGAAATGTTATGAAAATTTCGCTGTACAGTTTCCGCTCAAAAAGTCATGGCCAAGTGTTCTTCAAGAGCATTCCTTCCATGCGCGCTTTGAGTCTCTTCTACGAGACGCCATTCTGAGAAAGCGGTGTCATCTTGTATCGGAGGTGAACTCCGCTGTGTTTGAGCAACCGTCGCCAGCAATACCGAACACATGACCATGGCTACTTCCACCGAGGCTATCACTCATTCCTCCTCTCATACCACTCCTGCCGTGACGAGACGCCGGTCCTCCTCTCATTCTACCCAGAAGAAGCCATGGCAGCAATCAGGACGACCTTCCTTTCACTCAAGCCATTCTCGGCCCACAGCAGAAGAAATTCAGCACTTGTCGCATCAGACCAGTCGGTCATCCAAGCGACATGTTCAGGCGTGGTACAAGATTCGTTGGTTCAGAGGCATGATTGACGATGTGAAGAGACGGGCGCCTTTCTATTGGAGCGATTGGCGAGATGCCTGGGATTATAGAGTGGTGCCGGCGACCGTATATATGTACTTCGCAAAGTATGCCAATCCATATTTCTCAACCCAAACACATTTGTTCCCTACATATGCGGGCACGGATCGTGGTGCTCAGGAAATCCTCACTTGAAATGTAAAGATGCTAACCAAATTCGGTAGTATCCTCCCAGCATTGGCGTTCTCTCTCGATATGTTCACCAAAACGCACAACTCCTTTGGGGTCAACGAAGTTCTTCTGGCTTCTGTCCTGGGCTGTGTGGTGTTCTCGCTATTTGCGGCACAACCTCTGGTCATTGTTGGGGTGACAGGTCCTATAACGGTGTTCTCCTACACAGTATACGATATCGTCGTACCTAAAGGAATCAATTACTTTGCCTTCATGGCTTGGGTAGGTATATGGTCCTTGATTATGCATTGGATCCTTGCCATTACCAACAGCTGCAATGCCTTGACCTATGTCACGAGGTTCAGCTGCGACACCTTTGGATTCTACGTGGCATTTATTTACCTACAGAAAGGAATCCAAGTGTTGACGCGTCAGTGGGAATTGGCCGGAGCTGAAAGTGCATATCTCTCAGTCATGGTGAGCCTCCTTGTGTTGGGCTTTGCCTATGGTTGTGGTATTCTCGGTGAAAGCAATCTTCTCCAAAGGCACGTGAGAAAATTCATCGAAGACTACGGTACTCCTTTGACCATTGTTTTCTTCACCGGGTTCGTGCATTTCGGCCATATGAAAGATGTCTCCGTCGAAACTCTTCCAACCAGCAAGGCGTTTTTCCCCACGGCTGATCGTGGTTGGTTTGTCCATTTCTGGGATATCGGAGTTGGCGATGTTTTCCTAGCCATTCCATTTGCTATACTATTGACCATCTTGTTCTGGTTCGATCACAATGGTAGGACAAAACTTCAGTTGATACCATATCGGTACTGTCTCCGTTAACACTCTTTCTTAGTGTCCTCTCTTATTGCGCAAGGATCAGAGTTTCCTCTCCGGAAACCACCAGGCTTCCACTGGGATATTTTCCTCCTTGGATTGACCACCGGCGTTGCTGGTCTCTTGGGGATCCCATTTCCCAACGGTTTGATCCCACAAGCACCCTTCCACACCCAGTCCCTCTGCGTGACTCGCCAAATCACGGATGAGAAATCTAAAGGACTCATTCGTGTGACGGACCACGTGGTGGAACAGCGCGTTAGTAATCTGGCACAAGGTCTTCTTTTCCTTGTCACCATGACCGGACCGCTCCTCATCGTCCTCCACTTGATCCCTCAGGGTGTCCTCGCTGGGCTTTTCTTTGTGATGGGCATGCAGGCCCTCGTGGGCAACGGGGTCACGCAAAAGATGCTTTTCTTAGCACGAGACCGCGAGCTCACTGACGCGAACGACCCCTTGGCCAGGCTTGAACGAAGATCCTCGATCTGGGTGTTCGTGGCGATTGAGCTGATAGCCTTTGGTGCAACCTTTGCAATATCTCAGACCATCGCGGCAATCGGATTCCCCGTCATCATCTTTGCGCTCATCCCTCTCCGCACATGGTTAATGCCGAAATGGTTCCGAGATGAGGAGCTAAGAGCCCTCGACGCTCCCACAGCAGGTCCGTTCGTGATGGAGAGCGTTGGCGGAGCGTACGGAGAAAGTGGGACGACTACACCAGACCTCAATTCGCCCGACGATACGGCCGTGGTAGAGGATAGCCTCGAAAGAGGTGAGAGTTATGAGCTAGGGAATACACATGCTACTTCCTCCGGCGGGCGTTCGCGGCCACGAAGGCCGTCCCAGGGTCATGTTGAGTAATGGAGACTGAGTTGACGAGTTTAAGTGACATAAATTAGGCGAGTGTTACTGACTGTCGGGCATTTGATTGAGCATAGAAAGGGTTTCATTGGCGAAGACACCATACATATACGCCTGAAGACACGGCAAAGTAACGGCATACATAGAGGCAGGGACGACGGCACTGCAAAGAAGCCTATTCACAAACGTTCGATGAGCAATTCTAGACGAATGATATATCGAGCAAGTAGGGCAAAGATGACCACGGTTTCAGAATGCATTTTTCGTTGATTCATCAATCACTATGTCGCCACACACTACTCTTGAAATAATGTGGCGAGATAAAGCCCATTTCCCAAGAACATAAGTAACGTGCCACTAGTCATCAATGTTGCAAGGAGACATTCGATTAGAGCTGAGGCTGAGCTCGATTCTAGAACCGACGTTACAGCGTCTTCCAAGTGGAACGCAGGTGTTCCAAGTACCAACTGCATCATTCGAGGTTTTCGAAATGCTCCCTCGGGACATTCCCACCGTTAGACTTTAGCTCATTCACACAACACTATTGCTGCAGCCACAGACGATCTTGAGCTCTGACATGTCGTATAGCACGTCCTATAGGTGGATTGGATCGTTGGTATAAAGGAAATCCCAGACACTTGTGCGGAGTAGTACACCTACAATCCGCACATTCACATCCAAAAGCACTCGCTCGCTCGCATGCATCACAAGCCGACGGCCTTGCCAATTCCCGGCTTCCTCGACTCCAGCACCTTCATTGTCTGCTCGAAGACCTTGACCTGCGCCTTCTTCCCCATGTCGGTCCGGATCCACTCGGCGACATTCTGATTGACCCCATCAGACATGAACTCGCCGTGACTGGAGGGGCCAGCGGTGGCACCGTGGATCAAGGTCCGGGAGCCGACCTCAGTCGACCTGCCCACGGTATAGCGGAAACCGGCAAGGATGTAGCGCTGGATGGCGGGCCCGTTGCGGTCCAAAGCACTGCGGCACAGACCCGGGTTCACGAGGGTGATGACGACGGAATGGTCATCGCTGCCGAGGCGCGACACCAGCTCGCGGACGAACAGGACCTCGAGCGCCTTGCTCGCGTTGTACCGGTCTATGTCGAACGAGGCCTCGGCGTTCAGATTCTCGTAGATGTCCGGCGCGTTGAGCGCGGGCAGCTTGGTCATGTGGTGGACTTCGGACGACACGATCTCGAGGTGTGGGACCGAGTCCGCGAACTTCTGCTTGGTCTCGCGCAGCTTCGGGAGGAGGGACAGCGCGAGCAGGAACGTGTTGATCACGTTCACCTGGATGACTTGCTCGAAGCCCTCGGACGTCTTGTATTGTTGATTGACGATACCGGCGTTTTCGATCAAGGCGTCGAGTCTGGGCAGGGCGTTGGCCTTGTCCGCGAACGCAAGCGTCGATTTCGTGCTCTCGAGATCCAGGGGCCAGACTTCGATGGCCGTAGCGCCGTCGCTGCGGTGTCGGACGCTGCGCACGATGTCTTCTTTGGCGGCTTCGCCCTTCTTCACCGTGCGCACCGCGAGGATCAGTTTCGCCGCGTTGAGTCGGTAGACGTGCCGTGCTGCTTCGAAGCCAAGTCCCACGTTCGAGCCCGTCACGATGACTGTCTGTCCCGCGAACGAGTGTGTTGGATATGTTGGGGTGCCGAAGAACTGGGAATAGAAGAACTGTCGGAGGATGGCTCCCCATGGTGGGCTGATGACGAACTCGTCCGACATGGTTGCTTTGCTCTGTTGGGAAGAGCTGAGATCTAGCCGAGTATATATCTATCTATCTTGCTAATCTCTCTGTGTCTGTGCAAATAATTTGAGAGTGGGTATCTGTCAAGCAAGCTTCAGCGGTAATGGACCGTGTTATATATGGTATCTGCTTCTCCCTTAAGTAACAGGATAGTTAGCTTATGTGACGATCTGCTATTTTGGTCCGAGTCGGGCAATCAATGATATAGTACCTGGTGGTTCTAGCGGTGTATTTGAAGCCGAAAACACCGAGGCGTTAATTACTAAGGGATGATGTCAAGACTTGTGAGGCCTGATGCGGAGAGGAAGTTAGCTTTATATCTGAGGTACGCAGGCCTGCGGTGGAGAAAGGATGCACGAACTCAGTAGTTCGGGTTTCAGGCAGACAGCTATGCGTATCATGTCTTGGCCCGTGACGGTTTAGTCGATTGTAGACAGAACTCCCAGGGCAGAGCGTAACAGAGGCGATTGTCGCGCATCGAGGACTATGGTGGGCTAAGGCCTCGAACTTTCAGGCTACCAAGCCAGATTGTGATTTCAGCTCAGCTAGGCATATGAGCAGTCTTCGGATATTGAAGGGCCCCGGTCTTAAGATTGACCACAAGCACCACTGAAGGAAATAGCATCACTTCGAAGGGAGACTCCAGATGGATGAATATCTGTCCGTCTATCCGCATTGTCCCAAAGAGGACCAGTCTTAACCCCGGTCAGATACGCGGAAAATAGATATTGGAGAGCGGCGTGAAATTACATGTGAATGCTGCATGATCAAGAGCTCCGTAGTTGCCAGAGCGGCGGCCCTACATCTCCTGGGACACCCAGAAGCAAAACCCGTCCAGTTTTTGAATCATGCAGGTTTTCTGTTCTACCTCATCAAGCTCCTTTGAACGTTCGGACGATTGGGCCGTTCGGAGACAGACTCTGTCTGGGAAGGAAGCCTTTAGGTAAGCAAGCGGGGAATCTTGAATTATGGGGCAGGAGCAGCTGCACTGGCTTTTTCGTACTTGTAGGCTTGCACTCTGAACTTTGAACGTCGCGGAATGACATGCATGCAGCGTAGCCACTTTCATCACACTCACGACCTTCTCATTCAGAACCATCATGGCCACTAAAGCCCAAGCATTCCAGCGGGCATGCCGTATTCACAGCTGCACCGGCGGCCAGCTGCCACACAAAGCGAACCTCTACCCTGATGTGAGGAGCACACGATCTCTCTCGACCTCAAGTCCATCCTCCCACACGTCTCCCCCTTCTGCTCTTTCACCCAGTACGGCCCAGAAGTTGGCCATCCTCCAGCCCACCCACTTCCGCCGCTCTGCAAGCACCTCCTCGTCATCACCATCAGGCCCGACTCGCCGAGCCATCACCGTGACCAGCGACGATGGACGCTATAACTGGTCAGAACTGAGCACGGGGGAGAAAGCTGCGCGTGGGACACAGCAGACATTCAACTTCCTCCTCGTGTCCGGCGGCGCCGTCTTGACCGTGAGTATACTAAACCATATCCGCAACCCACCACGATCTCACTCTCACACCCTGAAAACATCAAGATTGTATTGACATGAGAATTCATACACAGGTAACGGTCTTCTACCTCTTATACACAGAGCTCTTCGCGGCAGACAGCTCGACCATCCAATTCAACGCGGCAGTGTCACGCGTGAAAGCCAGCGCCGAGTGCCGCGCCCTGCTCGGCCCCTCGCGCCAGATCAAAGCGTACGGCGAGCCCACATCGAACAAGTGGGCACGCGCACGCCCGCTGGCGTACAGCAATGAAGTGGACAGGTTTGGAACGACGCATTTCCGCATGCATTTCAACGTCGAGGGGCCTCAGGGCATGGGGGTTGTGAATGTGCATATGACGAGGCCGAGGGGTGCGGATGCTTTGGAGTATGAGGTGTTGAGTTTGAATGTCAAGGGCCAGGAGACGGTATATTTGGAGAACAAGCCGGCCGAGAGGGGGGTCAAGGGGAAGGCATCCAAGATGTTTGGCATTCAGTGGAGGTGAGTGTCAGATAATAGCGATGTTATACTATAATGGTGGGCTTGAAGAAACAATCAAGTTTATATCAAACGGCTGCCATAAAGCACCTCGAAAACAACCGAACTAGAAGGCTGGTGAAACTTCCAGATCAGTTGTGAAAGGGATTTGAATTGCCATCTACGAAGGGCGATTGGAGAATCACCTTCATCGAGCCGTCCTTGACTGGTATCTCGTGGAGAGAGAGGAAGCTCTCTTCTGCTCATGCGGGTACTTCCTCACGCTTCAGTACCTGGATCTTGCCACCCAGGTTACCCACAGTGACTGCAGGGGCAGGAGATGGTGATGTCTCACTCTCCTCCTCGTCTCCTTTTAAACTTGAACTGCTCTCATTAGAAAGTGGCTGTCGTCGGTGACTGGTGATATCAATCCCCAACACTCCGCCAATATATCCTCCTCTTTCTCCAGGTACACTGAACTCTCGGAAAGTATAGCCCCATTCGTTCAACCAGTTACGAACTCCCTTACCCACCTTGTCCTTGCCATTCTTGCTGTGATGTCCGGTTCCTGTGATTGCATAAATGATTCTGCGACCACGCTTGGAGTGAGTTAATAGAATGTTTTCCAGATATTCAATGGCTTCTTCCGGGTGTAGACCATGAAGATCAATATATAGTTCTTCGTCGTCATCGGCGGGCGTATTGGTAAGATGTTTATTTCGTTCTTCATACAATGCTTGTGCAGCTTCCCGGTGTGCTTTTCTCATAGCATCGTTTTCTGCCTGTCCTCGAAGAGAAAGGGCTTTGGCAGCTCGCGCATCATTACGATTCCAAGCTTGTGCCGCACTAGCAAGGAATTGGATCAGTAGGGAAACACATTAGTGGAATCAACGACTGACCTTTGCAAGAATTTGTTACGGATACTTCCATGCTTTATGGCCTCTTGTCTGAATTTTAAATACTGTTGATTAGCTCGACCGCCAGTCTCTAACCATGGAATGTGCTGGGGTTCGGGGATTTTCCTGGCTGCTGCGCTTTCGGATCCACCGTAAGTTCTTATTCTTCTACCAGTCTCGTTCCTTCGTTGCTGCCCAGGGGCTGGGGAGGGCGACATTCGAACCACATCGGCTAGAGATGAAGGCACCTCTTTCTCCAAAGGAGTATGTCCATGCCGGGATCGATGGCCGTGGTGCTTAGATCCTCGTTTGCCACTAAGTGAGCCAAGGGATGGAAAGGCTTCGGGATCATCCATAGACAGAGAAGAAGGTGTCTCGGGACGATTTTGGTGCCGAGAATTGGGCCTAGACTGTGGTCGGGAATTAGATCCCATAGTACCCAAAGTACTCCGGTTTCTCTGATTAGAGGGCACAAAGTTATTTCCGGCAGCCAGCCCAGCTTGAAGTGCGCTTCGGACATTTGAGCCAGATAACGCCGGAAATTGGTCGTGCTGGTCATGAAGCTGGAAAGGTTGTGACGGGGCATTTTCTGTGACGCTCAAGTGGTTGATGAGCAGAGCAGGGTCATGGGAGAATTGGCAAGCATCTCCAGCTAAGCAGTTTCCATTCATCCAATACCTGGAGATTAGGTGTTAGTGAGCCGAACATGACGAAAACTGGTCACTTACTTGCAGAGATAACCGCTGGTATCGTGAGCAAAGCGGCAATCCGCACGAAGACAGGAGCCAGATGCCAACCAGTACTTGCAGACTATGGGACTTTTGGTGGAACCAGGGGTTGATGGCCTGACTTGATTGATAGCCATTGACTTTCCAACGAGGACACCAGGATCGGAATTAGGTACCGCAGTGTATTGAGCATCAGCAGCATCGGTACCCAACAAAGAGGCGATAGTAGCACCTAGGTCATAGGAGTTCTTGTTGAGGGCCTCTTCGATCTCGTCGTCCGACTTTCTATCACCCAGGACGGAGCGCAAAATGTCGTATGGGCTCATGTCGGGCTGAGGAAGCCATTCGGGAGCAGCAGCACTTAGGCTTTGAGCCCCGGCATTGGAAGAAGCATTACTAGCAGTCTCATCAGCCAACAGCCAGTCAACATTTTCATGTCCGTAATCGCCATAGATGTCAGGAGCAGGGCTGGCTTCTGAGAATTCATACGCGTTGAGACTAGGGCTATGAGGAATAGGCTGTGCCAAGGCCAAACGAGGTGATGGACGTGGAGAGGCGAAAGGAGATTGAACACTGGACTTTTGGCGAGAGAAGCTGGGTCGTGAGGCCGGAAAGCCAATGGATAGAGCAGGACTGGAGGACAGAGGAGGGGGAGAACCCAGGGGAGTCGGGGCTCGATTTAATTGCCAGGGAGCAGGGGATGATTTGCGGATGACATTGTGTCGTAAGGGGGTCTCGGTAGATTCGCCACGAGCAGCATTTCGATGTTTCCATAGGGCATCGAGAATGGCATTCTCCAAGGCTAGGCCTGTAAGTGTAGTGTCTTTGCGAAGGATCTCCTCCAGGCGGTCGATTTTATCCTCTTCTTCTATAGCAGGGTCGTTTAATATGGGGCGACATAAGTCGTAATGTTCGTCAGAAATCATGGCGGTCGTTAAAATGAAAGGCCGGTGGTGTTAAGGAAAGCGGGGTGTGAAACTCGAAGGGGGGATTCGCTGGTGGATGTGCAAGGAGTTGGGATGTACGTCTATGGCATGGAGATAGAACGAGCGACAAACGCGTAATTGGGTTGCTAGAGATGCGATCTAGATATGAATCGGATGATCATAGTTCCTTGGTGAGAAGACCGGGCCACGAGAAGAGCGGAGGGCTGAGATGGATGGAACTCGCAGGCACTGGCAGGGATGAATGGACTGCGGAGGAGTGCCAATGGAGGTGAGGGACAATGGCAAGAACACGCGGGGAAGGCGTTATCAACCAGAGTGGATGAAGAGGAGATAGAGGGAGAGAAGAGGGAGGAGATTGATGAGGACAGGGGAAGTGTCGATGGTGAGATGGGAGGGTGTGTTGTTTGGTAGAGAGCCAGCACGAGTCTATTAGTGAGTCGTGGTGAGTCGTGGTGGTTGTAGACTGGTACTAGTGAGTTGGTAGTGGGATGAAAGGGCAAGGTACTCGGTACGGAGAGGAGTGAGGAGTACCTCGTCCTTTCCCTCAAGGGCCATCCCGCAGTGGCAGAAGCCTGAGCCTGAAGGAGAGTGACCTCGAATCTGGGGCTGAAAACTTTAGAAACTGCCACCCGCCGCTTATGCTGGGAAGATGCACTAGCTACTTCTAGCTTCCCACTAACCATATTCTGTAGGAGCATATCTTACATAAGCAAGGTGTCCCTTAGGTATGAATTATGCTTCTGGGCGGGTGGCTTCACTGATGCTTCACTGAGTGTGTCAGGTCACTGCCGACTGAGAAGGTGGTGCGCCCATGGATGCTGAAGAGCATCTTAGAAGGATTCCTCTTTCCTCAGTCGCTGCTGCGAGACGACTGTCATTCTATCGCTGATACTTCCCTTCCCTATAATATACTTAGATCTATTGTTTTTCTCCCATGGCCCTGCCTAAAGTGTCCCTTAGTCCTCCAGTATATGACGTATCATCCCACTGGCCAAGCTCCCCGGACCCGAGGGCTGACGCTGTCTCCCGCCGCCTCAATCCTACCTTAACTCTTTAACCCGCGTATTCACCTTGGTTTCAAACAATTCCTGTCTGCCTACCCCGTCCTTGATTCTTCTCTACAGCTCTCAATAAATACTTCCATCGCATCAATTAATCCCATCGCCAATATGTCTGCTTCTTGTTGTTTAGCATAGCGAATTTGGATCGTTACCGACCTTCCGCTTCTCCTTCCAGGCCACGCCGCTTCCCCAACCTTTATTTTCACCACCAGCATAATCGCTCTCTTCTCACCTTCAATCACTTGAACATGCCTACCCCCGAACTCGCTTTGCCTGACTCGGATGAAGAATCCCCTCGTCCAAATCTATTAAGCCCATGGCGTCCTCCTCGCTCATCCATATCCACTGGTCGCAGCTCGCCTTACGTACCTAGTCGATCGATGGCCTGGCGAGATGAAGCCGTGAATAACGCTGAGAAGTTGAAGCGTCGCTTTCTGAAGATATGGTCCAACTTGTCCCCCTTACAACGTATACTAGGCGTCTCCGCCCTTGTCATTCTCAATGTCCTCCTCATTCTGTTCCTCGTTTTCAATGAAAAGATCTTCGGCTGGCTCGAACCTTACGCTGAACGTTGGAAACATACCACGGGGGGTTGGACAATCTTATGGGCTGTCACCTTCACAACTGCATTTCCACCAATGATTGGCTATTCGACCTGTGCGACCATCGCAGGCTTTGTCTATGGAGTTTGGGAGGGCTGGCTCATCCTGGCTACCGCAACAGTTGCCGGATCCTTTTGCTCATTCGTCCTCTCTCGAACCGTCCTGCGGAAATGGGTCGAACGCTTGATCGCAGGCGATAAACGTTTTGCCGCCTTCACCCTCATTCTCAAGCACGATGGCATCAAATTGCTGTGCATGATTAGGTTGTGTCCCCTCCCATATTCCCTCAGTAACGGCGCCATGTCCACCTTCCCTACCGTTTCACCTGCCAACTACGCAATAGCGACTGCCATCGTTACCCCCAAACTCTTTATCCCTGCCTTTATTGGCAGCCGCCTCGCCGTTATCGCACGTACTAGTGAGAAGATGACTCTGCAAGATCGGGTAGTCAACTACTCGAGCATTGGCATCGGAGCCATCGTTGGAGCATTTACCGGGTGGTACATCTACCAAAAGACGATGGCCCGTGCGAAAGAACTCGAAGCGGAGGAAGTGGGCAACAATCAAGATCCCGCTCGTCGATCGAGTCACACCCGCCGATTCAGCGACGATCCAGAAGCCCAAGCTGCCGCAGAGACCATTGCCCGTGACGAAGACGATGCACCCGACTATTTCGACGTCTCTCCCGGGTTGGAGAGGCCCGAGCCACGCTATCACGACGAACCCACTGATGACGAAGATGTATTTGGAGCAGGAGATGACGATGACGGACAAGTCACCGCCAACATCGGTCTGCATGAACAAAAGAAAAGTAGTATATAAGGTATGACTAGAGAAACCAATTCAGTAGAGAGTCTAGGTCGGGAATTTTGGGTAGATCAAATCCCGACGTTCGGACTCGACCCTATAGAAAACACCTGTTTAGACTTTGTATATACCACGACACTGAAGAGTCGAGTTTGCACTCCCGTCACCTTCCTTCCCGTCACCCTCCTTCCCGTCACCTTCCACCACTAGTACTTGCTCTTGCACTTGCACTCGACTTTCCCGATTGCCAGTGGCGGATGACCCTCCCGTCCGTCGTTTCAGTCTATGTCACAAGTAAGTCACAAGTGATGAGGCATGCTCCCTGCTGCGACTTTGAAGTGCAAAACAGCTTCAGAAAAGACTTCGATGTGTGCCGTGTGTATGGATGCTGTAGCATAACTACTAGATGCTATGCGAAAGCGAAGGGATGAGCAACTAGTAACTAACTGTAAAGATCCGTGCGAAAGGACGAGCCTCGGGTCACCTGGCGGATATCCGTCAAGAGTTCATTCGGGCAAGAGAAGAGACGAGAAGAGAAGAGATCAGATCGTAAAAGTCATTTCCATTTCGTACACTCATAACCTCGTATATCTCATTATGTAACGTAGCGTCGCGTCGCATCACGGCACGGCCATATCACACGACATTACCTCTTATTTCTTTTTGGAAAATGCATCCAGACAGTGGACTGGACCTGGGTCGGGACCAAAACCGTCGAAAGAACAACCTGGTTAGCTCCTGTACTTTTCCCCCCTTGCTCCTGCTTTTTGCTCCCTTTTTGCCCTCCTCCATTGTTCTGCCTCGCGAAATGCAGTCGGAAGACTTCACTCTCATCGAGTCATTCTCCCCCTACCTCAATTCAAACATCCTCTTTCGGACTCAGAGGTCCTGTAGTGGGCGTGCGCGGAGGCTTTTGTAGTGGTGAGTATTTGTCACTCCAACGGCGGATCAGCGATCTGGTCGGAGGTGACGATGGAGGGCTTTGCTGTTGTTGCACTGGCGGTATCTGTAGAGGTGGAACTGGGGGGCTGATTGTTGATGTTGATGTTGTCACGACGCGGGGCGGTGGTGCAACTATTTGGGATAGCTGGTTCTGCTCTTCCACCATCGTTACCGTTGACTCTGGTCCTGAATGACCATTCGATGGCTGCGATACCAGTGTCGTACCACGAGAAATTGGTGACATTGGAGATAGCGTGGATGTTTTTTCCATGTCTCGAAAAAAAGTCCCTTCCATCTCCATTGTCCGGAGCATACTGGGGCTATATACTGGGTCTTCAAACTTGACAGTACTGGCTCGCTCACGACGCGGTTCCTCCGAAAGTGTGTCGGGTTTCTCCTCGGAATAGCTTGGGAGAGTGGATGGTTTGATAGACGGTGCTGTAACCCCATGCGATCGCCATCCACTTCCGGGTAAATGGTGGCTGATACTCTGAGATACTCGTCGTGAAGTCGCACCCAAGATACTGTGGGTGGCGTGGCGAATGGGATCCAGGGCCAAGTCAGTGGTCAATCTAGGCTCGAGACTGGCGTGTGTGGCGACTTTGCGAATCATGGGCCTTCTTTGAGAATGACCTGCTTTTCTCGTTGTTCGTGTAGATTCTTCTTCATCTTCTCGGCTTTATCCGGAACGGCACATGATATCATATGGGTGAAAAATAATTCCAGGTTTGTGATCCATCGTCTCACTTTGTCAACATTGTTGACGACGAGGATAATAAAATAAGTAGGAACACAGATTCCTACCGAAGTCAACGCAAATGGTAGGAATGAATCTTCTGGAGGCATGTTTGTCATGCCAAAAATCGAAGTGACGAAGGTGAGAGGAAGAAAAAACATGGTAACAAAGGTCAAGAGACGAATATTGTATCCCTGCTCCACCGTGATCTTAGCTTGGTTGACCGCCTCACGACTCTCCAACACGGATGTTCCGCTGAAGAGCCATTCTCGAAGGCCTTTGATTTCCTTCTGTTGATGTTGATACATGTGCATTACTTCGGTCAGAAGTGCAATTTCCTTCTCGAACAACTTGCGGGTGTGCTGTAGCTTCTTTCGCCAGTTTTTGTACCGGGCAGATTGATCTTGTGTTCCTGGGAAGAGTGTCTTGTGTTCACCTGTCCAGAACTCCTCATTGAAGGTCTCTTTATATGCCAAGATCATGGCCTTGATTTCAGTGACAAGCACTCCGATGGCTTGTGAAGCCCAGAAGTATCGTCGAGAGTAGGAGAACTTGTCGTTCTCGAAAAGCAATTCATCTCTCAGGGCACTATCAAAGATGGACTTGTTAGGTGGCGAGGCCAGCATGATGATCTGTCTGTGAACTTCCTTGAATCTCTTGATTGCATCTCGATATTCCGCCAGGACTGCACCTAGGAAGGCATCAGGGCCATTCACATAATGATGAGAGGTGTTGTGAGCGTCAACACTGGATTTCCAGTCTGGAAAAGCTTGGATGGATAGTACGTGCCATGGGGCAAAGGGGTCGTAAATGTGGCCGACGATCGACTTGGTCTTGCGAGAATTGCGACGGAGAGTATGACTGGGGCGTCCATTCAAGGACAAAGCCACCACGGCAGAACATGTTGACAGGGGAATATGACCTTCTTTAGGTTCCGATAGTGCATCATCGTGGCTCTGCCATGGTAGTGGAGCACGACCCTCACCAACGATGGTGTGATATTTGAAGACGAATACGATCGACCTTTGACGGCGATGGTCCTTCTTCAAATAACCTTTGGTGATCATTTTGGTTGGAGTATCATCATTGATAAGTAAACGATAAATTGAGTCCATATCGAAATACTCGTTCATAGTAAGATGAAGACCAGCCAACAAACTCGGTGGCGGTTCTCTCATGGTGATGATTCGACCAACGGCTTGCTTTCTTGACGGATCGATATTGATAGATCTCAGTGCCTCCCACGTGGCGAGAGGTCCATCATCAGTGCCACTCTTGCTGTATCGAAGAGGGGCACCATCTGTTCCCACATGATAAATATCGGCATGGTCATGGCTAGCATCAAGCTGATGTGCCTGGCGGTCTTTGTTGAAGATGCCATTTCCAAATTGGTTGATATTTCGAAGGAGATCCTGCAAGATGAACATGCTATACTTGTCCCAATCATGGCTCATGAGATGTTGGATCAAGTCATCTTCAGTAAATTCCTTGGAGGGAAGGGTTTCTTGTGCAAAGTAGGATTCATCATCGTCGCTGTCAGAACTATCATCAGCACTCCAGATGGATTCCTTTCGTGGGTCGTCTTTATCCAAGGGACGGTTGCTCGGGTTTGTTCGACGACTTATTGTACTTGGGGGGATTTTGGGAGAAGACGGCGGCTGTTCAGCCTTGGTTACCACTAGAGATCCAAATGAGGAGACGGTTGGCCGGTGGGAAATGCCAGGCCGGATGTCAGCTAGACCATCAGGCTGGGAAGTCAAAACCTGTGCGAGAGTTTCGTGGACCTTTTCAAAGGTAGAGAGGTATGCTTTCCTATCAGCTTCCAATTGTTGGATCAGCTTGGTGATGGTTTCGGTGTCGACAGCCATCAGTGGCGGTGGTTGAGGAGGGAAATAGCCATCGACGAAATGTGAGGTAGAGTCCTCAGATTGGAAGGTGGGATGAGGCATCATTTTGTCGGGTCAGAGGGGCGAGGCTGGAAAAGTAGCTACTGACACCATCCTGCAGCCGAAAGGGCGGACAATGCTAGCCGCTTGCTTGGACAATTAGTCAATACTTGATCAATGACTGGGGACCAAGGAGGGAGGTCGAGTGGTGGTGGAAGCGAGAGAAATCAGCGGACCATCCACGGGCAGATAATCTGGGGCGAAAAGGAGTGGGTTAAAACAGGGCGTGCCTTGGGAGGTGACAAGGTACGGAGTACCAATACTACCTGGGTAGGAATAATGCAAGACGGTGGATCGGCATCAGCAAGGAAATGCCTGGCGTCAGAAAGAACATTGAAACGATGATCAAGAGAATTTAGTGTCGGATCGATCGAGTGTTTTTGGGAAGAAGCTGAACCAGACTCTCTAGACAGAAAGCCTTGCAATGCGCCCGGCCAAAAGTCAACAATATAAAAGTACGCAGCAGGACAGAGTCTCGTAAAGGACCGTGAGTTTCCAGCCTGAGCCTTGAAAATCCAGCCATCAGAGTAAGTGCGAGGCAACCTGAGTCCAGGACGGAGTCTGGAGTTTGCCTGAGTCAGGCACCCGTCAGGTCTGTACGGAGAATGGTATGTCACGATTGATCGAACTGGAACGGCATAGAAGCGAAACACACGAGGAGGTTGTAGAGGGCAATTGGGCAATTGGTCGAGACTTGAGCCAAGCGAATCCGGCTTGACTGGTAGAAGCTAATCGTGTTTTGCAAAAGTGCCCAGGCCTATAGGGACGGGGACAGAACTCCGTTGGACGGGGAACTTTGGGTGCCTGTATTCGGCCGCATGCCGCTGCACAAATTGGCTGATCGGCAAGCCTTGTTGTTGTGTCGGTGAGACTCTGAAAAGTCCAGCCCGCAAATGGATCAAGACCACTACCAGTGTGATAACGAACATGCAGAGCCAAGTGGGCCGCACAAGTCTCTTTGCTGGCTCCATTTATTTCGTGCTTGAGAGAGAGCCAAGTATACCTAATTTCGAAGGATCATGTCGCTTTGTCTAGACTCCGTTTGCTAACACCGCAGTGGCAAAGAGATGTACATGTACATATCTACCAAGATCCCTATGTCTCTCGCTATCCACACTGTCTGCTTCCGTACACCAGTAAAGCATCGATGCCCGACCACGAGCATAGAGAACGTGTGACTAGCTCTAATGCCTACAAGCGTTTTCATCTCCCACCAGCAGCACTTTTCCGAGCACGAGATCAATGTCCAATGGGCACAAATAGGGCCAGGAGTGGTTAGAATAATGTCCAAAGCCAATCATCATACTCCTTATCATGCTGGAGAGCTGCAAATTGGATGGACTCTCAGTATCAGAAAGCTCAATGGTCCCGGACAAATCCGATGACCAATCCAGTCTGCATTAGCCGTGGTGAAGTCCAGTATTCCCTCCTCGTTGATCATGATCTTCTCATCATTCAACACACCCCGTGTTTGCCCAAGGGAATTTTGACGGCATAGCCTGGCTACCATTCTGTTTGGCTGCAAACTCGCGCTCGCAAGCCGTCACCGTGTCTAGTGCGCTCCAGAGGCACAATAAGTCGAAAATGTAACTTCGTCTGCGGTGACCCTGAACATCTCATCCCGCATAACCACCGCCTGGTAGCAAATAAAACGCCTGGGAGCCATGAACCCGTGAGACCCAAGACGAAAAGAAACATAGACTCCGTGAAATGACATTCATATCGAGGACCACCAGTCTCCGACCTAGACCTTCACACGAACGCCCTCTTTCTGCACCACCTTGACAAGACTCTTATATGTCTCGTCCCAACTCTCCCCATCGTCTTTCTCTGCAGTCCCGGTCTCGCCCTTCTTCTTTCCTTGATCCCGACTCACCATGACCACAGAGGTAGGCCGTTTCGTTTGACCCGCCATACCGAGCTCGGCACGTGAAGTCACGTAAATGTAAGGGATTGAATGGTCTTCGGCCAGTACGGGGATGTGGCTGATCACGTCCATCGGAGAGATGTCTGCGGCGAGAATCACCACCCCGATAGGTGATGAATCGGAAGCACTGCCGGCAGGGGACTTGCGGAGCGCTTTGACGACTTCTTTGACACCGCGTTTGAGGGTTCGTTGGGCCGCAGCTGAAAACAGGTAGACCATGTTAGCATTTTTGTTGTAGTCGGTTGACGGAACAGAATTGGGAGGCAACCCGGGCAAGTGCATACCTTTCTTGACACTCTTAAACACCTTTTTCGCAACTTTATCGTCGGCGAGCGGGTTGGCGAAAGGTACCAACGCACCGACGGGTCTGCTGCTCAAGGTCGCTGCCTTCTCGACCTCATCCGAATTTTCAACGTCGACGTCCGATGGCTTTTCGTCCTCGTCCTCATCGTCACTCTCCCCATTTTTCAACTTCTTCCCCTCAACCTCGTTCAGCACCTTCTCGGCGAGCACCTTGCGCTTCTCCTTCTTTTCTTTCTTGTCGGATTTGGACTTCTTCACGCCTGAATCTTCCACCAACTTCTCCTTGGTGCCTTTCTTCTCGGCTTTGCGTGCAGCCCTGCGCTCTTCTTTCGACTCCTTGGCCATGTTTTTCGGATGTTGCAACGGAAGTTCTGGAACAGTGGAGTTGTGGACGGACTGCAGGCAGGCTCAGCGTAGTGCCTCGTGTGTTGAAGGGCTCTCTGATGATGAAGACCGCTCTTTTATTTTGTGCCTTCGCAATCACCCGATAAGGCGCGTGTGTACGAGCCGAGTACAAAGTCTTGGGGAAGTACCTTACGGGGATTTGAATATGTATAGACTGGCTTTACAAGGGTACAAAAGTTCGCTGTCTAGAAAATACCTTGATGCTGCTCCGCACACGAGAAAATCGTCTCTAAATACTGGCAGCTCAAAATTTTGGCGGAGCCTCCAAGTTCGTTTGGGGCTAACCTGTTTTGGCCAAGGCTTGCCACCATGAACATCCCTGGAGAGGATGGTTCCCAATCACCAAAAATCGGATCTTTGATTACCATTGTCTCAAGTTATAATAGTAGAACGTTGCGAAGAGAACTACTTATGATACTCGATCCATCTTCGCTTCTGGCAATAAAATCGTTGGATTCCAAGATGGGATCTTGATCAACATTGAAAGACTAATTTTTACCATTTCTATCCATTGCACCTCCAAGCTGGACTCACTGAATCCAATATTAACAATGGATATTATTGATACCAAAGTATCCCCTCACGACGATGGTTTGTTCTCACCATGTCTCATATCAAATGACGCCTTCCTAGGCTGGTTCGGCGCCTCCCCTGTTGGTCGTTCATGATAACCTGGTATACTCTCGTCCCTCGCTCTGTCAAACGATCGCCCCCGAGGAGTCAAATGCTCTTGTGCAAATGCCGAGAGGCTGTTCCGAGACGCTCCATGCTCCGCTGCTGGAGGACTCCTGGCCCTTTCCTTCTCTGCCTGTCTCTCCTCCTTACTCTGCGACATCTTAGCCTTCCATTTGCCAAACAAGCCGCCCCTCTTCTCCGTGTCGCCACTGTTGTCCTTCCATACTTCCCCGGATTCGTTGCTCGAGGGACCTACTAATGCCTGTTGACCGGCCACCGTGTCTCCATAGAGAGATGCTGATTGTGTCTGCTGAGAATCTCCCGTGAAGCTCTTGCGGGGTCGATGAGAGCTGCCCAGGGAGCTGTTGCTTCCTCTGGCTCCAGCATTGTGCCCTATTGCAGGAGGCGGCACAAGCGGTGTATTTTCTGCCTTCTTGGCTGAGGAGGAAAACCTCCACCTGTGCCGCCTTTTCTCCGTATCTTCCTTCATCACTTTGCTGTCATCAAGGGCATCTGCCTCCGAGTGATCGGTGAAAGAAGACCTGGACTTGGTGGATGTGGGGGGAGACTTGCGAGGCTTCAATCCGGATGCATTATTTTGTGCCATGTTGGCACTCTGTGGACTAGGAGTGGAAAAGTCCGATGTTGGAACTTCAGTGACTGGGGTGGGAGCTGTGTTTGTCAAGGCAGGACCTGAGACCGCAGCTAACGGATCAAGCCGTGAAGCACCATTCAAATCGGGAGAAGTCAGTGGGGTTTTGAATGCTGCAGTGTCATCTGCGTGGAGAGAATTCACAGAGCTCTGTGCACTGTCATTTGCACTACCCGGGAGTTTCGGTTTCTTCTGAAGCTTTCTAGGCTGTCTCTGTTGAGGCTCCGATGGGCCAAATATTGGAGACTTTGGAAACAAGTTGGAGATCTTTCTTTCGCGAGTAACAATTGGCGTTGCGGTGACCGGCTGCCCGGGTACCGAAGCAGGGTTGGCTTGTACTGGAGGAAAAGGAGCAATGTTGGACGATTGTGGTTGAGTCACTGGTGGTGACAGACTGGGTTGAGTCGGAATGTGCTCAGTGAGATGACCTGTTGAAGCTTGATTGTTGAAGGCCTCGTCTGGTCCAATAGATCCAGATCGCGAGGATTTAGATTCAGTGACCTCTTTGGCCGGTATAGGTGTGTCAGCAACCGGAGGTGCTGAACTCAGAGCAGGTGATGCAGGACTTTTAGCATCGTTCAAGTTCTGAAATCGGCTTGGAGTGATCGCTGGGGATCTCTTAGACGGAACAGTGTTACTGCGATTGATCTTTGCACCTGCTGTACCGTCTGGAAATGTCCCAAGACCTGAAGGAGTTCCTGGGCTTGAAACACCTGGGCTTCCTCGATCCCTTGAACCTCGAGACGAAACGGAGACATTACGCCGGACGCCAAACTTCCGCAGACTGTCAGCACCAGCACTTGCGTTCGACGAGGATCTGCCTAGGGGTTTGGGTGACTTCAGAGACGGTGCACCACTTTCGACATCCTTTTGAGTTTTTTCGTCCACGGCTGTGCCCGACATGCCAATAAGGAAATTGTCCTGGTTCTCAATGAGAAATATCAGTACATCTTGGCTGAGTCGATATTCCTGGGGAGCCATGTCATGTGTGGGATGTGAAATGATGCCGGGTTGGAAGATAGCTGCCAGATTTGCAGCGGTCATGCGATTGAGATCCGATTTGGACGCAAAAACAGCCAGTAAGTCCAATATGTAGAGTAAAAGTTGGCGGTTTAATGCTGGTAGTTCTGTTATAAGCCGCTGGTAAGACAACACGGCAGCATTGTGCTCATCTAGACTGAACCCAGGACCTTGCGCTTCACCATTTGTCTGAGCTGGATGCTGCGCCCTTCGTAAGGGTTCGCGAAATCGGTCATAGAAGTCAAGAGGTACGATCGGTTCTGGAAGTTGGTTCAGATAGCGACGGAGAATATTAGCTGCATCGTGCACCGTGTATCCAGTCCAGTCTAGTCCCTTGCCATATCGATCAGGGGAATTGAAGGCCGTTTGTAAATCTTTTATTCTTTTGGCCGATCCACTCAATCTGAATATTCCTTCCACGTCGGTGGCTAGAACTCTGTAAGCTGGGTATTCTCGTTGAATCATTGTATGACGGTTGGGTACCTTTCTCTTTTAGAAAAACGCCACACTTTGCAACCACGATGGGAACATATCCGTAGATAAAGCTCTCACCGCTCTCATTTTGAAGCGAAATGGCAACATTTGCATATCTGATGCTGTCGGCCAAAGGGACCCCGAAGATACCAGGTTGCGTTTCAACTGTTGAGAAGTCAGCACAAAGCACCACCAACATCGGTCTAGCCACAGATCGAAGCCATGCGATCTATTATGTGGTGTAGACAGTACCTTTCTCATCGGTCTTTTCTGTTGTCTTCCTAAATTTCTTCCACCATGATGCTAATTCCCGCTTGGAGGGCGGAGAGACGGTGGACAGTGGAGAAGGTGCAGGGACGTTTCGTTGACCGGGCTGTGTGATGGGTTGAGGAGACGTCACGGTGCCTGTGCCTCCAGTGGCCATTATGAGGCTACAGGCGCCTTACAACGTTCGCCAGATTCCAGAAGAGTTGGCTTAATCGGTGTCTTGGAAGTGACAGCGCGACGTTGTGGCTGGAGGGGTGTCGATCGGAAAACTGTCGCGGTTGCGAATTGGTCAGACGGCAGAATTCTAGGTCGCGCGACGACGTTGGTCGTGGAAGAGTAAAATTAGGTTGGAGGCAGTCCAGGGACGCTTGGATGTGGATGTTGATAGAACTTAGGAGTTGAAAGCACAGTGAGTGTCCAAGAGGTCAGAGGTTTGTGGAGGACGGATCAGCTGAATGGGAAGGCTGGCCAAGGAGAGCCTCCGTAGAGTCGATCGGCGTCAGGCAACGCGGCGGGTGGGACGGTCTAGTTGACAGCTGCTCGTACCTCGCAAATAACTTGCCGGTAAAGATGCAGAATAGGGTGCAAGATGAAACTCGAAAGATCGGAGTTGAGAAGACGCGATCAAGGCTGGTGTCAAAGATGAAAGGAGGGTTGGACGGCGAGACGTTGATGCTGTGTCGAGAATTGCTACGAGCATGCAGGCTAGGTTGTTGCTTAGAATTCAGTACGAGGTAGTGGCAGCAATAAGCAGGCAAACTTGATTGAACTGAACTGGGCGCGCTCTGGCCACGAGGACTCCGTTCGGATAAGAGTACGGAGGACTCAGGTGAAGCTGCAGGTGCAGATTAGGTGCAGCCAACACCTAAACTAGCAGTCAGTGGCCGTGGCAGTGGCGTTGGTAGCGGTTGGGGCAGGTTTCTTCTTCCTGTGATTAGACTCGTTTTGATCAGGTGGCACTCCCCAAACCACCCATGATTCGGGGCTGTGGGCGGTGCTTCGGGCTGCTTATTATTATAGTTGCCATTGCCAATGCCAATCCAATCTGACTCTGACTTGCACTTGGCTTGGTAGGTATGAGGTTTGCATTCAACTTGGGACGTTGCTCTGCACCTCACAGTGCACCTACTGATTAGTTAACTAGACTGCCTCCCTAGGTCCCTAGGAGATACCCATTAGCCCCAACCGATCACCTTCGTGCCTTGGTGCAGCTCTTTTTTATGTGTGTCACCTGGCGATTTACCATCCTTCCTCGCTCCAGACCTCTGTTTGTCCCTAAATATATCTATCACCCGCCATGGGCCTTCCTATGCTGTCTCTTGCATCTGCCTTGTCTGTGGCTGAGTGGAGTTCGGATATGGAACAGATTGAACCACAAGATCAACCCAATTTTCAACCCTCCATGTCATGCTGATGCTAGACCTTTAACACCCATGATTGAGACTGCATTTCTGCACAATGATGCGGATCATCCCAGTCTCTTCTTGGCCTTTTTGTGGACGACTTGAACCTCTGTTGGTTATGGCGTACCAATCAAGGTACGAGGTACTGTATGGCTAACATTCGAATGAGAGGTACCTCCCACCTTGCCCCATTCTACTCTTTGACGAGATTCTGAGTCACGATCCTGTTTGGGCATGAATAACATCCTCTACCCCACCATTCGCAGTTCTTCAATTAGATCATGTTATACCACTCCGCTTTCTTAAAAACTTGTATCGACCTGCAAGTACGAGGAGGCGGCAGTGTAAGAACCTGGAACAACGCTCGAGACTCGTTGGGTGTGAGGAAGATCCGCGCCACTCAGGCCCCAAGTCTGCATTAAACCCTGGCACGAGCACTAGCTACTGCATCCTTCGTCTTGTGTAGATCCGAGTCAGTGTTTGAAAAAGTATACCTCGTACTGGGATTCGCCAAACCCCAGGCACGAATGATTCAGCAAGATCAGTCCTGATAACCACAGCTGGATCAGTCTGTCTATAATGTCAATAGCCTACGCGTTTCTCTCCAAAAATACGTGGCTCCGCAAATGTGAGGTATGCGTACATGGTTCTAACAATATGGTGAACAAAACGAAACAAATTGTCTCAGGATTGGAGGGCTCCGCACTTCCAGAATCCAGATATTTCTGGTAAACAGACCAGAACAACATGGAACACACTCCATGCTAAGGAAAATCTGTAAATAGTTGCCCTTTGACCCAAATGGTCTTACGCCGCCAATAGCCCATGATATCATCTAGTTCGGACTCGGGCAGAGATCATTCCAGTCCGTCCAAAGAACGCCGTTTGTTTTGCATTCGTTATGTTTTTCGTTAGTGGTATTCAACCCATCTCAAGACTCCTCTGCAACATCCTCAGCGATAGCATTTGCCAACTGGGGTGCCTTGCCGCCAATCGTGAGATCTTTGAGACTTTTGTCGAACTCGCGTTGCATGCCATGCTTGACGGCCTCGAGCACATTATCCACCGTCATCTTTGGCATATATGCTGGACGGGTGCCTTCTTGGAATACACCAGTCCGAACAAGGATGGAGTACCAATTGGTCTCAGCCTTACCAGATTCATCGAATTCGTTGGTGCCACGGATATCTGACTCGGGCGTGTCACCAACAAAGTACACCGTGTCCAATGGTTTGTTGATGCCATGTGTGTCTTTCCGCCATTGCTGCAACAGTCTCGTGGCGAACTGGAAGGTGCCTAGTTGGGGCTTACCAAAAGCAATCGTCTTCATGTCTTTGCCAGTAATGGCTCGGAACATGGCTTCAAGCGAAGCGCGTAACGCTCCCATCCCGATCCGTGAATAAGAGTGAGATGTGGCCCAGACGATGTCATTATGGGAGAAGAACACAGGTGGCCCTTCATCGAAGGTCTCGGATCGGGTACCCAGACGACCATTTTTGCTCATACACAAATCGAGGATGATCTGTGAATCGCCGGCCCAGTCTCTACTGTCGGCGAACACAAAGACGGCTTCGATGTCGACTTCTCCATAATTTCGCAATTTTGAATTGGTGAGTTCCTCCTCGGTCAACTTCCTGAACGGTGTTGTATCCTGGTTGTCTTTGATGATGTCTCCAGGAGTGATCACATCCTTGAAGCCATAACCCAAGGCAACTTCTCTACACTTTTCACCCTCACCTCCCACGACCAGTACAGAATTATATTTCTCTGCCAGTTCCCGCATAGGTGTATGGCCACAGATAAACTGTCCGGGAGACACTTCCATCTCCAACTGGTTCGAGAGCTGGATGCATCGATCTTCCTCGGTCTTGCCACCTCCATTGGTTACGAAAATGTAGGGTCTGAAATGGATTGTCAGCATGTCGTCATCACCAACGCTTGGAATCATATTTACACTTTGACGCCGTATTCGTTCTGGCCATTGAGAACCTTCATGGCCTCGATAGCCTCAGGGATCACCTCGCCTCCCTTGATCAGGACGCCGTCGATATCAAAGGCAAAGGCATATTTATCGGTAGTGTCAAGACCAGAGCCATCAGGAGTGGCAGGTGCAGAATCATCTGGAGTGGTCTCCCCTGATCCTGCTGCGAGATGGTGCTTGGCCAATTCCATGGCGTGGGCAGTCTCGTGGGCATTGCTCCGGCTTTCCAGATGTTTGGGAGGAGCAACGACCGTTGGGCCTCCGAATAGATCGGCTCTGGTAGCACTTTGGCTCGACAACCTCCGTGTTGTGCTCGCCCTGGATGCACTCCGTCTGGTCGTGGTGGGCGACAACAGGTTGTTGTCCATATCTGCTGGTGTTTCTTTCGACATCTTGATGAAAAGGATGTAAATGATTATGTCGGAGGCTCACAACAAACAGACAATACTCCTTGACCAGGACAAAAAGATATTGTATGAGATCGAATTCGGTGATATTTCTATACTTATACACTGTGCATTTGCGTCCGCAGGCGAGATTTTTCAGAGCCTCGGGCGGATTCCCCGTTCTTTTGTATTCGGGATCACTGTAAGAACTCACTCCTAGTATGAAAGAAACTGGCACGCTATTTCACGTGGGTAATAAAGTGGACGGTAGCCGAACCTGTGGGAATAAACACGAATACATCTACTGGTCAAGGCTCAAGTACTTCGAGCAGACTGGAACCCTGCTGGAGCAAATACTAGAATCCTCGGAAACCAGTCCCATGGAAACTTTGATGTGGACTCTCGATATGTTGCAGATGACGTCGGCATGATGGGTACAATCCAACGGAATTGACAAATGAGCATTCGCCTCCCTCTCATGATAGAGGCAACGCTCGACACTCGGTCTTTGACACGAAAGTGAGAGAAAAAATCATTTCCATACCAGTGGCTTTGCATCCCAGTGGATTTTTCAGTTGGGGTCCAACCATTCTGTGATTTGATGATGATCTGTGCTTTGTCCAATCCCAAGGTGTAACCGTCGTTGTTCATCCAAGAGATATCCGCACCATATCCACCACTCAAATAGACCGGGCAAAATTCTCGTTTCCTTATCGGCCACCCATGTTTTCTCATGCTCGATGACGCCACAGTGCCGGCCAGGGGACTCCGACGACGACAACAGGCTCGTTTTTCAGGCAGACAAACGGCAAATGGAAAAATCTCAAGAGAGGCACAGATCTTTCAAGATGGCGCGAAGCAGGCGCCGAGAGACGCTCTCATGTGATCGACACAAAGTCTAAACGGCTTGTCTATGTAGCTAGAGAAGAATACATTCCGACTATGGATACTTCATCCAGCCTATGTCTCTGCAATCCGTCGCCACGTTTCGAAGTCGGTTTCAGGTCTATGTATATCATATCGGTGTGGCAATCCTACGATTTCCTTCTCGCAGCGGCAGCCATGTCTCGTAGAGGGGATTCGTCGTTGAGTGCATTGCATGGATATATCGAATATCTCCAGCCGCTCACGTCGTCCGGCACAACGAGTAAGGATCCTAGGTCCGCTTTTATCAAACCGCCCGACGGATAAGCGTACTTAGCTCTTACCGCTCCGACATGGCGGAGCATGAGTACTTGTTTCGAAATGGCAGTAGTCGTCCAGTAAAACCGTGTGTATCCCATCATGGTGAGAAGTTAGCAAGCATGTGTCAATCTCTCCTGTTTTGCATGGATGCACATGGCTGGATGTGCTGTCATCTATGACGTGTGTTAAGCGTGAAAGGAAAGGAAAGGAACTTTAGATGCAGATAAACACCAAGTCAAGCCATCTAGAGTCGTCTATATAACCAAGCACCATCGCTAAGAAGGAGCAATAACCCAGCCAACCAAAATGCTCTGACCCAAGGACGACATCACCAGTGCTGGACGTGCATATAATATTTGTACAGTATGCCCAATCTCCGATCGAGCTAGATGCGAAATTCGTTATCGAGCCAATGTTTGACCACCACTTTTCCCTCTTCGAACGCAGCTCTCGAAGTGCGAACGATGATGGCTGCATGCGAGTGAGACGACTTTGTGATATGCACAGGGTATTTTCGAAACCCGACGTCATCCAAAGATTTGATCATCGCAAACTGGTCGTTGGTCAGTGCCAGCGTTGGAAACTCAGGCGATCGCTCGCTAGCAGTAGTGACAGGCTCCTTTTTCAAGCTATCCGTCTCTGATTTCTCTGGTTCCAGAAGGTCACCCGATGTCTGTGCGAACCGGGAGGGGAGACTTGAGTCACCCCCAGCAGCTAGCTCCTCAGAACCTTCCGGAAGGTATTCCTGTTCTTGAGCAGAGTTCACGTTCTCAAAGGCATCTTCAAGCCCAACTCGCATTTCTCGAACCATGTATGGTATCCGATAAACGCCAAATCCAGAAGAACCGTCGTTGTCGTTTTCGTGTAATAGAATGCGACGACGACTACGAAATGTCTGAATAACGGAATTGATCAGGAAAGCTACCGTGGCAATAGGTATTATGACCATCAAAGCAAGGTAAATGGGTAAACGACCCAAGAATGTTCGACCACTCTCTCGGACCCGGTCGTAGAAATTCGGAAGCTTCCCCTGCGACTTTCGCTCAACAGGGTGATTGGGGTCAAGAATGACCGGCTCATAGTCTTTCACATAACGGAGATTGACTTTGCTGAGATTTGTGTAGGGATCACACCTGGATACACCAGTGGTGTAGAAAACAGCCGAACGATCATTGACGATGTTTGTGTACAGTGAGCGATGTTGGAACTTGGCAAGAGCAGATATGAATACGCTCTGAGGGTCTGCGAGGACACTCAATAAAGGCCTCCCTGTGTTTCTGAAGTTGTCAATGGTGAATAGCTGTCTCCCTGATATAGAGAGAGTTCTGGCGCCCAAAACATTCCACAGGTGATTTGAATATCCCGTCAATGGTGTCCTTACACCGAGATGAGGTGTGGCAAAGGTTGTGAAGTTCATCGGCGTTATTTTGTCAAAGTAGCCCTTGTGGTACAACAGTCCGATGGCGTACCGTGCGACGAGGCCCCCGAGCGAATAACCCACGATGGAGAATTTCGTGATTTTGTATCCATACCGGCTCAACTCATCGAGTTTGTCTTCGATCTCGCGGGCGACACGTTCTGCGCCAACCTCGATGCCATCGTATGTCAATCTGTTCCGAATCACAATCTGCCGTCAGTCGCAATTTGAGATAGGAGGTAACCTTTATGTGCAGGTCGAGGAAGAGGATGAGGATGCTGGATCAGGGGACTTACGATCCAGGATTGCTGCGACAGGCCACTACAACCAACTCCTCATCACTGTACTTGTCTTGCAAGGCTTGCGCAACAAAGTTGAGGTGGCTCTAGACGAGTGATTAGCATTCGCAATGAATCAGTCTTCTGCAAACTATACCGCGTTGCCCCAGAGCCTATGGAACCGTTAGTAATGTTGTTTCCAGAAGAAGCATTGCTGAGGCTGTGGCTGACCCGTGCACAAGAAAGACCGTGTGGTTGGCCTTGTTTGTTGGCGTCGACTGTCCTGATTTTGGAATGCCGGCCATATGTGAATCGTTGGTGGGAAAGAGAGACTGTTTGTTGATTGAGCGCAGGTCGAAGGGCAGCGCAGGCAGTGACGGCATTATGTATAAATTCGATGGACGGGTGCCAGGGGTGCCGATGTTAGCGTCTTCCGTCCTGCGGGCAGTGCCAGAACCGAGAGTTCAGGTGTCCAGGTAAGGGAAGGCCACCCGGGAATGGAGAAACAAAGCGGCCCGTTCAGCGGCGTTAGGGATGGACGTCACCACCAAATCCGACCCTACTGTATCTGGCTGACTTGAATTCTAATAACAATAATAATGACGTGTTTCTGTTTAATTTTTGGCAATGGAATGTTGAGGTGGAGTGTGTTTGTTTCGCATTGAGAATCTCCCGCAGTGAGTGTATTGAAGGATATTGGTACTGGTCTTCACAATCTGATCGCAAGAGACACAAACGACGGGATCCTAGTGGTGAAGGAGCCGAAATGCGAGTCTGGTTACACAACAACTTCAGACGACATGTTGGGTGACATGGTCTCCCATATATATTATTCTTCGTCCTCCATAGAACGTGGGATGGGATGCCCATTCTTGGTTTCTGTTGATCCTGTGGCTGGCCAACTGTCCTTATCTATCCTTGCTGCCTTGCTTTCAAGTCACCCCAAGGTACGGATAGTTGCTATCACTATCCGCACAGCGAGCACGGAGGACTGCTACGCGTAAAGTCTAAACCACGGGCGATAAGACCAAGCTAGGGTCGAGGCTAAAGCGTGCCCTGAAACAATCTTATTGGGCATGCTCGTGGTTAAGCCGCTTACTTATCGCCCTCTGCAAGGCTCCGACTTGCATCAACCAGAATTATTCTTAGCTCAAGGAAACTTCCTCTCCATGCTCATCTGTAGCCACACAAACACAGGGTTGTACCGTCCCTTTCCCCACGTTTATCCATAGCGTTTCCCTTTATCAACTCATACGTCGTCACTGGTTTGTGTGTACACAAGTATGTTTTCGGCTCTGGGGCTGTTCAAAGATGTCCCTTGCCCTCGGGTCAAAGACTGTACCTTCCCCAGTTGCATTTTTTCTCATCTTGAGGTCGAAGCAGAAGATGTCCCAGACGCAACAAAGGAGTATGATCCCTTCAGTGCGGGCAGGATCTCACCTCCACCTGCAAAAAGGAGGAAGATTGCATCGCCGCAAGAACAGACTTCGCGAGATGGTATTCCATCTACAGTTCCAAGCGTCATATCAACATCGCGAAAGCTCGGTCAGCATCAACCAGTGTCTGACGATGGATCACTTGGACAACCCAAGAGTGTTTCGAAGCCATCAACAAAATTGCTTGCCTCAACGCCTGTAGAACAAACAAAGTTGCCTCCCAGCTCTACAAAGAGAGAGGTATCTCCGCCTCCACTTAGGAAGAACAAAGCTGCAATTCCACCCGTCAAGAAAGAGTTCAAAGTGGAGACCCTAACACCTCGCAACGTTTCAAGAGCTCCCGCTGTGCTGAAGACAAGACTTTCAGTCCTTCAGGCTCTTCATAAACAGGCACAAGATCAGAACCAGAAATTGAAAGCCGCGGATGAAAAATGGAGGCCTTTTATTTTGGATGAGCAGGAATTGATTCGTTTTGCTCTCGATGAGGAGGAAGAGGCAACGAAGCTTGGTGATGACATCTACAGAAATGCAATGGCTCAGAACGTACTACGCATCAAGAAGATGAAAACGGAGGACTGGGTGAATAAAATCAAGGTCTGGACCGGACTTGATACAGGGATGGCCCAAACCTCGAAGAATGCGAAGAATGCTGATCTGTCCGCCTCATCTACAAAACAACTCTCGGTGAGCGAGGAGATTATACTACTTCAAAGACTCCGGACCAGTCTAGAGGGATTGGAAAAATTTGGTTATGTCACAGCACAACCCACCACTACGGAGATTGGGGCAGCAAAAGCGGCAATGTCATCAGCAGCCGGTTTCGAGAAATGTGATCGCTGCGGCACGAGGTTTCAGGTCTTTCCTGGAAGAGACGAAGAAGGCCGACTCACCAGTCACGGAGTGTGCCTGTATCACTGGGCCAGAATCAATCGGGGTGCTAGCGCGAAGACCGATAGAATCGTCGGTCGTTCTGAGGCGAGTTTCCCTTGTTGCAATCAGCTGGAGGGCAGTGAAGGTTGCACTGAAGCAGAGACTCATGTATTCAACGTCAAACATCCACCCAGATTGGCAAGTATCCTTCAGTTTGAACACACACCACACTCAAATATCTCATCCTCGGCGAAACCACTCTCATTCGACTGTGAAATGGGTTACACAACATTGGGGATGGAAGTCATCCGTCTGACTGCTGTGACTTGGCCTGAGGGTCGAGTAGTTGTCGATGTTCTTGTGCGACCATACGGAGAGATTCTTGACCTCAACACAAGATTTTCGGGTGTGACCAGGGAAGCTTATGCAAATGCCACGGGATATGAATCCGGCACTGAGCTGCAACCAACAGATCTCCGAAAAGTTGGCTCGCCAGCAATCGCTCGTCAGTTGTTGTTTGACCACTTGACACCTGACACTCCCCTTCTAGGACATGCAATTGACAACGATTTGAATGTTTGTCGAATCATCCACCCATTTGTCATAGACACAGTACTCCTGTATCCTCACCCTCGAGGACTACCGATTCGGTTCAGCCTTAAAGTGCTTGCTCAGAAGTATCTCTCAAGGGGTATCCAAACAGGGGGAGCTGCAGGACACGATTCCAGTGAGGATGCCATTGCGACAGGAGATCTCGTGAGGCATAAAGTTGGCGAGATATGGACAACACTACATCACGAAGGGTGGAAGTTTGTTGGTGGAGTATTGAAACAGTCACTTGACAGTCAGGGAGATGCGAAGACAATATCCATGCTGTAGCGACGGCATGTAGGGTTGCCGTATATCATGAAAAATGTTATCCAACAATAGCAAAGGAGTAGATATCTACCTAGACTTATAGTGTCACTCAACCCCAGGCGGAGATTGAAGATCCCCAAACAACTGCATTTCAGGTCGAGGAGGGTACTAGTTAGGACTCGAAATGCAACGCGGTGTGCAATAGCACTCTATTATGGCCTAGCGCGCTAGTGCCTGCATTTCGTGAGCCCCTTTCCAAATTCCAAGGTCAAGTTCCGACCCGCGTGTCAAGCCTGCCCTGTCTTGTGCCTTGACCGCGCTGCCCAATCTTCCATGAATTTGCACGCTGGCTTTCCTATCCGTACACCGTCCACACGTCCCCTGAAACTCACCTCGATCGCATAAAATTTGGCTCCAGTCTCACTGTCGACCACCGAGCACTCCAGGTGCTCTCCATCAAAACAACCTCCCATCAGTCACACGGTCAGGACCCTCCGCGTCGTACCCAGCAGTCACCGAATTTGCACCGCGACCTGTTATTACACTACATCGCAGTCAAAATTCCTCGCCCAAACGAAAAGGAATTCGATTAAGGATTTAGAAGGCAAAATCCTCGTTGTCGTAGCTACATTCAGCAATCAGACGGTGCCTTCGCGGCGACATATACAAAAATGGGAAACCAAATATCTAAAATGATGGGCAAGATCTTCGGATCGCGAGAAATGCGACTGCTTATGCTAGGACTCGATGCAGCAGGCAAGACAAGTAAGAAATCCAAGCCGGTCTTTCTGGCAATGCGCAAGAGTCAACCGTGACTGACCGTCAACAGCAATTCTGTACAAACTGAAACTCAATCAAGATGTGACCACGATCCCTACCGTTGGCTTCAACGTCGAAACTGTGACGTACAAGAACGTCAAATTCAATGTGTGGGACGTCGGTGGTCAAGACAAGATCCGTCCTCTGTGGAGGCACTATTTTTCTGGCACGCAAGGTCTCATTTTTGTGATTGACTCGAATGACCGAGCACGGATAGATGAAGCCCGACAAGAACTCCATAGAATCATTTTGGACCGAGAAATGAAGGAAGCTCTACTCCTGGTGTTCGCGAACAAACAGGACATTCCAGGCTCGATGACCCCAACCGAAGTCACGGAGAAGCTCCGACTCGGGCAACTCAAAGAACGCACCTGGTATGTTGTCCCCAGTTGCGCAACTACGGGTGAGGGACTACTCGAAGGCTTGGTAAGTGATCAGCACTCTCGAGGTGATATAGTGCTGACCAATGTCCCATAGAGCTGGCTTTCGACAAACGTAAAGCAGCAACCACGACCGGCGCCTGCGAAGTGATGACGCACTGTACCTGCTGGAGACCAGCTTGAACAATAACAACCTTTGTTTGATAATGATGGGCTGAGGTTTGGAATGATCGTTCGCCGACAATCTTGATACCAATTTGTGAGCGTTTTCCAGCAAGCATGGAGTAACAAATCAGGGGCGTCGACTTGCTTGCATTGTCGCTTTGGAGTCAACAGCACTTCTTTTCATCAATTGCTTGAGACACATTCGTTTCACAAACGCTGCGGACATATGGGGTCGAATTATGACCTGAGGGTCGATCAAGGGAATCAATCCGCAGATGTCGTATATATCAGTCAGGAGTCAAGGACACCAGCTTCGACTCATTTGTTGAAGGAGGAGGCGGATTGACTTTTCTTTATGAGCTTGTTACCATTTGAGGCGGACGGAGCGATCAAGTACCGAGCGGAACAGTGGCGTCTAAGAAGCGAGAAGTGGGATGAACAGGATAATAATGATACAGTACAATATGCCTTGCAACTGCAAATAGACAGAGACCTCCCCACGAGCAGAAAAAGATATCGCGAGTGGGGTGAAGGAGCCCTACCCCTGGAGCCCATTCCCTAGCCGTCAATCATACGGGCATTGGGCCAGAACCTGGATCAACGTATAGGAGTAGATTATCCGTCCCGAGTCCATGTGTTGACCCCGACACGATCAGATATCCGTACACCGAGTTCGTCGGTGTAAAGAGGCGAGAGCACATGGCTTTTAGTCGGGTAGCCTATCGACGGATCGAACTTTGACTGCTCGCCTAATTGAAGAATCAATGGAAAGCCACGGTGGAGGTATTCACTTTACAGCTTTTGAGACTTTGGTGTCCAAGGTAATTACCTCGTGTCCCGCATGACATCTCGTGGGAATTGAGTCCGAGGGTAATCCAGCATCACTTGGCTGTACATCAGATAGCATCCGTTTGGTGATTTTTATGCACTCCGAGAACACTCGGAGCCAGATAGTAATGATGCCAACACACGAGTATTTCCCTCTAATGATGCTAGCAGAAACTAGTGGTTTGGGAATTGATCAGTTAGACTTCACTAGTACTCGTAACTCCTCAATGCCCCTCCACATCATGAAACTCTCCTTGCAAATGATGTACCTCACACTACGAGAACAATGGCAAGGGACTATTCAAACGCCCTCCGCTCCCAGGCTGTCAGTGTCAACGCCCGCCACATTGCATTGCACGGTACGAGGGACAGTACTCGTACTCCGTACTCGTAACTTCCTTCCCCATCTGCAGACTGCAATGGATCAATATGCACCTTCTTTGGTACGACCAAGAATCTCCAACTGCCTTAGTCCTGCAACTAGTTCTTTATGCATCAGTCAAATGTATCCATCTGCGAACCCCTGAACCAAATTCAGAGAGCGGTTGCCGTCCTAGTTTGGATCCATATGCAAGGGCAAGGGACAAGAGTGACAAGCGAGAAGTGATTGCATGGTTTCCATCCCCCCCTTGCATGCAGAGGGAGAGGGAGAGGGGTCTTTTTCCGTTCAAGATATCGAACCTGGTCAACCCCATATCGGGTCCGCGTGCTTTCTGTTTCCAATCCACACCTCCCTTCTCACAAATGTCGTAAATTAACAGTTTATTTCTCGCCACGCGCCTGGGCCTGCCTCCCCTCCCTCTTCTCTATCTATCTAGCAGAGCACGGAAAAACAGAACGTGCACTGACCAGCGAAACTCTGGACCGCCACTGAGTCACTAACTTGGACCACCAGACACACAGACTGGAAAAGGTCCCGCTCTACGCCATCTGGCATCTGGCACATCGGGCCGTGCCAGCCTAAACACTCTGATCAGGGCCACTTGGTTCCCCTCAAATTCACTTCGCGAATCGATTGCACTGTGGAAAGGGCACCATTAATTTCCAATCTTCCCCCTTCCTGCTTCGATCCGCCTGCCTGCCCTCTCAGACTTGGTTGTCTCTGGTCTGCTTGAGTCTCTTTTGTTCGCTTCATCTCCCACTCAGTCGCCGAGTGTTACTTTGGTTACCTGCATCTTCATCATGGCTACCAACGGCGCTTCGAAACCCTCGGTCTTGATCGTGGGTGGTCTGGGTTCGTGCTCCCGTTTTACGCCTTCTCTGTAGCCCGTGCTGATGTCACTCAGGATATATTGGCCGCTTTCTGGCCAAACACATACACGATCAGCAGCTCGCGTCCACCGTGCGAATAGTCGACAAGGTTCTGCCTCAACTGGCTCATCTTGCGCCCGAGTTCGACGAAGCATGCTCCCCCCAGATCTGTATCCAGGCCGATGCCTCCCGCGAGACCTCCATGGCCAAGATCTTCGAACACCCAGGCGGCCCTGATGCGAAGTGGGACTATGTCTTCAATCTCGCAGGTGAGACCATGTGGTCACAGACACCCGAAATATACAGGCTGCGGTCGCTGCAAGTCAGTGTCACCTTAGCCAAAGAGGCGGCCAAGTGCGGAGTCAAGGCGTTTGTCGAGGCAAGCACAGGCATGGTCTATGCTCCCAACCGGACGCCACGCACGGAACAAGACAAGTTAAAGCCTTGGCTTAGGTTGTCAAAGGTGAAACTTGAGGCCGAGCAAGAGATAGCAAAGATACCGGGTCTGAATCTGGCCATTCTCCGCCTCCCCTACGTTTATGGCGACTACGACTCCAAGTTCTTTGCAAAAGCCCTGTGTCTCTCACGCGTGTACCAAGAAACTGGTGAAGAACTCAAGTGGTTGTGGACCGAGGATCTTCGCATCAACACAGTCCACGTGGAAGATACTGCCCGAGCGTTCTGGGAAGTGGCCGTGTGGAGATCCACGCATGACAGCATTCCCCCTTCGTCACCAACCTCGAGTCGACGCTCGACAATAGGCTCGAGAGGAGAGGACCCTCCTGCCGGGAATGTGCCAATCTTCAACATTGTCGATCACGGCGATACGAGTCAGGGCAAACTGGCAAGTATCTTATCCGAGGTGTTCGGTATCAAGACCGGTTTTCAAGGCTCTTTGATATCTCAATTCGCAAGGCTGAACCTCGATCGTGTCGTTGACGAGCTGAACGAAGACTGTTTACAAGAATGGGCCGATCTACTGGAACGGAAAGAAATCACCCAACCTGGCCCACTGACTCCATTTCTTGAGAAGGAGCTTCTCAAAGACGCCGACTTGAGCCTTGACGGGAGTCTGTTTGAGAAAGTCGTGGGGTTCACCTACAAATACGCCGATGGATTAACACCCGAGGTTATCAAGCAGATAATCGCCAGCTACGAAAAGATGGGATGGTGGCCTTAACACTATTTCCCCAACTTATCGATACATATTTACTTTTGCACCACTATACACCCAGATTCGAGTACGGGCCGTTGATAGTTTGGTGAAGTTGTCGAGTCGGCGCCTAGACACACACTGCCCCCGCATTACCGCCCGATTGGCAAGCCCTTCTCCTTTCTCACCGTCCATGGCATACTGGGAATGGGTGAGGCTACAGCATACCGTACCGCTGTCGTTTGACTCATGACGGTCAGATGTGATGTAATGCGATGAATGAGATTGACTAAATTGAATAATGATGACGAAACGACGAGGAAAATGTTGGAATGAGGGATTTAATACAATACAAGTGTTTATCAATACCTGAGTGGTGGGTTATTCATATTCCTGCCTCCGCGGAAGCAAGGAGACAGCTGTCGTGTACTATGCTGCAAGAACTCTGTATATTGTTCACGAGGCGATCTTAAACCGGTACCAGTTCTCGTATCAGCATGGGTATGTATGACGGTCTAGAGGTTTGGAGATTATCAGTATGATGAAGAGGCTGGCCAGGGCTATGATCAGGATCGGAATGCACGGAGTCTAATTATAGCAGACTCTGTGAGATTACACTCAGCAGGCATAGCGAGGTGTGGAAATCGACCCGTGGGTATGAGGTTAACGTTTGCATGCGTGTGACTACTGGAAGGGGGCTATTGGACGCCAGGGTTACGATCGCTAGTCAGTAGGTAGCTGTTGGAATACACAGGACCTACCCAGGTACTCTGAAGTAAGATTACGATCAAACTCCATCACAGCCCATGACGTGACTCGTGTAGCACAACAGCAGACCAGATGGGTTCCTTATTGACCGTGTTCTGTGCGTGGGCTTTACCTCAAATCCATGGTCGGGTCATTGATTCAAGCCAACTAGTATGGATTGAACATGCTGACTATCGTGATGGACGGTCGTGCCGCTCTGATCTAGGTATCTAGCTGTGTGACTGGATCCATTCCGCTCGGACAGCACAGCCCAAGTCGAACGACATTTCAGTTTGACCGAAACGTGGCTTCCATGCATTATCCATCCAAGACGCAGGAGTGCATGCGTCAGTATTATACATCGCAACATACCTCGTGCTTGATCGCTAAACTTCCAGCAAAATGACTCGCCCAGAGCCACACTGACCACCCATCCATTCATCTCTAGCCAGGTAATCTATATATCTCTTTCCACCATTGAAGCTCTCAAAAACCCGTACACAGTAACAACACCCCATCCAATCTCAATTCCTCATGGTCGTCATGCAGTCGTGAGTATCGTGATCATAGCAGCCGAAATGCCGCACACTTCTGCTCGCACCCATCCCTCCCTACGGCGTCAGATTCAAAACACAGACCTTCATGCGCCAGAGCCGAACGCCCATGCGTGCAGCCTCGCGCAGGTCGTGCTGGAAGTCGCGCCATCCCAGCTTGATGGTGTTCCACTGCTCTTGGTCGAAATCGGCGTTCTGCGCGGCGATGGCTGCGGCGGATTCTGCTGCATGACCATTGTTGAGTTCTGTGTCTTGGAATGGCGGCTCCGCGTCGTCGATGTCCATTGCTTCCGGATCAGGAGTGCCGTTGGTGGTCGGGGCATCGGAGGAGGGTTGCTCGCCGTGGGATTGTTCGTCGTTGCTCATAAGCTGCGTCAATCCGCTGGGGATGAAGCGGCAGCGGTCGTTCCAGCCGTAGCTCAGGATCCAGCCGAGGATGGACGAGGTGGGTGGGTCGACGCGGGCGATGACACCGAGGAAAAAAGGGCCCAGGTCGTAGTTCTGCACCGGTGCGTTGGGCCAGTGGTACGCTTGTGAGCATGTCGTACCTGTTGAGCGTGCGGAGGTGTGCTCTGAGTACATGGTTGATGCAGTCACGAGCGGCACGCTGAAGAGACTGCTCGTCGAGAGCACGCCACACGTGCTGATCCAGATCGACATGTGTGAGGGTGGTGTGGTGGGGACGAGGGCGGAGAGAGGCATATGTTGTGGGATGGGGTTTCCGTTGGATGTGAAAGGTTCGCTTGAGAGTGCTGGTGGTGCTTGAGGAGGGGTCGCGTCGAACATAGTCTGTTCGGACGCTTCGGTTGTCGGAATTAACGAGTCTTGATCAGCGCCGACGAGACCGGAAGGATGGTCTAGTTCTTCGAGCCGTCCGATGTATCGTTCCCAAAGTTCTTCAAATATCCTCGGATCCGTATGTGCTCGAATATCGGCTACTTCAACAATAAGGGCTTCGATGGCGGCGCCTGCTTCCTTTCTGCTCATCGGTTTATTTCGACTGTGAGTTTCGTAGCTGAGTCTGGTGGCCAGGACTCGTGTTCTCAATTCATGCGCCGCTCCTGGGCGATGGAAGGGCAGCGAGGGTGATGGGAAGCCATGTGTGTCTGTGTCTCCGAGATATGCAGAGTCAAATTCAGTGTCGACTGAGAGGGCCGGACTGTCCTCTCCTGTGCTGCGACCCCGTTTCTTCGGCGCAGCCTTGATTTCGAAGATGACGTTGCGCATCCGAGGCCAGAGATTTGCCAGGATTTGATAAAATCTAGAAACCGATGAATTGTCAGCTGTAATCATGAGATTCTACGCAAAGATGTGAAGGCCATACCTGGCATTGTGTTCACTGTCTCCTCTCACATAGTTCAAGCGTTCTTCTCCTTCGTCGAGTTGATCAACCGGTAACAGCCATCCTTTATACTCTTCCCAAACGTGACCACCAAAGCCTCGTAAGAGAAGGTCGGTCAGCGTTCTGATACTAGCCTCACTCCCACGTTTGAGATCATCGATGTGTTTGTTGCGCACGATGCGAAGAACCTGTAGGTAGAACCGATCATGGAGTGCTGGTGTGATTTGGAGCTGGCGGTATAGATCTTTGTAGATAGCTCCTTGGTGTTCCTTCTCACTCGCCTGACCCTGGTTGAGTTTGCGCAGCTGGGTGCCAGGGACATCGGTCAGGTCCTTGGTGTCAGCGACAAGGCTAGCTACCTCTTCCGCACTGAGATTGGGCATCTGCCCTTTCTCGGAAGACGGGGCCATGGTTTACGTGTAGGTAAGATGTGTTTGGGTTTGTCGAATTTCGGGCATTCTCGATTTTGGAACTGAAAGAATGGTTGAAGAGAGCGCGGACGCGCTGTTAGGTCTGCACTTCCCTCGATACAACGCTGAAGTGAAGACTATGCCTTCACTCACACGGACTTCGGAGTGCACGACTCATAGGTCACGACTCACCGGAGTTCAATGATAGTGCGGCGGCCTCCATCATCAAAGTGAAGTCAACCTGGATCCAAGCGGGTTGATCCCAAGAGAGCAGTGTACCCTTCGGTAGCGGTAGCGTTCATGTTGTCAAAGATCTTCTTTGTCTGGGTGATATTGAGGCCCCAGCTCTGTTTGGCATTGTTTTTGACTATTCAAGGCTGTCCCTCAACTCCATGGGACAATGAGGTTGAAGGATCTGGAGGCTGAGAAATACGTAGATAGTATGTCTAGCTCAAAGGGCACGCGCCAGTCAATTGCACTTACTGATTACACCAGGGATCGAGTGATAACGATGACATTATTGTCAGAGCTCTCTCTCGATGGCTAGTCTGGAGATGGGTCCGAGCTTATGCCTTGCCCGACGAGCCAGGTAGACTAAGCCACAGGCACCAGCCACAGGTAAACAGACCACCTGTCACTTTGAGGGTTTGCGGTTACGAGTACGAAGTACGTTCCTGCTGGCGCCGGGAAATAAAAGATTAAAGCTTACAAGACGCGTTGAGTCCCCGAAGGCCCAGGTGGTTTGTGCCCGGGACACCTACCGGATATTACTCCCTAATTACGGCATTGTGCAGCAAACACCCCAGACTTGATCGGCCTCTCGTCAGCCTCCCTGTTCCGCGTGTCCCTAAGCACTCCACAATCAATTTGACAGTGTCAGATTGGCTTTGCACGTCCCCTTGGCACATCATTTCCCCCTTTGTGCCTTTGCGTGGCTGATTACCAGGTACCGAATGTCCAAACACACGCCTCTCACTCTGCGGAGCCGAGTCCTAACTTAGATCCGCAGACTGCCACGCATCGAACTAATCGTGCATCTTCAACGTCGACTGTTTCGCCTTTCCTGCATCTCCAACCTCGTCTGTCTTGGATCTCCGTGCGACGATCATGTCATGGAACCTCTAATCTATGATGCCTCTCCTCTAGCCGAATATCTAGAGGCCGATGCCATTCCATTCGAGACCGCCAGTTCCTCCCCTCCACTCTCACCTTTGATCAAAACATTTGCTCCTCGAGGCCTCCCAAAGCTGCGAGAGGGCCTACGAACGATCCGACAGACTGCTGCCTCGGTGAAAGATATCGCCAACGAAGAATTCTTAGAACGATTCCGCTACCTAATTGTTGCTTCCCAGCTGCTCTCAAATGATCCTAAGCCTCGAAGGCAACGTCCAAATGAACAAACGATCGATCCTCCACCCCTCTCAATCAAGGGTGTTCTTATAAGCGCCGGACTCTCCTTCTCCATCGCTTGGTTCTTACACACGCTTCGCCGTCAACAACGCGGCCAAACTTCTTTTCCTTTGTCACAATTATTGGCCTACGCCACCCTACTATGCGGAGGTTGCATAATATTTATTTATTTTGCTCGGCGACAATACCTTGAATTCGTCAGGCAATCCGCAGGTTCTATCTTGGGCAAACTCATCTTGACGTCTCATGATATTGATGGGGTAGCCAATGAAGGCTTGCGCTTTGCACAGGAGGTTGAGGTTGTCTCCCGTGGATATGAAATGTAAGCTCTGTCTTAAGTCGTGTTCCCGGTCTCAAGCTGACATGATGTAGAAGCCTACCTTTACCACCAATCAGTCGTCTTGAAGATGGACGCCCAGTTGGACGATGTCGGGAACTGAGAAGGACAATAGCAGCCGCCCTGACAGCCAGTATCAGTCACTGCGTCAGCTCTCACAATGCCATGCAAGTTTTCGTGAGAGATACTGATTTGCAGAGATACCATGACATATACGACGTCTCGATGCAAGATTATGCCGATGCCATTGCATTTGCGAACAAAACCGCCGACGAATCTCAGGACTCCTTGAAGGAGCTTCGGTTCCTGTTTCGTCTGCATTTTATCGCGAGGAAAGTCTTTCTGTGTGATTTACTGGCCCTTCATTCCGGATCTACATGGCAAAACATTCGTCAGTGGCGTAATACCCTGCAACTCTTGCAAGACTTGGACACAGCCTTTTCGAAAATTGCCCAGAGGCTTCAATCTGCCATGGCGAGCGAAGCGTTTGTCAAGGACGCCTCGATTGCAACTTCGGAAGAGACCGATCCATCACTGAATCGAGATGTCGAAATTAGAACTCCTCAAAGATTGCATACCAAAGCCCAGTTGCGTCGGTTTGAAGCCGTCGCAAATGCCATTCACTCCCTCAACGCCAAGATCCGGTTGTTGAGAGATGACATCAATGCACCTGTTACTCATGGCGATGAAGCAGCGTTCAGTACCACCTTAGCTCGTCACTATGAACACCTGGGTGCTGATCTGCGGAATGCCTTGATTGAGTGGGAGAGAGGTCGAAACACAATGTTCCTCAACGTTGCTGTCGAATCTGAAAACAGGCTCTCAAGGGCATCGAGCATTCGATCTCCAGCGTCGCCCTCTCCGAGTAGCCTCGGTGGAATGACTGTGGTTGATGGTGGGCCTGCAGAAGCATTCAAGCTGTTGAGTGGCGATGAAAAGAGCACATCTGATGGCGCTGGGCCCGATGAAGAAGTCTTTGAAGCAGTGGCAATGCCTCGCAAAAGGATGTCTTGGGCTCCAATGAGCAGAGAAGAAAAGCTCAACAAACTTCAAGAGGACCGGCGCAAGCGAGTAACCATGCAGGAACAAGCAGACAACACCACTAATATGCTGAGAGAGTTACAGATGGTCATCAAACATCGGCCGAAAGCACGAGTCAATACCCGCATAACCTCCATCTGATGACCTATCCTGTGGCATCCTTCCCCAACGATCTTCTGCAGCCCGGACTTGGACCAGAACATTTCCTTACACCACGATTTCTCAAACACGACGAAGCTAACGACATAGAGAAGGATTTTGATTTAATTTTTATTGGCCTAGCGACTACGCACACTTGGGGCAAATAATCGTAAATTTTGATGAAGCGTTCCTGCACAAATGGTATCCAAAAATGAGGCGGGTCTCGGCATTGGCATTCCTTGCGATATTGGGCGGTAATTAGTCACGTTCTTTGAAGCGAGCAGCAGATGCAATAGAAAGTATTTTTATGGTGCTCGGTCCATGAACTGAGCACTCGCAATCAAAAATATGACAATTATTAAACAACCTTAAGGATTAGAATTGTGCAGGTCAACTTCTGCGATGACGAAGTGCCCAGTTCTCGAGATCACCGAAATGATTTGTAAACTTTCCAATTTCTGACTTCAGTAGCCGCAAGATAACCTAGACAAATGGGAAGTCTAGTTGTCAAAGAATTGCAGCGAACCCTCAGATCACCCGTGATGATGAATACTAATTAGTGTTAATAGTGATCGGTCATGGAAGCCAAAATCTCCTAGGGACGATCTAGAAGGGAATTGATCGGGCATGGAAACATTGTCGATTCCCCACCCCTTCCACCTGATAGGGTTGATCGAGCCACTTTTCCAGAGAGGTTGATATGTTCGGGTCGACAGACCACCCGGCGTCTGCTTCCCCCGGTCGAAACAGCGAGGACCGAGACTTTGAAACTCGTCCTAGCAGGGAGGAACTGCCTAGGTAGACCGTAGTTAACGCACGTTCCCGGAGTTCTGCTTCCTCCGGTCCGGCTTGTGTAACCACAGGGCTGAGCCAGACCTTGCCGTGCCGTCCAAAACTGTCAGATAAGCCTCCAACTGACGTTCTTCCCCAGTACTTCAAACTAAAAGTCGATGACCCTCGATGGCGTTCGCAATTCTCGCACTCTTCGCGGGTGCCTGTGTTCTCACTGCCTTCCAACAGCTTCTAAACTTCGCTGGAAAAAGGCCTCAACTTGTCGCGACCGCTAAAGTTCATCATCCCTTGCGCTGCTTGGCCCGTAAGATAGCTCTTGGTTTCCTTTGACATCCGGGGGCAAACCTTGACTTCGACTCGGGTCGATTCCATTACAATGATGAGGATTGACACGATACGCCAGTGGGCAGTGCTTGCTGGGGACTTTCGAGACACTTCTGGCTCACTGGAGCAGCCTTGTGAGATGGAGAAACGGCGACCTCCAACCGCATCCGTCCGTGTCTCCATCCTGCCACCGGGTATCGCCTTCTTGCTTGAGTACCTTGCGGACGGTTCGATCCATTTCGTCGTTGGTCAATTGCACGGTCTTAGCCCCTTCAGTATGCTCAATATCGCCACAGTGTCCGGCAAGCCTCCTTCGGCGTTGCATTGTCCCTGCAGGTAATGGACCAAGTATCGAACAGGTAGGTCGCTCGTTTTTCCATGTCACGCACCCTGCAGATCACCACATGGCTGTCCTTGACCGCGGTTGGTTGTGGGTAGTGCGGCTTGGAAGGTATCACCCTTGAAGCCGGCCAGACCACTTTGTTCAATCTAACATCATCATACCATTCGCCACATCTCTGCCTCACTGTTCTTGGGGTCACTGAGATATAGGCTGCCAGAGACCTCGAGTGGCTGAAACGTTCTTCAAAGATATGCGCATATTGAGAATTTTATGGTCGCAATTGCCGTTGAATCGCCGTTTCACAACCTTTGTTTCCAACCATTTGTCGACAGCTTGGCGAATCGCGCTTGATATTGGGCCCCTGTGCAGAGGACGCTTCAAGGGCCTGCATGTGTGGGCGGGAATCCAGGTGGATAGGCCATTTCCTCTTTTGAGGTCCACTCGTGGACGGTAGCTGTTATATCTCGCAGCTAACATGTCCTCTACACGCCACATCTTTACATCTCGCTCTATCGAAACTCACACCCACAAAGACAAGCCATCCAAAACTGCTTCAAAACAACAAACTATTCTGCACAGCCACAAGCGAACTATGTCGAATCATGCCTGGAGTTTGAGAGACGGAGATGGGCAATCACGCGAAGATCAGGTCCATGCTGCCATCCGTGAAGTAAGGCGCATTGCTGATTGGCGCTCGTCTAACCCAGATACCTTGGACCAACGCCTACACTTGGCCAGAACTGCAATCAGCACACTCAATTCCACGGGGTTGACTTGGATCCACAGTGACTCGAGAGATCGCATCTTTGTTATTAGCACGCTGCAGAAACTCGCATATCACGAAGCTGATGCTGAAGGAGTTGCAGACATAGCGGACTGGTGTATGAGCCAGTGGCTACAACTATTACAGAGAGATGGAGAAAGCCTTAGCGTACTCAGAGGTTTGTGCCCTGGCTGACCAATCTTCAAAATTGACTTACATAAGAGGTAGGGTTGGGCCAGGCTTGGTTAGCTCGATCCCAGAGCATTCTGGCACGAATACACTGTCAAGAGGGGAGCATATCCAGTGGTAGCAGTGGCCGGCCACGCAGCCAAGGTGAAGTGCCCCCGTACACTTCCACCGAGGATGCAAGAGATGCTGAGCGCGCAGCAGCAGAAGCGGATACGAGGGCACATACAGCAGATTATGTGGAGGCCAGAACAATGCTCATACCAGCAGTTGACTATTTCTCAAGGGCAATCGAGGTTGCTGACAGGGATGGAGGTCTTGACGGGGATCTTTTGTCAGAGGTTCGCGGGTTCTTTCTCCTTCCACATGGCCCTTTGTCTGCTGTAAAAGGCTGACTGATTTTGATACCAGGCTGCGGAAGCGACCATGAGTCTTGGCAATGTCTCCTACTCACATTCCAACGAACAGCAGTTCCACAGAGCGGTCAGATATCTCCGGCGTGCTTCTCAGATACCAGGGTATCGCCTCTCTCCGTATCTACAGGCGTGAGTTCCCTCCTTTTAATTTCACTTGGGTACGGCAGTTAACTTCATGTGTTCTATCAGATATCTTGACGAGTACGGTCGTTTGGTCGATTGATCACGGTTTCCGGAGATAATTACGACTGCTTTGAGGGTCTCAGGCATTGTGTTGCAGGCAACCTTGCACGTGTGTATGAAAGGATGACGCTTGTTTTTCTTAAGATGCTTTACAGGCGTCTGGTAGGGTAGATAGCGCATTCTTTGTCACGGAGGTATTTACCATTCCCTCCATCATACCACTCTACACTCCAGAATGAAATCGGCCTACAACGTGCTCCATCCTCGTGTTCGTAGAATAGCTAGGCCTCCGATCCTGGATCCTGTAATTTGCTGTAAACCTCGGATTTACCGTTAGCCCTACAACCATACTGGCGGAAACGTAACAGAAGTAAAATTGTCCCCCTCGCAGCAAATCTCCCCTGGCAGTCCGTCTGCCACTCGTTTCCAATTCCCTTCGACCCTCGGATCCGGATGTAAGAATTGCAGAATGTACTTTTGCCACTATGAGCCGCAGTCAATTCTCCTTTTCACCTAACCTCTGAGAGCTAATGCGCTTCCTGCAGTAACCACGCAGATAGGGCTTACCAGCGTACCCGTCGTCACGCACAGTGGCTGAAGCCATTACGCTCTATTAAAAGTTGTGCAGCAAGGCCGGCCCGGGTCAATCTAGAATTGAAGTCGTTGTCCGAATGTAGATAATGGGCATAGCACTTGCTAATTCCGTGAAAAATGAAAGATGGATAAACATATCTCATTGCACAGGAAAAGAAATCCCTCTGCTTTCTAGTCGGATCCGCAAATGACATATCTGGGGTTGACCAAAATGATGACATACTTTCGTACATGGGGGCGGTAGTAGTCGGCGATGGCGCTAAAAGCTCTAGCGTCAGTTAGCTCATCAAAAGACTTTTAGATAGCCTGGCAAGGCAAGTATTCCGACAGCGCCAAGCAAATTCAATCAAATCCATTTTAGGTTAGAGTCAACGCGAGCCGCGCCTGGAAATCACCAGCACCGCGTTCCTAAGTAAATCCAAAATTCCCCTCTTCCAGTTCACAAACAACAGTCGCGACTCTGAAGCAGCTCATTTGAAATCTGATATCTCTGATATCCTTTATCCCTGAAGCGGACCGTGTTCGATCAAATACAAATCTGCAACCAGTATGTGTGCTATGTACCTGCGTCCCACGCTTTAGACCACGATATTGATGACTTCCACGCAGTGTTAGAGGCACGCCTAGAACAAGCCGCTTCTTTGAAGAAGGTTGGTCTTGCCAACAAAATCCCATCCCGGGAGCATCAAACTGACATCTTACAGGTGGTTGATGCCATCAAGGATCTGGTTCAGGACTGCAATTTCGACTGCAATGACTCCGGCGTGGCCCTCCAGGCGATGGACAACTCACACGTCGCCTTGGTGTCCATGATGCTCAAGGCCGAGATGTTCTCACCCTTCCGCTGCGATCGAAATATTGCCCTTGGCATCAACTTGACCTCTCTGACGAAAGTACTACGTGCAGCTCAGAATGAGGATATTCTCACACTCAAGGCAGAAGATGCTCCTGATGTGGTCAATCTGGTCTTTGAAAGTGCCGAGTCGGACAGAATCAGTGAATATGATATCAAGTTGATGGACATTGATCAAGAGCATCTGGGTATTCCAGACACAGAATACGCTGCCACCATTGAGATGCCTAGTGCAGAATTCCAGCGCATCTGCCGAGATTTGATTTTGATGTCTGAATCTGGTATGGAGCATGCAAATTTCCTGGCTTTCTGAAAACTTGTGCTGACCTGTAAAGTATCCATCGAGGCCAACAAGGATGGTGTCCGCTTCGCATGTCAAGGTGACATTGGTAGCGGAAGCGTCACTGTTCGGTCACATACCAATGTTGAGAAGGAGGACCTGAGCGTGAACATCAACCTATCGGAGCCCGTGTCACTCACATTCTCTCTCAAATACCTGGTCAACTTCTGCAAAGCCAGCGGTCTTTCAAACCGTGTCAAGCTCTGCCTGTCATCGGAGGTGCCGTTATTGGTGGAATACAGTCTCGCGAGCAGCAGCTTCTTGCGGTTCTACTTGGCTCCTAAGGTAAGTCATGCTACCTCTACATATGCTGGATCACCGTTCTAATCTCTTTCCTAGATTGGTGACGATGAATAATTGCAACGACCCAGGTTCGGTTCATGTTCTAGACCACGATGCCTGCCATGGCCTCAATGGTGTGATCCGAGAAGTTGTCAAAAGATGTTGCGCTTCTGGTGTCGGCGAGGTCCGCAAGTTTCAAATCATAGATTTATGCAAGCTTGTACGGGAATGTACGGCCATTGTGCTGTAAAGAACAAGAATGTTCTCGATCTGAGGCTGCACGAACAGTGCGGTGATGGGCACTGCGGAATACGAATTACGAAGGAGGCGCGTGGGGGAGGGGGGAAGCAGCCTTATCGAAGTGGAAGCACCTACTTATCGGATTAGGCTACGTCACCGCCGAACTTAGGTAGTTTGTCGCACGTAAATTTGTTGCGGCGAAGAAAGGCTCGTGACTCCCAATACCAAAGCGACATATTTCTCTACGAAAACAACCCTTTGAAGTCCTGTCAGTTGTTGGGCCTCTCTAATTTTTCGATCTGAGCAGTCTCTTGCCCGGATGGCCACCTTGGAGTCTTCTGTGCCCGAGACCAAAGTGCTTGCCATCGCCAGTCATGTATGCGCCGCCCGCCGTGTGATTGATAGTCCCTTGTTTTGAATCTTTTCCTCACCCCTTGACGCATACGTATATGTTGCTTTGAGACGATTGCATTGCTGACTCGTCGATATTCAAGGTCGTTTACGGGTAAGTGTTGGTTTTCATTCGGGGGTCATGCACTCCATCCGATATGAGAGCCCTAAGGATTGACCATGTTGTCCCTCTCCGTGGTACAGATATGTCGGCAATAAGATGGTAACGACCACCCTGCAGGCCCTGGGGTGTGATGTTGCGGCCATAAATACTGTCAATTTCAGTAAGTTGACAGTCTTGGTTGCATCTTGTCTTCCGACTATCTTTTTTCTTAATCATGCCGTGGGGAATCTTTTACGAATTCCCTCATTTCGATTCACATAAGCCGGAAATCAGTATTATTTGGCCAAGTGAACTCCACTGATGACGAGTTTCGCTCTACATAGGCAACCACACTGGTTATCGACAAGTTAAAGGGCGACGAACACCGGCATCTGAAATCCGCGAGCTCTACGATGGCTTACGGCAATCCTACCTGACGGACTTTGACATGCTGGTTTCGGGCTACGCACCTAGTGCAGACGTTGTCGATGTCGTTGGCTTTATTGCGCGCGACCTACGGTACCGCTCGACGGTGAAGCCAGGAGGATTCTTCTGGATTCTTGATCCTGTCATGGGCGACCAGGGGCGGCTCTATGTCGCCGAGGAGATTGTCCCTTCTTATAAACAGCTCGTACGTGAAGCAGATCTCATTCTACCGAACCAATTCGAGGCCGAGCTACTCAGCGGCGTCAGCATCAGTAGTCTCAGCGGCGTCGCAAATGCAGTAAGGACGATGCACAAGACGTTCGGTACGCGGCACATCGTTGTTACGAGCGTGGGTGTTGGGGAGGGCAAATCAGAACTCTTGACTGTGGTAGGCAGCACGAAGAAGTCTGATGGCAGTGCACGGCTCTTCAAGGTTGAGGTTCCCAAGCTGGACTGCTTCTTCAGTGGCACAGGTGACATGTTTGCTGGGTTGATGGCGGCCCGGTTGAGGGAGGCATGCGCACATGCCGATCTGCTTGCGAGGGCTGGGTGGGCGCCCGACGACGATGTCGAGTCCGTCGACCTGCCTTTGGCAAAGGCAACGGAAAAGGTTCTCAGCAGCATGCAGATCGTACTGGAGAAAACCCTCGCTGCCAGGGACGCAGAGATGCAATCCTTTGGAACCAGTCCGGGTGCCAGCGTGGGTGGTGTGGAAGGTGAAGATGGCGGAGATAGTGAAGGCAAGAGGAAGTATCTTGCCCAAACTAAAGCTGCAGAGGTGAGAGTTGTTAGGCACGCGAAGGATCTGTTGAACCCTGAAGATAGATACAAGGCGGAAGCACTGGAATAGTAGACCGAGTGGCAGCATTGTTCTGAATCCATGAGTCCTGCCACGCAATGTTGGGCCACTTTGGTCCTGACTGAAATCGGCAGTTCTGTTGCTACTGTAAAGAGACTCCCCACAGTCTTGAGCTCTATCTCAGCTTTTGTTCCACCGAGTGACGCCAAAAGTAACAGCCCCGAAGTTTGTGTCGTTCAATTGCTGTGCCGTCATTGACACATGATAGCATTCACTCCCCATTCAACCAGTACTTCCAAATCCACCAGCCCCTCTAACACTCTCCTCAAGATTCTCCACCTCCAAGATCTCCGGCGTGTATATCCGCTCGAGGACCAACTGCGCTACACGGTCGCCCTTGTTCACCTCGAAGTCGACGTCACTGTGATTGAACAACAGCACTTTCACCTCACCACGGTAGTCGGCATCGATGACACCCGCCCCGGTGTCAATGAAGTTCTTGGACGCCAGGCCCGACCGCGGCGCGACGCGACCGTAGGTGCCTTCCGGCGTTGCAATGGACAAGTCGGTCGACACGAGCGCTTTTCCACGCGACGGGATGGTGGTCGCCTTCGAGGCGTACAGGTCGTAGCCGGCGGCGGAGGCCGAGCCGCGAGTAGGGATTGTTGCGTCCGCCGAGAGCTTCTTCACGAGTAGAGGCGGTTGAGACGTGCTGGTGAGTTTGGCGACGGCTGGGCCGTTGCTGTCGGGCTGTGCTGTGCTGGTGGATGACATTGTGGATTGTTTCTGACGTTTGGGGAGTGGTGAGTTGGGTAGTGAAGGTGGAAGGTGATCTTTGCCCTGGGTGGTCGTAGTTGGAGGTGGTGTGGAGATTCTGGTCATGCTCGTGTGTGTAGGAAGTCTCTACTATGTTGTTTAAGGAGCGAAAGGAGTTTGGTATGCAGTAGTACGATAGGATATTTTTTGGACCTCACCGCTTCTGCCCCTCCATCTGCTGGACGCGTAAAGTGGCCGACGCGTTTTCTTGTCAAAATAGGCCGGATCATTACACGACAAACGCTTCGCTTCGCCTTGTTCTGCTGCGCCTGAGCCTTCCGGGCTTACTCTCCAGGTGTTAACCGAAACTGGCCATGATCCATTAGTCCCCCATGAAAGATCCGAGGTTAAACAACGTCGATTCGGACATTGGAATGGGCGACATTTGGGCTTCCTCGGCCAGCAACCAGAAAGGTTAATCCTTCGCCGAAGGACAACCGCTCCATGAAAATCGTCTGTTGCGCCGTCCAAGCTGGTCTGGCCATTTCCTCTCTTCTCATGTCTGAGTAGGAAACACACAGGCAACATCATGGCGGGACCTGTAAGACAACCGATCGACCTTGCTTCTCTCGAGCGGTACATCGACAGCAATGTCCCGCAGATTAAAACCCCTCTGCAACTGAAGCAGGTATGTTCTCATGCAGCTCTTAGTGTGTATCTTTAGCTGTGTTGGACGTGAAGACTGATTAGATTTACATAGTTCGGCTTCGGACAATCGAACCCTACCTACCAGCTCACAGATGCGACAGGCACAAGATATGTCATGCGGAAAAAGCCCCCGGGGAAGCTGCTGTCTAAGACCGCGCATCGGGTGGATCGAGAATACAAGATCATTAATGCTCTAGGGCAAACGGATGTACCAGTCCCGAAGGCATATTGTTTGTGTGAAGATCCAAGTGTCGTGGGCACGGATTTTTATATCATGGAATTTCTGGATGGGCGCATGGTCACAGAGCCCCATTTTCCAGGTGTGGGGTCTGCTGAACGCACAGAGATGTAAGTGACCACTGTTTTCGGGGCAAGAGAGACACAATGCTGCATGAGAAATAGAATTGACATGAGGGACCACAGGTGGCGCGATGCCATTCGAACTCTGGCCAAATTCCACAACGTGGACTTGAAAAAGGTTGGACTTTCAGATTTCGGTCGCCACGGAAACTTCTACGACCGTCAGCTCAAGACGTTCGGCACTCTGTCCAAGGCACAAGCAGAAGCAGTGGACGTCGACACCAAGGTCCCCGTTGGGGACATCCCGCACTTCCAATCGATGGTGGACTTCTTCAAGCAGAAATCGACGCAGCCCAAAGATCGCACGACTCTGATCCACGGCGACTACAAGATCGACAACCTGGTGTTCCACAAGACGGAGCCGCGGGTCATCGGCATCCTCGACTGGGAGATGGCGACCGTGGGCCACCCGCTGTCCGACCTCGTCAACCTCACCTCGCCCTGGCTGTGGGTGGGCAAGGACGTCGGGTCTGCGCACTCTGAGAAGACGGTCGAGCACTTCGCTGCCGGCGTCACCCCGGGCCTTCCCAGCCTGGAGCGGGTCGTGCAGTGGTACGGCGAGGACTCAGGTTACGAGCCCAAAGAGGAACTCGACTGGGGCAATGCCTTCGGCGCCTTTCGAGGTGCCATCATCATGCAGGGCATCGCCGCCCGCTATGCGCAGAGACAGGCCAGCGGCACCACGGCCAAGAACTACGGTGCCCAGATGGGCCCCTATGGTGAATGGGCCAATACCCTGGTGGAGCCATTGAGGAAGAAGGGGTCCTCGTCGAATGGAAAGTCTAAATTATAGAATGCTGTCGGGTGTGAATTGGCACGGCTACGACGTGAATAACCTGAACAGGAGCCAAATGAGCGAAAAAGAAGGAGGGCAGTATCATCTCACTGCGGCATGTCTGTATAGGGGTGTGTGCAATATCCATAGCCATTTCGTGAATATACTCGGAAGCCGATCTATGAAAAGATAGAATGAATAAGCCCCTAAAACAGGTATACGTATGGAGTCACTGCTCGCTAAAACCTACATGCTCGCTGTTTTGGCTTTCCAAAATCATCACCATATCTGTATCCGTATCGAGTAGAGTAGCACCTAGGGTGGTAAGTGCGTCTGACCCACAGGGCTGCTGTGCGAGTCTGCGCCGTAGGTATCAACGTGTGGCGGCCGTCTGATCACAACGGAGTCTGCATAGCCGCTTCCGCGCATGTGTCGTCTCGTTGGGGCCTCGATCTCATGTTCAGGCAACCCAAGGGGGCTCGGAGGGGTCATCTGCAGTGCGTGCTAGTTAGACCAACAGGGCTGGATTCCATCTTGGTGTACGGATATTCGCAAGCATGACCGTGCTAACTTGCTTACCCCCCTTCTCCCTTGCCCCGTCTCGCCTCTGTGATCTGTTCTCCTGTTGGCCGTCCCCCCCCTACGAATAGTCTGGCATGGGTGAGCGACGTTCAGCATGGTCCCCTGGTTCGAGGTGAAGTCGTCGAGTAGTCGTGCTATTTGACCTAAGGTGAAACGGGGAGAGGGCTGTTCTTTTGGACTGTTGGTGAATGTTGGTCAATAGCGAATCGACACATGTGTGTTCGCAACATGATCCGACACCCCCGACAAGAGCCCTACCGCTGGATGTTCGTCAGGGGCCGGTCTCAAAGAATCAAGGCAGTCTTCATCTCAAGTCATCTCATCTTCTGGAGTTCTATTCGACGACAACGGTAGTGGGCCAGGAGCGTTTGTTCCCGGTCTCGGTCACTCCTGGAGCATGTCCATCTGTGGTCTCCGTGAGACAAACCCGAATTGTTGGTCTCAATACGGAAATGGTCCTTTTGGCCACTATGGGGAATGCAATTCTGGAGTCATTGCCACGACACTGTATGATACCATTTCAGTGGCACAAGAATCGCAAAAGCAACAGTGGCGACGATGTGCTTTGGAAGTTTGGAGCTGAGAGGATAGAATGGTCTCAGGTCTTCCAGAGCCTGGTTTGCACGATCGCATACTAGTGTACGAAGTACGGATAGGGCGAGAGACATCGGTTTTGGGAGTCAATGAGCCGTGAGCAGTACCAAAGAGGGGGGCGTGGCTCTTCCAGTCACCTTTCTATCACTTCTCCACTACTCAGCCCTAAAAGGTTGGGAGGGACGGGGGTCGATTCGTTGGGATAGTCATTGAGGCGTCAGCACTATAAGCCAAGAAAGGCGGTAGATTGAGGCTTTCCCTAGATACGTAGAGTACTTACTTCGTACTAGACATGCAAAACAGGGGGGCCAATTTGCTGCAGGGTTATTTGTCAGCCATCGCCATTGATGTCCTTTTGTTTTGTGGTCAAGGGTCAAGTAGGCTAGGGAATGTTTAGGCGAAGGTCCCGATGAGGAGCGTGATTACTTAGGGCCACCATATTCTTGATCTCTGTCCTGAGTTCGGACATGCTCGACAATAGCAAATAAGCCATTGTTGATGTGTGCGACGAAGGCGGCGAACTCGAAGTTGCTAGTCATCGAAAGCGAGGTCAATCTCAAGCGTGTGGTACGCCAGTCTGAACCGAGGTCGCGATGCTCCAAGGATTTCACAGAATTTGACCCAGTCAAGTGAGCAATGATCTCGAGCGCAGCAATCGTCTTATTTCTCACACTGAAGCCCAGTTGATTTGGATTCGTGAAGTCTAAAACTCGAAAATCTGTGAAGAATAGATTGGGAGATCCACTTCGAGTGAGATTGAACGTGTGTGTCCAGGCAAGTTCGACCGTTGAGCAACAGTGCCATCTCTGCATGAAGGCAATACGGAGATGGTTTCTAGAAACGCGGGACGTACGTCCATGGGTGCCCAGAAATCTGAAGGACAGGGTGTGTGTGATAAGGGAGCTCGCGCGAGGTGACCGAATACGTTTCAGTACACTTTTAACCCCTGCAACATCGTTTGTTGGCGCCAGACAATCATTGGATGAGTATAAAGCGGCATGTTATCGCTTTCGGGCTCGGATTTTAATGACCAGCACAAGGGGCCGGGGCTTTCTGTGGTTTCGGCACCGGTATTTTTGGTTGACATGGGGCCCTCATTTGTTTCGCCTAGTTTTGGTTAGCATAATGATAAATTGGAGGTCAGGAAAATCAAATAGCGTAGCCCTCTGGAAAGCATGCATAATCTTTCGACGCCAAAGGCGGGTTTCTGTGAACCGAATCCAATTGCAGTGTCTTGCGCCAACATCCGCATCCGTATCTACTACTAATATCTGCTGCTAGGGCGGTAGAACGTCTCGTTGGTGTGGTCCATCTTGAAACTGGTTAGTATTGACGGTTGCGCAAATGGGAATAGTCTTCCATTCAAGGAAGGCTCCGTCACGAAATATCCTTCAATCAGAGATTGGGAGGCATCATAGAGGAGCCCGCGTCGTGAGTCAAGGGCTCAGAGAGCTTCCTAGCCAATTGTTCCGAGTAGTTGACAAAAGTTCCTGGCGGGGTGCATGTTCACCTATCCCAGGCAGTGATCCAAGCCTGAATAGATCAGAGTGCAGATATCCTTGTAGATGTTTGGTGGCTGTCCATTAGCGACATGGAGAACAGCAGGCTTGTTTCCCAGACTTGCGGAGGTAATAAGCCAGTCAGCAATTAATGGAAACATTGTCATCTGAGGCCGCAGCGTATTCGACGCTCTTCGAGGGAAGGTCGCGTTCTCGAAAGTCGACTATGCAATGTAACCCCAGAGTTTGGTTTGCGCTTGTCCTTTTGCAACGGGTATCGACCGCCTTGCAAGTGTTGTGGCGATCTAACCCATTTGTGACCGAATACCAAGTCGGGAAGCGATGGCGATTATAGGTCGGATAGAGAGTTGAGTCTCCACATATTATGGTCCACACTTTGATGCAAGAGATTCAGATAACCCTTGAAGACTTAACCCGGTACAGTGTAAACCGGTCGAGTGTAGCCGGGCATTAAACACCCCCGTAAAGGTGGGTATTAATCAGGAGGCCGGTCCCAAGTCCCCAACACCTGATGCTTGAAGCACGTAGCATGAGCACCTTGAAGCTGTACAATGAGTGACTCAGAAGCTCTAAGTTTTGGGGTGAACATACGTCGTAGTTTCCCTTGACTTCCCGATGGCCTAGTCTGAGAACGCTCACCATGAATGTTGCACTGAGCGGGTGTAAGCTAGGCAGAAATTACGAGTACAGGTAAGTCCTTCTTGGGTTCGGTGATAATTCCGAGGTGCTTATCACCGCGCCGGATTTGCCAATATACCCCGTCTGGACAGTGGGCTTGAACTTGAAGCTTACCTAAAAGTACGGAAGATGTCCATTTTTGCGTATTGGTCATCCTAGCCGGGTTCCAATGAGTTGGGCACTGGGGCACAGGGCGTAGTGGATGTTAGTGGACACTGGACAGTACCTAGGTAGTACACATGAGGAGGGATACTTGGTACTCACGGACACGGAGGAAGTAGAAAAGCCCGTTAGGTCTTTCGTGCGACGGACCTGGTGCCAAACTCTGCTTTAACTTCTCGTAGATTCCCGTGTGGACCTGCCAACAACAAACTTGCTATCGGCAGGCCGATTTACACTATCGATGAGCACCAAATCAGGGGGTTCTACTTCACCGTCGAGTACATACTGCTGAATTTTTGAGTTTGATCTGTTTGCAGGCAAAACCGATCTTCCGCTGTGCCAAGGTTTGTGTGTTTGATCAAAAGGGAAAGTCCAACTTAAGGAAAGTCCACCTTGAACGTCGAGAGACCCAACAATTTGGAAAGTTTCTAAAGTTTCTGGTGACGATCAACGACTGTTTGGAGCAAGTACGAGTAGAATGTCTGCACGTGTTGTGATTTGGAGCCACGATCCTCACTCGTACTCGGTCAACAAGATCATCTGAGCCGGAGTCATCCGCAAAGATCTCCAATTTGTGGCAGTAACTGTCACCCTCGTCCAGTGAGTTGAAGTTATGTAGTGGGGGGACGAGCTCATGGCTAGCCAATCTCGTACAAAATGCCTCATCTGGTTAGTGAATGGTTCCTGCTTATGAAATCTGAAGTTATGCTTCTGCCTTGTGGTGAACAGTAGTACACGATACGTTTAGCCCCCAACGGTTGAGAAGGTTGACGCAGAGTGACGAGCTGCCCCCTCAGGATTTGACTGATGGTTCCGCGTACCCATTGTATCCAACAATTAGCGTTATATGGATATGGCGTGGTTCCAAGTTCCAAGTGAATCGATAACTGGCACGGGTGTGACGACGCCCATGTCGAGGTATCCTAGCTTTTGTTCACATTTCCGCAAGGTTCATCATGGTACACACGTGCGGGATGTGGGACTACCTACGAGTAGTACCAGCAGTCGAAGTTGCATCGACAAAGACACCAGTCGACTGTAGGGCAGATTTCAATATTGCACCGCAACCTCACAATCACTCCACTGCTGTTCCCCAGTGGTAAAATGAGGAAAAGGGCCAATGTTGCGAGATGTGCCAAGGAGGAGGCAGGCCAATATACTTCGGCGTATCCAAATCCGCTCGATTACAGCCAAATCTGGATGAGTACTAAGTAGTGAAGCCCAGGAATTTACAGGCTCGGTTAAACATCAAAGGCTACTACCAAGTACTTAATTAGCTGACTAGTTACCGGATGTCGTACGTCGATAGTACTTCGTAGTGCTCAGCATTAATTAATAATAATTCGCACTCAATCGAGGTAGTATGCTCCGACGACTCGAACTCAGCCACACTGGATAAAGCAACCAAACCACAGCCGATTGAATAGCTCCTTCATACAGTGCCTCTCGCTCCCTTGCTAGCAAGCGAGGACAACTCAGGTACCTATGTACTCGGTAGGCACTCACTAATGTACTGTACCTACAGTGAGGAATAGCACGATACTGGCATATATGGCTGTCCTCAGCTGGAAATAGATGCAAGTGCTTGGCTGTTTTAAGGAGTTCAAACAAACGAGGTCGATTCCATACTATTTCCTCGTAGATGAGTGAATGGTTTCACCACGACGGAGCGACCAGTAACGGAGCTCCGCGGCCCGCGGTAGGCATTCGACGCGTGACCGACATACCTCCTACAGCATCTCCGCAGAGAACTTGCATAATACCCCAGTTAGTTAGCAGACTCTAACGCGTCCAACGTGTTGCAGCGCCACGCTGCTTGCAGTGACGGTGCCTGGAGAAATTATGGCACATGCTTCCCTTCCAACAATCATGCGATCGAAAGTCTTCCTGTGGTAAAATCGCTCGATGAAATATTTGTCAAAACTTGATCAATAGAAATATGGAGTTACTTGCTACCTATAATGCTAAGTTGGGAAGACTATCTTACTTGCTCCCCATGTATTCTACATCTTTCCCAGGCTAGCGCCTGATTGCTCTAGAGAAACCCAAAGTCCCCCCTTTCGTATGTGCTGAATGCCCAGCAATCAACGGTGTTGAGACCACCTCTAGGGGTACTTCTGTAATCAGCTTGGTATCATGCGCTCTTCTGTGGAATGAGAGCTAGGAGAATCGTTAAGACATGGCTCATGGAGATAGTAATGCCTGAATTGAGTCACTGACGCGCTCAATAAGCGACATGCTGATGACACGACGAGTTTATTCTTGGCGGTGGAACATGGCGCTATTTGCGACTTGACCCCGGAATATGAGCGTGCCTTTGACCTGACTGTTGTTGTGACTGAATTTGGCCTTTGTTGTGTATCCGTCTGACGTGATCTTTCATGTTGTCCATCCGTGAGAATACGCGACCACACTCTTCGCCCTCCAGACCCCGCCATTCGCATTTAATACCCGGATTATGCTTGGCCTCGTGCCTTGCTCGATCCTTCTTGCTGCTGAAGCCGCCGGTCAGGGGCTGATCCGTGGATTTCGAACGGCCAGCGGCCGCGGCTTCACTCTGTGGGCAGCCTTCCACGCGGCAAAACAGGTGTTTGCTGTGACGATTGTAATGCTTTCTCAGGTCACACCCACGCGTAAATGTCGCTCGTGAGGTACAACCCGGATATGCGCATCTCCAGGCTTGCCCTTGAGAACTAGACTGAGGACTCAACGACGTCGAGGATAACAAGAGTGGGACCTCGTGTACTGGAATCCCATATGCATGGAGCGAAGTATTCGATGAAGTCGAATTGGAACGCAGCGAACCCCGGAGAGCAAAGTGGTCTCCCGAAGGGCCTCTGGTCGTCTGTTGATAGGCGGATGACGTACTAGGTGAACATGACCTTGATAACGATGAGATACTGCTTCTGTGGCTGTGGGAGCTGTGATGCGATACATGAGAGAAAGATGGTGAAGCGGTCAAATGGTGGTTGGATGGTAGAGTGCCTGGCGCAGAATTGAAATCGAAGGGTGATCGTTGAATGTCCTGAGGTGTTGGCGGAATGATGTTGGCCAGAGTGGGTTGCACCTGTTGGTGGTCGAGTGCCGGATAGTGGCTTGAACTTGAGGGGTCGTAGTGTAGCATTTGAGATGGCTGTGAATAGGTAGAATATGGATACCACTGATTCGGCTCATACAAAGCATATGAACCACCAGAAGTAGTTGAGTAATGGGACAATGAGGGATCAGAGACAGCGGGAAGAGGATAGTACGACGAAGAGTCTGAGGATGTGGTGTTGTAGGCCATGTCGGCTAATTGCTGAGTATGATGATCCAAAATTGGTAACTCTGGGAGAAGGTACAGAGAATCTGACGAGACAGAAGAGGGGTGACCTCGATTAGAAGGAGTGGGTGAGGGATAGCAAAGCCCGGTCAATGTCGGTGAGCAGGTCAGTAATCCGTTCTTTTCGAGATCAAGGTCGTCAATATCACTTGGTGGGGGAGTCAGCGAGAAGATAGCGTCCTGAGGTTCCACGGCCATGGTGCTGCGGTTGTGATTATTTTAGCGATGGCAGTGGGATCAGGAAGGTTGATATAGCTCGGTATGATGGTGAGTACAGATGGTTCCGCCGAGATAACTAGTTCCCTCCCATGAGACAGCAACAGAATAGATAGTTCGATGAACATAGAAACGGAAGAATGGGGCGAACAAGGGCATAAGTATTATTGTTAGGACATCCAGGGACTCACGGAGACAAGCTAAAAGGCTGTGGCTGCGACGACAAAGTCCAGGGTAGTGGACCATAACGTGTAAACCTCGTAGGGCTACAACCCCTGCCGGTTGCTGACAGCATCAAGAAAGCGATCGACGCTCGAGGGCCATGCACCGCGGTGGCTCCAAAGGGCACGGTTGTCGCGGCCCATGGGCCATAACCTAAGCAAAGCGCCATGTTCTGGGAAGCAGGTGATTTGCGAGGCGAGTATCAGACTCGAAGCATGGCATTTCAAGTTGGGAGAGCTTGCTCACCGTAGGGCCGAAAAAGAGATTGTGAGGGTGGAGCACATGTTGCTGCTTTTTGCCCTCGCGACCAGGGTAGCGAGCCGTTCGATTGGCCCTGTAGCGTTACACGTAGAGCGTTACCGCTGCAGACGACAATACCAACTGAAAGGGCCATCTACAGGGTGATCTTCTGCGGTGAGATTGCACTTGGGTGTATCACGATCGTTCCTAGGCTCCATAATCGTTTACTAGCTCAAACCCGCCCACGAATACAATGCGTATTGTCGCCCGCCCGGCGTGTGCCTGGCCCCAATTCAACCATGCCTTCTTTCGCACTCGAGGTGGTTTGGGCCGCATTAGACCGTCATTAAAGCTGCGGGTGGGAGCTAAATGTGCCTCTATCGTGAAGGAAGATCCCAGCACCCTGCAATAGAGTTGACTGGTTCAGTCGGATACTACTGGCAGTGCTGGGTGGGCTCGCCTCGCAACAGGGGCTTGAATACCTCACTCACATCCTGTACGAGTACCTACGAAGGTGGCTTTGTTCTGGCAACCTCATTCCCTAGAACTTTTGTACCGTCTCGTTTCAGATTTCAACTTGGGGCATATTCAGTACCGAGTAGTCTTTTCGGCCGAGCTGTTCCGCTCCAAGTCCTGGCGTGATCTTGCGCCCACGGGTACAGCCTGGAGCGCAGTTCACCATCTGTATCCGTATGTACAACTCGGGCGCCCGCAGCCGCCATAGATCTATTTAGGTACCTACATACCGAGTACATCGCCCCTAGAAGATATCCACGCCCAGTCTGGGGTACTCGGTACACACGTCTCAACCTATCCAAGCCGCAGCAACTCGCAACAGATACATTTTTAGAATGAATGTTTCTCATATTTTCCCACACTCCAACGCTCCAGAACTCGCTTCCACTATGGACAAGTTCTGGATATCATCTCTGTCGCCTCATACGCTATTTGCAGAACAACCATGTTCAGCTACGATTGCCATTCTAGGTTACCTACCTAGGTAGGTAGGGACGCTTAGTACTGGCATGGAAGAGCTCATGCCCGGGTATGGGACGGCTGCAGCGCGTAACACGGATTGAAAATGGCCCGGTTTGCGGTGTTCTGGAAAGTCTCCGCACCCGGAGACATACGAGTAGACCAGACGGATACCTCGTGTTCTGATGGACTGTGGCAGGCCCACTCGAGGCAGTGGCCGTCCTTCACTCTCGGATCCTTAATTCCACTGTTCGGGCATTGACATAATGTACGTGTGGTCGAAAGACCGAGATGCGATGCAGTCATTCCACACGGTCTTTTTGGCTCGGCATGATCTTCCTGCACGAACCTCTGATTATCCCTTTGGAGACTGTGCAATTAACGCGGTGATCACCAACCAGGATGCTGTCTCGAAAGTCACCCTGCATTCCAAGACTACTGCTTTACGAACTCTCTTCTCCCGAATAGCAGTTACGTGCGTGTATGCGACCGTGCTCGATCGAGCGGACAAAGACCAGCGTCCGAGCCCGAGTCCGAGTGGTGATTCGGATATGATGGGGTATCTTCTGCCCGATAGGTTGACAGCCTCTAGGTACAAACCTACAAGACGACCACACCTCTGCTTTTGAGAGGACAAGACCTGGATCGAACCATGGCCAGCTTGCCAATCGAAGACAAATTACTTCTTCTACCTACTTCTCGTTTTCTTGAACCACAAACAGCAAATGGATTTCTCACAAACGTTCTTCACTCAGAATCCGATGCAATTCCTGGAACATACTTCCGTGTAGACCTCAGCTTCGCAGTGTAGGGGTCACCTCGTACAACCTCGCTGCACTTTACCTAATCTGACTACCCTGCCTCCTGTAACTCTTCACAAGTGTCATTGCCAGGTCGGGCAAGATAATACTTCGTGTTAATTGGCGCACGTAACTTCTAACCACTTTCCAACTCGTATGTATTCTGTACCAAAATAGAGTTTCGAAAGATGAATGGAACAGGCTTCATTGTGCGCTCGTCGTGCTTGGGAAACATGAAACATGGTTCGAGCCTATTGTTGTTCATCCAAATTTCAGGATCACGAATCGAGACCCAACGCCATCGACTGTGGACGATGCATCGCACGCTATTGACAACGGACATCGTGTGTCTCGCGGGTCATATTGAACGAGTTATGGATGACACTAAGGTACGAGTGTAGATCGTCTCTTATACGCCGCGAGGGATGATTAGCAGCAGCATACCAGTTTTGACTAACAAGCCTTCATTTTTGGACCCCATATTGGCAGTATACACAAGCCCCTTGATTTTAGCTCATCACATCGGTATGGAGCCTCGCAAAGCGACACATTATTGAGTATATGCCTACCTGCTCTTAATCGACCAAAGCGACTCTATCTCTAAGATGCCGCTACTGAAGAACCTTCAAGGTTCAGTTGTCCAAATTTAACACAATTTCGACCCCGAAACATAGCTCGGTTATCTCAACAAAAATAACCAGAACTTGGTTCTACCATCGAGACTTGCTGCTGCTGCTGCTGCTGCTGCTGATGATGATGCTACGAACATACATGTCAGAACCAAAGCAGGATCCCCAACGATCCCGGGAACGCCGTCGCACATGGCCGTAACATCAAATGGCATCGATAGACGTAGCATACCACCATGCTTGGACCCCCTTCAACATTGATCCACAGGCAGTAAAGATGAGATGCGAGATTCTGGAGATTGCAAGCTCCTGGTCAAACGCGCCTTAAATATTATTGTGTTTGTGGCTACCGTGCGCGCTTTGTTCAAGGAATCTTAGAAAAATTGGAGGCAGCGCACTATCTTTTGATTGTTATGAGGCCGGTGCAACCAAAATAGGGTGCGTGAAACATTTATCCTTTGAAAGACCTTCCCACAGCGGCATTATCTTATGGTGGTGGATTTTTAGAGTTTGATCACGTGGGGTTCTCTCGGCGGCCTAGACTTTTTCGATCAGGTGGACTTCCGTCCTGGCGGATCCTTTTGTTCTTGACCCAATTTCACAGCCCAATCTCGAACATTTTGAGAGCAATTAGTCAGATTAATACATTTTATTTCACTGTGCTGGTGCTGCTTCTGTGATTTTTGTTGGAGTTGTGCATGCGTGATGGCGGCGATATTGAAGGTGGAAGATGTCAATCCTGAAGATCGTCAGATTCTGGAGAAACTGGCCAAATTGCAACAAATGTACGACCAGGTAAGTCCTCTGGAAATGCGCACACTGTGTGCTCCATCGATTCCAGTAGTCCCGCGCTGACTTCTGTTGAGATCGGCGGTCTTCGGGCATTACTACCCGAAAAATTGATTAATCCAACTCGTTTTGCCTTGGATAACCCAGGTGGCTATGAGCCTGAGAAACTCGCAGCATATCTACATGCAGCAGCTCAGACCGGGAGTCGCGACGTCGAACGGTTCAAAAAGGAGTGGCACAGCGATGATGTAAGACAACTCCTGGACGTCGTCAAGGCCACAGACCTGGCCCAAGGCACTGATGCATGGGTTATGGATTACGGTAACTTCCTCCACGGAAGTGATCCTATCGAAGATCAGCTTGTCGCCATTAATGGTGTTGATTCGCACTCTGATAGTCGCACTGGCGACACCCCATTGGAGTCGATTAACAATTTCAAGAACAAGCACCCCGAGGTCAAGGTTGAACTTCTGGACGAAGTCAAAGGCCTTCCCGTCAACATCACCATATCGCAGCTCAAGTTTCAAGTCGATGAAGATGCTGATGGCTCTGGATATAGAGTGATTGGCAGGCCAAAGACTGAATCACTAGCTCTTCGGGAAAACATTCTTGAAAATATCAACGAGAACACTGTTCTTGCCACGTTACTTGTATGAACACCCCCTATTCTTTCACTTGATCAAGGCTGATTGAAGACAGGAAAACCTTGCAGCATATAGTGACATCAAGTCAAGATCATGTGATAAATGCAAAAAGCTCGTTGACAGCAAGCAGAAGCTTCCGTTCGTCAGAAAAGCAATAGGATCCAGTACTCCTGATCAGCCTCTCCAATTTCTCGCCCTCCATAGAGATTGTGTGTGAGTACAGTCGGAAGTCAAAGATTGGCTGAATATTATGATGATACTCTGCCCTCACCCGCCACGGCTATTTGAGGCATCAAACGTCGTTGGCATTCCTACGATACTCTAGGGACATTACAAAACATCGCCCTCAACGGGGGTCCTTAGTGATGGCCACACATCAGCATCGCTTCAAAACAACACCCACCAACAGAACACGACAATTATCAAAATATCCATATTGTCGTCGATGGCCTGATCGTAGTCTATGGGGAATGTCGTCACCCCAAGTTCGACTCAAACTCATACTCTACTATGTTGTCAAGGCTGTCAAACCTAAAGTATCTAACGGCTTGCCTGGAAATGATAGCGATACACGGTATGACTTCCGGCACCTGGGAACAATTCGTAAGTAGTATGTTGCGACCAGAATTGTTGCCGTCTTATGCAGGCAATGCAAGTGGCGAGCTAGTTGGTGAGGTCCAGACTCCGGCACTACCTCTGAACCAATGAAGCCACATTGGAGGGTGTATACTGCATCAACGCACGTATTGTCAGTGGCTGGTGAGTTGTCCATCATCTAATAAGATACTTGGCAACACAAAGGGTTTTCTCGCGTTACGACGGCTTGTATCGATGCTTCACCACTTTGGACTAAGAGTGCGATGCGCTAGGATTGCTGCCTGATGACCACGTGGAGGAGATTTACGTCCCCGCAAGATCCACCACATGATGGAAGTCTTTGTTGGGACACACTGAAAGACAAAACACAAGTTGACACCTTTTTTCATAGCTTGTGTCCAACTGATGTGCTTTGCGACATCACATTTCGTCCTCCTGTCTCAGGCCTTTCCGTCCACGTGGTTAGAATCGGCAGCGAAATGATGGACGATGAATGACGAATCAGAGATGACGAACAAGGCGGCGGCCAACGAACAAGCGAAACCTGACAGTTACGACGTGATCACCACTCGACGTGCGGACCCCTGCATTAAAGCGAATTCCGTACACCAAGAGAGCGTTCCCCACAATCGAAGCGGCCAAAAGAAACGCAAAGCAGATGGGACCCTGAAAAACGAGGCAACGTGGTCAATGAAGGAATTGAAGTATGTCCTACAGGATCAGTGCGTCGGAGAAACCTCATCGGAAACTCGGCTAACTGTGGATGTGGACAATCTGATGAGGAGGATCGCTGTGCTGGAGGATCTCAAACCAGTGCGCAAGATGCGTGAGACCTTCCCAGCAAGACATCTACCTCGAAAAGACCAAGATTGCGACAACGGCAGATCTCGTGGAAGGAGCAAGAAGGCTGAAATAATGGATTGGAAGAGAGTTCAAGAGGATACGCTGCGGTGACAGGTTTGCTCAGACACGGCGTTGTGAATCGCTCCTCCACGGTACAACAGTGAGGAAAGCGTGATGATGAACCTGATGAACTTGAATATGTGTGATGTACGGAGACCAGTCCAGAATCCAGATTGATGATGATGACCACATTTCATAATTGGCCGGAAAAAAAGTGTCGAGGGCGAATCCAAAATAAGACATGACTATACCTGTTGGGGTTTAGCTCCGGAGTGGTCAAGAGGCTGATTGCCAGGAAGGCGCGTTTTTGTTGTGTTCTGCAAGCCCGGAATTGGTCGCCAGGGTGAGACACTGACCTGCAGACTGCACATCGAGTCTCCATCACTACCACTGCCACTACCGAGTCCTTACTTGCCTGCGCTCACTTTGGTCTTTCGTTCTACTCACCACAACACTCACACTTACACATCTTCAATCTCCTCACCTTCTTTCGTTAATACACATTGCCATTGTGCATCCTTTCGCTTCTCATTAGATCGTTCCTGTGTTTCTTCGTGCGTGCCAAATACTCCATAGCCCTCGACTCTCGCCGCGCTGAACAACCTCCTTTTTCTCACCAGACCACCAAACTCCAACACTTTTCATCATGAAGGGCTCCGGCCTCTTCTCCTGCCTCTCTCTCGTCTTCCTTATATTACTATCGTCATCTTCGGCATGGCCATGGCCCCCGTCGCTTGGTGAAATTGGGGACAGGCTGGATACCTTTCTGTCCCGCCGTCAAGACAATCAAGACAACGAGGACAACCAAGAATCTTCCTCCAGCCGCTCCTCTTCTGCAACTGCCACTGCAAAAACCTCGACTTCGGCTTCCCGGTCATCTTCAGCCACAACCGACCCAGATGCTGAAGAGTCTGCATCTGCCTCAGGGACCATTACAGACATCAATGCTTCAGAAACCAAAAGTGCCAACAGTACGAGGACATCAAGCACGAAAACAACTCCAATTGACCCTCGTCTGCCTCCCGGTGGCATTTCGCTCATCACTCCAGCACCCATCGATGGCGTCCAATATTACAAAGTTGGAGATCCTGTAACCTTCAAGTGGAACTACACTTCACTTTCCATCACACCATCTGCCATTGATGTCTTGGCCTCTTGTGCCCTAAATTCTGCAACTTATACAATTTCTTCCAACATGTCCGTCGAAGAAACTGGAGCTGTGACATGGGATACCGGCGATTTTGAGGCCACTGCCACAAATCCGTTTGTGGTGGCTAGTTATACATTGATCGTCCATGATGCAGCCAAGGAGGTCACCGATGTCCCGTCTGCAGGTGAGCTAGGTGCATATGCTCAATATGTCTTTGGGATGTACACAGGGTGAGTTTTATAGCCTTGCACCGCTACAATTTCCAGAGCCAATTTGCTAACTATCGCGATCTAGACAGCCATATGTACCCCTAAACGAATTTCGATGTGCTTCCTGCAACGGAGCACTGTCTATTCACGAGAAACAAGCACTAGGTGTCATATTGACAACAGCTGCCATCACGATAATGTCATTCACGTGGTTCGCCAATGGATTTGGCGCCTTTTAAGACGCCCAGAGCGAGATATATATCATTAAACCATCTATTGAATATTTAGCGACGACCAATCGGATCTTAGGCTCCCACGAGCCGAATTGTATACAGCATAGCGACAAAAGGAATGGGTTTCGGAATTCTGGGCGGTGATATTTGGGATAATGGTGGTTGAAGGGGTAATCGGCAACCTGCGTTCGCGGAAGGTTAATTGCATCCGATAATGAGATTTGAAATATTCGCCAATTCTGAGTGAAGTTTGAAAATGGGAGGTGAGAACTATTTCCAAATATGGAACTCAAGTATAATCTCAGGAATGTAATTCTGTTCTCGGGTCAGAGTGTCAACACCTCTGCCCATGTCTAATCATTGTCCTGAATTTCTCAAGGTGTTCGATATAAACGCAGATATCCATTCAATTCACCAAAGCATTGGTTGAGTTGGCTTTCCCGGGAGCACGACCATCGATGAATTCAACGCGCTCACAAATCCGAGCCCGGCAAGCATGGATATTTCATTGCCATGAGGGTAGGATTTGTCAAATATCATCAATTGATACATCCGGAGGAGGCTGGAGGTTTTCCGAAGACTCAAGTCGCCTATTTCGCCATCTTACAGCTTCATCAAACCCAATTGGGAGTGGGCGTTCATCTAGACATCCTGCTCTGTGCAGGATGGCAAGCTGTAAAGTTCGGCTCTTGGAGCACGAACCGTTCTGAACCGCATCATCAGGTTCACCGACTCGTTTATTTGGCAGGCAAGGCCGTATCCTCCGCGAGAAGGTGCTGTTGCTTGGTTGCCAAACATGTCGTCCCTGCTTTAGGAGGAAGTGGAACAAGCAGGGGAAGCAGCTTCCGCCCATCCATCATCCGTTCCCTTACTCATACAATGCAAACTACCTCACAGCCTATTCAATGCAATGGCACACACTGGCATCGGTGGGTAGGTGAGTAGGTTGTCGGGCTGTAAAGAAAGAAATTGGAGCAAACGACCACATGTGTGGACTCAGGGAGAAGCACAAACAACTCATCCTTGTGTGCCCATCTCCTTACCCAGGCGAACAAGCTTCCATCAACTTTTTGCTCCCTTCTCCCTTACTCGCTCTTTCCTACTCTTCTCAATCAGCTCTTGCTTGCACAGCAAACCCCCGTTTGGTGAATCAGAGTATTTCCTGCCTTGAAAAGTCAACCACCGGTGCGGAGGTGCTGGCCCCCTGAAAGCATCTCACATATCCGAAATCAAACAGGACTTTCCTGTGTGGAGGCAGCACAAGACTTATTCCCAGGAACGCCCGAATCATCGTTGCAGCGAATCTGGGTTTTGGTCGCTAGCTGTTGAAGGCGATTTCATTCCCGCACTCATCTTGTTGAAAAATCCAAACTCAGTGATATCGTCGTTCAAGCACAGGAAGGGACCGGAGACTGTCAAAACGGTGGTGTGTACAAAGCCTTCTTCCCCCATTGCACACGCTCTGTCATTCACCCCCAGCCTCCCATCAGATCTCGCAAAACGAGGATGAATGTGTACCATAGACACCTTGTGCCCTTGCACAACAAAGGGAGACGTGTCTGTTGTATCCTCGTTCGAGTCCACTATGCCTGTTTCATATCTCAGCATCTCATTCTACTCCATCATGTTCATGTTTCAAAGCAGTGAGCTGACAGCGCCACATGTACAGTTACTCAGACCAGGCACATTACCGTGCACACGTCTGTACGAAGGACGTGCAACCACCTCGTGGCCACGCAGCATTATCCCTTCACTTCAAGAACATAGAGATTAGAGCACCTGCCACGAACGTACTCACGAGCGTCTGTCCGACCCGAAAGCTCCGTCTGCCTCACATACAGTACAACAAGCAAGACAGCGACGTCCTTCACAATGCCATCCTCATCCTCCTCCTCACCACCATCACGCCCGGCCAACTGGCAACCAGGACACGATGTCTTTGTACGCCGATTGGCCCGGAATGGCGAAGACGCGAGCAGCATCCTCATTCTCTTCGAGGCCGAGTTCCCCGCGGTCAAGGCTTCGAGGGCTTGGATCACTTTGAGGATGAAGACGGCTTGAGTGGGTGGCTTCCGAGTTGTCGATTGTGCGTCGTGTGGTAGGGTCATGTGGCTGATGGTGTAGATGAGAAAGAGCATTGGTCCAAGGCGAATCTTGTGGCTCTTTGTGGCAATAAGATGGGATCGAATATTGGCATGGCTTGGGATACAATATCAAGGCCGAGCCAGAAACAGCGATATGCGAGCTCTTCAGGCGGTCGATTGCTTGTTTCTTTTTTTGGGGCATTCCTAGCATGCGAGAATGAGTATAACAAGCATCTGCTTTGCAGTATTGAGCTGTTGCTGCAGCAAAGCCTTGCATGATGTGGTGTAGTGTGGGATGGATGGTGTTGCGTGTACGAATACAATTGGGATTACCTGTGGCATATCGTGGATCGGATAAGGATAGACAAATACAAAATAGATAGAAGAGCAGAATAGAGATCGGAGGGCACGGGCACGGGCACGGGCACGGGTACAGGAGCCTGCTCGACCTCCAGGATCGATCGATAGCCACAAGATGTCTACACGCTGTTTAGTCTGGATGCTCAATAGTAATCGTTAACTTTTAGATGAACAGAATGCTCATTTTGGCTGGGGGGAAACGGGACTTAACTCTCGGACGGGAGAGGGAGAGGGAGAGGGGAATTCTCCATGTCCTATTGTCATTGTCATTGCATAGAAGAACTCCGGGGGGTGGGTTGATTATAAGAATTGAATAACATCATATCCAAAGTCTCAGGAAACTGGAGGAAATATCTCCCCAGCGAGTGTGGAAGAGGGGACATGATCGATGCGCTGCATGTTTACCTTGAAAGACACTAGACATGATCACCGATAGTCAATTGTTGCAGAGCAAGGAGGTCGGTCAAGTGTCAGCATTTACTATTTCATTTCATACTGACTCCAAGGACGGACAAGGCCATTCATTCATTCTCAACCATAAAATGGAGATAACATTTCCTTTCGAGATGATGAAAGTAGATAGATAGGTAGGGCTATAGATAGATATAGATATATAGAGCGTAGAAGCGAAGACAAGAAGGGAACGGTTGCGGTTCATCTTGCGACAGCCGACTCTTGTAGTGGCGGTCGAGAGATGGCATCTGATACTCGGTGCATAGATCGCACGGGTGGCAGGGGAGCGTCTTCGAGGAGGTAACATTTTCAACGCCAATCTGTCGGTTTGCCACACCATGAAACTCCAATTCCACACTCAAGAGATAGTCCTTCATCTTGAGTTCGGGTCCAGGCTGTGGACAGGTAGTAGAGGGGTATCGGGTATCCTAAATTCCAGCTCTTCCAATAAAACTTCCCAAAAGCAATATGTGGTGATTTCGCTTCCTTCTCTTCCAACTTTGTATAGTAAGTGGACAATCCAGTGACGCCGTTGGTTAGGGGAGACGTGGAGGCGTAGCTGTTTGGATATGTCATGTTGAGATCCATACCTCCATTTTGCCCATTTCACTTCTCTCCTTCTTGGCAGCGGTGCGAACGCTAGTAAGAAGCATCTCCAGGTCATCCTGATCACCCATGGTGATCATGTCACCATCATCTTGCATTCTGATTTTCAGTTGCTCCTTGATGGCAAATTTTTCTCTAATCTTGCTTTCAAAATCTCCAAAATCTATCACTGAGCCAATCATAAGGTATCGTGTGTCTTCGTTGAAGTGGCATTTGACTCGGACTTTGCGCATTTCGACCCGTTTACTACTTCGTCCGGATGTGGGACGTCGTACAGGTTCGAAACCAGGCATTTCTTCCTCAGATTCGCCAACTTCATCTATGTATTCGTCTTCTTCGTTAATGTATGCAGGCTGTTCCTGCCGACGCGTTGTCTGTCTCCTCCTTGGAGGAGCTGCGGCGTACATCTGGTAGACATCGTCCACCGTATCATTGGGGTCTTCGTAGCGAGATTGCTCACGGAACAAAGGTGCTGGTTGCCGTTGTGACATGGACCGGCCCATTGGAGGTTGTCTTGAGGCAGGACCTCGAGGTTCTGATGCTGTTCTCTGAGTTCCATAGCGTGACCTTTCCACGGGTGGCCGGTCCATCATCACAGGTTCTTCTCCCCAGGAGTTTTCTCGAACAGGAGGTTGCTGTCTACCCATGCCCGCATCGTTGACAGCGAACGTGTTTGATCGTGACAACATACCAGGTCGAGGAGGATCCATGTCTGGTCTGGTAAATGCATTGCGGGGCTGACGCATAGATGTGGAGCGTAGAGGTAGGTTGGAAGTGGAGGGACTGCCGCGTGGCTTTTCGGTCTCAGGAGGTGGAGTGGGGGGAAAGACATTTCTACCCATGACTGGAGGAGCGCTTTGATCTCGAGGAATTCTACTCGATAGATTTCGTTGTACAAGATTTGTTGCTGCATAGCTGATGTTCTCCACCGGTCGGTCGTCCTTGGGAGCAAACTCGGTGGCGAGGACCTGCCTTCTATCAGTGCCGGAAAATCCAGTTCCAGTATTTTGTTGGTTCGACGTGGCTATTAGGCGAGCTTTTCCGAGATAATCTTTAGCTTTCAAGTTCTTGACTTTTGCTTCATTCGGTCTGTAAACACAGCCCACGGGACTAAAGAGAGAGGTCAGCAAATTGAGTTGCTCGTGGTCCGAGTTTGGATGGGTAGCTTACATGCTGAAGACGACATATCCCTGAGCATTTTCTTTAATTGCATCGTCAATCACATCGTGGTCCGGAGTCATTTTCTCTTTTTGTGCATAGCTGAAATCTTTCATTCCCAGCTCTTCTTGTTGAAGGTACATATAACATAGACCGCGGTTGAAGAGAACTTCACAAGAGTAGAGTTTGAACTTCAAGCCCAATTGCTCATAGTCGATGTAGGTGTTTCCACGGAGGTAGAGGAGGGTGTCGTTGAAATTGGCCAGTGCTTCTTCGAAGTCGCCGACGAGGAAATTTGAGACGCCTTGCTGGAAGTATGCCACAGCGAGGTATTGATCGAGCTTGATGGCACGTTGGTAGCATTCCACCTAGGATCTGTCAGTTGGAGGCTCCCTTGGTTGCATTTCGGATTTGATTTGCCATACCGCTCGATCATGTTCGCCGATGGTTGCGTGGATGACCCCGCAGTTGAATAAGATCTTGGAAGTATCGGCGATGTTGTCGAAGATGGTCAAGGACTCCTCGAATTCCTGATTGTCGTAGTGACCAAGCGCCTCGACCCACGTTTCGATTTCCTAGCACAGGTTAGAGAAAGAGGGGGCAGGCGGTGGAAAGAGGAGCACGACGCACCTGTTTGAGCGACATGACGTTGCAGGCCCAGCAGTGAGACTTGTCAAGACCGACGTCGTTGTTGGTATGAGTGGACTAAGTATTAACCATGCAGGATGCAAGATGGTAAGTGTAGTTGCAGTGCAGGTACAAGTAGCAGAGGGATCTGCGACGCGAGCGGCGGTGCCTGAGACAGATATGGGAAAGAGGGTGTGAAGGACTTGGATTCGGTAGATAAGATTCGCTTGAACTAGTGTGGCCTGTGAGGAGACTGGGAATGGTACAAGTGGGAGTGTCTTGTCAGGTCAGGCTTGTAAGTTGGATGAGGCAGCGAGGGCCGGCCCTGCCGCAGAGTGCTCAGTGTCCAGGGATTAAGCGCCCTTGTATGGTCGATGTGCTCGGCGCCAATGGTTCCAGGGCTCTTTGCCCAATGGAAAGTGTGGTCAGTGGCGTGCAATTAGTGACGACCCGCGATCGAGGATGAAGTTTAATTAAAACTGGAATAGGCTAATGGTGTAGAGAGAAAAAGAGTGACGACCAGAGAAGAGGTGAAGGCGATGGTGAGGTCGGTGTTGGAAGAGAAAGAATGAATGAGCGAGAGAATGGATATGAAGATGGAGATGGGAAAGGAGGTGCTGGCCATATGTGTGACATTTTTCCCCAAGGGATTGTGTGGTGGTATCCTACGACGTCCTCCCTCGCCCTGACTGGCAGGGGGCCAACCCTCACCCTCAACCATGGAACAGTTGGAAACGTCAATCGAAGGCATCAGGGCGAGGCTGGAGCAAATGGAATGGATGGGGTGACCACCAGGGGAGCCCACCCTGGAACAATTGCACGCTTGATGGTCACAGCGTGATGCACGCACCATGGATTGTGACGCGGGTGGAGGGCAAGGCTAGTGAGACCCCGGGCACCAGACATTGGGTGCAGCTTTGTGCCTTATGCATCCCCGTGCAGATGGGCACTTGAAGCCTATGGAAACAAACCTCTAGGCTCGAGGCACCTCACAATCAACACCGAGTGCCTACCTACCTAACTAGGTACCTACACAAACCTGCAGGTACGGGAACAGTGTGAATTGTACCTAACTATCTCTGGAGTAGGGATACTCAGTCCACCACTCTATCGACCTCTCTCTGCCTCGGCAGCGTTTCAAGCCGGACCTGACTCGTCCGAATTGTGATGCAAAAGCCACGCTACAGCCACCTCAATATCAACCTATCGACCATGGATAACCCAATGGTGTGATTATATCACCTGAATCTCTCAATATCAACGACTCCGTACGAAAACATCGGTTCATCTTTCTTGGTTGCAACACGTGTATCTCGCTTCGATCCATCATCATGTTACCAGAGGGTTTCAACTTGGCTCGTTCTCCCCACCGGCCCTTATCCGATACGGCCGCTCCCCGTTTCAGGAGAACTTGCGACGGGCCAACCATTGCTTTGGACCAAACTTGATGCGAGAGTCAATGCTTGTCTTTGTCATGCAAGGGGTCCCGAGAGTACACTTTGTTCGTGCATCATTGTGCAGTACGAGTACGAGGGACCGTCCACTGTGTTTCCATCGGAATCTTGCATTCATTCTCCTCGCATCTCATGCAGGTCCGAGATCAGGCCGCAGCATTGTCTCTGATGGGAATTTGGTCAGAGTCTACGAGATTCTATCATAACATGCCTTTGCCCGTCTGCTCCTTACGCTCTTCCCAGACTGTCTTCCCCGAGCAACTACATACCGTCTTGTCATTGTCCCAGACTCCTGCACTCCGGGCGATCACGCCAACAAGGGTGTCTTGATCCTCAGGCTGAAACGGTGACTCTTGCTGTTTCGACACCACCATGCTGCGACCAACAATTTCCCAAACTGATACAGGTTGGTCCAAAAATGTACTGCCACGACCCTCCTTACCGACTTGGATCGTTCCAAACACCCCACGAGGCTGATTAAAGCCTGCCAAGGTCTTGATTGACCCCCAGATCCCACCTGTTGAAGCTGCCCCACGTGAGATATCGCCCGTTTCCCGAACCGTAGCATAGTATGTGCCCGGCGACACCCCTCGAAGTGTCAAGTCCACCAGTGTATGCTCTTCGGAAATTTGTACCATACGTGCCAATCCGCGGACCGGATCTGACACGGCTTTTGCGTGAGTCTCAAGGATGCACACCCCGGCCGAGTTCGACTTTCCACTTCCGCGCAAGATCGCATCTCGTCCCGTAGATTCGATGGCTGAGACGATAGATGACGGAGCGGCTGTGCCTTCAATATAAAAAAGTTGGTCCTTGAGATTGGCTTCGATCTTATGAATGCCTGTCGCCAAATTATACCGATCAGTACCCTGACCCTGGCCAGAAGACGTTTGGAAACGGCTCGACAACTTACCTTCGAGTTTATCCAACGCGCCGGTCACATCCTTCACACAAGAATCGCAATGCAATGGGACTGCAAATGTCGTCTTCAACCAAGGCCGGTCAGCAGGCGAAAGCCACGAGAACTAGAATTCCATATACTTGCCTGAAATGGCTGAACCCCCAGACTTCCCATATTGCCAGATGTCTTGGATGGAATAAGCTGCAATTGGTGATGATGATGCTTGCGATTAATGTACAAGAGATTGACTTTCAGACCAAGATATGGGTGGATATATGTATGTTGTATCTAAACATTCAAAGTATTGAGAGGCACCCAAGAGGTGGGATGTTCATTTGCTTAATAATAATCACTAGTGACGGACCTTTTTTCGTCTGACAACCAAAGTCCCGCCGGAAAGGCACGACATGGGAATCTTCTGTGCCCTCAGGTAATATTGAATCAGTAACATTTTCCACAAGCCGGTCAATAATACCCACGTCCCAGTCTAGCTATCTATGAGCAGAATCACCTTCATGTGCGACAAAAGTCATTAGCCTTCACGTTGCCGCTGAGAGTGGCACAAAACTATGAACTCCAAACCAGCCTCGAAATGGGCCACCAACACCGAGGAAGATGACCTTGAAATCGCATCTTTGCGAAAGAAAGAGAAGGAGGAGAAAAGAAGACTGAAGGAGGAGAGAGCACGCAAGACCGCCGCCGCTGCTGCAGCATCCCAAGTTCATGATTCAGAAAGACCTTCCAAACGCCAACGTACATCAGAGGACAATAGTGATCCACCGCAAGATGAGGGCGCGAACCTATTGCAGTTCCAGACCCGATCGTTCGGGCCTTGCGGCCATGTCGATCAGTTTGAGTTGCTCAATAACATCGAAGAAGGCTCCTATGGTCTGGTGTCGCGTGGCCGCAGAAAGGACAATGGCCAAATTATTGCATTGAAACGCCTCAAGATGGACCATACCAATGATGGCTTTCCTGTCACTGGGCTGCGAGAGATTCAGACATTAAAAGCATGCAAACACCCTCACGTGGTGGATTTGTTCGAGGTGGTCATGGGTGATAGCTTGAAAGAGTAAGTCGGCCATCCATATCATCCTAACCTTGAAAAGCGCCGATACCAGACGTCGTTAACCACTTTCTTTCTACTACTTCCACAGTGTCTATCTCGTCATGGACTTCGTCGAACATGATCTCAAGACTCTTCTTGAAGACATGGCAGAACCCTTTCTACCTTCCGAGACCAAAACTTTGATGTTACAAATCGTTTCAGCCATCGATTATCTGCACCAGAATTGGATCTTGCATCGTGATCTGAAAACATCAAATCTACTACTCAATAATCGAGGTGAAATCAAACTAGCCGACTTTGGCATGGCCAGATATACGAGCCATCCTCCGCCAAAATTGACCCAACTTGTGGTCACATTGTGGTACAGAGCACCCGAATTACTTCTCGGGACGGAAGAATACGATTCAGAGATCGACATTTGGAGCCTGGGTTGCATCTTCGCCGAGCTGCTCACCAAGGAACCTCTCATCCAAGGCAAGAACGAAGTCGACCAACTCTCCAAGATCTTCGCCCTCTTAGGAACCCCGACGAATGAAACTTGGCCCGGCTTCAGATCCCTCCCCAACGCCAAAGCCCTGCACCCGGTCCTGGCGAAAGCATCGGTGCCTTCATTCCTAACGGCCTCCAAATTCCCTTACCTTACCACATCTGGCCTCCGCCTCCTCTCATCCATGCTCTCCATGAACCCCGGCGGACGGCCCTCCGCGCCGCAAATCCTCCGACATCCGTACTTCAAGGAAGATCCTCGTCCCAAGGCCAGGGAGATGTTTCCCACGTTCCCGAGCAAGGCCGGACAGGAGAAGCGGCGGAGGAGAGCCACTCCACAGGCACCCAACCGTGGCGACGCGCCCAAGCTCGACGAACGCGAGTTTGCCGGCATCTTCGCCGGGAGAGCTGACGAGGCCCAAGGTGCCGGCTTCTCGCTACGACTTGGCTGAATCCAATGGTGTCCCCCCAGCGGGCCAAGATAAGAGGACTCAAGAATTAAAATCATAGAAGAAAACCCTCGGCACAAACCTGGAGTACCGGGTATGAGACTTCGGAAAGCGCAATACAGATACTCGTAGGTGATTTCGAGAAGGAACCCCCTTGCCCGCCGAATCAGGTCGACGAGGCTGAGCGGCCCACCGGCCTTGTGAAACGACCACGGGTTTCCGGATTTGTTTTGCAATCCTTGAAGTCTGCCGCAGTGGAAATAGTGCCAAGGCAATGGTTTAAACTCTGTAGCCTAATCTTGAGGAGAAGCCGTTATGTGCACACCTTCCCTCAATAACAGACAGCACCGCAGTCGTCTGGTAACAAACTTCCACACCTGCAATGTTTGTTGATGCCGGCACAGCCTTGTCACGTGCCATCGAGTCCCTGTTCCCCTGTCGTTGCCTCTCCTCTGTTGCTCCAATTGACGTTGTAACATCCAACATATTGTGCGCTAGCCTCACACGAGGTGAACAAGCAAGCTATACTGCACGGTTGGCAATAATAAAAGGTATGCGAGGTCAAGATCGTGGTCTTACTGCCCTTGCCTACCTCTCCTGCTACTGTCCCCTCGGTGCTCATATCATCTGCACAACATAGCATGATTCTTCAAAGTCTAATCTGGCTCGTCGGTCTCTCAACAATCATCTATCTATTTTCTCCCTCTGAAAGAGCTCTCTGCGATCTTTAACTGTCTGGTCGGGTTCTTCATTCTCATTTCGTTCCATGTGGTAGTCAAAAACGTTGACGTTGTCTGTCGCAAGCCATCAATCATCATGATGTGTCTTTCTAGAGCGTGACTTCCATCCTGTCATACGACTGTCTAATCCATGCCCTGTTAAGTTTGCTTAAAGCTAATCCCCACGCGACAGCTATTCTTCCTTTCATTCATTCACTCATTCTCCTCCTCGTGTTCATGTTCATGCCTCGATGTTCTCAAACAAGAAACTTGGATGCCCGGGGATCGCGGCCTCGGCTTGCGGCGGCAGACCGCTCTTGTTCTCCTCGGTGACCTGCACGACGTTGACCTCCTTACATCCCGTTGTCTTCATCACGCCCTGTTTGATCTGATTGAGGGTGTCGATCTCGCTGAACGGCAGTTTCCGCTCGAAGACGACTTCGGGTTTCTCGCCGCCGCCCACGATTCGCTTCTTCAGCGCCTGTACGAAGGGCATGGCCTTCTTCATCTCGGGGCCTTTGCCGAGCTTGGCGACGGCGCCGTTGACTGCTTTGTCGTCCTCGAGGGTCGATTTCGCGAGCATGTCGCGCACCAGGTCGACGTATTTGTCCTGCCAGGCAGGGAAGGCGGAGGCCGCGAAGATGGTGATGCGTTTGGGTTTGCGGGGATCGAACGCTGACGCTTTGCCTTTGGCCATGCGCTTGGCTGCTGTGGCTTCCGCGCTGGTGATGTTGCTGGTGGTTGCTTTGACGTATTCGCGTGCTGCTGTCGTGGCCGGATCGGGTTGTGGGACGATGGGCCAGCTTGCGTTTTGGATCGAAGTTTCCTTGTGCAGGACTTCGCGCCAAATGTGTTCTGCCCAGTGGGGAGCGATCGTAGCGATGAGGACCGCCTGGAGTTCTGCGTAGCGGAGGATCAAGGGGCGAGACATCGGTGTTCCGGAAGAGATACATGCTTCTCGGTAGAAGTCGCGTGCGGATTGGAAATCGTAGAGGGATGCTTTGAGAGCGAGTTTGTAATCGGTGCTTGGGGTCATGTTAGCATGAAGCCTTTGTAGATCCAATGGAGAAGTTCTGGGGCTATATCACTTACGCAGAATAATGCTGGTACGCTTCATGTACCAATTGATTCATCTCGTCATCAAAGAATTTGTCCCAGATAACTTCACCCTGCGTCGTTCGAAGTTCGTCACTCTTCACAGTCTCCTCGATCCACTCCTTGAGAATATACATTCGCATGATGGCAGCATTGGCTCCCTTCTCCTCAAAGTTGGCATCCTCCATTCCATCACCTGCATCTGCAAGCGCTATTCTCGTTGCGTCTGCGCCGAATTTCTTGACTGCTTGATTCAATGTCAGGAAATTACCGGTGGACTTGCTCATCTTCTCGCCGTTGAGGAGGAGATGGCCGTTCGCACGTACTGACTTGGGCCAGTACTCACGAGGGAAGAGTGCCAAGTGGATATACAGGAAGAATGTGAGGTGGTTGGGAATCAGATCCTTGCCCGAAGATCGCATGTCGAGAGGGTACCAGTACTCAAATGATCGACGGAGTGTTTCGAGGTCCGCTTTCGAGATCTTCGTAGATTTGGAAACAGAATCAACGTCGCTTGTGCGAGTGAAAACGTAGTCCCAGAATTCGTCCGTGACTTGTTCTGGCTTGATGTTGAGAGCACCTGGAGTTTGACCAAACTTGTCTCCATGCAGTAAGTGTGCAATTGTATAGTAGGACATGTAAACCGTAGAGTCACTCAAGCTTTCGACCAAAAACTTAGGATCCCATGGTAATTTGGATCCGAGGCCATATGTTCGAGCGCAAGCCCATTGATTGAGCCATTCAAGGTTCGCAACGAATTGATTTCCAGTCTCGGGTGCATAAGTATAGAGTCCATCTTGATCCTTGACATAGTTCAGAACAGTCTGCTGCCATTCCTTGTCGTTTTCACCATAGTTCAAAAACCATTGTGGAACATATGCGACCACACATTCATCTGCACTTCGACTGATGACTTCACCAGAAGGGTCTGCGAAAGGGAAAGCATCGCCTGATTGGATCAAAGAGTTTCGTACTTTGTCCTTGGCTTCCTGCACTTTCATGCCTTTGAATTCTCCAACCAGCATTGTCCCGTTGTAGAAGCCTTCCTTGTAAGCTTGGTCTTTTGCTTCGGCTAACAGTGTAGCATCTTTGGGAGACTGAATCTTCTTGGTCTCAACCAAGTACTGTGCGGTGATATTACCGTATGCTGGAGTGTCAATGATGGGGATGATTTCGAGTTCAGCCCATTCCTTCTTGATACCGTAGAAATCTGCCTTCTTTGCGAGTTCTCGCACCGTGGCGAAGTCATCGGGACTGTCAGACGGAACGGAAGTGACCACGCCTGTTCCTTTTGAAGGTGATACTGTCTCCATGGGTAGGATACGGACACCGTCTGTGTGAACAGAAAGAGGAGCGTTCACCAGAGTTCCGATAAATGCAGAACCTGGTAGTTCCACCACAGGTTGCAGTTCACTCTGGTCCCGAGGGAAGTGGTCCTCACTGAAGAACGTGCCCTGGAAAGCCATATTCCAAGCAGCTCGTTTTGTCACGATATAGTATTCCTTCTCGGAGGCCTTGAAGATGCCGTACTTGATCTTGGGACCGACGAAACAGCACGTCTGACCATACATAGTTTCAGGTCTCAGACTTGCAGGGAGGAAATAGACATTGGCATCTTTGGGAATCTTAGAATCGATCAGCTTGGCTGCTTCCTCAGACCACTCCTTGACTCTCAGCTTGATAGCCGTGTATTCTGTTGGCCCGACACCTTCTCCCTTTGCTCGGTCGTGATCCATACATGGCTGTCCGTCCTTTGGGCTGTAGATTGTATATCTCTTGCCATATAGAATCTTGTTCAATTCGTGGAGACGATTCATTTGCCATCGGACAAAGGCATCGTAGTATGGATTCGCATCAGTGGTCACAAATTGCCTCCTCCAGTCTATCCTCGCACCAAAGTCAATCAAGTCCTGTTGCGCGATAGGAGGGAAGTATTCGAGCCAGTAATTTGCATCAGAGAATTTGTGAATTTCCTCTTTGGGTATTCCCATTGCTAGCATGGTTTGGAATTGATAGTTGGCCTTGACCGTCTTTGCTGCGGCCTTTCCTTTCTTGCTCTTAAATTTGGTAATGTCATCCTTGACAGAGACACCTTGGGTTGGGGCAATTGGTACATTGTTGGGGTCTGGAACGTCATCTTCTTCGTCCTCATGGTAGTTCTCAAAGTTTTGTCCGAACTTCTTGACATCATCGACCAGCTTGTCTGCACAGGCTTTGATGGGCATGCCGGTGCAGTGGAATCCAAGAGGGAATAGCACTCTTTTGCCCACTAGGCGGGAAAACCCAGCAGTAAACTCGACTTTGCTGACCGTGAAACTATGTCCTGCATGTAGAGAGCCGTTCATGTAAGGGTAGGCAAAAGTACCGAAATATTTGGGGTGTTTCTCTCGAATTTCGGCGGCGGGGACTGAGTTGAAGGGGATTTCGTCGGTAGAGGGGGGATCTGACTCGAAGACTTTGTTTTTCTGCCATTCTTCTTGGTACTTCTTCTCAATGGCGATCAGAACGTCTCGATTGTGTGTCTGCAAGCTGGTGTTAGAATTTCTTTATCCAGCCTCATGCGGTCTGGACTAACATTTTCAAGTTTGAGAGTCTTGGTTGAACTGAGGGAGGGATCAACGGGAATTTGGGTCGCCATATTGGCGGAATCGAAAATGAAGACAGCGCACACTTGAACGGGCTTGGTTGAGGTTAGAGAGATGTATTGTGAATCTTGTAAATAGTTTCAATTGTTAAGGTGGGATGTTGACTTGGAGGCCAATGACTCCAAATTGCGGAGGAATATTGATCACGTGCACAGCTAGTTAATCGAGGTGTCCAGGGCGGATATCAATCTTGAATCGCCAAACTTGTTCAAAAACATCATCCTCGTACAGCAATAAGACAGTTACATGAGGCTGAATGTCTCATAGAACATCAAACTTATCCCCATTGGGTACCTTCACCAGAAAGCCACTGATAGGCAAACATTTTCTCCAGTGATAGATCACAAATATCTCGCGAGGCCAGTGCAAACCTCTGCCATACACAAGGCCTGGTCATCCGCAGCTGCCCTAACATGAGTCGAGCATGCTACTACAATTCAGGTGCCTCCCATGACTCTCTATCGATCTTCATTACCGCTGACTGCTTGTGCGGGAAAGACACCTCTCCTTGCTTGTAAAAGCCAGAATCTTTCAGATACTCAATAAATCTGTAGGCCACAGTTAGTTTCATGTCTGAAATCCACTGACTTCTCGTGCTCTTACTTAGTGTTATCCACCCTTGGTTCCAGCATGACAGTCTCGGTCCTTGAGTCCGCTAAAAAGCAGTAATGAATAAGTGCCGACAACCAGACCTTGACACGGTGAGGTCCCCGGAACTCTTTTTCTCCCACGAGTACGTGTAGGCCTCGTGTATAGTTACCAATATCGCCACCCAGTAGTCTTCCAAGCTTATCTTCTTTTACCCAATAAATCTCGAAGTAACCAAAAGGCTTCCCGTCAAAGCAACCATATACCGGGAAAGAATGCCTGCTGGCAAGACCATCCTCCAGGAATTTTCTCTGTGTGGCCGTAGGACCAGCGACGCCCCATGCGATGTTTACTCGAGGGTCATTCATCCAATTATGCAACAGCTCCAAATCAGACGGGCGGTCGAGAAAATTGGCCAACGTCGGTAATGTGGCTATCGAGATGCCTGGAGTATGACTCGGCAGTGCGGCCGGCATCGAGCCTCCGGTAGGTCCAAAGTGTGGGTGAGGGCATGGTTTTGTGGACAGCGATGGTGTCCGGAACGACAAATACTGATCCAAGCTGGGGATATATCTGCTATAAAAGGTCTCGCCTTGTCGAGGGGGTTTGGGACGGATTGGATGTCTGATATGATTGGTAAATGTGAATTGAGTGGGCGGTGCAGGATAATATGTTGGTAGATGACTGCCTGAGTTGAATGGTCCTCCTGGGGAAGATATACCGGCAGAGAAAGCATCTGAGATGATGCCCGCTGTAGTCACTACATGGTCTGAAGGTCGTGGGGAGGGTCTTTCGGGTAGTACTGAAGATCGATCGGGAGATGCAGGGCGAGAAGGAAATGGTGATGCCTGTGGGTATGGGGAATGCTGCAGAGGGGCCATGGTGAACAGGAATATTCGAGCATCGATCTGCCAGAAGGACCGTCGACTAACAAAGGTCTCTGCCCACCCGGTAGGCAATCGAACATCGGTGTCGGTTCCAACGCACGAGTCCTCACTAGCTATCAGCCCCATCCGTTCCAATTTTTGTAATGTGTTTTTTCCTTTGAAAATGCCTTCTCTTTTAATCTTGATGCGCCATTCGAGCTTTGGTCTCCCACTTTCTGGCGTCAACGCCGATGCATCTGTGAAGACATGAGGATTTGGAGGTTCCTTGTGAAAATACCAGCACAGCGTGGCCCACAGCATCATGGCAATGTGCCGAGTTGGTGAGGCATTGCTCTTGAAATCCGTACTGGCTGGCTGGGATATGGAGGATATGAAGAGGGAGTCGCTTTGGATGGTGGGACGGGTGAAGCGATGGGTGACAATCTGCTTTGTAGGCGAATCGTCATGGTCTTGCACACGATGATTTATTGAGATCCTGCTCTTCCTTCGTTCCGGTTCAGTCTCTACTTCGTCCTCTGTTTGTAGTACGACGGTCCATCCCGGAGGCATTGCAGAATGGTGTAAGTCCAGATTGGCAGACTTGAATGTGAAGCCACCGAACACGGGCGTCACTGTGTACACCTGCCCATTGGGCAGATACACCTGTTGAACCATTGTTGTGTCTCGATTCTCAACACATTACTAGAGCAATGGGGAAAGCAGAGAGAAGTCTAGACAAGAAGTGGTCTGACACCGAAATAGTGCTTGAGACGTCTGGAGAAACACGAGTGTCAGTGATTTTCTGCTGCCATAATGACGTATGTCCTTCGGCAAAATTGTAGCTGGTATGCAGAGCAGTAATATGATATATTTGAGCGCGGCTGGCAGGTGCTTCAGGAAGAGAGATGGCCGAGACCGGGGCTTGAAGACATACGTGTTTGATGGCTAAGCTCAGAGGGAGGTCTTTCTGACGAGGGTGTCACAGCACACCGTTCAAAGCCCAAAGGAGTACCTAGGTCTGTATCTCTGGGCGCAAGCCAAAGGGGTCGAAGTAACCAGTACGCTGTAGTCGGGAAGTCGGTCTTGTCCCTCCACAATCCTCCTTTGAGTGGCTGCACCAGCAGCTGGGCAAGCGACGAATCCGTCAGAAGCTGGGGTTGAATGCCACTCAGATTGTCAGTGATTACAACCCCGCCTTCAAGCAGGAACTTGGGATTCGAGACTCGAATGTGAGCTCGACCTCGTCAGTGGTGGACTGCCCACACGGCCCTGAGAACTTTTTTTACCCCGCTTTGCGTCCAATTACGATAAAGAGAGAGGGGGTTCAGATAAGGGAATTTGGTGGGGTCACGTTTGGGAGTACCAAGGTCGGGACCGGTGAGCTAGGACCGCAAAAGCACGAGGTATGAGAAAGATAGTCTGGTAGGTCTTGCATCAGGCTGTGTGCGACGATGATTCAAGGAGGAGGACAGGTGGTTCTTAAGCTGGTCTTCACAAGTCACAATGATGAGTCTAGCCCAGTATCACATCACAATCCTTAAACTTCGCTGATAAGCGACACGGCCCCAGCAGTGCGTTCGTCTTGCGCATTCAAGTCTTTGAAAGGGGTTCATCAGAATATTTTCCAAAGTCCTGACACGTGGCCTTCATTCCATCACAATCATGTGCTTGTGGATTGATTTGATCAAACTTGTTGTCATTTCCAGTGGTTATGAGTGGCTGACTCGAATCGGCCCTTCTTCTGGCGTATGCCCACAAGCAATTATTGCCTCAAAACACCCACTGCAAACAGACGTTGCATCCATGAGTAAAAGGGTCCATAATCAACGAGGAAAAGGTTCCACCTCTGACTGCAGATATCACTCGCTATATCCTGATTCAACGTCGTCGTCGTCTTGTGAGAGGGCCTGCACACACCGCCCAAGATAACCTTTCCTTTAGCTGGGGCGGTCCATTTCCCAACAGCTTCAGCCTCGCCAACATCTGCCACATCCTGGAGACCTGCTGATCAGAAATCCTCAATAAAGGTTCCAATGTCACGTTCTCTCGCAAGTCGGATCATGTCGCCTCCAACAACCAAATCCATCAGCCCCATTCCCACACTCTTGTAGATAACGTTGCCTTTGATAAGCCAATCCAATAGTCCTTGCTCTCCTGGTCCTCCCAATTCAATTTCCTTGGTGGCAGCCTTCTTGATCATGATGAGCTCCCCAATTTCAACCAGATGCTCCGGTTTTAGCTTGGCCTGGATTATTTCTCCGGCCTCTTTTAACGACGATTCCAGACTGTCAACAATGATGACCCCACCCTGCTTGGCATGCTTGTGATGGTGATGTCCATGATCAGGCTGGACCGCCGCCTTGAAGACGTCCGGATGGACTTCGCACATGTGTGGGGCATAGGAGCCAATGGCAGAAATATACCTGCCTTTCCTTTGCCCTTCTCGAGATGTCAAAAACTCGGCCGGGAACAACGGGTCGACCGAAGGCGTGCAACAGAATATCACGTCTGCCTTCCTGACTTCTTCCTTCAAGAGTCTCCCGTATTCCACGAATGCAGGACTCACCGCCGAAAACTTGACATCTTTGCGCCACCCTTTAAATGATTCATCCGTGACTTGAAACGATTTCATCAACTTGACCGACCTCTCAAAGGAGCGATTGATGATATTGACATGTCTGATCTCGTCACCCCTCAGGAGAAGTGCTAGACGTATGTGCCAGAAAGCTTGCTTGCCCGCGCCAAATACGAGCAAACTGTGCACATCATTCCGCTTCTTTACCAGCATGGTCGCTGCCAGAGCAGTTCTGAACGCTGTGAGTTCTTCAGCATTGACAATCCCCACAGGATTTCCAGACGAATCGAGTATCGTGACTGAACCTCGTGGTGTGGTACTCTGGCTACTATTGATAGAAGCCGGAGGTTGAAAACTCGCACCATCGATTGAGTCCTTACTGCCCAAGGACGACTCTGTCGCCACAGGGCTTAGGCTCAGTGACGCAAGATCACTAGTAGTGGACTTGATAGAGGTCGCGCCAGAACCACTCCCTGTTTGTGATGAGACAGACGATTTCTTACTAGATCGCCTCTCTGGTGTTTCCAGTGAGACAATTTTCATCCCCACAGATGTGCCGGTAGAGGCAGGCATGAAAAGCGTCGTAACACCCTTTTTCCGAATCGTCGTCCTCTGAGGTTGATAACTTGATGCGCATGGCGAGTTCGTGTCACCAGTAGAATATGAATGTAATGCTTCTGCAAGAGTTCCTTGGAGGTCTTCAATGTCCTGCTTCGTCAGGGTCAAGAGTAGACTCTTGACCTCTGCGTCTGTGAGGACGGTCAGAGGCATGTTCGAATAATGGCTATCCCTCCAAACCTCCGAGTTCACGGGTTGACGGTCGCACAATAAGATGCGTGGAAATGAGGGGATGTCTAGCTGTTGGTTACAGACTTGAATTCACACAGGACTGGAGGAGATCAATGTAGGGTAGGTAGGTACTAAGTATCATCAAGAGAAGACATACAAGTCTTGGTATTGAGGTTAGTTGGTCCTTTGTCATCATACTACATGATGTGTCGCTTAGGCAGCCTTGGATACCTAACTAGTCGTAATACAAATTTCTTGGTGGATACTCGCACTGGCTTGTGGCAAACACTTGGTCCTCATTCTTATTAACATCGTTTGTAGCTTGGCCTGCTTTACCAATGCTTAACCATATCCCCATTTATCCCCGAGAATTGCCACCTACAAATCCACCGTCGCGCCCAAAGCCCCAGGCCTCCTCGGGGCTTCGGCACGGGCACCTTTAGCCAAGAGGGTAATGAGGTTTGTTCACGCGCACCACTTCTACGAGTACTACACGCTTGGCCCAGTAAATAACCTGGGAATTTCTCGACCTGCTGCAAAGTGTGCATATCGACCATACATGTCATCTAATCATCACTCTACCATGGCACGGAAGATCAAATGCATGGAAAACTCTTCAGAACCGAATCAAATTATCGCTCAAAGGGGATGGAACTCCTCCCCGTGAACATCGTAGCTCTCCATCCTGGAGCAAGGCATTGTTGCTTAATCCAGGTAAATGAAGCATCTTGTCTTTCTTTCCAGCAAGTACAACGATCCACACATCAGTGGTTCAAATGAGCCTGCCAGACAAACTCGTCCTTCTCCGCTGCATAAGTCTCCGTCTCTCGACTGCTGGCTTAAATAATATCCGACCGACAGCACTTTCCACTACGGCTCTCCTGCTTTATTGGCCTTTTGATGGTGAATCGATGTCTGAGCGAATTTGACACCACCCTTCACCTCCACAACTGCGTGCATTTGTCCCTCAGCAGCTGTTGCGGTCTTGGACCACCTCCACGCTGGGATCTTGCGCTCGTACAGCTCATCAATTTCGGCGGCAGAACGGCTACTTGAGTTAGAGTCAACCATGAGCACGCGGCAGGAGGACTTACCCTTTGGTCTCGGGAAGATATAGCCAAAGGATGACACAGATTGGCACCGAGAAGGCACCATAGACAAACCCCGTTTTGAGGTCCAATGCCAGAAGCATGGGTGGTGTCGCATAGCTGGGTGACTTAGCTGAGAACTCCTACGCCTGAACATGAATTTGAAGGAACGCACCAGGTAGCAATACCCATGACTGAGTTCGTAAAGAAAGTCACCGGGCCAGTCTTCACTGTACAATGTCAGCTTGAAGACCCAGGCGGTCGGTCTAAGCTAGCTTACCTCGAAGGAGAGCCGATGGCAACTCAGCTGAGAAAACATAATACGACATGGCGATGATGGTGAAGAAGAAGGTCCAGAAGCAGCAAATGACCAGCTGAAATCCATGTCAGCGAATTTCCAATTGCGGTGCACGACAGTATAGAATTACCAGAGCGGTGCCAGCCGAAGCATTGCCTGTCGTCGCCCCTGACCAGTGCAAACCACCCACAATAAAGAGGATTCCACAAGTCGCTGTTTGGCATGTGTTGATGATGGTGCGACGACCGAGCTTGTCTACGCTTCCGGCCCAAAGCAAGACGGCGAGGAGATTGCAGCAGCTGGTTACAATGCCTGAGTTTATGATCCATGTCTCGCGATTGCGAACCACTTACCTCAGAATGACGGAACCGAGAAAGGGGTCGTCTAGACCTGCTAGAGAGAAGAAATCTGCATTCGGTTAGGAAAGTCATCTCAGCAGCAGAGAAAGTCATGCGACGTACATGTTGAGTATGTAGAGATGATGGCGAGGCCACAGAGTTGCTGGGTGACTGCAAGAACCATCACGGTGAGTGTCCGTTTCTATGGCCGAGTCAGCGGATGTTCGTGGGGTGCATGAGATCAGATGCCCACTAAGTTAAGTCCCTTGAAGACGTGAACAACACTTGGCGTCTCTGCAAGCACATCTCTTTCATGTGCGATCGTCCTCTCAATGATCCCATACTCCTCTTCGAAGTCATAGCCATCGACGCCGCCGTACAGTTGTTTCATCGCTTTCATCGCCTTTTCTTTATTTCCATGCCGAGCGTGAAACCAGGGTGATTCCGGAACAAAGGCCCAAAAAACAATCATGAGGCCGACTGGAACCCAAATGATTCGCATGGCCAATAAATAGTCATCGGCGTGTTTCTTATTGAGCTGTTGCATCATTACGGCGCAGATGATACCTCCTATGTTGCTCCTGTTTGGACAGTCAGAAACGACCGCATTACTACCAACGAAGAATGAGAGAAGATATGTGTACCAGATGGATTGCAAGGTGACCATTCCTCCCCGGATTCTGTTCGGGCTGATCTCCATGACATATACCTGGCATGTTACTCTGTGAATTGATGGGTTAGCGGGGGAATTTATCTCCAGCTTTGATGATTCTTACTGTAATACGCCGATGCCTGCGCCATTGCAAAGTTTCCCAAGAGCCTGAAAAACATCAGCACGAGCACAAATGCTTGGACCTTTGTGAAAGAGAAAGCGTATTTTCACCTTTCTGACTTACCCAGACTGAGGGACTTTTGGCTGTGTTGAGAAAAGTACACCCCTAGAAAGCATCAGCACACCCGTCGTTCAATCTATGGACACTTTCCTCGTGATTTGGAACTTACAACAACAAGCCAGGCCCATGCCAAGTAGAACGAAGTCTTGCGGCCATACTTATCGGCGAACCTGAAGCATGTCAGAAATCACACGTATACCACCATACCAGAATCACTACTTCTTGAAGGGGACTCCGACTTACTTACCAAGAGATGTGGGTGAAGGTGACGATTTGACCAACATTCTTATCAGATCAGTACAACAAATCACCCTGACGGCGATGGAAAACTTACTAGAAGAGCGCTCCACGTGGACACTAGTGATCTTTGTCAGTTTTTGATGGATTTTGCTCCTTGAAAGGAGGAGGAACGCACCCCAGGTTGCGTCAAGTGCTCTCACACCTGTACTACCATCACCGAATTGCTTGATGAAGCCGGCATTTGCTATGATGGCACCGCCAGCACCAAGCTGAGTTTCAATAAATTCATCAACTCTTCAACGGGTTCTCTGCGGATCATATCATCGGGTCCGACATACCTCAAAGCCTTCGCAAACATAGCCAGTATAGACCGCGAGTGTGACGAGAAGGACTCGCTTGAAAACCCAAACAGTGCGAGGAATGGACAGCTCATCAAATCTAGACTTGACGAGTCCATAGCTCTCATATCCATCAACTTCTGCTACACCGACAAGATCGGCACCGATGCCATCGAGGTGCAGGGCCTCGGCCTTCTCGACTAGGGTAGTCATGTATATCACTCTAACGGGCTCTTTTGCTATCTAATACAGACATATAAGGTAGGATGATTGTTGGTATTTTGTGTTGTAGAAGCTGAGATTGGCCGGGCTGGGGTTCTATATGTGGAGGAATTGGCAATGTTGCAACTCAACCCATACTCGGAGAACGTCTGAAGCCTGGGGTCAAATTCCATGGCTCACGAGACACAAGCAAACCCTGGAATTGACTCGCCCTGAACTATCCCGCTATTTCCAGATGTACCGAAGACCGAAGGGCATCTGGGACGACGTGACTCGTTGGGTCCGCTGTTTTTGGATACTCGGTGCAAGAGGAAGTTTAGGCAGACTTCCTGAGCACCGAGCGAGGTGGGTACAACAGCTCTCTGCGAACATCGCTTGGTCCTATGGAAAAGTCCACGAGCGAACACAGGTAGGATCGACGTCTGGGGACAGTGGGGCCCCTCTCATTGGAAACCGGGGTTTCTCGTGAAGACTATCCGACTCCGCAATCCAAGTGGAGGACTCTATTGAGACCCCTGTCATTGGAACTACTGTCATGCAACCAAACGTGCTGCTGATGCGGCATCTTCCCAAAGGTATTTGCTTCATCCTTGGGACCAACACTTACCGGCTGCTCAAGATTGTCCATTCTGGGCTTGACTGTGTACCAAACAGACTGTCAAAACCTCCGTGTAAGTCCTGCATACATCTCCTACATCTTCTTCGTGTTGGCCAATCTGCACGGATAAGTCTCATGATTCCACTACGTTGGTGCGCTCCAATGCCCTGAGTGTAACCCTGCTGTCGCGCCTCGGCTATCGTCTAAGGCTGCCGGTTTCTACGCCTTAGCGAACGCTACCGGCTATATGGCATCAGGTGAAGGTGGCATGTCCCTATTCAGTTTCAAACGATACAGAAGTCCCCGCTTGTGGCTTCATTTCGGCGCATTTCCCAGCGAAATTCGTCCAGCCTGTTGTTGTCTTAGCCATGATGGGCTAATCTTGTGCGTTGTAGAGACATATTGTCTTTGTTCTCGCAACCCCCGCCTTTCGGGTGACGATCCTCGCAAGACTGACTTCGCCGAACATATGTCATGTTAATTGAGTTCGGGCAATTGTTTTCCGAATGAGTCCTTGGGATTGGAGATCTAGAGTTCTGTTTCCCTTACCGCATACCAATGTGAGACAAAATCCCTGATCTCTCGTCGTATACGGCATCAGAGGTGACAAGGTTGGCCTCCAACATGACTTCGATTCTTATCTCATCTGTCAGATTTGAACACCATCCCACCGGGTTTGGGCTAGGTCATGCTCGGCCTCGGATCTCATGGAGTTTCTCTACTGATGAGGGTAGCGAGAATGACAGTGCCATCAAGAATTGGTCACAAGAATCTTATGAAATCGAAATCGCCCAGGAAGGGGATGCTGACGCAAAGGTATACAATGTGAATAGCTCAGAGTCAGTTCTAGTCCCATGGCCGCACAAGGCTCTCTCTTCACGGGATGCGGTGTCGGTAAGGGTTCGGTCTCACGGCAAGGCTGTGGATGGAGCTGGGGCCACCACCAAAATCAGTACCGAATGGTCTGACCCACGTGTTGCTGAAGCCGCCCTTCTCGACAAAACTGACTGGACAGCGAAGCTCACAACTTCGGTCCTCTCGTCCAGCAACAGCGAGCCCAAGAGACCAGTGCTATTTCGAAAGGTCTTCTCTATGTCCGAGCAGATGGGTGCGCTCAAGAAGGCCCGTCTTTATATCACAGCCCATGGAGTTTACGAAGCATTCATCAACGGTCAGCGGATTGGCAAGGAGGAAATGGCTCCCGGGTGGACCAGTTACGGATATAGACTGCTTTACCAGACATTCGACGTGACCGAGCTCCTGACTCCGGGAAAATCCAATGTGTTTGGAGTTGAGGTAGGCGAGGGCTGGTTCGCCGGTCGCATCGGATTCGGGAATAAGAGGGGTTTGTATGGCGACCAATTGGCGTTCATAGCGCAACTTGAAGTCTTTTACGAGAGTGGTGAGAGTTATACAATGGTCTCAGACGACACCTGGAAGTCTCACCACAGTGCGACAACTCAAAGTGAGATATACGATGGGGAAGACTACGACTCGCAACAGGAGATCAAAGGTTGGAATAGTGAGCCCGGCCTTGATGACCAGTCCTGGAAATTGACTGAAGGGCTGGAACTCCCAAACTCAACGCTACTGGCTTCCGACACCCCACCAGTAAAAACAACAGAGAATGTGTCTCCAGCCAAGATCTTCAAGTCAAAGTCTGGGAAGACATTGGTCGATTTTGGTCAGAACCTAGTTGGAAAGCTTCGAGTGCGCCTACCGGCAGTCAATGGTACAACGATCCCAGAGGGCCACACGGTGTCCTTCAGTCATGCTGAAGTACTCGAACGCGATGAACTCGGGACCCGACCTCTTCGGAGCCAAAGCCATCGACAATGTCATACTGTCTTCCAAACAACCGACTTCATGGTCCCCGAAATTTACCTTCCACGGCTTCAGGTATGTTCAAATTGAAGGGTGGCCGACCAATGACGGAATTCCCAACCATGATGATCTCGAGGGGCTGGTCCTACATAGTGAAATGAAGCGTACGGGATGGTTCTCCTGTTCAGAATCATTGGTCAATAAGCTTCACGACAACGTCTTGTGGAGTATGAAGGGCAATTTCCTTTCCATTCCCACAGATTGCCCCCAGCGTGACGAACGACTGGGTTGGACCGGAGACATCCAAGTCTTCAGTCCTTCGGCGAACTTCATTTACGATACCCAGGGGTTCCTCGGCAGTTGGCTTGACGATGTCTCCGCCGAGCAATTGGGAGATAGCGATAGCGGAATCCCAGGACTTGTAGTTCCAGATGTCATTCGAGGTGAGATTGGTGGTGACATGGGACCGCAAGCAGTGTGGCATGATGTCACGGTATTGACGCCGTGGGATCTATACCAGAGCTCAGGCGATGTGGAGATACTGCGCAGACAATATCCAAGCATGAAAGCATGGGTAGACAAAGGAATAGCCCGCGGCCCAAATGGACTCTGGGATCAGAACATCTGGCAATTGGCTGACTGGCTCGATCCTGCAGCACCGCCAGACGAGCCGGGTGCCGCACTCACTGATGCTGTTCTCGTCGCCGACGCCTACTTGGTTCGAGTGCTTGACACCATCGCCGAGATTAGCCACCTCCTCGATGAAGCAGAAGACGCAGACCGCTACGGTAAAGACGCCACGAGGGTCCGAAAAGCATTCAATCACGAATACATCGCGCCCTCAGGCCTCCTCGTCGGCGACACACAGGCAGCGCACGCAATGGCCATCTGCTTCAACCTGTTCTTGGAAAAACAACACATACAAAAATCCGCCAGCCGCCTCCGCCATCTCGTGCACGCCGCGAAATTCCGAATCGGGACGGGCTTCGTGGGGACTCCGTTGATGACACACGCCCTCTCGGACACGGGACACCACCAGCTCGCATACAGGATGCTGCTGGAGCAGCAGTGCCCGTCGTGGCTGTACCCGATCACGATGGGGGCGACGACGATCTGGGAGCGCTGGGACAGCATGCTGCCGGACGGCTCCATCAACCCGGGCTCCATGACCAGCTTCAACCACTACGCCCTCGGCGCTGTCGCGCACTGGCTGCACAAGCACGTAGGAGGCCTCAGCGCCCTCGTCCCAGGCTGGCGCTCATTCAAGGTCCGTCCCCTCCCTGGCGGAACCATCACCAGCGCGGACATCGCGTATGAGAGCCCCTACGGCCGCATCGAGTGTCATTGGAACATCGTCAACGGCGGCACTTTCAACATGACTCTCGTGGTGCCCCCAAACGCCACGGCTGTAGTTGTTCTTCCGTCCGCTTGGCAGGAGCCACAAGCCTCGAATACCACTGGCACTGGTGGCGAGAGTGGGAATAAGAGTGGAGAGGCTGAGGAGGAAAGCACCACCCTTGGATCGGGCAGGTATGAGTTCTCGTGTCCCTACGTGCCGGCAGAGTGGCCGCCGCAGCCGGAGTTCAGACGCTCCGCTTGGAGTATCAAGGTTTGAACCACCACCGTGCTGCGAAGCTGAGCGGAATCGATGAAGCTCGCTGGCTGAGAGAATCCCGACACCTCTCCGACGAAGGAGGTATGGCGAGAATGAAGTTTGATGGATGAGATAATAAGTACAATTTCACATAGACTGGGTATGATAAAGTCAAAGTAAACTAATAGTCTAAACCACCACCGGGAACTTTTGAAATGAGATGTCAGAAAGGAATAGAAGTAGGTTTTGCATCCACGTGCAATGAATGGTGTGTAAATGTAAATTCGGGTATCTATGTCGGAAAAAAAGCCATGAACCTTGCTTAGGGTTCTGCTGGCGCTAAGTGTACACATTCCACGGAAACAGTACATGTTACTCCATCCGGAAGAAGGGAACAGATAAGAGACGCAGAAAGCTGAAGAAGGAAAAGGGGGATGCTCGAGCATCATTCATCATCATCTCTCTCCTCCTTCATGGAGTCTACTTGCCCCACATATCTTCGTCACTCACGACCATATCGTCTTCACTGAGGACTTTCAGGCCCTCCTTTTTGCGATTCCGTCTTCGGTCTTCCTTGGTCACGAGATGACGTGGGGTGATCGGCGTCATGGGCGTGAAGGGTGTATATGGACTGTATGGGGTCTGCGGCACGCCGGTCTTGGGATGCACACCGAGGATGCTCTCGCGCTTCTCCAGGAATGTGGTCTTGGTTGGTGGGGCGCTCCTCAATGTTTCCGCGTAGAACTGGCGGAAGGGAAGAGAGTTGTTGGATGCACTTGCGCCGGCGGTGCTGGTCACGGAGAGCGGGACTGATGGACGGCGTTTCTCGATCTCCTGGATCTGGATGGAGCCAATGGCACTCTTTTGACCAGGCGTTGGGGGTGGGGGGCCTGGATTGTAGATTCTGGGAGACTCGATGGCGCTCTCGTTATAGGCCGTTGATGGGTTGAAGCTGGCGGAGCCGATTGGTTGAGAGATTGGTTGGCCGCGGACGGAAATCTGGCTTGGTCGTCGCTTTCCCGAGGCTGAGTCGGCTCTTGTGGAGGCCAGGGATAGCGGCGAGGCTTTGAATTTCCGAGTGCTGGTCTGTGATGACGCACGTGTTGACGGATCCTCGACCGGAGTAGGTGCCATTGGATTGATCAGTGTCTGTGTTGCAGGCTCAATTCCATAGTTGTTGGCTTCAGCTGACTGATTTCGGAGATGTTGGAACTCAGGTGGATATCGAGGAGAGCGGGGTGATGCGGGCCCGCTCGTCAAATTTGGCTGATAGTATGGTGATCGAGGTGTCGGGGGTAAAGTCATTTGAGAATGTGCATAAGGTGACCGTGGAGAAAGTGGGAATGAGGGAGTTTTGGGAGTGGTCTGGCTACTGTTCATTGCCTTTTGTGACCGCTCTTCATCATGAACCATCACGGCAGCATATAGCTTGGCCATTTCATCCATGCTTTTCATCTTGTCCGCTTCCACAATCTTCTCATCAATGGTAGTTGCCGTACTGACATTGGATGGTTTGTGACTGTGACCCTTGCCACCAGAAGCCCATGATCTGAGACTGGCCATCTTCCCTGGACTCTTGAGCGGAGAATCCATGCTCATTCCTGGATGGCTGCTGAGCGGAGAGGGTTTGACGATTTCCATGCTTAATGACTGATTCGAGGTCTGAATCTTGTGGCGAAGTCTTTTCCCGACAGTCAACAAAAGCACCAAAGTTATGAGAAGCCAAACAAAGTATGCGCCGACAATGCCGGCGATTTCGTACTTGAGTTTGGACTCGTCTCTCAGAGCACCAGCTGATAAAGGTGGGCCTTCGTCTGGAGGGGGTGCTGGACTGTTATCAATATCAACGACCCAAACACTTGCAGGAAGGGCTTTGGCACAATGAGCGATTGAAAGCAAGATGAGGATGACTTCAGCACTGGAGGAGTGCCTCATCTTTGTAGGACTTTCAAATCATTGATATGGCCAGATGTGAATGACTGAAACTGGTGCCCCCCTGACCGAAGAGAACATGAAGCAATCCAGTGCAGGCAAACAGCGATCACGGCGGTAGATGTAGCTCTCCATGATTGCAGAAGGGGTGAGCGACAGGATCAAGAGGGCGCTGATGGTGATGATTGGTGATGGTGGTGGTGCGGAAGTGGTGAAGAAGGGACTGACTGGCCGCATGAAGCACGATGATGAGCGAATGAGGTGGGAGAGCGGGGTGTTGACGGCTAGGCCCAAGGAGCGGGTAGTAAGCCTAACGAGCCAGTCCAAGGATGCCTGTTAGCGGGTCCTGCCGGGGTCTCCTTTTTAGGCTTACGGTACCTGTCCAGGTGGGTTCCAGGCGTGGCTAGGCGTCCCTTTTTTGTCCATTCAAAGCTCTATTTTAACCGCCCAAGATCAGAGTTCCACATTGACCATTCCCTGGCATGAGGTCTCTTGATCGGGCCTCGACCGACCCTGGATACTAGCATGTTGGAGCACAAGACTAATCCCGCATCCTGGTTCTGGGATTTACGAATAGTAAACACTGGGTTTATCGGGAGGTTGGGCTTCTGGGTCTGTCTGTTTCTATCTCACGGCGCACATGCCGCCAATCCCATTCTCACTTTGTGTGCTGTCACACTGGTGCCCATTTTCAGAGCCATTTTCTCACCGATCGAGTCTAGTTCCAGGAACGGCAAGGAAACATTTCTCCAAGGGTGGTGGTTTTCTGCAAACCAAAAGACGACACAACGTAGTCTCAGGACCGATATCACGTTCACGGTAGATCCTAACACATCATTGTGTTCTCGTGACGAAGTTTGACTTCACAATTTCCTGCATTTCCCATTGATCTTGCACTCGCCGACTCTATCATCCTTGCTATCCTTGAGGACTGATGGTAATCCACTAGCTGTTCGGTGCTTTTCTCTCGAAAGTCTGCCTTTGGTCCCCGTGGCATCTTGCCCCTAGCAGGTAATGGTGTTATTTGTATTTCGTCTGGCTGACTTCTCTGCCCTTGCGCTCCTCATTTCGGAGCCTCGGCGGGACATTGACTGGGTGAGGACACCATCTTCATCTCCATGGACTTGCTTGACGTCCGTGTCCATCACACAGCAAAACAAGAACTCGCAGAAGGTGTAGGCCTGTTGTATATATCCCCAGCTGCCACATCCCGCTTCCAATGGGTAACCTTCTGTAACGCGGTATATTTGAGTTGCTGACTCTCATGTCGATTCCCGGGTGTCCTCTTAGAGTATATTCATGACTTCGATAAAAGTTGGGCCTAGCCAGAGTCGGGCCTCTGCTCAAGCTCTCTGTTGCCGATCACGTGTTCCTCGTCATTGGTCATCATTCTGCATCCATCGACAGAGGTCAACGCGTGGATTGAACAGCTCGTCATGGTCTGTGAATAGCTCTTCGGTCCTACATCGAACCTGGTGGCCTTGACAGCTCCAACGATTGTGACTCTTCACCTCCAGCTACTTCCTGTTCCTGTAGCCCAGCCTAGACCTGCGAAGCCACTGCCTCTGCCCAAAGATGGCCCAGAGTCACGAGAATTGACAGCTTTTCTTTTGCCTTTGGTCCCTTCACTCAGTCTAACACCTTCGACAATCTTGTCTAGGGCGGTTTCGACCACCACCCCACCAACGACCATTTCGCCCAGGACGGCGTGGAGGGTTTCAAAGCCAAAGATGAGATCGAGTTCGCAGACATTCTCAAAGAGGCGATCTAGGGCCTCGACAAAGACCTGAATGAAATCTAACAAGGCCAATGGAGACTCAGTGGCAGTGGAGATGAGGATGAAGTAAAGGGTGGCATAGTGTCGATAGGTGATCTGTGTTGGGGCGTCGGGGGAGGTGGTTGTGCCTGTAGGTGCCAACAAGGGAGGCAGTGGAAGGAAGTTACAAGCCGAGGCAGGACGAGCAGAGACCAAGGCGAAGATCTGGGATAGTAGAGATTGTTGAGTGACGGTGTCCTGGACCTTTGTCAGTTGGCCAGCAGGCAGACTTGAGTGAGGGAACAAGTGCACACCAGTTGAGTGTAGAATTTGGTCAGCCTAGGCTGTCCATTGTTATTGAACACCAAAACCGCGTTGATCATGATGGCCGACTTCGACTTTACCTCTGGCGTGTGTGGGAGGTTTCAAGGACGATTTACGAAGCCATACCGGTACAGTACCGAGGGGGACTGTTTGATAGATGAGAGACCACCCCACCAATATTTCCTGCGGTAGGCACCACAAGAACAAGGCTTAGGCGGCAAATTTGACAATGCAAAACGCGTAGCCGCTAGACGCCCCACGCCGACCATATCGCCCAACCGCGGCCCTGTCTTCAAGCGCGTCAAAATTTCTTAGTCCATTTGTGAGTATCATTGTATCATGACCATTCAGTAGTAGTGGTCGAAACGCAATCTCCTTCTTCACAGTCATTCTTTCTCTTACTTCCCATCTCCCTTTCTCCAACCATCGCATCGCTAATATCTCCCTCGATGCAAGGCACTACCTGCACTTCGTGTCGGGCCATTTCTCGCACTCGATTTCATCTTCGTTTATTCTTTCTCAAAGACAGCCGGCGAAGACTTCACAGTAGTTCTTCAAGACTGAATCATACTCCCTTGCAACCTCAGTCTTGGTACTGGGAAACGGAACCTCCATCAAAAGAGAACTTGGCTGCCGCTGAAAACTTCTTCAGAGGCCACCGCCCCTTTCGAGAATGGACTGGCACCGGATGGCGCAGGCATAAAGCCTCCACCCCCGGAGCCCTTTTACTCCCCGAAATCATCGTCCTTGGTCGTTCCAATGTCGGCAAATCTTCTCTACTCAACCGAGTCACATACTCCGTCGAGTTGAACCGTGTCAGTCAAACTCCTGGTGCAACGAAGACCATGTGGGCTTGGTCTTTGGCCGCGAAAAATGAAGATACCGGGGGTGCAATACGAGGATGGGGCGGCGACTGTTCGTCCAAACTGACACTTGTCGATCTGCCAGGCTATGGTTATGGCAGTGACGCTGAATGGGGAACAGAGATTGTCACCTATATGAAGAATCGCAAAGAATTGCGCAGGGCTTATGTCGTGGTGGACGCTCTACAAGGCATCACTCAACACGATCGCAAGATTCTTGAAGTCCTACGAAGTCTGACAATTCCATACCAATTGATCGTCAGTAAATGCGACAAATCAGGCTGGCAGGGTTCACAAACAGCCATCGAGTCTGCGCTTCGACCCATCCGTGAGGAAGCCGAGTTAGGGAGCAATTCACACGCAGGCCTCGGCGAGCTTCTTCTCGTAGGAGGCCTGAATTCCCCTTCTTTAGTACAGCCTTATGGAATCCAAAATGTCCAATGGTCCTTTCTGAGGGCCACTGGTCTGGATAAATATGCTATGTCTCATGCAGCGGCTAGCTCTGACTACGCCAAACAAGCCGAATCTTTCACACCGTACTTGCAGCAGAACTCTCCGACTCCGTCTCAACCTCTAACAGCCCGGTTGCCACAGGGCTTGTCGGCTCCGGCTGCTGCTCCTCGCCCTCCAAAAACCGAACTCAGTCTACAAGACTTTCTTGCCGAACTTCTCAATGTCAAGCCTGACTCCTCGGCACCATCTCAACGGGGCACCAATCCGCCGTCGAGTCGTGTGCTCTGGAAACCATCCGCTTCCGCCTATTCCGAGACCCAGAATCCAGTAGATCGAAAGCTCATGGACTTAATTGCAGCCAGCCGATCCACAGCCAAACAGGCTAGTCCCGAACTTATCAGACCAGGCCCAAGCATCCCTTCCTCTCGCATGTCATCCACTAGACTTAAGAACACACCTATTCGACAAGTTCCATCAGTCCATGCACTTGCTCGACAAGAAAATCGTCGCGAGGTACAAGGTGTAATGAGATCCACACCAGCGCTGCCTCCAAGACCAGTCACGGCCTCTACTTCAGTAATTCCCCATGGCAAGGGCGTGAGCCATGGTATCGACGCTTTCGAATCCATGTTTGCCGCCGAACAAGGCAAAGCGAACAACATGTCGAATTCGTCCCAGCCTAAATCTAAGTCTAAATCCAAAAACAAATCCAAGTCAAAGTCTAAATCATCCGACTTTGACGACCCTCCTGCTCCAGAGGTTTCCATGGGCAAAGGCGTGGTTCGGGGGATGGACGCATTTGAGTCCATGTTCGGTGGGGCGTCATCAAACGGCGGTGGCAGCAAGAAGCAGAAAAAACGGCAGTGAGCGTGTCGCGTGTTACGGTGGCCAATGATACTGATTTTGGACACTCACTGCTCCGAGATAGCTTTCCTCCAGAGAAAAAGCGCGATGATTCAGCGAGCCCATTTCTCCCCATCCATTCCATGTGTATGTGTATACTAGTGTATAGCCCACGAACTAAAGGGAGTTGATAGAGGATTCCTCCCTTGGGCGGGGAAGAACGAGGATGATATAGAAGATCAAGAACAACGGCTGGCTGGCAACATGGCGTTCAGCACGGTCTTGTGCCCCGGTTCCAGCATTGGTTTAATAAAAGTTCAATCTCCCAGCTTAAAAACCCCGATCATGCGTCTCCTGTAAATCTATTCCACTGTACATGTCCATTTCAGCGAGAGCGAGCCTCAAGAAATCTGTCCATGTTATGTTATGGCCGCTACAGTTACAATTAAATTACCCCTGATCATCCCCGCCTCCTTTGCGATGGTGTTGGTGGAAGCAAAACGAGCTACATACCGGTGCTACGCACAGCACATCCTTAGGTACCTAGGTAGACTGTTTCTTCCATTCCACCCGCTCCTGGGATAATGATACGGGGACTCCTCCAACTAGTCACCGAGAACTTATTGATGCCTACAAGATTTGGTTTTGAAATGCTGAAGGATGTGAAAGAGAAAAACGGAAAGTCACATGTAAACATCAATTGGAGGGACTATGTACAACTGAAGCGTGGAACACAATACATGACCGTAGTCTAGTGTTGTTGTAGCCACCGCCGCCACAGTATCCAGCTTCATCAGTCGGCTCGGCCCTTGGGTCTTCAACGGAGCAGGAGAACATCGCCGTTGCCGTGTCTCCATCTAACATAGCTAGCGCAAACAAGTGAATTTCTCTGGCCGGAACACCTTGTTCGCAACAAGAGAAAACTATGCTGGGAAATTCATGTGATGTATGGTTCGTGCTGATCGATCTGATGCTGATCCCGAGTGTGATTTTGTGTGTGACAAACAAGTGATAGAGAAAAGAAAATAATTACAATAATCCCTGACCCAGATGGAAAATGCTACCGGTGGGGTATGAACGAACGCGCGTTGCAGACATGTGTATGGCGTTGAGAACAGATCGTTAAGGTCATGCAGAGTTCGAACCCTTGAGAAACAGATGATCGATTCGTTGGATGAATGATGGGTATCACTTTGAGGAGGGAAAGGGATGAAAGGGACGTCGTTGGTCGATTGGTGGTTTTCATAACGTGTCGTGAGTTGAAAGTCGTGACAATGGTCCAGGATTTCGAGGGGGCTCAGACTTCAGCTGTGCCGTCAAGGTCAAGGAATCCGACATCGTCGTTATTTGCTTCACATCCGTCGGCATCGACAACAATTCTCCTGCCGCGGTTGTGCTCCGGTACTCCATCTCGTGCCGCTCCAAAATCAAGCACCTACATTCATGGTTAGTGTCTGATGATGGATGATAAATTTCTCATCTTGGACTTACCTCAATGTAAGTTAAGCCATCCCGTTGGACAGCTGCAACACATCGACGTTCATTAAACTTCACCTGCCAGACTCCGCTCAGATCTGATAAGAGATCCTTCGTGCACTCGCCGGTCTTAATATTCCATAACTTCAGAGTTCTATCTGAGCCAGAAATGACCTTTTGTCCATCGTGTTTGAAGCATGTAATCGCTCCCGTATGAGCACTCAGCGTGGCTTTGCATTGGCCATTTTCGGGATCCCAGATCCGGAGGGTTGAATCTGCTGCCGCCGAAACAAGCTTGTCACAACTGAGATCAAGCAGTCCAACAAGAGAGGTATGTCCCTCCAACGTGTATTTCAATGAACCAGTATTGAGATCCCAGATTCGTACCATGTTATCCATAGATCCACTGATGCAACGGTTGCGTTTGTGGTCGAGGACTACACTATAGACCTTTGCTGTATGACCTTGCAGACGATGGATGGTCTCGCCAGTGGAAATCTTCCAGACTCGAACTGTACAATCATAGCTACCACTGACAAGGGTATCAGCATAAGCAGCAATTGCACGTACTGAGTGCTGATGACCTGTCAGGGTGCGGACGAAAAATGGACAGTCATCAGCATCATTGTCATTTTCGGCCTGGATGAAAGACGGGTCTTCAGGTTTCGGTAGTCTCCACACACGGAGAGTAGAGTCCCGTGACCCAGTGATGATGAGTGGTTGTTTTGGAACCATAATATGTTTTCCCTCTGCCGTTTCGCCGATTTTGACAGGAGATACGATTTGCAGACAGCGAACGGTCGAGGTATGTCCACGGAAGACTTGGGTCTCACGAGCTTCTTGGATGTTCCAAACTCTTACTGAGCGATCTGTTGACCCCGAGACCAGAGTGTTGCCTTCGTATTGGAGGGCCCAGACTCCTCCCTCATGGCCAGTCAAGATTGCCCTGAGAATTCCAGTCTTTGTTTCGTAAACGTTGATGTTATTGTCGTCACTTCCGGTCAATATCTTGTCAGTGTCGAATTGCAAGCAAGTAACAACATGCGTGTCGTGAGCTCGAAATGCAAGATGCTGTGGTTTCGTCTCCTCGGTCATCCAATTTTTTCTAATGATATGATGTCTTCGGTATAGTGATTTGTATAGGTGTAAGCCCTTGAGACTTGGAAATCTAATGTTTGGATTTGGCACTGCGAGAATGGCGGCGTTGGCAGCATTGTAAGGGCCTTCAGCTGTAGACATTTGACCCATCCAGTCGATTGACATGACATCGAGTGGGTTTTCGCTTGAAAATTCCCTTCTCTTTGCTTGTTTGTTACGGCCAGAAAGCATGGTAGCGGCCTTGCGTTTCGATCGACGTAGAAGTCCAGTGAATCCTTTAGACTGAGATGCTGACGGTGATGACGAATTGCCTTCATTTTCCGACTTCACGTTGCTTGCATTGCTCAGATTTTGCTCGAAGCCTTCTGGACCGCAAGGATCTTGCCAACCCCATCCCTCTGTGATGGCTTGTTGTAATTCTCCATCTGGAAGAGTAAAACCATCGGCATCGAAGAGTTCCTTCCATGCTCGCTCATCACCATTGATCATTTGTCGCCATTTCTTGGAGACTTGTGAGGCTCTAGTCAAGCTCCGAACGTCCAGGTATTTGAGAACAGTAAGAGCGAGCTCAGCGGGTAAGACCGAGAGGAAATCACACTTCAGGGCAGGATTAACTGCGTCTGCTACAATCTGAAGGGTTGGCTTAGGGCAGCGGCGTAGTAGCTGGTGCATGACATAACTTTTCAATTCGTCCGGGATGGCCTCGAAGTAGTCCAGCATGGCCGGAATTTCAGTGACAGAACTCCGAGAAAATGTGAGACCTTGGCTGTTGGATCGACGGAAAAACATCGCTTCCATGCTAGGAGCAGTAAAGGCGTCTGAAGAGCGGCGTTCAATGGGAGTCAGGCTGGACGCGATCTCATGCTGGGAAGCGACATCCGAACTCGAGTCAATGTCGGCAAAATAGCCAGGATTCTGCAGAGTTGCTGCGGCTGTGACAGGAGACAAACTAGGACTTGGTAGGCTTCCATCATTGATAGAAGGGCTATCGGCGACATGTAAGCGAGCTGGTACTGAGGAAAGAGCGCGCCAACTCGCAGAGCGTGCGGAAGACGACTCTGCTGTATCTTCGATTGGGGGAGTGGGCACTATAAGATCTTGAGAAGACTCTCCAAAGCTTGAACGGCTCGCAACCGTGCTATCGATGGGAAGGCTGAGCGTGGTATCAGTCGTTGACGTCTGGTGTTCAGGCGCCTTGGGTGTAGAACTTTGAGTAGGTGCAAAAGTGGCGAGTTGCTCTGTTCCTGGCGAAGGAAGCAGTGTCAGGCTACTTCTTGCAACGGTAGACGCGTCTCGAGCTAATCTCCGACGATTGCTTCTTGAAGGTCTTTGGAGACTATCCGGTGTTATGGGGTTGGAGATCTGAGCGTCGTGCATGTGAAGATGAGATCGTCGGAGATCTAGATCCCGTCTCGAATCTGTTCTGATGGAGGAGGATGGGTGATGAGAGGTGTACGACAAGGAGGGATTGAGATGCTCTTCATTGTCGGTTATCGACTCGGGTGAGGCAGGTCTTCTTTGGGGTCGAGTCTGCAAAGGTGGTGCGCTTGGGATTGGTTCATCAGAGATATCTGGACATGGCAAAGAACGTTGAACTGTTTGGAGAGATCCGTTTGCACGGCGAAGTGATTGTCTTTCGGCTTCCAACTGTGATTTGCATATCAGTATGTCGTATCCATTTGACAGTCAAGGATCTGGCGGTCGAACGTACCTGCTCTAGGGCTAGAGTTGTGTCTTCAGCTTCGCGGAAGACAGTCGATCTACCACCAATCTCGAAGTGTATGTTCCTCAGATGGGCTGGCGTAGGACTTGCCGCCAGAGGATAGTGCTTGAGATCCAATTCTTGCATCCGGCGTGGTGGCCGCATCAAGAAGGGGGGAAACTTTGTGGTGGTAGTGGTGGTAGTGGTGACGATGGTTGTCTGGGTCGCTGGAGCAAAAGAGAACTGCCCAAGCAAGGCACTTTGATCAATATCAGTCGGAAAGAGTTGATTGTCGCTAGCACTTGGGTTGGGAGGCCGGGATGGAGCATGGGATCTAAATCTCGGTTGCAAGAGATCTTGTGTAGGCGAATCCATCATGTCCTCCTCTTCTATCGTGATCATGGTCATTACCGCAGGATCAGGACGAGGGCTGCTTTCAATTTCATTTGATATGACTGAGCAAGAGCCCACAAGTCGTAGCGCGTCGAGTTCGTCCAAGTCTTCTCAAGCCGAGGGAGTCGTGCTAGAAGGAGGAGTCGGAGACTAGGTAAGTCCAAGCAGACTCTGATGGATATTACGAAGAGGCCGGGTAGAATTGTGATCTTTTTGACAACAAAGTATCGTTTACTAATAGGACATGAAGGGTGTAGGGCTCGCGGGTGGGAAGATCCGAATCGGTTCGGCGTGTGTTTGAGGTGGACGGGAGTGGAGCGAAAGACCCGGGTGGTTGAAGCAGTGGTCGTGATCTATCGCAGCAAAGACTGGAGGAGCACGCGTGAAGCGAAGGATGGCGGCGGAAAGATTGCAGTGCGTACGAGGAAGTGGTATGGAACTCGAAGGTGAGAACTGAAAGCCGGTGCGGGACAAGGCCAGTCGGTAGTGAGTGGTAGTGAAGGCAAACCGTACGAGGTTTAGTTCAGTTGGTTCCAGTCACAGAATTAGGCTGGCACAGGCACTGGCTTGTCAGGCTCGGATTTTCACCCCCACGAACCTCGACAACAGCCAAATCTCAAGGCTCACGAGGCTGGCTCTGTCCGTCAGACCAACTTTTGGAGAACGATTTGTCTGCCCTCGGCTTTCCGCTTTATGATGCTTCGTAAAGGTCTTGCAGTCTACGAATCATGCTGCAATCACGTTTATAGGACTTAGCACTCCACTGGTACTGGTACTGGTACCTAGTACCTACCTAGGTAGGTATCCGTGGATGGCTTAAAGACGATAATTGTCCCGTGCCGTCCAAGTTGGCAAGAGGGAAAAAGGCTTGGCTGTGTTCAAATGGCAGTCGCACTGCACTTGAAGTTGACCAAGGCAGGTGCGATGCGATGCGATGCGATGCTTTCCAATTGTGCAAAATGCATAGAACTTCAAGTTGATTTCAATCTTCAAGACTCTCTTCTTATCTCCAGACACGGGTGCCGCCGACGGACCATCAACCTAGTATCTGGTCCTCATGCCTCCCTCACCTCGTTCTTTGCTTGCCATGGTCCAGACTCATTCTCAATCCGAGAGTCTAACATGGGCCAAAATCTTCCTGAATGTCTCTCTTGCACTCATTGCATATACAAGAAGACTCATTCCGTGGCAGGCTTCATGTTTCAGGACAAGATATGTCGACCAAATCATTGACGCAGCCGCTTGCACACCACTGGACTTCTATGCATCCTTTTGTACACTTGATTCCCAACATGCTCACACTTCTCAAGAACTCCGGGTTTTGATAAGAGGCAGCCACGAGTATGCTGATCCAATCCTTGTCGCACTTGTAACCACATCCACATCTCTTCTTCATTCACTGTCCCGTTGACCAATCTAGGAAAATGGAGTTTTCGATGCCTTGCATCGCGGTTGCCTGCAGAGCCTTGAAATGTCACTCATGAAAACCGCCGACGCTCCTCATGCCATCCTTGAAACCCACTCATTCAAATTCGAGTATGACGATGGGCACATCAGCAGCATTCGGACGGGTCTCACCAACAACACTTTCGTCGTGGAGAATTTTGAGAAAGGCTTCAAGGTGGCCATACGCGCCCTGCTGCGCGCGTTGAGAGACCTCCCACCCCTGTCAGGTTCGGCTATCCCCGTTATATAATGAGTGTCGTGTTGACCATGCCCTAGTAAGCCTTATAGATCTGGGAGTAAGTCTAACCTACAGCGAGAGACGTTCAACCCTCCACCAGCCCTCAGGTCCTGTAGCCGCGGAAGCTCTCCCAGTCAATGAGAACATAATGGCAATGGCAGAATATAGCCCGAGCAATTCATTGGCAACAATAGGGGCAGGACAACCCAAGTCCTATATTGGCGCGGGCTTTCAAGAAGGCATTGCTGAAAGTATCTCTATCGATGTGCTAGACAGGACGGTTAGCAATCAATTGCGTACAATGCAACTGCCAACCTGCGTCCAGAATAACAACTTCCCATCGACCTTAGAGGACGCAGTATAGGTATCCATTTTGATGTATTGATGGCAACCATATCAATCTAGAGGTTTAAAGCCTACCACCACTCGATTCATCGCGTGGTATCTGGACAAGACACCAGAACAAGCATCATTGTCATGGAGGAACACATATTTTAAGCGTTGCTTGACCAGTGGAAGTGTATCCCTTGTCATTTTTTCTTCAAAAGAAGCATAGGAAGAAAATGGAATGAGTCGACCTGAGTCAGACAGCACTCCGAAACATCTACTAGTCCTCCTTTGCTTGTACTAAAGTGGCTTTTCATCTAGAATTGCGACAATGCACATTTTTGGTGAACCGACCAACCAGTGAACCACAATGTCCCCCTGAAACAAGAAGGAAGTGGATATTGAGCCGGTTGCCCGAGGATAGATTCCCTCAGAATGAGCTGGATATTCAGCCACATCACCTGTGATTTAGCGACTGTTCAGGATATCGAATCGAAAAATGCACATCCGCTCCCCTGGGCTGAGAATTCTTACAACGCTAGGACAGACATTGTGGCCATTCGAAGTAGGATAGTGAAGAAGCAGGAGAACGAGGAGACGTGCTTAGGAAGTTGGGAAGAGTATGCTGATGGCCGAGACTGGTCTGTATACGAAATTGGAAGGTGGTTTTTCAGGTCATCTGCATTCGCCCTTCTGTCGAATCAATCATGCGTCGGAAGGACCGATTGAAACAAGATGGCTCGGCTCGTACGAGTACGAGTAAGCGAAAAATGTCACAACCCGGACTCTGGACTTCGCGCCCATCTTCCAACCACGCCATAGAACTACAGCTCCATCGGCTAGAAGAGAGCATTTCCCGAGCATGCCTGGACATTGCCATCTGGTTAGTGAGGTCAAATCGGTGGTGAAAGAACTCATCACCAAGTACGGTACTCGGTACAACGGAGGGCTTGATGCTCTAGAACGTGTGATAATCAGGTTCGGCTTGCATATTTTCTCCGAGAACACAATGATCCCAAGTATTGCCACGAGGCTCGGAAGTATCCGTACAAATCTGTGAGGCTGAAAGGTGGCTGCCCTGGGCTTCGGATTGTTAAATAATTTGGCTGTCATACGAATTAGCAGATTGTGTTGGGCCGCCACGGAGACATGCTCACAACGATTTGCGCCATTTCGACAGAGCGTACTCGCGGTTGCACCTAGAGCGAGCCAGAGCCCGTTGGGCTTTATGGCGGAGACCAATTGAACAAAAGATAAAGAGAATATTTGGCGATTCTCAGCAGGCATGAGAAGTGTGACAATACATTGCCAGAGATCACAACCTTGAAAGTGGTGTCTCGCTTTCCCGGAATCTTTATCCTTGCGTGTCTCAAACACACTCAATCGTCTCCCTATTTACGAGGTACGGAAGTTTCCTTACACTTGGTGCCTTCTCAAAATTCAATAATCAGAGAATAGCACGGCACGGCAAGATGCGGTCCATCTTACTTTGTCAACCGCCTCCTCGGGATCAAGCCACTGATGACTCGATGAGGAACAGTGTTTATTTTGAGTCCCGAGAAGGTTAAGTGACACCCACCCTCAGGCTGATTCAGGTACAAAGTAGTGCGTTGGTCTACTTTCGAGTTCGGCAAAAAACCATCATACGAGTAATGTGAGGTTCCAGCCTGAATCCTTCCCGCCCTGTCAGAGTGTCTAAATCGTTCAAGGTGAGGTGGCCTAAGCATATTTCTTTCTGCATTCGGATTTCGAGAATCATTTTCGAAGTCCATGTCTGCTTCGGTTCAGCAGGCTCTCCATTCCGACTGGCGTTCACCATTATTAGTGCAGGTTCTGGCATATTATCCAGATAACAGACGTGCAAACCCCTGATGATCAGGTGTGGCTCCTGTGTGGAAGTGCTCCCACCATTTCCTCTGGCTTTGATGCTAAACATTCCCATCTCTCCCAATTTCAGCCAGTTACGATTCTGCAATATCGGGGAGGAACACTAGCCTGTAAGCCGGCTGTTTCTTTAGCTTGCCCAGAGGGAACACTAGAAGCGGTGGCCCCAGAATTCTGTGCCGCATGGCCGTCGTGTCCACCGTGACGATCCATGATTGTGGAGGGTTCAGGTTGCGACTTGACCAGAAAGCCCATGCAAGTCGACCCACGTCGCCATTTCCACCAAAAGTGCTTCATGTCCCTGGCTGCGTTACCTAGCTGAGTCTCGCATCGACTAAAGTGGAAGAATCCGCTGGAGTACGGCGGGGGCGTGGACGGTCGTGCTCTTTGCAGCGACCCGCGCAGTCTTAGCAACGGGCCATCACCATTTTCAGATCAAGGGTCGATATCAACCAACATAGCGAATATCCTGTTTCCAAGGAGGAGTTCCTCGATGCCCGAATTTCAAAGCCACTAGCAACTTCCACCGTGCAACGTGGGCGTTTCGCCCACCTGACCTTTGATCGGTTCCTGACCGCTGCTTCTGGATGACCGATTCTTACTGGGAGAACGACCGGATAGGCCCAGGGGATCCCTTGTTGCGCCCTGAACGCCATTCTTTCGTCTGGGGTCCTAAACTTTACGCTCTGTTCCGTGCTCCATCCCATGCCCATCGTCATTGCGCTTGTCATGCTTGAAATCCATTCCTCGGCCCACTGCACAGGGCCACAGTTCTTCTGCGGTCTGCTGCCATTTCCATCCTTGGGAAGTTTCAGTGCTCATCATGCTCCTACTCGTAACTGCCGCTGTTCCTCATCCATCGGCTTGACGATGATCGTCTCCTCTTCCATCTGAAGAGCTGTACGCCGTACTCGTACTACCACCCTCCGTGACAAAAGAAACCTTCTCCATGGTGCTCCTCCTTTTTGAACTGATGCTGCACTCCTCGATTCTTCACCAATGAACTGACCGTCCAATGCAATACATCCAATACACTTCAAGGCTGACCGGAATATCTACGAACTTTCAACCCCCCATCTCTGCCCTGGTTATCTTTGTCAAATACTGTTGCCTTGTCTTCCGCTTCTAATAGATCGCACGTCTATCAAAAGATCCTACGAACCTTTGAGAGCGAAACGGCTAAGTGAATTGCCTGTTGGATCACCATACCGCAACTGACTCGTCGCATGTCGATATGCACCGACACCAACGCATACCTTTGGACACTACGGCTTGATACCAGCCCTATCCAATGGGTAGCGGTCAAAGGTTTCATCTGCCAACGGCGTTGAGGAGGGGGAAATCTACGGCCCGCAATCAGAATTGGCAAATAGAAGGAAAGGACTTCAAAGCACAGCACATCTTGGGAATCACAGAGACAGCCTTGAACACAGCCCGTAATCAAAGCATCAGTTCTTCTGCTACCGCGAGGATACCTGCATTGACATTTTCTGACACCACTACTGAGCTGGGATCAACCGCAACGCCTAATGAGAGACACGAAGACAAACCCGGACTTGAACTCAAAGCATCGTCAGTTCTTTTGCATGAAGAATTTCAGATAAACGGGGACAACACAAATTCTATCCCTTCTCGAAGACTCAAACTCTACGGCTCTAATTCGACTCTTAATTCATATTATGATGCTCACAAGATTCCTCTGGCCATATCTCAGCAGACCTCAGACAGCTCCAGACGAGATTTTGCCCTAAGGAAGGGATCTCCAGTTGTGGTGAAGACTCCACCCATAGAAAAGAACTCCCCATTACGATTTTTTCGATCATCTAAGAGTCGAGATGGCCATGAGCCTCGGAAACTAACCAAGTCGACACCGCCACCTTCGGATCAACATCTTCCTATGACTCCAAACAGCCAGCGATCATTGACTTCAAATCGAGGCCAAGGCCGTACTCCGAAATCCGAAATTCCTCCAGTCCCAACACGGACAAATAAGGTTAGCGACTCGTCGAGAGATTCTAAAGGCGTTCACTTTTACACGCTGAGTCAGAAACCTTCGGTAGCACCGAAACAAAGCCAACGTAGCAAAGCTTCACCAACAAAGACGGAAATCCCTCATATCAAGGTTAATATCAGAAGGCCCAGAGCTGGCGCCAAACACTGGTTCGATGGACTCGAAGGTGATAGCAGTGAGGAAGAAAGTATTCACGAACCAGAGTTCGACCCAAGCTTTGTGACGGGAATGGAAATGGCTTTTGAAGCTGGCAGCATTGGAACACGGTCCGACACCATGTCGAGATATATCGGCGAAAGGTCTGATCAAAAAGATACGAAGCACAAACCTCGCAGTATGAATCACCCGCCAATCATTCCTCCTCGAGTCTCCACCCTGAATGCAAAGTCTTCGAAATCGAGTATGTCACAAGCAGGTACCGCACGCACTGGGTCCAAAACCAAATCGGTTTCTCTGGCTTCAACGGACCTCCAAAAGATAAGCGTTCTCGACCTGTCCTCTTCCGATGATGACGAGCCGAAAAGTCGGCCCGATCGTCCTCACAATAATTCTTTACCATACCTGCGTGACAGCATCGCAATTGATACAATTAATGAATCCGAGATCGAGCTTGGGACAGCTAAAGCGATCAAGACGAATCAAATTGCCTCTATAGCCGCCACTTCCAACCTACGACCATTCGTTGGCACTCAAGCGAAGCGAAAACCCACCGTCGCCTCGAAACGAAACAGCCGCGCACCGACATACCTGAGTGACCGCTCATCAGATATAGTGAACAGCAGCAGTGACTTACTCACTTCATTCCCTCCAACTCCCATAGATCCTATCGCGTCACAGCGCACGTCGTGCCAGGGCTCCGATACCGCTAGTATCGAGAGCCGTCGACTCATGAGCGTCACCCGACAAGAGGAATCTCTGTTAGCAGCGATGCGCTCCAAGCGCTCAGCTCTCAACCAACCCGGTTCCAGAACAACGGAACGTAAACCTCACCCATTAAAGGGAGAAGACAGGTTATCACGGCAGATACACCAATCTCTAAAATCCCCCGCCGCACTAGAAGTCCTTCTTTCACAACAGCACAAACGCTACGACTTCCCACCATCCAATTATCCCGATCAAGCATTCGACCAACAGTCCTGCACGACCTTCCAGACCGGGCCATCCGTAGACCCCAGCGTCCGCCTCTCGATCGCGAGTTATCAAACAGACACGTCGCTAGACACAGAGACGGAAATCCTGTCCCAAAGATCTGTCACCTCGCCGTCATATCACCACCACCACCATCCTCACCATCATGCCAACAAACCCACCACCGCTACCAACAACAATAATGTCAACCGCACAAGCCGCTCAACATTCTTCTCATCATCAAGCGGCACCAACGAATCCCTCGGCGATCAAGCATCCAGCCAATCCAACCACCAGCATCAGCACCGTCTCAAACAGAAAGCCTACCGGGCCACGCTGGAGAAACTGCAACAAGTCCCCACGCGAGACGAAGTCCTCTCGCAGGATTTCATTCAGTGGCCGTACCAGGGCTGGGAGGCGACGTCGAAGCTCGGCACCGCGCACTGAAGTGATGAGAACACCCCTGTTCTGGATCTTCTTATCTATGGTTCTTGATGTCAACAGGGTTTTATTGAGGAGACTGCACGGATATCTACTTGGACGCACCAGTGAAGAAAGAGAAGGGAAAGAGCGTGGGGCATGGAGCACACACACACATAGATGTATCCTTGGGATCAGGCTTTGATCATATGACCGCTTGGATGACCTGACTTTTGAGACACACGGGGATGCCTTGGGGGCATGGGAACAGCGGGCCGGACTGGATTGGACTGGAATTGATGATGAACAAGACGAGGAACCTTGTCCTTCTTACTTACCTACTTCCCCCTACCTTCCCCTACCTACCTACCGACCCACCAAACCGGACTGCCGGTGCACCAACCACCGCAGACCTCACACCTTGTACTATTATATATGCATCCAGCACAGAAGGGCCAGCACAGCAGAGCACAGCACAGCAAAAGCGTAGCTCCTGTCCTGCCTAATGGCGTTTGGACTATTTTTCTTTATCTTTGTCCGCCCCCACCTACATTTTGATTTGTTTTGTGTTCTTTTTCTAGAAATCTTCCAATGAGACGACACGGAATCCCCTTCTCCGGTCGATTGAAGAACCGGCCGGACTGGAGTAAAGCGACGGATGGCTAGATCAGTGAGCCTGTATTGTATGTATGTATGCATGCGAGAGATTTACGCGTTGAGCCAGCGGCGGAAATGAAAGATATGAACTTTTTCTTGTGTTTGGTTGCTTGTTGACTTATTTATGAATAATAATCATCGAACCCCTGAAGATTTGGAACACTGCATGCATGCAGGAAGCGATGCTATGGATGGCATATACATATATATATGTATAGAGAATTGGCAAGAGTTCATTATTGCGCTTGAAAGGACTCGTTGCGTTCTTCGTTTGATGCGTCCTCAAAATCAAAGCACGACTCGAGTTGGACTCTGTTTACTGCGCACGCACACGAGACTCCCCAGCCTTGGCTGGTAGATAGAGATATTATATTGATAGTTCAAACTCATTAGGTCAGGTGTCCTAGTACCTAGGTGGGTAGCTAGATATCATATGTAAAAACAAATTCAATTGCAATAATGGTATAATCTCTCTCTGTGTCGTAGGTATCCATCCGTAGATTAAAACCCTCCCTTGGATAGGCAGTGGGTAGGGGCAGGGTTCGCTCAGAACGCACGCACGCAAGCAAGCAAGCAAGCAGACATATGGAGACGCAACAAGAAACAAATGACAACCCGGTTTCGTAAGGGATAGTCAGCGACACTGCCTGACCAAATCAAAGGCTTGCTTTCACTTGCTGTCGTTCGCCCGGTCACAAGAAATTTGCGCTCGGCTTCTTCTTTCTTTCTTTTTCTTCTTCTACTTCTTCACTCCTGCACGGCTTTCTCCTCGAATCTCCCGGAATTGATCTGTGCCGCGAGCTGAGAATTCGAAAACGCTTCGAAGCCCACAGGATCCTCGTGCTTCATGACGAGAAGTTCCTGGGCATTAATGCCGAGTTGGCGGACGACATTGTCAGCGCCGTCGCGCTCGACCTGCTGGCGAATCTCCTCGCCGCCAAGTTCTTCGAGGCGTGTGCGAAGCACAGCCAAAGATTCCAGCTCGGGCGCGTCGTCCGTGCTTGTCCCGTGCAGATGGTCGTCCACGCCCGTGGGCTTGAGCACCTCACGTCGCAGATTCTGCCCGAAGCGGTGCATACGGCCTTCCTCGTCGGTGAAGAGTTTGGATGCCAGGGACGTGTTGGAGGGTGTTCGTGATAGTTTGGCGTTTCGCTGCTCTGCCGATGGCCCGTCCTCGCCGGGGAAGTACTCTTCGGCGGAATTTATCGTGGCTAGGCCGTTGGATTCCACCGAGGCGGATAGAATGGATGTGTCGCCTACCGAAGGGTTGGGAGATGGCATACCGTTTGCTGTGGGCGGTATGGCGACCGGTACCTTGGTTTCCGGATATTCGTCCTCGAAACGTTGGATCATTCGTTGAAGTGTTTGATCGAGCATTAATAACCGACCTAGGAATGATATGTGAGTACTTACTTGGTAGAGCACAGGGGTTTTCAAACTTACGATAATTTGCATCATTGCCGGCTCTGTCCTCTCTGACGAGTACAGGTCCAAGCCTGTTCCGGATTTTTCTGGCACTTTCACAAAGCTCCAGGCTCACATCTCGAGGTTTGGACATATCTTTCCGCCGAGCGCCACCTTGCCTAGGAGTAGCAGTGCCGCTAGCGGTGGGAGTGATATTTCTCGAGTGCGAACGGCTGTTGGTGTCTTTACTTCCCAAGCAGATTCCAAGTGCCTTGACAATACCGGTCGAGGCAATCACGTAGTCTTCGTCAGGCGCCGCAGGCTCATCATGATCGTGATTACCTCCGAACCCGTCGATATGGCCAACAAGCTGGAGCAGGACTTCAGGGGCATCCTGGTTGGCGTTCCCGGCTAGTTTGGCACCGACCTCGTCGAGCGTTGTGGTCTCCATATTCCGCAAACTGTAAGCGATCACCTGTGAGGCTAAAGCTTTGACTACTTCACTACTTTCTGCACTTGGCACCTCAATCTCGATGGCAACGATAGTCTCAGATACTCGGACTGCAGTCATTAGTGAAGCGAAGACCGCACAGGCTTCTTCCTGGGCAGTTCCTTTCTTGGAGTTCATTGCCTGAACCAGAGGTTCGTTTTCGAGGATGCTGAGGTGTGCCATTGAAGGACAATCAGGAAGGATTTCGGCAAGGGCGATGGCCTGATCTGGTGTCATTCCAACATCACTCAAATGGATTCGCCGCAAGGGCGTGAGTCTGGGTAGGAGCTTCCGGAGAATGGGGACTGCATCAGGTTGCTTATCAAACATGCTTTTGTTGCTAGATAGATCGATGAACTTCAAGTTCTTCAACTTGGTGAATGGGCTGAGGATAGTACTTAGGTCCTGAGGAGTCAAATTGCAATTTGATAGACTAATAGCAAACAATGGATTCTCGGCATCAGGTGCGTCTGCCACGATTTGACCGAGACCATGAAGATCATTGCCACCGAGGTCGAGACCTTCACAAGCACCGGACTTGATGTATCGTGCAACGTGTGTAAGAGTCTCCTCATTCAAGTTGTTCTCCGCAAGCCCCAGACGTCGCAACTTGATCTTGACGGCGCAGTCCACGATATCACGGATGTTGGCCGCTGAAAGGGCACAATCACTGAGAATAAGTTCCTCCAGTCGATCACCCAGTCGCTGTGACAGGGCACGAACGATCAAAGAACCGACATCGGTGGCTTTGGGCGCAGGGTCATTCGACTTGTTGCTCACGGTGCTGGTATTCGATGTGGCGCGGGAGAGGTCTCCATTCTTGGGGAATGGGATACCTGAGAGATCAATGGCTTTCAGCGACTTTGACATGTGCATGAAGAGGCCGATATGCTTCCATCCGAGGTTCGTGATATTGGGATTATTTTTCAACGAAAGTCTTTCAATCATGCCCATTTGTTCGACTCCTTGCTTGCCACTAAGCCTTTTGGGTAATTTTCGATTTTGACGTGCTTGCTCCGATGATTTGCAGCCGGAAAGACCAGACAAGATTATCCGCACTCCCTCGTCCGTCAGGCCACAGCCGTCCAGAATCAGTTTTCGAACTGGTACGACTGCGAGCCAATCGCCAAGAGTGACAATGTCCTGCAGTTGGAATTGCATACCAGCAAGATCCATGACAGCGACCGTGCCCGGTGCTTCCGCTAATGTAGCGGATGGTTTCGAGATTTGTTCCTTCATTCGACTCAGTACTGTTGTTTCCCGAAGCTGACAACATCGCTTGTAGATACGGAGAGGGTCGGTCGTAGGGCCGTCAGATCGTCTAGGTGTCGAGGTGCCTTCAGGAGTGTTACTGGGACTTGAATCCGAATCTGACTCCTCCCTCGTGAGTTCAAGTGGTACCAATCCGTTCGCTTCGGCGTGTTTTCGCTTGCGCTCTTTTCGCTCTTTTCTTTCCGCCTCAGAGCGTTTTTTCTTTTCCTTTTTTCGTGTCGTTGTGGGTGCGGCTAAAGAATCGCTAGGCCCTTGGTCGCCTTTTTGAGAAGCATCGGCCTTCTCCTCGGTTGCTTCGATCTGTGTGTCAATCTTGGTCTGACCAAGTTCTTCCTTCTCCGTGCTCGCAGTAGAGGGGTTCTTTAATGCGGCACCTTCGCCCTTGTCTTTCATTCTGGCATCCTTAGAATCCTTGGTGCCATTGACTTGGTTCTCGGTTGCCGCATTGCTTTGCTTTTGTGCACTTGAAACAGGAGGGCGAGTGGTGTGTTCCTCCGGTTCCTCGTCGGCTTGGGATGCAAAACCGGCGATTTCCACATCAACACAGAAAGCCACCCGTTTGAGTTTATTCTGGTCAAACTCACCGATCTTGATCCGCTCACGGTTCTGATCGATATTCATCACCTTTCGTGCGCAAACTGCACCGGTACTGTTGCCTTTTCCCATGGAAGCGTTGGTGGAGGATGATAGTCGGCGAAGCGCACTGGAGAGAAATCCAGGATGGTCCAATTTGGTCTCCTTCCCAGCAGCGACGAGAACGGATTGTCTTCGTGGAGTGTAAGGGACTGAGGCAGGTTTAGTCTCCTCCTTTGGGGTTTCCTTCTGCCCATCTTTAACGGGTTGAGCCTTGCCGAAAGGATTGGTCAGCTCGATCTTGGGACTTGGTTGCGGTGAGTTCACAGTGCCACCATTCGCCTGTGGATTGCTATCAACGCTCGAGTTTCGCGATGGTGTTGGGGAATTTGAGGAGGAAAACTTGGAACTGAAGCTTGCTATCCATGAGCTTCTGCGACCGTCCTTTTTATTTCCAGAACCAGGTTTGAGGCCCTTTTTCGAGTCTTCATTGCTTATCCCTCTCGCCAGCGGAGGGCGTGAATGTGATGTTCCGACGATCTTTTCCGCCGCAGCTTGTAAAGCATCCCCTCTTTCTTTGCCGGACTTCTCTTTCGGCTTCTGGTCTGGAGCGATAGACTCCTCGTGATGGATCGCTTTGGAAGGGGGTGGCTCTGATGGCTCTGCCTTTGGTGTATGCGGCGGTGTGGGTTCAACATGATCGATCTTGGGTGGAGTCTGAGTTCGAGCAACAGGCTGGCGACTGGGCTTTTCACTACTGTTGGTGGTTTGGGAAGGCTCTAATAGACATGTCAGTGCAGGTCATGAAACGAAACATGAGCATCGACAAAGTGAAGCGAGCGAACAAGGAGCTAATGAATCGACATGTAACAGGAGACCTGGTGCAACTCGGGTGTGATATTTCCATGCGAACATACCCTTCTTAGAATGGAGCAGCCAGTCTACATCTAGACCACCTTCATTTATGGCGGCCATAATGTCCGCTTTCGTTGCAACGTCAAGTTACAATTCTTGGTTTGACAAACGCGGGCGGCCGTTGATGCAATTCGGCTTGTTAAGATGCTCTGCCAGCAGGCACTCTACACCAGAGAAGGGGTTGTGCGAGTTGGATTTCAAAGCTGACCGAGATTGATAGAGTTCGAGGTGCGCTCTTGAGTTTGGGTGGTGAGGCTTGGGCGTGGGTATGGGCGCGGGCAATGGGGCGGGGTCCCTACCTAACCTAAGCCTAGGTGCCCGAGGTTGTAGGTGAGCTTGAAATTCCGAGCCTGGCAGCGGTGCACCGCAGAGCCTGGGAGTGGCTCAAATGACAAGTCAAGTCAAGGCGATCGATCGGCTGGGCCTTGGAGAGGTCTGGATTTTCTCAAGGGTGCGTGCTCCGTGCCAGTTATGCGGTCATCGCAACCCGCTGTGGCCCGCTCGCTTCACGCCCTCTACGTCGAAAACCACGACTCCAAACAAATCAACGAGGGGAACACAGCTGGTTGGGGGGTTGGCAGAGACTTGGTTCACTCTTAGAGTTGATGGCGGCGAAACACCAGATGTGCGGAGTTACAGTCATGGGATCGGGTTCTGTTACGGCAAGATGAATCGGCTCTCCTCCACTCATCGCTAATTCGCAGGTTTGTGGTGCTGCTTTCAAAATAGGATCTGTGTGGTGGTGGGGTTTCGGCTGATATTGCAATCTTCCAGATTGATAGGCTTGAAGTCGCTCATGTCATCCTCGAGGGAATATATTCTATAGTCAGGTTCAGAACCTCCAACTTGAGTTAATTCGCTCTGAAAACATTATTGTGCCTGAAGACTGCCGGATCTAGATGCTGACAGGGACGGCAAAAGTCCGCCACAGGTGTAGAGGGAGGCGATTACTACACCAAAGTGAATGCGGGCATTTACGGGGCTAATCAAGGGGATTCTGAATAAGCCGCTGGTGAGCTGAGGCTCTTACACGAGGACATCAAAGTCAGCCTCTTCGCTAGATTATCTCATCTCGAAATCACAAGTCGAAGACTAGTAGTGGGACCTTGGAAATGAATGGAAAACCATATGAATTTTGGATTGGATCATCATGTTCATTTGCATTGGGCGAAATCAAGAGTTATCACCCTGAATTTTGCAGAGTATTCATTACTCCGGACGCCCTTAAGCAATCTCTCCATCGTCGCAATAATGCCACCCAGGGCAGGATGGTTGCAGGATGAGCATGACTGGGATGACCAAGTATGGTGATCGAGAGTCATCAATCCACGAAAGACCCCGATACTCCATAGCCGATCACATGCTTTCGGACAAGCTCGATCGAGTGAATCTAAGAAGCGAGAGAAGCAATCTTCTCCTTGATTCTCTTCTCCTTCTCCTCCTTGGACAACTTCAGGGTGCGGTATTTCTTGCCCTCAGCCTTCCACTCATCCTTGCTCTTCTTCTCACCCTCCTCGTCATCCTTCTTGAAGGGATCCTCACGGATGGCGGAGTGGGCCTCGGTGTAGAGTTCTTCCAGCCCGTCGGCCTCGATGTCGTTATCAATGTACTTGTTGAATTGAGACTTGTAGCGCTCCTCATCGTCATCGGCCAAAGTCTCCATGTACTCAGCAACGTGACCGCCGAAGATGTACTTGCGAAGGGTGTCGGCATCGAGTTCCTTGCTTTCATTGTCGTATCCGGGGAAACGCTTCTCGTTGTGGGGAATGTATAGACCACCATCAGATGCTCCCTTCAAGGCACCGAAGACACGGGCACCAGTTGAGGTTCGGTGAAGACCGACATCAAGGAAGGCCTTGAATGGTCGACGTCCCTCACCGTCCTCACCCTCGGCAGCCTCAGTGAGCTTGTACTCTCCATCAGCTTCCTCAACACCGGTGAAGTCCTCGTCAAGGTCGAGTTTCTTGAGAGCACGGCGGGCCAGCAGGAGACCAGTGGCGTATGCCGCAGACCAGTTGGTCAGGCCATTGGAGATGCCATATCTCTTGAGCTCATGAGCATATGCAGCTACGAAAACTTTGTCACCAGTGAGTTCGGCAGTCACAAGCTGGCAAATGATATCGCGGTTGGTGAAGCGGACGACGAGTCTGTACTTGGGAGAGTTGTACTTGTTCTTGGCTTGAGAGATCAAGCGCTTTCGTGCATAGTAGTCGGTCTATTGATTGTATGGTCAGTCGGATGATCGTAGACATCCTGAATAGCTTCTGTCTTCTCACCTTACCAGCGCGTCTGCGCTTGTACTTGGTCTGGAATCGCGAAAAGTAGGGGGAGTTCTTGACACTAATTTGCTTTGTCAGTCTCGTCGCAGGCGTGTTCGTGTCGCCAGGAAAAATTTTACACTCACAGTTTGGTGAAAGGCATGATGCCGGCTTCACAGTCTCAAGACTGGATGGGTTCACTGTAAAATTCCATGAATCAGCATTTGACGCTGCAGACCCAGTTCCGCAGCAACATGCAAAGATTCTCTCATAACATCTTGTCGATGGTGTGGGAGACTTACGGTCTCTTTGTGGATTTGATATTGAGCGAAATCAATCAACTCAGATGTGGTTGTAGACAGGGAAACAGAAAACTGTTTGGTGCTGGATTGAATTGTCCCTCCTTGGGTGCGGAATGTGCGCCAAGATTTCTCAAGTTGGTTGGAGAAGTTGGGTGGGGGTCCCTCTTTTATCAGACTTCAGACTTGAGAACATCAGACTGGGATGGGCACCACGATATTGCCATTATTGACCATCGCCCTGCCAGTTCGTGTGAAAAGTATTATAGATTGAGAAATGGAATTCATTCCAAATTCGCAGGTAGTCTAGATCTTCTCACATAAGAAGATTTCTCAATTTGATCCCATCTAAATGCTCAACATTCTACTGTCGTTGTCTGATATGCAGACTTATGCAATCGTTAAAGTCGTCGAAATCGTGGTCGTTATGATCGTTGCATCGTTGGATGTCTTCCTTGGTGTCGATCCAGGAAAGACCGAAAGAACAAAAATTCCCAAATCCAAAGCAATCGCCTTTTCCACCCCATCTCATCTCTTTGCGTTGAACCGATCAGTTGTCGTACGCAGCAACGTTGACAAGGCGTGCTTGCTGTCCCAATTGCGAATCGTCCATGTCTCAACTTCCTTACCGGTTTCTGAGATGCGTTTGGTAGCTTGCAATGGCTCACCCAGAGCAGCTTCCTCGGCTTCGTTGAGCCAGTCATTCCATGCTGGCGTTTTGGGTGCCCAGCCCGCTTCTTTCACCCAATTGCTAGTGCCTGTCACCGCAATGGCCTTCCACAAAGCCTCCGTATAAGTCGGATTGACATTGTCAATCTTAGCGTTTCGAGGTGGAGCGCCACCCTTGACTTCAATGTGCGATAGTTCCAGTCGGCTAAGATCCCAGTGCTGAGCCGGGGGCAAGGCGGCCCCGATCCAGTAGAAGATATTGATGAGCATATAAGACCCTGCAAATGCAGTTTGGGTTTCGATACGAGCGTTGGCCAAAGAGATAACCCCACCCATAAGCAGCAGCGTCGACACTAGTGAAAGACCTCGATATATAGCGGTACTCTTGACAGAATAGATGCATCTCTCACTAGGATTAAAGTAGAGATACCGAGCAGTACGCTCCTCGCATGTAACCACAATGAAGGCTCCCTGTGGATACTTAATCACTACATCTCCGGGAGGCGAATGAGGATCAGGTTTCGGGTCGTTCGGTGTCGGGCTCCATTTATTGGCGATACCGGTGACAGTGCCCAGAAAGGAGAGAAGAAGTGTAGCAAGTAATGACATACTAGTATCGGATGTGAGCCTTTCAGTCTCCAACACTGCCACTCTCCTCCACTTACCCATCATCATAATATAACGAAAGACCCAACAAGGTGGCCGACAGGGCAAAGCCCAGGAACGAAAGCCATGCCAACGGTCCAAACCGTTTGATAGATGGCCGGGGGTTCTCATTTTCTCTCACTCTAACACAGCTCACGGTATTAGGAGGCAGCTTGTCCCCACGGTGTAGTGCGTGAGCCACATGGTGGATGTCTTCACCGGTATTACCGGAATGAACGCCAATGACTTTGGCGTTTGCAGTAGTTTCGAGCTTTTCGGGGCGCAGCGGTCGAATGAATATTTGAGGCGCAGGTAGGAGACGGGGAACGTAGATGAGGTAACTCAAGGTTGCTACTTGGGCAATGGTTTCGACGGAACCTTCTCCAAGGATAGCAAGGAAACCTGTCAAATAATGAGGTCAGGTTAGCATGGAGCTATCTTCAAAGTTCCAAACCCTTGTCGACGCCCTGTTTTGGTCACTCACCGACGATATCAAGTTGAAAGCCTTGGTTATTGGATACATAAGACTCGATCCACTTGAGACCCATCTTGTAATCGATTCAGTCTCCTGTCACTTGTAGCCCACGAGTGTTTCTGCCAAAGCTATTCGCCGGGGTACAACGCTCCGCATATTAATGAGAACTAGCAATAGAGAATGAGGGCGAAAGAATCTTAGGACGGAGAGCAGGCGGAGGGCGACATCCTGCAGCAGCGGACCTCTGCAGCAGAAGATCCAGACACAGCCACTCACAAAAAGCCTTGCGGTCGAGGTGGAAAAACTGTCGGGCTGGACGTGGGGACGTTCTGAAAGTGTTTTGGCGGACCACTACTGCAAGCCAAGTCTCGGAGGACTGCAGTAGTACCCAGAGAGCCTTGCCCCCCCCGCCCGAGTTCCAGGTCAGTTCGTCCGGCCAGCCTGAGAAATGAAAGATCCACTACCTCGTACTGACAGCTGGGACCAGCATGGTCGGTCTTTAAGGCCAATTGGTCATGGATTAGTGAACAGCATGGAGTGGTCGTACTCATACGGATACTCAATTCTGGTTGAAGGATATCCGTACGGGTGTCCACATATAAAATGGCCACATGGAATAAGTTGGGGCCGTGCCCGCCCCAGCCGGGAGCTTGCTGATTTTCTGATGCTTGACCTGCTCACTTGCCACCACCCACTGCATGCGAACCCATCTGGATCTTACTCAGAGGCTGCTGGATGCAGTGGTGTCCTTGGGCATTACTTGTACCAGCCAGCGTAACGATCGGCTTTACGCTCCCAAGGTAGATGAGGTTGCTAGCTAGTTATGATGAGGTCTAATATCCAGCGCAAAAACAGCTCGAACGGTAATTTCCAACATTTCACCTAGTATCGTATTCAAACAAATTCACACCTCGCAGTCTATCTAATTGTACAGTACATAGGAAATAAGGGCCACAAGGGCACCAATGCAGTTCAATGCTGTGGTCAACCAAGGGGATAGAAAAAGTCCGTTGCCGGACATGCTTATCTAAAACACAATGTCATCAAGTCATATACTTTTCGGGGTATCTCTTCTGAAAGGCAAACTCCCACTCCAAAGCGTTAGTACAAATATGCTTATGCGCACATAACCTCATCTCCTGACCACCGTCTCTTCAATTTCCCGGTTGATGGATCGCTGATCCCATTTGCGCAAGTCCTCAACACTGCTAGTGGATCGATCTCGACCACGATCACCTGACAATCCACGTGAGAGTATGCCACGGAACATGTTTGCCCTCGATGGCCTATCGTTGATATCTTGCAATGACCACGGCATCAGTTTCGGGTCTTGCTTGGCAATCTTACAAAACAAGGTAGAAAAGATAAACTCTTCGCCGTAGCCGTTATACAGAGGTAGATGCCTGTAGCCCTTCTGTAGACTGTCAAGCTTGGATGTAAAGGCTGCTAGCTGCTTGACACCTTTTCCATAAGGTCGGCCATCGTCCGAGTTACAGACGATGAATCGGACGAAGACCAACTCGGGGTATTTGGTCTCCAAGGAGAGCTCGATATTTTCCCCAAACTGAGGGTTGTAGCCATTTCCGAGAACAATTTGTGTTTGTCGACGGTAGGGTGAGCCAATCCCATGATAGCCATTCGAGTAAGGTTCTTGTCCACCAGAACCATTAGCGATGCCCCGCGCTCTATCTTCAGCACTGAACATCTGTACTTCGATGAATGGGTTCAGAGGCGTTTGGCTGCTCATGTTGGCAGGTCTTGGTAGTTGTTGAGCCGAGATGATCTGCACAGAGAACTTCATCTTGTAACGTGGCAATTTGACGCGATGTTCAAAATCGCCCTGTTTGGTTCGCGTCTTGCGAAGATAGTCGGGTTTCAGCACGTATCCGAAGGCATCCGTGCCGGCAGCAAACATGGCCTGGTTCATCTGCATGTGTGCATCGTAAGTCTGCCAGTTCAGCGCAACCATCTGGACACCCCGTCGCCAGAATGTATTGGGATCAAAATTGGACGATTGCACACGTAAGTTTTTGGGATACACGCGGGACATGTAGTTAAGATTGTGATCCTCAAACAACACTTTGTCCTCCGCAGAGTGGCATAGCTCAATGGCGCGGTTCTCATTCAAGGAGAAGATATGATTGTAAAGCTGGAAACGGAGGTCGCGACTCTCACGAAGTGTGTAACCTTTCATGTAGACGCCAAGTGCGGAGAGGGTGGCACCAACCTTGCTCAACTTGGCCACCTGTCGTTGGGTATCGACTGGGGAAGAAGTTGCAGGAACATCACTTTCGTCGTCGCCGCTGCTCGCGCTAGTTGCAACCAGCGAACGATCGGTGGTTGGTGAATAGATTGTTTCTGGAGGTGTGACCAGAGCCGGGCTCGAAGCAAAAGCCGCTGAGGTATCAAGCCAGTTGGTCGTCAAGGATTGAACACCTCGAGTTGGTGAACTTCCACTCCGATCGCGTCGTATAGAGGTCGCACGACGAGAAGCAGCCAGGTCAGCATGAAGCTCTGTAGATTTGACCTTGATCAAAATCTTGTTCTTCAGTTGCTCTGGGGAAGGTAGCTTTGTAGTGGAGTTGGGTAATGGGTGAAGTAGAAGTCGTTCTCCAAATACCTCGATCATGATTTGAACCATTTTCGCCTGCTGCTCCAGGTCACAATGGACCTCTAGGGAAATGATAAGAGGATAGGGAGAATTCTCAAACGCACATCTATTGATGGCATTGATGCAGTCCAGAAACATGACAGCGGTGGTCCGAGTTCGGCCGTGAGTGACTCTTGGCTTACCATCGGAGCCGTTCCAGCAGTCTATCTCGATGCAACGGCATCCATGGCGTAAGGCGGTGATGTAAGCTTCCGCCGACGAAGTGCCTCCGACTTGCCAGCCTGTAAGGTAGGTGTTGTGGGAGCTCGAGATAAAATACTCATTGAGTGGACGATCGAAGCAGGGCGTTGGCTCTTCTGATTGAGCATAGATGTGACAGTCTTTGGACAAAATGAATGATGTGAAAGCATTCAGGTCAATCAAGCCACATCCTCGCATCAATGGGTCATCCAGAAATGAGCGTGAGATGAGCTCATCGAGCTTGTCAGCCCACTTGGAAGCCTCCGAGACTGTGTTGAAGTTAACACCTTGTACGTTTTCAAGGAACCAAACAATTTGAGAGCGTGTAATGCCGGGTATTGAATCATCTTTGAGATCGTTGAAAATCTTTTTGATGTCGCGGCGCTCGCGAAGATGTCTGACAAAGTCTCTGAATCCTTCGTAGTTGAGCACGTTGGATTTTGATACATCTGCAGTCGTGAACTGCAGTTCTATCTCCTTGTCCGGGACATGAATATGTAGCTTGCGGCATAGAGATCTGATGGCCGATAGGTCAAGACCGTCAACCTTTGGTTGATCGAATCTATGGGACCGCTTCTCGAGCTCGTTGTCCCAGTGAGCGCGGATCACCGATTCTCTTTCCGTCGACCCTATCATGCTTGTCATTAAATCTTCGCGATGTTTGGACACGCTTTCAAGAGTCACTAGCCACAGTTGAAGATCGGAATGATTGTGTGCAACGAGATGCAATGTCTTGACGGTCTTGGAAGAGTCCGAAGCTGCATAATTGATTGTGAAGCAAAGCTCGGGATCAACAGCCTCTCCACGAAGCTCTTGCTGGTAACTGGCTGCCTCCTCTCCACTGCGGATGCTCTTGATATTGTCGATGTGGAAGGCTTTCATTGTCACAGCTCCTCTCCAAGATACACGAGAGCCTTCCACATCCAGGAAGAACAACTTCTCCTGTTTCTTGTGCTTGGTGATCTTGGTCAAAAGGCAGCCACCCACAAGGCGTTCTGGGATGCACGGAGCTTGACCCTCGGGGCTGGCATCCATCAATGTTGGTTCACTGGAGAGGCTTATAGTATCGAAGAGCCCCAAGCCAGCATGGAATTCTGCTGATGGTGGCACGTCGTAAGAAGGTAAATCGGGAGCTCCCGATGTGGCAGTGGTAGCGGTCTTGCTATCACTTCGTCTCCGTGTGATGGGACCTGTGCTTTCATCTCGGCGGCTCTGAGCAGATGAGGATGCCTTCCGCCTCAAGATCTGTCGCGTGGATGAAACTCCGTCCCTTGCACTTTGGGAAAGCTTGCGAATGATTCCGGCAGACTTGGAGCTAGACGTAGGTTCCCGCTGGTTCAGGGAGGGCTGGGAGCTGTAGACGATGGATTCGGGTAGTTCAAGGGGAGCAGGGCTCCCCAAGTGAGAAAATTGAGTAAGAGATTGCGAGGCCAGTGGAGAAGAGGCGAGGGAGGAGAGGTAAGGACTGGCAGTGACAGATGAATTACTAGTGTTGTTCACTCGTTGTATCGACGGCATGCGAGCCAAAGGATGTGTGCGTGGAGATGGTGATGGGTCGCGGCTATGCAAGGCCCTGATGGAGGGCGATGCAGCGGCAGATATCATAATAATGGTTGATGTTGAGCAGGCGCAAGTTGCTGCTGTGAAAGGCTGTAGGTATTTATGGTTGAGAATTGCAGTGTGAGTGAGTCCAGCTCTGTCTATGGTGCTTTGACGGCGTCATTATGCTCTCCAGGAGGAATGGTCAAACAACTCGGTCGAGGAGATGGGAATCCCTCGTGATTGCTAGGACATCTCAGACATGGTGGCCATGGCTGGATCGCCTGATGGAGTTGAAGACTCAATTGGCTTTGCTGCAGCTGAAATACAGGGAACAGAGTAAGTACCACGCGTGGACAGGCGGTGTCGAGCGTCAGGCTGCGTCGTAAGGCAGGGTCAGGCCTTGGGGGCTTGCAGTATTTGTCGAGGTGCAGCCGGTCACTGGTGCAGGCGAGTATCGAGTCAATTGCGCAGTCAGCCGATAGGCGACGGTACTACCTGAAGCTGGATAGAGCGTCGAGCCTCGTATGCACAAGGCAAGGGCGTGTTGAGTGCAGCTGCAGACCTCGAAGATGATTATGACTCTTCCCGAGTGAAGTGAGTTTGCGGGACAGGTGGTTGCTGGTGACCGTTCGCAGGAAAAGAGGTTGAACAAAGGAAGGGACGAGACAGAAGCAATCCAGCTGTCTGCTCTAGAGTCTTATGATTATAGGAAGTGCACAGCACAAGACCGGATGGAATTAGGTCGAGTTTCAAGGCTAGGCGGTTGGTTGAAGGGAATCCGTCGGACGGCGTGGAGAAGGTGGAAGAGAGTGAGCAAAATGGGGCACGGCGAAAATAGTGTACGACGGACAGCACACTGGAAGACTCAAGACTCGAGAGTGGGATAGGCCTGGAAAAGGATGGGACCTGGACGTGTGAATGTGGATGTGGATGTCGGTTGAAGCGCAAGAGAATGAATGCAGTGCAGTGAATGGCGAAATGGAATATTGGTAAGGATGGGGGCAAGGAGGAAAATTGATGGTCGTCGCGAAGAGCTCAGGCTGTTGTGACGGGACTTGGTATTGAGATGGTATCTGCCTCGTTTCGGCCGTGGTCTTTTTTTAAAAGCACTGCACTGCAGGGTGACGAAAGACAAGGTGTGTGCGGTGTGCTCAAGTGGAGTTGGACCCGCCAACTGTCTGCACTGTCAACGGTATCCGGCACGGACGACAGGTTCCTGAGTTCAAACTACACGGGATTGGTGGTCCCCAGGCCTATCGTTCCAGGGGGTGAAGCACGAGTCACGAGTCGCAACCATTCTCGGGTCCAAATTTGTCGAGACTGACGGGCGAAGTCCAGTCGTTGCCACTGTCAATTTGCCAGGAATTCCGAGTTCCAGAGGGGATGGGCATCCAAATGACAGGTGCCTGAATAATGTTCCCTGTGCGAGTCCTCCTCGCCTCCACGCCCAGAGAGACATGCCAACCCCGTTCAGACAGGGGCATTGCCTCGGGCCAGCACTCGGGTCTAACCAAGTTGCCCAGGCTCCAGGGGCACCCTCTTCAGGCGTTGGCCCCGGAGTCGCAGACCTTTGCACCTCTCGCTTCTTCGCTTTTTCTTCCTCCCCCGCTCAAAGCTGCCCGTGAGATGTCTGTTGGCATGTACCTAAACTTTGACTGAGAAACTTGGAACCTTGGAACCTGGTACCTACGAGGTGCCTCTGTCCAACTTTCTAGCCATCCTCCGGACGGATACTGACAATAACAATAATGGCATCTCTAACCATCCCCCCTGACGACCCATCCATTTTTCTGTTGTTAGCAATCTACGAGTATCCGTACATATCCTCGTCACGTATTTATCTCTATCCCCTGTTGGTTGATCCTGGTCTCTTGCGACTTCAACCTTCTTTCCTTGTTCTTTGGTTTCAGAATACGGGCCAGTTTGGTCCTCTACCTTCAGGATCCTTGCCTCCCCAGAGCCCCGTTTTCATAGGGAACATTCTTTCATCTCTCGCTTACGATCTTGGTCTGCCCACCTGGTTGCACATTCCATCATACATCCCACTTTCTAGGTGCCCACAATGATGTCCCTTAACTCCAACCGTTTTGTTTACGGGTGCTGCTCGTATTCCAGAGGTAATCTGGGTTCTCTATGAATCTGCACAGACAATATTCGTACCTGTAATCTTCTGATTTTCAGCTTCATCCTTCCGCCTGATTCTGAGGCTTTGTTAACTTCAATGGTACGAGGTAAGTAACACTGGGGACCTCGGTAGGTACGCTTGGACCATGAGACCACCAGCTCTCTGCAACAGTGCACGGTCAGATTCCAGACCGAATAAGACTCATTCTGGTACGAGTTCTGTTCTGCAAGCGGCATGTCGACTTGTTCACTCGACTCGCGGACCTGATCAGATCATCCACATCAATTCAGCTGACGGCATAAGATATACTGCAACCTCACTTTCTTGATCAATCGAGAGCGTGCCCTCTTGTGCAAAGGACTCCCACATTACCCCAATGCCCAGGTTAGCCTCATTCTGATCTCGGTGCTGACTTGTTGGCTGCACGATGCCACATGCGTCTGATGCCTCTCATGGCTCCGAGTCTGGTGACAAGTTTCTTTCAATATCCTTCCAGTCAGAGGTCCGGGCCAAACATGCACGCTTGCGCAACAAAAGCACACCTGCTGCATGCTGCCTGTCGCGTCGTGCCGACCAGCTGCGCCCTTGATCGATAATGCTTCCTGGTGAACAGGTGATCGTGAGCGAGCGAGCCTTTTGGCCGAACAATGTGCGTTGCGATTGCTGCAGAATACGTGGCAGCTTTGCAGTCCAGTCCTTTGCCACAAAATCTGCATCCTGCACCATGCAGAGAATCCCCCACTTGAGCACTTGACAACCCCGACTCAAATGGTGGTTTATCTACTTCTTCATCACCGACACGACTCTCGCCATTTAGACGACGATTGCGATCATGGTCTGTGTCACCATGATGCTTTCTTGATCAAGTCTAGCTCTGCAAAACAGATATACTCCCCGTATCCACCGGAAATTCGATTCGATCTTATTAGCTTCGTGATGGATCATGATCAGGGCATGGGCAAGGGCATGGGCATGGGCATGCCAGCGTGTTCAAATGACAGATATTCTTTTGGTATGCACTTGTAAAATGGTACGGTGACCCGCCCGCTTGGGCCCACGCTACCTGAAGAACCGCGTTAAGTGCTTCACTCTTCCTAAATCCATCTGGAGCCCGACTTCTGAGTTGATTGGGCGATTAATTGCCTTGTGTCGCACTCGCCAAAGCAATTGGGCCCATCCCTCAGGGACAGCCGAACCAGCCGTGCCATCCGTCACCAAAAGAACTTACCCGTCTTGGGACCGCCACAATAAAACTGGAGTGGCCGTCCGGCAATTCAAACCTTCCACTCGGATTCTATCGATAGGGGAGCCCAAAATTGTCCGAGTCCGACAGCTTGATGTCAGGACTCAGGAGCCACAGTGGTCCTGAAACTGCGTCATGATGATTGCTGTGATTAATTATGGCATTTCACAATTTGGTTCGCGTGCCATCTTTCTCACAATTCTTGTGCGAGCCAAACAAAGAATCGACACTATCTATGTCCTTGTCTCAGACAGAAGAAATACACCCGAACCCACACTTGGATTGGCTGTCCAGCGGGTGAATTCGACCGTTTGGTCGTTAGTGTGGCTAGGGTGCTGTTGAGCAGCAGGAGCCTGCCAGATGCACCCCGGATTTAGCCACGCATCGTTTTTCAGTTGTGCAAGTTTGAGCCAGAAGCCTCGGCCAGAAATCGTGCATCCGGATGCCTCGCACACAGAGCGACATTTCCAAGCCAAACCCCATGACCTAGTGACGTGGCCGTCGACCGTTTCCCTCGCATATCATTATTGGTCATCGTCTCCAACACCTTGTTTTGATAGGAGGTGCATTAGCTAGGTCTCACTCACCCAACGAGCTCATTCACCTCCTACCACCGTATCGACAAAAGCTACGTGCAGGGGTTATGATATCCATGTTGCACTGAATACAACCAGAGCGGAATTACGATGAATTGGACATCTGGAGACTTGAGAGGGGCTCTGTTTCCCATCAGACTTGGTGCCTCATGCTTCATGCGGTCATATCTGCTGCAAGTCAATCACGCGTCCGCCCCCAGTGGATAAGTTTCGTTGTGTCACTCTGACTGAGCTGTTAGTCTGTTACTGGCAGATGTCTCTCCCCAAGAGATGAGATTATTCTTGGGCATCTGGTCACCTGCATCAGCTTTCTGCGTTGCGGACAACAAATCTGCTTTGGAACTTCGAATCACGCCTTCCAAGTCAATAGATCACACCGCCATGACTTGTGTTCTAAGGATGTGCCTGATCCAATGATTCCATTCAGTGCTGAATCCACACATTTGATTCGCGCCGTAGGGGAAGTGCTTCCACGAGACCTCCGTCTGAGCCGCCAAAGGCAACCGTAGATTTCGAAACCCACAAATCATATCACCCAGAGAGTGAGCTCCGTACCAGTATCCGTACCTTGCTTCTTGGACAAGTATCAGCGCGGCGGAGACCAATTCCATTGTTCCCTCGTACAGCATACTGCATCCTGCATAACACTTCGTCATGTTCCACCTTGCATTCGGCGCACCAACGGCCAACTACACATCCTTCTTCACTTAGCTGTTGTGCAACCAAGGCAATACCTTTATTTGCCCTTTTCGAGCTTAGAGGCAGCTTTCCCCCTAGGACCCTGAATATCTCCACTAAGTAAAGGTGACTTAACGAGATGACGAACAGCCTGGAACCACGTGCACAGGGATCTTCAACGATCTCCTCTTTTAGCAAATTACAACTCTACGAACGCACTTCCCAACTCTGGACCATCGCTTGCCGCGCTTTTTTTGGTCGATAGAATGGAAGAGACCCTGAAAGATGCCGCGCTGTCTCAGGACTCAGGACAGGAACAGGGTGTCCCATTCCTTGGACCCGTGACACTAAGCCGGAATACATGCCGCTTCCCTGATCAACAGACCTCATTTCACGTGGGGATTTTGCAAGATGATTTCAGGGGCACACAACAGCTATTCTGAAACTCAGAACATAAATGGTCGTCTATGTATAGTATACGTAGGCCGACTCTCCGCGTCCGGGGACAGCGCTCCCACTACTATGTGGACCACAAAGTTGACGCAGCGATCATACTCATACCCAAGTATTTGCGAAATAGATCTGATGACCTGTGGGTTGATTATGTCCAGCTCATCGATTTGCAAATCACAACTGAGATGACGCTCCGAGCTGCGAAGCGAGGACAAGGAAGTTGTCGCTCATGGCATGGCCAGATTGCCTGCAGAGGAAAGCAGTGCACCCCCACTGTCATCTCTCAGCATCCGTGGGCATTGCCGCATCTCCCGCGGTAGGATGCACAGTACAGTAAGTGCATTTCTTGGTCGATAGTGTTGAACCCTTGGCTCAGACCAGACTATCCACGATTCAGATTTCTGGTATGTCTACTACACACAATGGAGTACGTACGACCCGAGCCACCCCTCACTAACAACACCGCGATGAAGCGAGAACATCCCGTGTAGACCGAGGGTAGCCTGCCTGAGCATATCGAATTCCAGCAAGACCCAACCACCCTTTACACTGACGGAACATCGCTTGGAATCTGCCTTTGAGTGCTTTTGTCCTCGCCTTTCTCAGAGTTTCAAAGTTTCTTTTCTGGGCATTCGACTCACACAAGCAAGCAGACTCCACTGTGACGGAGTCATGGGTAAAGTACGGTGTACTCCGTGCCCAGCTCCAGAGGACGACAATAGAAATAGCGTCACAGGGGAGTCAATATAATCCACCCTCCAGGAAGCTCAATGGACTTGTAAGTTCTGTGCCTCACTCATGACGCGCCTTGCGAGGGTAGAGATCTCCGTACTCGGTACCACTGATTATCCTCTGTTATCGAACTTCTTATTTTCTATTTTTGGTACCCTCGATGGGCCTCGCTCCGTCATCGTCACTATTAGGGTTTCTGCCTTACCTCGTCCATTCGAAGTTCCGCGGCCTGAAAGTTGGGACCGGCCAGTCCGAGTCAGCCTCGTCTCCTCGGGTCGCGGTTGGTGGAGCCTCGTCCGAACATCCTCCCGTGAGAGTTCGAATCAAGGGAGGTACGCTAAATCCAACATCCAATTTCCCAATGATGCTCCTTTTTCTTGTCTCTCTGTCACTTTTGCATCGCAAGCCGCGAACAGCTTGGGTCCTCGAACACTTGAAACATCGTCTTTTCTAGAACCCAATTACTTGGTACTTACTATCGAGGTGAGTCGAGGCCAAGAAATCAACCACTCGGATTTTACGAGCAGTTGTATACGAAACTGACCCCCATTCTTGAAACCGAAACACGTCGATGGTCAAAGGGTCAGCGTTGATGTTGTGTCGACACGATACTCGGTCCCCATGTGAGTTTGAACAACCCCCACACGCAAAGAATTAGAGCCCCAAATGGCTGTTTCGGCACTCATAATAATGGGTTCATTTCCTGGTACTTTCCGACGTGTGATGGGAATTGGCAAGTAGTGCACTCGTGCTCTACTCCTCACGGATCGAAGTCGCATGATACGAAGGGCAGACGAGAGTGAAAAGCAGGCTCTCCCCTGTATGCTCAATGTCGGACCACGGACTCACGAACTTCAACCCATTGTCGAGGCCGCCTGGACGTCGGGCCACCAGCAGCAAGAGCAGCAGAGGATACCCTGGTATGCAGAAGTATTTGGATCCTTCTCCAGCAGGCTGAGCGGATTGCTCCATTATGCCAGTGACCGTGAGATTGCGTTTGCATGGTAAGAGAGCTATGCTGCTATGCCGTGCGGGAGGAAGCTTGTCGAAGCAGGACACTCCCTGACATGCGAAATGAATGAATGCATGATCGATCAGCTCACCTCGCGTCTCTCGCAGAGTCGCAGCGCACCTCGCGTCACAGTCGCGCTGATGGACCTTGGCTGATGGCTTTTCGGCCATGACTTCTTGGATCATTGATACCACGTTGCCCTAGTTTGGCCGGCTATTTACTATGCTGCGCAGGCACGGTGCACAATGATGGCCTTGTCACCAGAGTCGCACTAGTTACAACAACAGGGTCATCTCAAAGACCGACGCAGGATGGGATGCCAGACGTACGTAGGTGGGAACCTCAGGTAGCTAGCTAGCTGGCGAGGTGGTTCTTCGGTATTTACGCTCGTAGGCTTCGAGGCTTCGAGGCTTCGAGGCTTCGAGAACAGCACTCGGCCTCCATGCCAGATGGGTGACTTACAAAACGTTTTCCTTTAAAAACCTGTCTACTGCGACCAAATATGATATTTATGCCAAAGGACAAGAATATGTTGTGAAATAATACATTCATTTCACGATGAACATGTGCCGCGTTACTAACTGAGGCTCCTCATGTCATCCATGACTTCTTGAAAACGATTGTGGTCAGCTTTTTCTTCAAGAAAAGCGACGGTATGCATAATAAACACTGCTGCACATAAAACATTGGGTATCTCTGGTGATGTCGACTGGTGCCGGTCCCTGTGTCAATCCCTACCATTGAGGGACGTTTTTTTCCATTTCCGCAAATTTGTTCCCATAACCTTGCCCGTTGACTTCTTTTAGAGACTTGTACTTCATCTCTACTTTGGAGGGGACATACTCGTGGTATTCGATGTTCCGCTCGAAGCTCTGTTCAAATTATCCAAGGCCACTTTTGGCCCTCCTATTCTCAGGATTTCATTCTTCGATGGGCTCTAGAGAAAAGTCTGCTCTTCTTTCCGCGCCGCAGACAGACCATCGTTTTCTTTCCTTGTTGCTTCGTAGATTGCTTCCCCGGATTTCTAGAGAAGCCCTTCTCGGCTCGCCATCCTCGGTCCTAGGCTTTCCTTCTTCGTCCTCAAGCATGGCGGCTTCTTCGGCGTCAGGAATGTCTTCAATCGTCTCGAGGGAACTGATGGAGGGTGATCGGGATCGGATCGATGTTGGCGTACTCGGAATTGAGGATGCGGAACTGAAAGAGTACATTGGATATGGCTCATTGCTGTATCTATGAGCGGTACCCAAGGGGAGCGGGGATGTGCTTCCGGAGACACCAGGGCTCATAGCTCTAGAATGTAAGGATGGAGCACTAGCACTCTGATGAAGAGGGCTTGTGGTTCTTCGTCGAGATCGAGGAAATGCGTTGGAGAAGGATGAGATAGGTGATGGTTGGGATAGATCCAGTTCGGAGAGTTCGAGCTCTTCGTTTTCAGGAATGTTTGGTTCGATGTTCAAGCCACTCCAAGATGGAACTCCTGGATACGGCTCTTCCATAGACGATCGTAAAGGACTTCGCCGTCTGCCCATGGGCAAGGGAGAGACTGGTCTTCGTGCGGATCCATAAGGCGTCACATATCGGCCAGAGGAATCTACGCCTGGTGAGGAATGCGCTCGCTGCATAGGCGGAGGCATTCCAGCAATTCCACTTGCAGACAAAGGTCTCATTCTTCTTTGGGGAGAACCAGCGCGTGGTCTCGAGGGGGTTATAAACTGTGATGGGGTTGGGCTGCGCTTCGTAGCTGATTCGAACGAGGCTCGGATTGGAGACATGGCGGGTGGCGAGAAAAAAAGACTGCGTTCTTCTTCCAGTGGAGGGGATGGAGGCAATTCGATCATCTCAGCAGGTAAAAGTGGCGAAGACGAGACTGGGTCGGGGGAGCCGGGGTTGGCGGAGGCATTTTGAGGGGGTTTTGACGGCGTCGACATGGTGATCGACGGCGATGGCCGGAGGTGTTGAAAGCGGAGGAACAGATCAACTAAGGATGGGCTCGAAGATGAGCATGGCGGTGTGAAAATTGATGTTTCTGATCGTAGCCGACGGTGTGAAACGTGGGAGGAGACGGAGAGTGTTTGCAGCATTCCTGACGAATCTCAGGGTGACCAAAGTCGGGTTGTGGCCGTTGGTTGCAATGTGAGTCACAGCCAGGGTCAAATGGCACAAATATGAAGACCAGCAACACCCGGAGGCGAAGATGCCTCTGAGTTTGCTGGCAGACACCTTTGGTGGAAGTGATGTCGTGAGAAAGATGATTGACACCAAAAGTCGATGGACTTCAGTGAAGGCAGCGAGCCCAAGTTCCTTGCGATTTCAACTTGTGGTTGGCTCGAGGAATGCTGGGTGGAGCTGCAAAGGCCCGATGAATGACTCGGTACCCTCGTCGGTGGTAAGACGCTTAGATGGCTTAGGCTTCTTAGGCAGGCTGGCTCAAGGGTTCAGGGCCTGGAAGTCGGAGATAAGACACCTAAGAGATCGGGGATAGTGGGAGGCAGTCAATTAATGGCCGGGGGGAAGACGCTTCGCTTATCAGTTATCGATTGGAGATTGTAGATTGTCACTTCGAGTAGGTTCTGTATAGATTTTCCATCCAAATCTGATGCTGAGATGCATGCTTGTTTTATATCTTCCTTCATTCAACGCTCGCTTCTTTTCCCACGCCCGTTCTCCTGGGACATTCCCCATCTAATGCCTCAGAAAGTCCTCTCCACGTTACATGCCATGTGCTTTTTCGTCCGAAAATCTGGTAAAATTGGTCCATGCTTTGTGTATTTCTCCTGCTGTATACCAGATTGAGCTCCAGCCAGGCTGCTGGATGCCCGTGCACTCAATAAAGTCTTTGCTGGGCTCACTGATTCAATCTTCCACCATTCCTTCCAGAGGCATTCGATGCGCTTTTTGTCATCATCCCCCTACCGGATTGTTGGGTCCTTCACGTGGGATCAAGCTGACCATTCCAGCGGTGCCCCTTCCCAATCAACACAATTGGAATCATAATTGTTGATTAAGTTTCCATAGCATCGGGATGAGTACCGGAACAATTGTGCTTTTCATTGACTGGGAGGCTTCTCCACTGCGTGAAAAGTGTAACTCAGTGCGGAAGATTCATTCTTTTCGAACCTTGCACGGTAACAAAACGCTCCGGTCACTCACTCTTATAGGAACCTTCCGATCGGCGCGCATTTGAGAGTCAACACTTGAGAGTCAACATGACCTTTTTGATGTTCAGCCAAGAACTGGGATGATTGGGAAGTAGAAGAACCGTGTGCGTCCATTCTGAAGAAGTGCCCAACGGCTTCCTCCGTCTCCTGGAATTCTGCCTAAATGCTCTGAGAATGGAAGCCGTACCGCAATCATTTCCATCCCCGCCGGACTTTGTCCTGATCTGAGGTTACAAGATACCTGACAGATTATCCATCAAGATGTGCCTACCAAAAGGATTCTCAACGTTCAACACATCTACACTCAATAAGCAGGTATATAAATACGGTTCAAGTAATCGTACTCAAGCTCCATCCAATTCAGGATAGGCCATATCGGTAGGCTGCTCCGGTGAGATATTGTTCATGCTGTGTCTGTTTTCGCTCCTGGCTTTCTCGTCTTAGACATTCTCCGAAAAGAGTACCAAGCGGCCAAAATGAAGTTCACAGAAGGAATGTGGAGAAATAAGTCCGGGGTGACGATCGATTGGATGACAAACGTGGAACGACTACAAGTCGACGATGACAAGGTCAACCTCCTATTAACCAAGACACAAAACCGTCGTGGTGACACCTTGAATACTGGTACTGTCACAGCGACGATCAGATCTCCGATTGAAGGAGTGACTGCCGCTAGTTTTTCACATTGGACTGGCGAGGAAGATCTTGGTCCGCACTTCCCTCTATTCGAGTCGAAATCCAATGCCAAAGCCACTGAGACCAAGGGTAGATCTTTGACTCACTCCAATGGACCTCTTGATTTGACAATAAATACTGCCGCAAATCAACTGGCGTTCTCTTATACTCAAGAGTCTAAGAAGCTTACAGGCCACTCCTTCCGATCGATCGCAGTGGTCTCCAACACTAACACTTCAAGATATGATCCTTCCGAGGGTATGTATGCAGACACAGACAATTATCTCCTCCTTGAGTTGGACCTGGCCGTGAATGAAAAGATATATGGACTGGGCGAAAGGTTCGGTCCTTTCGTCAAGAACGGGCAAACTGTCGACATTTGGAACGAAGATGGAGGCACATCTAGCGAACTGACCTATAAGAACATCCCATTCTATATCTCAAGTCGAGGTTATGGCGTTTTCATCAACAATCCTGGGAAAGTTATGCTTGAAATCCAGTCCGAAAGAACCACCCGTGTGAATATTGCCATTCAAGGAGAGACCCTTGAATACATGATTATTGCCGGTCCCGGCCCGAAAGAAATTCTAAATCGATATACCGCACTCACTGGACGTCCTGGTCTGCCGCCTGCTTGGTCCTATGGACTCTGGCTTACCACATCCTTTACCACATCTTACTCCGAGGAAACAGTTACAGGCTTCCTAGATGGGTTCAAGGAGCGCTCGATCCCACTCAATGTCTTTCACTTCGATTGCTTCTGGATGAAGTCCTTCCAATGGTGCGATTTCCAGTTTGATACTGACAACTTCCCCGATGCCAAAGGGTATCTTGCGAGGCTCAAGGACAGAAGCTTTAAGCTCTGTGTGTGGATCAATCCTTACATTGCACAAGCATCACCCCTCTTTGCCGAAGGCAAGAAGAATGGCTACTTCATAATGCGGTCTGACACCTCTCGTCCTACAGTTTGGCAATGGGACAACTGGCAGGCGGGCATGGCAGTGGTGGATTTCACCAATCCAGCGGCCACAGAATGGTATTCTGCCCATCTGAAGAGACTTATGGATATGGGAATAGACTCGTTCAAGACTGATTTCGGTGAGCGAATTCCTTTCAACCCTAAAAAGGTGAAATACCATGACGGGAGCGATTCTGTCCGGATGCATAATTTTTACGCATACATCTACAACAAGGTCGTCTACGATACAATGTCATCCCATGGGAAGGATGCTTGCCTCTTCGCGAGATCTGCCACTGCAGGCTCCCAGCAGTTCCCGGTGCACTGGGGTGGGGACTGCGAGAGTACATTTGAAGCCATGGCCGAGACGCTTCGTGGTGGACTCAGTCTTGGGCTTTCCGGATTCGCCTTCTGGGCGCATGATATTGGTGGCTTCGAGGGTCTTCCAGATCCAGCGTTGTACAAACGATGGGTTCAGTTTGGACTTCTGGGCTCCCACTCCAGATTACACGGCAGCTCTAGTTACCGCGTTCCCTGGATATATGACGAGGAGCATTTCCCCGGCGAAGACAAGGCCTGCACCAAAGTGCTGAAAGAAAGCGTGGAGAGGAAATTTACACTGATGCCCTATCTACTGCGTGCGGCGTTGGAAGGTCATCAGTCTGGCACGCCAGTCATGCGGGCAATGCTGGTTGAGTTTGGTGACACAGATCCCAATGTATGGAACATCGACACACAATATATGCTTGGTGATAGTTTACTGGTCGCACCAGTCTTCAGCAAGGATGGAGAGGTCACCTTCTATGTCCCCCACTCGAGCGGCACATCTGACGCCAAGTGGAGGAATTACTTCGACCGGGAGAAGACCTACGAAGCTGGTCGGTGGTATACGGAAACACATGGCTTTGACACATTACCATTGTTGATTCGACCTGGGGCTGTCATTCCTGTCAATCCGTCGCTAAAGAGCCCTGATGGTGATGTTTTCAATGGATTGAAGATCTGGGTCAACGGGCCGTTGCAGGGTGGAAAGTCGGTGGAGATCGTAGAGGCAAGTGATGTGAAGAGTGTGAGCAAGAGCCTTACGGTCGGAAAAGATCTGAAAGTGGTTGGACTCAGTGGTGTCGAGGTTGTTGATTTGTCTGTCGAATAAGCGATGAGCCATGTTGGATCTCGAGCATATTCAAGGGAGTCCGTCTAGATTGATCATACCAGGATAGATATGGGTTGATGCCCTAGCATCTGTAACCTCAGAAAGCTTTAGAGGCTATGGATTATTCACCCTGCAAATCGAGCAATCTATGTAGCCTTATCGCGGATAACCATTCCTTCGTGTAGGCACGTCGGAGTGCGAAAAGGAGTGATGAACCATCGACCTAAATCACTGAGCAGGCTTCCGAGCCGTGATCAAAAGCGCACACCAATCCCAACCCAGGTCGCCATCACCGTACTTCTCCTGTATATACCGTACAGATACATCTTTGGCCTTTTGGCCCATTTCATCCCGCTGCTCCTGGGTCCACATAGTATTGATGATCATCCCCACAGTCCCTGGAAGAAGAATCTGGAAAGTCTCGGTGGCATTGGACTCGACGTGATAGACAGGGCAGGAGACAATTTCGATATCCACAAAGCCAACCTTGTCCAACGTCTCCTTGATCCATGCGGGCTCGTTCCATTTGAGGTGTGGGCCTGCAACGCCCGCGAGACCCTCATTCGTTGGGAAGGGTGGCAGGTCAGGATCCGTTTTCCACGCAGCTATCACATCAGAGATCCATCCGATCTTCGAGTGACTTGACAATCCCACTGTTCCGCCGGGCTTGAGTAGGCGATATATCTCGAACAGACCAACTTGCGGGTCTGGGAAAATCATCGGCCCGAAACTTAGGAAAACGTGTGTGAACTGCGCGCTGGGGAGTTTGGTGTCGTTTGCGTCCACTTGGATGACCTTTATGTTGTACTTTCCCCAATTGTTTGATTCAATGCGTTTGTGGACGAGATCGAGCATTGTTGGTGACCCATCAATCATGGTGAGATCCAACTTACCCTGGGCATCGTCGCTCAGAAGGTCAAGCAATTTTGCCGAAACAGCCCCTGTACCGCAGGCCTCGTCGAGGACGATAAGCTTCGAGTCCGATGTGTCATCGACGACCTTTGCCTGACGAAGCAGGCTTTCTGCGAATTTCAAGGTCAGTCGTTCCACAATAGCGTACATCTGCCCAACATTGCCCGAGTCCCAGAGGAATTTCATTTTGCCATCTCCCTTGTACAGCTCATGCTGTGTCTGGTGGGTGGCCATGGTGGGATCAAGCAACTGTGAATAGCGAACGAATGGGTGTGAGGTCTGTACAACGAGTTTCACCTATTCCAGCTTTTCTGACAAAATTTTGAGGCCGAGAAAGATGCTGATAACATGGGGTTTCCAAGGACAGATCTATGTCATATATAGTACTGATACCAGCCCAGGTCCAGAATACGGGCCAGAGAATGTCAGACATGAGGTGCATGTCTCCATTTGATCGAAGTGTCATCTCCCATATTAGGCCTCCAAGGGCTGCAAGTGAGAAAATGAGAATTAATGGGGAGGTAATAAGCCTGCTAGGTATGATTTGAGCCCTGGCATCGATGAAGGAAGCAAAATGAAAAGGTTCGCCCCTGTAAACTCCGTTTTATACACGGACTTCGACGTGAGGACTATCTTCACGGAGAGGTCTTGCTGGTTGGTGAGTGGAGGGCTCGGATACCTACTCGTAAGCTCCTAATTTCAAACAGGCAGTATCATAGCTGGCATTAAATAACACTCGGTCTCTCACTCTCGGAGGATAGACTTGGGTCTCCGGAGTGAGTGTAGAATGTAGGAAGACAATGAAGGTCCAAGTTGATAGGAGTAGTGGGAGGTGGTGGTCGTTGCCAAGACTCGATGATTACGACCTATTCGGGAAACGTAAACAACTTGAATCCGGGGTTCGAGTTCAAACTTGAACTCCACCCCACATTCCACCATTTAAGTTGACATGCTGGGTTTACTGGTTCTGTAGCCCCGGAGTCCGGATGTAACAAATGTCTTTCCAGTCGCGGATTCCGTCCCCTAGCAAGCCGGCCACATGTGCGCAGGGAAATGAACGTCCTACAGCTGTGAAAAGGCTCCAGCCCGTCCAACCTCAAACAAAGCTCAAGTTGGATTCATCGAACGTAACGAAACCTGTTGCTACAACAGCAGACGTAAATCCATCACGGGCTGGAACGGCCAGAGCAGCCAAAACGATCACAAATACTCCAAGTCGAAATCTAGCGGTGCACACGAGGGGTGCGTCTACGAGTGCGGTCATCAAACCATCGCTCAGTACTCATGCATCCAAAGAAAAACAGGCTTCGCAAATTCCTGGAGCGAGCCTTACGCAAATGCAATCATCATCTTCAGCACAACAGCACAAGCGAACCTTGAGTGCGCATGCGTCTATTCGAGCAACGGCACCGTCCCAAGGGTCGAGTTTACCAAAGTCAAGGCCGGTTGGTCGAGTAATGAAGGACAGTGAGAATGCGCCAACCACCAATGTTTCAGCACTTACGCGGCCAAACTTCGACTCATACAAACAACACTTCAGTCCGCAGAAAGCGAAACAGCCTGTATCGACAACCACTTCCAGGGTTGTTGTAAATCCCAGTGGGTCAACTGTTGTAGCTTCTGAAAGCTCACGACTTAGCGACGAGCTACTTCAACTTTCCCTGTTGCATACAGGTTCTACTGTTGCACTTCAGAGCTACGAGAAGAGCATAAAGTCTCATTTCCAAAGCCACCACGCAGATCTTGACAGGCAACGTCAACAGATTGAGTCCCTTGAGCGAGATCGGCGGGCACGAGATAACCTTAGAGGCCTCAGAAGATGGATCGACGAAAACTCTAGTGGCGGCGAAGAGGACTTCGATCCCCTTTCGGTATTGGCTGAGTGCTTGCAGGAGCTCGACGAGATTAATAAGGACCAGGGCGCCTTCGCTGTGGCGAGGAGGCAGTTCAGCGATTGGGAAACGAATGTTAGCTCTATCACATTGAATCGAGTGGAGCCGGAAGGAGACACCACATTGAATTTTGTGGTTCCGTTGGGTTCGGAATGGAGTCATGCCATCGAGTTGATCGAACGGCGACTGAAGATCTGCATGAATACGCTGAGGGTTTTTGACGGGAGGCATGAAGGAGCCACCATTGGGGAAATGATTGCAATGTTTTCCATGCATTGCGAACACCTGCTACAGGAGATCTCGATCTGTAGGACCCTGGAACGCCTGATCCTCCAGCGGCAGCAGCAATGGATTGACGAGTCTATCGGGAAGGCACTGATGACGGTTGAGGATAAGGGTTTACAAGCTCACCAGATGATTCCAAGGAGAGGAATTTGGGAGGACTTGCAAGATCGACATTGAGGCAACTACCACCGATCTGAGTTTGGGTCAAGTTATAAGCGTGCGACGCAGATTCGTGACCAACAACTCTAAAGCCGTGGTCTAAGCCGAAGCTACACGCCCTGTGGTGATCATTTTGTTGTACGAGTAAGTTATTTGAATGATCTTCCCGGCATCAACACCTCACGAGTACACAGGTACGATTGCGAGGGGCGACTGGTTGGACATATTGCATCCCGATTCCTTGACCAATGTTAAGGCTAGTATTGGGCCATCGGCAGGCCTCTACCTTCTTGGATTAGACTGCGAGGAGAACACAATCGCATTGTTACGGTGACGTGAGGGAGTTCCATCACCCTGCCATGTCTCTACCACAGGGGAGCTTCAAAGAAGTGAATTATGCATTGGAAAAAAGCGTACATGGGATTCATGGTGTACAGCCACCCACCCTTTCTGGATTACGGTCTGGCAGCTAAGTATAGGCTTCCCACTCAGGTCAGGACATTTCCGGGGGCCCGCGGGAGTTTCACGATGACTCAACATTGATAATACAACTTGGGATCATGCCTGCTTCCGACAATGTCTGCTTCCGATCGTGGTTGACATGCAGACCCTCGACTTGGGGCATGAGCCAAATCTCCTGCTATCGGTCACGGTCTCGGAGAGCGAGCCTGCAGTGTTATGACAAAGGATAACTGATCAGGCCAGTGGCCGCAGATGTGAACGTTCAGGCATGCAAAGGGGCTTCAAACGGATTAATGATTTTGAGAGCGATGTGGTGAAGCTCAGTAGAGAGAGACAACTGTTTTGTTGAATTTCTCTCTTTATCAGCATTACATACTCAGTTCCTAATCATTGAAACAGTCGAGTAGCTCGCGCGGTTGGCCTAAATCACGGAGTAGTAGTACTTTTGAAAAGCCGTGTAGAGCCAAAAGGCAAGCTCAGCAGTGCCTAACCCATATGTGTAAAGAAAATCGCTGCTCTCTACCTGGATAGAGAGATACCTCTTATATGTACCAGACTATTTAGATAGTCAAACAAAACAAGTTGACAAGCAGAAAGCCAATTTTGACAGTCGCAGCAGGTACTTGGAACTCATGCACACTCATTGCGCTTCCGCAAGGGAGAGCGTGGAGAACAATGCCGAGCATTCCGTACTGAGTACTTAGTCCCTAATGGAAGTCAAAGCCAGCGAACTAACGCCAGCTGCCAGTCTCTCGATGACTGCCATGTTGTAAGGCGCCCAAGGCAATTATGCATACGCTGTGTGCACCGAGTCAGTGGCCCCTGTGGACGTTTATGCACACAGCCGGCTTTCCATGTCTAGGGAGATCGTATCATGGCTGCGACGTAGGTCGAGAAGCACAATAGCCAGAAACGGTCCATGGTGCTGGTCATCGTCATCAGAAGGCTTCGCCCTGGTCGTATTTACCTAAACTCCCAAGGAGCTGAGGTTTGAGGCCTGGGGTGTCTGAGCATTGAGGAGAAGTGCCTAGGTAGGTCACTAGTGATATGCGTAGCCTGATAGCACGGGTGTTGGTAATTTAGTGGGTATTTAGTGCCTTCCTTACATAATTCGGGTGAAAAAAGCCACCTACGGAAGGGTGCGGGCACCGACAGGCCAGCGGCGCTTTCTAGGCATCGGTTCACCCAATTAGGTGGTCGTTTGCGGACGGGCTACCTCGGCGTGGGCCACGCGATGCTTAGTATTATTAATTGAAGACTTGGCCCATTTACTCGTAGCAGGATCAAGTGACAACTCTCCACCTACCCAAGGTCTTCCAACTTTTTTCCATCGACCAGGAGGGCGCATTATTGGTAACAGGGTTGCAGGAACGCCCAGATGACCTTCATCGCCGTGTTTACGGGGATGATATTACGTACGATCAGCCAAGGTGTCGAATGGCGACCTATCCTTGCTCGCAAGGCACACCCCTCACTCGCAATTTCAAGGTGGGGGGTCATGGGAGGTATGACTGTGCAAAGCACCAAGGAGCAAAGGGGTCCCTTTTAAACTCCAGGGAGGTAACTACGAGTACGAGTACCTACGAGTAGGTAAGCTCCTAGGTAGGTGTAGGCGAATCTCATCACTTGCTAGGTAGTGTGAGACTCCATGTGGGAGTCCTAACACTAAGAGTCAGAGTAGCTTACTTAGGTACTTATGGCTCTCATGATAAGTACCTTGCTAGGTAACTACGAGTAAGTACTCGTACCTCTCCGAATCTCAACCAACCTAAGACTCCTGTACGAGTCTTTGTCGACCACATGGAATACTTAGACGACCTGAATAGGCCAATGAGAAGTAGCAGACCATTCGCGGATTCGAACTAATCATAATATTGAATCACCAACCCTGGCGCGTGGACTTGTAGTTCTCGTAGTAGGCTGAAGATCGCCGGTGTCCAGGGTACCTCAGCACTGACTTCGGAGTACCTAGACGAACTAGGTACCTTAACGGAGACCCTAAGGCATGTACCGAGTCCTCCGTCAAGTTTGCTTCTCACGTTCTCACTAAATCCTCGAGGCCCATCATCATCATCCCATGCAACCATCATCTTGCTGCGACCAGTCCAAATTAGTATCCGTCCAAAGCTGATCCCCTTCGAGAAACGTGTTTCCGAACCTTCTATTCGTATGCATCTCTCCGAACCTGCTTGCCTTCTGCTTTTCATCTCCGCCGGCCAATCTGCGATCGTCATCAACCATCACGCCTCAACCTGCCGCCTTCTTCCTTAGTCGCACTCCATCTCATCACCTTCCTAGCCGGCATAGGTATGTACTCGCACTGGCATTGTCTGCTGGGTGCAAGCATGCAATCTTCTTCCCTTATTGTTGGCGCCCGTTGTCTTGCATAATTCAATTCATCGTCGCCATTCGACAAACCTCAAAGCCCTACCTGAACTGCGACTTCCTGTCCTCCCTTCTACCCTACCAATTCTCAAATGTTGTCTGGCGTCTCTGATTCTCGCTTTTTACGGATTCGAACCTGGCGGGCGTTCAAGGGAGGTGATGGACAGCTTTTCCCACGAGCCTGAGGATGTCAAGTCAAAACTTCCTGGGCCCTCCGGCCTCTTGCTCTCCCGTGTCATCAGCGCACCTGAACCACGCAGACACGATGGCCCAGCTCCATTTCCATTCGACTTGACCCCTCTGAAGCGCGACTCTCCCATGGATCGCCCTCCCCAGCGTTCTGCCTCCGAACTATCATCCCCGTATGCCCGACAGTTCTGGCCGTCGGCCGTTTCTAGCCCACCCCAGGACGACGCCACTGAGATACCAGACAAACGGCCACGGCTGGAACACATACCAGAAAGAGTTGATGGCGAGGTGGATACGCGCAAAGATGGAGGGAACAACTACGTATGTACCACTGTACTGGTTTCTACCCCTGGCCCCCTATGCAGATCTGTTGACCAAAGCCTATCTTACAGTCCGGCCGCTATGATTACCCGGAGTACCAAGATGCCTCTGCACGAAGACCCACAGAAAGTGGCCTTCATCGGCCCGCTTCCGGACTTTGTCACAATTGTTACAATACAGAAAGTCTGATAGTGGGCTTGGTGAAAGGCTTTCTTGATCTCCAGGCGGAGATAAGCCAGGCCCTGTCCATTCCACTGAGTACCAGGAGTCCTATCGATGTGAGTGGTGTTTTGTCGCGGGGGCATCGGATATGGCTGACCTGACAAGAACAGCGAAGCCGAACTTAGTAAGCTAGGCCTCAAAGAGTCACTTGCATGGAGCATACGGGAAATCCATAACACCACTCGCCTCATCCATCACAATACCGCCACAAGGCCAGGGTTGCCACCCCTGTCGGATGTGGTTCCAACCCCTTTCGTAAACGACATACGGCGTCTATCCCTACACGCCCAATCCCCCGCAGCATCTCCGTCTATAAATGATCCTCGCAAGACGCTTACTTCTCATGATCCTGTTCGGATGGAGGCCATGCACCGGAGACCTACCGATCAACCTATTGAGTCGACTCCGCGACCGCTTGATCGTTCACTCCCCGCCATTATACCACCAGACGAGATGAGACGAAGTCAGCAGCACGAGCATATGGTCACAGGCATTGGCCAATCACCACACCCGTCGTCGGCGAGTTCGATTTTTGGGTCTGCTCAATCTCCCATGCAATCGCATCCATCTAGCCTAGCTCTACCTTCTCCTCCAGGAGCGCATTTTGCACGCACTGGGAGTTCAGGATCTGCACAGTACTCACCAACGGCGACCCCGGCAGCACATCATACACATCTGCAAGATCTGCAACACCAAATCTCGACCAAAACACTTGCTCTACAAACGCTGCAGCGTGAGCACGATCAGTTACTAGCGGCATTCTCCAGGTCCCAGATACGATGTACTGCACTGGATAAGAAATCCCAGGTTTCGGACCATGAGATCAACACTCTAACCGAGGACAAGATTCGTCTACAACAGGAAGTGGAAAGTATGGAGAGCCAGATTCGAGACCTGATGAAGTCACGCGACGAGGTCCATCAACAATCTTCAGCCGACGGGGCTCAATGGAGGCAAATCATGGCCATGTCGAGTCAACTGCAACTCAAAGGAGCTGACGACGCTCGTCGATTCAGGGACGAGCGTGAAAATTGGGAAGCCGAACGCGAATCCTTGAGGAGGCGAGTAGAGGAACTCGAGTCCGGTAAGGAAGCCCTTCCAGAGACCAGGACAGTCTCTAGCTCCACGACCCCTGTGGCAAACGATTTCATTCTGACTTCGGACTCTGTCGAGACTCTTAGAGCGGAAATTGTCAGATTGAGGCGAAAATGCACAGAGCTAGAACTAATGCTGCAGGAGCTGGCTAGTGAAGCGGGCTCGATCGAGAGTGCAATCAATGCAATGGAGAGCGTTAGAAAGACACTTGTTGGCAAGAAGCGGCGAAGCGATGAGGGTTAGAGGACCGAACCGGTCTGGGTTGGGAAAAGAAAAGATGGGCAGGCATTGGCTGATCGTATACACAAATCGGCACCATTGAGGTGCGATCTCCGACTTGTTTTCTTCGCGGCTTTTCCCTGCCGCCGAAGGTTGGGCCAGCATTAAAAATGCATTTGTGCGCCGTGGTGGCAAACAAATGAACTTTGGTTGGTTGGGCAAGTTTGCCTCTGGACTATAAAGATGTCCGTTACCGGTGAGGGACGACTGGCAAGGCTGCGGGGTCCACAGAATCCTGCAGAGGACCTCGTAGTCTGGAGTACGGTGCGTTTGGTTCTGACTGAGGTGCAGGGTCACGGCACCGGTCGACTTATGTAATGTCGGTGGATACGGTTAGCGCATTCTGCGGAACCATGGACAGAACAAGGTTCTGGTGTTTTCGATATGGCCGTATGATGTTGATGATTGATGACTAAGCCGTTGAAGATTGGCTCAAAAAGTTGAATTTATTTGCACCCTCGTAATTCGGACAGATGTGGGATACTAGTGTATGCAATCACTGCTTTCTGTCGAATGATATGGTGAGATCAGAAGGAAGTAAGCGATCGTGACTATGGTGGCTAAACTGGGACAGGTCTCGACCTATAGATTAGGAATTAAGTATCCCCAATTGACTTGTGCAACGACTAATGCACTTACAACGTTATGGTGCGAACAAGACTCCGAGGAGCTTCAAGCTCCAGCTAAGTACCCACGAGTGGCGTTGGATCATCCATGCCAATGTACCGTGGAAAACTGTATCGAGCACCGAGTAAGCGACATTATGACCCCTAGTACGTACCGAGGAGACCTGAAATCCTTCGAGACATCAGTGTAAATCACTCGGATGTCGAGTCAGTCTTGCATGGGCGTGGCTACTCCGAAGCAATACACTGCCCAAAATTGATTTCTACCCTTACAGGTAGTAGGACCAGATTGGACATGCCGCGGATTATGGCATCGCAAGGATTGAAATGGTCAGTGTTTGTGTGAGCAATTTGAAATACTAGTTGACTACCTACCCTGGAGAATGTATGAGCAGGGACATGTATCCAAGCAGTTGAAGGCGTGAGCTATTGCCAACGTAGGTTAGGTTCTGGGTGCCATTGAAGGGCAGGAAGGGTTGATGATATCATTCGAAGTGTTGCAACATTATATGTGACGTTAGCAATGACAGAAGGTCACTAGCATTGCGCTATCAGCTACGAGTACACTGTTCGAGTAGTAAGACAAGCTTTGCCGTGGAGCTTCACGTGCCAGTGGCTCAGCTCAAATATTCCCCTCATTATTATGTCCTCGGTTTTGACTCCAGTTGATGACGGCGGTGAAGGCTAAACATGGCTGCCCTCCATCACTCAGCGACTTTCTCATCTAACCTCATCGCTCGTCGTAAGTCTGGACTGCTGATTGCTCACTTCAACCCTTTCCTGCTAGTTCTCCGGATTCCGAATTTCACCCTCCCACTACACTTGTTTCCCAATCCAATCAGCCATCTGCACCCGCCAGTCTCGCTAGGTTTGGTTTTGCCACCAGTCTGAGTCCCTCGTGGTCCCTCCTTCCCTACCAGACTTCCACATGCCACCATCGGGACTTCCCGACTACACAGCCAGCTCCACGTTGGCTTGACCTCTATCCTCCGTCACTTACTAAGTACACTCTACGAGCCTCACTATCTTGACGTCGATCTGTTGAAGCCGAGGCTCGCAAACCCCGGGCCTTCTCACTCTTGCATGACTTTTCTCCCTGACTAGTCCGCTTAGCTCGCAAATGGGTGACAATTTTGATATCCGACTGCTGAAGCGGTCACTAGGAGGCTTCAAGAGACACCACGCTGTCAATTCCTTGTACGGGCATACTGCGTGGGCCGAGGATCTAGACATCGTTAATGAGCTCGGTGCTCACACTGGCTGCGTCAATGCTCTGAGGTCTGTACCTCTTGCGTCCGTATGCTGCGACCACTGACTCTGGCAGTTGGTCGACGAGTGGCAATCTGCTCGCTTCCGGCTCTGATGATACCTATCTCAATATCTGGGATTACAATCCCTCCGGCCTCCCAAACACCTTCTCCCTCAATACCAGTGTTTCCACCGGCCACCGGGCCAATATCTTCTCCGTCAAATTCATGCCCCATTCTGCTGATCGAACCGTTGTGACTTGTGCCGGGGATTCTGAAGTGCGTGTTTTTGATCTCGAATACGGTGGTTCCACACAAGCCGATCCATCTCAATCCGCCTTCTCCGCCGGCACAAGAAGTAGGAGGTTCAACAGCTTTTTCCGTCACGCCAGGTGGCTCAACGAGGCCAATACCAATGCTCGGGTATACCGAAGTCATGCGGATCGTGCCAAACGGATCGTGACGGAATCAAGTCCCTACCTGTTCTTGACTTGTTCAGAAGACGGTGAGGTGCGTCAGTGGGACTTGAGACAACCATCAAGCGCCTATCCCCCACCCAGGGGTGGGCGAGGTTTTGCAAGATTCCGTGGAGTTTCAGACCCTGACGCAGGCGACACACCACCGCCACTCATATCCTACAAGAGATATGGTCTAGATCTGAACAGCATCTCCTGTGCAGCCAGCCAGCCTCAATATATCGCGCTTGGTGGTGCCCATCTGCACTGTTTCCTGCATGATCGGCGTATGCTAGGCCGAGACGTCGAATACGAAGCTGGTCGACCCGCTGGCCGGAAACCCGTGGTCGGGACCATGGAAGATGAGGCGATGTCTACAGCAACCAAGTGTGTTCGAAGATTCGCGCCCAATCATCAACGGAGGATGACTGGACGAAATAGTGGCCATATCACAGCCTGCAAAATCAGTGATGCTAACCCGAATGACATGATTGCCTCCTGGTCAGGTGATTCAATTTACAGTTTCGATATCGTCAAATCTCCAGATGCAAGAGACGAAGATCGTCGGCAGGATCAAGCATTCCAAGCTCTTCGGCGTCGGGACCTTTCGGACCGTAAGAGGAAAAGAGAAAGGGGAAATGCTTCATCCAGTAGCCTGAACAATGCAAGATACCCTAGTAGACGCCTGCGAAGAGTGCCAGACGATCAGTCAGAGAATGGCCAGACCGCTCTGATGGCGACTTTTGACACAACAGAAGTGCAAGGGTTACCCCTCGGTTCGACACGATCGATCGGTACTCCTGAATCGACATTACATGATGATCTAGCCCTGGCTGAAATCCAGCAATGCAGTCAACGGATTGCTAGTGCCATCGTCCGACTGAGAAAAACCCTTTTTGATTTTTCATCCATGATGCGGGAAGATGTGGCAATGACCATGGAGAACTCCATGGAATTGACTCCATACGGAGCAGCCTTCACTGCAGCTCTGGGGCAATGTGTATCTCTCCTTCCACAGATGGATGAGATCATTCGCAACTGGACCTATCCCGTTAATCCCACAGAGGAGGATGTCATCATACAGAACACGCTCCGAAGAAACCGTCAAGCAACCTGGCGATTTGTACAGGCTTCTGGGTGTTTGGCTAAGACACTTGGTGGACGGCTTCAGACTCTCAGTGCAGCTCCTGATGTGCATCTCGCTAATTTTGATCAAATCAAACTCTCACTCCATGAGGGAAAGAACATCTCTGAAAGGTCGCAGTTTGGCTATGACTTCTTGAAGGCAATTCTATTGTGGCTCGATGGTGGTCAGGATGCTGTTCTACAAGGCTTCAGGAGACCTGCAAACGTAAGTGCCGAAAGCTCCCGCTTCCCAATAGATCAAGACGACACCATAGCGACCTTTGTGCCAAAGCTACAGTCATATCTGTTGCGCTTAGCCGATGAAGACACTCCTATCCTTGATATTGATGCCAATCGATTCGAAAGAGATGTGACAAGATCAGTATTTGAAAGTGAGAAATCTGCTGTCATGGCCTTTGTGAGGGCGCTTTCAGGAATCAAACTGGAAGAAAGACAAGGTATGTCTGAAAATGCGATTGACCTCTCAGGTTCCAGTACTACTGTTCGCCTCATGGACAAGGGTGCAGCCGCGAGATTTTGGGGCGTCAAAATCGGCCGATCTCTGCTCCTACGTGCTGCACTGGGCGTGACGTTTGACTTTGTCAACCGAGCCTTTGGTGGCCTACCGGAGCAAATCACAGGCGGCTCCACTGATCAGTCCGAAGAAGACATCACCTTGGAAGAGGACGAAGAGGATGATCGCGTACTAGAAGCAATCGAGATTGTGACAACCACAAGTGCTGCAGAAGCTTCACTTGAGGAGCCCTCACAATTGCCGACAGCTACTCATGATGATGCTGGAAGTCCTCTTATTTCAGGACTGTCGACTGGTAACACTGCTGCAATCCCGACTGAAGACGCGCACCCAGACGAGGATGATGACCAAGAAGATGACGAAGACGATGGTGGTAGTGACAGACTCGGTAGTGACGGGGATAGTTCTGATGAGAGAAATTCCGACTCTGATTCGGACGACGATGACGACGATGGCCCACAGCAGTTCTTTCTTCGCCGTCGTCCAGGATTTACTAGATCTCACGAACGTGCGTCAGTCAATCTGGATGTCCCATACTCCTCTCACACCAAAGTCTACAAGGGACATTGCAACAGCCGCACGATCAAGGACGTCAACTACTACGGCTTGAATGACGAGTACATTGTGAGTGGCTCTGATGATGGCCACTTTTTTATCTGGGACCGCAAGACCATGGGGATAGTCAATATCCTGGAAGGTGATGGCGAAATTGTCAACGTTGTACAAGGCCACCCTTACGAGCCCATGATTGCATGCAGTGGTATTGATAACACGGTCAAGATTTTCGGCATCGGTGGCGAGAGTCGAGAACGTGAGAACGCTAAACGTGGAATTGACGTTGCAAATCCTGGAGGAACTACTCATAGTTCACTTCGTTTCGGTCGCCGAAGACCAACCAGACGCGTGAGGCATGGTGATGACGACGATACAGACGAAGCCGGTGAAGACGAAAACGTACGTGCACGAGGACTGACGAGTTGCCGTGCAATGCATCGCCGCGATGAAATCGTCGGTCAGAATTCTGCGGAGCAACGACATAGTGCAAGCAACGAATTCGTGATGGTAGGTTCAATGGAAGCATTATTAGCCAGGACATGGGTCATGTCTAGCCTACACATGATTTGAACACAAGCTACTCGTCAGAACCATTTCGCTGACATCTCTGGTGTCATGCAGGAGGGCATGCTTGCCAGGTTTGCCATCGCATTACAACGAGGCCAAATCGAGGTGATTGGTGGGCAAGCCGTTGCTGGTCAGGAGGGAGGCATTGTTGTGGATGACAATTGTTTGGTATGGCCATCAATCCGCCTAATCTACACCATAGCTCATGCTGACTCACGATGGGGCACAGCTCATGTAACTTCATTCAACATCTCCCACACCACGACTATGGTAGAGAATCGATGGCCAAATGCTTATACGTGGAAGATCTCGAATAATGGGGATTTCCCGAATCTCGCATCGGAAATTCCCAATATGTGAAGTGCAACTTCCTAAATTGGCGCTTACGGCTTGAGCGATAGACGGAGTATACGACGGCAACAAGCCAGTAGCTTTCCAGAAGTACTGCCTGAGCGCAACAATAATTATTTTCCTGGAACCAGTCCTCGACTCACTTAACTAGTTCATTTATGCCATTCCATGAAATAATTGATCCTCGCTGGTCAAAGTCTAAAGATATCCTAGTACATCCGATAAAGTAGGGCTAGGTAGGGAAAAGAAGACGAAAACATCATCGGTGGCGTAGAATTATAGCTCCTCCATTGAACGGCATACTTGCGTAGCTGCTCTGGTTAATTACGAGGCTAAATTGATGGGGCGAGGCTGTGTCATCGAGGCTGCCGCTTTCGGTCGGAAGTTCAGCTAATTACTGAGTCGGGTCCCGTCCTCTGAAATTTTCCCCTTAGGTACCCATTTATCGGGATTTGATTTCCTTGTCAATACGTGCTTCCCATACGGTCCAAGAGGCGGAATTTGGGCGGAGGTGGAAGAACTTGCTCTCCAGTCATTACAATCACCGAACCGGCTAGCGGTGTTTCGGTGAGCCTCGCGCCGCACACGCTGAACGCTGAACGCTGGGCAATTTTGCCTCTCGCGCTGCTGAATTGCTCTGTAGCTACTCGTCGGTACCTAAAAAAAAAATAGGTAGTGGGCCAAGAAAACGGACTGCGATTGAGTAAGTCGACTTGCATGAATATGACCTGGTTTTTGGGTTTCTTGTCTATTATTGTCGCTGAGAAATTGATACCCACCCCGGGAACAGACGCGTACACGTACGAGAACGCCGGCGACTAACTAGTTACAACAACCGCATCGATCCCGCCAAGAACGAAATATTCATCAGGCGCTGCGTCACGACCTACCCATACGTAAGCCACGATCAGAAGCACAACTAGTTAGTTAGTGTTTTTGGTTGAGGATTTCCATGGCCGAATCAGACCACTCTCATACGGCCACACGGTCCGCATTACCGGAGTATCTTCGACGGACCATATCAGCAGTCCTGTCTGAGATTTCGGGACCCGGGCTCGCGGACTTCGCGCAGACGCCGAGTGAGTATCTCACGCTAGAGCATATCAAGGGTCTGCATGACAGGAAGTTGCAGTACGCTTATCTCCTGCTGGCGCGACACTTGTGCACGGAAAGGCTAAAGGGCTTTGGTGCCGAGTTGAGATCCAGGGCTGATGGCCAGCGGGACGTCCATGGGGAAGGGCAAAGTGACGGTAGTGATGACATTGATGAGGACGATGACGAGGACGTTGAAGTGGATGGTATCTCACCAGAATTGATACTGGACAGGGCTGAAATTTATGAGGCACTGGGGTATGCGGACCTCGCGCTCGCAGACGCCTATGTTGCCTATACTCTGCTACTTGTTGCTTGGGATGGGTCTTCGGATAGTGATCTGGTGCCGGTCACACGGGATGGCGAGAGACTTCGCCAGATCCATGGTCATGAGACCAATCCCGAGGATTTGGATGAAAATGCGGATGAAGGTGTGGTAATGAACGACAATGATAACCAGGCCGCAGGCGAGGATGATCAAGACGAGACCGAGAGCTACAATGACAGCGAATGGAGCAGTACGAACCCTTGGAGGCACCGTGACTGGGTCATGGATGCCATCGCCCAAGCACTAGGGCTGCTGTGCCGGTCTGCACTGATACTGGGCTGTGATAGTCAGGCGAAGATTTGGTTCGACAAACTTGTCAACCGCGGTTTTCTTTACGAGATTGAATCGGGGGATGAATCTTATGAAGAGCTTGCAGGAAAGAGACTGAGGAAGTTGATCGTGAAGGTGGACTTATTCAAGGATTTTTGGTGTGTTTTCCACGTCGATATGAAAGACCTAGATAAAAGACTGGATCGTTTGGCGTTGAGCAAGTTCGAGAGGAGCGATTCTGTCACTTTCCCATTGTTCGGTTGGAGTCAGCGCCAGATATATCCCTGGAACGAGCATGAGCCGGACAGAATGGGTCAGGAAGCATTGCGGGATATCAACGAAAGATTAGCAATTGCGGCTCCTGCCTTGGAAGCCAGGTTGTCCACGCTACCTGCTCTTGCCCCACCAGTGAAGACTGCTAATGCTGGCGAAGGAGATATTGCATGCGATGAGAAATGGACGCAATTGGGACTCTACGCAAATAAAGACCTTGAACCGGGCTCAACAATCCTCGAGGAACGCTCGATGCTTACAGCTATACGGCCACATGGAGAGGCGCTCTGCGATGCCTGCGCAGCAGATATGGAGCCCATACCAGCCACAGATAGACGGTACTGTGGAGGCTGCAACCTTCCATTTTGTTCGGAGGAATGTCATACTGTAGCGACAGCACGTTACCACGCTCCCAATGAGCAAGATGAAGAGACAGAGGAAGGCTACCCCCCAGAAACCTGCCCTTTCTGTCCAGGCACAGTAGGGAACGATGACATACATATTCTAGGCCGGGCTGAAAGTTCAACTACCCCTGAGTGGGATCTTTATTTTCTTTTACTATCCCGGACGCTTCAGATGGCCGAGACGCAGGAGACATACCCTCTAGACCTCTTCGAGATCAAATACTTGTGGGGGGATTTCTCACCGACACCTGATGTCAACAACCTCAACAAGGATCTAGAAGGGAAGGGCACACTGCCTTTCAGTGTGCGCCATCACATCGAGCTCCCTCTTCAGTGGTTCGAGATCCTGATGCATTCCCGTCCAGAGTGTCGGCCGTACAGCGCAACCTGGTTGGAAAAGTACGACTGGTGGGCCGTGCAGACATTGTTCGCAAAATTTCGCGGCGTCGCTGATGCTCAACAATCGACTTGGACTGGCAAACCTGAAGTCGCAGCCGTACACCCATTATGGTGCCTAGCGAACCATAGCTGCAACCCCAATGTTACATGGAAGCCTTCCGGAGTGAGGAACCTGACGGTTGTAACTCAGAGGGTTTGGAACACAGCACTCGAAGATACTACTAAAAGCGAAACTGGTGATTCTGCGTGGAGTGGCATCAAACAGGGAGATGAGATCTGGAACCATTACACGGATATAAACGAAAAGGACTATCGAGAGAGAAGAGCACGGTTGCAAGCCGTGCTCGGAGGTGATTGCCTGTGTGAGCGATGTACGAGCGAAGCCAACAGATGATCATGTCAAGATGCAGAGAATGAGACTACCTCGATGTACCACTACGCGATCCGACCTCGAGCCACTTCCTGGATATCAACCTGAGCCCTTAAATTCAGTCTTACCCTGCTTTCCAGCGTGGAACACCTTAATCAGTACGGAGTCTCCGTACATGTGACCAGCTAGGAACGCGAGGTATCCGCAAGTAGCTTGTTCCCTCATCGATCGACCTTAAGCTCTGCCCTTTGGTGGTATCAGGCGAAGCATGCTTCGTCAGACCGTTGCCCTTTTTAGGTGGTGGGTCTCACTGTATCAATGGATGGTCTAATGCCCAAATTGGCTTTTAGCTCCCATGAGCGAAGTCTCCTAAGCTTTTAATTTTTTACTGCAGATCTCCAACGCTTTCGATAGGAGTGAAGCGAATGACCAGACATCATGCTACTTGACTCTCTGTTTCGCGCATCGCACGAATTGCTTTCCTTCGCTCCATCGCCTCGACATGGCCTCCAACAGGGATGTCCTGACACGGGCATCTCTCTACATGCCTCTCAGGAACGCTGATATGAATGGCAGGAACTTCCGTCGGGGTAGTAGTTCCCATCTCGAGATCGACCTCTGGTTCCTTCCCCTGTGTGGCCGGTACTGCCGGCACCGCCCTTGCACTTACGGCACATCTTGCTCGTGCTATGATGTCGGCCGGATGCAAATCAGGTACGTCTCTGGCCCGTCTCGAGCTCTCGACGTCCTGCGCCGCAAGTGTACCCGCTCCAGGGACGCTCTGGAAAATGGGCGAAGACCAGTGGTTCATCAGATGTGCGACCAGACCGATGAAGATGACTCCTCCAAGAATATTACCACAGACCGCAGCAGATTGGTTGTACCACAGCCTGCCTATTGTGGAATGTCCACCGTACATGAGTCCGAGAGAGCAGAATATCACTACCGGGAAGGAGGATGTTAGGAACCCGGATATAGTAGGTGGTAGGCTGTAGGCTTACTGTTTGCAACACAATGCTCGTAACCAGATAGCACAAAGACAACCACAGGAAACCAAAGTGCCATTATTTTACCCGCTGCATCGCGCGCAGCAATGCCCATGACCAGAGCAATGCAAACCATGGCGTTTGCTCCAATTCCGCGCAGGAAGATCTCGCCCCATCCTAGATCAAAGAACTTAGTTTGACGACAAATGCGATCGGGTTTTCAATGTGAACTGACCAAGAGCTTCAAGTTTGCCAACCACAATCTCATTGAGGAAGATTCTATATTGCTCCGAGCCAAAAAGGTTGGTCAGGTAGCCGAGAAAGTAGGCCACGAGGAGACAGCCTGCCCAATTCCCAATATAGACCACGAACCAGTTGAGCATGAGTGAGCGGAATGAAACCACCCTGTTGAACCAGCCTGTCATCGAGCCATTGTCAGCCTTTGTCTCTTTTCAAGGACATATGACTGGTTTTTGCCTACCAATGGCCAGATACATGGTATTGCCTGTAAAGAGCTCGCCTCCGAAAAGGGCGATGAAGTGCAACGCTACATGAGATTATGTGTTAGCCACTTGTATTACGAAATCATTCATTGTCCATAGCGGGAGCCTGACAGCCGTGCACACATACCAAATGCAAAAAAAGACCCCATCAAGAACTTTGGCAGCGATACCCATTGCTTTCGCACATCTTCAGGAACACCACCTGCAGCACTCACAGCGACCACGCCGCCCAAACCAACCCATATCCCCGCGATGATGCTCAAGAAGAGCAGCTTGTCTGGGGTGTTGCTGACCTTTTTGGTTGCATTGAACAGGAGGGCGTCTTCAAGGAGAAGTCCTGAAAGCATGTCTGAGGGGGCGGCTCGCGCAGACACTGGAGGTGGTAGGTAGTAACATAGCTTCTCATGGTGATGTCTTTCCGAGCTGGGATTTGGCACGTCAGAGAGCTCGGCTGATCTAAGATATTCATTGATAGCTCTACTCAGGGGGGAGTGAGAAGGCTGGGTGTGTTCGGAAGCTCTGTTTCTGCTTCTGCCCCAAACCATCGTATGTAAGTAGTACTCCACGAGAGATATGGCGCTTTCAATCTTTATGTAGCTGCTTCGCTGTGATGATGGGGCGTGCTGAATGGCAGCCAGTTGATTACTCAATGTTCAGGAGGTGTGCAGTCTGATATTGGAGAAGTCGGGTGGCCTTCGACACTATATTCTGCAGCATCTTGACAGAGATACTTCTCGTTTAATGAGAAGTCCATAACCTCCGAGACAGCCTAGTTGTGAAGTAGCGCACCAGTAAATTACCACTCCATTACTGCACGAAGCTCGCAAGGCACAGTCTGCACAGCTGACCACATCGCGAGGCTCTGCCGTGCTCATGCCGGTTGGGCTTTCACTGTTGAAAGTTCATCCGTGCTAGCAAATTCGCACTTCGTTCCATTCCATAGACAGTCGTTGAGCTACTTTGTTCAACAACGCCTAGTCAGCGTGTGGTTTCCGAGAATGGAGAGAATCGACATGCAGTACACACTTGTGATACGACCATACCGTGATAGACCGTTGAATTCTAGCTCATCGTACCATCGTACTCGGCCTGTTGACCCATCTGAAATCTGCGATGACATCAATGGCTGGGGTTCTGCCAGGGGTGGTCAAAAGATTGCCGGATGAGTCAAGCAGCCTGCCTACCTGGGTATGAGGTATTGCTGTTAGGATATTCGTAGCCCCAACCTGAAACGAACTGAATCGTCCTCAAAAGGAAAAGGTTTCTGGTGTAAGCACTCGATAATCAATTCACTACTTTATGTGTGCAGTCCCAGGGGAAAGAGCTAATTACAGTACACCGATCAGGTTCCACCTTCCACCTCTTGGACAGTCCATGCCCATACGAACCCAGCATCCCCACCCGCCTGGCTGAAGACGTTAGGATCGGGATTATCCGCCATGGTAGGCCTGACACAATCCGGGGCCATTGGAGTCGCTATGTCTCCGGTGAACGTCAAAGAGAATTGTTTGTTGTTATGGGCATTCGTAGGTGTAGTTACACAAATACAAAAAGTTCGATCAAGGTTGTCTGACTCAAACCATACAATCTATCCTAATATCTATCTGCTTTTGCGTAGGCTTAACCTTCCACCGACTTCAGGCCTTGGTCATCAGTCTTGAGGATAGCAGCATTGAAGTTTGCTGAGGTTGGTAGTTCGATATGGATATCCTTGATCACCGCAAGACCGAGCTGTACTTCAGATCCTCCAGTCGACAACTCCAGTACATGTCCTCCAACGTCTCTTTTCTCGCTGATAAAGTGCATATGTTCTCCCGCTACAAAGATACCCTGCCAAATCTCCGGAACGCGATACCCGACGATTGTTCCCTTGATATTTTCGTAGTCCGCAACAGCTTGAGTCTTTCCAAGTTCGGAGAGTGGTTGATTGTCGTATTCTTGGCCTTTGACGGTCCTGCACTTTATCGAGCGGAAGACACCATCGACACGGTATGAGACAAAAAGATTATTGGTTTGTTTGGCGAAGGTCTCCAACGTGTCATCAACGGACGTTTTGGTCTCGAGTTTGACAGCATGAGTTTGTTGTGGCTCAAAATGTGTCGCTATTGCGTAGGGAATCTCGTCATTAGGGTCCGCGATTCTGACTTGGCCACCAGCTTGTAGCTGATAGATCGTTCCATCAAGGAGAATGAGCTCGCCATTCATGCGCACAAACGTCCCGAGACCATGATTTCCCTTTTCTAGTAAGCGACTTGTAGTAATACCCTGGCTGGAAACACCACTCATCAGCGCATTGACGAGGGAGTACTGGTATATCGAGTTTGTAGCCATGGTCTGACTTTGATAAGAGTTAGCCAGTGTTGTAGATGGTTCACTGAAGATACCTAGATATGTGCCAATGCGGCAAGATGGAACAGACCAGTATGTTGTGTAGTCCGTCAACAACCAAGTTTTGCAATGTCGTTGCTCCCGAGTCTCAACACGATACCAATCTTGCAATCATGACCGATAGTATCTCGGTATGATGGCCGTGGTCTTGTACCAAATATCTCAACGCGTCATTCGTATCGTGCGTTCGACCTAGAATATGCAGTGCGGAGGGTTGTGCAACTCCGTCGCGGCCTGGTCCTGCGAGACATGTCAACTGATAAACAAGCGAATTATTTACGGATAGCTTCGGCATTTATTTCAGCCTTGTACGATCGACCAGTTTGGACCCACTTTCCCAACAGTTGTTAGTAGCGATTAAGGAAGTACAGAGCGAATTCCGGGCTCGATTAACCGGACGTCTGCCCAATAAATGCCCCCTGTGTCACTCCCAATAGGCGGGACGCTAGGACTTCACCAGAGCAGTTTGCGGAAGCTGGACCGGGTGACTAAGAACTTCCAACAACACTTCAGTAATGAAGTCACTGGTGGACGATACTACATAAGAACAACATAATACGCAGGTGTCGATTATCACGGTGGTTCTTTTATTATCATCATCCTTGAACCACTTGCATCCAACTGCGACGCTTCAATATCTAGACGGTTAGCCAAAATGGGCGAAGAAGCTCGAGTTGCCAATATCATCATTGACAGCCTCTACAATGCAGGCGTGAGAGTTGTCTTTGGCGTCCCGGGAGCGAAAATCGATGCCATCTTCAACACACTTCTAGATCATCCCGAGATCAAACTGATAGTTGCTCGACATGAACAGAACGCAGCCTTCATGGCAGGCGCCATGGGGAGGATTACCGGCGTTCCCGGAGTGTGCATTGCGACATCTGGGCCTGGAGCTTCGAACCTGGCGACCGGTCTTGTCACGGCAAATACTGAAGGCGACCCGATCGTAGCACTCATCGGCTCGGTGCCTCGTCTGATGAACACAAAACGCACCCATCAGTCCATGAGAGCCTTAGACATCCTCAGTCCGACTGCCAAAACCGCAGTGGGCATTGATGTCGAAGATCAAGTTGCAGAGATTGTACTCAATGCATTCCGATCTGCGTCCGCAAGTCCAAAGGGCGTCTCTGTGATCAACATTCCCATGGACGTGGCTTCCGGGAGTTCTAAGATCTCGGCGTTCCCCAGCTCAGCCTTCTCAGCACCAAGTTACGGGTCGGCGACGACGAAACAGCTCGATTCCGTGGCTAGCATGGTAAGTTCGGCGAAACTGCCCGTCCTATTTCTGGGGATGCGAGCCAGTTCGCCACGGGTTGTGGAGGTAGTACGTCAACTCTTATCCAAGACTGGCATTCCCACAGTCGAGACTTTCCAGGCCGCCGGTGCTGTTTCGAAAGACTTGGTCTCTAATTTCTACGGTCGAGTTGGGCTATTCCGCAACCAAGTTGGCGATAAACTCCTCGCCCAGTCCGACTTGATCTTGTGTGTTGGCTATGATCCGGTCGAGTACGATGCCAATCTCTGGAATCCTAAAGGGGATCGGAACATTGTACATATTGATTACACCCCTGCAGACTATGGCGTCCACTATCATCCGGATACTGAACTTCTGGGTTCGATTGTCGAGAACGTGCGGTCCCTGGGTGAGAAGATCAAAGGAGTCAATGATGCTTCAATTCAGGAGTTGACCACTGGACTCTCCCAAGAGCATACTTCCTGGCACGATAGACCTGAGGTCAAGCGCAGCTCAGGTCTTGTCCACCCACTTCAGTTTGTTGCGACACTACAAGATCTCGTTTCCAAAGATACGACCGTGACGGTAGATGTGGGGACAGTTTACATCTACATGATGCGGTACTTCTTCTCCTATGAGCCTCGTCGGCTTTTGTGCTCTAATGGTCAACAAACTCTGGGAGTTGGCCTACCGTGGGCAATCGCAGCATCGTTAGCTCAGAACCCACCATGCTCAGAGAAAGTCGTCTCTTTATCCGGCGACGGAGGCTTTATGTTCAGCAGTCAAGAGATGAGCACGGCGGTGCAACAAGGCTGCAATATCACTCACTTTATCTGGAATGACGGCCATTTCAACATGGTCGAGTTCCAGGAGGTCATGAAATACGGAAGGTCGAGTGGTGTGAAACTAGGAGGTGTTGACTTTGTGAAGTTTGCCGAGAGTTTTGGAGCAAAAGGCTTTAGAGTCACTGATAGCTCGTCCTTGGAGAGTGTGATGAAGGAGGCTCTGGCTTTTGAAGGGGTCAGCCTCGTGGATGTCGAGATCGATTATGAAGGCAATATTGAGTTGGCGCAGCAGCTGATCAAAGATGAAATTAATTGAGTTCCAGTGAGAGAACAGGGTAGGCTGAAAAGTTGTTTGCAGCTTCGTAACGCGTAACGAGCCATTGATCATTATCGTGGTCTTGGAAAGAATTATCCTTAATTATATCCCACACTAGACTCCCCGATTCGCGTGACTCTCAAATCACACGGAGTTCGAAGTTCTTCGTGGAGCTTTTAGGGGAGACGTCGTCATACCAGTGGCTTGCATTGTGGCTAGGGACAAGGCTGGTGATGTCATCAACGACAACAAGGCCATCACCAAGTTTCAGGCACAGAGCCTTCCTTGGCTGACCTCAAATAGCAACTGATCTCCGCTTTCTTCTTAACCTCAAAGTTGACTGGCTGTAAGGACGACGTCCAAGAGCCTTGGGAACTCTTGTTTCTCATCCCTCGTCCACAGACCCATTCTGATCCAGCCATACCCAGCATCGCAAGTGTGTTGGCGATGATCAAAAATCTTGTTTTCTCTCCTAAACGTGGCTGAGATGACCACGACGACGGACAACTCAAAGTATACCGAGTAGTGAAGTGGCTTGATGATGCCCACATGGGTACGTTCTTGTATACATATTCTCCTTCTCCGCGTGACTGGCCATTCTTGAGGTAAGTCCAATTCCATACTTCAACAATTCCAGAAGGGAACGTGACAAGTCGAGGTGGGCGAATATATTCATTCCTTTTTCGTGAACGACACTTATACTTGTTGGCACTCGCGACCGGTGTAAAACATCCACTAGGTGTTCCAGGCTTGCAGACAACAACTATATACCACCTCTCTCCAATCAAACCATGGACAAGGAGTCCCGGAACTTGCAAAATGTTCCTGCTACTTCCTCCTCACCCTCGCGGTTTCACGCCATCAAATCCATGAAACCAGACAGAGGTACACTTCCTCGCTTCTGGCGAAATCTGAAATTTTGCTTCCTTGACAGTTGGTTCGATGTTCTTTGCATCATTGCCGTCACGGGAGTAGCTGGCGCTGTAAGTATCCCCCTATTAGGAGGAAAAGAAGGCCTTATGAAAGAATAGTCATGCTAACCCCGCTTGCTAGGTGTGGATCGTGGAAGCACGTCCAGCACGTCTTTTCCCACTCTTTGCTCCTGATGGGACAACGTATGCGCCAGAGATTTCTTATCCATATCAGAAGAACATCTTCTCCTCACTCACAGCTGGCTTAATCTGCGGACTGATTCCAGTTGGTGTGATTCTAGTGGCTCAGATATGGCTCAAATCGTTCGCTGACTTGTCATCCGGTATCCTTGGCCTACTCTATAGTCTCAGCACAGGCACATGTTTCCAAGTGATCCTCAAGAAATCGATCGGAGGACTACGTCCACATTTCCTCGCGGTGTGCGAGCCGGTCATCCCAGAGGACGTCGTCGGTGTTGGTTTCAACGGCATCTTGTACAGTGTTGACCAAGTCTGCACAGGTGATCGCGCTCGTATCAACAATGCTCTCCAGTCATTTCCGTCTGGACACTCGGAGATAGCCTTTGCAGGTCTCGGATACCTCACCATCTATCTTTTTGCACATCTGCGGATCCCCGATGGGACCAGGACACAGCGAACGGGTTTCTGGCGCATGATCATCGTCCTGCTCCCTCTCCTACTCGCCACGTACATCGCCTGCACATTGGTCCTGGGCTACCATCACCACGCCACAGATTGTTTCTTCGGCGCACTCATCGGTATCGTCACTGCTAGCTTGGGCTACAGATCCGCGTACCGAAGTCTCTTCAACGGAGCTACGAACTGGAAGCCTAGGCTGGGCAGACGCATGAAGCGCGAAGTGGAGCGACAGGGAGCTGGCGATCTCGCTGCAGGGGAATTAGCCGACGAGGAAGCTGCCCTCGGAATCAGAGGTCGTGCAGCTGACTCTCCAGCTGGCCGCGAGGACTCGAGCGGTGCTGTGAAACGAGGTGTACAGAGGGATCAAAGTGCCACCGAGACTCTCCACGGGAATGATCGACATGTCTGAGATACAGGGTTGGCGTGACAATAATCATGGCGTTGTGGTTGCATGCATTGTCTGAATTGTACGCAGTGGGTGTGGACACGAGGCATGGTTATGACTGACCAATTTGAATTCTTTCAGTGAGGCCACAGAAACCGAGTGTATTGAGAGTCTTACCACTACGCGATTGCACTTGATAAGCGGTGAAGCTGACCGCTCCTGAACATTGCACTACCTCCAGTATTTTTCCACGCGCTGCCAATTCTTTCCGCACCCCTTGTAATAACCGTGTCGTGCGGAATATTCTCGTTTGGTATCTAATTTTGCATTTGCTGAACTTCGAACCTGCACGCAGGTCCGACGTGTCAAACGTTGATTAACTTCCTGGATAGTAAAATTCCAGACACAAATCACAGCGAGAGCAATGGAGAAGGAACAAGGTGGAAAGAAGCCATTGGTGTGTCAAAGGTATGTTTTAATCTTCTAAGAGCCTTGCTCTTGCTGGTCGTAAGCATCGTTCATTATCGTGTACATGTCAAGAATGTGATGGTACAAAAAAGCAATGGAGGCTCAAGAAAGACTCGTTTCCAGGATCGCTGCCACAAAAAACCCACCACTCTGAAGAGAAATTCCATATAATACTTTTTCACAACCCTTGATCAGGAGAAATGCTCGAGTCAAAAATTGGTAGATTCGTCTTGTTCACGAAAGATCTCTCGCGTGCACCACGACGTCACGAAACAAATCTTCCGGAAGCTCCCTCACGACCAACAGCGTCATCTTGATGATTTCGTCCGCATTCAAGCTGGGAAAACTCCGCAGCATCTTGGCTGGGCTGGGGTGGTCCTGTAGAGCGTCTTTGCACAGCAGTAGCTGGGCCACGACGCAGATGACGTTCAGATGCACACCGAATGCGAATAAGAAGTCCCACAATCGCATCACCTCTGGGAGTGGAGGTGTACATGCGCACAGGGTGAGTACGGATGGGAAGGCGTAGATCCTGGCTGGCAGGTTCTTGCTGAGTAGGAAGGACGACAGTTTTGGGTTCATGTGCGCGAGGATGCGATCGATCAGGTCGACCCCACGGTGAACCCCGGACATGGTTGGTGAGAGGTAGGTGGGGATATGTTCGGTCAGAAGACATGTGAGGATTGCATAGGCTTGCGCCTCGGAGCGAGATGCGTAGAGTAGAGGTGCGGATAGCACATTGATGCCTTGGAGGTAGGTGGATTGGGTGTATTTAGACGCAAACGGTGTTTTCGGATCAGATGTCTGGTCTTCGTGGATCCGCCAGGCTGTAGCGTTGAGCACTCTGGTCAAACTTGCGTCTGTTACCCGTCTTTTGAAGAGTGTGTCGGTGGCTAAGGTGCGGAAGACATCGTTGGATATCTTCTCGTAGGCGGGGCTGCGTCCGCGATGGATGAGGGCGAGGTAGGTGTCGGTTGGAAATGCCGGGATGTTCAATAGGGTCAACCAGAGATAGATTCGATAGTCCGACATTCCTTCTTTTGTCGCAATCACTCCGTTGGTAAGAATAGAGTGTTGCAATAACGACACAGCCGAAGCAGTTGTCGTTCCTGGTGGGGGCCCATCACGAAGTGTCATTTCCAAGCTGGATTTGCGGGCATGTGCAGCAAGGTGACTTGACGAGAGATTGGAGGAAGATGAGGCAGTCTGCACTTTTCGAGCTCGAGGCATATAGGGCATGGGTGCATCACTGTTTGCGCGCACTCTGCCAGTGGTGGTTGAGGGGTTTGTCGCAGCAGCGGTGGTGGGCTGTTGAGCTGAGACTGAATTGAGTTGTTCTCGAGAGGGTTTGGAATTGAACCCCAAGCGTGCTGGTCGCAGGTTAGATGCTTGAGTGCCCATGTTGGAGGTCGATGAGAGTTGGTTGTGTGACTGCAGTCTTCGGAGACCGCGGGATTTCTCTGTCAGCGACCCGGTATTGGAAGCAGTGCCTGTGGTGTTCTTTTGAGGCGAGTCAGGAAGCTTTATTGCCGATGGATCGGGAGAAGGAAGCAGTGCATGGCGACTGGCGACTTTGTGAGGAGAGATGGAGGTCGCCGTCATGGTGCTGGGATGGAAGTGAAGATTGGAGGGGTGTGTAGTGAAGCCCTGGGTGTACTGTGAGCTGTGTGCGGTGCTGGGCTGTGGCAGAATAACTCGTACAGGGAAGACGCGTCAAGACGGTGTTTAAAGACGTCAAAGTTTCTACCAGTGGAGGAAGTTGTTGACGTTACAGGCATGCCCAGCCAACGCCTTTATCGCCAGTTTCATCCTTGCCCCGCGATCCACTGCAGGGCTCTGGGGGCTTTTAGACGGCCCCAAGCTAGAACTGTTAGGCCGCCTTGGGAGTTGGTCATCAAGACGCGGTACAGAGACGCGTCGATGGACAACCCGGGTGGCCACCTGGGTATCTAGAATCTTGTATTCACACTGATGCAGATCAGAATGCAATCGCTGTGTTGTCAAGCGAGCTTCATGCATGAAATATCTGCAGGTTGATTGAGTAATTCGAGTTAGACCTCCCACGGTGACTCAACTTTCTCGGTTACGTACAATGGCGCCATGCCTCTGTGAGGAGCTGGTGGATAAAAAGGTAGATGATCAGAGCACCAGGGCTGCTGGGCAGCTATCCCCCACTATTTCTGGCTGCCCACACCGCCACCAACCTTCAAGCTCCAAGGTGATTCCTTTGCTTTTGCTTCCATATATACCAGTCAAGTATTTCAATCTCTGGACTAATTTGGGTGAGTCCGCTACGCAACAAACACATTGGGGTGATGGTTTTGTTACACAGCTCACAATAATGATATGTCTGATATGAGAAAATTTGGATCGTGCAACATAAAATTGTGAGAGAGAAAAAAACACTGAAAGCTTGCTCCGATGGCGGGACGGCGCCCCTCAGAAACGAGTGCTCTACTCAACGAACATGGGATTGATGATTTTCGCAAATCTGTTGAGCAAATAGATCAAAGATACTATGGCGCCATCGAAGACGGTGAAACTACTTCATTATTACTGAAAGGACCCGAGCTCGAGACAACATGGAAGGCCGAAACCACCCTGTTGGCCAGATATTCGGCTCCTCTTATCATCACCTATCTCCTTCAATACTCTTTCAGTCTGGTTACAGTCTTCGTCGCTGGTCGACTTGGTACGAAGGAGTTGGGAGCTGCCTCACTTGCAACCATGACTGCCAATGTTACAGGTCTCTGCGTGTATGAAGGTCTAACCACAAGCTTGGATACCTTGACCTCGCAAGCATTTGGGAATGGCAAAAAGCAGCTAGTGGGTCTTCATGTCCAACGCATGAGTCTTCTGGTTTGTGTTGTAACTATCCCGATTGGTGCCATCTGGATTTGTTCACCTTGGATCCTGTCTGCATTGGTCCCTGAAACAGACCAGGCTATCCTTGCGGGTCAATTTATGCGAATCTACTTGCTGGGTGGTCCTGGGTGGGCAATATTCGAGGCTTCAAAACGACTATGTCAGGCTCAGGGCGATTTCACCGCTTCGCTAGTGGTCCTTTCCATCTGTGCTCCGCTCAACGTTCTTTGGAATTGGCTATTTGTCTTCCATTTCAAACTCGGATTCCAGGGTGCTGCATGGGCTGTTGTACTCTCCAACAATCTGCAGCCGATTGTTCTGGCACTCTATATTTCATTCTTTGCTCGTTCCAATCTCCAATGTTGGCCAGGTATCGACCTCCGTCGCGCATGTCAGAATTGGGGACCTATGGTCAAACTTGCCGTTCCGGGAGTCATGATGACCTTCTCTGAGTGGTTAGCTTTCGACATCCTCACCATTGCTGCTGGGTACTTGGGCGAAGTCGATCTGGCCGCTCAGTCGGTTCTAATGACGGTTGTAGTGACCATGTACCACATTCCATTTCCGATCTCGATTGCAGCTTCGACTCGTTTTGGGAATCTCATTGGTTATGGTGCTCTGGACGCTGCTTATATCGCGTGGAGGACCCACTATCTGATTTTTGTCGGCATTGGGACTTTCGATGTGATCCTGTTGACATCCTGCCGGCATCTCATTGCAGCTGTCTTTACAGACGATGATGCAGTCCGTGTTGCAATCACCAAGGTGATCGCCATTGCAGCGGCGGCCCAATTCTTTGATGCTCTTTTGGCTCTTTCAAATGGTCTATTGAGAGGCCTGGGAAGACAGAAGATTGGAGGCTGGGTTAATCTGGGGGTCTATTATCTGTATGCCTTACCACTTGCCTTCTTCCTTGCCTTTGGTCCAGCCAAGATGGGACTCACTGGTATGTGGATTGGTCCAAGTTCCGGATTGGCATGCGCCGCCATTTCCATGTTCTTGTACATGCGCTACACTGACTGGCAAAAGGCGGTGGATGATGCAAGGGCCAGAGAAGAGTGAAGCAGACATCCAACCACGGAAGCGACCAATATGTCCGGAATTGACTTAGCACCAGACTCATGAATCCTTGTGAACAAAATAGCGGCCATGTCAGCAATCGGCCGCTACGTTGAGGCACTGATGACAGATCACCTGGCAGTACAAATCGGTGGGCAAAAGGACGAACAGCGAGCCATAAACCAAATTTAATGTAGGAAGCCTGCGTACATGCACATCCAATCTTCTTATCTTGTCGCAATCTTTCCGCATTCCACGTCACGTTTGTTGCGCAACTACCTATCTTGGTATGCCAAATGCCACAGGCGGAATGCCAGGCCGCTCAGAAGTGTGGGAAATGACCGGCTTAAATGGTCCGCCCAATATTTCTTCCACTCTAAATCCGGTTACAAGCGAACACACCCGCAGTTAGCCGGCATTATTCGCACGGCCGCCCACGAGCGCCTTCGTCTACATCATAATTCTCAGACGAGGGGATATTTCCAACCACTAGGTAGTAGCCGTGGGTAACAAGACGAGAGAGAGGGTCCATCTTACTCTTCCTCTCACTTTATCTGCATACGAATCCTACATTCTATCGAATCGGAGGCTCTAGCTACCGAGCAACTTGACAGGGTTCGTTTAGCTTACGAATGATTCGGGTATATGATGAGGACCTTTCGACCTCTTGTCGATTCCCTGGAGTTGCGAAGTTCTCTATACGATAACTAGGTCGATAGCCTGGCTCTGAACAGTCTTACAACATGAGTGACCAAATCGACCTCACTGAATTTCTATTTCGTCGACTCCATCAAATTGGAGTGCGATCGATCCATGGCGTCCCAGGCGACTATAATTTGACGGCGTTGGATTATGTCGAGCCAGCTGGGCTACACTGGGTTGGAAATGCAAACGAGCTGAATGCTGGTTATGCCGCGGATGGCTATGCTCGAATTCGAGGCGTGTCTGTTCTGGTCACGACTGGAGGTGTTGGTGAACTGTCTGCCATTAATGCTATCGCAGGTGCGTATGCTGAGATGGCCCCAGTCGTTCACATCGTTGGCACTCCACCAACTCAAGCCCAAAATGGTGGTGTGAATCTGCACCACACACTTGGAGATGGAAACTTCCGTCACTTTGCAGAGATGGCATCCAAAGTTACGGTGGCTCAGACGAATCTCATCGACGCTGCGACGGCAACTGCTTCCATTGATAGCTGTCTTCAGGCTTGTGTCTCGAACAGTAGGCCGGTTTACATCGAGTTGCCCACCGATATGGTCACCGCCAAGGTTCCTGCCTCCGCTCTCGATAAACCTCTTGATCTCTCGATCCCTTTTACAGATGAGGGCTTCGAAGACACAGAGGTGGATCTGATTCTCGAAAAGATTTATTCAGCTAAGCAGCCTTTCATCATTGTTGATGGATTTACGAATCGATATGGCATCACCGAAGAGGCGGACGAGCTAGTCCGGGTCACTGGTTTCCCAACGTCGACAACGCCGTTTGGGAAGGGAATTATCAATGAGACATACCCAAATTTCCATGGAATATACGCTGGCTTAGCAGGGAATCAAATCTACAACCCTTGGGCATATGGGACTGATTTGGTGCTCCGACTTGGGCCTTTGAACAGCGATGTGAACACATATGGCTTCAGCACGATTCCTGACAGACACAAGGCCATCACGTTCGATCGTGACTTTGTGGAAGTGACCGGGACAAAGTATACCAATGTGCATATCAAATCACTACTTCGCCGAATTCTCGACCGACTCGACAAGAACAAACTTCCTAGACAGGAGCCCTATCCGGATCTGGGGATACCATCTGAAGAACTAAAAGCTCTCCCAGCCACACAGCCCCAAGATGTTATTGATCAGCTGACATTCTGGCGTCGCATCTCGACGTTTTTCCGCACCGGAGACATCATCCTTACAGAGACGGGCACTCCATCACTCGGCGGGCGTGACTTTGTTCTGCCTCCTCACACTCAACTCATCAACTCCTCAATCTGGTTGTCGATAGGATACATGCTTGGTGCGGCGCAAGGAGCAGCACTAGCTCAACGGGAACTTTTGGCAGAGGGTAAACAGAGTCAAGGGCGTACTATCCTGTTCGAGGGAGACGGAAGTTTGCAGATGACAGCACAAGCTTTGAGTGATATCATCCGCAACCGACTGGACATTACGATATTTGTTCTGAACAACGACGGATATACTATTGAGCGATGGATCCATGGCATGAAGGCCGGGTATAATGATGTCCAGCCATGGAGGTACCTCGAGGCGCCTAACTACTTCGGCGCGCCTAAAGACGACCCTGCATATCCGGTGTTGACCAAGAGAGCTGAGAACTGGGGTCAGCTTCATGAGATCCTGGCAGATCAACAACTACAAGAAGGCAAAGGTCTCAACATTGTCGAAGTAATGATGACGAAAGAAGACGCCCCGGACGTGCTGAAGAAGTTGGTCCAAGCTGTCACGAAGAGGAATGCCGGTGCAGACAAGCAAGCCGTGGTGGATGATAAAGCGCAGACGGCTTCTGGTTAGGGAGAGTCAAAGTCTCCGCATTGGGCGTGATCTACTGCAGGTCTGCTACAAGGAAAGGCGGTCACAGTTTTGCATTTTGCCAAAGTCAACGTTTGGGGATATTGTGCGAGCATGTTTAAGGGTCAGGCGACGGGCGAGATGGGTTCGGACAGTAGTATATATCTGACAGGCGCTGAGTGCGGTAATACCATTGGCTTTTGTGGACCTAGTGTGAATACATCTGAGCTGAGAATGACGAAACAGTGGATCAATCGGAGTTTAATGGTCTCGATGCGCGGATCGAAGTCAATGTAGACACTTATTGATGCAATTTGTGATTTATCCAGGGATTCCCGGATTCCACGATGTGCTGTGCTCCCACTTCTACCACTACTAGAAAGCCATTGAAGCTGAGTATGTACCTAGATCAGATGCAGCGGGAGGCTTGAGCGAGCTCCAAGGATAGATCCGGCATTATGTAAAATCAGCCCAGATTAAAGATAGTATGCCTACCTAGGTAATCGTGGATGCGAAAAGAAGTGCCAGTGCAAGGTGTCAGGCCTAGAACGCTGAGCAATTTGTACCCACAGGCTCACAGCCTCCGAGCCTCAGGTGCCCTTTCGACAGTAACAACAACGACAACAACAACCACCTGGGATACCTTACGTATCATGTACATCATCCTGAGGGAGCCTTTGGGTGTGCCTTGACTGTTTGTTCACCGCTTTTAAGCGTGATTGGAGTCATTCGTAATCTTCTGCGACAGAAGCCAAGTCCATAGCCTCGGAGGTGCCCAATTCGCCCCTCCTGTACCTTTCAAAAGGCCTCCCCCAAAGGGTCGTTCTTGACCTTTTCTTTACGAATACCTGCAACTCAAAGCTACATCGATGGAAACTTCCATCATCTCACCATGTCTCGCTCGTATCCAGTACGCCTCGTGGGTTCCGTCCCCAGATCAAATTCAAACCGAAACACGGGAAGGGGTTCTAGTCGTCAAAGTCGTCAAGGGCCCGGTCTTTTAGACCGTGCGAGCAATAAATTCAAGGTTTCTCATGATGGATCCCTTCCCAGGTTTTATATTTTGACTCCGCTGTGGCGTACCCATCCAAGCTGAGCTTCCCCCAAAGGCCGTATTCAACACGATGTAGGTGCTCAAATTGCCCGTCTCTTCGGTTCTCGGCTGCCGTTCAACCACGACCCTCTCTGCATGGATCCCCTACTCATGACAAGGCATGGCGTTTATCAGATGAAGCTGAATTTATCCAGCAATTCCTCCTCATTTGGACCTATTTCGGTCAATTCCACCAATTCTCCAGCGCTTGCCCAGCTGAGCTTCTCATAAGCTCACTCATCATCATCGTCCAGATGACCCCTCTCTTCCCGTATCGTGCGCCACGGAGCGCCTAACTAACCGTCTCCTTCTGACACTCTGGCCCTGCGACTCTCTGACCACCAGCCAGCCATACGGAAACCCAAGGCATCCTCGCTTCCGTGCTTAGCGAAAGAAGGCACGCCAATTTGACTCCATGCGACCACAAGGCTCAACGAATCCAGATCTAACCCAGTTTCACCATCTCCGAACTTACCTTCGAGTGGCATTCTCGCCCGCTGGTTCGTATTGCTGCCACGGTGCACATTCCTTGTCCTACTGAAGCCCTAAGTCGCGAATGCAACTCACAGGGTATAATTGTCATCATGTGCCAATCCATGATATAGGTAGGCCCTGGACGACCTGGACCTTTCATACCTCCCTGTCTCTATCATCATCGTAAATGCATGCAAGACTCCATTACCCCCCTAAAGCCCCTCTTGTCCTGATATATGCTCCGATATAACAGCATGAGCTTTGTTGATATAAACATGGGGCCTTGTTCCAAATTGAACTCATACACTGGCTATCTGCTCTTTTTTTTGAGCTCTGGCTTTATTTTCTCTATCGGCCTCGTCATCAGGTCCATCAGATCTCGACAAACCCCCATTGTTGACACTGAAAATAACCTTTCCGATTCCTTGCCCCAGATTGAGGAAACCGTCTTTCTTGAAAAACCCAATCTGGATCCTTATACGTCCAACATATCGGATACTTCGATACACGACTACGTCTTTGATCATCCACTCGCCGACAACCAACTGATCACCTCTACACCTTTTACAAGTGGCTTTCTTGCTGCCCGGGCCGATATTGAGCATTCGGAAAACATATCTTGGCATTCCGAGGTCCCTGTCATGGACTCAATAGAGAAGCACGATCCAACAATTACCCCAGAATGCCAATGCTCTTCTGAGGAAGGTCCTTGCACCTGCAAATCTACAATCAAAAGCGCCTGTCATCCATCTAGTCAGCGACCCGCATGTGCATTTCGTGAGCTTGCACATCACGACCACACGGAGCAATTTGCAGATGAGCACGACCCTAAAATCTTCTGGCGGAGGAGGACCATGGTCTTTGGAACCCAACCTTGATGGTTACGAAGCTAAGATTGAACGTCGAGTATGAAGTCGAAAGAGACGGATGTTTCACGAACAACTACTTAAACTAGTTGCTCAGACAGTTCTCCATTCATCGAGACGACTTCTCAGTGATTGGCTGGGCCAAGCAAAAATTGCGACGATGATTGCGTAGACCTACTGGATGTGGGGAATGGTGCTACCACCTTGACCGGCAGCGAAGCATTTCATTATCGGCGTACAATAATCAAGTCATGTCATGCACTTCGTCCACCCAATCCATCATCGAAGAATTATTATGAGCGGTGTATCATCCTGTGCGTGTGTTCTCCGGACTTTATTATCACAAGCACTTTGCGACACATGGCACGACAGTCCGCCCTACTGCGATAGCTTACTCATCATGCAGGACATGAGAGAGGAGAGGAGGGGACGAGAGACAGCACGGTGGAACAAATGCTAATGCGGTGTATCGATTTGTTCAGCTGATATGGTCCCCCAAACCACACGGCCTCGGGGCTATGGCTATCAATACCATGAAGTATAACTGGTTTTCCGAGGTTTAACAACTCTCAGGGTTTCTGTGGGCGCATTGTCAGTATTTTGACGTATTATGGATTTCTTGCAGGGATGGCGGACTATACGACTGATGGGAATGGTTATTTGTTATTTCTTGCTGGAATGGTCCTCCTCGAATGACACGCGATGAGAATTAAAGGAGTGATGACTGGTATTGGTCATTCCAGCGATTGGAGCTTTCTCCAGGAACGTTTGTTCTGCCTCCTTGCCAATAAGTACTTTTATACGTACGTACATAGCGTGCGACTACATCATACTGATGTGAGAAAGTCAAAAGGTCCAGAAACTCACTCCTCTCGTGTGTCGTGTGTACCTCCAGATCCAATGCGATATGACGTGAAACAAGTGAATCCGCGCCTCTTTACGTACAAGCAGAATGTATGTAAAGCATCCGTCGACCATGACATAAACAAGTATCACATCACACCGCACTGCACTCCCTTGCGATGCGATGCGGTGAGATGCGAGATCCCCAAAACGCCCAACCCCGTTCAATCGTGTTTGACCGAAACACCGGACGGTCCCCAAGAACGCACGACACAGCGAATGAGACCCGGCAGGTACTAGTACTCGAAACACCTGTGGCTTCGTCGATGTACGTATGATACGGCACTCTCCCGTCTGACTCTCAACCCGACAATCCAGAAAGCTCTCCTTGCGATAAGTTCGATGGTCAATCGGTCGGCCGCTCCGTTTGCATCCTTGACTGTCGAGTCGTCTGCTGTTTAGCGGCGGGTGGTCGGTGGATTGATTGATTGTTTGGGAAGGAGGTGGGAGAATGGGAGAAAGGAGAAACACTGGTGAATCTAGGTCGAAGAGTCAACGCACGAATCTGTATGACGAGGGCTGTTGAGTCGGCAATACTCCTACTTTCTACTTGTAAGACAGGTGCGCTGGCTACATTGTGGCTTGAGTGGCACGCGTGATCTACGGTGTGGATGTAGTGCGCCCTTCAGGGGAGAAAGACCAGGGAGTCTGGTGGGCGGATTCAGGGAATGATGGAGAGAAAGTGTAGTTTCATCAGGATCAGGTACGCTACAGTGCTGGAGATACCTAGGTCATGGTTGTGGTATTTTTCTTTCACGTGGTTGTAGGCTGGCTAGGTAGTATTGAACCCATATTTGCACATTGCAAGACTACGACCCTAAAATCAGGGCCAGATCTCTCCTGTCTGCATTCCTCAGAGGCGAGAGTTATCCGCATAAACTGTAGGTCATAGATGTCTGAGTCTATGATTTCTAAGTTCACCTGCCAAAGCCGAACCAACCTTTCTTCGCTGGCTTTTGTTGGTCCTTTTCTCCCTCTACCGCGACTTCTTGTGCCTGTGGTGGCTTCGAGTCTCGGCCAGTACTTGTTGTCTCTTCGCGCTTCTGCCCCGGGTACACAATGTAGTTCCAAGCGAGGTCGAAGAAGAGTGGCTTTACGGGAACAGGTCGTATCTTGGCTGGATAGTTGACTAGATTAGTCAAATCGACGTTTTCAATATACTCATTGCGATTGAGGCGTTCGATGAGCGGAGCAGGTTTGCTGCCATGAGGATTGACCTGGGTATTGCTCTTGGCAGAGGAGCTTAATGCCTTCAAATCGGCCAGTGCACGATATTGTGTAACCTGCTGACTCAAAGTCTCCACAATGGCTCTCAACTGCTTTTCAGATATATCGAGCTTTGGGGGAGACAATCCGTTGTTGGATGACGAATCCTGCGACGATAACTTGGCTGAAGCTGTTTGTGCAAGGTCCAAAGCCCGAGCAAATAGAGCGAGCGCATTGGGGATCTGACCATTGGCCGCATGAGAGCGGCCAATGGCCAAGCACTTGAGAGAGCGAAAGTAAGCCTGTTTTGAATCGAGTTCATCCAAAAAGGCTGCGTCTGCAATGACTCCTGGCAATTCTTTGACTGTGTCGAGACTCTGGAGGATGAGATCGTACAGAGCTAGTCGCTCACGGAGACTCGAGAGCAGACGGCCGGTACTATCTTCTTTGGGACCTTGAGCCTTGCCATCTTTACGTGGCTTTGATGGCCTCCTTGACTGATCTGAATCAAAGATTAAGCCATCGTCTGGCCCCGTGAGAACTCTGTTGCGACCAATGCGCCATTCAATAACGGCGTAATTGACGGCAGTACGAGTTATCTGGAGAGATTGCACCCGTCCATCGCCAGGATCGACACCTTCGGCGGTAAGTTCGTCAATGGCCGTCTTGGTAGCATCAGCAGCGTCCTGGTGAGCAGTTATGACGTCTTCATAAGAAGTTGCCAGATCTTGAACGGTAGAATCGCCATTTTGGAAAGCCGCGTAAGTTTCGACCAGGCGATCCTCGCGATCTCTGGATTCACCCAAGGCCTGAGAAATGTTGGCATGTTCTAATTTGACTGATCTACTCCTCCATGATATTGAAGTGGGGACGTTCTGTGGGCCATCTTTGGTTGGGGCGGTATCGGTCGCAGACTGAAAGGCCGAAGGGTCAAGATCTTGAATGCCTTTTCGGAGAGAGCTGAAAGTCACTGGGAAGTTCTCAATGGCAATTTCATCCACGGGTTTTGTACGGGCGACTTGAAGTTGATAGGCCGCGTAGCGAATGCTGGGATCAACGATGCCTGAGAGTAGATCCTTGTAAGCATCAGACCTGGCGGTCTTGGACAGAGCCGTGTAAGTAATGTGAGGAAGAGAGTAATTGTTGATGCAAGGCTGCCATCTGGCCTTTTCGAAATCCAGGGTTCCCTTCAACATAGATAGGTATGCGGAGGCTTCCAGGATGTCCTGGGATTGACCGGGAGTAGAGCTGGTGGAATTCTGAAGGACTTGGACGAGGTTCTGGGCATACTGCGTGGCTCTTCTGAGCCTGGAAACGATTTGACGTTTGGTAGAGGCGGACATGGGCTTCTGGGTATTCTCTTGTGATTGAGCGGCCTTCATGGCCATCGCATCGGCCCAAGCACGCTCCGAACTTGCAAGGAGAAGCTGAACCCATCTGTATTCCCACGATCAGCAATTGAAGATCCTGACGGCCTGGGTTGGGGCGAGGGTAAAGTACTCTTGATTCTGAGCCACATTGTCGGGAGTGACCGCGGCTTTGGGGTTATATTTCCTCCCACGATTTGAAGCCCCCAAACGCCTGCGGAGGCTGTGGATTCTGCGAGTGGCTTGTGCGTGGTAGGAGGAGTGGTCGCCACTGAGAAGAGCCCGATCTCGTTCGGAAACGAACGAGTGGGTGATGTTCATCGTGGACAGTGTCGAGTTGAGAGTTGCTGGTGCGTGGTGTTGATGTTCATGTTACTGCCATTGTTCTTGGTGGGGTTGAGTGCATTATTCCTCCAGAAGTCGCAACTACAGTGTGTGCCGTGGATGTGGATCCCAGATTCGCTGAGTCAGCGGCTTCGGGATGGAAAAATGTTAGTGCGGGCAGTATAATGGTCATGAATCATGATCGTTCCTTCCTCTCCTAGTTCTGAGTAAATAACGGCTCGACTTCCAGAGAATTTCTTAACCAGTAACTGCCATCACATGATATCTTAGGTACCGACCACATCTACGAACTCATTTCATGACCATCGGTATTTCTCAAAGTTCCCCATCTCAACCATCGACCTCTTCGCAGTCTCTCCTTTCTCATGACAACCCCAACTCATCCTCTTTCTCTCCCCACTGCTCGAACGTCCCCTCGGTTGCACCCTTTGTGGCATGCTAGAGCGAACTTCCTCATGTCTTGAACTAGCTTCTCAGCTACTTCTTCGCCAATCCGATCTTCCTATCCGTACCTCTAGAGCCTTGGGTCCTGGCTTCTGGAGAAATGCCGCCGATCAGCTTCCTCTTCATCTCCCCTCCTGGTGGCCCGTTGAAATCACCAACGACTCTCCCTATATCCCCATCTCACCCTTACCAACATCCGATGGCCACTCGATGCGGACGGGTCGCCACCCGCTACGCCTGCCACCCAACCCAAAGTTCTCAAGATCCTACACTAGAGCCCTCGCTCTGAGCCAAGCTGGACAAGCCACAGAGCTCTCCGACCACAGTCTCTCTCGGCCCTCACGTAACGCATTCTTAGGTCACCATGACCAAGTTCCATTTCAAACCTTGGAGGCCAATCTGGAGTTTTACAGCCACGCCCAAAACCAACCTACTGATACCGTCTTGGAGAATATAAATTCCCTGTTTCTCAAGATCCCCAATCAAGCCGACTACGCTACGCGATTTCTGCAGGTTTTCAGTCGGTCTTCCAACAATCACCATCTTGCCTCAGCGCTCGGCGCCTTCGACCTGATCAGCTCCCACAATCGTTCCCAAAAAGACTACAGCCGTGCTGTTCAGACTGCTATCAAGTTGACCAAGTATCGGAAAGCCGCTTTCATCAACAAAGAAGCCACAAGCCGGCGTCGAAACCAAGATTGCAGTGCCCTGTTGCTGGTTTACAGTGTTTCGAACCAATTATGGTCCCTTGCGGCCCAAGTGTGGAGTGATTCTTTCCAGGTTCGAACTCCTCCATACCATGAACCAGAACTCCGTAGGGAAATTGCCCGTCAGACAGATCTACAGCAGAAACTACCATCAGCACTTCTTGAGCTCGGCAAAAGTTTGAGTCCTTCCGACCCTGATCCTATGATCTGGAAAATCCACGGCGTGCTCATTTCTCTTGCTTCCACGTTCCAACACTTACTTGTCGGGAGTAGCACCTTGATGGGCTCAATCAATCCCAAAGGTTTGCAAGACATTCTTGAGATCTACTCCTCGTCAACCCAAGTTCATCGCACCGCCATAGATACTCTACACAAGTCTAAGCGAAGGAGCGACAGAGGGCCTTTGGCCATGCTTGTGTATCGCCATTTACGATCTTCCCACCCAGGTTATGTGCCAACTGCTGCCTTGCTGGGCAAACTTATCGTTATGCACTGTGAAGACAGTGCCCCTGCAGACATATTGATATCTCTCCTCCATGAATTTGCTGCTCATCATGGAACCCCTGATCGTCTCGCTTATCAAAAAATCATTTCCGCCCTCGCCCGTCAAGGTGAAGTCACTAGCGTGCAGAGCGTATTTCTCGACCTATGTCGTACCCATGGCCGACCAACGGAACCTGTGTACTATTCTCCCCTCATTTACGTCTATGCTCGCGTGGCTGACCACGAGGGGGCGCAATCGGTTTTCTCGATGATGGAAAACACAGGAATCGAGCGCAACACATACTCCTGGAATATATTGATCCACGCGTATGTAAGAGCCGGACTGCCTGAGCGTGCTCTGCAACTCTTCCAGTCCATGATGGCTGAACAGGTAGCCCCTGATCAACATACATTTGGTACTCTCATGTCAATACATTCAGCCTCTGGTGACATCGACCAGGTCATGCAAGTCGTGGAACTCGCTCAGCAGTACAATCTTCAGGCTTCTTATGAGATGGTCGCAGGTGTAGTTCACTCTTACTGTCTCAACGATCGGATTGATGATGCCATTGAATTGGCTGTTGTATCTACCAAGACACAATATCCAGGAACCCCTGTGAAGATGTGGAACCACATTCTGAAGTATTATGCTTTCCGAGCCCAGCCCGAGAGAGTCGCGCAAATTCGAGATCAAATGGCCGATCTCGGTGTTTCGCCCGACGACATGTCTTACGCCGCATTCATGACAGCCCTCATTGTTGTTGGCAAAACAGAACAAGCCGCCAAGATCCTCAGGTCCCTAGACATCGAGCAAGGCTTCGTAGCCTCCCGCTTTCACTACACTATCATCCTTCAGGGATTTCTACTTGAAGAAAACCGAGATATGGCCCAAGTCATCTGCAGCGAAATGGCACAGCGATTTGTCGACATCGGCCCAAGCGCACGATTGGCGATTCAACGCATGAGAGGTCAGCTATCTCTCGAAGCTGGTCCCTCAGCTTCCGTGAATGCTGTTTCCGACTACGTGGCGGATTTTCTGATTGCGACAAACATGGCGGATCGCGCAACCAAGGAACCACAGCGAGGGATTGGACGTCGTAAAAATGTTGATGCTTTTCCATCTGCATTTGTTGAAGATCTTTTAAAGCTCTTGATCATCAAGGGAAGATTCAGGCAGGCTGGATCTCTCATCGATCGCTTTCAATCACTCGCCGATGCATCACATCTCGGTATGAACCCTTCTAACGCAGAGACAATTCAGCTTTTGACAAGTCGGATCGCGATATTGAAGAGCACTAAGGACTGGATCTCCATAGAAGAAGCTTGGGAACGTATTTTCAACGTAGCTATTCGGATCGGTCAGTCAGTCACAGTTTCTACGCCGGGTGATGGCGATCTTCCAACGCTCGAAACACCTCCACCAGTCTCTGTTCCTACTCTATCTACGGATTCTGACACCACTGCGATCACTGAAGCGCATCCAGAGACACCCCAATCACTCGACGCAGGGAAGCCCAAGATTTTGTTTTCCCAGCGTTTCATCCTGAAAGATGCCATCACGAGGTATCTCAGTGCACTAGACGAGCAGAAGTTGTATAACAAGGCTGCCAACACGGTGAAGGTACTTGAAGCATGGGGATTTGCATTGACAAGCAAAAACATGAATTTCTACATTCAAATATTGACGCACTCGGAGAATCTGGAGCACAACATATTGGCTTTCCAACTATTCGAAGAAAAACTACTTGCGAATACTCCTCCTTGGAAGGCGCTGGTGCGAGGAAAGTGGAAGGCTACTGATTCTTCTAAACGTGATACCGATGTCTCACTTCATGACTTTTTGGATCGAAAAGTTGTTGAGAAGCAAAACCCAGGCCTTCTGATGCCGACCTATTTTACCTGCGTTCATCTCGCCATGCTACTTCGAGAATACCAACAGATTGCCGAGAGAGGAGCAGGCAATACCGTACCCCTTCTTTCGGTTTCGAAGGCCGCTCCAGGTACATTCGATTTCATCCGCAGGATACCGCATATACCTGATCGAATTCAGAGCGTCCTGCTCCGCGACAGAAAGCTTATACGAGGCGATCGTCTTAAGTTGACGGCTCAGATGCGGAAAGTCGATCGCTCTGGCGTTCTAGAAAGTCGGTCGCTGGTGGACCATGTTCCAGCTGATGTTGCCGATAGTCTTGATGAAGAGTTTACCTTGCCTTCACCAAATGCAGACACGGCGGTTTCACCATTGGATCTTAGTAATACTGCCAGCCTGGACATCCGGGATGATGACATTGAAGACCTTGTGGATCAGTTGGCAGATTCGTCGAGGCAAGACAGTGTTTCTGATACCTCTGCTCAAATCGTGGCACAAGGCGAGCGATACGAGGGAAAGATCAACAGGTCTTATTCATATCTAGACCGCGAGGGTCGATTCGAAACAGTGGAGGAGAGGCACGAAAGAATCAAGAATCAAGAGACGAAACTCGTCAAGGTCGTCCAAGCCATGGAGTCGGACGTTAAAGAAAAAAGAGTCATGAGCGATATGCACTTTGGTCGTCCAACTCTCAAGGCCCCTAGGAAAGACATGCAGGGACTGATAAAAAATTTTAGGGAGACACGTCTGAACAATGGCCGCCTGTATAACTTGAGCCTGCAGCATATTGAATTCAAAGCACTGGCGACTAGGCGAGCGCAAGCGAAACAAATCGCAGCAATTGGCAATGCAGACGGCAGTCCAGCTTCTTCGAATATTGTTGCCAGGAAACCCATCCCCTCCTCACGAGCTCAGGTTAGCAAGTCACATTCTATGGGTACGTTTCTTGGAGCTCCACCAGGACCATATGGAAAACGAGCACTTCGTCATGCTAAAGATCCTCGTTTACCTCGAGACGTCAAATTAGTCGCCAAGCTTGAAGACATGAATCCTTTACCGCAGGTACTCCTGAAAGGATTCAGTAAAAACCGCGAAGAGCGGCACAGGCAGAGTTTCCGCAACAAGGTCCGGATGGAGTGGTTCGCACGGCGTGCGCAAGAAGACCTCGAAAGGCTGAAAGCAGAAGAATTGGAAGCAATCAGCCACCAAGGTCTGCTGTACAAGACACTGGATCAAGAGGTGGAGTTAAACCGAGCGAGAGCTGAAGCAGCAAAGGTGAACCAACACGAGCTCCTACAGGCGCAAAGACTTGAGGAGCAGAAACTCGCCAACGAGCGTATTATGAATGTGTACCTCCCCGAGAGATACCGCAGGGAAAAACAGGAGGCCAAAATGCTTGCCGAGCTTGTTGACGAGAGTCGTAATGACGATGATGTGAGGGGAAAGAAAAAATAATTGGGTTTGCCCACTTGTCTAGAGGGTTAGGCCGAGGCCTTGGATTGGAAGCCTGGTGGGGAATGTTGAGACGTACATATCACCCCGTGTAACACATACATAAGTATCATTATAGATAAGTTAGACTTGAGAAGAAGCAAGTTTTGGCCTGGGGCATTGTGGTTATAGAACAAGGGCTACAAAAGCCAGACTAGCTGTATAACATATCCGTTTAGTAATCTAGAACCTGACGTCCAGTTACAACTATTACCCGCCAGCATTAATCCTTTCACAGTGACGAGGTCGGTTGATTCACTGATTTTTGATTGCAAGGGGCGATATCTGGGTGTCTACCTTAGGTACCTCCCTACGGAGTAGATATAAGACTGCCATAGGAATAAATACAATTAATCTCTAGAGCGTACTTGAAATTCGCAACGTTCACTTGATGCTTCATCAAGTTCCAAGGGTGTTGCTCAATGGCGATTTTGATTCGCGGTCTAAGTATTTACATCTATCCATCCACCAATCGATTCATTGCGTTCAGGGGCCTGTAGCTCTCTCGGTCGAGCTTGTTCTAGTTTTCATGCCCGTACAATCCTTCTTCATGTGAGAGCCATACACCGACGCCCCATCTGGCATGGGTGTAGCGGCCATCTGAGCTGTATAAGACCCTCCAGAGAACCATAGTCTCGTTCGGAGATTTGAGAACGATGTAGTGTGGCTTGTATAGCGTCTTCAAACCTCAAGGTCTTGGAATCCAGTCCGAGGAATGGTGGAGTGCGCGAGAAATTTACCCCTCAGGCTATAGAGATGACAGATTTTTGTCTTGCTCTTGTGCGAGATCACGGTTCAACATGGTCACTGATCATGCCAATAGGTAGACAACGGTCTCATCCAACGGAGGGAAACAGCAGTTGAAAAGACAAGTCATGGTGGTTGTGGCTTTGGACGAATCCGACCCTTGAAGGGACGTGTTTCGTGTCGGAGTTCATCGATCTCCAGAGTTTCACATACCCTCAAGCTGAGTCGTTTTCTTTTCTTTCCACAACCTGAACACCGCCTGCTCCACCTTTTCTCTGGCCCGCATTTCGTTTCCTTACATCCTCCATTTCTGCAAGCATGACGTCGTTGAACTCTTCATGTGAGTCGAGATAGACATGGTGACCGGCTTTCTTGATGATGACAACTTTTGCACCGCCCTGGTCTTCATCAATCTCTTGTTGAGACTTGCCTTTGAGGATCCGCGAACGTTCCGCATCGATGGCTTTCTTAGCAGCGTACCCTCCTTTGACATCCATCCAGTCATTCTCACCATACATGAGTACGACGGGGATGCCGTTCTCATGGGTAGCAGTAGATGATGACTGATCGTGTTTCAAAGCCTGTCTTCCGATTCCATGTACCCGCCTAATCAAAGGACTTCTGGCAAAAGCTCCTGGAGCGAGGATGTAGGCCAATGCATATTCTCCACTACCGCGGAGACGGAAGAGGCTGTAACTATAATCATGCAAAGCCAGGGCTTCTTCAGGTGGAAGATGGCTGAAGCGTCGACTTGTCCACCCAGACACCAACCGGGGTCCCAGGGGTCCAGACCAACGAACAAAACTAAAAGGGCTGATGTTCGCATCCCAGAGATACGTTAACCATTTTGGTAGCGGCCGACGCGGGGCGGGCTGTTCGTCATCAGAATCACCCTGGACAGGAAGACGATTAGGATTAGCTTTCTGCTGCTCCTTCTCGGCCTTCTTGCGAGCGTTCAAAAAGTTATTATTATCCGAGTGAGATTTGACTGTTTCTGTAGCTTGGTCCTGGGTGAATTCATTCTGCAGAGTCGAGTCTGCTGGCTCTGGCATGGCAGCTTGAGTAGCATAGGGATCCTCAGGAATTCCAACAGGAGAAGCAAGGATGAGCTTATTAAGTCTTCCAGGATATTTCAAGGCATAACAGGCGGCCATGTAGCCACCCATACTGTGACCCACCAACGTCATTTTGTCGATATTCCTCTTAATGCGCCATTCTTCGAGAGCATCAATGAACCAGTCTTCGGCTTCCGAGATCTGTTGTTCCCTGGTTTTACCCTGGAGTTTAAAAGGTGGCCGTGATGATCGCCCCATCCCTAACAGATCGAGCGCATAAAGCTGCCAGCCTGGAGCTCTCGATAGAGGCTCAAAGTTTTTATAAAAGAAGCCAAGACCGGCACCATAGCCGTGGATGATGACAAGATTGTTCTCTACGACTTCACCAGTTCGTTGGACAGAGAATTCGTTTAATGCGCGGCTTTTGCCCGACAAGGGCACCATACGAGAGTACCATGTGCGAGGACCATGAGGATCGGTAATGGAATTCGTAGTGACAGGGGCGGCTTTGGAATCGTCAGATGGATTTAGGGAGAGTGTGGAAGGGTTGACTGAAGGTGGCTCTGAGCCAGTCTGAGTGTGTGTTGGCGGCGACTGAAGGTATGGTATGAAAGACAGAACTTTGTGTTCAGCCTGGGCAGCGGGAAGGGCAGACCACCACTGCGAAAATCCTTGTTTATAGCCCAGAGGGAATAGATTCTCAAACCTACTGCGCCTTGGATTCTCGGCCTTTGCGCGTTGAGAGGCGAGGGGACTTTGTTGACTCCGAGACTGAATTTCACTGTCGCTTTCGGCAGCATCGGTAGACATGGTGGGAGGGTGTCCAAAAGAGGGACGTAGATTCTCGTCGATATTCGAGTTGTCTGCGTCGGAGGAATGGCGAGGGAAAGTGGCGGTGGCGGTGGACTGGGAGCGAAGAGGGAGATGCGAAGGAGTGGGAGGAGGAAGAGGAGGAAAGTTCAATCTTGCTGTACTGATGCTGGCGTATCTAGGAGCTGCCTCTAGGAAAGCCGGAGACACTGCTCGCCGCATACACGGAGAGAAGATCAGTGGCAAGGGGAGGGATTGGAGGGGAAGGGGGGTATTTATGGGGGATTTTGAGAGGTAAGCAGATACGAGGTATAAATAATGCACAGAGTGAGTGGGAAGTAGTACAGAGAGTCGGTTAAATTGTTCCTAGAGGCAGCACCAGCATGACACGGTTTTAAGCGTCATGAAGCAGGAGTTGTTCGTGTCATGGAATGCGAGAATTGTTTGTTGAGAGTACGTCAATACCCATTTTCAGCTGTCTTTTCGCCCGGCGGATCGGGGGAAGTGGCCACCGCCTCGGAGTTAATGACTGCCAGGCACAGTGCTGGCCAGCCTTGCATTAGCTCACAATGCTTATCTCCCGTGACCAATCATGTATTGTCTTATGGTTGATGCCTTCCACTCGCCTATCTTCTAACACAACTAGGAGACTGTCTAACCAGATTAGCATGTCCCTAAATTCCATCCACTAATGCTTCACAGCACGTGTTGGCATCCGCATCATTTCCAGCCTCGTCCTGCAAGAACTCCATCATCATCACTGCTCCAATGCACATCCACCAAGACCTCAATCCCACATTCGTCGACTGGGCTCCCTACATGTGCATTCACCTACTTCGGTTTGCACAACATGGCCAGCGAGACACGTCTGAATCAAATTGTTAAGGACGTTCCAACAGTTGACCTCACTCCTCCAACAGTATCCCCTCTACAGTCCCTCGGCAAAGCCTCACAATCCGAAAAATACTCTCCTGACCCCCACCTTGCCATTCTCCCTTCCTCGCCGCCCCAGATCTATCTGAATCTGCTCATTCTCGAATCCTCTCTCCGAGCACAATATCTCCACCTTGTCTCCCGTCGCCGTCTCAACTCATTCTTCCTCCTCGTTCTCGCCCTCTGGAACGTCGGCTTCTTCTATGCCCTCTTCATCAAGGAAAGAGAAGATGGTACGGGTCGAGGTGGTTCGGTCTACTGGGTCATTGAGACTTCCGAGAAGCTGGCCTTGATGGGGGGTGCCGTCACCGTCCTTCTGGTTTGGGGCACCGGTCAGTGGGAGCGAGCTATCCGCTGGCCCCGGAAATGGTTGGGAACCACCAACCGTGGCCTACGCCCTTTCAACCTTCGTGTCGTCGTCACGCGCGGCAAGCTCTGGCGCGAAACAATCGGCCATCTGTCTTTCCTGCTTCCCCTGGGAATGTGGCGTGAGGCCGGCGGTTCGGACTGGCATCTCGTCGAGCATGAGAACGGATTGGTAGTCGAAGAAGATTTGGCCAGAGGCGGAGATCATATCATGCTGCTTCTCCTCCCCAAATCATTCAGCCCCGAATTTCGAGAAAACTGGGAAGGTTACAGGACCGAGTACTGGGACAAGGAAAACGAACGACGGAGGGGATTGCACCGCAAGATGGAGATCCAGCGTCGGATCAAGGCTAAGGAGACCGGCGGATGGAAATGGTGGACAGGCATGTGGCGTCTAGCGGCCCGGAGCCACCATCGAAGACACCAAGATCTAGAAAAGCACCCTCACGGCCATCATCACCACCAGTCATCGTCCCGCCACGTCTCCATCTCAGAGCATTCTCGCCCATCGTCCGTCATCCTCAAGGGCCGCCGCAACGGCATGCGCTCCGACTCCAACCACAGTAGACAATCCTCACGCTCATCCACGCCTCACTTGGAGATCGGAGGTCTGGACAAACCCATCTCCGAACGCGTCAGACGTGGTAGCAGCGTCAGCAGCACCGCCAGCGCGAGGCGCAAGACCCGAGAGCACGACGGCAAGAGAGACTCCCTGATTGGGGCGTCCGGCCTAAGTCCTCTGACCAGCGCATCGAGCGTTCTCAGCGCCGAAGACGAGCGGCTAGAGCGGAGACGGAGAAGGAAAGAACGCGAGGCCGCCAAAGAGGCAAAGGATCGAGAAAAGGAGAAAGACAGAGATCGCAGCGACGACGGCGATGGGGACAGCAGGCCTACTACACCGAAGACCGAGAGTGTGGTTATCAAGAGCGAGCCTGCTTGAAACCCAAGATTCGTAGCTTTAATATAAAGTGGCTGTTTGCCCCATACTTGATATGATATGATATGGCTTCGTATAATCAGAAGACCAGACCACGTCGCCAGCTCTCGCAGGAGCCAGATCGTCTTCCGGTCTGATCTAATAGCAGCAACTCCCCCTTTCCCCCGCCCCGTGAAATAGTCATAGACAGAGTCGTCCCTTCGTTCAACATCAACGATAGGCCTTTCTCGAGCATCAGCAATTCCGCACAGAAAAGGCTGCACTCGCATAATCTGTGCCTCGACTCTGTGGTCACCAGCACTTCCTTCAGCTGGCGAGATCTAATCGCCACCGCCTCCCTCGCTAAGCATTTTAGCATGCATGACTCGAAAGAGGTATGCTCCCCCCAGTAGGCGACTTGACATTCTAGTGTCATTTGTTCTCAGCGGATGCGGGTGGATTCACTTTGTGCTGGGTGAGCCCGTCACACCCACTCATGTACTCACACCCGGTTCTGCGTGCGTTCTCGGTGCGATGCCTGTAAGGTGGGAAAATATTTGGGTTCGTTCGTTCATTCATACTTTCGCGTTTCTGTTGGAAGGACTAAAATGAGAGCTGGTGTTGTCTCAACTCCCTCCTTCGTCCTCGATATCCGCCACTCTGGATTTGCGCCGGTGGTACTGCCATCACCTCTTCAAGTGCAAATCTCCACCATGACTCAGATCTCCATTACTGACACCCAACATGCCAATATTTCGCCTCCTGGCAGCCCTGCGACCCCAAACCTCATTGGCCCACTCGGTCAACTGGAACAACCACCCACCACCTACCAGAACACCACTGATGACATTGACCAGACGGATTAAAAGACCCAGGAACCCGTTGCGCGACTCGCTGACAATCAGCAAGATCGGTTCAATGTCGTACTTGAAGAAGATGCCCGGGACGACGTTGGCGGGCACTTCGCGACTCTGACTGGTGGCGGCATACTGGTTTGTGAAGATGGATTTCGAGTCTGCGCGCGACTGGGGCTGCGGGACGTGGTGGACAACGCCGTCCTTGTCGGTTTTGAGCATGTCGGGTGCCATGTCGAGGGTTGGCGGTTGTGGGACAGCGGCCGGGTTGAGGCGGCCGTCGCTGGTCGAGACGCGCCGCTTGGTGAAGATTGTCGGCACCACCGACAGATAGTACTGATAGCGCATGAAGTTGTGGGCTGTCGAGTCACTCGTCTTGTCCAGTGGATTCAAAATCCCCGGGTAATGTGGGCCGAAGCTCAGCTCGTTGACATGGTGGCTGAAGTTGAAGGTTGCGTGGTCCAAATGCATCTGCAGCCCGATCTCCATGTAGCCGTGGCCGCGTGCGGTGATGTGGAAGTCACCCTGTACTTTGTTGCCCTCGAGGGAGCCGTAGATGCGGCAGGCGTCGATGGGCATCTGGCGGCCGAGGCGAGGCGAGCGAGGAAATTTCCTGCCCTTGTTCTCGCGCAGATGGCCGAGGATGTGTCCGACGTGCGAGTCCTCCTCTTCCGCCTTCTTGCGCGCCCGATCCAACGAATGCAGGCCGCGGTAGATTTGGTTCTTCTGCTTGCGCGCCAGCAGCCGTCGCTTGTTGGGGTCCATCCACAGCTCGAAGTTGGTGTCTTCCTTGGTAAGCAGGTCGCCCGCCATGATGCGGTCCATCGCCGCGTCTTGTACGTTGACGTGTAGATCCCGACACTGCATTGCCACCACAATGTCGAGGTTAAGTTGTAGTTCATGTCCCACTCCCCCTTCTACGCTGAAGTGATGCGACTCCGTGCCCGACCACCACGTCCGCAGTTCCGTGAATGTCAGGCATGTGCAGAGGATGATGATCGCGAGTGTCCATTGTCCACCTCGTGCCGTCGCTGAGGTGTAGTTGGGTTTCGTTTTGGCTGAAGGGGTGAAAAGAAGAGACCATGTTAGCCGGGGAGGACTCATCCAATTGACATTCATGGTGAGCAGAGGCGTTACTTACGAAAGGCATCGAATGTCCTTAGACTCGAGAGTCCCTTGTCTCCAAAAGCATCTTCGTCGAGGCCGTGCTTGTCAAACGAGTCCATGGCAAATTGTGTCTTATTCGTATGCTCGTAGCCGCACAATTATCGTGAGAACGAGGCGTGGGTGAATGAGGGCTGGCAAGGGCGAGTAAGTGTTGATCTCAAGCGAGCCACAGAAGCTCCGGTCGGAATGTTTACCACATGAATTTGGAGACTATAAAATTTCACAAGTGAGAGAAAGTCAACAATATCCACAGTCGCATGGAGGAATCAACCATCTGCGGGAGTGGTCAAGGATTGGGTCAAACAGGATGGTGAGTGGTATGTCCTACACGCCTTACCTGTGAGCCCTTAGGGCCAGATCTGTTCTCTTTTCTTGAACAATGCGGACTAACAGGGGTCCGCCAGGGGTCCACCCTGAGAGTCAGCCGCTGAGTATCCGTACGAGGCTGGGAATTGCAGCAAGGCTGATGGGTGTGGCACGTGTCACAGCTTTAGTGGACACCTTGGAGGAGAATGCAGTTTTCATACGATGTACAATACACTTATGCTGGTGGTGAATGACTGGGAACAATATGGTGCTTCATCTAACGTCTCTTTCATACGCTATTACAACTATCATAACATAAAGTTGATAGCCTGTTGACTCGACTATCGAATTTCACACATATATTTCAACATCACTGCAGATGCACGCAGCCCACAAGAGTTGTTCGGTACCACATATCACTGTACGTTCATGCGTCCGCAATTCGTCGCCTCTTCCTTGCTGTGCCCGTCAAGGACGTCGCCACAGGAGTTGAAGCCGTTTCACCACCCGCGTCATCTTCATTGACTGCCGAACTTACACTAGAATGTCTGGCACTAGCAGATGCGCTTCCATGTGTGATCAGCGACGGATGCGTACCCTTGGCTCCATTTGATTCGTCATTACCCATTCTTTCTGCTTCCAATTCGCGCCACTTGCTCACACGACCGAGTATGTCCTCAAACATTTCTCGCGCATCTGAAATGATCCCATCTTCAGCGTTGGGTGAATCATCCGAGTCTTCGCTCGAGGACTCTGTATCTGTGTCGGTGCTTTCCTCGCGTTTCGGTACTACATCACCTCCACTCTTTCTCAGCCGAAGAGATCGACCGAATCCTCTTTCTGAACTGGGGAGCGGGTTGAACATCACTGCATTGGCAAACATTCGCACGAGTTCCATTTCGAGTTGCGAAGAGTTGACGATTCCTTTGGGTGGCACAAGGTCTTCCGATGTTGGAACCATATACGATCCATTCCCGAGCGAGCCAACTCGACCCCCCCTAACTGCACCAGAAGCATTCTCCGTGGGTGTCTCTTCCCCACTACTGTTGGCTTCCTCAAAAGCTTCAATAGCAGCATGAACCGCTTTTCCGCCCTTGCTAATGGCTGCCTTGATACTTTTGAGATCCTGTGGCCTGAGCACAAGATCTTTGTATCCTGGCGCGTCTCGCTCGGATAAAGCTTTAGCAAATATGCCGGCCAATTTGTGGGAGATGATATCATTTAACAAGAGAAGCGATGTTTTGGTGAAGTTCTTCGACACAATCACGAGAGATGAATCATGTACCGGCTGGTGCGGAGCCACATGCCGCTCTGGTGAAGGCAGTGAAGGTGTTACCGAATCATACGCAGGAGATCGTTTGCGTTTATTCGTCGTTGCTGCTGGTGTTGGTGCTTGCGCATCGGGATTCGACGACGATAGAGTCGTGTTTCTCGGCCTACCTCGCCGCCCAGAAGATTTTTGTGGCTGCTCCGAGTCGGAGACCATGGGGGCAGGTGTCCTGGGTGGTTCGGCTTTGATCTTCTGGCTTGAGCGACCTCTTATCCGCCGCTCTGTTGGTGTTTCAGAAGTTCTCGAGGCTATCGAGTGAGACCTTGAACCAGCAAAAGCTGAAGGAGTGGCACTTGCAGCTTGCCTCCCTCTAGGTGCCAAGCTGTCCTGTACCGAAGGAGGATTCTCATCCGTCTTCTGCTCCATTTTGAAAGGCGACTTCTTCCTTGGCTTACTAGGTCGTGTGGGAGATTCCGTATCAGTCAGAGGACTAACTTCCCTTTCTGGTCGGACTGGTGATGATGGCCGCATATTCTGCTGTTGGTCTGTACGTTTCTTCCAAGGAGTAGAGGAGCGTCCACGTGACATCAAACGTTTGGAGTCAGAACGTGGTAATGGGGTGACATTTGCTGAACTGGGATACGGATAGAAGGGTTGGTTGGGTGGTGGAACCCAACTATGAGGATGAGGTTGGCCTTGATAATGGATTGGAGCACTTTGAGGATATTGCTGGTATGGTGGATGATGAGGCGTTTGATATGGCATTCCCGGGCGGCCACTTGTGGGAGGTGGATAGTACGGTGGATTCGGATACTGCGGCGATTGCTGGTGCTGATGCGGGTATTGATGTTGAGGCGGTATCTGGGGAGGCCAGGGACCCTGCGAGTATCCAGGATAACCAGGGAATTGTTGTGGAGGTGGTATAGGCATTGGCGATCCTCGACCTTGACCAGATGCTGAGCTCGAGCGTTTCTGGCTTGGAAATTCTGTGGGTGGAGGCATGTGAGGCATCCCAGCAAGAGGAGGCATCAACGGCACTGGATGCCCCTGCGGCCCAGGTTGGAAGTGTTGTGGATTGATTGATACATAATTGGGTCGCTGAGGTGATGGTATGGGAACATTTCGCTGAAACGACCCCGGTGATAGATGCTGACTAGGCGTCGCTCCTGTTGATTGTGGTTGCGATGGCGGTTGCGATGGCCGACTGGCCACAGGCTCGACAGAGGACTTTGCTGAATGTGCACTCGGTGTCGAGGGAGCGGGTGACTTTGAGGCCACAAAAGACTGCTGCTGTACTGTTCGCGTAGGGACCGGTGAGGGTTTCCTTTCGTGTGGAGAGGGCGCCGAAAGCAGTGGAGTGCTCAGGTCGGCTCGAGAGGCAGCCAGATCAGCCTGGAGCTGTGCTGCAGCAGGATCCGGACTTGTTTGCGACTGCGCGGCCTTGGACGCTTCTCTTTCAAGTCGCTTTTGATGGTCATAGTCGGCTTGGGCTTTGTCCACCAAAGCACGAGCCTGCTGTTGCTGCCGTTCTTCATCCTTTGCCCTTTTTTCAAGATCGGCCATAGTAGACTGGATACCTTCGTAGACGACTTCATCCTGTCGAATCTCCCTGATGGCTTGTTCCCTGAATTGGGCATACAACTTTTCGACCAAAGTCTGTAAATGTTTCTCATCAGAGATGCCGTCGTTGCTGGAGGGTGATGGTGAAGGCGACAACTTCCGTTTCTTGGGATTGCTAGCACTTCCGCTATTGTCACCATTCACTATCGGGCCATCGCCCTGCTTTTCTGCGAGCAGCAGGTCATTGTAAAGGCCTTGAAGTGCGACCGCAGTGAGTCGACTTTCATCATAGGTCTGGTTTTCGCGAATAAGCTGGTTTGCATTCAAAGCAGTAGAAATATCTTCGAAGGCGGCTGCATCGAGGCCACGATGAGCAAGAGATTGGCATAAAGAGAGCGTTTCATAAGGGGTGTAGGATTTTAAAGAAGGCATCCCATCCTCGCAGGGATTGGGGAGTGGAAAGTTGCTGGTGCTGGTGCTGGTGCTGGACCAGTTTCCGGCAACAAGTTTCGGTGCCAAAGTCTAGAATGGTTTCGGGACAGGTAGGTGCAGGCGCGTAAGAATGAACGTGTTGAACGGGAGAAGGGATGGATGAGTGGATGGGGTGGCAGTGAGTGGTTGCCAAACTGGAGATTTGATGAAAGGACTAGGATGGAATTTAGGAAATTTTTTGAGATCGGCTAGAAGTGTAATTGTACGAGGTATGGCCAGTTCTACAGTCTACAGCGACGGGATGAGCCTGCAGTGCAAGTGCGCGGCAACGACAATCTGGTCACAAGAATAATAATAATAATGATAATAATAACGAGTGATGGGGAAAAGAGCTTTGAGGTTTGTTCTGGTGCACCTCTGTCTTCTCCAAAATGAGGAAAATCCAGCCGGTGGGTGCCCAAGCATTCTTGCCGGGCCCCTGGGGGTGCCAAAGTGGGAAGTATCAAGCGTGCTCGGTAGCCTAAGGGTCCCTACTTGGAGTGTTGTAGACACCCGGGGGTCGAGACCAACCGCCTGAAGGGAGACTCCGTAATAATGTCCTTGACAATCACGGTTTGCTCCAAAGGCTCCCCAGGCAATCTAAATGGCACATGTGTTCGTAACAAAACACGTCCACCAGACTCCAGCAAGCATCAACTCCGACAACCGAAATCCCAGAGTCTGCCCACTGTCCAGTCTTGATCCAGGGCCATCCTTCCCCATCTCATCTTGCCTTTTTGAGCCTCGTTGAGCCGCCTGGTGCGCCAGGACTGACTCTAATTAACTCGGGCCTCCAGTAAATGACGATCGACAAGACCCAAAGGTGTGAATGGTTTGGGTTACGACATAACTTAGCCTATTCGGCTCTTCAACCACAGTACATCCATTGCTGCTGAATGGCAGGGTTCATGATCGACTGTCACTACTGTCGTCTTCCCCCTTTTTCTCAGATTCGAACATGAGCTTCGGTGGTAATTTGACTGGCGGTGTCTATTATGGATCCCTTCTAAGCTCTACCAAAGTAGCTAAGTTGTAGTGAGAAGGCGTCTGATCTCAGTGTAATACCGAACTCGTATATGGGCTGACCATCATCCTCAAGCCCTCTGCACTCCATTATTCTTAGCTCAAACCCCGGTCTGCCCAGTGCCAACGCTACCTAAGTACTTACACCACCGCATCTGCCTTTCGATACGGTCAAGGTTGACTTGGTGACCAACTTGATCACTTGACTCATCGTGTTGTCTGCCTGCTCACACTTGAATCTGTCTATATTGCTTTTGGGTCGTCGCTGCTTCCTCGAAACCGTGATCCAACACCTCTTTCCCCATATACAATGACCGCGCCGCGGAGATCAACCATGAGTGCCGCGGGCAGCACCCAGACCGCCGAAAGCTACAAACCCAAAGCCAGGCCTCAATCGTAAGATCCCTCTTCTGCGTCACCATAGAAATACATGATACATACTGACATCCGTGCCTTCCAGCATCTTGGCCCAGGAGTTCTCCGCCGCGCTGGATGATCTCTTCAAGTTGAACGGGCTAGGAGAGCTCGAGGAATCTGTGGTTCAGAAGTAAGACTGGTTCTTGGGCGCAGGATCCCCAAAGTCGAGGCCGCCTCACTCACGATACCCTCTCAGGAAGGACAAAGTCCAAACCCAACGCTACCAACTCGAAGACCTTGACGCCAAATTGCGCGAGACCAGCGAACGACTCCGACGACTCGAAACCAAGCACCGTCGACACCAAAGCCAGATGCAAATTCGCACGCACCAAATGCACCAGCAGCGCTCATGCCCTGTATCGTCCTCATCAGAAGACCCCGCCGACAATGATGTTGAAGACGACAGCTCCGGCGACAGCGACACCCAAACCGCACCCACTCGTCCACGCCCACAACAAGGCGAGCGTGTCCCGAGGTGAGGGAAGAAAACAATGAATATAAACCCCAAGCGCGGCGTTGGAACTTATTACAGTCTGGTCTGCTCTCGTCTCTCGTCTCTCGACTTGGTTTTCGCAACATCGTTCATCATTATCACATGGAACCGGTTTAGTTAAACCATTCTCCATACGAATCCTGGAGTTATATCCCGCAACATCATATAGTCTGATACCCCCTTTGGAGAAGGACCTCTTTTAATTTGATGAGTTTTGGAGAGGTCAATTTGTGGCAAGGTTGCAAATGAAACTGGATATGCCCGGTTTGAACATGATGGAATTATATCAACTCACGAGTGCTGTAAACTCAATCTCCCAGAGTCGAAAATTCATCATATCAAACCTCGGCTCCTAGATGGAATTCTAGAATAGTAATTTAGATCACAGACATTTACACATTCCCATCCTCGAGGAATCCGACCCGACTGTCTTGCTAAGTGAGATGTATTACCTCAGTAGATGTGCATATATGCATCCCGCAATCGACCTCAATATCACTTGAATAGGAAAAATTTGTAAGACGACGTGCATGAAAGAATGCGAGATCCAACAGGCAGAGAACAACCCAGACCCTGCATCCTCATCCCGAACTCCGGGTTGTTGCTTCCAGATTCCTCCACCAAAACTCCCCAGCCCGGGGAGTCGGCAAAGAATACCCAATATGAACTTCTCACCAACATCGCAAAAGGAGCATATGTTATCTCCGAGGCTCTATGCTCATGCCATTATTCTGTTCTATACGCGCTGTCTTTGTCAGGCGTTATCTCCTTTCGGACTATCAGGGCCAGGGGTGTGTCCCCCATTCCCATTCCCTCTCCTTTCCCCCTTTTTCTTATGTCAACGAGCTGGCGAGAAACAACTCAATACCTACTTGTAGTTAGTGCAGCGCGAGGATACCTGGCAAGGCCATACCATACCAAACCATACCACACTACGGACTTTGTTGCATACAGGACACGGGAACGAGTTTCCCGCGAGGCTGGCTACGTAGGCATATCATATGAGAGCAGATAGATAAATAGGTGGGCTAGGACGGTGGTTGAAGGCGTCAGGATTCGAGACTTCAATTCAGAGAGAGAAAGAAAAGGGAGAGCGGCGACGATCTCCCCTAGCTATTTTTATTCATACATATATAGTACAGAGTATCACACAGACCAGGTGCGTCAAGGAGTCCAGCAGGCCAGCCAAGAGTATATGGCGGATTCATCAACCCCAAAACTAATCGCACTCCAGGGCTGCAATCATGACGACAATGAAAGCCGTGGTCATCCACAAGGCGGGCGGCCCAGAAGTGCTCAAGCTCGAGACACTCCCCATCCCCACTCCCAAGAGCGATGAGGTCCTCATCAAGGTCAAGGCGTTTGGCCTCAACCGCTCCGAGTTCTTCACCCGACAGGGCCACAGCCCCGGAGTCCAATTCCCGCGCGTCTTGGGAATCGAGGCGGTCGGGGTCGTGGAGAATTGCCCCAATGGCCGCTGGAAGGTCGGTGATCGACTGGCGACGTGTATGGGAGGTATGGGTCGGGATACTGACGGTAGTTATGCTGAGTATACCTGTGTCAAGGCGGATAATGTGCAGCCCATCAATCACGACCTGGACTGGACCACTTTAGGGGCGCTACCTGAAATGCTGCAGACGGCTTGGGGCTCTTTGTTCATTGCTCTGCAGCTCAAGGCATCCGACCACTTGTTGGTTCGTGGTGGGACATCTTCTGTTGGTCTGGTGGCTGCGGCCATTGCCAAGAATCATGGTTGTTTTGTGGCTGCCACGACACGAAGCTCGAGCAAGGAGAGCGCCGACGTTCTGCGAAAGAATGGTGTTGATCAGGTCATCATCGATGACGGTAATATGGCGGCGCAGGTACAGGGAAAGAAGTTCGATAAGATCCTAGAGTTGGTGGGCACAACCACTCTGATAGATTCGTTGTCGTGTGCCGCTCCAGGTGGGATTGTCTGCATGACGGGTATTCTTGGTAAGTCACGATCCTTACTAGACAAGCTCGTCATTGAGAACCTAACATGTTTTCCAGGAAACATTTGGCATCTTGATGGCTTCAAGCCCATGGAAGCAATACCCAGCCAGGTCTACCTGACGAAATATAGTGGTGGACCAAAGGAATTCCAAGAGATGCCGTTCAATGACTTGTTGGGACAAGTTGAAACCGGAACCCTCCGTGTTGAGGTCGGGAAGGTGTTTCGTATTGATGAGATCAAGGACGCCCATGACACCATGGACAAAAATCTTGCTCGTGGCAAGATCGTTGTATTGACATGATTAATCATGCGTGTTGTTGAAATTCTTCTGCCATTCACTTCAACGCAATTGAATCCTTGATACAAGCTTCACGTAACCCCACGATATTATGCAGAATCACACTCTCTTGAACGTCAGAGTTCAAAGGCCCTACTTCGCAAAGCGTATTAAGTTGCTCTTGCTGCGCGTTTCGCCATCTTTTCACGCTTCTTCGCGCCACTCATTGCTTTCCTGGGTCGAGCTGTACGCTCGTGGTGGCGCTTCAATCCCTGATTCCATAACTGCCAGATACCGAGACAAGGTCGTTGGCTGATGTATTTGCCGTCTGGAGTGAAGATCTCGACTTTTGGGAAATAGTTGGAGCTCTCATCTTTGACTGAAGCGGTTGAATCAAGAGACACTAGGCCACCGAATGGGACAAAGTTAGTAGGTGTGGTTGGAAGTGCCTCTGGTTCCTTTCCAGCAGGCACATCTATGTCGTGCTCGGGCGCAGGAGTTGATGGAGGTGTGGCAATTGACCTTCGTCTACTCTTTCTGACTTGACAAACAAGCTCGACCCAGCCCACCCCTTCGACCAGGATGTCTGTGGCCAAAACTTCAAATGGAAGCTTTGATGGATCCACACCAGCTCTGATCATGGCTCCAGCTCTCGATCGGGTCACATCTGTTTTGAGGTCGACTATCCCCGCTGAGGACATCGACGTTCCAACCTCCTCGGCTAAGATCGACTCAATACCACTTTCACGTGTTTGCCCTTGTGCCCCAATAGCCTTCTCAGTGGAGGTAACATGGGCAGTCAGAGGTACAAAAGGATATGCCATCACTATCGTACTGGGATCGTTCTCATCCAGGAGTGGAGTGATCCTGACAAGTCCACCACCCAGCAAAAGACTTTGGCCCGGCTTAATCTTGAACTGGCTCACAGTGGGACGGCTTGTCATGACCAGGTCAAGCTTGTGTGTTTTCGCAACAAAATTATCAAGACCGGACCGTTCCAAACCCGGCAGATCAATGAGCTCGCCTCTGTGGTTGCCAAATGGGAGGCGGATTGGAGAAGCAGTCGTTCCAGGAAGGCTAGAAACCAGTGGCATGGAAGGGAACCGTTGTTCAGGCTGAGGGGGAGGAAGCATGGAATTCTCTGGGAGAGCATCAACATGACCTGAAACATCCATAGACAGTTGACGCTGCTCCTGTTCCAGGTCTGCGTAAGACAGTGCTCTATCCCCAGAGCCCTTGGGGAATATAACTTCAAAAAGGTTAGACTTCCCGACGTTGAATTTTCCCACAAGCCAGTTTCCTCCTCCTCGCTCCCAGATGCTGTCTTTCAAGCTAGAGGTCCACCAGCCTCTTTTAGATGAGACCAAATGCACATTTCCAAGCCGAAGTTTTTCTCCCCAGTGCCCTAGGGCCTTTCGCAGAATAGTGGTCATCTTTGGCATCATTCGATCCACCATTTCCTTATTCGGGCCAAGCAGGTCCGAACGAGTGATGATGAAAGATAATTCAGGCTTCGTATTGTTTCTAAATTGAGGAGACCGACGATTTTGTGTCCGCGGCCTTGCAAGGTCAAGATGCTGATGAAGAGATGGTATGAGTGACATGGGGAAGTCGGCTGCATCTATGACATGATAAACGTGATTTTTCGAGAATGGCGATTCCGCAATGGAGTCGGCTATAGCCTCTATTGATGGATGCGCTATGGGGTCACCCTTAGACTCGTGGACCAAGTCATGACAGCGATCGCAAATGGGCAGTATCAGGCTGGCTGGGGGACTTATCCGCACGTCTAGCTGTTGGTCCTGAATCTCGCCCGCTTCAAGAGGCTCAAGTGCAGATGTAGACTCCTCTCCATCCTCAGCATCGTTCTCCGTCGCATTCTTGATCTGATACAGCTCGTTGAAATAGTTCTTCACTGCCTTTCGTGATCGTGTGTAGTACCCTGCAGTGCCCACCTCTACGTCTTGTGTCAAGGCGCCGCACCCTGGACAGGAGATCGGCAATGGTTGCTGCTTGCGAGAGATTCGATGGGTCGCAGCCGTGTGCGGCAAAGATGCGTTTACAGAAGCATCATGGATATCGGTCAGAGAAGGCGGACTCGTGGAAGGCGGATTATGTGCGTGTATCAGTGGCTGCGTCGACAGTGATCGATACCCTAATGGTCTCTTCGCAGGACTGGTGGTTACCAAGTGCACGGCGGCGTAAGTCCGGCGCGCAAGTCCACCTCGTAAGAAGACTCGGGGAATTCGAACGGCAAAGTCCATGTAATGGTGTACAATGGTCGGGTAGTGACCAGAGAGAGTATGTCCATGTTCTTCACGACAAGGCCATGGACTGAGAGAACAGGACCAAAAAAAGTTGAAGCCAATCTTGATCACGAATACGGATACGACCACGACTCGGTTAATATCACGGAACGCTTTTTAAATGATCCGCCAACACGTGCCATGAGATAAGCTATCCGGGCTATTTTAGAAGGGAATCAGAGACATAGGTTATTACGGTGTGCAATAAATGACCCATGGAAGACAAGGAGATTCATCATAGTTAAAGAGGAACACGAGAAATGACCACCAAACAAATTCAAAAAGTGCTCGCAATATCCAGTTCAAGTACTGGGTGAATGCCGAAATCATCGCCCTTGTCGCTGCTGACTGTTCAACTATGGGGGCGGAGTGTTAAGCAGTTCCGCGGCGAATGTAAGACACCAAGACTCCAACCTCGATCCCTGACTGAAGTCGTAGCCTACTCGGGATTCTGACTAAGATGGACGGCAAATCTAGAACACTCAATCGTTTACCGTCCGAACTCGTTACCCAATTTGCATCTTGACGTGCTGCCAACGTTCAATTTAGTAATGAGTCGGTGACTGAGCTTCTTAAACGTACCTTGTAAAGCCCAGGAGGGCGGGGCGAGGCTCAGTTCGCAGGCGATGATTTTCGGGGCGGGGTGGCCGCTGATGACATCGGTGAAGAACGAAAATGAAAGGATCCTGTCTAAAATTGCTCAATTGGTGGTCAAGTCGCGCCTAGACGCGCTACATGAGTCCACACGCTCCTTGGAAATATCCAGCAGTCATAACGTAAGCTTCCCGTCGCATGGAATCCTGTGCTGCGGCACTTTAGTATCAAGGATGTGTAAGAGTTGCATTCCTCTTCCAGACTACTCGGTATTCCGTGCGTGACAGATGTTGGGCAACTATCGAGCGAGCATGTTTCCAGCTCCGCCAACTCATTTCTCCCCGCTGTCTTGGTTTCTAAGTCACTCGCTAAAGCAAATCCCTCTTCTACCGTCAGCGTGATGAGGCATCATTGACTATGGGAAAAATCCATCAGCTACAGGTCAGCGACCATGCAGATTAGATAACTGGGATCCGACTTGAAGGTCAAGCATAACTAGCGCCATTCATGCAGACGAGCCATGAAGGAACGAACCAGTCGCGTCCGAAGTACTAAGTACTTCGTACCGCTCTGAGTAGATACCTGTTACCCAACCCAGTATCAATATCAGACGATGGCTCGTCTTCGCTAGCCATTCCTTTCAGGGAGAGCCTCATACCACCATAAGATGACCTATGTCATCTTTGTTGATCGAGATGTCTCTTCTAGGAAAATGCGAGTAAGCCTGAGCTAACATCCTGGTGATGTTGGGCCAGTGCACGCCGATGTCAAACACACTGCCTCGTAAGTGAATGCTTGATACACTGCATTGACAGGGTCAGAGGTACTCCACAAAACCGGACTGAGGCAGAAGTAACATGGGGAACTGATCGCTGCTGTGCTCGACACGAGCGAACTCTACCAGCGGCTACACTCAACGGCAAGGATTTGTCACAAATTCTTGGACGCCACCATCACCACCATCCATAGTATGTTTGGCCGTTGCAACTCTAATTACTATGCCTTCTTAAGAGTCTCCCTCCCTTTCTGATTCTATATAAGACCCTTACAACCTCCCTTCTTACCGGAACCTGATCCACCTCAATCAATCCTCTCACAACTGTCACCTATTCCATTCAATCTAACATCAATTAGACCAATCATGGGGTCCACAAGTCCAGATCGATACGACTTTATCGTTGTTGGGGCCGGCGCTGCCGGTGCCGTGCTTGCCAGTCGACTCGCTAAGAGCAAGCAGCACCCTTCAGTTCTCCTGGTCGAGGCTGGCGGTGAAAACTCAGCCAAGGAATTCAAAGCAGATGCCGAGAGATGGATTCACCGAATGAACCCGCCTTCCAACTGGAGTTACAAGACTACGCCTATCAAAGGATTTGACGGCAAGGTTCTCGACTATGACCGGGGTAAGGGCTTAGGCGGGAGCACGGCGATCAATTTTTCCTGTTGGACGATTGGACCGAAGGACGACCATGACAGAATCGCCCAGCTGATTGGAGACGAGGAATGGAAGTGGGAAAATGCACATGAACGATACAAGAGACTTGAGAACTACCACTACGATGTGCCCGCCGAATTCAAAAAGTATCTGAACCCTCGTGCAGAGGACCATGGCGACAAGGGACCGGTGAAAATTGGCTTTCCACTTGTTTGGGAGCCATCCGCAAAGACGATGATGGACATATGGTACGAGAACGGCATCAAGTTCAACCCTGACCACAACGATGGAGATCCAGTTGGCTTAGCCATCAACTTTGCAACAGCAGTCAATGGTATTCGCTCAACCTCAGCAGATGCGTTGGTCGATGCACCTTCCAATTTGTCTGTTTTAACCAACAGTGAGGTTCTCCGCATCAAGTTCGAGGGCAAAAAGGCTGTGGCTGTGGAGACCGCAGAGGGCAGAGAGATATACGCTGACAAGGAGATCATTCTCTCGGGTGGTAGTCTGGATAGTCCTCGCATCCTTTTGCACTCAGGCATTGGTCCTGAGGATCAACTCAACAAGTTCAACATCCCCATCCTCAAGGCCAACGACAACGTGGGGCAACATCTCAGGGACCATCATCACGTCATGTTGTTCTATGAAAGAGCCGAGCATACCAGCACACGGCAAGTTTACTACCGTAGCCCTGAGCTACAGGCAACCGCACGAGAACAGTGGGCAAAGGATGGTACGGGGCCTCTAGCAGAATTTGCGACGACATTAGGCATTGGATATCTTAAGATTGACTCGCTCTTGGACACTGCTGAGTTCAAAGATCTCCCTGCAGACGAGCAAGATTTCCTTCGGAAGCCAACAGTGCCGCATTATGAAGTTCTCCTGAACGGAGTGCACATTCCACAGCTTATTGACCCAGTCAACGCAACTGCTGGAGCAACATTTTTTGTGTTCAACCTCAACGAACAATCCGAAGGAGAGGTGACATTACAGTCGTCAGATCCTAAAGTCCCTCTTCTATTCAATCCCAACTTTTTCTCACATCCTTGGGACCGGAGAGCTGCAATTGAGGGTACTAGAGAAGTTCTGAAGGTGATCAAGAGTCCCGCATTCCAAAAAGACACTGTCGCAGTTCAGCTGGCACCCAAAAGCGAATCCGACGAAGACATCTTGGAATTCTGGAAACAGACGTCAGGAAGTACTTGGCACATGATGGGGACAACTCAGTTCGGCAAGACCGAAAACGAGGGAGTGGTCGACAAAGATTTCAAAGTGTTTGGGGTCGATAACTTGAGAGTGGCCGATATGGGTGTGATACCATTCGCAGTCAAGTAAGTACCTCGTACCGTGGCGTGACCTGATATTTGTCTGGATTTTGGCTAATTTTCTATAGCAATCACACTCAAACCACAGCCTATCTTGTGGGACTGACAGCGGGCGACAAGCTTGTTGCCGAATATAACCTGGATGACTGAGAAATGAAATGATTATCAAATGCCCCGTTGTCTTGGTTTAGCTAGTAGTAAACAGGCGATCGACTCATGGCAATCTCCATGGTGGAGTGCGGAACACAGGCAGTTGACTCGCATCTGGCCGCTGATGGGAATCAAGATGTTCCGAGGAGGTCAAAGAGGTTGAAAGGGCAATCCATATGTGCAGGCTCTGATGTTACCATGAAATGAGGGTTCTTGGGGGGATAAGAGCCGAGCACACTCGCGTTGCTTCAGGGTGGATAAGTGATGTCAAGAGGCTGCGAGGTGACAGGCGTTGCAGACTCCGAAAATAGAATCCTAAAGCCTTACTACCTACCTAAGTTAGTTACAGTTAACTACTACCCTACCTGGGTAAAATGCATTTTGTGGCATATCCTCTGATAGGGGAAAATCTCAGAGTGTCATACTGAACCCCGTTCTTCCTCTTCGAGTTGGTACCCTCCTTTGATATTCATTGCCATTGAGCATTGCCTGCATTGCATTGGCTGAGAAAAGGAGCTTAGAGGGAGTGACGGCATTTGTTTGGGCTTAGCGAGGTGCTTAATTATTCTGCTTGCAGTCTCCAGGCACCATCAGGTTAATGAACACCCTAAAAGGAGGACCAAAGAGACTAATCCGGGGGCCTCGACAAGTGAAACAGGCATCAGCTAGCCACTAATCATGCCGCCCCTGTCTTATTCACAAGGTGCCCTTTATTCTCCGGTCTTGGCTGCTAGTCCCCGTATCCGCTACCTCCTCGTAACATCTCCACTCCCGGCTGTGGTGGCATCTTTGGGTTCGTTCGAACTTCAGACTTGACTGCTCTTCACAAAGTCACCACCCACTTCGATACAACCATTGCGTTGCTCGGAGGACTGGATACCTACTAGTATTTACCATCCGCACACACGGTCTCAGATTACCATTGTTTCCGCTCCGCCCTGTGCAGGGAATGGAGAGCTTCCCAGAAGCACTCCCCTCTTGACCTGACCGCCTTGACCATTCCAAAGGTCCTGTCCATGTTCACATTGTCTGCTGGCCAGCAAAAGCATCACATTTTCGCACTCAGTGACGGACAATATGCTGGCTCATTGTCGCCATAAGAGCTGCGAACCCATCCCCGGCGATTGATTGTTTCAATACCACACTTTGCACCTGCCACTGCCTTCCTGCACTCCGGTGCCCCCTCGCCCTCACCCTCGCCCTCCGGCGCCCTCGTCCCTGTTCTTGTTTTCCGCCCCCGCAGCATTCGGACGTTTGTCACGCGTTGCAGTTTGCACGATCAAATCTCCCTAACATCGTTGTAAACCTATGCATCGTCGCCACTAAGCTGGCCGCCAGAAAATTCCTCCATCCGATTACTAGACACTGGAGTCGCCATGGCTCCAGGGCCAGCAGCCTCGTCCGATCGCCAAGCGGGACGGACTCTTCCTCGGACTCTTCAGACCACCAGACATAATCGGCCGAATCCCGTCGATGTGGGCGTACCCGACCTCAATCGACCTCTACCACCACCTCCAGCCTCTGCTACAGAGCCTTACGAGATCCCCTCCCTTCGCCGACGTCCTGCGCCGGATTCTGCCGATTCAAATACCCCCAAGGCTGTCCACAATCGCTCATTCAGTCATCCATTTCCCAATTTGTTCGGCTCTAAGAGATCTGAAAGGAAACCTCATGCCAAGGGAGAACAGGACGGTATCCCCAATGCCTCTCGCGAAGGGCGCACGGATGATACAAAAGCCAAAAGCACAGGACAAGAAAACCCCCATCAAAGAGCTGATCGACAGCCAGTCACAGGGAGGTGTATGACTTGCGATTCCACCGTCAGATGGCCTCAAGGACTCAAGGTGTTCAGATGTACAACTTGCTTGACGATTAACGACCTGGAGCCCAGTCATGAGCCCACAAGCTCTGCCCAAGGCCAAGCACCTCAACGAAGGATAACTTCTTTATCCTTGGATCGAACAAGATCTTTGCTCGATCGATGCCTTGAAGATTACTTTGATTCCCTGCTCGTGGATACGGAGCAATCCTACAGCCCGGAACCAATGGACAATCAATTTCCCACCGAGGAGTCTTTCCTATTGGATGGAAGTCCACCAGAAGGCCTCCTATATAGTCAGAATCCAGACGACCAAGATTCACCACCTCAATCACCCCGACCTGCCATGAAACCTCGAAGTCCTTCTGAATCGACATTGAGCACACTGAAACCTTCTCAAATACCAGAAGGCTCATTCGTCCAAGGATTGTCCGCCGATCCCTTTTCCTCTTCTTTACCCACACAAGAAAGACCGCATACAGCGCGAGCCTTTAGTTCAAATGATCCAAGGCCCAGTGTGACTCGACAAATATCTCATTCTGCTATCTTTCGTGAAGTCGAAACCTATATATCCCATTGTTTTGTGGGATGTGCCACCTTGAATAATTCATTCCTTTCGTCGAGACCTCCGCCGGCCTTCAAACCACGGACTGGCTCAGGCCCTCAGCCACGGCGACAGCCATCCGAGCCTGCTCCGTCTCCGTTATTTGAGACTGATGTGTTCCTCTCCGAGTTTGATGCGAAAACACTTCTACTGGGAGACATCGCTGAGAATGGCTCTTGGTGGCTTGGGGCACCAGGAGGTCGATCAGGTAGCACAGGGCAGGATAATCAGCATGCCCGGGATAGATCCCCAGACAAGCCAGACAAAATGCGAAACCCGAGCGTCAGACAGTCGAGGATCAATTGGATTGAGCTTGCCGAATGGTATCGGGTCGTCATCTACGCCGGTGATGTATGGGAGTCGAAATGGCGAGACATCAGATCCAGGATTACAGACCACCAGCAAATTCAACGATGGGATTCGGTCTCCCTGAGTAATATTCATCATGACATTATGGATTCTCGGATACATCTCCATAGAAGCATACTCAAGGTTTCTGAAAACCTGTTGAAGCGCCCGCGACAACCTCTAAAGCACTCTGACGATTGTCGATTCCTTCTGATACTCCTTGCCAATCCATTACTCACCCCAACAAGGTTAGAAGCCGGAAAATCATCTCATCCGCCAATCCCGAAGCATCTCCTAGCAGGAAGAGGTCATGATGAACGCTTGCGTGGTTCGCCTTCGAAGCGAATCCCAGCTCCAGCAAGAAGACCTGGAAGCCTTGGCCATCACTCCGGAATCATTAAACGTATCCTGGGCTTGATAGCCAATCTCTCGAATGACATCCACCAAATTCTAGTCTCCTGGTTCTCCAAGTATTCGGATGGTCATTTCCAGCGCATTGTGGAAATGATAGGTAGTTTTGTCACCTACCGACTATCCAGACAGCAACGCAGACCGGCCGTTGCTGAACCTGTTAACCCAACAGAAGGACTCGTTCCAAGTTTTTCAGATTCTGGTTTACGTCACGCATCACAGATCCATGCTGCGCTTGAAGGGAGGGGCCATTCAACATCAGGTGCTAATGCAGACAACAAGCCGAAATTGTCCTCTTATGGTGAAGATTGGCAAATTCGTGTAGCAGCACGAGTAATGTCGTTATTTTTCCAGGCCAACGTGGGCCATGCTGCTCGGAAAAGAGATGCTGCTGTTGGGCAGGAACAGCGACATCACAGCCCCGGCATGAACGCAAAATACCACGCCAATTCACATGGGCAAATAATCCCCATCAATAACTTTTATAACACAATGCTGGATTACGCCGATCTCATTGCTGATTTTGAGACTTGGGAGAAGACCAAGAGCAAATTCACATTCTGCCAATACCCATTCTTCCTCAGTATATATGCCAAGATCCATATCCTCGAGCACGATGCAAAAAGACAAATGGAGGTCAAAGCCCGTGAGGCTTTCTTTGACAGCATTCTCAGCAGAAAAGCGGTCAGTCAATATCTCGTGCTGAAAGTCAGAAGAGATTGTCTTGTGGAAGACAGTCTACGAAATGTCTCCGAGGCCGTTGGGTCAGGAGGCAATGACCTGAAGAAAGGTCTAAGGATCGACTTTCAAGGGGAAGAAGGCATCGATGCAGGCGGCATCCGTAAGGAATGGTTTCTGCTTCTTGTGAGAGAGATTTTCGATCCCAATCATGGCTTGTTCGTCTATGACGAAGACTCACAGTATTGTTACTTCAACCCATATTGCTTCGAGTCGTCCGAGCAATTCTTCTTGGTTGGCGTACTCGTGGGCCTCGCGATCTATAATTCGACTATCTTGGATGTTTCATTCCCTCCGTTCGTCTTCAGGAAGATGTTAGCATCTGCACCTTCAACTGGAGACAAATTGACGTCGACACCAAGGATAGGCCACGGCTACACGCTCGAGGATCTTGCGGAATTCCGACCGTCTCTTGCCCGAGGTTTTAGACAGTTGCTTGAATTTGAAGGTGATGTGCAGGAGACATTCTGTCGAGATTTTGTGGCAGAAATGGATCGGTATGGAGAAGTCATTCAAGTGCCACTGTTCCCTGGTGGCGAAAAGCGGGCAGTTACGAATAGTAATCGAAAGGACTTCGTCGAGTTGTATGTTCATTATCTCCTCGACGCGTCGGTTACACGACAATATGAACCTTTCAAGCGCGGGTTCTTCACTGTCTGTGGAGGCAACGCGCTCTCACTGTTCCGACCCGAAGAAATCGAATTACTCGTCCGAGGATCCGACGAATCTCTTGATGTTGCAAGTCTTCGTGCGGTGGCAACTTATGAAGGGTGGCCCAAGCATGAAGGACCAGCTGAGCAACAGCCTCAGGTAGTATGGTTTTGGGATTTCTTGGCCAAAGTCAATCCTGGTGATCAAAGGAAGATCTTGAGCTTCATTACCGGCAGTGACAGAATTCCCGCAATGGGTGCAACGAATCTTATAATCCGCATCCAATTGATTCGAGGCAAGGACGAGTTCGATGTCTCTGGTCGGCCCACCAACCAACCCATTGAGAGATTCCCCATTGCGAGAACGTGTTTCAATACGTTGAGCTTGTTCAAGTACGAAAGTCGTCAAAAATTGGAGCATAAACTATGGATGGCTGTTACCAACAGTGAAGGATTTGGCTTGAAATAAAAAGTAGGACATGATTGACGTACTGCAGTATAATATTGGTTTTGACCACCAAAAGGTCCAACTGGCTCAGCTTCCTGCCGTCAACCAGCAGAAGCATGAAGCCGGCCAACTTTGAATAGTAAAGCGTATAGCGATCGCCGGAATTGCATTTTCGCAGGGAAGCAAAAGGGGCAGATGCGTTTCTAGTGCAGCATAAATTCTAAAACGTTGGGCGAGGGAAGCTTGTCGTTCGAAAAATGTATGATATACCTGCATAGGAATGGATCACTGATCCTGATTGGACAAAATTCCGCACCAATAGGAGATCATGATGTCGTGATATAACTAGTGAGCAATGAGCTGGTTGAAGTTGAAGGTCTGCATTTATGTATGAAGCGCGCGAACGAGTAACCACCGTGCACAGGTCGGCCGTGCCGACTGAAAAGGCTAGTACTACCACAAGACACGGTGAGTAGATAGTACATAGTACAAGCAAGCAAGAGAGCAATACTTTTACCAGCGCCTGCGCCCACCAGCAAAGGGGTATTGACGGAGAGGTCGCGGCGGCTAGTCGGTAGGAGTCGTTCGAGAAGCCTTGGTTGGAGCGGTATATCGATCGATCGACCGACCGAAGCCACCACTAATTACTAACGGCTGTTGACCGAGAGAAATCCGAGGTCCTATGAAGGTGAAGCCGCGACGAGGACGTTCTCGTATCGTATCAGGGTGGCAGACCCAAGTTCCTTTACGGGACGGCATGACTTATTCGCTCCTTGCATGAGCGGTGCACTGCGTTGCGTTGCATGGTGCCGGCCCCTTAACTACCTAGGTAGGTATCTGATGTAGATACATACCCCGGGAGACGACAGCGCGTGGCAGAGGATTGGCTGCGCAGTCTACAGGTAGGTGCAGAACCATGGAAGCAAAGGCGTGAGAGTCCGCAACACGAGGGTTGACTGTCGAGCATTGGGTATTGGTCAGGGGAGTGAATCACGGATCACGAATCTACGGGAGAAAGTTCATGCGGAAAAGGTGTGGTGAAGGACGCGCCGGAAGAAAGGTGTGTCAAGGGCCGGGGTTGAGTTGGAGATTTGTTAAATGGAATGGTGGAATGAATGAAAAGAACGAAGGAGGGGCGCGAGGTGCTATGACTACCTACTAGTGATACTTGATACTCGAATGTTGAGATGAAAGAAAGGGCGAATATGCATGCCACATCCTCGGAAAACTCACTTGCATATCTTATCATGTCGCTCGGACACGGGGGTCCGAAAGGGACTTTTCTTTTGGGATGTACCTAGGTATCAGGGGGCGCAAGAGGACCAGATATGAGGTAGATAAGAGAAAGAAAGCACTCTTTTTTTCTCCCTTTCACGAGACCTGAGAGATTACGAGCTAAGGGATATTGGGCTGGACAGAAGAAAACATCAACATCAACAGGACTTTCCCCCTGGTGTGGAGTGAGAAATATGGAGTAGGTAAACAAACTACCTGTGTGGACTTGAGTTTCGGGACACTTTTTTTCAACAAGTCTGCGATGGACTATCTAATGGGCGGTCGGCGAATAATACTTCAAAGACCAAGAGCGTGAACGTTTGCGACTCGACTCACCACTTTGTTCAAATATGGATTACTCTGCGTACCTAGGTTCTACGGAATCTCGTAGCTCGATATAGAAGTCCGCCGGCGAGCCGAGTCTAGAGAACTAGACGAGTATCGAATCCGGTCGATACATTGTTGCACACGATGAAGATCCGGGAGAGTCTTTCGTAGCCCGTGTTAGCGAAAACGGGCTCTTGGTGGGTTGGTGCTTTTTGGGGGGAGCCTATGGAGTACATCAATCGAAAAGTCAATAATAATAATGTTTTGGTGACGCCGCGGGTGTTCAAGTTGGCAGCGCTGCAAAAGATCGCCCCGCACTCGCTCATCGGGTTTCTTCACCCACGCACTGCCTGCCAGGGTCATCTGGTCAGGGCAAGCTGGTCGAGTAGCTCCAGAGAACCCCTCAACATATTCCCTCGCTCAGAATATAAAAGTCTTTCCTCTTCTGCTTACCTTATTGCACTCTCCTCCGTCTCTGGAACTTCCTGACACTTTTCGTCCCCTTCAAGAGAATCTCGAGAATACACCGTCACCATCATGGCTCCCTCGGAACTTCCCACCAAGATGAAGGCGCTGCGTGAGTCACCCCGCTTGGTTCTGTTGACCCAAGATAGAATACGCCAGCAAAAGGAGACGAGCATCGACTAATCCGAGTCATAGAATACTCCAAGCCTGAGGAGTTCAGCGTCGTCGAAGTCCCTCTCCCAAAGCTGCGTGAGAACGACGTCCTAGTATGTGAAGGCTTCACACAGATGAAAGAGAGTGGCTGACACAAGCAAACAGCTCAAAGTGAAGGCATGTGGTGTCTGTGGTACCGACTTGCATATTCACGAAGGCGAGTTCCTGGCCAAGGTATGTGCACTAGCTGAACAGCAGAGTCATGTGCTAAGGTGGACTTACAGTTTCCCCTGATCCCTGGTCATGAGACTGTGGGCGTTGTGGCAGCTCTCGGTGACAAGGTCAAAGGCTTCAGTATTGGCGATCGTGTAGTTGCAGACAACTCGGAGCTCTGTGGTGAATGCTTCTACTGCCGTCGTGGTGAAGAACTCCTTTGCGAAGACTTTCAAGCCCATGGTGTGACCATGGATGGAGGCTTTGCAGAGTACTGCGCGTACCCGGCGAAGAGAGTCTTCCCAATCAAGAATCTCTCGGATGTTGATGCCACTCTTCTCGAACCTGCTTCCTGTGCAGCCCACGGTCTCGACAAGATTGCACCAAAGATGGGATCCAGCGTGCTGATGTTCGGAGCGGGACCTACGGGATTGGTGTTGACACAGATGCTTCGTCAAAACGGCGGGTGTCATGTTGTTGTGGCGGCACCAGAGGGATTGAAGATGGACCTGGCCAAATCATTGGATGCAGCGGATGAGTATGTGGCACTCTCTCGTAAGGATCCTTCGGCACAATTTGAGCAGATCAAGAAGGACAACCCCTATGGCTTTGACATTGTGGTTGAAGCGACTGGCAGTGTCAAGATCTTGGAAGACTCGATCAATTATGTGCGGAGAGGTGGCAAACTTGTGGTGTACGGAGTGTATGCCAACAAGGATCGTGTGTCATGGCCACCCAGCAAGATCTTTGGAGATGAAATCACCATCCTAGGATCCTTCAGTGAGACATACAAATTCCCCGCAGCCATAGATTATCTCGGTATGTTTTCCCTGGTCTTCCAACTCTTGAATGCGCTGGTGACAGAGAAGCTAACGATGGCGATGAACAGACAAGGGCAAGGTCAAGGTCAACGGTATTGTCAATAAGACATTCAAGCTGGAGGAGTGGAAGGAGTGTTTGGAAGCGATGAAGAACAAGAGCGCAATCAAGGCTGCCATTGTGTTTGATTAGACATGACCGCAATGTGCGATGCAGGACAGTCTGTCACTGAGTAGTTGTCAGCCTGGGGCAGCATGGAAATGACAGATAAAATATATCACAGGTCGAAGTGATTGTGATGCAACAGGTGCAGTGGTGTGGGTGACACATCAGTGTTATACCAATCGGGACTTGCTCATGGGATTTCATCATATTATGTCACCATCGCGTCGAGGATCTCGCGCTTGCAATGGACACGTGACCGTACCTGCGTTGTGCCTGCCCAAAATGAATAACTCCCTCCTGCCTAAACTAGTGCTCTCCAAATAGGTGCCAAGAGACACTCATCTGCCACTGCTGAAGCCAACCTCAACTCAGCTACCTAACTCTGTAGAAGGTCTTCAGGCCCAGGGACAAACTACGGAGTTGGAACATGACCCTTTGCTGGGGGAGAATTGCCAGCCCTTACTTCGTATGAATTTAGGTGGGACTCGCCCGGGTTTAGCCCCAATGGCCCCTCAACTACCACGGAGTCATGGTGTGACTTCAAGTGTAGCACCTTGGATCCATCCTGCGTCGCAGACTTCTTGCACAGCTCTAAGGAATGTCGTCCCTAAGCTAGATCATGTCCACACTGCTTCTATTTCTCACAATCTCGCTTCTCGCCAGTCTTCTGTTGACTTGCCAATAATAATACCACTTACAGAGCGCCCTGATCGCACACAATCTGTCCACTCACAATCTTAATGACAAAAATGATTGCAACCATGGCGACCCTCCTCAGGCGAGGCTGTATTCTCTGTCTACCGCTATACCAAGTTCAGCCTTGGAAATGATATAGAAACATCTTGGCAGTGGACAGATGCAAGATCGCCCCCTGGGCGCCCCTGCCTGTCATTGCACTTGTCAAGCTACCACCAGTTCCTCGCTTCATATCCGTACTACAATGCCAACTGGATACTCGGTATACACGGTACCAAGTCCCTACATAAAGAGTAACTAACCACACTTGAAACCGGGTTCCTCTCTTTTCTCTTTTTGCAAACTTCTCCCCTCATTCATTGCTTGAGCATCCTCCATTCCTCTCCACAATATCCCTCCCTCGTTGATTCGATCGTCCTGAAATCACTCTTGACAAATATACCAGTGAAAATGGCCCCTGCCCGATCAGTCTTCATTGCTGCTGGTGTCGCATTTTGGGTTCTCCTTCAGACAACTCAGGCGCAAAACTCCACAGGCTCCAGTAATGATACAACTATCAATTTATTTTTCATCGAAAATGATAGCTTGGGGGTGGCTGGCTTCAGTGATCAGCAACTAGCGGGTTCAATCGTCTCGGCAGTAAGTCCCTTCCCGTGCTCACCTGAAGAGACATTCTGATCGGTGGTTTGTGGAGCAGAATCCCAGTCAAACAGTCGTTGCAGTGGAATGCGTGGGTGATGATATCAACTTGCAAGTTTGTGGAGATCATCCGTTCACGGTGACCTATGGGCCGCGTACGTTTGTTTATGGCGATCAAGTTGCCAATATCGGCGCAACCCTGTCCTGCTCAGTCGCCGAAAGCAGCAAAAGCGCAAGTTGTTCTGCAGTTTTAATTGCACCAGCTGCAGTGTTCACGAATCCATTGATGGGAACATCCGAGCTTAGCTCACTGATCACTGCCTCAGGTGTAGCATTGTCGACTGCTACCGTCAGTGCAACTGTGATGCCCTCAGACATGACCGAATATCCTGTAACAATCACCGCTGGGCAAGCTGCACTCGCAAGTGCAAGTGCTCAGTCCACAAATCCAGCTGGCAACACTGGTTCGAAGCTTGTTCCAATGCTCAGCGGAATGTTTGTCGGGATTTTGTCCCTTACTATCATGGTCTTATGATGCTGAAGAACAGCAAGTTCGTTCAACTACCTGTTCGATTTCCACATTGACAGCAAGTTTGGCTATCTCATTGTGTGGGAAACACTGAATCGGATATTCGGGCTTCAAATTGAATCCTTTATCATTCATTCACAAAACCAAGCCATATCGATACTCAAGATTATCCGGAATCACTGATGAATACGAATACCTAAGTATGTTGCTCAACATGGAAATCGAAATGAGAAGCGGTGTTCGCAGAATCATCTGCCGTGCCACATCAAGAGTTGCCACAATCCTTCTTATCCAGCCAGGCACACCGATGGACTCCTTTCAATCCCGACGAGAAGATATTTGTGAAGGGTGTTGTGTTGAGCCCAGCTGCTTGTCTCTTTGAGGCTAATGGTAACTGCGGTGTGTATCAGAAGGTGTCATAGCCATTCCCGGTGCGTATCGCAGTCGAATGAATAATGATCACATGAGGTTCAAGAATCGCCATTTTCATTTCTTTCATATCCAGCAGCGTAAGCAGACCATCTTTCCCGTGTTTTCCTCTCTCGTCTTCATATTGACAAGGGGAATTTCCTAAATTCATTCGAACTCATTCCGATTAATAAGAGTTCTCTCTTTTCGTTCCTCCTTGGCTGCTCCTCCTTCTTAACTTTTGTTTTACATCAAGTCGGATAACTTTGTATGGGATGTTGACAACCCTACAGCAAGACGATGCAACGTCGTCTATATGGCCGCAGACCTACAACTCAGGAAAAGGTATTCGGTGTAATGCGCGCGCGGTGAGGCGATTTCCTGGGACCATCTTCAAAAGAACCAGGCAAACCCACCGCAAGGGTACGGTTGCGATCATATCAGCGATGTGAACCTTCACCAGCAACGAAAGTGAATGTCGACTGTTTACTACTTCACTGCTAGGTGAACCACCAGCCTCCCATTAAACATTTCTGTACAGATCCAAATCCAAGTGAGGATACATTTATTCAGTCAATCAATCCCCATTGTCCCATTACATTGTTGATTCTATCCTTCTACATTCAACCCTCACAGTCACGCCTATAGACACTTCAAGACATCAATACAGCGAGCCTTGCATTCATCCAAATGTCCTCTCACTCGCCAGAATTTAAGAAAATGCCTCCAATGACCTTCAATCTTCCATTGAGGCTTTCCTCCTCCAACCCCTCGAGCAGCATCACCAATCATCCCAGCTTCGCCTTCTGCTATGCGGACAAGCCAGCAGCATTGACTCACTTCCTTGAGAAGAAATCTCCTCTTGCTCCTAAAGACCTCTTCGCCAACCATGAATTCATGACCTATATCATGTCCAAGGAGGAAGGACCGACTGTTCAGTATGAGAACCTTCGTCCAGCACTCACTGCTCTGCGCCCATGGTTGAGACTCTCACCAAACGGCCGCAAGCTCCTCAACTTCTACAAGGACTTCCTCCAGCTCCACGGTCAATGGGTCATGGCAGCAACCGAGCAAGCCTCCTATGAGATTCACATTCAACTCACCATCGCCGTGTATCTGAAGCGAGGCCGCGATCAGAAACTCCTTGCTCAAATGGAGAAGGACCTGCCAGGCATCACGGTCGCAATCATGAACCACCAGACGCCATGCCCTCCCAACTTTGAGAAATGCACCCAAGCCAAGATCGCCGCCATGAGCCAGAAGACCAACGAGCTCGTACGCCGCTTGACAGACCTCAAAAAATCGAACGAGTTCAAGACTCAACACTCTCGTCTCCTCGCAACGATGGCACTTGCCGAGAAGAAACTCGAGAAGATGCGTTCTCAGCGCAAGAGCCGCGAAGCTGCCCAAGCCGCTCTCCGCCGCAGCAACGACTCTGACAATGTCCGTCAACTTGGCACCACCGGCATGGTCCGCCACCTCCCTCATGTCGAGGAGTCGCTGCGAGAGTTCACCGAAGAGGAGAAGGACACTTATTTCAACTTCAACGAGCCCGTCGCCAGTGTTGGTGCTACTGGTTGAGAAAAGGGAAAAGGGCCTCTGCAGGAGAGAGAGCCTTGCTCAATATCTGAAAGTCACTTCCATCTTGGCATTCACATCCTCTCACGTTTCGTATCTAACAAACACTTTCGTCTCCTCAGCATCGTGCAACATACAAAGATTGTCTCTGCTTCACCGAGAAACCCAATTGGAACTCTAAATGACAGCGATCATACATGTTCCGCCGTCCCCCACCGTCGTGCACAAATGTCCATCGCCTCAGCGCTTGCTTCACAACAGTCAGAAAGAGATCATTGTTCGATAGCACATCGTCGACCAGAACTATGAGAGGGAAAGTGACAGTGATGGCACCAAAATGTGCTATTGGGGATAAATATACCCTACGAAACAAGGCTATCAGTGTTTTTTCACACCATGATTGCATATCGGTGGTGGTATTGTTTTTCCTCCATTCGGTCAGATACAAACAAAAGTGTATGCTGTGGCATATGAACCTGTGCCTGTCCATGGAAAAAGACTTCAAAGTTTAGTTGGTTCAATAGTTGGTTGTGTCTTCTTGCTTCCTTTCCACTTGGGTACCTAGTCAAGTTAGGTATACATCATCAGAATAATAATTGGTCCAAAAATTGAAACGAGAGAAAAACATAGTAGAATCGGTGAGGAAGAAGCGGAGAGAAATTGGAATCGGTTTGTTTGTCTTTTCTTATTTCCTTTCTAGCTTGATGGTAAAAACCCCCTTCATCTTTCATGATCACGTATCATGAACCGGAAGTCATTTTCGCTAAGCAGAAAGAAAGAGTAGTCATGGTACTTGATGGGGGCAAAATGACCAGCTCAATGCATTCACACCTGTATTCCGCTCCTCAATGCCAGTGTAACAAAGTATCAGCATGGCTTTTTGTCATCTGACGTTTCCCCCCGACAGAATCGATCTTGACCAAGTGATTTGTTCCCCATATCAAGAACTCCTCTGACCATTTGGAATTTGATAGTTGGAATCACATCTAACCCTTCTCAGTGGCTTTTCATCGCTCACGCACCACTTTACTTCCTAATGGCTCTCTGGTAGAAGGCCAACTCATCACCCTCAAGAACGTAGCCATCAACACGACCACTCTGGCCCGGTCTCGAGCTGATGACGGCGAACAATCGACCGGCCTCGAACTGTCTCTCCAAAGCAGACTCGATCTTTCCACTCTTCTTCACCCGCTCCTCACGCTTGCTTGTGACGGACTTGCTGACCTTCTTGTCTTCGACGGCCTCGCCTTTCTGTCCAGCTCGCTTGCGGCCAATGGTCGTGCCGTAGTGGGCTTCATACCAGGTGCGGAAAGGTGCGGCATCGATTTGAACCACAGCGGAGCGAGTGAGGGTGTTTGTGCGGACGAGTTCGTTGTTGGAAGGGTGGAAGGCGACGACGATGACTCGGACCTTGCGGGCGATGCCTTCAGATCCCCATGAGAAGTTGCCGCTTTCAATTCTCAAGGCTCGGTATTTGGTGTTGCCGCCTCGGGTGCGCACGAGATGGATTCGCTTATTGCCGATACGGGTGTTGGCTGGTTGACGTCCCTTCTCGAAGGCTCTGTGAAATATCTCGTATCAGAATTTTTTGTGCTCTTTTTCATATAACTATGTTTTCAATCCTGCAGACGGTGTCAATTACCTCTTCTTTCGGTAGTATGCGCGCTTTGCACCAGTTGCGGACCGCTTGTGGCGGCTGTCTCGTGAGATACCCATGATTGCGAAACTGAAGAGGACTGTGATGAACAGAAGTTAGTAATTGATACGCAGAAGCCGATGATCGAAGGTGGTGTCGTAGTTAAGGGCAATCGCTCGTCGAGAAACAATTCTCAATTGAAAGGTTGACTGCGCACTTGGGCGTTCGCGGGCACAGGGAAAAGCCTGGCAAGGTGGTTGAGACTGACCTGACGAAGTACCGGCTCTTCAGCGAGCAATAAGAGTATACAGATTCGAGAGGATTGGGGGTTTGATGTGGTGAATTAAACTTGACCGACAAAAATTCGAGGTGGTTGCAACGGGGCTTGTGGTATGAGTTGAGGGCAACTTCGATGTGCGGCGCCAAGACAACCCACACCGCGCCAAGATTGCTCTCCCACTAAAGATTCTCCCTCGCAACTTTCTTAACGACGATTTGGTACCAGACTTATAACCACATCAACCCTCATCCCTCCATTAAAAATTCAAGCATCGTGTGCGATTCCACGAAGAGCGCAAGGAACTCGCAACAATGTACGCTCATCCACCATCCTTGGAGAAACTATTCCGGGACAAAAATCACTAACTTTCCGTTCTACAGGCTCATCCCCAAGGCTGATCGCAAGAAGATCCACGAGTACCTCTTCAAGGAGGGTGTACTCGTGGCCAAGAAGGACTACAACCTTCCTAAGCACGGAGACATTGACACCAAGAACCTCTTCGTACGTGCCTACGGGACATCGCAGACTCAGCCTGGAAGGAGAAAACTAACCAAAATGGCAAACAGGTCATCAAGGCTCTCCAGTCCCTGACTTCCCGCGGCTACGTCAAGACCCAGTTCTCCTGGCAATACTACTACTACACCTTGACCCCCGAAGGACTCGACTACCTCCGCGAATGGCTGCACTTGCCCGCCGAGATCGTACCAGCCACCCACATCAAGCAACAACGCTCGCACGCTCCTCCTCGTGGCATGATGGGTGGTGAGGAACGTGGTGAGCGCCGTGGTGGAGGCCGCGGTGGTCCCCGACGTGACGGTGAGGGCGGTTATCGTCGTCGTGATGCTGGTGAGGGCAAGGAAGGCGGTGCTCCTGGCGACTACACTCCTCAGTTCCGTGGTGGTTTCGGCCGTGGTCGTGGTGCTCCCCCTGCTGCCAGTTAGATTGGTTAGTTGAGGATTTTCCGAGATACCACGAGTCCTGCATAATTGCGGACAGACAAGGATATGATCATGGACGTCTCTGGCGAGTCCTGGACTTGTCAGATTTGACTGCCTCCATATGAACTCAAAGTTTCAAAGGCTCGTGGCTTAACGCCTTGTCAAACTCTTCATAGCAATATGAAAACAGAAAAGTCAAAACGCTTAAGCCAGCTCACTGTTTTCCATCTAACTCCGTGACATGCATTCAGTTTCCCATCAACTACCTAGTCAAAGTCCCCCTTCTCCTTCCTCCGTCTATCCATCCTCAAGACCGAATGCATTAAGACATTAGCCCCAACCGCACAATGCTCCTGTTCACACCACTCGGCGGGATTATGACTGACACCGTCTTTACACGGCACGAAGATCATTGCCGTCGGACAGTGGTCGTTGGTGCACACACTGTCATGACCAGCGCCGCTGATCATCTTCTTCACGTTTGCCTCAAACCTCTCTTTGGGGTACATCGCAGCAGCAGCCTGCTCCACACAGAGAACAGCATCTGGATGGAACTTGGTTGCAGGACTGGAGAAGGTCTCTTGCATGTGGAAGGCGATCTGTCTGAGGTGGCTGGTCTTGCTTCCATCCTCTGGACAGCTGCTTTTCAAGGCGGCTTCGCTGACATCACGACAAGAGTTCTCGACCTCGGCGAGTATCGTCGCTAGGCCTTCGTCGGTGGGGTGGCGGATGTCGAGGCTGAGCCTCACTTCTCCGGGGACGGTGTTGACGCTCCCTGGTGACAGACTCAGCATGCCGACCGTGGACAAGCCGCCAGCAGCTCGGGCGATGTTCCTCGCGGCCCCGATGAATTGACATGCCGCGTGTAACGCATCTGCTCGGTGGTCGAAGTCGGTGGTTCCAGCGTGTGATTCTCGCCCTGTGATGGTCACTGTAAACCATTTGTATGCCTGTACGCCCATAACCACGCCGACGTTAGCAGCCGAAGCTTCGAGTTTAGGACCCTGCTCGATGTGGAGTTCGAAATGTGCTCCGATGGGCGTGCCCTTGGGACTCGAGGGTGTGTTTCCCAGATACCCTATTGTTTCCAGTTCTTCTTTTACCGTTGTGACGGGTCCGGTGTTGATTACGCTCTTGACGTCCCATGCCTTCTGCAGCCCCAATCGTCCAGACCAAACGCCACTCCCCATCATGGACACCGGAAATTTCGCGCCTTCCTCGTTCGTCCAATTCACAACTCCAACCGGGCCCTCCGTCTCAATCCAATTGTCATTCAGCGTTCTCAGCATCTCAACCCCAGCCGCGATGCCGAGAATCCCATCGAACCTCCCTCCAGAAGGCTGCGAATCCAAGTGACTTCCTGCAAAGGTTGCCGGTGCATCGTTATTGAGTCCCGGTCTAATGGCGAAGATATTCCCAATTTCATCGACATGGGTCTTGCACCCTAAAGACTCAGTAGTGCTGATGAACCAGTCTCGAGCTTCCTTATCCTCCTTACTGAGCGTGAGGCGCCTGAGCCCAACTCGTTTGATGTCGCTGGGGTCGACGCCCGTGGGCTCGCTCCATCGCGACGTAGAGTGGATCGTCTCCCATAGACGGTCACTGTTGATCTTCAGGTTCGAGAGAGAGGAGCTGTTCAGTTCCGTGGTCCTTAGTCGTACCGCTGCTGACTCTGTAAAGCTGCGCCGAGTGCTAGAGCTGTGCCAGACTCGCATGGTCAACTTGCGAGGTTGAGCAGAACACAATGATCGCGCTGCCCGCCTCGTGAATACATTCGCCATTTCCGTGGATGCCATCTCAAGGAATTCGCTGTAGTGGCTGTAGCTGTGTTGATGCAATAGACAGAGAGTCCTCCTAGCTATCCCGAATCCAGTGGCTCAGTGTCCAAGAGCAAGTCGAGAGACCTTCGCCGCGTTTCACCTTCAGCTTATTACCGATGAAGTATGAGCCGCAAGCTTCAGCAGCTAAACACGTGCGTGGACAAGTTCATGGAACTCATATCACTCTCTAAAACATATCGAAGAAAGTTGCGACCTTGATCATAAGGCGTCAGCTGTGTTGACTGGGACGGTCAAGTATGTGAAGGCGGAGATGCGTTTGAGGGTGGGCAAGTCCGAAGTATTTAGCCCTTGAACTCCTGAATTCGGCCTCGAATATTACTATATCATCACCGAAACTCTCAAAAAAATTGGGATCATTATTGAAAGGACTTGTATCGAGAATGCGAAAGTTTGTATGAAAGTTTCTTGATATGGATCTCCTTTCCTAGATGCCAAACACTACTCCAGAGTGATAGAAACCATTCCCTTCCGTCGCGCGTCTTCCCAGGGCGACTTCTGTCCACGCTACCATCCCCCCTTTTTCTTCGTGCACTACTGATCCTTCGCTAATTCAAACAACACAACTGTCTCGCAGAAATTTGACCGATTGATCGAATAAGGCACAATACTCGTACCTTCATAACTGACCATAAACTGCGAACCCTTGGTACTCAATGCCCATAGATAAATGTCAGACGAGTTTCGGAAATCCACCATACGCTCCTGGCAGCTCTCGGTGCCCAAACACGCCTGTGTATTCCAATTCTCGAAGAAGTTGTACAGCCCACCGCCGTACATGAATATCTGGCTCGAGTTGACGAATCGAACAGCCCAGGTTCTGGCGCAGTTGGCTTGCACACAGTCTTCAAAGGTAGGGTCGTGCCAATTGGCTTGGGGTGTGAAGGGTAACAAGGCGTTGGGGTTTCCTTGGTAGTATGCCGTTTCGTGCTGAATGTGTCCCATGAAGACGTTCTTCGCGCCGACGAATTGGTAGTCGTAAAAGACCGAGTGCTCAGCGGCGGTGCCGTATAGCCATACCGGCCCGTTGGCACTTTCGATCAAGAAGCCCCTGAGAGCATGTCAGCCTTGTTCATATGAGGAATTTCTCCGTCCGAGGAGTTGATGCCATCCCGCAACCACGTCTGTGGTGGTAACGAAATCCGAAGCTTCCTCTTTCAGTTCAGAAGACTTACGCTTTGTTGAAAATGTAGATCTGTTCTCTGTCATCCATGTCCAGCTCGTGATCTGCGACCCAGCCCCAGGTGTTCTCAAAATACCCATCGGCTTCTTTGGTCACATGTAGCAGCAAGAATGCGCCGATACAAGCCGACAGCTTGGGATGACCGGGTGCTATTGGAACAGCCGGAGTTTTGACGCATGTATTCTGCTGTAAATTCGTGCCAGCGGTCCCACCAATACGCCAATGTGCATCCCACATGCCCGCCAATGCAGGACCTACAGCTTTGATATTCCATTCGATCATAATCGCACCAGCACAGGGACCCTGCGTCTCGAACATGAGATCTGACAATTCTACCGTGCCAACTTCTCCCGGGTTCCCGATTTTCCACATCACCTTGGGATTGAACTCGTCCTGAAAGTATGGACCACGGCACATGATGATACTGAGTAACTCGCCTGTGATTTTGAGATCCTTGGGTACGTTGATAGTAGTGGTGACAACATATGCACCTTTGTCAAAATAGACAATCTTGCCTTGTGACGCAGCTGTATTGAACAAATTTTGCATTGCCACTGACTCGTCTGCTGCGCCATCACCAATGAGACCGAATGCTTTCGCACTGATAAAGTTGTCCGCCCACGACAGCTCCTCGTACTGAGGCTTGACACGGTAGACGTAGGCACCGGTGCTATCGACTAGATTAGAGGGCCGAGGAATGGGTGCAAGCGCTCTCTGGATAGTGGTCTCCTGGGCGGTGTATGCTGTCTGGCTGCTGTTCTGATATACGCAACTAGTGCCATTGAAGACTTGACCGTTGAGCGCCTGCCCAGCTGTTGTCCAAGCGTTCCCTTGGGCCCACAGTTCGACAAATTGACCGCCTGCTAAGATGGTACGTGCCGCTGTTCCACCTGCTGCTGAGATGGCAGTCGGGCTGGCCGTGAAGTCGACTCTTTCTATCACTAGTGTGCCTGCAGCTTGTGGAGAGCTGTAGCCGGGGATATATGCAGTCAAGATGCCCTGGGTCGCAGCTATATTGCTGTCAATGAGTACGAGGGAGCCAACCACCTGATTAGCAACACCGCCGTTGGTCATGTCAATGCCAACATCACAGTTGACAATCGTGAGCTGTGTAAATAACCAAACCCAATCAAAATTCATCTTGATGGCGGTCGTACAACCATCAAACCGGATTGCTCGTGTCGTGAATTGCTGATTTCCCAGGTATGCCCCAATCGCTCCGCCCGTAATGACCATGTTAGAAAAGAATCCACCGGAGCCATTCTCCATATTGATTCCCTGCTGCTTATTGTTCAAGACATCTTTGGGAACCATGTTGATGACGATATTTTGCATACTGGTTGCTTGAGCAACTTGCCAGTGAATACCAGCAGTGTTTAATGGTGCTCCAGTCATGTCGATGATAAAGTTTCGCAGTTGACGGAAAAAGTTGTTCTGATTTGCATGCCACTGGTTACCAGAGCCTGCAGGAATATATGGCAATGAATCAAAAACGGCTAAACCGAGCTGGCCAACGGTATAGTTGGCTTGTACCTTGATGATTGGGGGATTGACGGCATCTCCCACTATTTGTGAGCCGTAGTACATGATCAACGGTCTGGAGACCAAGTATGTGCCAGGCGGGAAATAAACCAGTGCTGGGGTGACGGTAGAAGATTCGCAGAATCTTCCAAAGGTCGCATTACCACCACCACATCGATTACCAGGTGCCGTAATCGCACGATTGATCGCATCGGTATCATCCCGGACACCTCCGCCTGTGTAGAACTCACAGTCAGCGTTCGAACTCAGAGCGGGTGAAAAGCTGGCGTGACACTTACCTGTTGCACCATAATCTTTGACATTCCGAAAGACGGGATAGCTAGGGTCCTGAAATGCAACTTTACCAACATGAGGTTTGTTCGCTAGCCAGTAGCTTGACTGTTGTAGTGAAGATGCGATGAAAGACAGGAAACATGCTAATGTTAGTACTAATGTTGACAACATTGTAGAGGAGAGATATTAGCCCGTTGTATGGAAAAGCTTCTTCTAGAGAACAGAGAGAAATAGGCGTCGTGTTCTGAGGAAGATGTAGCAAATTTACATTTTCGTTCAGCACGCGTAGCAGACGCGTAGAAAGGAGACGCTCCTTTGTCACAATCCCCCTTGGAGCGTGCGATATTGAGGAATGTTGCTTGGCTGGTATCTGGAATGTGCGACGTAAGCACCGCGCCAAACGCAGATTCTTGGAGGGCACACCTTTGAAAAGCCTTCCTCAGCCATGCTGTTGGATCGTTGCTTGCTTAGACAGAGCAATCTGCTATCACGTTGACATTATCTTGAAATATCCAACACGAAACATTCACTAAGAATCGCAACTATGAGGGCATCCACAATAGTCATCCTCGCTATCAACTTCATTGCTCTGAACGCCAATGGACTCGGGATAGAAACGAGGGACGAGATGTGAGTGAGCCCAAAGATCAGGCTCCGCGTACATTGTTAACTTACCTGTTCACGTAGTCAGCGGTTGGAGGCACCTCTCTCCGCTCCAAACAACCCATGTCTCAATACAGAACAGAGGGAGTGCATAGGAACTCCAGGCGTTTGTTGCCCAGAGGCTTGCCAGGGCGCGGAGCAAATTTGTCCCCTTGAAGATGTTGAGAGGGTTGATATGACAATCGGGGGTGAAGCCGTAGCTAGGAAACGTGGAGTGGAAGCTGCGATCTAAGGGGGTTGAACTTGTCGAAGGTCGTCTGCAAGTAGCGCAACGGTGAACGAACGAGCATGTAACTCTGGGCAGTGCTTACCGCTTACATCCAACAGCATCGCCGTGCTTTTAAGTCTTCATGTCAATTATTCCAATGTGCGCTTGACGGCCGCTAGCACGAGCCCAATCTGCTGCACAGCTCGTGATGAAGTTGAAGGAGTTTCTCCTGTTAAAAAGCAGGCTTGTTTGTATTAAGCTAAGTTAGAGAGGATATCAAGTGTGAAAGATCGCTCAGAGACCCAGTTCCACCGAAAATAGCGACTGGGAACTATACATTGCCTCCCTCAATTTTCCCTTCCTTCGGTCCTTGTGCAGTATACTTGAGTATGGGACGAAGCTGAGACTATTCGTCGAATCAAAGTCAAAGGTCTCAACTACCACCATATGCTTGTTTAATCTCCTTCTCATATCTGGCCTGGATCTTCTTCCTCTGAAGCTTTTGTGCAGGGGAGATGAAGCCCTATGACATGGTTAGTCCCGTTTTGATGCGAAGGAGATTGTACTCACATTCTGTGGTGTCCACTCCTCGTCAGCAATAACAACACCATCGATAAGTTCAATTCCTGAGAGGCCAACGTCACGGCCGGCTTTCTGGACTTCTTTCAGTACCAGAGCATTGACTCTTTTGTCGTGAGCCATTTCTTCTATAGATTCGCCCTTGATACCATTCGCAGCTGCAAGCTTCTGGAGTGTTGCTTCGACCGGCACAATGATTGCAATGGGCTTAGCTTTGTCCTCTTGGGCGAACACACAGATATTTCCCACAACAGGGGCAGTACGATATGATGACTCAAGCTTCTCAATGGCGATGTATTCACCGTTCAGTGTCTTGACCAAGTTCTTCTTGCGATCGATGATTCGGAGATGTCCATTGCTGTTGAATTCTCCGATGTCACCGGTCTTGAACCATTTGTCTTCTGTGATGGCCTCCTTGGTTTCCTTCTCATTGTCCCAGTAGCCTTCGGTGACAGAAGGGCCACGAATCCAGATCTCACCTTGAGGAGGCTTGTTTGTAGAGTAATATCCAGCATCTGGGAAGTCCACTAGTTTTACTTCGACGCAGCCGGGAATATCACCTAGAGCAGTTGGATCCCACGCCAATGGATCTTGAAGGCAGCCCATAGCCGAGGTTTCCGTCAAGCCGTAGCCAGAGATCATGGGCGTGATGGCGTAACTGATGAACTTGATGGTCTCTTGGGAAATGGGACCACCTCCATTGAAAGCGATACGGAGGCGCCCGCCTGTAGCATCCTTCAATTTCTTGAATACTACTGCATCAAGAATTGCAGTGCCAGGGAGACCGCTTGAAAGGAGTGTTTGTTTGAGAGCCAAAGCACCCCAGAATAGGTTTTTGGTGATGAAAGATCCACTGTTAACCTTTGCAATGATGCCCTTCTTGACACTCTCCCAGACGGCAGGAACTCCGATCAGGACTGTTGGCTTGAATTCTCTGATATCTCCTTTGCAATTGCGAACCGACGAATCGGACAGGGTCTTGGGATTTCCGTATCCCATGGTACCTCCCCAGAAGAGGGTGACATTTTCAAACATATACTCGAAAATGTGCGACTGAGGTAGGTAGGTGAGGAGTGCATCGGCTGGGGAAATGTAGGGAGCTACAACACTTTGGACCCCAGCCATTGCGGCCACAACAGCCTTGTGTTTGATGGTTACACCCTTGGGTGGACCTGTAGAACCGGAGGTGTACATGATACAGGCAAGGTCCTCGGCATCGGGTGGGACAGGGTCGGAGGGGTTCTCAGCCCCAGCCTTCCTCAGCTCGTCCACGCTGAGAACTTTAAGCTCGGGAAAGGATGACCTCAGCTTCTCGATATCAGCTTCCTTGGGTTCTGGTTCATTGTTGTAGATGACGGCTTGAAGGGCCTTGGCATCTTTGACGACTTTGAGGAAGGTAGGGATCAAATTGGGGTCAAGGAAGATGGCCTTGGAGCCGGTCTGGACTAGAGAATGTCTCAATCCCTCTTCACCGAGGGAATCGTATGCGGTGACAACTGGGATCGATTGAGAAGCAGCGGCATGCGACATACCAAGCCAGTGAGCACTAGGCAAGTTAGAATCGTCGCGAAGTAGAAGGCGGTTGGATACTTACCTAGTGGCACCGTAAAGATGCATTTTGTCATCCTTGACAAGACCCAGAGTGCGTAGACCCGAGCCATAGTCAAGAGCCAGCTTTTCGTATTCGACAAAGGATATATAGGTGTAGCCACTTAGTTCATAGTAGGTCCATTTCTTGTCTACCTCTTGCTCCACGCCGTCGACCAACTTCTTGACCTTTTTGTTTTCGACATGGGTCTTGATGATTTTCCTCGAACCCATAGCTTTGGCATTGCCAAACTTCCTAGCTGCGCGTCTGAGATTGTCATAGATGGTCTTGACCTCATCCGAGGGCCGGACGATGAGCTGATCTTTCGCTAACGGATTGCGTCTGGGGATTGTTTCGCCATCTTTCTTCTCGTAACCTGAAGCGTCTACCGAGAAGGGAGGCTTCCTGCTCATCTGTGGGGATACCTGGCCATCAACCCGGGTTCGGGTGTCATTGTCCAGAGAAAAGGCCATGTTGAGTTGGTGGATTGCTGAGTCGAAGTATGTTGGGTTTGCCAATGGAGGCGAAACAGCGGCTTTGGAGGGGAAATATGAGAAGGGGATTGGAATAGAGAAGGAAAGTCAAAGAGGATGGAGGAATGTGCCTGGTGTCAGGAAGATGAGGGCAGTGTTGAGTCGTGACCAGTTTCGCCAGGCAATCCTGTGTCTTGTCGAGTCTTGGATCTTGGATCTAAACTCAAGACCAGCCTGTCTTGGTGAGGGTGTGGCACAGTAAAGAGCTAGCTGTTTACGTCAGGGCGGGGAGGAGAGTGGACAGCATGGGTGATCTGGAGATAGGCTACAGCCTGCGGCCCAAGAGACACCTGGAATCAAAAGCTCTGGCACCTATTGGGCCCTAGTGCACGATTACGCGCGGAACTTGCCCCCGGGGGCAACGGATCTCTAGGAATTGTTGGGCATGATGGTCACCACGCCAACATCAAGCCCCCAGACTGGGCTTTCTTGGTTTCATCTCAGAGGTGGTGTCGTAACACAACCTCATCCTTCTGGGCATTATTCTTTCAGATCTAGTCGTATTTCGTACACGTCGTTCAGAGGCTACATAACTCTATCATTACTTGACGAGTACCAACCGCTGTATACGGAGTACGGCGACCAGCTTCCCTCCTGTGTACGAGAGCCTTGCCTCCCGTAACCCAAGGGCCGCTTCTTTATTACTGAAAATCACAACCTTGCTTACCAAATAAATCCTCTTATCCTCGGTACTTGAACATTGAATTTGATAGCAATTGGTGGACTCCGTTACCATGTCACGAACCCTTGATGCTCGTGACCAGGTAAGCTGAGCATCGGATGCAAAGATCTGACGACAGTGATTCCCAAAGTGACGTGGGCAAACACCCATCGATTATCATTCCGCCTTCAAGTTCAGAGGTCGGAATGAGTCAATCCACCATTTCACGTCTGGAACTACTCCATACGCTGCTTGGTACACCACTACAAGATGCTGAAGAAGGTAGTTAAGCCACGCTTTGGTTGGTCTTTCTTCTGACGACTTGCATCAGAAACGTTCTTGCTGTTCAGCCAAGACATCCCGAGCAATAACTTAGGGTTTGTCGATGCTGAAGCAGAGACCATCGAAGTTGAAATCGCGGGCCAAGATTACACGTTTCAGCAGTCTCCTGGCCTTCTCAAGTCCAACAGTGTAGGAGGTACAACAGGTGCTGTCTTGTGGAAAGTTACTCCACTCCTAGCTTCGTGGTTGAGTTCCTTTCCATCAGTACTGACCGACCTCCACACTCTGCATACGAGCTCGGTGATTGTCGAACTTGGATGTGGATTGACTGGTCTCATCGGACGTGTCCTGTCCCGATCTGTGCGGCGTTACGTTCTGACTGATCAGCCATTGATTGTGAAGCATCTCAAGGCAAATTTGATTGATGGTGCGCTAGCAGATACCAGTACTTGCACTAAGAGCAAGAAGAAGAGCACGACAACCAAACAGGATGTGCTGCAAGCGATGCCTCTAGACTGGGAGAATGATGCTGCAACCAATTTGAAAACTAGTCTCCCGGCCGATGCAGAGATTGACCTTCTGATATTGTGTGACTGTGTCTACAACGAATATCTAGTGAAGCCCCTGGTCCAGACATGCGTGGACACGTGTATGCTGGGATCTGGGGCTGGTGATAGGAGTCTGCGTGGGAAACAGACCGTGGTTCTAGTGGCACAGCAACTACGGTCAGATGTCATCTTCGAATTGTTTCTAGAAACTATGATGGAGAAATTCGAGATGTGGCGGGTTCCTGAAGAACGCCTGGCGGTCAATTTGGCTCCTACTTCAGGCTATGCTGTCCATCTGGCAGTTATGAAGAACGGTAGAGGAGCAAGTCGATAGAGTGGATCGAGAAGTAGGGAGAGAAAGAAAAACATGGCCTACGGCTACAACTTGTTCCCTGCTTTGCTTCTCATCATCAGAAAAAGTCTGGGTTTTTATTAGTTGTGCACAGTCTTGGCATTTGCGGTGAAGGAAGTTGAAGGTCGCTCTCTGCCACATGGAGACGATTGCTCGATGCATGCCAGTGGGCAGTGGCCCTTATCCTGCAACGTCGCCCACTGCTGCCCACCGCCCTCGGCCCTGCCCACATTAAGCAAGGCAAGGGCGGATGAAAAGGGCATTGCTCCTACTCTAATGGAATACGGATACCTGCTGTAGCCTGTACTCGTAGTAGACTCACCTAATAGTGCCCGTGGGTTGCAAATAGGTAAATAACAAGCAATAGTAAATACCTAGATACCAGCCTGTGTTCTGCTGCATCCCACATCCCACATTGCACATCACACTGCGCTGCATTGGTCGCCGGCAAAGTGACCAGTCCACCACACACCAACATCCCTGCCCGGTCCTTAATTCTCCCCAGTTGTACTTTGTACCCTGCCTACTTTTCCCATCTGCTTCACATTTTATCTCCGCAACTCGAACTCGAACTCGACCTCGACCTTGCATCTGTGTCTCTCATCCATGCTCTATTGCACTCTGGCTCTTTCTGCGTTGTTGGGTTGAACGTAAGGTATTGGCCCTTCCAAGGGCAGACTTGGTCGCCATGGATCTGCGCAATATAATTCAGTCCACCCTGTCAGCAGATGCCGCAGTCCGCTCTCAGGCTGAGTCCTCTCTCAGGGCCGCTGAACAACATGCAGGTTTCATCGCTGCCCTCTTGGACATCATCCAGTCCGAGCAGGACGCCTCCATTCGACTCTCCACCGCCGTCTATCTGAAAAATCGCATATCGCGGGGTTGGGCCACCGAAAACACTCCTCACCAACCCATCGCCGACCAAGAGCGAAAGCCCTTCAGAGACCGCATCCTACCTGCTCTGTCCTCCTCCCCTCCGCTGATCCGCGCCCAGCTTATTCCTATCCTGCAGACCATTCTGCAGCACGACTTTCCTGCGAAATGGCCCGAGCTCATCGACATTACCATGCAATTGCTGAACACTCAAGATGCCAATTCCGTCTATGCTGGCTTGCAATGCCTCTTGGCTGTCTGTCGCACCTATCGTTATCGAGCAGGGGAAGAGAGGGCCAACCTTGACAAGGTCGTTGTTGTGTCTTTTCCCACAATTCTTTCAATCGGCAACAAACTGGCCAATGAAACCAGCCTCGAAGCCGGTGAAATGCTGAGACTGGTGGTTAAGTGCTACAAACATGCCATCTATTATGCCCTGCCCCAGCCTCTTCAACCTCACCAGGCCACAGTCGATTGGTGTACCTTGTTTTTGACCGTCATCTCCAAACCCCCACCCGACTGTGCGATGGACGATGATACCGATGAACGAGAACGGAATCATTGGTGGAAGGCCCGGAAATGGTCCTATGCCAACTTGAACCGCCTATTCGTGAGATATGGTAATCCTTCGGGACTTTCCACACAACAAGAGAAGGACTACGGCGTTTTTTCGAAAAATTTCATCACAAACTTCGCTCCTGAAATCCTCAAAGGATACCTTCAGGAGATCGAGAAATGGGTCGGTGGAAACCACTGGCTGAGCAAGCCTTCCTTGTCGTACACGTTGATTTTCATGGAGGAATGTGTAAAGCCCAAGGTCATGTGGGACAAGCTCAAACCCCATATGGATATCCTCATCAAGCATCTCATTTTCCCCGTTCTGTGTCAATCGGACGAGGATATGGAGCTGTTCACCGACAGTCCTCCTGAGTATCTGCATCGCAAGCTGAATTTCTTCGAAGAAGTGTCTGCCCCCGATATGGCCGCCACCAACTTCCTCATTGCCCTGACCAAGTCACGGAAACAACAGACCTTGGGCATTTTGTCTTATGTAAACGAGATTGTCACTCGATACGAAGCTGCTCCGGATGACCAGAAAAACCCGAGGGAGAAGGAAGGTGCACTCCGTATGATCGGTTCTCTCGCGCTCGTGATTCTGGGCAAGAAAAGCCCGATTGCTGATCAGGTTGAATATTTCTTTGTTCGACACGTCTTCCCAGAATTCAGATCTCAGCACGGATTTTTGCGAGCAAGAGCATGTGAAACTATGGAGAAATTCGAGCAATTGGAATTCAAAGATCCGAACAACCTCATGATTATCTATAGGAACATCCTGGAGTCCATGGCCGATCCTGAGTTGCCCGTTCGCGTGATGGCCTCCTTGTCATTGCAGCCCCTCATCAGACATGATGCCATACGCCTGGCGATGCAATCCAATATCCCACAGATCATGCATCAATTGCTGAAATTGATGAACGAGGTTGACGTGGACGCTCTGTCAAACGTTATGGAGGACTTTGTCGAAGTGTTTGCCGAACAACTAACACCCTTTGCTGTGGCGTTGAGCGAAAATCTCCGAGATACATATCTTCGCATCGTCAAAGACATTGTGGACCGGAACGAAGCAAGGGCAGTTGACGATGGTCCTGCATATGGTGATTACCTTGACGACAAAGCGATTGCAGCCTTGGGTGTTTTGCAGACCATTGGAACCCTCATTCTGACATTGGAGGCAACACCTGACGTTCTCCTGCTGCTCGAAACAATCCTTATGCCTGTCATCACAATCACACTGGACAACAAACTGTATGATCTTTACAACGAGGTGTTTGAGATCATTGACTCTTGCACATTTGCTTCCAAATCAATATCCCCGACGATGTGGCAAGCATTCGAGCTCATGCACAAATCATTCAAAGATGGAGCAGAGCTATATCTGGAGGACATGTTACCTGCTCTGGACAACTTTGTCACATATGGTACCCAGAGATTGATTGAGCACCCTCCATACCTAGCCGCTGTCTCTGGAATGGTCAGGGACATCTTTGCTGACCCGAAGGTGGGTGGTGTGGACCGTATCTGCGGCTGTAAACTTGCAGAGGCGATTATGTTAAACCTGCGAGGTGGACCGATCGACAGCTACATCCCTACTTTCATCACCCTGCCGATGGAGGTGCTCACCGGCCCACAGGCAAAGTCAATCATGAAGAGCTACAAGATTCATCTCGTCGAGATGGTCATCAATGCCCTTTACTACAACCCCATCCTTGCACTACAGGTCTTGGAATCACATGCCTGGACCAACAAGTTCTTCTCAATATGGTTTGGTAGCATTGATTCGTTCCGCCGAGTCCATGACAAGAAATTGTGCATCGCGGCTATTTCAGCACTTCTTATCATCCCTGGCGACCAGGTCCCTCAGTCAGTACAGACCGGCTGGCCTCGTCTGCTAACTGGTGCGACCTATTTGTTCCGCACCCTTCCAGCTGCACTAAAACAACGGGAGGATGCAGTCAAGGCGTCCGATGGTGTTAGTGACACACTGTCGGAATATGCCTCCGATGATGAAACAGAGGATTGGGCGGACGAGCCCAGCGATGGACAACAGGCACATGAATGGGGCAATGTCAATGCGGCCACCATTCCTGACACCAAAGGCGATATCAAGGATGAGTCGCAGGCTTACCTTGATTTCTTGAGTGAAGAGGCGAAGAAGTTTGGTGCTCTAGCTGACGATGACGATGATAGCATCCTCGATGAAGACAGCTTGCTCGAAAGCCCCTTGGACAAATTTGATCCTTATACTACGTTTAGGGAGAGCCTTGGGAAATTGCAAGCTGAGCAACCGCAGCTTTACACCAACTTGACTTCGATTTTGGAGCCTGGAGATAGGGATGTCTTGCAAAGTGTTGTTACGCACGCCGCTCAGCAGCAACAACAGCAGTAGGAGCGGAGGCTCGTACAGATATTTCTTCCGATCAAGGTGGTGTCTGGTAGACGTTTTAGATCTGTGTGTGGCAAGAACATCAGATGTCAAGCGATCGGCAAGTCCCAAGATATGAGGGAAGCGGATCCCCTTCTCAATGGAGTCCATGGTTATTGTCAAAGCGTTTCAGTCCGCCAATTTAGCCTACAAGTTGCCCTTCGACCTCTCCCTTTAGACAGAGTGGTCTTGATGAGCGAAGCAAGCACGAGCATGCTGGGGTGAGGATTCCATGTTTTCCAGCCAATATGAGTGTCTGATCCTTTTTGCTTTGAAAAATGGATGGGGAAAAGAGATTGAGGAAGAAGAGATGGAAACCAACCGAATTGAGAGGAAAGATGGGCTCATGTGGCATGTGAGCTGAGATACGTCGTCAAAGAAGGCTGAGATCCCTTGGAACAGCCACTGCTGCCTCCCGCTTGACCTACACGAGTAGTTTGGATTCAGGCTACCCTTGGATCACTCACCATTGCTGGCTATGACACTCGTTCAGATCCATTTACCCCACACCTGATAGATCAGCATCCAAAGAGGACAGAAAGAGTTGAGCCTCGAGCAGTATGTTGTCGTGTTTCTTGTCCAGAAAGCTGGACAGCCATACTATCCATACCATCCCGACGATCAAGTAGATAGCCCCCCTACCCAAAATTCAAACATATATGCCATAGTACTGTGAATGATCCACTTATTACACACCTCCAGGCCCTATGTATACCACTTCACATGCAGCAACCCATATGCATCAGTTATACTCACCCAAGTCCAAAGCAACAGTCATCGTCATCGTCATCATCACACACCTAGGTTAACGCCCGACCACTGCAACCACGGTACAGCAGATAGCATCCACCAAGGTACTAGGTTACCACACACACATATCTCAATATCGGAATGGATCAATCTAGATAAACTCCTGTTGGTTGCTCTACCTCGCGTTCGATGATCAGAAATAGTCGCCTGGTCGAAACTTCCGATCATGGTTACAGATACGACAAAGGGCTAAGGTCAGGTCAAGTAAGGGAGGTATTTGATTTTTGGGGGATATCTGTAGTTCCGTGAACAGAATAAGTAGTAAGTAATAGAAAGAATAATGATTGTTTTGCGAATTTGTCCATGGCTTCAAAGGGTGTTGTTGTTGTTCCATCCGAGTTCCCGCCCGTTCCTTGTCCATCCCCTTTCCCGATTTTCACTCCTTCGCTATGCTGGCAATAGCTTGTTCAGAGACACACACGCACACAATACGTACCAAAGGAGTAGCAACAGTAGCAACCCCGGATTTCATACTGTATCAATACTTTTCTTTCCCTTTAGACCTTGCATGCTCCATTTCGTTTCCCTCTATCCTTGGCTCCCGCCCGCTCACAATTTTGTTACCGAGCATTTTTCACACATGAGCCTTTTTTGTTGAAACAATAAGCTCACACAGACGAGGGTCGAAAAAACAAGCCAAAGGTCTAGGTCATCCATCAATCATATGCAAAGATTGTCCCATGGCTATCGATCAACAAGAAGCCCCAGCCAGCCAACCTCCAGCACCACCCGCCAATATCCACGATACAAAGTAGGGAAACAGATGTGCATGAACCTGCAATGGCCAAATACAGAAGTTGAAAAACAAAGCGAACACCTTTGCTCAACATGAAATATGTCGTCGGAAGTCGTTACTGTCGATTAAAAACTTCAATGATGCTGAGAGGCAATGTGACAAGCGCATGGCCGTGGGATGGCTCTTAAGCAGGGCTTTTGGCGCTTTGTGGACCACCGTTGCGGCGCGGAGGCTGGTTCTCGTCACCCACACTAAGATTGCCTAGACCGGCAGAGAGGAATGCAAAAGGATCGGCGTTAGGTTCGTTGCCATAGAAGCCATTTTGAGGGCCGTTTCCTGGCATGTTGTGAGGAGCTGTATCAGCTGCTCCACTGAAAGCAGCCTGAGCCGCTGGACCGAATGAAGAGTGAGACATGTTACTTGATGCATATCCAGGAGTCATGCCACCCATTTGAGGGAAGGCTCCTCCCGGGCCACCCATGCCTGAGGGCATACCATATTGGTTCGGTGGCTGAGCAAATGCGGCACCAGAGCCGAAAGCAGCAGCGCCGGCACCATAAGGAGCTGGTCCAGGAGTACCTTGCATTGATGGAGGCCCCATTCCAAACTCTGAAGGCGGGCCCATGGGCGATGGGAATGAAGAGTCAACCACCACAGCAGCACCTGATCGTGGTGCACCGCAGCGAAGGCAGTTAATATTCTTTGCGAAGTTGTGGTATTGGCAACCTTCAGCGCCACAACGCCAATCACCAGCACGGAATGGCACAACGCCTGCTCCACCTCTCGGGTGATGGCCATGGTTGTGGTGTCCCATGTGAGGAGGATGACCTCCATAAGGAGGATAGCCGTGGTGGTAGGGAAAAGCATTAGCGTTGTATGGGTCGGCAGCACCTGAGCTCGCGGCTGGGAACGAGCATCTGAAGCAAGCAGTGCGGCGTTGAAAGTTTGAGAATCCGCAGGATGGGCAGTTCCAATCACCAGGTCGAGGACGATTCTTACTCGGAGGAAATGGTGTGAGGATTTCGGCGGCACGATCGAGGACTCGGCTTGAGGAAGGCGAAACCTCGATGGCCTTCTCGTTGAGAGCGCGACCGTTCATACAGAGACTCTCAGCTGCCTGTAGTGAAGTCATTGCGTTAGTAGTAGAACCTGTAAGTGGGAGTGATGGTGAGATCAAGCAATGAGGGAGGGCAAGTAATAATGATGAGTCAAGACAGGGAGGTTCTGAGAAAGATAGGGTGGGAAATACCTCTTCGTGTGATGAAAAGACGGCGAAACCAGACCCAGTAGGCTTGTGCTGATCCGGAGTACGAAGAGTCCAGAAGGCGATTGGTCTACCACCGAATTGCGTAAACCAGCTTTCAAGTTCCGACTGGGTTGTATCGTGTGGCAAACCGTTCATGTGCAGAACTTTGCTACGCTCCTTCAAGAAGGCATTGACGTCGGCCCTTGCGTCCATGGGGCGAGTCAAGATTTCTGGATGGTCATGGGCGGGCTGCGACTTCCGAATGAGGCCTCGCAGAACCCTGGCAAGAGTGACGGCCTCTTCCATGGCACGACGCGGGGAGGCAGGAGCCAGGGCTTGGAGGTGAAAAGGCAGGTTGTGCTTGATTGGGGCGGAAGATTGCACAGGTTCCACCTCCAGGGCAGCACAAATGTTTGCTAGTGAGCTGGGACCGAATGGGAGGGACTCTGGATGGTGCTGTTGCCAACGGGCGTATTCTGAGCGCAGGTCGAAGGTCCGGGAATGCTGCAGGTAAGCTGGTAGGACGACTGACTTGTCGCGAGCTTCTCGGGGCAACTGGACCCGCAGGTCCCAGGCATCCAGTGTGACAAAGGAGAACTCGAGGTTCTTGGATATAAGATGCTCCTGGGCAAAGTGGTCGAAACGAGCCACTGCATCGCGGAAGGACCCGGCATTACGGACATGCTCCCAAGTCAAGGTGGTGAGGCTGGCTGGAGTTTCAAAGTCAGTATATCTTGCCCTCGTGTTACGACCTTTTGAAAAGTCCCGACTTACTGCACAGTGGGGTGATGGGTGTATTGATGGGCTTGACGAGCACACTTTCCCGGTATATCTGAACCCCATGGTGTCAACAATGGTTTCCACGAAGCTGCTTCTTTCAGAAGGATCAAGGACGTACCTCATCGCAGGTCTTTGCATCGAGCAAAATCCACCCAAGCTCAATGACTTCGGCAGAATCTTTTGTAACGAAAACTCCATGCTCATCGCAGGTGGTGGCCATATGAATGATGACATATCGATCGAGCTTGGGCACGGGAGGAGCAGCGGTGGCCATGTTGAATTGAATATCTCTGGATATCAAGGTTCGCTCGGATGGTAGGGTCTTGAGAATGAGGCGGGTAGAAGTGGTCAGATTATGCGGCGAAGCCTAGTTGGACGGTATCTATTGGCAGCAGGTTGTTCAATCAGTCATCTACCCATTTTGAAAGCGACAAGGATTCAACGGAGCCGGGGAGTGAAGGGAACGAGAGGAACCACGAACAGACTCGAGGTCAGAAATAGCAAAGGCCCGACCAACTCCAGCAGATCGGGGAAATGGCGTGCAATTGTGCAAAAGTAACCCCCAAGATATAGCAATGAACGTCTTTGGAAATCCCGGGAACAGGCCAATATACGATGTCGATGAGAGAGAAGCCGGGGATAGGAGATGAGAGATGGGGAAGAAAGATGGATGACTGCGGACGACAAAAAGACAAGACCAAGGGACTGGGACAAAAAAACGAGATTCGAGGTCAGGTAAGGTCAAAGTTGCAGTTTCGGGAAGAGGAGCGGCGAGAGAAACGGATTCGTGGATGTACAACGCAATGCCAGTGCCAGTGCCAGTAGGACTCGTAGTGCCAGGCCACTGCAATCGATGAATAATTGTGGATGTGGATGTGGATGTGGGTGTCCCGACCAAAAATTTGGTAACTAAATCTCGACTGGCTTAGTCGTGCCAGCGACTCGTGCGGCGGCGGAAATGGACAACTAGTCCTAGACTCCCAGGTACCTTAGGTACTTACAGGCTAGGAACGAGGTACTAATCAATTTGTGCTTGTAGGCATGACCGGGGGGGCCTCTGGCTCAGTGTTATCGGCCAACTCCTCTATTTAAGATCGACATACGTACTACTACCTGCCACTGTATTAGATATCTATCTACATCAACTGTGGACCAATATTCGGGGTCTTGAAGTACTCACATAAATTAATGATGCTCTGTCGCAATGTAATGGCGACCTTCAGAAGATTGCCACTGACAACCTCAACCCAGACCGCTTTGTGAGCACTGAATGGAAAACAGATTAACTGAAAGACTTGGTACTCGAGCTTCCAGGAGGCTCCATTTTCTAGACGGGGGTATCGCCCTCTATCATGGCCCGAGGCCTCTGGTTGTGCAACTTGACTGCTTTTGACTGACTACTCGGTGCCATTTCGTCCCAGGAGCCCAGGACTATCTCGTACAATGAGATGCGTATTGTGATTCTAGTACATTTGGTGATCATTCTACTCGCTCGACCGATGTCTTTTTTTACATCTTCTGTCTGGATGCCTGCAGCCTGACAGCCTTTGTCTCGCGCAGCTATCCGTGGGCGTGGGCGGGCGTGGGCGCGGATGGTGGGATCCCCTAGGCGATGCCCAGAAGGATAATGTCAGAAAAGCATGGCTTGTTTCAGGCCCTGGCCTTCCTGTGGACTCCCCCCTCAAAGCACCCCTACTAGAAAGCTCCCATCCCTACCAACACCAACCAGTCTCAGCCTCAAGGCATTTCCGGAAACGTGGGACTTGACTTGTCCTCGGTAAGTCTCTGGTGCTACCTATCTCGCTGCCCACCTTCTCGCCTAGGAGTCAGTTGGGTCCTCGTACGACTGCTTCCCAGCACCCTCGTGAGTCGTGTACCTACCTCCGTAGTACCACCTGAATCAGGGAGCTTTGCGGGCACCGAATGGTTGGGAGTGATGACCACTTGATAGTCAGAAGAACCTGAGGTCAATACATTTCATGCCTCAATGTGTCACAGTTCATCTCCTGCCTGTCGTCAGTGTCGTGGCATCACACAGACTGACAACTCGAACGGTTGACAACCACCTGGCATTGTCACGCCATCCAGTATCCATACTCTACCCTTTACCCGTTGATGCCCACACTAACTGAAGCACCATCCCCATCCCCGTCTCCACGCTCACACCAAAATCCCGACCCATCCGTTCAACCATGGTACTACTATCCGTATGCTTACACGCTTTGAGCCTTCAGGTTCTGTTTGGGTAAGGAGCTTGGGTGGTGGTATCCGTAAGTTAATCCAACTACCTCGTACTGCCTGTGGCATCTCCCCAATGCGAGAGAAGTGTATCACTCTGCCACCCCAAGCGACTGGCACTGGCACGGAAACGTCGCTGGGACGCTTGCCCCCGGCATTCCGTTCGGTACCAACTCGGAGCCTAACAACTGCCATAAGCTCCAACCGTCCAATCGGTAAGGTGTCAATTTAACGGCGTGTTGTCAAGCCACGTTCGCTATCTCACTAGTTGGTTAACTAAAACTAATGGGACATACGAGTAGGCTGTCATCAAATTCAGGTTTTTGAACATTGAGACTATCCTCAAGCATATCATTCTTCACATTGCACGAGGTCAGATACTCAGGGAAAAGTGGCATTGACCAAATGATAAGCTCTTGTATGTCAATGCACATGTTGATGCCCGATCTTTTGGGGATTACCACGAACAGCCCAAGCTCTCACCCAGATCGATCTATCTGTGTAACTACCGCCAATCCTGATGCCCAACCCGAGCTTTAACATCTTACTGACTTGGAATTTGCGCCTGCTTCTCTCCACAGACTATACATCAAGGTCAGTTCCCTCAATGAAACCTGCTTGAGTGGCGAAGAAACACTGACACTCTTCTCCTTTTGGCCAGCATCTGGTCCATATGTGGAATGATCATCGATCTGCATCACAGAACCGTTAGATCAAATGCAGCCTCGTAACCATTATACCCAACTCCACGAAGATTCCAGGTTGATCTCTCTTGTGTTTGCGAATTCCCTCCAGCATCTGTTGCTTTGGCAAAGATCTTCTTGCCCTTTCCTCTCTCCATCTTGATGCTTGCGTTCCACAGGACCCAGGTCCATCGGCTCCCAGTTTCGCCACCGTCTTCGAGCTGTGCATCCACCCAAGTTTTGCCTTCATCACCCGAAACTTGCACTCTGATAACAGGACCATGATGGCCTTGTGGGACGGCATAACCAAGAACTTCAATCGAACCACTGGATGGGAGAGTGATTGTAGATTCAGAAGTTGGATAGGCAATACAGGAATTGACCGGCATTTCGAGCATTGAAGGGCACAAGACCCAATACTTTTCAGCTGTTGCTGCATCAACTGCTTCGGGCGGTAAGACTTTGTAGTCATGCTGCTGATAGAAACAGGGCGACTCCTTGTCCGAAATCGAAATCCGGTCGAGCCATTTGACAGAACGAGCTCCGAGCACACCGGGAACCACCGACCGGACTGGGAAACCATGACGAGCAGGCAAGGGCAGTCCATTCATCTAGGTCCTAATCAGCAGCACGAACCTCGAAATGAACATTGGGACCGTCTCTGTACCCACCTTGACAGCTAGAATGACTTCCATCTCAGGATCCATCGCTCGATCGAACGGTATGCTACCGCCGTACCACTCATCTTGTTGAGTCTTGCCACCATAATTGGCGAAATGGACGTGCATTGGTGAGACGCCATCATGCACCACCCGGTCTTCTTGGACGCCTGCAGCCAGGAGAATGTCTCGGACTCTGGGTCCTTCCCATGTACAATTCATCACTGCGCCGTCAAACCAATCGACCCCCAGAACCTCTTTGATGCGGGTGCGCATTGTATGGCGACGGTTCCCAGCACACTGCAATGTACATGTGACTTGATGCTGGGGAAATTCATTCGCGAGCTGGGCCACTGTGAGATTGAGCGGTTGGGAAACAAGGCCGTCCACTTTGACTGTGTGGTCGCACCCGTTCTTGTGCTGAATTGGCCCATGGTTGCGGTCGTAATTATCACTCTTGGTAATGAAACTATTTCTCTGGTGAGTTTGTGGCTCTGGTCATACAAAATCAATGCTGAGTTCTCTTTACCTGGATACCAAGTCGATCATGCATGGCTCACGATTGATTGGACTCTCCACGGTTCCATCATCGAAAAGACATGCTTTCCCCTTGAGTCAGCTGTTAGCAACAAGATAGGACGAGCGGTAATCCCCAAATACTTACGATCGGCATCTTGATGGAGTAGTTTTCAAGCACAAATCGACTTTTTCAAGCGATGTTAATCCCAAATCAACCCTCTGATGAGACAGATGAGGTCCCAGAATACGTTGATGAGGGTGAGAAAGTGCGTAAAGAGGGGTTGTACAGCACATTGCCCAGGGAGCCCAGAAGATACCACATTGTTAGCACGGGTACCAACGGGCTTCTGCGAGAGCGCCTGACCCGATACGGTGAGAAAGAAACGTAAAGTGCGGGGCATGCTTTTCTGCATCCCAGAACTCCCAATTTTACATCTCTTGAAGTCGAATAGCAGGTTGATATTTCTACTGAAGGGTTTCTACCACCATTGTGAGGCCAGACCCCTATTTCCAACGAGGCTGAGGGCTTCAGGATCATTCTCCACTGTCGACAACGAGATATTGAGCTAATCCAGCGCCTTCTGGTGGATGGTGCATGATCATTGGTTAGAGTTGATGGCGTGATTTTGCATTTGTGACTCAATGCTCCGAGGTAGCAGCGTCTCGCGTAGTTCAGACGCTCCGTAGCTATCCCCAATCTGCAACCTCGAATTCATGAACCCTTCGAATCCGTATACTTGGAAGAACAGTCAACACTTTACCTAGGTACACAGTCCCCGGTCTCTGCATTTTCGCCCCAACATGTCGCTCTGGTCGTAAGTTGACACCGTTGCTTTCCCAACCACCACACTCGTCTCCTAACAATCGGCCAGCTCGTACAAATCATTACCGCCCAAAACCCGCGGCCTCATCGGCATTGCTCTCATGGTGAATGCCTCCGCAATGCTGCTCTTCTCCGATCAGATCGAGGGCGCTCTTGGGCTGAAATCGAACATCGAGCAGCAGCAGAAGTTCTTTCAGATCCAGACTGTGGAGCGCGAGACGAAAGGCTAGGGCAAGAGGTGGACTGGAATGGTGCATTTAGCACGCCCTCTATCCCGCCGTTGGCTATTCCTACAAGCACGTGTCAGAGGCTCGGAATTTCCTATATGCCTCACTGCCGAATGAGGATTGCACAGATCATGTGGGATACCGCTGGAAACATATGGTCCCACAGAGGACGCCGCACAGCTGTGTCCGCTTTCACCAGCCGGATTTTCGAAAAATGTGCTCAAAAAGATCTCTGAGAAGAGGTCTGCCATGCGGCATAGAGCCACTTCACCTCGGATCAGCACTGCACCCGGGATTGGCATTCTCTCTCGAGGTTCAAGACTGGTATATGTGCTATCCAGGAACACTGATGGAGATGGTCAACGCGGGCTCATTAGCCACGGCAATGGAAGACTGAACTCGTCATCTTATCGACATATGCGGTCCGATATTCACCGTTACTATGAAAACCATCCCAACATTTGTGTGTTTGTGTCCAGGAATGGGAATTGGGTCCCCACTTACCAGCAGCGAGAATGACAGTATTACACGGTTTCCTCGAGTCCGCCCGATTACACAGGTTCTCTACCACTCGCACAGGATCTCAATCTACCCGACCTCACATTCAATGACGTTCACACCTTGATCGAGGAGTTCAACAACCAGATCAATCCTGTTTACGATGGAGAGTACACTTCTCTTCTCGAGTAGAAGCCCGGCAACTTCGATCATTAGTGTTCCATCTTGATCTAGGACGTTGATCAGGCTAACCCTAGCAACTGCTCCACATTTACTCTGAGATCAATCGAAAATACACTTTGCAGACTCGAGGGTACCAGGACGACACCATTTTGACCACCTGTTGAATGGTTTCTAGTAGTTTCCTCTTGTTTTTCATTGTTTACACATGAACATTGGCTTTCGCGTTATTTTTGGAATCAAGTGACGAACCAGCCAACTGGCCCCCAGCTATACATAGTCAAAATACACAGGGGATGGTCAAAATATTCATATTGCTTCCATGAAGAATTCTGATTGTGTCTAAAGGGTCCAACTTGTGGCAATCGGCGGGTCAGAAACCCGTTGATTGCCGGAGGAGTCTTGGGTAGCCAACGCGGGTCTACAAACGTCGTTTCCTGATTCGAAATGTCAAACTGTTCGTCATGGACAGAGATATATCGTCAGCCACTTCAAGCCACAACGTACATGCTCGGGTCCCGTGCATCGGCCGAAAGCTGAATCATCTTCCCCGAGGTGAAGCCCACTGATGTGGAGTGCCTGACAACTTAGCGTGGTACCCCAGATTCACGAACGAATCATGCCCATAGCAACCATTTGGAAAGACTCGCAAAAGGGCTCTTCATCCGGCGATGGCCCTCAGAAGCCTTTCTCCTCCACTGAAAGGCATAGCTTCCGAGCGCATTTGCTTTCAATGGAGCACTCGTGGAAGCATCACAGCTAGCCTTGTGTCAAGATAGGAAGGTTGCTCCAAATGCATTCAGCAGCAGTCGGGGGCAATGTGACATGTCCCTCAATATGCACCGCCACAGCAGACATGCTCAGATCACAAAGCTCAGGAAGCATGCTATATCATCTTGATCCCTCCCTCCCTCGATAAACTTGAGTTCCCCAAGTTTGGCCTCTTGTCTAAACTGGCTAAATTTGGGGTATGATCAATCCTGCCGATCGCCATCATGACAACGCCAACATACATAGCAGTTGTATCCTGCGTTGGGTTGACACTCGCAGCAATCCTCATACGCAGACTTTTCATATCGCCTCTGGCTACTGTCCCAGGTCCAGTGGGTGCGGCTTTAACAGGTGCTTGGATATGGTTGCTTGATATGCGTGGTACTAGCACGGAATATATCTATAACCTACACAAGAAACATGGTATGTAGTCTTGATCGAGCCATGGAAATGCACGCTGAATCTTTTGAACTAGGAAGACTCCTCAGGATTGGTCCGAATGAGGTCAGCGTGATGGACCCGTCAGTTTTTCTAGGAGTGATTTACAAACAAGCATCGCCCTATCGAAAGGTTTTTTTGATTTAGCTGCCCTGCTGAGGGTGTTCGTCGTGAACTAATATTATACGCAGGCACCTGAATTTTATCATGTCTTCTCCAACGAGCACGACAACATGTTCTCGACATCTGACCCGGAGTTACACTCCCAGTATCGCCGAGTTGTTAGCAGTGCATTCTCCAGAAAGGCTGTGCTTACCTATGAGCAATACATATGGGAGAAAGTCTTCGTCATGTCAAAACAGTTGCGAGCTCACTACATCTCTCGGGAAGTGACCCTCGACTTGACCAAGCTTTTTCGCTGTTTTGCTCTAGATGTAGTGACTAAATTCACTTATGGTGAATCCTTCGACGCATTGTTCAAGCCTGGGTTTGAAGAAACACTCCTTGAAGCCTTTGACGGCTTCGCTCCTGCGAGTTATTTTGTAGGTGACATCTACAAGAGGTGTATGTCTCTGAATCTGGGGCGGGAGTCTGACCAAAATTCCAGTTTGTGATGTTCCCTCGAATCAGGTTGGCAATGAATTATCTCTTGCCTTTCTTACCCTTTCCTGTCTTTCAGGCAGTACCAAAGATGACAGCGGTAAGACCAAATTTCTCCCAGCCTCCAGTCATGCTACCATCGGACTGACATACCCCATAGAGAGTGTCAACAGCACTGCGACACATGAAAGATGATGAGCATGATTTTACCCCCGTGCTTCAAGCTCAAGTCCACAACGGAAGGCGACAGGGGGTGGCGCAAAGCATGGCAGAGCTAGCAGCTAATGGCATAGGAAGCATCATCGCAGGTACAGACACAACCGGCGTGGCTCTTGCCATTGGCATGCGGTCGATATACCTCGATGAAGCAATTCGCTCGCGCCTACATGCTGAGCTGAAGACCATCTGGGAGACCGAGAGCAATCACCCCACCCTCCCAACCCTTGAAAACTTACCCTATCTCCGTGCATGCGTCCGCGAATGCCTTCGATTCTCGAGCCCGATCAGCGGACGCCTACCTCGCATCACGCCACAAGGAGGCCTCGACTTTGCCGGGTATTACATCCCCGAAGGCACCACAGTTTCATCGGCGGTCTACCTCATGCACTACGACGAAGAGATCTTTCCTGAACCCTTCAGATTCAATCCTGAACGATGGCTGGCGTCCGTGGGCCGCGATACCTCCAGACAAGAGCAGTGTCTCGTGCCCTTCTCGACCGGTTCTCGCGGATGCATTGGGCTGAATATCGCCCAGGCCGAGATATACATCTGTCTAGCGACCATGGTGAGATGGTTGAAGGGATCGCGTGTACTTGACTCGGATCTCAAGACGCTGGTGCAATTCACTCGTTCCGTGCCGGGAGGTTTGAAGGTTGAACTTGTCGAGGCAGAGTGATGCCGAGGTACAGTGCAGCAACAGACCTCGCTTCTTCTCCTTGCGCGGTGTACAGGTCAAGGATATACTTCGATGTTGGCGAACCTGAAGAAGCAAACACTGGAGTGGTCAAATGTTAATGGGTGTGCCACCTGGCAAGGAGGGCATTTGCCTCCAGGAATTGACTTTGGTGGCTAACCAGGTTATACATGTCATGTACTCGGAGAATTTGCAAATCGATTTCAACAACGTGCGCATGTCCTATATTCTAGTACCTAGCGTCATCAATGCCCACTGTGCTATGTATGTCCAATAATCTAGGCCATGTCATGAGAGTAAATATGTTTCTGTATCTCTTCAATTCGTCGTGTAAATCCAAAAACAGTATACATTGTCCATCAAACTGAAACCTTGAGGTATCAAGCCATTGAAACTGCCCAAACTCAGGACTCTTAAAACACCACGACATGAAAGACACATTCTGTCCTGCTCAGTCGAACTCGAACTCGAATCTTCCACGTCCGGAAACTCGGCTTGGCGTTTAACGGCGAGATCGAGATCTCTCCGTGTCCAACTCCGTTCTGGTGTTGATTGCTGAAAATAAACATACCATGTCTAACTCGGTGCCAAGTACTCATAGAGCGACAAGTCTAACAATCCGCCTTAGCTCGTTGGTAAGCGAGTGCCATATATTTGCTATCATCTCCAGGAAATTATGCCCGTTTCACCTTGTGCTAGAGGGAGGTGCTTGGCGACTGTGTTGTAATGATACCCTCAGGGAGGTACCTGGGTACATCACTAGCTCGTACGGAGCCACCGAATAAAGTACGAAGTACTCGGTACTCGTAGTAGACTACTCCGTACTCCAGACGAGGTACTTACTCGTAGATGGCGAGGACCTCCGCACTCCAAGGTCCCGAGTAGCGAATACTAATCACCACTGACGCAGGATCGAGAACGCAACAGCGAGGAAAATTACCTGGGGAAACCCCAAATCTGTTTTCATTTCGCCTCCTTAGGCTCTAACTACCTATCTCCAGCCGCAAGTGGAATTATTCGAAGAACTACGCGAGCGTCGAGGCCAAGCGAGGCTTGCTCGGGTTCTCACAATTCACGTGGAAATTCGAGGGCCGTGACTGCGAGATGTGGTCACTTTGCCAGGTGCTGTAGTCTGTTTTGCTGCAAGGAGGGTTCGTGCCCTGTGCACCACCCCTGCGTACAGATGGATACCTTAGTGTTTGAGAAATCGAGCGAGGATGGCCATGGATTAAAGTCTGTGGCATACGGACATGGAAGTTCAGCGGGAGTATATGGGGCAGGGTGCGGATAGCATGTCAAGAGGCTGAAATTGTCAAGGAATCATGTGGTATAGTATAGTATTGACAGATTTATCCATGCTGGAGAGAAGGAACCAGAGTTGGAATATGACTGCAGTGCATATTGCTGGCTTTTTTGCACGTGGGTGCTGGGTTTATTGTCTGATATTGATAACAGTAACAAATATCTTGTATATGAGGATCGGAACTTGTCGTGGGTATCATGCTCCTTTGGTTTCCTGTTCCCCTTCTTGTTGTTCTCAGGTGCCCCTTTCCATACCCCCAAGGAAGCCAGGTACAATAAAGCTTTTCAAAGAATGCTTCCGCCTCAGTGTCGACGCCTTTGTCCATTGGACCAATCGTGTTGTTGTTACATTGTCGGTTTGCCCTAGTTCCGATTGATTCGCTTACCATTGCGGTGTTGATCGCAATTAATCCCGTTTGATATCCATTTCGCTTGCTTGCTTTTAAACGACAGAGAAAGAGAGACAGAGAGAGAGACCCAGGAGATGATTCTCTCATTAAATAGTGATTGGTGTGTTTCGTGGTTAAATCCAAATTATCATGGCAGTGGGCTGGCTCCCCTCGAATGGCTGCCAATGTAGTCGTCATTGTCGTTGTCACGTAGTGAATTCCTGTAGTTATGCTCAATGACTCGGTTCTTTCCGTCCATTCTCATTGATATGTCGGCTCGAGTGTCGTCAGACCCGAGTGTTCTGTGGTTATTAAACTTGGTGGAGATGTTCATCGATGATGGTAGACTTCTGTTCGGCCTAGGAGCGCCCGAACCGAACAATTTGGTCCTGATCTCGCTCGATAGTGCCTTACATGCAGCCCAGCTGGTCACGATGTAGATCAAAGTGTTCCAAAACCCTTGTAGAGGTAAAACAAGGCTTGACGCTAGGTCGAGGCCAAATACTGAACTATTTGGGTGGACTAGAGTGTTGACTCTGTTGATTGTGGAAGGAACCCTAGTGCAGCATATCAGTGGAAGGCCTTAATGAGATGATAATTGCTCATCGATAAACATACCAGGTGCACAGCAGGGCGAAAAAGAAAAGCATTGCGGTCTTGCAATAACTCAAGGTCGCCTTGTTTGCATCCAACACGCGGATTGGTGGTCGTTGTACAATCACATTATGCGGTGGAGGATGTCCCGCATCGGGAAGAGAGGAGAATCTGGCATGTGCTGACGTCGGGCTCTTGGTGCCATTATCTTCTCGATAAGTGTTACGTGGAGAGGTCATAGTACTCTTCCAGTCTCCTGGTGAGTGTGGCACCTGGCTCGTAATTGTGACTTCATACCGTGGCTGAGACAAAGTAGCAGGGGATGGAATATCTTTCATAGGAAAGCTCCGATGGCCCGAGCTACTTTTTGGACCACTGTTATCCAGCGAGAGGAGCTGCTTGCGCCAACGGAACACCACCATGCCCACCCGAATGTAGATGAATACAGTCAGAAGAATGACAATCCAGACAGGTCCATAGAATACTGCTATTCTCAAGACATTCCACTTAGGAGATATCCAGCACCAAAGCTGTGACAGCATCAGCATTCTAGATATGTCAAGGGAATAAGAAGGAAGACTTACAACAGCACCACCAAAGACTTTTCCACGGGATGGAGTGCTAACGAATAGGAAGACTATAGCTGGAATGAATGGAACCCCGTAACAGGCTCCAAGATATTTCCACTCCAAGCCTTTGAGTTGTGCCGAATCGTATTGACGAAAGAATGATAGGTAGACATTGCAGGCCATGGCAAATGTCCATAATGCGTCAGCTGGCATAAACCTGGGGGGTATTAGCACTGCTCCATTACACACAGGACAGGCGACGGTGACTTGCCATTGAATGAGAAAGGCTTGAAATTGACACAATGGGGATGTCACGCCCAGATCAATACCTGACCTTGATATAAGGGTTCCGACATTGGCGAAAAGGTTTCCCCATGCTGCATAGAAAACCAGTCTGTTGATAGGTTTTCTAAACCTGCTGTCCAGTAAAAAGGTGCCAATGATGAAAGCAGCGCCAACAACCGAGAGGACAGAGGTGACCTTCTCAGTCACCTCCAAGGTGTTTGCCTGTGAGGGAGTGATAGTATGTGACATGGCGACGGTGGATTGCGCAGTCCCACTGGACGTGCATACCGAAGACCAGGTAACGAGATCAAAGAATTGTCAAGAGATCTTGTGGGGGAGGGTCATGTCTTTTGTGTTGGCCGTTCGGAAGATCCTCGTGGAAGGCACATAACGAAGAGAACGGCCTAGGACTAACCGTATGGAGAGATAGCCTTGCGGCATGGGAGCCGACATCAAGGGGGTCGGCAGCAGTTTAGTCAAAAGACATGGGGCTACCTCGATGCGACAATGAGGAAAGTTGCTAGTGACTTCAGTCGAGTGTCCACCAGCACGACCTTGCAAAAAGCAATCCAAATATCAGGGCGTCGGCGCATGAACGGAAAGTGGCACCTTGCTGAGGGAGAGTCTGGGGCAGAGTCAAGAGAAAGTGTGGTGGTAGCCGTAGTAAACTGGGTCGTTGGTGGTTGATTGCCCAGGCTAGATGAACCGGGGATGTTCCATCCGGCTGAAAGAACATGCACATGAGAACACCAAGCCCCATGGGCCATAATGAACAAATTTGTGGACTAGCCTGAAGAATTTAAAAGCCCGAAATGATTCGAAAACCCTAAGTGATGGTGTGAATTGTGGAGTTCGGAGGAAAGGCTAGCAACACCTCTAGTTTCTTCGAAGAAGTGGCTCGATTTCTCATCGAGGTCGCTCTTCAGCACCATTCGTATCAGTATCAAACAGAAATCGTACTGCTAGAGTGGTGGGGAGACCATTTTAGGAAGTTTGCAGACTGATTATGTGTGCTCCCTATACAGCAAGCCCAGAGATTGAGGCTTCCTTGGGGACAACTACTCGTAGATGATCATTCCCATGCTTGGCTGTTTCTCTACCCAGAGGAGTAAGATGGAACAGATCTGGAGGAGTCTAACCATGGGTAATGTGATCATACTGCACGAATTTCTCCTGAGAAACCGTGAGATACCCCTCCACAATTGATGGACGGTGGTGAGGGTGGTGATGTTGGTCTGTACTCGGTCGACTGGGACTGAAAAAGTGCCTGAATTCAAAGTTCTGCACGATTCGAAGGTGCCCCTCCATCGTATTGCGCTCGATGATCGTCGCTTCCTGAAGTTAATCAGTACGAGGTACCTTACCTCGTAAACCCTTTCGGTTCGTACCGCTATCGACAGAGAAAAGAAAGCAAACAAACCCCCCAAGCGTGTAACTCTACGAGATCCATTGCAACCAACACCTGATGGCGCAGGATAATTCGTATTCCAGGCGAACGTGGACAGTTGAACCATTCAACCCGGCGAATCAATTTGGATCGTGTGCAATCAATGATCCAGGGACTTACGGATGCTCAAGAGAACCAACCTGGACATTCCCCAGAACGAGAGGGGGATTTCCCTGGGATCCCCGAAGCTACTGCAGGCACCCCAGGAACCAACACCCAGCCATCTGCAGCCAAATCAACATTTGCATCACGCCAGAAGCAACCGTCATGACTCATGATTGTCTCAGCCAGCCTGAGACGTCTTTGCTGCTTCGCTTCTGGGGATACAATATACACAGTGCCAGGTGGTTCTACTGAATATGGAGTGAGTACTCCACGTTCGCGACTTGTGCAACATACTACGGGGTTACATAACTGTAAGTTCCTACGAGTACAGTAGGTACCTCGTACTCGGTACCTACCTAGTCACTACTGCGCTCTACACTGGGATTACGAGTATTTGTACGTGATCCGGAAGTCAAAAATGTGATTCAACGTTCACTGCCACATGGCCGAGCAACGCCTCTTTCACTGGTACCATACCATCTCGAAGACAGCATCTCGGTTACAAGGTACTCAGTACGAGGTACTCGAACACTGTCCAAGATTGGCTTTTGCCCCATCAACACAGGATCGAAGTCTCCAAGGGGATAGATTGTTGGCCCTTCTGAGTCTTCCTCGAGAGTGCCCCTCGCGGGGGGACGATGACCAAGACATCAGAGACTGGTGAGCTCTGAGGCACATGACTCCATATCTAGGGGTTGATATCCTGGGTTGATGCATGTTGTTACACAGATTACTGTATTGAGCTGATTGCATCCAAGCGATCTACAGTGCTAAGGCACAGTATATTGGCTATCTGGCAGATCCATACCAGATCAATGGGTCAAAGGAATCACTAAATCCAACGGTCGAAAGGGGCCGTGCAGTCTGCCTGTATAAGCAAATTTCTTAGAGCATGTCATTCATCAACATCAATTCATCACTGCCTACCATTCAATCTCGACTCTCGAGAATCATCATTTTACGAGCAATAGGACCTCGAACCTCGGACCTGCAAAGGACTCAAGCGTTATCTCAATATGGTAAAAGCAGAGGATGGGTTGTCCGGACCAGACGCAGTAGCTCTTTCCGACGACTGGGCAATTGGATGGAATCCGAGTCTAGGAAGTCGACTTTACGTGAATCGCGATGAGAGATGCTTGTCTTCAACCCTGTTCCAAGAGAGGTGAGATTGGAGGCAAACGACCCCCTCTCTGCCCTGGTTCCAAAGGACGAGGTACTCGGTACTCTGGCTAAAAAAGAGTCAGCAATGCTCAGCAGAAACTGAACCTCCTGCTACAAAGTGCCAGGTACCGAGTACTCCGTAGTTTGAGTGGGTTCAATTACGGTGGCACCTCGTTACGAAGGCCGTGCCCGACCCGGAGTAGTGGGATGCGGGAAGGCGGGACGACTTTTCTTTGCGAAAGAGGCGAGAATGGGTCTCCTCCCCTTGACTTTGAGATTTCATAACAATGTGATTTGCGCCGTGTACGGATACTCCATACGCGTATCGACATTTAGGCTGTAGTTGAACAGCCGCATTCGAAGTACGCCTAGTATATACGAATCAGCAAGGCCTCAATTTTTACGAAAATACTTGATGGCTGATCTCATGACTCGTGGTTTCATTTACGCTCAACTAAAGGGCACATGCCAGGGGAGCCTAGAGACTGCTTCACGATCAGGCTCATGGGCATGGGCATGGGGCATGGGCAGGTTCAGTAGTGGACTAACTAATTTTCATAGCCACAAAACCACCAGTGAAACTTTCGGGATCGTGATTCCGGCGGACGCTGAACAAAATAATGGAGTCTCTTTTCTCACTACTGCCTGGACGCAACCTCAGCCAGTCTATGCGATATATCATCGACACAATTATCATTGGACTACTCCAGTGTTCTAGAGGATTCTTAGCCTGACTACCTAGATAGGTAGGTAGGTACCTAGACAGGTCCTGCACGAATTGCAAACCCTATGCGTACCGAGTACGCTGGGGCCATTGGCCAGCCTGCTCGGAGGAACATGCAGAACAGAGCACGGAGGCTGGGGAACATGAAGTCGAGAACGTCTACTGACTGAAGTACCACCTTGGTGCGTTGAGGGCAGAAACACTACACGGCCTGCCTGGCCTGCAGCCATGCAAACTTTCAAGTGTGGCTGGCTGAGGCTTCTCGATGGATGTCCAACGTTTGATCTCTGTCTGAAACCACTAGCTACTGCAGGGCGAGTGAGTTCTGATGGTGCACTTTTGTCCCAAGCTTCAAAACGGGTCGAAAAGCCCGACCGTTAGAAACTCTACTTGCAGCTACCAGAAGACTCCTAGCGTTCCAGGTCTTTTTCGTGTCGCTATCGAAGTACATACCTAATGTCTCCGTTCGGTATATCTGTACCTCGAGAGTCGAGACAGCGCGGGGTTAAGTTAGACCCAACTCACTCCGAGTATCTACAGTACGAGATCAGTCGAGCACTAGGTAGTTAGCCTCGTGCTTCACAAGATTCATGCTCCGTACTTTGACTTACGAGTAGTCCGCCGAATGTGGACTAACTCGAGGAAGAGGACTGAATAAGTCTGCCTCCTGTACCTCGTAAAGGGTGTATGTGTACCTCCTGTACGAGGTGCCACTCCATTAGGCCAGGCCATTCATCACCCAGTACTAGCTACCTAGGTAGGTATGAAGTACCTCCGTACCTAGGTACCTATAATTCCAACCCCCAATGTTCTAACCAGCACGGTTTAGACTCGTTCGGCGTGTGTGACCCAGTCTCCGTGACTCGCGCACCATTCCTCGCCATGTAGCGAGTAAGTACCACTCTGGAGGTGATGCTATCCCATTCCATTCCAGTCCAGTCCAGTCGAGGCGATTTGATGTGAAGTCGATGTCATGAATCATGAATCATGATGCATGGGCAACCGAACGCCTGGCCTGTGTACGGTGGTATGGGGTCGACAATTTATTATTCGGCTGCACGAGCTTGGTTAGATACCCCGTATGAAATGAATGCGCACGGGGCGCAGACGAAGTACAAAATAGAAATGTTTCGTGTTATAGAGGCCGCTCAATACGGAGTAGTTGATCTGTAAGTCATTCCACGCTGCATGATGATTACAGAACGTCCTATTTTTACAGCGTCGTTAATCATGAATCGTTCGGGGTTCAAAGAAAGCCTGCCTATCATCTTGTCAGAAGTTTTGTCAGGCTGTCATGTCATGCCATGCCATATGGATGTCAAACGTTATTTTATCTACCAGGGATACCCCAACTGACTGGATGGACTTGAACTTGATTAACTCCTGCCGTGCCGTTTGTCTCAAGTCCTCAACGGCTGACATTCGGGGGCTGGTTTCCATTTCCACCATCGTGCGTGCAGACAAGGTCTTCCTGCGCCATATGTATATTGGAACCGTCTGTGCCGCGGAAACCATGACTCGCGGGCAACAGTCATGCTTCGTCCTTCTCACTCCGGTTGATATGCAGGCATTTATGAATGTTGTGGATAGTGCTGTGGAACCATCATTTTCCTGGTCGGCCGTAAGTCGTGTTTGTTTCCCTTTGATTCTGTTCCCCATTTCATCCAAGAAACGCCCTCGCTGAAAAGAAAGTAAAAGAGGTCATCGCCATTGAGCTCCTGCCTCCTTTTTCAGCTTTTGCTCGTGTTCGGCTTGGTGGAGTTATATTTTGGCATTTTCTCGTAAGCATTGGGACTGGGCTTCCTCTTGGCCTTGGCATGATTGCAGTCATCACCGTGTTTATGATCATGACCTGATCTCCTGCCTCGCCGATTCCCACTCATCCGCGCACCACCGTCATCGGGGCTGTCACTACCACCACCGTCGCTATCGCTGGAATCATCGCTTGAGCTGTCGTCCTCGCTAGAGCTCTCCCCAAATTCTCTCGCCTTGTGGTATATGCAGCACACTTTGCTTGATTTTCGACCGAGACCTTCGTTATCAACCACGTCTTCGGCCCAGGTGATTCCTCGCCTGCGAGCTCTTGTAGTGCTTGTAGAAGATGCCTCATGGGCGCCTCGGAGGCGGAGAATGACTGGTTCTGGCGAGGCTGAGCGGGAAGATGCGGAGTTGGCCGATGTTATGGTTTGAGTGGCGGAGCCGGTAGGTTGGCGTGTTGAAGGTGCAAGTGTCTGGGTATTTGCAATGTTGCGGGAGCCATTAGGTCGTGGCGAGTTTCGAGAGTTTGGAGTATTACTCATGATGGAAGCTCTTGTTCTGCAGTCGGGTCTACTGCCTGGGTTGACGATGGACGAGTAGAGGTGGCGGAGGGCAGACAAATTAAAGGCTCTTGTAGGGAGAAGACGTTTGGAATTGGCGGCGTTGCTAGTAGTACAAAGGTAGAAAAAGTAAGAGGTAAAGAGTGTCTGGACAGAGCGAGAGGCAAGAAAGATGTTGGACGAGAGAGGGGATGAAAGTCGGTATATCTAGATCTTTGCAATCAGGTGGTTGAGATGTCTTGTGCGGAAGGTGATGGCTGTGCACAGACACAATGCTGATGAGAAGTTGAACTTGAAGGTGGTGTGGTTTGTCAATGTCAATGGCTGGCGTCAAGCAGCACGAGACAAAAAGCAAGGCAACAGATGCAGGTGCAGGTGCAGGTGGTCAGCGTCATGCGATCACACACGACGGGACTTCCAAAGGGGAAACTTAGGCGAATGCCCCCATAAGGCCCGATGATGTTTCTAACCGATCTGACAGTCATGCATTGTCGGGCGTCCAAGCAACGGCACGGGCCATACACCTACTTCGTACCTACATGTCTTCTTCTATCTGCACGCCGTCGGATTGATCCATCAGCTCTCTACCAGGTCTCAACACATTCTCAACTTCCTCCCTATCTAGGCAAGTACAGTCCTCGCCAACGCTGATTGCGTCGTAAACCACGTGGTGCCGGTGTCCCGTGGACATGAACGGAGGTCTGAGCGTTCGTGTGAGGGTGCATGGCTCGTGCTTCAGGTTGTAGTAGGTCTGGCCCACGGAAGTGGTTTTCAGCTGGCCTCGTCAACCTGATGCGGCAGTAGTGCTAGACCCTAGGGTTGAGCACATGTCTCTTTTGATCTGTGCATTCTCCGGAACGGCCTTCCCTCGTCCTAGAGGTCGATTATAATGACCGTGGGGGAAAGAACACGAGGAAGAGAATCATTTGAATGGAGTATTACTCTTTCTTTTGGCATGGGTGCATGGCTTTGTCTCAATCGTTCTCATACTTGGCCCACATGCTTCATGACTCTTCTCGCTTCTCTTATGAAGCATACTCTATCGAAAATAAATATGCCCAAGGTCTTTCGTTCCATTTCCAGGCACGCTGAACTATGCTTTTGTGGTATCATTGTGCCAATATCCCTCGAAAGAAAAGAGGAGAAACATGCTTCATCGTCCTACTGCTTGACTTCGTGTCTTTCGTTGGGTGTGCATCTCCACTCACTTCTTCACTCATCCCAAGGCCACTCCGCACCATTCGGATCTTCATGCACCATTGTCTAATCACACACATCTTCGCTGCGGCGCAAGACATATCTCACTCCAACATTCTAGCACTTGTAAAACAGCCACCCATCCTCGAACGCATCCTTCGAAGGAGATCGTTCCATGGCGTAGTGTTCCACCGATGGCTCATCAGGATGGATCCTAGCATCTGCTGCGACAGCTGCCGTAGCAAATTCAGTCCGGAGCTCTTCTTCTAGTCACAACTCATCATCTTGGTCCAGGTCTGCAGGTTTGATAAGACCTCCAACCTTCATATTGCGCTGACGTTCCGCATCTGCCAAGTCTTTCTTCTCCTGCTCTCGCTCCTCTGCGTAGAGCTCAGCATTGTCCCCGGCAAATTCTTTGAGTGAGATCAAAAAGTCTCGAAGATGAGTCTTGAATTTGGTAGCATCCTCGTTCAATGCAAACAAGCCATTAACAAAGTGCTGAATTTGGATTTCTTTGAGATTGGGGAACGCCCGCTGTAGGAGATTACCGGTGAACTCGCTGACGAATTGCTTGTTTGATGTCCCAGGAGCGGCTTGGTCGGGTTGATACAACGGTTGTGAAATTCTGTTTGCCTCCACAAGCTGAAACATACGAGCAAGAAGCATACATTGTGACTTGAATCCGGCCTTGTGATCAGAGTCGGTAAGGACAAAGAAAACGTCTTGGAGGATAGAGATGTAGAATTGTTGGAAGAAGACACCCGCAGTTTGGGGATCGGTATCGGCCATATTGTTGATGAGCTCGAGGCACATAGAAAGACCGGTATTCTCAACCTCGCGATTGTCGTGCTTACTGGCCCACATGCAAGAATCAATCACAAACTTAAACTGTCTCCCATCCAATTTCAGTAGTGCTGGGAAGCAGAACAGGTTGATAGCCTGCAAAAGTTTGAAGAATTCGACACGGAATTCAGGGTAGTCATGGAAGTCCTTGTTGATCATATCAAGCGTACATTCAAAGATGCTGTCCATGATAGGGGAAATCTTGTCGTCCATAAGGTTCTGGAAAACGTTAGCAATGCTGCTTTGACTAGTAGAGCCATCTCTGACCAGGTGCCGAGATCTTCTTGGGGTCCAACGTACATGTAGCTTGTGAATGATCGTGGTGGTCACACTCAGAACCTCGGCATCTCGAGCATCAGGTACATTGCGCTGATAGTCCAACAAAATGGCATCCAACAGTGGTGGTACCATGCTGTCATTGACCATCTGCAAGTCATCTGCTTTCTGCACGTAGATGTCAACAAGCTTGAGGATTTCCTTCTTGATAGTCCGTAGACCACGAACTTTAGGGGTCTTCGTTGCGACATTACCTATAAGGCTGTTAGTAGAGGAATGTTGGGGGTGAAAGTACGACTCACCTCCTGATGCTACCGAATCGGATATCAGTTGACTGGATGCTCGGTACATATTGAGCATATCCATATAAATGCGTCCGATTTGAGAGTAGAAATAGCTTCCAATTGACGAGCAAGCAGCAACATTGGTTTTCATGATGTTACCGACAACTTTGATGGTTTCAGCGTCCTGAAGTATCGCTGGGTTGCTGTTGGCCTGCGCAATGATACTGTCCCAGGCAGTATTTGCGAATGACATGAGATTATCAATCAGTCGGTCTTGTACACTCTTCTGTCCCTGTGCAGATATCATATAGCCACAGGCCTCATAAAAGGTGTGTACTTGTTGCGGGCTCAGGTCCATCGTGATCTTCCGCATGTTACGGACAATCTCATCAATGAAAGGTTCGGTCTCACCCGGCTGAAGTGCAACAAAGTGACGCTTGCACTTGTTTGCGATCTTGATAAAGGTATCACAAGCCATGTCTTGGACACCTTCGTGAGTTTCGTGCATGAATTCGAATAGTTTGTTGACCACGGTTTTCAGAAATTTCCAGTGCGCCTTCAGGAAGCGAGGGTACTGGCCCACGATGTACATGATGTTGCTGGCCACCACAGCCTTGTTATCTTTGCCTCGCTTCATTTCGGTCAGTCCGAGGAGGTCTTTGATCACCGTTACCAAGAAACGTTTCTCTGTGTCCTCATTCATCGCACCAGATATCGAACCAATGGCCCAGCAGAGAGTGTTGCAGTTGTTCCATGACCATTCTGATCCATCCACTTGCCGCTGCAATTTGTCCGACATGATGTTCTCGGTATCAACAACGTCCAAGTGAGTCAGGTACACCAGGCATTCACGTGTAGTTTTGTAAAGTTGAATGGTATCGCTCTCTTTGACAAATTCTCGAACGATTTCGCCCTCGTCGTTTTCCACAATGAGAACTTCTTCTGGTCGCACCATCTTTTCAACCATGACTTGCCTGAGGCTGGTGAGGATTTGCGAGTACTTGTGTTTGCGAAGTGGGTAGTTTGCTAGAGTACTTGGATGAGGTGCTCCCCCGTTGGTCAATCCGCCCATGCTGACCAAGGGATTGAGTTCAGTAATGGGGAGCTGCTGCATTTCCTCATAGAGTTCTTGGACCAACTTCGTCCAGTACTCCAGACAAATCTTGAAAATCTCTCGATCATCGATCAAACTTATTTTGATAAGATAGAAGTGACCATGGAGAAGATAGTCAGCATTTGGAAGTCGTTCAATGGTTTGAAGATGGACCGAGAAGTAATTGCAGAGAAATATTGCGAGGTTGAGAATGTACTCTTGTTCTCTAGGGCCAGCTTTTGCATATGCCTCACGGAAGTCGGTATCAAGAGGTAAGGTACGGGCGACAACAGTCAGGGTCTCGGTGAACATCTGTACCAGCTTATCATCGTATTGATACTGCTGACCGAGTTGCAGGCCACCAATCTCAGTAAGGCATTTGAGAGCGATATTTCGGAACTGGTCAACCTCGAGGAAGCGAGAGACCAGGGTGTCGATGAGTTTTGTCTCAAAGATGAAACCAAGAGGGATCCAGTTCAGGAATCGAAGTAAGGTCTCTAGAGTGGCCTTGACCAGGGTGATTGAGTTTGCGGTGGTGAGGACTTCGTTACAAAGTTGAAAGATTGAGGAGAACTCGGCGCACATGGTTGTCTTGAGGTTCTTAGCTTTGGTCGAGGTCATTTGATCTTGAGAGAAATCAAAAACTTCTTCAGACAGCAAGCGCAGAATAGTCATGTTGTTCTCGCAGACTGACAGGCCAGTGTGGCATGCTGAAATGATTTCGTTGATGAAGGTAGGCCAGTTGTGGGGCCATTCTTGCTTGAGGATGGTGACGAGGGTGAGATCAAGCTTGTTGATGAAGAGCTTGTTGGTCTTGAGGGCTTCTTCAGTCTCTGATGAGGACAGAATCTGGCCGACGACGAAGTTGCGGATACCCAAGCACTGATCTCGCGGTAGGACTTTCCATCGAGTGTTGACGACATCGTCCAGGACTTGCAGACCCAAGTATTTTGTTGGCAAGTAAGAGGCCTCTTGTAAGATCTTGTCCACCATCAACCAAGCGTCAGGATTCGACTTGAATTCATTGAGCTTCTGCTGAGCCTGCTTTTGAATTTCGCCCTTGCCTTCTTGGAAGGCTTTGACGGTGGCGTCAAGCTCAGCGACGGTGACAGACATGACTGCTTGGGGGTGTGAGAAGGCGGACGCTCAGAGAGCGAGTGGAAGCACGGTTTGTGTGCCAGTAAGGGCGGGGTGGTGGGCAGTCGAGGCTGGGATTGATATGCGGATGCGATAAAAGAACCGAGGGGCGGCAATTGAAGAAGACTGCGAAGGATGAGAGGCCAAGAACACGGAGAAATGAGGCGGTTCGCAATGAGGATTGGGCTTGCAATTCGAGATGGCAGGTGGTGAGGTGATCAGAGGATGAAGGAAGGGTTGATTGTGGTGGGTGAAAGAGAATTATGCATCAAGGGAATTAAGGCAGTGAGTAAGTAAGTGGTAGTGGTGGTATTTAGTGAATTGAACTTCAACGCAACTTCCGGTGCTGAAGTGTGCACTACAAAGTGGAAGTGGCAGTCACACGCACCCAAGCACACGCACACGCAATTCACGCGTTCCAGTTGATAGAGCTGCCCCAGGCCTGCGCGATGCGATTAATCAACGATACCGAGTTTTCGTATTTATACCAGCAATATCTAGACTTCATGTGGAAGCTCAAGCCTTCTTTGACATTGTCCTCATCGTCGTTCTCGTCAACTTGGATCTGGTGCTTCCATACCTTTCGATGAGCTACGGAAATACCATCTAGGAGGTATCTGATAGCCTCAATTGCCACGCAGATCAGTCTTCCAATGTGCATCGTCATATTATGCATTCTACTCCGTACCACTACCGAGACACTTGACTCCCACCAGGCTGCAGCAGCCACAAGCAGCCCAACCATCACGTTTCTGACTAATGTACTTTTCCCCTCCCCAACAACAACCAATAGTGATAGACACTGCCACCTGGGTATCAAGGTATCGACTTGGAGCATTCAAAGTCTTGTCAGATAAAACTTAATGATCGAGAAGAAGCCACAGGGCAATGGTTGACTTGATCTCGAACATTTACCATTCATTGTCAATTACCTAAATACTTCAACTTCACGTTGCTCTGGTATTTGATTTATCTGGTATCATAATCATAAAACACAAACTGCACACTAGAAACCTCAACTAACTGTTTTTCTTTTTGGTATATGGCTTTTTTTTGATTTGGTTCTTAGTCACTGGTTCCAACTCCAGTAGTGTGTTCGGTGGTTTTTAGATCGCGCTCTTCACTCTCTTTGCGATACTGATGGTACGCCGCTGCCATCTCCTCCTTGGACGAAATTCCGTTCTTCTCAGTAATCAAATCCTTGAGCCATTTGTTTTCCATCTCGAGTTGAGAAATTCGGGATTCGAGTTTGTTGTTCTTGTCTTGGACCTCCCGCACTGTCGTCTCCAACGCCTGCTCTCTCTGCTTCTTCTTGACCCGGAAACGTGCGCTGGCAGCAGTGTTTCGTCGTCGTTTGTCCTCTTCAGCAGCAACGCGTGACTTGTCGTCGGTATTCAAGGGCGAGGTGACCATATGATCCGCCTTGGATCGGGCGGAATTGCCATGCGTTGTGGATGTTGACGGGGATCCCCGATTCTCAATGCTGCCAAAGCCGGCTGCAGGAGCCGGTTGAATTGGTGTATTGTATGTGCTGTAGAATGCACTGGATTCGGGTGCAGATGTCTCGATACTATGTGATGCGTAACTGGGGACAGCATCCGGTGCTGTCAATAGGTCTTCATACTTGATGTTGTGGTTATTCTTAGGATCGTTCATTTCGAAATTATATGTACCGTCTTCAGGGAGAGAAGGAATATCAAAGTGTGTAAAGTCGGTGTTTGTGAACATAGCCAGGTCCTGGCTCAAGTCCAGTTCCTCGGTCTGGAACTGCTCTTGCTCAAAGGGCGACGTCAGAGAATTCAAGCTGTTGAGATACTCTGAAAAGTTCGGCCCTGTGCGGCCCCGATAACTTGACATGATCTTGAGGACGAGGTAGGAGTAGGCAGAGTGGTATCTGCCTCAACCGTCGAGCGGTGTTGTTGAGTGGTGGCTATCCAAGCTCACCCAGGACAGAGGTCGCCCAGTGACTCGAGGAGGATTCTGACAAAGCCGTTGAGTGTCAGTGGCGTTCGAGATGGAGCGCCAAAGTCGCAGCTATGTTGGCGACTACGACGAGGAGAATCGTTGGACTCTCGACCTACAAGAGAAGGCTGCCGTCGTTATGGGCAGAAGGAGATAGTGTAGAGTAGGAAGAGGAGTGGTGTGTGGAGGGGAGAAAAGTGCATGAGAAGAATTGGTGAGGGCAAATTGCGTGAGCGTCGGGTGAGGGCACAAGCGTGGGAGTTGCAGCTTGGTAACCCTTAGGCGGGGCTTAAGGACGCAGGGAACTTGTCCTGGGAGTCTGGGACTCGTGGGAGCAACTTGTCAGTGGTGGTCGGGTCAGGCCAATATTTCCATTGGGGGGGATAGGTTGTGTGTGGGTGCGGTGGGCGGCACCAATCGCCTAGAGGAGAGTGGCCGAAGGTGGGATGCCCACTTGATTCCGTTTCTTTTGACTTGTTTCGGGAATTGCAACTGCTTGGGACACTGTCTATGACCAGTTCGTCCGAGATCTTTCCGATTGCACCCTTCCGGCGGCAACTTGCTCAGGCGGTTGTCAATTCGATTACTTTATAAGAAGCCCGAACCTAGGCACATTTCACCACCGCGTCGTTGTTGCGTTCAAAAGCAATAACAATAACAATCCGACGCTCTAAATAGTATTGATCACTCTGAACTCTTGACCCTGACTCAACTTCATCGCTGGAATCGACCTCTCGACGCCCCGGGCCGGGAGTGACGTCTACAAAATGAAGACAGTGCGCCGTTCGAAATATTTTTATCAAGTGATGACGGTTACAATAATGATCTCATGCCAGTCTTATCCAGCCCCTGTTGTGCTCGTGCCAGTTTAAGCAATATCGTTGAGAGCCGTAAGCTGATGAGTACACTGGTCTTCGTTGATCCATTTGCACGCCAAGACAATCATCGCTTGGGCTAGAGAGTCTTGTCTTGACTGTGTCTTCATGGGTCATCACATGTGAGTTCGTACTTGGTCTACCCTTGCTCTACGAGGAAGAGGTTCAGATCTCAAGAATGGTTGTACCACAATAACCGCACCTATCGTTGAGCTTACCCCCCCAGAGAATGAGCTGGGGGACACTCGTGATTCAGCTGCAAGAAAAGCACGCGATTGTCCGCCAGCAGGCTCCTCGACGTATTCGACACCTTTAGTGTGGGGAACCTAGGCTCTCCCCTCCAGACCCTTCGTTTCTGAATCTTCAATCTGAATTGCATGTGGTTGGCTGGAGAGGCTGTCGTCTTCAGCTCAATCTGCCCTCGCAAACCACTTCTGAGTTCAATCAATGTCTAGAGACCAAAGTGAAGAACTCAGCTTCATTTCGTATCCATCGAAAAAAGGTACGGCCGACTAGTCAAAACTCGAATGTTTAAAGTTTGTGTGCGGTCGTACCTCAAAACTCAATCACATGCCGATTAATAATGCTGGTGAGGGGAGAACTTGAAGATTCCGTCATCTTCAGATCCGAGTCTTGCGATGTCGGCATCATCTTACTCGTAGAAACGGGGTACTCCGGAATAGGACTAAAGAACCGAACATATGATCATGTGACTTGCTTGACGCTTCTGACTCATGCTTCACATTATTCCACGGCTACTTGACTCGGTTTGTTTACCATGACGATCTCCCTCTGCACTCAACAACTCTGCCTCAATACCTTCATGTAAACAAATCGACCACCCACCCCAATGGCCGCCAGATCGCTGAACCGGCTTTCCCGGGGCTCGCTGCTTAAATTGGTGCGGCTATGGCTTGACGATAGCAGTCGCTGTTCACCTTACCTTCTCAAAAATCGCAAGTTCTTCGAAGCCGACGATGAAGACTACCTTTATACCCCGGCCGAGGATATCACGGGCTTGTGTGAAATCTACGCAAACCTGAAAGAGAATGTCAAGGCGGGCACCAAGAAAGACATAATTGACCGAATTGTTGATGGCGATTGGCGGAGAGGTTTATCCCTGCATCAACATGCAATGATAGACATGGCATACCTGGAACAGAACGATACTGCCCTCCGATGGAGTGCCCTCCAGCTCGTTCCTTCGGAGCAGGAAGATGCGAAGCTGGTAGATTCGGGAAATCTTCATGACAGGAGGAGAGGACGCAAGTTGAACGAATTCGACTCGGGTCGCAAATATCCTCAAGTCTCCGTACCCGCATTTCTAGCGGCGCTAAGGGCAGAGATCTCACCACTCGTCAAGGCCCATTATCACTTGCATCGATTACCTGCACCATATGATCTCTCCATCATAAGACTCTACATAAGCTCAACAACCACCTTCCGACCTTCTGGGAAGCAGATACCTCGACGTGCGAAACATGCCACTGATGGAGGAAGAGTAATGTACATAGCACTTCCAGACAGCTGCCCGTACATTTACATCTCACTGTCCGGCTCTACAAGTTCACGAAACTCCAAATCGAAGTTAACATCCAAGGTCGACATCGCGGCAATGAAGAAGATCGTCATCGAAGCTATACCCAAAGCTTTGTCACGACCACAGCAACGATGGGCTCTTCAGACCACAAAACTTACCGCCAGATCGTTACACAGTATTGCTGCTCTTAGGGGAAGTTCCAACCCTGGTACATGCGGTGGAGCCTACAGTGAATTCTTTTCGACAGGCACTTCTTCGACGACTAGTCCTGTGGATGTACAAGCTCGAGACCAATCACAAGAAGATGAGGGGACACGATTGATAGAGAAAAGATTTGGCTCAATGACTGGTACTCATCATGCAGCCTTGGATCGCGTCCATGTCAAGATTGAGAATGCTGCCAGCACCAATGAGGGAGGTGACACAGCTATGGAGGATGACGATCCACTTGCTATCGGCTTGAATTTCTCAGGCGCAGACGTTTTCTTCGGCTTAAAGAAACTTGCAGAACTGGGGAATGATCATTTGGACTTGGATAAAATGCCTGCTTGGATGACTGGCGAATTGGGTAACAGCAGTTTCAAGGTCTGAAATCTGGCTGCAGGAGGAATCGTGTTTGGATTTACGAAGTTTCATGACTTTATGATATTGATATCCGGCGTATGCGAAAAGACCAGGCTTTATACTCTCTTGAGGTGGACGGGCTAGCTGCCAGCGTTGGGCAACCTTTCTGTCTATGTGTACAAAAAGAGCACAGAGGATATCAACAGGATGTCGCAATCACGCACAGTCATTCTGTTGAAAAGTGACAGCACTAGACCATAGTTATGGCGATCGTTTAATGCTAGTAACATGTCACTGGAGCCTATGTCCTTCTTCTGATTCTAAATACGTATGGTTCATATGGTCAAGATATGCACGATATTGCATGGAGCTAGAAATCCTCAGAGACGGAGTACTCCATGATCGCAACCCACTCTTTCTTGGACTGTCGGCGCGTTCGGCGTGATAGTAGTTATGACTCAAAGCATTCATCACTTTTCTTAAACCCGCGAGAGACATACCTCATCTCCTCTGATTGAGTTGGACGAAAGGAACACATGAGCCGTCGAGGTATCATGTAGCAAGATGTTCTGAACGGAAAACACGTCAAGAATAATCGTACTTTGAGCATCATTTCACAACACAACCTAAACCACGTCAAACGATACCTCCTCACATTACTAAGTATATTTAAATACGAACTCGTAAATCCAGGCCTACATACCTACCTGGAGCCCAAAAGATGGCCCAACCAACAAACACGCAGCTCAACACGAAACGAACGTGGACACGAGATGGCTTCGTGATCTCGACCGACGCCTCTCTAATCCCCATCGCAGCACTGACACAAGCCTTCGAGTCGTCACAACTCTACTGGGCGAAAGGGCTGCCCGAGGACGTGATGCGCGAGATCCTCGAACACTCACTCTGCTTTGGCCTCTACACTACCACATCACCACCAACAACAACCTCTGGAGAGACACCCCCAGCACCACCACCGCCAACGAACCTCATCGGCTTCGCGCGCTGCATCACCGACCGCGTGACGCTCATCTACCTGACGGACGTGTACATAGCGCCGGAGCACCAAGGCCGCGGGCTCGGCAAATGGCTGGTCAACTGCGTGCAAGAGGTCATTTCCGACATGCCGCATCTGCGGCGCAGTCTGTTGATCACGGGCGCCGGCGACACGGGAAAGCGCTTCTATGGCGACTTGATGGGCATGCACGAGGTGAGTGCTGCGACGGGTGATGCTGTTGTCTTGAGTGCGAGGGGGCCGGGGTGTTCGTTTTGAGGCGTGGGCATAAATACACTGATTAATTAGAGAGGGTAGGGCACTGTTGGGGGAGGGTTCTGGCAGGTATTTATGGGGCCTTTGGTGCTTGAGAGAAGGGGGTAAATCATGCTAGGTAGGGAGGGAATCTGGGATAGATGGTCTGCTGGACAGGACTGTCTGATTTACAGATCAATGGGTGCATGGTGGACATAGATATACACTATAGATCGAGTGCTTTGGTGTCCTTGTCCTCTAGAAATATTTCAAGGCAATATGTGTACAGGTCTTTAAAATTTAGTGGAAGCTTGATCATTCAATATGCAATTGCTCTAGAAGCCTGCGTTAAGGAGAGTGTCTGTCCCAGCAGGTAAGGATGAACTCGTAATCGGATCCAATGCAGTGATGAAAATAAAGCCTGGTACCCACTGTCGCTCTGCTTTCGGATGTCCACGAAAGCTCAGCACTCAATCAGAAAGCCGGCCATGAAGCTAAGTATTGATACTCTGAAGTACATATGTACGAGGTACTTGATCAATCTACTTTGACCACCCAAGTGGACATTTGAGATGTCCAATGCAATGGCGAATGACGTTCAATAGGTAAGCATCGCGACTTGAGCCTTCATCATAATCTCACGCCCACCAAGCACAGATGTGATCATCTCAGCATCAGCAAGCCTTTTTCTTTGTCCATCTTTGCCACATCCCTGACTAGCGCAACAAATGCCTTTCTCTGTGCTTTGGGATGTGCAACAACCTTCATCAATTCCTTGATGGTAATACCCTCAGCAGGAATTGCATCCTTGATTTCTTGCATGCTAGGTAGCTCTTGTGGCGATAGTGGTGGCGCAGGTGATCCAGCACGGGAACTCGGTTGAGGGGTGCGGGTGCCAGGAACACCTGGAGGTGGAGATGCCGACATCTTGAGCTTGAGTCGTTGTCGGGCGCGACTTGCATCAGACATGGCACCGCCATCCCGGTCAGAGGCAACATTGTCTGTGTCACTACCAGCATTGGAACCTGCAACCCGTTTCCTGGCCTTGTGGCCGATTGCAGAAGAAGGATCCAAGCTCTGGGGTGCTGAACTGCTTGGAGGCACATTTGCAGGGGACATTGGTCTTGAACCACCTGGTGTTGGCTGGGTGCTTGACAAGTGCTTGGACTTGTGTTTCTTCTTTCGGGTTGATGCATCGGTGCCTGATGCGTCAGACAGATTTGGGGAACCGGGTCGTTTGAGAGGTCGATTCGACGAAGACTTTTTCTCGCGATCGCTAAAGCCACCAGCTGCTGATTGTTTTTCTTTGCGATTATTAGGTGTATTAGTTCCTGATGAGGATATGCCTGCCGCAGCTTTGGCAGCTTCTTCCTCACGCTTGATGTTAGCAAGACGTTCGCGTTCGAGGCGCTCGCGTTCTTCTTCCGAGTCGGTCTATTTATGACTCAGTTATTTATCTCAAGAAATTGTTAAGGTATTGAACTTACCGAACTGACATCCTCAGAGTCACTGCCATGATTGTAATTCCGTTCTCTTCTCTCCAAAGCCTTCCTTAGTTCACGGAAGTTCTTCTTTTTGGCTTCTGCCTCACGCTTCTCTCGCTCTTCTGCCTCGTCGTATTCTTTGAGATCTTTGAAGTCTAGAAAGTTTGCGGTCAATTGGTCTTCCTTAATCCTTTTTTCTGCAAGCTTCTCATCCTCATCCTTATCGACGAACAAAGCGCCTTCCTCATCGTCAGCAAAATCATCTTCAAAGTCGAGATCTGCCTCTTCGCCACCTCGACCTGCGATTCCCCCGGCTTGAGCACCGGAAAAGAGACCTCTACTTTGCTTGGATGTGAGTTCTCTTGCAGCTTCAGCCACACGAGCTTCTCTTTGGCGAACCAACCATTCAGGGTCACTTCCACGTTTCTTCATCGCGGCCTCAACCTCTTCAATAGTCATCTGCGGCGCTAATTCGCGTCGCGGCTTGAATTGATAATATTTCTCAACTGGAATGATGCGGAATCTGCCCTCAGAACCATCCGCAGACTCCAAGATTAAGGCTGCATGTGTGTTCATAGAACCATTCTGGTGAGATCCAATTAGACAATGTTTGTTATCAAAGTCTTCCAAGTGCCATGGTAGCTTCTCTTCATAATTGGTCTGAATGCGACGTTTTGCTTCATCGGAAAGGTCAGAGCGGAACACCTGTTGGGTCTTCCTCTTGAAGTTGTATATCTTCTTGCCCGCATTCTGAGAAGGAGCTATCTGTGCCAAATTCGCCTCTCTTTCTTTCTGTCGGACTTCCTTTCTCCGAGTCAATTCTTCTCGTTCAGTGGCGTTGAGACCATCCTTTGGTTCGATTTCTGGCTCGTCTTTCTGCTGCGGGCCTGGTGGGGGCGCTCTGGGATCACGCCTATGTAGTCGAGCAGGTTTTGGGAATTCTGCCTCGTTTCGAATGTCGGGGGTTTTGTCACCGGCTAGCTGTAGAAGGTGGGTGCGAAGGTTGTTTTGAAGATCACGCTTGGTGGTGACGAGCTTATAATCTTTGAAAGGGATGCCTTCAGCGGTGATGCGAGGATCACTGAACCCACTCACTTGTTGACTCGGAGGTACTGCAGGTTTGGATAGAGTTTGTGCTTGAAGATTGTTGGGAGTAGACGGGCGTAGGTTTTGTGCTTTGGGTGGAATATGACCATTGACAGGAGGAGTCAGATGGCCATTCTGGAGAGGTTTGCCAGGAGGGACCGGCCGCCGGGGACCCTTGAAGAAGGGATCTGACTGTGGCTTCTTTCGTTTTATCACAACGGGGGCGCCTGGAGGACGGTTGGCAGGTCCGCCAGGAGGAACGGGACCTGGATTCATTTTGTGGGTGGGTAGGTGCAACGCATGTGTAAAGTCGATGTTGTTACTTTAGCTATGAGCACGAGGAATTTGGTGGATGCTGGGTATTGATGGGAGTGCGTGATGTGAAAGTGATAGTGGTACCGAGTCGCATTGGAATGTGAGAAACGCGTGTGTGAGAGGGTGGTCGCTGTGCTTCAAATAAGTTGGCGGCCTACCTGCTGGCAAGACGCCTCGAGATCCAACGCAGGTACTACTCGTAGTCCTGCTGTCTAGCAGGCGGTAGGCGGTAGGCACAGTACGGACGGAGTACATGAGTCGGACTTGCACTTCTTGCGGAGCCCCTTCAATGCCAAGCCGGGTCGGAAGATAAGTCCAGCCGCAGCGATGTCACACGCTCGGTGAAGCTTCCTTGTTGAGTGACTCATTTGCAGGGCCAATCAGCTACCCACCTGGCAACTCTCCACCACAACTTGAACTTCACTCACAATCAAGTCATCAACACTCTTGACATCCGACCTACCTACTGCTTCACTTTACTTTCACTCGACATGCCAATCTTCTGGCTTGTCGATCTCTTTTTTTCAGTTCTTTCCTTGTAATAAAAACTTTCAAGTCTTCTACTTTTTCCGTTGTATGTTCTTGATCCCCCTACTTTTTCGGCGTAAGTTGATACCTGAGGATGCCTTGACCAGGCACCTAAGTTGTTAATTTTGCCTAGATGGACTCGACGACGCCTGGTCCGCCTGGTCCACCTGGTTTCAACCCACATGTTATGAGCCAACTCCAGGACCTCTCTCAGAGGGGCAGACGGAATCAGAATGGAAGAGGTCGTGGAAGACAACAGGCATCTCGGCCACAACCAGCCCACCCTCAACAGTCCGCCGATTGGTCAAATCAACCTGAAGACTTTCCCCCACTTGGTACTCAAGTTCCACCCAAACCTTCTCGTCTTGGAGGTCCTCATGGCCCTTCTGTAGGACCTCTTAACCAGTTCCACACATCAAATCACAATAATCTACTTAATGCGCATCATGATCCAATTCAATCTTTCAATTCTACGCAGCCTCATTCACCTCGTGAATTCCAAGAACGAGCACGGGGAAACTTCAGAAACCAGCGTTCTAACTTCCATTCGTACTCACATCAATCCCAAACCTCTGCTCCATTACCTTTGCAGACAACTTCTTCCGTGCGGCCACCACAGTCGGGTGGACAACTGTTCAATCCAAATTCGGACATGGCTTACGGCTCAAATCAGCATGCTCAGCGTGCTCGGCTCGTCGTCAGCAAGAAGCAGGCAGATTACCTTCAGAGAGTCGGATTGCAGGCTTACCAGACTCATAGCTTAAAGAAGGATGAGAGACTCAAGAAGGAAGCCTTTCGCCAAGAGTTAGAAATTGTCGCGCGCGATGCCCTTTCCGCCGCTTACCCTGGTTTGGACTTGAGCCAGATCAAGTTGAAATGTTTTGGCAGTCTTTCAAACGGGTTTGGTCTTGCCGACAGCGATATGGACCTTCTTCTTTCGTTACCCGATTACCAGCAAGCAGATTCTGTCCATGAATCCCAATCACAATCCGAGCATCCACAATCTACTTCCGGTGCCACTTCAATCACTGAGGAACATGGATTCAAGGTCGAAGCTCGTCGTATATTGGAAAAAGCTTTCCTTGATTGTGGATTCGGAGCAAGATTACTTACCAACACTCGAGTTCCTATCCTGCGAGTATGTTCACACCCTGGGGAAGAACTTCTCCATAACTTGAGGGAGAATCGTGCTGCGTGGGAGAAGACTTCATCTTCTGGAACTGCAACCGAGGTGGGAGATAAAGCACCCTCCACGCCTACAATGTCAACACCATCAAATAGTAACGAAGCTTCGGCCGACCTTGATTCGGTTCACAAAAACCTTGCAGAACTCAACCTAACCGATGCGGTTCAGCCTCCACGAACTTCACGCAACAACCCCAAGTTGGAATTCAATGGAAACGTCGGAATCCCCTGTGATATCAACTTCTCCAATTTTGTTGCTATTCACAATTCCGCCCTTTTGCGAACTTACCATGACTTTGATTCCCGTGTGGCGGACCTGGGATTCTTTGTCAAAGTCTGGGCAAAAGCCAGGGACATCAATACCCCCTATCGTGGCACATTGTCAAGCTATGGCTACATTCTCATGGTTCTGCACTACTTGATGAACGTTGCAAGGCCCCCAGTCATTCCAAATCTGCAAGCTCTTGCCAAAACTGAGGATGGCTGGTTTCCTGATCGCCCAGTTGAGCTTTTTGAAGGATTTGACATTCGCTTCCTCCGTGGCTCAAAGGAGCTTGAAGAAGTGCGTTCTACAATGCCCAAGAACCTCGAATCTACTGGCCAGCTTCTCCGTGGGTTCTTTCATTATTACGCAACACGAGAGGGCTTTCATTGGATGCACGACGTGATTTCCATTAGGGAAAGGACAGGTCGCATGACCAAGGCACAAAAGGGATGGACCGAAGCGAAGTGGTCACAGCAAAGTAACAGCCAAGTTCGCCTTCGCTACCTCCTTGCCATTGAAGACCCATTCGAAATCGAACACAACATCGCACGGACAGTTGGCCATACAGGTATTGTTGCGATTCGTGATGAGTTCCGTCGTGCAAACACAATACTTGAAACACTTGGCACAGATGTCGAGGTGCCGCTCGATGAATTCCTCGAACCAGTCGCGAATCGTGGAGACACGTTGAGGAAAGACCAAGAGTTTCATCGCCAGAAGCAGCTCCAACTCAAAGAGCAACTGGAAGCAAAGGAGAAAGGTCAGATGCTCAAGACCAGTGACGAGAGTACTGAGGTCAATGTTGATGGTATGTTGGGAAATCCCAATTGGGCGCAACCCCAAGGCACTGATTTCCATGCCATGAATAACCACCAACAAAGGGGCTCGAAGCTGACAGGGAAACCATCTCAGGGAATGGAGAAGAAGCAACGACCTCCGTGGAGCCATCGAACGGTTCAAATTGAAAGCGATAGTGAAGACGATGATTCCAGAGATTCGAAAACCACTCGGACTGATAACAGCCTGCCTGATAGCGACACAGTATCATTACAAGGAACCAACAGTCGGTGTTGGGTTAATTTTATGCACGATGAAGAGTATGTCGAAAATGGGTTTGACGAAGACGGCAACATCATCGGCTGGGATATGGATACACAGGACGGACGTTGGCTACAATGGCGAGACAACAAGATTCGTGCGGGGGCGAAATTGTCAATACATAAAACAAATCTTCGAGAGCTCCATGAACAGTGTCCTTTTGATCCCCGACGACCCATTCAAAAGCAACCTAATTATCGAGAAAGACAAAAGAAAAAGCAGCTCAAGCGACCACCATGGCCTCTTCGACCAGCCGAGCCAGAAGTGGATTCCAGTGATCTCTCTCAAAAGAGCCACACCAAACGCCCCCAGCCTCGTGATCGGGTGAGCAATCCAAGATTCCAGTTTATCGCCAAGGATGAAATGCCATTGCCCTACAAAAATACCTACTTACCCACCACTCCTCCGACTTCCAGCGAGCCTACGAAACATCAAGCACCTTCCAGCCAGCCCACAAAACACCAAGCAGGCCTTCTTCGGCTTATGAAGTCGACGACTGAATCTGTCCCAGTCCAACGTTCCGCATTTTTGGCGAAGCCAGAGTCACCAGTCATTGGTATGGATAAGCTTAATGAAAGATTCTTTGGCGCATCTTCTCATTATGGCGACAATACTCTTCAGTCTTCCCAAGAGGTTGATTCAGAGGAACGTGTAGTTGTACCAGCAACCCTCTACCCTGGAGTGAAGAGAGAGGAACGACCACGGGAGGAAGATCCCAACATCATGCCTATTCCGGAAGATCTTGGCTTCCAATTTGATGCCCGCCAACTACAGGATCTCGATGCCATTGCGAATGGAGGCAACGGTTGTGCTCGTGGTGGAGCAGGATACAGTGTTGAAAGTGAATACGAATGGGGTGGTGGAGGCATGATGGGTTACAAATACAGCAACAGTACTCGTGAGATGGAGAAGAGTGATACTCACACACCGTACGAGGGTGGAAAGGGAGATGATCAAGGACTGTTGAATGAGTTACCTGGAGGTTTGGAGTGAGCTCCTAAGCAGTGCAGGAATGACCTGAACGTAATTCATCAATAGCAGGGTGTACAATATGGTAATACTTGCAACATCTGGATTGGAAGGGCGCTACTTGTGCCTCTGATATCCAGTAGATGCACTTTCGAGTGGTATTTAGACATGGGCGAGCAAGAGCTGTCCTGCTCACTCAACAATAGAAGATAGATATTATGGTGCTGCACTAAAATTACACTGCAATAGGAGATTGTATTGATACCATTTCCCAAGGACGACCGACAAGCGATTGTTTCATCCTCAGTCACCAAACGCGCAATAGCGATTGGCCGCAGAGCCGCGCCTCAAGCCTTGTCCCCCATCCCCTGATTCCACCCACCTCCTGATAATCTGAAACACCTCAAGCTCCAGCTGATGCACTTTCTAATTGCAACAACACCTTGGGCATACGTTTTCTTTTCTCCTCTACAAGACGATAATTCTTACAGGATATATAATTCTTATCTTAGGCGGGTCCTAAAAGTAATCGAGAAACGACGCCGCAAATTAGTACTCAGTACAATTAATCCCAAACATCAACACGAACTTGAACGATAGTCAACAGTCGACATACATCTCAGCAGGACTGAAAACAAAGTGGAGAGCTCTCTATCAGTTGTAGAAAATCTCTCTCTAAACCAGACTTGAGACTTGATATCTGCAGAGACAGAAGAAAACCGCAATAATGGTGACCGCCCCATCGACCTCGAAACTGCCAACATCATCATCGCCGACCCTGGGCCAACCGAAGCCATGGTATCGCTACGTCAACCTCGATCTACTGGTGCGAATCCTGGTCAACTCCGTCTTCCACCCATACATCATCTTCATCTTCTATCTGACCCAAGCGGCGTTGCACGTGCACCGTGAGCCACTGGCATACTACACGCTCTGCTACGCGGCGCTTCTTGGCGTGCTGGAGATCGGCGCCAACATCAACCACCGTCTCACATACGGAAAGCACCGTGAAGTCAAGTGGGAGAAGGAAGTCGTCATCATCACCGGCGGTGGCAGTGGGCTGGGAAGGGTCCTGGCGGAGATGATCATGAGGAAAGGTGGGAAGGTCGCTATCCTGGATGTTAAGGGGGCTGACGAGGTGGCCGAGGATGCCATGGAGAGGTGGGATTTGGTATGGGAGAAGTGTGATGTTGCGAAGGAGAGTGAGGTCAAGGAAGCAGTGGATAGGATTGTGGATGATGTGAGTTCCCCTTTTTCAACCACTGATGGTCTCTCTTCTATGTTGGTTTGTGGTTTCTCTTTGAAATCGACCTTATGGATGATTACACCACAGATGTCACTGTAAATAAAGAGGAGCCATCTGCTGACATCTTACTAGCTCGGCGCGCCGACTGTACTTATCAACAATGCTGCTTCTGGAATTACTGGTTTACCACTGCTGTCTTCAATCACCAACCCCACGGTATTATCCCCAGCACAGGCAGCGAAGACACTAACCATCAACACCGTTTCACACTTCAACACACTCTCCGCTCTTCTTCCTCACCTTATCAAATCTCCCCAAGGCGCCCACATCGTCACCATCTCCTCGATCCTCTCACACCTAGCACCAGCTTCACTAGCAGATTATACCAGTTCCAAATCCGCGATTTCATCCCTGCATCAAACCCTGCAACATGAACTCCGCTCTCACCCGGACCCTTCAGCTTTTGCCAGGGTGAAGACTCTGCTGGTCGAGACCGGTCAGATCAAAACACAGCTGTTCGCGGACAAAACGTCCCTTCCTTCATATGCGGAGTTCTTTGGCCCCGTGCTCGAAGCCAAGGATATAGCGAAGGAAATCGTCAAGACCATTGAGAGAGGCGATGGTGGTATTCTTCGTATGCCCTTCTATGCTAAGTGCATGCCAATTTATTCCCTGCTGCCGGGTACGGCACAGGCTTTGGTGAGATGGTTCAGCGGAATTGATAGGGCGATCGGGGCGGGGAGCAAGACTTCCTAAGAGTGGGCTGTTCTCGAAGGCTGTCGTAGATCCGAATCTTGTTGAAACCAGTCACGCACATCAATGCTATGTCGATAGCTCATATAGCAAAAGAATATCTTCCCCAGCTGCTTCAGTTGAGAATAACAATAAAGCCACCTCTCCAGGTTCAATCATCGTCGTGAATCGTGATGCCGACCTCCTTGACCACATCAGCAACACCAAAATCACTTCCGTGGTCTTCATCTCGACTTCCTCTTCTCGGGACCTGCAAATTGGGTGCTTTCTTCTTCGTCGCATCATCCCCATTCAGTTTCTCTGCATCAAGGCTCATAGATTTCGCTGTGACACCGTTCCCATTCGTTTTGCCTTTCCCACCATTCTTCTTTTTGTTTCTCTTTTCGCGCTTCTTCCGCGTGCGCTCTTCATCCCTCTCCCTCCTCTCCCGCTCCTCCCTCGCCCACTTCTCGTCGTCTTCTTCTTTCTTCGCCTCCTCATCCATAACCCTCAACCTCTCATACTCCCTGCGCCTGCTGGCCTTGTAGACGTGAAACTCTCCACTGCCCGCGCCAGCTGACGAGCCCTGCACGTTTGCGACAATCTCGGGGGGTGCGGGCAGGCTGGACTTTGTGGAGCCAGATACTGGTGGGATGGTCACTTGTCTGTTGGGGTCGAGGAAGAGGTTATCAATCTCGTTGGCTTGGGATGTGAGTGCGGTGTTGGCGCCGCGCGCGCGTTTGATGGGTCGTCGCGATCGTGGATCCGCTGAGGTTGGGATTGATTCAGGAATTGGCTCGGACATGGCTGATCAGTCGAGGAAAAAGTGGGTTGAATTGAATGGATGTAGATGTAGTGTCGGATAGAAGCAGTGATGTTACGCAAAAGAGCCTAAGGCTGCTACTAGCAGTGGTTTGGGCAGTGATGTCCTCGAACTTTCAAGAAATATTTTGTCACATGGGTTTGCTGCTGGATGCTCTAGGCAGAATGACGCAGTTTGATATCTACGTCGGATCACTCTTGGGGGCTAACATTTGGATGCTTGACCGTAGACACGACTCAGGCGCAATTTCAGTTACAACGACTCGTACATATTCTCCATCACCAGTTGCGTCAACGTGGGGCAATAGCAGAATCGAAATGGGACAGATGGAGTAAACCTTGCGAGGCTCGCTTGCTCTCACAAAGATACTGAAGCATGAATACTAATCGTTCGCAGGCGACCAGGTGGCACGTAACTTGGTGCCGCGGCTGCAAGGCTGGCGTCCCCTCACTGGCACCGATGACCTCGGCCGGACTCGTCTTGCCTTCAGGCACCCCGGCCTGCTCTCACTCTGGCTTGCCCCGGTTAAGAGCCAATCAACAATGGGCACCTTTCGCCAGCATCAGTTTGATTACTATCATTTTCCCAGGGAGAGCTGTTGAACTCCTTTCAACTTAGAACATTTTTGTTTTCTTGATCAAGCCTCAGTCGTGATTCAAAGTGTTGCAAGCAATAGGAGATCAAGTCAGGCGGTGAAGACTTCACTTCAGCTATTTGCTCCTTTCGTGGTATGTACAACTTATCGGTTTGGCTACTTTGAGCCTCAGTTACTCCGATATCTAAACGCAACAGAGTAACTTCTGGATTTAAGTCGGTTTATTGGCTAAGCCAGCTCGGAGTCTAAATAAATCTGCCATCATGTCGGCTCGTGGATACAAATATGAGGACGCTCTCCTCGAAATTAAGGGCCAAATTGGAATCATCAAAGTACGTGATGCTCCCTCGTTTCCATTCTGGAAATAATGATACACATGGCCTGGTGATATACATCTGGCACCAGATCAAGTAAACTGCCTGCTCACTATTGTTGGAAACATATCACTTTTCCACACCGCGCCATCTGACAAGATAAACTTAACATCCATTGATCCTTGCCCAGTTGAACCGACCCAGTTCCCTCAACGCTTTCGGTGGACGCCTTCTCATCGACCTAGTCACCGCACTACGGGAGCTCGATCAGCATCCAGACACCGTCTTCACCGTGCTTACTGGTGAAGGGCGTTTCTTCTCCAGTGGAGCCGATGTCAAAGGTTCGTAGTTGCCTCTCCTGCAGCTACCAGCTCTGTCTAGCATCATTGTCCTTCTACTCTCCATTGCCCTTTAAAAAGCCTTCAAGCTGTTTGAACTCATGGACCAAAAACTGACATTGTACTCTGTACCACGAACCTTATAGCCGATTCAACAAGGTTTGACAAGGTATATATCAGCGATGCCGAAAAGAAGATCGATTACGCGGGTGGAATGTATAAAGGTAGGCTTTTCCAACGTCCGACGATAGTCCCCATTCCCTCTTGATCCCACGAGCTTCGCAACCGCAATACATCGGCTAAAATATAACAACAATCCATAGCGATCGAGCTACTACGCTCGATGATCGACCACCGCAAAGTCCTAGTCCTGGCCCTCAACGGCCCGGCTGTCGGCGGTGGCGCAGCCTGGTTCCCGGGTGTCGCGGACATAATCCTAAGCGTCGAAGACGCCTACCTGCAAACACCGTTCAGCGCACTGGGCCTCGTCCCCGAGTTCGGCTCCGCGACTACCTTTGCCCAGTCCATCGGCGCGCACCGCACCAACGACTTCCTGATGTTCGGCACGAAACTCTCCGCCAAAGAGCTCGTGGATGCCGGGCTGATCAACCGTCTCTTCCCGAAGGACGGGTTCCATCAGCGTGTGATTGAGTTCCTCGAGGGCCAGCTCGAGGTCAACGATGGGAAGAGCATGATGGAGATGAAGAGGCTGCAGAATCTGCCTTTGAGGGGTGAGCGCTTGCTCGCCGTGTTCAATGCGGCCGATGCGCTGGCTGAGCGTATTGTTGAGGATGCGCCCACCAAGCGCTTTGCAGCTAAAAAAGCTCTGTTGTTGGGTATGTTTCGCTTTCTTCCACCTTCTTTGGCCTTTCGCTTTATGCGTCTTTTTCTCCCCTGTCTTCAGTTTAAATTCTTCGGACACTTACGACTAACACGGAACTCTACAGCCAAGCGGGAAAAGCAATCGAAGTTGTAAACGCGAGATTTGGAATTCAAATGTGGTACCACGTCAGCTGTCAGATTTATATATCCACGAAATAGTAAAATCAATGGATGCCGTTGGGCACTTCAAACTTGAACAGAACCGAGGATTGTGATGGAAATATTCATCAATCACCCCCACAATTCAAAAATGAGCTTCCTAAATAGTATGATTTCTTTCTAACCACTTACGAAAACTCACCAAGGAACAGTCGCGCCTGAGTAGTCTCTGAAACCACCATGAGTGCCCTCATCCCCCTCACTCTTGAATCTCGCATTATCGACACACCGCAACAGACCCGCAACACTGATATCGATATTGACCAGCCTCGAAGCAAACTCCGGTCTCTTCGCCAAGTCCCGAAATTCCGGGAACGCGCGCGTCAGATCCGTCTGCACGGGGCCCGGCGTCAGCAATTCAATCACGATATCTGTGTACTCGGTGCTAAGTTTTCGGATCAAGTGGTTGAGTGCCGTCTTGCTGAGTCCGTATGCTACGGTTCGGGCGTGGCCCGTCGAGGGAATCAGTGCCAACGACGCGGTGCCGGAGGAAATGGCGAAGAACTTGGCCGGTTCTGTTCGGTGCGGAGATGGTGCTTGGAGTAGAGGAAGCGATGCTCTGAACAGGAGCAGTGGGCTGATCGTGTTTAAAGTGATGGAATCGTGGATCTCCGAGGCCGGAACTGAGACGGTTGGACCTCGCCAGGACATGCCGCCTGCGTTTGCGATGACAACGTCGAGGTGGTTTATGTCGTACTGTCGCTGCACTGTCATGATCGCTTTAACCGCAGAGTCGGGATCCATCGCCTCATAGGGAAGTACAATAATGCTTGCGTTTTCAGCTTTTGGAAGTTCATGGAGAGAAATGGAGGTTTCGTGCTCGGGATCCCGGACCAGGGCGATCAAGGTCGTGTTCGGACGTGCGAGGATGAGACGTGCTAGACCATATCCGATCCCACGGTTCGCCCCTGTGATGAGATATGTAGTAGTCATGGTGGATGTCTGGAAGTGAATCTGAGGATAGGAGAATCGAAGGGGAGTATTCGTCGCAAGACTGAAAATAATGTCCATGGGCTCGAGCCATCTATATGGCAATTTCTCTCTGGGCTCTGCCTGATGGACAGTCAAAGCCTACGCGGCTTCAGCCAGGTTTTCACCACACCCATCCCCAACAATCATCTCGCCTAAGAAAGCACCATTCGAGCACGACTGAGCGGTTCGTACCTGTGGTCGGAGTTGGGCAATGCGTGCACTATCTCCGGTAACTCCGATGCACGATGCATCAGATTGAGGACTAGCTAGCAAGGGAGACTCGACAAGCAGACCTTTCATGCATCGCGGGAAATGCGGGCAGGCCCTGCTCTAGGAGCATGTTTGGCAGGATGCGGGACTGTGGAGATAAGGTGGCATTTGATGGCGTTCGATCATGCTCTAAGCTAGCCCTGCTGTTGTAGCATGGGGGACTGTTCATTGAGCGTAGTAGTGCGACGCTGGTGTACCCAAGGGTCAGCTCTGCAAGAGTCGTTGTTCCTTGTGCAATCAGCATTTTGCTTAGGCCCGATGAACCCTCCCGGGCACAAGATGCTATTGTGAATAGAAAATTGTCCCTTAGCGTGCCGGTCGGTCGATAGTAGCCCGAAGACTGTCGCCGGGTATAGGTCTTTCTGCAGGCTCCACCTATTGGGATTGAAGCGATAATTTTCTTCGTCGTACTTAGCCATTTGCACCACCCAGAGGGGCCCGGCCAAGGCGATCTATAGACTCGATCGTGCAGACGACCACATCCTCTTGAACTCTAACCACAAACCAACATGGCAACTCCGGAAACCCTTAATTGCAGTACCTAGTCCTAGATCTTTTGGGCCTTCGATACATGCTGTACGCCCTTGGTGTGGCGAAGAAGAAATCTCATGGGTAGCCATGGACCTGAAACGTCCCTCAACAGCTACCTACAGGCACCCAACAGTGGGTGACAATTAACCCAAATGTTCAATTACATAATCACTTCACGAACAGTGCCGATTGCCAGACTATTGTATACATGAGTGGTTGCAGAATCATAGTCCGCGGACTATAGAGCAAGAATAAGCCTGGAATGATCAACAAATAATGCCGAGGTATCGCTGGTACCCAAGATTGTGGGGAAGATTGTACTCCGACGTCAGCGAATATGATTGACCACCTATTGCACCTCATCTTCCTCGGCAAGAGATTGACGATAAAGGAACAGCTTTTAAACTCGATTGATATTGATTCGAGTCAAACAGTATGTCAAACTCGGCCAGCCCAGAGATACTAGGGCCTTCGCCGACACGACTTCGCCAAATTGCCTTGATTGCAAAAGATCTCGAAAAGGCTAAGTATTTGCTGGTAAGAGAGGGGCGTTGAGATCTGCGAACCTGGAAACAGGGGCTTATGACAATGTTACAGACCACGATACTTGACACAGAGGTGGTGTTCGTCGATCCACAAGTGGCTCAATGGGGATTGAAGAATATCCTAGGCGAGTTCTTTTGATCTTTGGTTGATGGGACTGAATCTGATGTCATCAGTCGCAATTGGAGGAGACATCATCGAAGTATGCTCACCCTTCAAGCCAGACACAACCGTTGGAAGGCTGCTTGAGAAAAGAGGTGACGGCGGTTATATGATCATCATGCAGACCACAGATGCAGCCGAACGACGGAAATATATCGAGTCCAAGAAGTTGGCCAAGGTGATATTTGGTTACTCACATGAGGATGTTGTAGGGGTCCAGTATCACCCCAAGGGAATCGCCGGTAGGACCCACTATCTGATCCTCATTGGAAATTCTCGATATTGACTGATTTCATCATAGGAGGGATGATGCCTGAATTGGATTCGCATGCCCCATTGGCAACAAATCCAACCCCGCTAGAAACACCATATAGTCCATGGCATGCCTGTGGTCCAGATTTTCCATCATACTCTGCGGCAATGGAGCGCCGTTCTCATTTGAGACTTATAGGTGCCACCTTACGCCTCTCACCAGAGCGTGGAGACATTGATGCCGCTGCGCAACAATGGAAGCATTTGTTTGGGGTTGAGAGAAATGGCAACACGCTGGAATTTACCAATGCTAAATTGAGATTCGTCGCAGGAGTGAAAGGTTGCGCCGAAGGCTTGGAAAGCATAACCATTGGGGTGAGAGGAAAGGCAAGGTACGACCGCGTGCTAGACCTGATAAGTAGAGAAGGCATCCAAGAAGGACTTGCTGAAGATGGTTGCGCAATCATGCTCGGAGTCAGGTGGTACTTTGTACTCGAGGATGATGTTAGAGAACAAGGGTTCCAAAAGGATGCAAACCAGAGCAAGTTATGATATTGACTCGTTATCCGGATGCCACCAATGGGTGCTGTGTATTCAAAAAGTCGCCCTTGTCTGCTTCCTATGCCAGGGTTTGGCATCTGATGGACTCTAAGAAGACTTCACAATGCTCGATTGGAGACTTATGTCCGTGGAGAATATCTGGCACTCAACCATTCTAGGTCATTTTCGTGTGGCTTGGGCCATTTTGAATAGTATTTCCAGGTCTGCTCGTCTTTATCCCATTTACGGTTTGGTAGAAATGCTTCTACCGAATAGTAATTATCTCTCATGAAGATTGGTTGATAGCTTGGGGGACCGCTCCTCTCCAAATAAGCATCGGTATCACTCAGGGCTTCGGCATCAGTAAGATGGTACAGCCTCGGCCGTAGAGTGGTGATCTTCTCTCCCTTCTTTCGCCACTTGCCTGATCGAATGATTGTCCTTGTGGTTGTCTCAAGATGTGTCTGTAAGATTCGTGCATATGTGAGTGGGCTTTTCATTGCCCTTGTCACGATATTGGCACTTTGTTGAAGTAAATCGACATTCCATTGTGGAGTTTTGCCACGAGGGATATTGGGAATCGGTTCTCGATGTTCCAGATTAGTCTGCCAGTGCGCCAAGTCAAGGATAATGCATAGATTGTTCCAAGCTAGGACACAGCTCATACAAGTGCACACTGTTGTAGGATCAATGGGTTTGATATGCTGATAAGGGTTCTTGTGGATTCTCAGTCGGTCTTGCCAACCTTGGCTTAGAAGAGTACGCTGTGACGACATGGGTACCAGGTCCAAGACGACTGGAAGGGGAAAGCATTGTCTGAGAACCCAATATCTCCTTCTGATAATCTCCTCAGTAATTGCACTTTCATTGTCCAGGATGAAGTTCCGCATTGAGGTGTTGAGTGTCAATAGCTGACAGACATCGGAAGGTAGAAGATGTCCAAGGACACTGAGTAACAATTCTGGTGGCAAATCGAGGAATGATTGAATATCGTGAGAATGGGCTTTGCGCCTCGCTTCTTTTTTCTCAGCTCGCCGTTGAAGACGTAAGATTTTCTTCGAATTCAATGCTAGTTTTGCGGTAGTATCAATCAGTGGTTCCAATTCTGATTCTGAGGTGCCAGATATGACGGATGGTGTGTTATTTTGATTCTTTTTTGAACCCGTTGTTTTTGGCTGACGCTTTCCCGGAAAAATGATTGTGACCTGATCGTCATTGCTCTGTGTGTCTCCCCGTGCAGTCCCCGGAACAGTGGATTCATTCTCTGAGCCTGCTGCCATTACTCTTGGTGCTTACATGGAAGTCCCAGGCAGATGCGGTAGACATAAGTCATCGAAATGGATGTCCTAGCAAGTACGAAGTGGCTTGCTGCCCTAACATTGTCTAGGCAATATGCGGTTAGAGCCTTCAGATAGTTGATCATCTGCAGCAAGCCAACGTTCAACTCGATCACCTCTCCTAACATGACTTCAATATCGTATATCGCTCATTTTAGGAAAGAAAGGCTTCTAAATGAAGACCCTCCCGGATTTCTATTATAAGTTCGCTTGGAAGGTTCGTGACCGTCCTGTTTTACAGCGATCTATTCTCAACCTGCACCTCCATGTGTTCACTAAAACCTCAATGGTCACGTCTATCCCGCCTTCTGCGTAGCAACAGCAGGGATTTTTGCACTGATAGGACCGCTGGCACTCGCCATGCCAACAAGATCGCCATATTTCAGTGTATTCGTGGTCGCAGAGAACTGATCCGACGAGGGTGAGACCGTCAAAACCATAGCTGACGAGCCATCTTCACCTACAAAATGCTCTCGGAGAGCCATTGTCAGAGGTGAGGAGCGAAACGGGATTCGTGCCTGTCCTTCAGCCCGAGCTCTCAAGACTTCCTTCAGCCCGAAAAGATCTGTATTGATTTGCCTGCCTTCCTGTCGTTCTTGGGGACTCGGTTTCGGTCCCAACGTAGATGTGCCTTTCCCTTGATCGAAATATTCGGATCCTGCGAGATCGACAAAGACGAATCTGCCACCGAGGCATGGGTGAGGACTTGAACTAGAGAGGAGAGATACGTCGGCCTCAGCTTTGGCCAGACGATCTTCAAAGTCCCGCTTCTCTTCCTCTGCTGCATCGATACGAGCTTGGTTCGGAGTGTAGTCTGGGTTTTGCTGGTACTTCCCTGTTTCATCTTTGATGTAGGCGCCAGACATTTCCTCCAGGTAGATATCGGTTGCCTTCTTACCTACCGGCACTAGCTCGGATTGTCGTTCGATGACTATGTTGCGGGCCTCAAGGAGGGCCGAGTTTACCACTTCGAGCTCCAACACCGCATGAGTACGTGAGCTTTCATCGTGAACGGTCGATGAGCCAGTCGCCCTTAATTGTAGTCCCTCAAGGAGGTGTTGACGGACCTCGTCGAACGTCCAACAAGCTCGCGTTTCGATCGGGCGGACTCGGACTTTACCATTTTCCAGAGTTTCAGTCTCGCCTCGAATATGAGTCTGGCCATCGGGACCTTCACGGATGTGGCATTCACTGTGACCATTGAGAAGGTCGAAAGCACTCTTCCGTCGAAGCTCATAGAGCCGCAAACCAATACCAAACTTCGCAGTCTGTACTTGATTCTGCTTATCCGCTCCCACCAACTTTGCGTTCAGCGTATCAAGCTCCATCATAAGCTCCCGTGCCGCTCTGAGGAATAAACCCAGGTGCTCGTCGCGCTCATAGTCGTAGCCAATGATCGTGTGCGTTTTCCCACTGCCAGAATGACCGTAAGCAAAGAAATTGCATGTCTGACCTTGGAGCACCAGCGGTAGAGTCGGGGCCACGACATGCTCAAAGACATATTCATTGCCTGAACCAGCCTCAAAGACGTTCGTGAAGGAGGAAGCACCGCTTTTCCATGAACGGTTCCGTGGTACGTCTAGAGGACTCTTCAGCGCCAGCGACCTGGATGAATCCTCATTCACGGCAATGGTTCGATCGATCTCAGCTGACTCGCCCTCGGAACTGTTAAGTGGCCTCCATCGGACGTAAACTTTGAACTTTCTCGGGTGCGAAAGCGGCGGGGCCATCTTTGCGCACGACTGCCAGGCGGCGTACGAGTACACTCAATTGAAAGTTCGACCGGTGTCGGTGTCGTCTACCAGCAGCGCAATGTTGCGGGTAGCAGAACGTCGGAAATAAGAGTACTGGAGCACACCTAACATGAGGTGGCCGTCGCGTTGTAAAGAAGCCAGGCTCGTCAGACAGGCAAACGCGCCGGATGTTGTAAACATTCATCTGGTAGTTAGTGCACTTTTTCATAAAAACGACAAATCATGTGTGCGAGGCGCCACACTGTCTCGGATGAGGTAAATATGTCAACATAGACCAATGAATCTGTCGGCGCCGCGACACTAGTGATAGAAGTTAGCACATAGCTTCTTGAGCATCTACTCAGTCAGGAGTTGAAAGCGGAGAGTCATGAGGCTCGAACGGCGCTAGGATAAAACTCAACATCTTCGTTTGCAACATGGTCTAGTCTTCCTCGTCAATCTAACAGCCGACGTAACGCTCACTCTAGCCTCTATGGAAACACCTCTAGTACTCTATGACCCAAAATTGTCATAAACTGCCATGGTACCCAAATAAACGCCATTCATCAAACAAGCCGCCACCCATGACTGTCATATCCAATGACAAACACCGTGCATAACCTGACCCCCAGAATCTATCCAAACCTGGAGTAGATTGATTGATAATAACAAAATCTTTTATATGAACTGCAAGCATTGCGTTATGGCTGATGGGAGAACACAGCGTGAAACGCACACGAGCGAAGCGATGACCCCAGATCAGTTCAGAGAACTTATGCTCCTTCGCTGAAGTGGTTTTTGCCTTGTGAGGGAGTCTCCGAACCCTTGTGAAGGGCGCTTCTTAGGTTGATGAACGATCAGAAGCCAGGCTTTGGCTGCCAGCCATCAAGGTCGGCGTAGGTGCCAGAGCATGTCGGAGAGTAGACTTGATCACAGTCTCAGTGGCTTGTCTCAGCACACACATTGAAGGCAATGGTGCAAGTCGAAAAGTAGCGTTGTAGAGAAACATTCGACCGAAGTGCGAATAGAGGCCCAGGAACGTCGTAATATCGTGATGGTCATCAAGGATCGATAATTATGACATGTCGAAAGAGGATCACATTCCATCCACAGACCACGTCGCATCCTCACAGCTGCCCCTGGTCTTCTTGAACTCTTGAACGCGCTCTAGCATCCAACCAGAAGTAGTTTCTTTCTTCGCATCAACTGTGCGGCCCAGCTTGATGGTCTTTTGCAGCTTGCAGGTTCCTGGATGCCATGTCCATTGGATGCATTCTGTATCCTGGGTACACGCTGCTACACAATCTTTGATGGACTCGACTGATTTCTTCTGCCCGTCTTTCAAGTCATCCCAAAGCTTTTGCTTTTCTTCAGCGTTCTTCCAGTCCCAGTCATTATCCTCCTTCACGTGGTCCTCGGTAGGTTTTGTATAGGTCATGTCGCCTGACAGGTTATCCCAATTGGGGACCTCCTTGCCGATGACCGGTTCGACGAAATACTCGAAAGCGTCTTTGTAAAGGTAGGGAACAGAGCCGGGGTCTTCATCGTCCCATGTTTTGTTCAGCCATGCTTTCTCAAAGTCCCACAAGGCTTCCACCTCATAGGTTGGGGAGTGATGCCACGTGATTGCTGGTTTACACCAGTATGCGTCACTCCAAGTGAGTCCAGAGGGCGGATCGACCTGAAACATAGGCCAAGCACCACTGACACTGACACCAGCATGGCCCATGGCGACTCCAAGCATCACATCACCACAGCAAATGGTGGACGTCTCTTTCTCCCAATCAGCGATCTTTTCGGGGGTGCGAATTTCCTCGAACTTTTTGACAGATGCCTTGGAGAGAAGATAACCTGTGCCGCCCTGTGCAAAGGCGGTGGGGCCATGCCAATAGACACAGCCAGCATACAGGGGCTCTTCTGGATCCATTTTGTTGAGAAGAAGTAGGAGATTGGTCCAGCCAAGATACGTGTCTGCATCAATGGTCATATACCAATCTGCGTCAGGGTAGACGGTGTATGCTTTGTGGAGCATTGGGATATTCTTCCATTTATCCAGATTCCAGCCTTTCTCGGATCCCAGCACACTCACGTCACCGTGAATAGCATGCGCGTCGTGAACCTGATTGTAGAACTTGAAATCCTCGTGATTCTCCTTATACTCCTTGCCAACCTCGTCTAGGGCATCGTAGATGTGGAAGTCACCCATGTCTTGTGCCATGTCTGAGAAGACCATGAACTTGGGGACACATTCCGCCAGTGTTAAGAGCTGCTGGGGTAGTCGCGCGAAAGCCTCTGTGGCACCCGTCTTGACGATGATTACCACTTGATCTGCGCCTGGCAATTGGCGGCATAGGGGGATATCGGAGGCATCCAGCGAGTTCACAGTCGTGGAGGGAGACTTGGGCGGGGAGGAAGTAGAAGGTGTTGGATTGAACGGAATGTTGTCGTCTTTGTCTTCAAAAAGGTCTGGGGTATCCGCCAGGTCTGCTGTGTCTGACAAAGTTTGATTGTTTTCGCCGTCTTCCAAAGGAGAATAATTGCGATCCAAGTCAACATCTCCTGTGTCGTCTGCGAACTCGGATTGGAAACCCGATAGCCAGCCTTTCGATGCAGCAGAAACTGCATCAGGCTGGCCAGGTGCGGGTAAATAGTATGAACGAAAGACCAAAAGTGACAAGAGAACCAGAAAAATGATGGTCAATCGCACGGGGCCAAGGCCTCGAGGAAGAGCAAAGGCCATGGTGGGCGATAACAGCAGCAAGTGTAACTGGAGGCTCAAAGCTGGAGCTCGACTAACGGGGTTATATGTTGGACAGCATGAGATCGGGTGCAACAAATACAAGAATCGTGCAGAACAGCGCAATTGGGGGACAGAGCGGTTGGCGTTTAAGGGGAGCAGGCGATGCAGATCTTAAAAACGAAAGGGATTAAGATGAGGAAGTGGATAAGAACGGCAGGGATGGAGATGTAGCTTTATCGCGGGTGTGGATAAGGAGCGCGCAGTGCCTCCGGGCCGTTCTTATCAAGGGGCTTTTTGGGTGTCAAAACGCTTGAACTTTGAAGTGACATGCATGGCGCCATGTTAGGGGAAAGCAGGTACGGAGTACGGAAGTGCTTGGTACAGAGTTCACCCCAAAAGAGGTCTACCAATTGCCTGGAATGATTCAAGAACATGCCTATTTGCACATGCTCTTGGCCTCTTGGCCCCCAAAACATGCACAACACCAAAGACCCATGTCGCCTACGGAGCCTCGAACCGCCTAGAGGCTAGTAGTGATTACATGGTTCCCATCTGGTTGAATCATCATTTCCCCCTTCCAGTTCCATGTACCTCGTAATCTGAGCTACTTGAAGCTGTACACTTCGGCCTTCATACATCCATCAAACAGTGTGATATCCGTCTGTGAAACCCCATTTCCCAAGAATGTGGTCTTTCAAGGTAATTGCGACAGCTGTCCGCCTTCCTTGCCTGGGTAGGTGCGAGGTACCTAGGTAGGCAGATATGCTGGAAAGTGGGGGAATATGAGGGGCAATTTTCTCTCCTTTTCCTCCCACACCTCCATCTCACATTGAGCTCGGATATCAGTGCTGCAGCTCAGTTCTTATTGCAACCTACCTAGTTAAACAGTGGGATCGAAGCTGTGGGGTTTGCATTCCTGTCTACCTAAAGTACCTAGTTAGTTAGTGTGAGGCTCCTGACGACCTTCTATGATAGCACCAAATTGAACAGCGTCTGATATATCACTGTGGCTATTATAGTGGCATACCTAAGTACTCCTTTGACGCTTTGCACCAGGTAAACAAGATAATCAATATGACTAGTGGAAGCCGTAGGTAGGTGTCCATGTAACATGGTAAGAATTGCAGCCTAGCATAACACTTGGAAGAAAGCCTGTGTGGCCTGCCTAGTCGTATATGTTCTCTTGCTGTTTCCGTAAATACTTAGGTTGGATAGACTTCTTCGGCTGCATCTTGCCTGGTGAGTAGACTTCGAGACCCTGCATGCTGCGAGGCATCGGCATACAAAGTGAACCTTTCATTCTCGGATGCGCTCCTGTGGAGTATCACGTTCGGAAAAGCAATATCTGTGCGACCAAGGGTAGAAAGACAAGTCTCACTGTTGCCATTAGCTACAAATTACAATCCCTTGGTGCTATCCAGACCCGACCTTCAAAGCAACGGTCAGCAATCGTTGCTATGCGGACCGCGGTCACTTCCCAGTGTTTGAACATTGAGGTACCAAAGCCTAGCAACCCGCAGGTCTTCACAAATCACGTCAGCTATACATGGAACTGCCTCGTCCTTCTCAAGCACTATCAGTCTCAACATCGTATTGGTCACCACATCTAAGTTGGTCGTCTTTCAAGTGGAATGGATCGTTACCAAATCTGGTCAGGTAGAGGGGTCCGTTCTTGTGGGTGAAATGGTTGAATTGCAGATCGTTGCAGCTAGCTATTAGGACCTCAAAGTGATTGATGAACCTCGATGATACGTTCAAACAAAGCCCTTCCTACTCATAACCAGTGTGGTAGACTTACATCTTCATCATCACAAAGATTCAATCTTGCGTAAATGAGCAGGCATCTCGAAGCTTACTGCAATCCCGACGTGTCAGCCCATGAGGTTTGATCTTCCGAGGTTGACACTATTCGGCTTTATCGCCAAGTACCGAAATCATGAAGATTCTCCATTTGAGGGAAATGCGTTCAGATTGTGGAAATGATGACGATGAGGCGAGGCACGATCAACTGGACAGGACAGGGGCCACTGCGTTCTCCCTGAAACGGACTTTTGATCAGTCCGCCACCAGAGCTTTTCGAGGTCGATCTTCCATCCATGATTGGCCAACAAATTCAGGGCAGTCGGTCGGCGCCGGAAAGCTCATGCCAATTATACCACTAACAGGGATTGTCAGGCTGTCTATTACTCTTGGCTACTCGGAATGAACGAATCGGGGGCCACAATGCGCAGCCTTTTTCCAAACCTGGATTCTAGAGCTCTGCCCCGGGTGGCGAGGTCTGATATGGTCCGGCCTCGTTGGCCTGAAGTCGTGGACCTGACTTCGCCACACCGTTTGAAGCCGTTAAGCGAGCTTCGGCCATGCAGGATGAAAGACCTTATATCTTCTCCCATGGCCAGCAACATGCGTGAGGCAGGAACTCATATGCTGACGATTACATATCATTATCCACGCTGAGTTGAGCCTCCTATGCTTTCACGAGTTGTTGGAGCTCTTGTGAGCTTCTGGGTTTTGACGGCGTATGGAGATTCTACAAATTTGGCACTTATAAACTTAACGCCCTATTCTCTACGGCAAAATGGGAATCCTTCGTCGTATCAAATGAAGAAATGGGACAATAGCTTTCCCAAAGAAATTTCAAAAGGTGAACCCTGGTCATCAACTGCTTGTACCATTTCTGAACCTTGGTAGGATCGAGTGCGCCAGCATTTGTTCAGTTGAAGACTGGGCTCTTGGTAAACGAAGGAGACTGTGCTGCAGAATTCTACTACAGTTTAGACGATGGGACAAAGAATGGTATTCAGCTCGCCCTCGATGTAGATGGCAAATCTCCCGACTACAATGTCAAACTTCATGCCAATTTTGATGGTATTAAAACTCAGAACAATCCTTCGTCTGTCGACGTTGGATTTCTGGACGACGATAAGGAGTGGACGCCATTCATAATGGCTGGTGATAAGGGCTCTTATGTGGGAAACAACCCTCCGACAGACTGGATGAAGCAGAACCTGCCTTTTCTAGGTTGCCGAACTCTGCAGCAACTGTCCTTACCAGGGTCGCACAATGCTGGGATGTCGAAGATTCAGTTCAACACTGCATTTGCCTCACCGTCGAACACTCAAACCCAACAGCTAGACATATTAGGACAACTAAATGCCGGTATCCGATATTTCGACATCCGACCTGTCATATCGCATGGGGATTACTATACTGGGCATTATTCTTATATCAAAGACGTCGACTCAAATCAAGGCGCGGTTGGGCAAAAGATGGATAGTATTATTGACAACATCAACAAGTTCACTGACAAGAACTCTGAACTGGTCATCCTCTATCTCTCTCATACGAGCAACACCGACGCAGACTATCATGCATTCAACGATGACGAGTGGAATAGCGTCCTCCACGATCTCACCGATGGTTTGAAGCACCGGTGGACGGTCAAGACAGACAAGGTACTGACCAAACTACCCCTTTCCGACTTTATCAAAAATGGACCCGCAGTGGTGATTGTCGTGGAAGATCGTGACAAAGCCTTCCTCGACAAGCAAGGCTTCACGGGTAAAGGCTTCTTCCCGGCTTCCGCGTTTCCGAAATACGATAATTACGCAAACACTAATGAGCTCGATGTCATGCGAGACGACCAGTACAAAAAGTTCACGCAGCAGCTTTCGAAACCTGACAACCCAGATCAGGTCTTCTTGCTTTCTTGGACGATGACCTTGCTGGACGTCGACAACTTGAATCTCTTGGACAAAATCACCACTCGAGCGGATTACGTGAACAACAGACTTGCGGCCTTGACGGGTGACAAGGGTCGTGTATCACCATTCTTGTGGGACAAGCAGCTCCCCAACATAGTTTTGATCGACAATGTGCGGGATAACAGGCATTTGACAGCGCTGTCGGTCGCTTTCAACCGGTTTACAAGCACATGTTGAGGTTTCACTGGTATATTTGGGATTTGACAGAATAGAATACGCTGACTGGATCAGAAAGCTCATGATACCCAATTGTTTTTGGTTTAATCGGAATACAAGGTTTAGAGTGCTAAGAGCGAGCATTTGGGTTATGTACAGCAACACGATGGCATATCAGGATCTTGTGATAGGTATGACACAGGGAGTAATAGGTAGTGAATATCAGGTGTCACTAATACTGGCACCTGTGCTTTAACGTGCAGTCTACGAGTGAAACTGGCACATATCAATTTCTTTGTTATATGACTGGGCCGAGTTTTTGGGCATCACCATACCACATTCTGGTACGTCTGGTGTTGACATTCATCGGGGACCACTCTCCAAGCAGCAATCTTGCGACCGTTGGACTGAGGCCATCCCAAGCACTATCATTTACTGGGAAGGAGCACCCTGACCCAACCCTCCTCCCTCAACCCTCTCAGCACCGAACATTCACCACTGAACCCTCATCACCTCAGCATATTCTTCCTCGCAACACTCCTTAAGCACGCATCTTCATCATCCAACATGCCAGTGAGTATCCACAACATAATCTTCGTTCTCGGCGGCCCAGGCTCCGGCAAAGGCACACAATGCACCCTACTGAGCGCGCAGCGAAATCTCAAGCATCTCAGTATTGGTGACATCCTACGGACCGAGCAGCAGAACCGTAGCTCCGTCTGGGCCACCATCATCAAAGTCAACATCAGTAATGGCCTGATAGGCTCCAAGGAAATGACTGTCGGGTTGCTCAAGGATGCGATGCTGAAGCATGAAGAGATGGAGCCAGGGACGCGAGGGTTCCTTGTCGATGGTGAGTTTTCCGCTGATGCGGCAGTGGTGCGTTGGTGAGTGGTCAGAGTGTTGATTTCACTGGTGCTCTAGGATTTCCGAGGACACTTGACCGTGCGAAATACTTCGAAGAGACGATTGAAGAGCCGCTTGCCGTTGTCGTGCTGCAATGTCCTGAGGGGATCATGAGGGACAGATTGAAAGTGAGAGCCGAGATGCTCGGTCGGGTGGATGACAATGACTTGGCCATACAAAAACGGTTGGACACTTTCAGTAACGAGACGCAAGAAGTGATCAATCATTACGAGAAGCGAAAGTTGCTCATCAACGTTGACGGTTCGGGGTCGAAGGAGGATGTCCAGGCTCGGTTTGCGGCTGCGGTGGATATGGCACTTGCAAGAACGAAAAGCAACTCTTCACAGAAGGGGTGAAATGGCAAATTCAAGTCCTGGTATTTGATAGCTCTTGCAATGGGAGAGTGCAGTGGCAGTCGCTTGAGCACACCATTGCCCCTATCAGACCGGTTCCCTGACATGAATGTATCTTGGAAAGACGGTTATTTATATGAATCCTGAGGTGTGTCTTCCATGCCTTGTCCTGGTTCATTATGCTGTACCTTGTATTTTCTAGGTTCTCAGCGCAAGAAGACATCAAAGCGGGAGAATTTTACTATGTGGAATTTCGAAGCTATGCCCAATCACGACCTAGCTTTCCTCTCCTCCATCAGTTTCACAGCATCAACCATCCCACTGGTCTCCTTAGTCCTCCACTGAATAGCCTTGCAAAGTGCATAGATAGTCCGGACAATCGGCATACTAGCACCGGCCTTCTCCCCTTCCCGCAGCGCCTCCCCAAGAATATTCTCAAACTCGAGGAATCGCTTCTTCCGCCGGTCTTGCAACATGCTCGGTGCACAGAAAATCTCAATCGGGTCGCACTCGACCATGTCCTCGACCAGGGACTCAGGCAGGTCCACGTTGGCTGCTGCTTTCGCGGCCGCACGGATTTCGTTCATTGCCGGTCGGATGAGGAGGTTGAGTGGGCTGGCAGGATCGTTGTCCTCGGAAGCCAGGCGGAAACGCGACGTGTCGAGATCCGTCAGTGCGCATATGGGATTCCACACGGCGTTGTACATGAGTTTCCGCCACCGGACGAAAACGACATCGGGTTGATAAGAGCATTGGACTTTCCCAGAGGCAGAATAGATCCTTACGAAATCTTTCGCTGCCGCCGTTTGCTTTTCTTTGTCCATGGTGTCGGACACGAACTCGCCTATGTAGAGCCTATCGACGTCGTTCTGGAGGATGGAACCAGGGCTGAGTTCATCGGCGCCCATCAAAGATACTCCGGAGAGACAGACGTTGTTGGGAAACGCCTTGAGCAAAGGCTTTTCAATGTTGAGTCCATTCTGTACAAGCACAATCACTGAATGTCCAGGAGTAACGGCTGGCGAGATCAGATCGACCAGCGTTGGTGGAATATCTGGGTTGTTCTTCGTTGTGCAAATAATGTAGTCAAAAGGTGCTGATGGTTCTTGATCAGGGATCTTGTTGAGCACCTCAGATGGTCTCCAGCCTTGGAATTTCCCGTGATCGCATGAGTCGATCGTAAAGCCTTGATCTTTGACTATCGTATAGTTGGAGCGGAGTATGGCTGTGACAGTTGCAAGGCCTCCTTGCTCAAGATTGAAGGCTGTCATGGTACCTATCCCCCCTGCTCCGACGAGTAGCACTTTCGCCTTTTGCGCCATGGCCCTTGAGTGATGAGAGAGGCACGGTGAAGAGCTGGGGCAACGAGCTATATGTCAAGTGAAGAAAGACCGTAGAACGTTGAGAAATGTTTTTGAGTCAGTCAATGTGTGAAAGGGCGTCCAGCCTTCTTGACCATGGCATCCTGAGAGCGCCCTCGTCCGTCAACAGGAGATGCCCGCATCAATTATCGTCTTGCTCAAACTTTAACATACCGCCCCTATGTTGCCTAAGCGGCTAACTCATCACCAAAATTGACAATAGGCAGCAAGCAGTGATTCAAGCAAGATGATCCAACTGGACTCCGCTCCCGCGCTGGTGGTGATCGATATGCAAAACGGCTTCTGCCACAAACAAGGCAGCTTCGCAAAGATGGGTATGCAATCCGACCCAACGGCCATTGTTCCGCAGATCAACCGGCTGCGCTCCGCCTTCCAGGCCGCTAGCATGCCGGTCTTCTTCGTGAGGACAGGTTACAACGCCGACTATTCTGACAGACGGCCCCACGACCGTGGAGATCGGGTCGAGAAATTGGGAGGTCTGCTACGCGGGTCTTGGGATGCCGAGATGATAGACGAACTCATGCCGGGACCCAATGAAGAAATCGTCAACAAGACCAGGAATTCTGCCTTTCTTGGGACGTGCTCGCTGGACAAGATCTTGAGGGAGCGCGGCGTCAACCATCTAGTTTTGACGGGAGTCGGGACGGATGTCTGTGTCGAGTCGACGGCCAGAGATGCCTATCAGATGGACTATCGCGTTACTACTGTAAGTGATGCGACCGCGACATGCACTGAGGCAGACCATTTAGCTGCTCTACACGCCCTACGGATATTCGGCGGCACCGCTTCGACGGCTGAAGTGGTTGAGGCTTTGCAAAAGTTGGAAAAGTAGGCTCGTAGGGAATGACATTTACAGTTTACTGGCACGACCACAACGAAGCATCATTAGCACGCATGTTGAGCAACATGCACACGTATCAAACAATATCGTATTAGCAAAGCAAAAGGTGTCTATACCTAAGTGAGGGGTGATGATGGTCGGAGAGACTTTCAGCCTCGTCGGTGTTCTCATTGACTCCTGTTCCCCAAAATTACCCCACCAAATTTCATCATCGTAGAGTATTTTAAAACGGCCTCCTCCGGCGGGCTTCCGTATGCCATGACGTTGAAGAGTCGAAGCAAGCTCTGTGGTGGTTTGAGACCACACTCGTAGCGTGCCTCCATTTTTGAGAGATATAAGACGCGGTGGACGACGATAGCCATCCCCTAATCTGCTTGTCAATATGGGATCTATATCTCAAGCCATCCAACCACCTCCATCCGTGACAGATTACACCATCGCCTCAATCCCAGCTGATGGGATTGGTCCAGAGGTAATCAGTGCAGGCATCAAGGTTCTCAATGCACTTGCTGCAACTTTCAAGACCTTTTCGTTCTCCTTTACCCACTTCGACTGGTCTTCCGATACTTATCTGCGAACCGGAGCATACATCCCTCCAGATGGACTTGAGCAGTTGAAGAAGTTCAACGCCATCCTCTTCGGTGCCGTTGGCGATCAGCGAGTTCCTGATCACATCAGTCTCTGGGGTCTCAGACTTGCTATCTGCCAACCGCTGCAGCAGTATGCAAACGTGCGACCAACACGGATCCTCAAGGGCGTGACCTCTCCTCTGGCGAGTTGTCAGGGATGTGAAGCCAACACCAAGAAATTGGACTGGGTCATTATCCGTGAGAATAGCGAGGGCGAGTATGCCGGACAGGGAGGCCGAAGTCACGTAGGCCAAGCATGGGAAGTAGCAACCGAAGTGTCGATCTTCACGAGGCATGGAGCGACGCGGCTTCTTCGCTTTGCGTATGAAACTGCCCGATCTCGACCTCGGAAGAAGTTGACGTTCGTGACCAAGTCCAACGCTCAACGGAATGGAATGGTACTCTGGGATGAAGTCCAGAAGATCGTGGCAAAGGACTTTCCCGATGTTGAGACGGACAAAATGCTTGTCGATGCCATGACATGCCGCATGACCCTTCAGCCCGAGACCATTGATACTGTTGTTGCGACGAATCTCCACGCGGATATTCTATCGGATCTCGCGGCTGCCCTTGCCGGCAGTATTGGCATCGCACCTACCAGCAATCTCGACCCTACCAGAGAGAATCCCAGTATGTTTGAACCAATTCATGGCTCAGCTTGGGACATCGCCGGTAAAGGGGTGGCCAATCCAGTGGGCACATTCTGGACATGCGCTGAGATGGTCAAGTGGCTGGGACAAGAACATGCAGGTGAAGTTCTCATGGAAGCAGTGGAGAACGTTTTGGGAGAAGGCATCAAAACAAAGGATCTTGGTGGTCAGGCTGGCACCGAGGAAGTGACTGCAAGAGTTTGCCAGGAGATCGGGAGAATTGGAAAGGAACGAAATCCGAGCACTCACAAGGCAAAATAAGCTGTGCGGTAACGTGGATTACCTTGGTATGAGGTCTGTCACTAGGGCTTCATCGCTTCATCTTCAAGCTCTGGCAGGGCGTGCCCCATTGTTAAGGACCAACATTCACTACGATCATCGCGTTAAGGAATATATATCAAAGTTTCAAATTTCCTTCACACTTAGACAATGGGTTCACTAGGCCACGTGGCGAACAGATGGCAACGGTAAAGTGGCTGAACTTCGCTGAGGATACTATTCCGAGAGCATACTACGTCGACTATCTACCTACCCGGGTGAGGGGGCTTCGGCCTAACCAGGATAGCGTCCGGCGGGCGGGAGGCAGAATAAACTTCGGTTCTTCTGCGAGTATAATTCCACACCAACGTCTTTCCTCAGGGCAGAGTTTTCCCTTTGAGCTACTATAAGAATCGCTCGAAGGTGCTTTTGTAGTTTTGAAGTTTTTTGTTTTTATGAGGGTGATTTTTTTTCTGTGGAAAGTGTTGCGTGTATGGATCTCCCTTTATTCTTATCTTAACTCGGCATCGCTGCACGAGGCTGAATTATAGCCTTGCGCAGCCTCACCGAGCCCTTTTGCCTAAAATGCCCATCAGACCAATCGCTCCATTCACAGGGCCTGACCTTCGGCATACCTCCTGTTTGGAGCCGCTAGCCCGCCCTTGTCACAAGTTGCGCTGGCAGTTTCCGCTAGTTTAAGCCTTGTTATCTCCGAGCAAATGCAGTGTCTTCAGACTTCGACATACCTTGGAAGAGAGTAAACTGCTGCCAACTCTTCTGAAACACCAGGACCCATATGGCTGACCCCATCTCTATTTTCGGTGCTGCCATTAATGTCTTCCAACTCATTGAGCTCGGATCGAGACTTGTTCAGAAAGCCGCCGAATATTCGACCACTGGAGGAAGTTCTGAGCACAATTCACTACGAACTCTGGTACAACAATTGATGGTCTCCAATTCGCATCTGCACTCCTTCCTCGATGGGTCGAGGACAGAGATGGCGGCCCCAGGCCCGCATCGCGCTCTTCATATAGCAAATGAAGGATGTCTGAAGGTATCACGAGAATTCATCAAGCTCCTCGAAGAACTGGGCCTTACCGGTTATGTCAGCACTTGGAGAGGTGGTATGTCTGACCTCTTTCCTTAAGCTTCACTTTCACACTTGAATCGTTGCTTCTCCTGTTCAGTCTTATCACAGTCTCTGAAGGCGACTTCCATTAGTACGGATGGCAATTAAGTCTATGAGATGGCGACCCAAGATTTAAGCCTTGAAAGACCAACTGAACCACGCCCGTAGCAATTTGATGGTTTCAATTATCGTTCTCATGGCGAGTAAACGAAACGGAGAGGCCGTATCGATGGTCCTTCCATCCATGAAGCATGACAATAGCGTCGCCAATCCTCCGCTGGAGTCAATGATCACGAAAGAAGTGCGGCATATTCTAACCAACATCTCGCAGAAATCGACTAAAGCGGACCTCTTCAGCTCAACTGCTTCAACTTCCTCAAACAAAAACATTTTGACAGACATGGAGGAGCTGATTCACAAGGTCGCTGATAGCAATATGGATACTGGAGACATTTCAAGAACTATTGATAAAATCCGTAACACATATGCAAGGGCGCTCCGAACAATGTCGGAGCGACTCGAAGATTCCATTTCCGCCCGGAGCCATGATCTGGTTACTTTGGCTGACAAGGTCGATAAGTTGACACGAATGATGGAGAGCGAGACGATGCCTCAAAGAAAAGTTCTGGACAGGCTCTACTATGCACAGATGGACGAGAGACGCAACCGTGTCAGTAGGGCACACTTGAAAACCTTTCAGTGGCTCTTCCGACATAAGTCGGAGGACGATACATTATGGGACGATTTTCTAGGCTGGCTCTTTTCACTCGATACGCACACAATGTACTGGATTCGTGGGAAGGCAGGCTCCAGGAAGTCAACACTCATGCGTGAGCTTGATCAAAAAATTGCTCAGCAGCGCGATTTCCACGAATGGACCATAGGGTCTGAAGCTTTACACGCATCTTCATACCTGTGGAATGCAGGCTCAGTTGAGCAAAAGTCTTTGACCGGTCTCCTGCTGTCACTAGTGCATCAGCTTTTCCAGCAACGAGCAGACCTTGTCGAGCACTCCGTAACTTCTAATAGATGGCAAATCGCCTCGGAACGAGGGGTGGCATTGAGAAATTGGTCAGACGATGAGCTGAAACAAGTTCTGAAAACATTCGCTCGCCAGGCTTGCCCAGATGCTAAGATCCTCTTCTTAGTTGATGGTCTCGACGAGTATGATGGTGACGATCAGGAGCGGTTGAGCATGATCGCGTTTTTGGAAGCGCTGGCTGCTGAAGATGGTGTTAAAATTTGTGTTTCCAGCAGACCCTGGGTAATTTATAAAGATGCATTCAAGTTTTGCCCTCAACTATGGCTAGAAGAGCTGACAAAGGGGGACATAAGCCTATATGTCCACGATCACTTGTTGGGAAGCCAGCTATTTCGAGTCCAGCAACAACGGTATCCGAAGTTGCTGACGAATATTGCCGATGAGATCATTCAAAAAGCCGCTGGGGTGTTCCTCTGGGTCAGATTGGTGGTTCAGGAACTCTTGAAGAGGCTCAGGGACGGAGCATTTGCCGCCGAGCTTTTGAAGCAACTTCATGCAATACCTCCGGACCTGGACGACTACTTCATGCGAATGATGGAAACAATTGACCAGAGGTATCGGCAAGATGCATCAATCATGTTGCAGATTGCCTTGCATAGAATGGACTTTACGTTCGACCAAACCAACCCTGACAGCAAACATGTAGCAGGCCCAGATCTCTTACTCTTACATCTCAAGTATCTTGACGATGAGGAAGCGCCGAACTTTGTCAACAGCAAAGACTTCCGACCTTTGAGATATGATGACGATGAAGAAGTCTCCTTTTGGATCGAGACACTTGACTGAAGGCTCACGAGTCGTTGTATGGGTTTACTTGAAGCAAACATAATTCATTCTATGAGGAGAAAATGGGAAACCAAAATCGATTTCCTCCACAGAACTGCAAGAGATTTCATGTGCACACGAGAGGCTCAGAGCATTTTGCAGAAATATACCAACGGACAATATGACGCCCATATGTACCGCTGTAACGTCCTAGTTGCCGATGTCATGAGTCTCCATCAATCTTTTAACACGCGAAAGGTCACTAGTTTGCTCAGTTCCGCATGTTTCCTGGCCCAGGTCCAGATTCCTACCATTTCTCACCAACCAGCAATGTCTGCCTTGTACGACAAGTTAGTCGTCTATCTCGAGACAATTTTGCGCGAGGCAACCGCAGAAGATGAATTCGAGCTTTCCGTTGAGCCACATTTTGATCAGATAGCAGCTGAGCTTCTATCCAACTACAAGGTCTGGGACAATCTCCCGATGACCCTGGCAAAAAGGATTGGCTGGCAAGAATATCTTGAATCAAACATATCTAGTGAACTTGAGGGACCAGAACACCTGAAGAATGATCTGGAAAAGATGCGTCTAAGGACAACTCCTGCTTCCTACACAGGCTCAGAGTTGTTCATGAGTGCGAGGAGCAATTTCTTTTCACCCATGAAGTAAGGCGGTGGATTGAGGTATCCCAGAACTGCTTTATCAATGTTTCCGGCTCTACGGCTATGTCTGGTTTCTGTCATTGTTGATTTGCTGTAAGGCAGATTTCCAGGCTGGCAACTAGTTGCACAATCCACGAGACATCCCCTGCGGACCGATCTACGAATGGCCTGCTCGGAGAGATGCGTGCGGCGAAAGCGTGTTGCAAGGCCAACTATCGAGAGATTATGTGACAGTGACAGTATGCAATATATATATTTCTAACAAGTGTCTCATTCTATGCCAGCTAACGAGTGTGGTCGTACCTTTTCCGAGTACTTTCCAATTCTGACTTATGTGTTTATTCAAGAATGGTTTCGATTTCACTATCTTTCAGTTGTCGGTCCCAGCGTTTGAACGCCAACCATGATTCCTCAGGCGGGGCGCTCTCAAGAAGATGTGAAGATCAGGATTACGGGCAACCGCAAAGGTGTTTGGCAAAGTTGAAGTTCTATCACTTTCAGGTACCCTTTCACAGCACCCAAGTGTGGAGGGGTTTGTTTAATGTCCGAGTGTAGATTCCTAGTGTGCCAAATTGGGTAAGAAGAAAGAGATCATGTTCGATCTCAGTCTGACTCGACTCCTTGCAGCTAACATGCGTCGCCTGAATCTCCCTGATGGGGAATGTATGCTCATGGAGGGCAGCTCTATTCGTAGTCCCATGGCGGGAATTTTACTCCTTACGTGCAAGCTTATCAATCTTCTCATGGCAGTGCCTACACAAGTAATATTATCCTTTAGATCTCGACTGCAGAGAGCCTTTTGACCAACTACATCCATCCATGGATCCAATGATAATATTCAGGAGGTAATTAGTGTCTTAGCCGATCGGTTTGTAGTCCCTTTTCCATCACCAGGACATAGTATATGTCAGCCGACCATCGAGACAGGAAGGGATGATCCCAGGTCAGTGAGATATCTCCTGTCACGACTACTTTGTCGTAAGACCGATCTATGTCCCCAAGTTAATCTGACAAACTTCCTGAACCTCCACTTTAGCACACTCAACCTGATCTCACGCCAGAGCAGGAGTCTTTCATAATGGCCACCACAAATCAAACTAGCTACACCGTACAGCCAGTCGTCCTCAGCAAGCAGGACATTGATTCATTGCCAGTCTTGGGCTTTCCAGAACCAGGCAGAATCGTTGGAGGATTTCAAACTATCTTTGCCAATGAAACAACTCCCACCAATGAACTGACCTTTGGAGTTGCAAGATTTCCAGCTCGGTCAAGTGTGCGAACAGCATTCGAAGCGTTGCACAGACATACGCCGGCGGAGTTCTACTACATACTTTCGGGCTCCATGGTCATATTTCTTGAAGGAGTTCGTCATAAGGTCAAATCTGGACATGCCATCTACATCCCAGGAGATGCTGAACACGGATTTTGCAACCCGAGCACAGAGGAAGACCTGGTATTCTGCTGGGGCTTTGCTACAGATGGTTTCAGCAATATCGAATACAAATGGTCCGAGACGCAGCCTGACTGGACAGAAGTCGAGTAAGGGATAGACCTGCGTCAGCCACCGCTCTACTGAGCATCATGAAAATCAGATACAACACTATGGCCATCATCTAAATGTGGATTCAAGAGTTCTGGTGACGACGGCAGTAAATCGAATAAATACGAGGCAATGATGAGGCGTAGGCCGAATGCACTTGCAGGTCTAAGAATTCGGCTTTGAATGCGTCCAATGTTTGCGCGCCCTCTTCGCCACACAAGAGACGTTAATTAGTCGTAATTTTGGAACATAAGTGAAGAGACGAAAAATAAGACTGCTGTCAATGTCGAGTAGTTTCTCATATATAGTGAGCTAACAGCGCCCAGAGGAGTCGCACATCATCGTACGTCAACAGCTTGTTATAATTTGGTGAGGGTACTTTTCGACGGCAGGGTACTCCAGCGGGCCTCCTCCAACCGGTTCCGGTGGGTGCTGGTAATTAGGGCATTTGATGAGTCTTGCATTGTTGAATGTCTGTCTAGAAAGGTTATGGATTTTTCTTTGCCAGCCTATATATCGCAAGGCATGCACATAGAACTGTGATCGAGCACAAGGTGCGCCCGGCATGAATCTATGCATTCATATCTATCTTATGCTTACATAAAAAGTTGTTATAGTGATGAGTAAATCTGAAAAGTTATACATCTAGAAATCTATGGCTCTATCAGGGATGCTCCATTGCATGCTCATTACTGAGTAGAGTCGCGACTTTTCCGGTTCTTTGCCGATTTCGGAGTCTCGAGAACTGGCTCGGGCTCATTCCCCTTCAACTGCTGCTCCAACTTTTGAACACCAATCATAACTGCATCTGATACTAGGTAGCGCTTGCTGCCACGCACGAACCAGAACACAGTGGATATGATAACCATGACCCCGAACACTGCAATTGCGTAGTTCATGTCGGCGACAGACGGGTTTGGGGAGCCGGGGAAGAAGAACATGACGGTAGTAATCACACAATAAACGATGCTGATCACATTTATAGTAGGGCCTGCGCGACCTAGCCGGAAAGGGGCAGGGGCCAGACGATGTCGCCCAACTGCAAGCAAGGTGACGATAGGCATAGCGTAGGAAATGGTGAGGGCAATAGTGCTGACGCTCAGAATGGCCTGGAGAGTGGCGTCGGAGAAGAGGTAGAGAACGCCGACAAGGCCTATAATAACGCCTTGGGCCCAGATGGCGCGAACCGGGGCTTTCCAGTAAGGATTGACACGCATGAGGTAGTTGCTGAAAGGGAGTCCACCGTCACGTGCAAACCCCCAAGTCAAGCGTGAGCCTGTTGTGACGATGCTTGCACCCTGACACAGGCCGTTGAAGATGAAGATGGCAATCAGAACGGCACCGCCAGTGAGTCCAAGGGTGCCTGTGACAATGGGAACAAAGGGAATGTCCTCAGACTCGGCCAATGCAGTCCAGTCTTGAATACAGAACAAGCAGACCAGCATAAATATCCAGCCTGAGACCCAGCCCGAGGCAACAGAAAGCCAGATAATCTTTGGTGCTGTTCGTCGCGGATCTTTCATCTCGTCACAGAAATGAATGATGCTATCGAAAGCTGTCAAGCCGTACGCTGCCTGGACAAGGCCTGTAAACCAAACCACGCCGTCTGGCCAACCAGTCTGGTTGATCCATTTCCCGAAAACGGCCGAGGCATCCTGAAAACTGAGATTGGGTTTGACACCCGTGGCGATCAGGAGTGCGAGGATGCACACCACGAAAAGAGTAGTGAAGGTCAGGCCGACAAAGTCATTGAAGAGAGGCAAGATCTTGTCCTTTCTGCAGGCCACAGCATTGAGTAGAGTGAAAGTGAAGGTTATACCGACGTATATCAAGAATTTGACCCAACCTTTGGAAGCGCCGTCCCATTCGGGGTCGAACATCGTTTTCATGGCAAGTAAAAAATCGGTCATGAAAGCGATTTGACTAGCGGATAGACACCACCAGCCAAAAGTGTTCACCCAGGCACAGAAGTAGCTGCAAGCCCGCCCGGCTTTGCCCTGCCACAGAATAAATACCCAGTATGCTTGGCCTAGAGTGGTTGGGAAGCTGTAGAGGGTCAGAGAGCTTCACAAGAATAATTGGACAGTGCTATTCACCTCGAGACGAGCTCACCCATAGACAGGGCGACGCAAATATTGCAGACACCGACAAGCATGAGACCCCAAAGAATGGAGACGGGCCCGCCATTTGTAAGCCCGCTGCTGAGGCCTTGAGCGAAGGTAGACCAGGTGCCTAGGACCGTGAAGGCCAGAGCGAACATAGCGATCGCATTGAACTTGCGGGAGAGCTCCTGTTCATGGCCAAAAGTTGTGAGGTCGCCGGCATCAATATTGGATTGCGTGACCGATTTGACAGGCTCAGCAGAAGGGAATGCGTCCCGGCTCTTATAGGGATCGTCGCCTGACTTGGATTCCATGATTGCAGCGACGGTAAGATTGTGGTGGTCAACTCACGCAAGGTAGGGAGGACAACAGGAGCTATATCAGGTTCACCTGAGAGGGGCGAGGTTGCAATAAAATTTGAAACTCACTGCCATAGACTTTCCAGTGTGCATTATGCCGCGCACGTCCACAAAGCTTCACTGTTGACCACAAATGGGTCCTGCGCCCCGGGTAACTACCCGGCCCCCATGGGGTGGACAACCTCAGTCCGGAGCAGATTGTACTGACAGAGGGCGTGCCTTCTCGCGGCCGTCATCGAAAAGCAGCTTTGTTGTCGGTGCCACCTTGAACCTCTGATGAAGCTTTCAACAATGACGATGTTTCGCATGGAGGGTAGTTGAAAAAATCTCTGGAAATCGGAAATTAAGAAATCCTTTAGTCATAGATTAGCAGGTGGCTCTTAACGGCGCCAGTAGCCGAATAGGGGCCAAAATTCAAAGTAGTCGGCTGTACATGCCACATCGAGTTAGCACTTGGCCAGAATCAATACCCCGTCGGGACTAGTCCAAGGCTTGTACTATGTGGAGGCAATACGTGTACATCAAACCCACCGACCTTTCTAAGGGGAGGGAAAACAAGTCTCCTCTTGTAAGCCGGAGAACAACGTCGAACAGCAATTCTTCTGTGTCGGATTTGCGGGTCGTCGACTTGTAGGGACTTATCGGAAGATCACAGCTGGTTGTTTGTCCACTCCATACTGGAGTTCCAATTTTACCTTGCCTCCTGATGAGATGATCAACATCGTCCCGTTTGGAATCAATGCGCGATTGGAACAACGCGGAATAAGCCTAACCTCGTCAATGATAAATAAGAGAGTCACGGGCCGGGTAATGTACAACTCTTACGAAATAGATCCGCCACGGGCATTCACCCCTATCTCGAAAGACTAGTGCTTCGCGGCAACGACCTGAAAATGCAAGTCTCAGCGAGACACCTTAATGCGATGTACCAGTTGAGCTATACTGTGGCCTGGAGGATCAACAACAAATAATACAATAGCCTTGGAGTCCAATACGGCTGGTACTTTACAGCTTACAATCCCGGCTCGTCATGTTGACATGGATGGCCTTGACTTGACTGTACTCCTTGAGACCAGCCTCACCTAACTCCCGACCAATGCCACTTTGCTTCACACCGCCAAACGGCACTCGGTAGTCCGAGTCTTGTGAGCTATTCACCCATACCATGCCCGCTTGGATTTCTGCGGCGACACGGTGCGCCTTTTCAATGTCCCGAGTGAAGACTGCGGCTCCCAATCCATAAGTAGTATCATTGGCTCGTCTGATGGCATCATCCTCATCCGAGAACTTGGTCACAACAACTACTGGCCCGAATATCTCCTCGCGATAGACCTTCATGTCTTCTTTAACGTTGGTGAAGATCGTGGGCTGGATGTAAAAGCCTTTACCTCCATCACCACGATGTGCCTCGCCACCAGCAGCGAGCGTGGCTCCCTCCGACTTTCCAATCTTGACATACGACAAGATCTTGTCATACTGAGATTTGGTGACTTGTGGACCTTGGAATGTATCTTTGTTGAATGGATCACCCACAACACTAGTGTTTTTCGTGTGTGCCACAAATGCGGCGACAAACTTGTCATAAATGTCCTCCTGCACAAGGACACGCGAAGTTGAGGTGCAGATCTGCCCTTGGTTGGACATTATACCGATATGTGACCATTTAACAGCTTCTTCGAGGTCGGCGTCGTTGAAGACAAGCAGCGGAGATTTGCCTCCTGTCTCAAGAGTAATATTTTTTAGCGTTCCGGCTGCCATCTTCATGATCTCGCGAGCTGTAGCCGTAGAACCGGTGAATGCCACTTTATCAACATCGGGGTGCTGGACCAAGGCGGAGCCAGCCTCGCGGCCTAGGCCGTTGACGATGTTGACAACTCCTGGCGGGAACCCAGCTTCCTTGATCAGTTCGGCAAGTAACAAGATACTGACCGGGGTCTGCTCAGCAGGTTTGAGAACAACTGTATTGCCGCATGCCAGAGCCGGCCCAAGTTTCCATGCCGCCATCGATAGGGGATAGTTCCATGGAATGATCTGTGCGACAACACCAATCGGTTGCCGAATAGTGTAGGCAAACTTTCCTTGTATGCCGCCGATGACTTGGCCATGGAGTTTGTCTGCCCAACCAGAATAATAACGAATTGTGTTGAAGGTTTCTGGGAGATCTTCCTCCAGTGCCACCGCATATGGTTTACCTATGTTACGAAGTGAGAACCGGTACCAGACAGAGTTCTGGCAAACTCACCGTTATCCCAAGCTTCGGTCGAAGCCAGAAGTTCCTTCTTGGATTCGATCAGATCTGCCAGTTTGGCCATCAGCTTCCCTCTTTCCGTTCCCGACATCAATTTCCAAGACTTGTCGTTGAGTGCCTTCCGCGCAGCCCGAACCGCTGTGTCAACATCTTGTCCACTGGCTGCATAGACTGAAACAATTTCAGCTTCAGAAGAAGGACTTATGGATGTGATCTTCTGCCCAGTGGACGACTTCACAAATTCGTTGTTGATAAAAAGCCCTGTGGGTTGATTATACCTATGACCATTGGGGGTCTGTAAAGGAACGGAGAGGTTTGACATTGTTGCAGTTGAACAGATGAAGCAAATGTATTGCGAGTGATCAGGTCCTCACGATATTGAAATATTGGTAATATGAACTTCAGCAGCTTGGATGTGTCAAAGTCGTAAGGATTGATAAGGAACTTTTTGTTGAACTGGATCATTTAAGTTAGTCCCCCGTGCAGATGGCATGGACTTGGAGGGGCGAAGAGGTGTGGTCAAGGTGATAATGCCCACCGATCCATTCCTTGCTGAGGAAGCGGTTGCGAGGAGTGATGATGGTGGAGCTTGTCTTTGTCTGATAAGTCGCAAAGTACCGCTGAAAGTTTGACCAAACGATGTCCTCGAAAATCAGGTTCTACCTCTCTTTCGCCGGAGCTACCTGCATTTGGTTCAACGAAACCAAAGGAGTGGCGGGGAGAGCTTCGTGACACGGTGATTGATACGAGCTACCTGAGTATTGACCACTTGGACCGGTCCGGGTGTTGGTGTTCTCCGCAAATTTCGAGGGTGCTTCATTGGCCACCACGCCCTTGAGATGGACCGTTTCAGGAAGGTCCATGCGAGTAGTCCTCCGTACTATCCACTGATGTGCGGAGACTGATGTACCATACAAAGCAATGGGTTATATAAGGATCAGATCATAAGACCAGGTAAAGGATCGTCTCTGGATATCACTTGCGAAATACTATTATATCATCACAAGAAGTCAATCTATAGTCATCACTTCGACAGCTTCAACACAATACCAGCTGCCCATCATGAATATAGATTCAGAATCAATACCAGGCTATCACATCATCAAGGAAGACGAGAGTGACTACACGTCAGGTCCACAGCCTACGAGATCATGTCATCCTTTAGGTATGGCATCGACCCTCTTGATTCCCTTTAATTTGCACTAACCCTGTCAAGATCAACTATCAATCCACGAGATTCCTCGTGCTGCCCGTCTGGTCCGTGAATATGTGCATCCTAAGCAGATCAAATTCAACTCCATCACTCTCAGAGAACCAAAGAAGCAAGAATACAAGGCCTGGCAAAATGGCAAAGGCCCTAAACCACCCCGCCGGGCCTTTGTCACCATCTTGGAACTTCCTACAGCCAAGACAAGCGAGGTCCTCGTAAATCTCAACACCAGTCAGGTGGAGGAGATCAAAGCGATCAACGATGTCATGCCGACGCTGACTCTTGAGGACCTGGATATCTGTGAGCGTGTTTGCCGTGCAGATGCTGGTGTTATCGAGGCCTGCCGCGAGATCGGTATCACCGACATGTCCAAGGTTTTCATTGATGCTTGGGCAATCGGTATTGACGAGCGATGGGGTTTCGAGACCCGTCTGCAACAAGGTTTGGCCTACTACCGTGATTCGGAGTTTGACAATCAGTACGCAAAACCCCTCGACTTTTCGGTGGTCGTTGACACGGAACGAGAAAAAGTCTTGAGTGTGGACATCCGTCGCGTCAATGGACAGCGGGTTCCTATGCCCACTGAAAGCCACAACTACCTGCCCGAGTTCATCAGTGATCACTATAATCACGACCTCCTCAAACCCATTGAAATAACCCAGCCCAAAGGCGTGTCCTTTTCAATGCGGGGCAATGAGATTTCTTGGGCAGGATTCAGCATGCACATTGGCTTTAACTTTCGTGAGGGCATTGTTCTCTCGGATGTCAGAGTCTTTGATCAAATCCAGAATCGGGAACGAAAATTGTTCAACAGAATCTCCGTGGTTGAGATGGTTGTCCCGTACGGCTGCCCTGATGGCCCACACCACAAGAAGCACGCTTTTGACGTCGGCGAGTATGGTACCGGTCTCATGACCAACCCTCTCACACTTGGTTGTGACTGCAAAGGCGCAATCCATTACTTGGACGCTATAGTCAGTACCGGCAAGGGTGAGGCTGCAGTCATCAAGAACGCCATCTGTATCCACGAAGAAGACAACGGCTTATTATTCAAGCACACCGACTACCGAGACGGAAAAGTCGTCTCAGCTCGTGACCGCAAGCTCATCATTTCTCAAATCATCACCGCTGCTAACTACGAGTATTGTTTCTACCACATTTTCTCTCTCGATGGCACCTACAAACTCGAAATGAAGCTGACGGGAATGCTGAATACCTACGTTCTACATGACAGCGAGACTGCCGCACCATATGGCACTGAAGTCGCTAAGCGCGTGACGGCCCACAATCACCAACACATATTCTCTTTAAGAATTGATCCAGAAATCGACGGGTCCAACAACACTGTGGTGCAATCGGACGCTGTGGCCTCTGAAGAACCGGTCGGTAGTGCTGGCAACAAGTACGGTAACGGATTCTATTCCAAGAAGACCCCACTGAAGACGAGCGCACAAGCTGGCGTAAATTACTGCCACGAAACCTCGCGAACCTGGGACATCATCAACCCGAACGTGCAGCACCCCTCCGCAAAGAAACCCGTGGGCTACAAGATAGTATCTCGTGAATCACCTCCTCTCCTCGCCAAGCCGGGCTCCGTGGTCTACAAGCGGGCGGGCTTCGCACGCAAAACGCTCTGGGTCACGCCGTACAAGGACTACGAACTGTTCCCGGCGGGCGACTACGTGTGCCAATCGACGGGCGAGGACGGACACCCACAGAACGGGACGATGGTGGACTGGGCGGCGCGCGATGAAAACATCGAAAACACCGACCTCGTCTGCTACCTGCAGTTCGGCCTGACGCACTTCCCGCGCGCCGAGGACTTCCCCATCATGCCCGGCGAGGCCATCAGCATCATGCTGCGCGCCTCCAACTTCTTCGACCGCAATCCCGCCCTCTGGGTCCCTCCCTCCGAGCTCAAGGGCAATTCCTGCGACACCTCGTCGCGCTACGCCGTGTTCCCCAAGGTCGCCAAGGCCATTGATGATGCGAAGTGCTGTGGTGGCGCTGGAGCGTCGTCGAAATTGTAGGAGGAGGTGTCCTACTATTGTCTTGGGCCAGAGTTGGAAGTTGGTTAATCTATGTCGATACGAGAGGGCGCATGGCCTACGAAGAGGCTACCCCATTGTCTTGAACTTACATTGCATGCAGCATGATTGTGGAGTAGGGGAAACCCGCTGATATGATATCCCTGATAGTACTTACTATGTAGTCAACAAGTATGTAAAAATTGGATCAAAGAATGAATGGATTTGCATGAGCATTACTCTTGTTCTACTCTTGCTTTTTTTTCCCCGTAACGAAGTGATGGGCATGTGAGTAGTCGTACTGAAAACTCGTCATAGTCAGGGCGAGGAGATGAACAGTGTCCCGGGGCAGTCTTGGTTCAAGGACTAAAAAGGCTACAGTGAGATTAAGGGAATGACATTTGATCTGTATTTTACCGTTTACTAGAGATGGGCTGGATTGGTTCCGAAATTCAGGTTGCAGTATTGAGTATGTCTATGAGTGACCAAAGGCGCTGCTATGGTTGAGCCATACAGGCATTAAATCTCTGGAAAACCGAGTCTTGCTGATCAAATTCTGCCCTTGAACTTTGCCGCCTTTTTTGCATGAAAAACGCCGGCGCCATGCACGTTCCTGTCAAGAGCTTATTTCCTTGCTGTGGTGGAAGAAAATAAAAGGCCCTCCATGTCGCTAACATACAATCGTAATTCTCGTGTCCAGATCATCAGATGAATCCTTCCATGCGTGGAAGATATATCTGGTCCCTTAAGCGGTTTCGGATGAGTCTGGCCATTGATCAGCAACTTTCGACTTAAATAGTAGTCTCTGGACGAAACTCACCTTCTGAGCCCAGGTCTTCCTTGGTTGGCGGGAAGAAGGAAGGGATATGCCGAGCGTATGCTTCAACATCTTTGTCTAGAAAGTTGCAGAAGATGACCTTGTCCAGGGAGTCGCCTTCAGGCTCTGACAAAAACTGTTGGACTTCGTCCGTGGCCGCGCGAGCAGCAGCGAGGCTCGGGTAGCCATAGACACCGGTTGAGATGGCAGGAAAGGCAATCGACTTTAGGTTGTGCTCGACTGCGAGCTCAAGTGCTTTGCGGTAACATGATCGAAGGCGAGGCTCTGACTTTGCCTGGCTGTCGAAAATGGGACCGACAGCGTGAGCGATCTTCTTGGAAGGCAAATCGTAAGCATCAGTGATTTTGGCACCTCCAGTAGGACACCCATCTAGTGTTCTACATTCCTTCAGGAGCTTTGGACCTGCCGCTCGGTGAATCGCCCCATCGACACCACCTCCTCCAAGAAGACTGCGGTTTGCCGCATTGACAATTACGTCCACCTCAAGGATGGTAATGTCTTCTTGGATGGTGCAGACTTTGTCGTTGAGTTTTTGATTTGGAGTTGAAACCACCGGATTGGCTATGGCACGCAGCTCTTTAGATCGATAAAGTTGACTGATGGTTGGGATATCCTTTGCGGCAACGATATCGGAAGACATTTTGCGGATGAAGAGACGCGACAGCATACAAGGAGTTTGTTTGAGTTATTGTCGCAAGATAAAGAGGAGAGAGTTTGGAAAGCAAGATGGAATTATGAAGAGTTTCATGGAAATGGTCGATCTCTGAAAGAGAAGAATGAAGAATATGTGAAGTGACCATGACTTCCAAGGGTCTGTCACACTGCCTCGCCGGGACTGTCTCAGGCCCTGAAAGACACGGCGGTGCGGGGAAGGACCACGTGCCGATAACGATAACGATAACGATAACGATCCCTCTCGGAGAGCCTGTGACTCCACAGGGATCTCTATATTTAACCTGGGTGTGGAATACAAGGAGAAAACAAGTCGTAGGACTTCTTATAATTTAAGATCTTGAATTATTGATTGTTTGATCTGTTCATTTTGAAGAAACCTATTGTATATTGATGCTTTACCACTCAGACAATGAGCGCACTCGTACGTCCTGCAGTTGAGTCGGACTTAACTCAGATTAGGGATATCTTTGAACACTATGTACTCAACACCGTCGTTACGTTCCTGACCCAGAAACCATCACTTGAGTTCATGAAAACTCGATACAAAGACTCGGCCTCTCGTCAGCTACCGTATCTTGTCGCTGTGGACCCATCCCAGAATGAAAAGGTGGTGGGATATGCTTGTGCCTCTGCATTTCGAGGATACCTGCTTGCATATGGCCATACTGTCGAGATAACTCTGATATGCCATCCTCAATACACGGGGCGGGGCATTGGAAGTCTTTTGATCTCAGAGCTTATCGCAAGGCTGAAAGAAACAACGCATCTGGCCAAAGAAGTGGAGTACGAAGCCAACCAGATCGAATTCCCTGTCAAGAAAGTGTTGGCAGTAATGGCAGTAGACGAGAGTGCAGCGGACCAAGGTCTAGCTTTGCGTGACTGGTATAAGAGATGGGGATTTGAACAAGTTGGGAGATTGAAAGGAGTAGGTTCCAAGAAGGGACGAATGTAAGTTGGTCTTGATGGTAGTTCTCGGAACTTCCTTACTCACTGCTCTTACAGAATCGACACGATCTATCTCGAATTGCATCTGCAGTGAAAGTGATGATGGCAATCATAGTCTGAAGGTCATTGCGTGTGGCCGAGAACCATGCAAGGCTGAGCTCCTGTGGCGTAAGCTAGTCTGCTCTAGATTATGGTTGTAGCCACAAGGCTGTGGCTGTGTCAAGTCATCCAATTTCCTGTCACGAGCTTGGGTTGAATGTAGTTCCATCGATGGCGAGCGATTCAGTGAGAGTTAAATCCTCAAGTCCAAAACGCGTATCTAGTTACATGTCATTGTTGTCAACATTGGGATATTGATGACCCAAACTATGTGAAATAACAATCAGGATAGTGTTGGGGAAGGCAGAAGAGTTGGAAGTTTGCCCGTGGCAGCCTGGCGGTCTTGGCAAGTTTGTCTCCCACTTCCAAGGTCAACGAAGTAGCTTAGGTACTTAGGTACAGTCACTACTTCTTCCATGTGACTCATCTCAACGCGTTCATTAATGCTGCCTGTGAATTTTACAAACTGTTTCCATGTTCTAGTCTCAATTCTCGTGTCGCACGGCAGACGGCAGCTATCCGTTTCTGCCTGATAGGACACTAGAGACGCCATTCACCTCATTGGGCGGCTGGAGCGAGGCTGAGCAGCTCCCTATCTTGCCTTTCCAACCAGCAACCACCGCATTCACTCCCGACTACTACGACTTGTCTTTGTTTCCAAACACCCACAAGTTTGATCTGAATGTAAGCTTTTTCCAAGGTGGAGGCTGAAGTGCAGTGGCCCAAACACTTTCACTGTCGTCGCTTGAACCTCGCATCCCCTTCCCCTTGATTGGTCAACCCACACCCCGCCATCCCCAAAACGGCAAGCGGGTTCTGCCTTGTGCTGCCTAGAGCACATTGGACATATCCCCATTGACCCTTGAGGAACTACATAAACCACCTCTTCTTCTCACTTATCCTCTTCCTACCTGTCAATCCTTTGCAACACCTTCTTATCCCCTTTTTCTTTTGACTTGTCATCCGCGATCGATATCGCTTGCTCAAATCGAAATACCTTCGCGCTCCCAAGAATAACGCACCATCTCTTCATTCTCATCACAGTTTTTGGCACAATGTTCGGTACAAGTCGCCCACAGCACTTCTGTGGCTGTTGGTACGCAATCAAGGCCTCGAACAACTGGAACGTGGAAAGAAAATATCTCCCACAAGTCCAGCTTTCATCGTCAACAACCATTCTTGCCACCACCTCAAGAACAACATTGAGACAGACCTTTATCAATGATGGCTCCACAAAACTTGAACAAGTCCAGTACACATTCCCTCTATATGATGGCGTCAGTGTCGTTGGTTTTACCTGCACGATAGGCTCCAAGACCATCGTTGGTGTGGTAAAGGAGAAACAACAAGCTCGCGTCGATTATCAAGAAGCAATTTCCCGTGGTGAGACCGCTGGACTCCTCGAACAACTCCCAGAAGCCTCAGATGTCTTTACAACTTCGATAGGCAATGTGCCAGCCAATGAGAAGATTTCGGTGGAAATCATCTACCTCGGAGAGCTGAAGCACGACGCCGAAACAGACGGATCACGCTTCACCATCCCAACCGCAATAGCACCACGCTATGGACCCATGACAAGAGACTCGGCCCAAGTTCTTTCTGGTACTCTTGACACCAAAACTGGAATCTCCATCTCTGTCGATGTTACCCTCGAGGAAGGTTCGATTGTCCGCGGTCTACAATCTTCCAGTCATCCAATTGCTGTCACCATGGGACGTACTTCAACGATGGACGAAGACAGTTTCAGCAATAACCATGCCTCTGCCACGTTGACTCTAGGCACTACCGAGCTTGACAAAGATTTTGTCATCGTCGTTCTCGCAAAGGGCGCTGATACTCCTCGAGCACTGCTCGAAACACACCCCACTATTCCAAACCAACGTGCCCTCATGGCAACCTTGGTCCCCAAGTTCAACATCCCAAGCATATCTCCTGAGATTGTCTTTGTCATCGACAGAAGTGGCAGCATGGGCGGAAAAATCGACCTTGTGGTTGCCGCTATGAAGATATTCTTGAAGTCTCTCCCAGTCGGAGTTAAATTCAATATCTGTTCCTTCGGTTCCCATCACTCTTTCCTTTTCAAGAAGAGCAAGACTTATGATCAATCAAGCTTGAAAGATGCACTAAAACACCTCGAATCTTTCGCTGCCAACTATGGAGGCACGGAGATGCTTGCCCCTGTAAAGGAGACAGTCAAGAACCGCTTCAACGACTTGCCACTTGAGGTCATGCTCCTTACTGATGGCGAAATTTGGAACCAAGAAGAGCTCTTCAAGTTCGTCAATACCACCACCAATGCCCGTTTCTTCACTCTTGGCATTGGTAGTGGTGCATCTTCTGCGCTTGTTGAAGGCATTGCTCGCGCCGGCAATGGCTTCGCTCAGTTTGTGGGTGAAAATGAGAAGATGGATAAGCGAGTCGTCCGTATGTTGAAAGGTGCGTTGACACCTCATGTGACAGACTACAAGCTCGAGGTCGTCTACGAACCAAAAGAAGCTTTTTCGACAGATGATGATTTTGAGATCATCGAATCTGAAATGCCAGTCAAATCTCAATCTCCTGCCATTTCTACTCCACGAGCAAAGAGCCCAGAAAAGAAAACCATCTCACTCTTCGACACTAATGCCACTGAACAGCCCACTAACCCACCAGCCGGTCGGTATGATAACCTCCCAGATATTCCAGTGCCCAAAGTTCTACAAGCACCAGATCAAATTCCAGCATTGTTCCCCTTCAATCGAACCACTGTTTATCTTGTCCTGAGTGCCGAGGCATCACACCGAGTCCCCAATTCTGTCATCCTCCGTGGAACCAGTGAGCATGGCCCACTTGAATTGGAAATTCCTGTTCAAGATATTGGAGCTGGTGAGACGATTCATCAACTTGCAGCAAAGAAGGCTGTACACGAATTGGAACAAGGTCGAGGGTGGATCACAAAGGCACGCAGCCCGCCCGATGACAAACTCCTGAAATCAGCACACGAAGGTAAATGGGATCTTATCGTCGAACGTGAGGCTGTGAGATTGGGTGTACAGTTTCAAGTTGGTGGCAAGTGGTGCTCCTTTGTCGCTGTGGAGGAGACTTCCGCAGACAAGAGTGGCAACCCGCCTGATTACTCAGAGAAGGAATTGAAAGAATCCATTGTCGACCAAAGTTCGACTCAGATTCGTAAGTCAACCCTGTCGTCCTCCCTCGTCGGTGCAGCCGTGACAACGGATCGTCGCCATGTGTCTTCGTCTCGCCAATCTCAAGGCGGCAACTTTGGTCTTGTGTGCCACGTCAATGCACCAGCTAGAACAATTTCCACCAGTGGGGCTGGTTTATTTGGTTCTTCCTTGAATACTACAGCGCCATCTACCGGAGGTCTTTTCGGCGGCTTCGGTCCCGGTCCGTCAAATCAGGCACCATCCACGGGAAGTGTATTCGGTGGCTTTGGTTTCAGCACCACGAATCGGGCACCATCCACAGGAGGTCTATTTGGAGATGTCAGCAATCCTAGCTCCAATAGCAGTACCTCCAAACAGGGCGTTGGTTTGTTCGGTTCCAGCACTGCGAATTCGAGCTCCTCCACAGGTAGCCTCTTCGGCAGTAGTGATCATCGTACTATTTTCGGGAGCACCCCCTTCCATAAGAGCAGTGGAACTTTTGGCTCAGGAGTCGGAAACAACAGACCATCAGCTCCTCAGAGCGGTTTCGGATTGTCCCACGGTAATCTCAAGCTCACTCAACGCGACCTGGAGCGTCTTAATATCATAGAGCCCCCAGACAGCGCACTTCTCGAAGCCTATTCCACCGAAATGAACCAAGCTGCCTGTATGCCTTTACCCTCAGAAGACTCAGACATGGACACAGACCTGGAAGCCTCTCCTGGAACGGACCTTGCACGTGACACATCGTTGGCAGAAGAAATCCAAGCTGACCAGTCTCCTGATACAGCGTTCCGCGGACAAAATGCGTTGAATCTAACCTCAAACCCTGACAAGGCGATGCGATCTATCGCGCTGGGCGCAGCTGTGGACATGAAACGACGCGCTCATCCAAAACCCGCCGGTGCAGACTCGACACTTTCTCGCTCGAATATGGCAGCAACACAACAACGCTCCAGAATGGCTCCTTCTGCTGCCGCACCCTCTGCTGCACCCTCTACCGGAGGCTCCAACCAAACATTGCAAGATTACCAGATGGGCTTGATGATGCTCGAGCAACAGAACAAGAACCGTCTATACATGTCTCGTTCTGCTGCTCCCGGCTCTGCCGCACCTGCCCCATCCTTCGGAGCTGCTGCTCCCCCACCGCCACCCGCACAAGCAGTACCATCCCCAATGGTGAACATGGACTTTGACAGTTTCGCGCGAACACCTTCAGAAACAGCTGCACCGGCACGCAAAGGATTCGGCGCCTCCGCCTTCAGTGCGTTTAGCGAGAAGAAAACCAAATTCTTCGGCGGAGGTGGTAGTAAAGCGAAGAAGGGAAGTCCACCCTCAGCAGAACGCGGCGGATCCCCTAACTACAGCCCCTCGAGCGATGCAGCAGAGTTTGACGAAGAAACTTCTGACCCAGCAGTGGAAGCGGCCCTCTCCGCACCCAGCGATAAGATGCACGCCCTGATCGGCCTACAGTCATTCGACGGCTCGTGGAGCAGCGCTTCATCAAAGCCTTTCTACCGCCTCATCGGCATCGATGGCTCCAGCGGTAGTGTCTCAGCACTTTCCACCGACGGAGACGTCAACATGACAGCCCTGGCGATCGCGTGGTTGAAGAAACACGTCCCTGCCGAAGAAGACGTCTGGGAGATGGTCGTGGAAAAGGCACTCGGCTGGCTGGAGGCGAAGGTCGGAAAGGACGAGGCCGCGAAGATTCTGAAAGCGGCGGAAAATGTTGTTTGAATTGTTTCTTCATGACTGGACGGGACAAACCTGTGGTATGGGCTGACTATGGGTTGGTCATAATAATTTCCACCCACAGAGCAACAGATTTGTCAGAGTAGGCGGCATGGAATGGCATGGCATGGGATCGGCGAGGATTCGAAACGCAGAAAAGGCGCAAGGTTAGTTGGAAATTCGAAAGATCGAAGAAAAAAATGTGTGATTATGAATGACGACTGATGATGGACGATGATGGCTCATATGAAGCTTGGGAGGAGACTTATGGAGCGATCGAAACCCATGATCAGCGACAGTAGATAGTCACTCTAGATAGCAATCAAAACTAATTGCCCAATCAATACTGTTTCTTGTATCAACAACCAAATTTATCTGTATCAATACTTGTGCATTGTGGATAACATACAGATGAATTAATAATGTATTCGCTTAAGGTGAATAGCCCCTATAATACAGTATCTCCCTGTGGCTCAAGCCACTCCATATATATCATCGCTCGTAATGCTGTCATTCCCATCGACCAAACACGTCCCTTTACATGATATGATAAGCTTGTACAAAATGCCAATGTATGTAGTCGTGCTGCAGTCTCCAGACCAAAATGATAAAAGCAATCGCCAGAGCAGACAGGCTAGTTATCAAATCTGACCTCGCCTTCCTCTCCCAGCTCTTCCTCCTCCCTCTGGACAACACGTTCGATCTCACTTGCAACGCTGAGAACCCAGTGGTCTCTTTCGGCGCGACTTCGACATTTGAACACCATTCCACGACCAGGAACGCCCAATTGTCGAACACGCCTCAGTCGAGCTCGCTTCCCACCCTTTGACTTTCCTTCGTCACCCGAATTATCCGCCTTGGCTGCTGTTTTGAACCAGCCCTTTCGTTTGTTCATCCACACAACAAAGCAGGTCATTACGTCAATATCGGCACTGGTCCATCCATCTTCGAGATATACGCGAGGCAGGCTTGCCATTCCCGGATGATTTGCATCAAATGTCTTGTTTTGATACAACAGATCATCCTCGACAATCAGGCCACTGTAAACATAGCAGTCCTTGAGATCTACCACTTGTTGCTTTTCTTGATGGATATGGCGAACCTGCTGACCCGTTCTCTTCCTTGCTGTTGCTTGATATATGAGCAACTGTCCCCCACTCAGAATGACTTGGGAACGATGGAAGGTTGATCTCCTGCGTGTTTTGAGATACAATGACCCGGACATATTGATACTTCGGCAGCTGCTGATTCCACACATATTGTAGAGTTCAGGACTGGCCTGACTTCGACTAACCTCCCACTTCTTGGCAAATTGACCAATGACAGCCTCCATCTCTTCGTCAACATTGAGCTGTGCCAGATTTGAATGCCGAACTGCTTTAAATGTATCCATTTCTGCCTTGATCCGAAGTTTCCAATATTTGACCAGCTTTCTAAGTCGATGAATCCACTCATCACGAGTCTGCCTTGAAAATGCTTGCAGGCGAATGACCAGTTCGTTGTCAAGAACAATTTCAAAGACTCTCTCATCGTCAATTCCTTTGGTTGTTCCGTCTTCTGCTCGAGTGTCGTCCACATCTTCATGGAAATCCACGTCTGAGTCCGAACCAACATCGAGGGTGTCATCTGCTTCCGAAGCACCCCATTTCATCTTACGAATCTTTTTGACATAGCATAAGTTGATGAACCCGTCGGAGTCAGTTATGTTAGCCACATTGCGTCTGGCCTCTTCCACAGCTTCACGATCATGGCTCCTAAGCGACTGTTGATTGCCCGATGCCAACCAAGATATGTTTCCACCACGTAACTTGAATGGCTCGACGTCAAACATTAGTGGCGTCTTCTCTGCGATCTCATGAGCAGAGGGAATATTATTTCCTCCTCCGATCGTGGTAAGTCGTGGTGGATGGGGTGGTGTGGCTTTCGCAGGCCGGTTGAATACCAAAAATTGATCGTGAGCGGAGAAGTAAAGCCTCTTGAAGAAGGCTTTTCCAAACCGTTGTTGGACGCCTTTCTGAGAAGTCAGTCGAATGAGAAATCCTTCAATCGGCGGTGGCTCATCATGTTGTTTTCCCTTTTTACCATGAGCTGTAGTTGGATAGTGTTGCTTTGGTCGTAGTTCGAGATCATGGGACTTTTGCATAGCCATTGATCCATACATCTTGTCCTCATTTGCTCCATAAACCCATTCTAAACGATCATACCTTTTCCAAGCAAGGCCCATTTTAGCGGTCTCAGTCCATGTTTTGAGAACGCTCGACCACTCAGGATCTCCCTCAAGCATCTCAATACATTGTGAGATAATCTTACTTGCGACAGCTTGTTCAGCAGCGACCGTCCTGGCAATAGCAGTTTCTTCGGTCTCTGCATCTTCTCCAGCACGCTCAATAGCCTCGAAAGGCTTTTCCAGTTTTAATACGACATCGAGGTCGGGGACGTTGACCTGCAGAGTCGCAGGCCGCTGCCATCCCAGGGCATCCCGTAGAAAGGTATACCATTCCACTGAGTGAGCGGTTGAAGTGGCCCTCATGACAAATATTCTAGTCCCTTTCTTGTATGGATGCCAGATGACAACGGTTTTGTCCAGTGAAGAGTATAAGTTGACCCTGGTGGTTTTCGGATCCAACCTGATCTCATGAGAGGGTTTCTTCTTACTAGATTCGTTGTCGATTTCAGGAATAACCCTCGTCTTGTAAAGCTGTAATCTGAAGTCATGGGTGTCTTCCTTTTTGCTCTTCCTTGCAACAAGCATGAACTCGCGCCACTTCTCCAAGACCTTTGTTTCAAGCTTGATGCTCTCATTTTCGTCAAAATCCTCAGGGACTTGTTGCATCGTTATGTCGATCCTTGTGAGCATTCTCTCCATCTTGACGATGGTACCCTCTCTCAGGGTATCACGACGTAATCTTTTGTTGACAACACGATCTCTTGCTCTTCCGGCTTTGTTGGTTATTCGATGCTTTCCCTGATGGACGCCTTCCGAAACTTTGAACCTGACACCTGTGTTTGTACGTCCAAGCTGATAAGACCTATCATCGTTGATGGGTTTGGGGTCATGGGTGCGAAGAGATCTCAAGGCATTTTGATTCTCTCGCGTGTTGATCAAGAGGCTAGTCCTAGAATTCGCATCCGTGTCTTCCTGAGTAAGAGCTGAAGGTTGTAGAGACGCTCGGTTAGAAGGTCCCTGCTCGTCATTGGTACCTTGCCTCGGGCTCTGGTCAGGAGTCTGTATATGAATACCGGGTGATTCAATTTCACTTGGTCCCTCGAGATCCTCTTGCGCAGTTGTGAAAGACTGTGGCTCGGATTTGGGATCTCTTTTAGGCTTCCCACTTGTAGCCTTTGCTCTATCATGGGTTGGAATTGGTTTTGGAGTGGGACTGCGTTCGACAGCTGGCTGATCTTGTCCAGGATCTCCTCCTTCGAGGGTCCCAAGTTCAGCGGTTGCCACAGGGGCTAGATTGGTTGTCTCAATCACTTCGTCTTCATCATCCTCCTCATCCTCTGTACCTCCGTCAGTGGTAGAACCACTAGTTGAGTTTTGATCAAACACATCCTCTGGTTGGGGAAAGCTGAAGCTCATTCTAGCAGCTGTGGAGGGCCCACCCAAACCGGTCAAGGTTCTATGATGTGGTCCGCTAGAGGCCGCTGCATCGAAGGTGGCTCTCTTGGAAGAGTAAGTGCTAAGCTCCAGCCTTTTCTTGTACCATGATTTTCGGTTACTGTTCAACCAACCCTCGGGAATTGGCCCGATGAAGAAGCGATGCGAGGTTACGTGCAAATGTTCGGGTGAAGCATGCTTAAGTCGATTGGCAGTATATGAGTCAGGGTCAAGTGGCTGGAACTCAGTAGGGTTTGTCTGACTAGGTACAGGCATCACCCTGTCAGTGCTCGTTGCCATTGTGAAAGGAGGAGATTTTGATGGTGTTATAACGAAGGTTCAGGTCTAGCCATTGCGGAGAATATACAATCAACTAGGGTCGTCGAATGGTTGGAGATAGAATTATATTAGAAGCGGTGTATAATGTAGTAGGCATTAAGTATTAGGCATCTGTTGGAGGCTGCGGTTGCAAGTAAACGCGTCGTCAATCCAATGGAACCTGCAGGGCAAGAACGATGAACTCGAGCACGGCGAAATTGGCAGTAAACTGACGTCATGGGCTAAGCGACCAGATCGTGCCTTCTGGGGAGGAATCGACCTTGCCTGATGGAGAGAGCCTCTTCCATGCAACTCAAGCACTATTTCTGACACTAACTCTGCTAACTAGTATTAGACACTACCACTAGTTATTAGCCTCACATCGCACACTAACGCACCTCTCCCCTCCTCGCATGTCAACAACGGACAGACCGCCAATCCTACCAACAGCACCCCCCTCCCAGTTGTTCTTAGAAGGAAAGCTTCACTCCCTCCCTGAGATCCTTACATCTTTTCATTCTTTTCTCTTATTCTTCACCATCAGGAAAAATATAAACATTCCTCCTTCCCGTCAAAACTAACCCTCTCTACAACATGGCCAGCCAAATCCCCGCAGGCAAGACCTGGTTCGACACCCACAAAGTCCACTTTGAGAACGTCCCCGTCTCCGCCGACCAAGGAGTCTCCACAAACGAGTTCCTCGATGCCTCCGAAGCCACCACCACGCTCTTCGACCTCCTGGGCTCTGTGGCCTTCACTCCCGTGAAGAACGACATGACCGGCAACATTGCCAAGGTCCGTGAAAGACAGAAGGCTGCTCCAGATACCGCTGCTACTTTGCAATCCCTAGTCAAGGCAGAATTGGCGTCGAAATCACACAAGGCCACTGAGGGTCTACTGTGGTTGGTACGGGGTCTGGATTTCACCGCTCAGGCCTTGAGGTCCGATTTGACTTCAAATGCCGGTGTGTCGGCCACAGAGCAGAAGCCTAGCAAGGAATTGGCCGATGGCTTCAGGGCCAGCTATAAAAATACTTTGGCTCCTCATCACAGTTTCTTGATCAAGCCCGTCTTCAGCGCGGCTATGAGTGCTACCCCTTATCGAAAGGACTTCTACGCTCGACTTGGTGGAGAGGGAACAGACCCCGAGACGACGAGACAGGCTTTGGAGAAGTGGGTGGCTGCTCTGGAAGAGAGGGTTGCTATCCTAAAGACTTTCCTGGCAAGCAAGGATGCCAAATGGTAGATCCATGCCTGTTGACGAGATCATGAACATGTGCTTCTTAGAAGCTTCTGCCAACATAGGGCAGATCCGCCGGTACAGAAAAGCGTGGGCCAACAGTTTGGCTTCAATATGATTGAGATGTGATGCTTTGGAAAACCGTTCAGCTGAAGGGCAAGACCTCACGAGACCACCGGACTCTTAACGTATCCAATAGACTTATAACCATCTGTCAAATCATTGTCAGAGGGAGCGCGCTTTTCATTCCCGTACATCACTGTGAGACGACTGGAGGTTCTCGTCATCCAATGCTACTAGCTTGCTCTCCGCTCTTATTTTCCGCGAGGTAAGCTTCCAGCCTCTTCCTCTGAGGAGGATCATCCTCGCTTACTCCCTGCACCAAAGCAGGTGGTAAACGGTTGCCATTCCTCGCCAGGCCAACGGCCTCAAACGCCGCCTCAAGTTCATCAATAATTCCCTGCGCGGTCTTGACAATCTCAGGATCATCCTGACCCTCGAGCTCCCGACACGCCGTGGCATACATATTCCTCATTTTGGCGCTCTTGACCTTATCACGGAGGAACGTCGGTAGGATCTCACGGTTCTTGCGGAGCATGACCAACTCGCGAGCAGCCTCGCCGCTGCTAAACGCCTCGCTAAGCCGTTTCTTATCCGGGTTGATCTTGGCATCCAACACGGCGTCGAACTCGACGCGGCCGCTCCTTTTGGCCGGGTAGTCGTCCTGCTGTGGTCGGATCACCTTCCACGAATACCAGGGCGTCATGAGAATCTTGGCACTTCCGATCACCAGATTCAAACTGATCGGGCCATACCAATTCGAATCGACACTCTTGTCCCGGCTGTTCGCGTCACCTTCCACCCAAATATGGTTGAACGGTATGACTATCGGCTCTTCGCCACCAGAATATCCCGGCAGAGGCTTCACAATGTCGCCGGGAACACCGACGACTCGTTTCACAGCCAGTTTTTCCGGGTTGGTCGGGCTGCGGAACACAATGACTTCGCCGCGCTTGACTTCCCATTTTGGCAGATGGGGTCGGAAGAACGAGTCTAAGAGGACCCGTTGGACTAGGATAGTGTCTGCGGTTTCTGGTAGGTCGGGCGACGAGTTGACGTTGAGGAAGGGAGACATGGACGATCCCGAGACTCGCATGGGCTCTACGGGGCAGAGGAAGAGCAGAAAGAATGCCAGAGGGGGGCCGACGATGAAAAAGCGGCCGACCCATCGCCGCAAGGAAGGTGGAAGGTCGTCGAAGATACTTTGCCCATAGTTCTGTTCGTTTTGGTGTTGTTTATCTCCTCCTCCTCCTGTACGTTCCTGCTTAAAGCCATTCTTTTTGTCTGCCGGACCATCCTGTCCTGCATCCTTCGTTTTCGGTCGTTGTACAGGCGCCGCAATTATGTCTGGCTTGTCTGGCCTGTCCGGTCTTTCGGGAGGCAGTGATCTACCTCGTCGAAAAGCGGAGAGGCGTGATCGAGGAGCAGCAACCGCGGCATAATTCCGAGCGAGGCGAGGAGGAATGAGCAAGCCTCTCGATGCAGGTGGCATGATTGTAGTATAACTTGAGAGCTGACGCTCACGAATGCCTTTTGGCGGTCCCTTCCGCAGGAGAGGTGCCAGTCGCTGTCATAATGCCATTGTATGCTTGTGAACGAGCATTGGAGAGTGCTACATAGATATCTGGTTAAGATCAACGTCCAAAGGTTGGAGGTACGTGACAACCCACATGCGGAGAAATTGGGGGCAGGTCTGCCGACATCCTCAGCCTTGTTACGGACAGCACAGCTGAGGATTAAATGGACAATTCTGAGACTTATTTGATTTTTTTTTGTGAACGAAACTATCTATATCTATACAATCAAACTCATGTTACATGCCAGCATCAGCTTCCTGCAAAACTGTCTCCGTGCTCTCTGAGCTTGTTCTTCCATACTTTGGTCCTTAGCTTAGCCTCACGCTCCAGTCTCTGCTTCTTCCGACGCTCATAAACTGCTCGCACGGTACGCTTGGTGATGTCCGCTCCCTCCTCGAAGTTTGTCTTTGCAAGCTCAGCAACTTTGTCGATCTGCTCAGGGGTATAGATGAAGTTCCATGTCGAAAGATAATCGCTCTTATCTGGATCAACACCTTCAACTTTCGGATTTGGCAGCAATGGGAAATAGACCACCGCTATGCCTGCGCTTGGGCTGGTCAAGTGAAATGTAGAGTCCCTGGGATCGTCCCAACCAAGCAACTTAGATGGCGGCGGCTCTTCATCACTGATCCTTTCTTCCTTCGTTCCTACCCAAACGTTGCATGCGCCCAGTTCTGTTTGTTTGTCCGGACTGTCACCAGTGGTGGGGCTTTCTGGTACACCTTGGTTATTTGGCTGATCTTCCACGGACTTGTCCTTTCTCCCCTGTTCTCTTGCTTCTGCTATTTTGGCCGCAGCATCTTGCGCTGTTGCAGTCTGCGCCTCTACCAGTACTTGCACGGTCTCCTCTGAGTTCGAGGATTTGCCAGGCCAGCCAGCGCCAAGTGGCCAGCCTTTGATGCCACGTTGTTTGGCATAGCCATCCACAACAGATAGCCAATTCTCTTGCTGAATGTCGGCCGATGCATCAAAGGCAATCACTATGTCCACGTCCCTCCCAGGGCGGAGAAGCGGGTATATGGGCAAATTGTTGCTCATGCCGGCATCCATTAGTTGCAAATGATCACTCTGGAAAACCGAATCTGGACATGTCGATGGTAATTGATCCTTCATGCCGTAAACAAAATTAGGGATCGTTGCTGGTTCGATGGGGTGGATTTTGACGAGGTCGTCATTTTTGCCTTCCAATAGCTCATTGATACCTGCAAACCCAACTATGCCTAGGAGCAGAGGTTTGATCTCCTTATAGTAGTGAGATAGTGTCGCACAAAATGCTGAACCCCAGATACCTAACAGAAGGCTTTGTCGTATCTCAGGCATAGCAACGCCCGTTTCAAGGATCTGATTTTGGCCATTTTTGAAGGGCCTTCCTAAAGCCCATGTTGGTATGCCTGCACCCATCTCTTCGCACCAAACTTCCCATGGATGCATTTCGAACCACTGAAACCAGGCCTCTTTTCTAGCCTTGTCTTTGATTTCCTGCTTGAGTGCAAGATTATCTTTCGCCTCTTCACGCTCCGCTTCGTCTACAGGGATCTCATGCCGCACTGCCGTGTATATAGGCATAGGGTGTTCGCCATTTTCAAGGTATATCCGTTGATTGGACAGCTTTAGATCATGGTCCTGGACGTTAAGATCCCCATTGGGCACCAGCAGTCTTGCTGCAAGAAGGCCACCGTATATGTCCACCAGACCAAAGTTGGCGCCTGGGTCTCCTTTGAGCTTCTCTACGAAGCCACTCAAAAGATACTTGTTAGTTGGGGCGGATAGAACCAATTTCATTGCGGCAGGGGGAAATGCGATGTGGGTACCAATCCTTGACTTTAAGTGCTTCAGGACCGTTGCATGGTTCTGCTTTCCAAGTGAGGAGAAGTAGATGGTCTGCATCCAGCAGCTACCACTAACGCCAGCAGTGTATGTGACGCAGTCAAAAAGTCCTGCTTGTTGAGCAGAGAGACAACTGCTTGCGCCAGCTACCAGTGCTCTCAACCCTCCTCCGCTACCACAGACGGCAATGGTTGGTACATCCTCGGGGTCTATCTCTTGCTCGTCAATGTCGAGATATCTGGCCAGGGCCTTGACAATGTATGCCTTTCTCTTGCGACGAAAATCCAGCTCGTCCTTTCCCAGTGTCTCACCTACACGTACTGTGGCGTTCCATAGAATTTCAGGGTTGATTGATGGGTCATGTGCCTCTTCCCATATTTCGTCCGCTAAAGTACCTGGTTGCATGGAAAGCTCGAATCTTAACTTTTCGAGCCCTTCTGGCAGAAACTTTGCCCAACTAGGAATAACAAGTTCCGTGATCTTGTCGCCCACGGTTGTCCATTGTATTCTTTCGATGCCCTCCCTAACAGTATTGAAACTTCGTGAGAAGTTTGCCCAAGCGTTATCATCATCGTCTTCGAAGCCCGGGCCATATGTATCAGGATCGTTGACTTTCCGTATTATCTCGGCATCGCCTTTCTTAGAGGCATGCTCGGGGTTCTGGTGATGATCAAAATGGCTTCGCACTCGTTTGCTATACTCTGGTGAATTGGCAGTAGGTACGGAGGTCTTGCTCAATGGACTGTCGAGCTTGATAGTAGATGTCTGACGCCGAGTGGTGTAAATGCCGGCACCCGCAGCCACTGCAAACGTAGCATAATGCAAGGGCTTCCGTGACAGGAGCCTCGCAGCGCTCATGGTGACGGGGAGCGCTGCAGAGACAGTGATTCAACGCTGATGATACAACATGCTGGTATTCACGTCGCCTTATACAGGTAGAATGCAGCTGAGGCAACAGAAGAAAACCGGTTTGCTTTGCGCATCCCAGTCCTTACCTCATACCGAAAACCAGAAATGTTGAATCGAATTTCACTTGGACATGACGTCGAAGCTTTTGGAAATATGTTGATCCGGAAGCTGTTCCTGGTCTAGACCGAAGCTGGTTAGCCACATGCTAAGCGGATTATCTAGCTCGAAGCCCCCGAATCTTAATCCGAAGTTGAAGTTGACATGCCATTTCGAAACTAGATGCCTTGAAACCTGAAGCTACTGCCAGTTGCCTCGGGCTTTATGTGTGGTAAATAACCTATTTGCCTGGCAGAAACCAAACAAATACTGATCAATATTCATATGCACGCGTTAGCCAGTCCAACTTGAAAGGATGAGTCTTACTTCTACATGATACTATTCAGACATGACACGCTCGTATCCTTTACAAACGGAAAGGTGTACGAATTTATCCAAAGTGATCTGAGCCAGCTCTCTGACACTCGCTGTCTCCTGGTCAAATTTAAAACTACTGCCTGAGTCCCAAGTGGCGCTGAAAACAGTACCTTCCAGTGTTGCACAGCATCTCCGCCTCTTCCAAGATGGCCGGGTCTCGCAATGCTGCATTTGCGGAAGAAAGCGCCGAGGTGGAAGTCTTATTGGCGTCACTCACAAAGACCAAAGATATCACCAAGCGTATTGCTGCCAGCCTGACGCGTCTTGATACAAGTGGCAAGATTGTTGTGGAAGCAATTGGCCCAATATACAGCAACACTCAACAGCTACAGGTCACAAATCGAAACATTGATAAGGTCAATGAAGCCATCGAGAAGCTTAGACAGCCACTCGATGCCCGCGGCAGGGAAGAAGGGATTATTCGTGCTGGCCCAAAGAATGCTGGCCTGCCCCAGTATCTCAATGCCTTGAAACGCGTCGAGAAAGCTTTGAAAGATATGAGTTCATCCAACATGAGATCAAACCAACAAGCCATATCCGAATTTCAAACTCTTCTATCGACTGGCGTCAATCAACTCCATGACACATACCGTCAGATGCTGCAGGAAGATGCCAACACTATTGAACCCCTGCATTTCATCACGAAAGAGATCCCATTCCCAACGATATCTCCCGAGAAAATTCAAACTCTTGGACCGATGGCAATGGCACTCCTCTCCGCCGGAGCTCAATCAGCAAGAATGGGACAACGAGATGATGACGCTGCCGCTCGCATATACGCTGAGATCAGAGGTGACTACCTTCAGAATAGCCTTCAGAATCTTGCGGCAGCTTCAATCAGCACTTCAAAACGACGAGCAAACGATACTGGCATCTATCGTGAAGGGTCTAGCGGTATTGGAGCCTACGCCAACGCAATCGAGGGTATGTTCATCGCCGAAGCAGAAAACACGTCTAAGATCTTCCGTGACGACGGTGGCCGCATCTTCACATTGACTTGCGGAAAAGCAATCGCTACATTTACACGGACATTGGCTGAGCTAAACGGCGTTATCAAATCTCGTCTTATGAACGACTGTTTCCTAGCATACGAAATCCTTGATCTCATTACCCCTCTTGGATATCGAATCGAAAAACGGACCGGCCAATTACGCACCCAGTTCGCCGATGCTCTAAGACCACTCCGAGACACTGCACGATCATCACTGAATGAAATCCTTTCACAGACGAAGAGACAAGCCGAGTCGATAGCCACCCTTCCTTCCGACGGCAACGTTGTTCCTCTCGTCACCCAAACAGCCACACGACTGCAAAACCTGGCAAATTTTGAACGTCCATTATTGGTCCTCTTATCTGCAATGGGAGAAGGTAGTTGGCGGTCTGCACCAGCCGCAGCCTCACAATCCACACTGAACCTCGAATTGACACCCTCGACGGAGAACCCAACCTTGCTCTCGCACTACCTCCTTGATATCATTGAGTCCCTCTTCTCCACCCTCAGCACACGGGCAACGACACTCCACCGCACGAAAGGCCTCCAGGGGATCTTCCTCCTCAACACCGTCGCCGTCATCACCCGTGCCGTCAATTCCAGCCCGGACCTGGCCCGCTACCTGGCCATCAGCCCACACAACACCAAACTGGATGCATACCGTAAGACGGCCTCGTCATTGTACATGTCGGCATGGCGGGAACCATCAGGCCACCTATTCGACACCATCCACACCTCGGGCCCATCAGCCTCATCAAGACCCATGTCCTCCGCGGCGGGTGCCATCGACAGCACCCAGATCATCAAATCACTGGGCTACAAAGACAAAGACAAGATTAAGGAGAAGTTCAAGCTGTTCAACACGGCCTTCGATGAGCTCATCGTCCGCCACAAATCCTTGCACATGGAGAACGAAGTGCGAAGCTCTGTCGCCCGCGAGATCCAGAGCCTCATCGAACCGCTATACACGCGGTTCTGGGACCGTTACCATGAGGTCGACAAGGGGAAGGGAAAGGTGGTCAAATACTCCAAAGCGGAGTTGGCCAGCATGTTGAGCAGTTTGTAGTGTAAACGAACAAAGGTCACGTGGGACGCAAACTTGGAGACGGTGCACTCCCCGTGCACAGATGCTGGGGCGCCCTTCGTGGGCAGAGTCAAGAGGCCCTTCTTGGGTAGGTTCAAGGCGCCCTTTTCGGGCAAATCGAAGACGTTCTCCCCGGGCGAATCAAAGCCCAAGTCCTCTCGTTGGTACTGGAAACCCCATCATTAGCATCAAATTGGCAAGGCCTATTATTAGTCTAGAAAGCACCATCATTAAACTAGGGGGGATGAGCATCATCAGCCACGGGGAGGCCATCATTAGCTTAGAAAATCCATATTACTACAAATCATTACACTTTGCGCTTTATGCCCTGCGAAACGTGTCCACGATCTCCCTCTCCTCCCTTTCGCGATCAGGATTGAGGATGAAGCGAATCGTGCCCTCGCGCCCTCTCTCGCCAATTCTCGGTCTAGCACCAGGGACGCTGGTGGCAGCTGTACTGCCACTGCCCGGGCCAGAACTCGAGTTCGTGCTGGGACTCGTCATATCCTTGGGGCTGACGTTTTTGCTTGAGGAGCGGGAATGATGGGAACCATTGGCTGCACCATTTAGAGCCACAGGACCATAGCCCGAGACGTTCTTCTCGTTGGGGATTTTGAGCCATTCCGTGAAACGCGGGAGGCGGCGGGCTTCGGATTCTTGGTTGAGGGGGATGCGTACGGAGAGGAATACGTCGACGGGGAATTCGGGGCCGATGGCCGTTTGGTTGCGGTGGTGTGTGTAGAGTTCAAGGAGGTCGAGTAGGGTTTCTAGAGATTGTCTCTTGTTAGCTTGTGCTTAGATGATGGATTTTATGACTTTCAAGTCATGTCTTCCCAGGAACGAGAGAATCGGGGCGTGGATGTGACCTACCCATGACGAGCGCCCGGTTGATTTTCCAACTTGAGTAGTCCACACCGGACCAGATCTCCTGATGCTCTTCGCCCAGCAGTCTTCCTGCGAGCTCCAGACAGGCAAAAGCGAGAGTGGCCGACTGCTGCTTCAGGGGTGCAAAGGTACGGTAGAGGTCGAGAGACATGGAGTAAGCCGTCTTGACAACTTGCGAGGTCTTTTCAAATCTGTAAAATTTTGCCAGTTTGATGAGCAGTTCCTGTGGATGACGACTCCGAAAGTCAAATCCGGATGCTTCTAACATGAGGCGTTCTAGACCGATGATGGCTCTGGATTGGTGTTCGAAGAACTAGGTCGCAAGGTATTAGCGGATCTGTCATTTAGAAAATAATGCATCATTGACTTACCTGATCGTCTGGAGATAATTGCTCGTGTCGACCGGCTTTCAGGTTGTGTGCGGCGCAGAGAATGTCTCGCGACTTTTTTAATGTGTCTTCAACTTTACATGCAGAGAAGAGAGCGGCAGCAGCAGCATGCTAAATTGAAACCTGATTAATTTAACAGATCCTCAAGAGTTTGAGTTTTGCGCACTCACCACGAAATCGTACTCTCCATCAGAATGTTGTAGTCGGAATTTATGATAGTACATGACAGCGGTATTGAATGTCCTGACCGGTCTTGTTTGAAACGTTAGCAACAGCCCATAAATTTCATTATTAGAACATTTCCTGGAGAACCAAGAATCCCGATGACAGGAATTGTCGCGCCGCAATTGTTCGACTCACAATTTCAACGCCCTCCGGACATTTTCGATCCACTGTACACCGGCCAGTCTCATGCTGTCCTCTCTCGCCTGACTGACACCAGTCTCCTTGAGACACTGCTGGATCTCCTGTTCAAAGACATAGCTTTTGGCGACCTGCACGAAATTCGGCATGGGTCCATTTCGCCTTGGTGTCGCTACTGTTGTTGTTGTCGTTGTCGTGGTACTGCTGGTGGCGGCAACATTGTTACCGGAGTTTGTCTCGCCGGCGCCATTCATCGTTTCCGAATGAATGTGAGGCTCGATGCCACCACATTCGCAAAATTTCAGCCACGGCTCGTCACTGTCGTAAATAAGAGTGGGTGATGGATTTGTCGTTGAAGAATGAGAATGAAATTCAACTTGAAGGCCGGGGCCGCCGGAGAAACTTTCTTCCATTTGGCTGGAGAATTGGCACGTGACTGGAGTCTGATTTTCAGGGGCTCGAAGGGCCTTGGTGAAGCCGGTCCAACCCTGTCCCGGTTCTTTAAAGTGATATCAATAAGTTTCTTGCTCCTCCACCTGAATGTCTTGTTTGGACAAGCGACCACAACTCACAGTAGCCTTTCGATTTGGCTAGAACGAAAGTTCGGCATGCTTAAATTGATGAAAGCTGCGAGGCTGCGAGTGTAAAATCACTTCCCATTTCAGATTCCAGGCAGTCAGAAGAAATCCACTTCACTGTAAATCTCCAGAGAGTTTCTACATACTGCCTCTACGCTTGAGTCTGATTGAGAGTCACCAGAACCAACAATGCTAGATGTCTTAATCAATTCTAGCCCTCCTGTTCTGTCCATGGCACTCTCTTTTTGCTCTCTCCCTCGCCTCTTCTTTCAGGCTCACCCTTCTTTTAGTTGCCACGACCAATGCACCAAACGTCAGAATTCCCTCCATGTCCTTTGCTTTCTCTTTCTTCTTCATGCTTGCCCCGGCTCCGTCCACGTTCATGGGTTGATATATTTGTCTTCCCAACTGTCCTTCGTGTTGGGATTCGCACCGGAGGCAAAGATATACCGGACACAGCAAGCACTGCCATTCCGAGCAAAATCTCTCATTGACGGTCCTTCGCGGCTGGCTTTCCGCTTTGCGACATCATTATGGATGCCCTTCCCTCTTTTCCCCCAGGAAAAGTTTGAAGCTGCCAGCAAAGAGCCGTTGCTGGATCAATCAAGTTTACTTTCCTAGCTCATGACGGACAAGCCGGCCGATCTGTCAAAACACAGAGTGCCGGCATAGGACTCCGGTCGGACTTTGTGTAGATGCGTTGCCATGCGCTGTAGGTGGTTGAATGCGCAGCCACACGCGTACCATACTCATACTGAGTCATTCCATACCCAGCATTAATGGGCAAGATACTGGCTCGTGCACTGGCTCAATCACCTGCTTTGTCACAAAAATCTGTGGGCCTTCCAAATCCTGCTCACGGTATCGGTATCGGTATCGGAAGGGGACAAAGAACCTTAAGGTCTACCAGTGTAGAGTTGAATACCTTAAAACTTCAGGATCTTCACACCTCGATTATGCTGATGCATTCCAACCTTAGGTAGTCAAGTTCTGTGAACTCCAGGAATAGCAGTCCTCAAACACACGTGTTGGAGGGTTCGCAATCGCGACTGAATACTGTAAGGCCCCCTGTGTTTCATAGAGATTTGGAGCTGACCAGTGTCAAGCCACAAAGACAAGACTGAAACATTCCCCTATTCGCACTCCCCCGCACCAATGTGCTGGCACGCTTCGGTCACGTCGTTGAGATAGCAACTATAGTTACCGCTCCTTACCTCGAAGCATTTACGGCACACTAAAGCGGTGCTTGACCATATCAGTCCTTGACAGTCCGACTGGAGAGCGGACTCCTGAAATGGATCCTCTTTCCGCAACAGTCGCGGCTACTCAAGTGGCAGAACTGCTATACAAGGCTTCCATGTTGATTCGGAGATTTGTGAAGGATGCAAAAGCGATCGATGCGAACCTCAAGGGACTCGGAAATGAAATCCAGTCTTTGATGTCCATTGTCAATTCAATCACTACCGCTTTCGAAGACCCCACTGTTCAGCCATCTCTGCAGGCAGCCAAAGACAATGCGATCTTCTTGAACCATGTGATAGCATTGCTCACGGATTGCAAAATAAGTGGCACTGAAGTGCTGCTGATTCTTGAGAGCCTGAGCGGGAGGGATGACCCTGACAACTTCCTCTGGAAATCAGCCAGACAAATACGCTTTTACAGAAAGCATGAGAGCCTTGATAGGTTGCAGGCTAGACTTTCGTCCCACAAATCGGATTTGCAGGTTGCCCTTGGGGTCATCAATATGTACGTCTCTGTTGCGGTGCTTGGATTTGCACATCTAATATGCTCTGACTAGGCTTGTCACCGGTCACTCGTCGGACAGAGTGAACAATTCGTTAGGTTCGAAAATCGATCAATTGGCGAAAAACCTGGAAATGCAATTGATGCAAAGGAAATCTGTCAATGGCAACGGGGTTGGAGAAGATGACGACGATGAGGACGCCCGTTTCATTCGCCATTCAAAGGAGCTCATAGATTCGGCGACGAAAGTCTTATCAAGACAGAACACATTGATCTTGGAAGATATTGAAGTGATTGACATGGCGAGAGAGCTTGATATTGAACGCGAAGAGCACGAGTCGGAATTCGAAGAAGTCGAAGATCAAGGTTTCGTTCCTCCCTCAAACCGCTCCCTACATCAGACGCAGGTCCCACTTCCCGCTCGGACACCATCCCGTAAGCAATCGCCAAAATCGGTCGACACTTCTGTACTCTCAGAAAATGGATGTATTTCAGCTTCGGACCATGGCATGACACATGAGATGGGACAAAACACACAAATAGCTGTAAGGTTCAGTACCCCATTTACAAACCCACCACGGATGATCTACGGACTCAGCCATATCGATTGCGTGGACGGTGAGAATGTTGTGGATGCAGCAGGCCCACGAGTAGCTTTCGATGTCGTCGACATTGCCGCTGATGGGTTCCAGGCAACCGCTCGAACATTTGGCAATTGTGTCCCTTGGGACCTCAAGATGTCGTGGCTCACGCTTCCCGAGAATGGCATCCACTTTGAGACCGGTACTTTTGACACCTCTACGGTGCGCAACGATTCCAGATCGCTAGCCGTTACAGCTGTTACTTTTTCTCGACCATTTCAAAGGAATCCAATCGTTTGTTGTTGGTTCACAGAAGTAGATATTCCGTATGGCTGGCGCTCGTTGAGGACTTGGGCTGCTCGCATAACACATGATGGCTTCGTACTATCGGTTGATACATGGGCCGATCGCGTATGGAAGAACGCCCGGGTCAACTGGCTGGCTTATGATGCAGAAGAGGATGGACGACGAATCAAGAGCTCTGTGCAAATCGTTAAACGACACGAAGTGAGGAATTTTTCCTCCCCATGGTTAAGAGATCCTCAAGCTCGCGACCCCACCACCTTCATTGCTATCACCGAGTTGGATTGCGGTCCCAGTCGCAACACCAGGATTAGTGGACAGATCACAAACATCACCGGCGGACGACTGATAGGAGAGATTGGAACGTGGGATGACACCGACATGGACCATTTGCATTGTACCTGGATTTCAATAGAGTAGCTACAGTACCAGAAGTATGGTGTTAGGATTGGGAGCATTTGGAAACCATTATCTAGATTCTGACAACACTAATCATGATTGACTGGTAACGCCTTCTCTCAAGACCGAACGCCTTTTAATGGGTGTGGCCCCTGACATCGGACAGGCCTTTGTAGCGGAGCAATGGCAGAAGCCTCATCGCTCTTGCCCTAGAACAACAAGAGGATGCACAATACACTTGCTGAATTTTGAAAACCCGCCGCCGCATAATGATAGTCAACTCCTGGTATCCTTTGCACAAGTAGAAGGTGGGGCGTGAGATCTGGTTCAAGAAGCAGCGACCGGTCCGTCCTTGACGTCGACTTTCTTTGCTTCTCGGTCTGCGTCTGCGCTATCGTCATCCTCTCGGGCTCGCTTTTTGGTCTCTGAGGCTTCCACATCGACCTTCTCGGTAGTTTCCTTCTTCTGCTCGGCTTCGACAGCTGCTCTTGCTTTTGCCAAGGCATCATCTCGAGCGTTTTCATTCTCTGCTGAGCTCGATTTGACAGTGGGAATTCCCCTGAAGCTTTGTTAGTACATGTATGCTGGAAACAAATAATAGTGGTATAACATACCGGTCATCCGTTGCTGGGCCACTGGATCTGCCACCTCCGTGACCTGAACCGCGATGGCGATCACCTCCACCTCGACGTCTGTCATTTCCAAACCCGCGCTTTTGGTCTTCGTCTCGGCGAGATCTCCAGTCACGGTTGTCTTCGTTATCACGCTTGCGCTTGGAATCACCACCTCGGCGGTCTCGGTCATATGGCCTGCCACCTTTCTCAAGGGTGGTGTTGGGCTTGAGTCTACCCGCCTTGATATCTTCATTCTTCTTGTCGCAGTATTCCTTCTTGCTCATGATCTGAAGATCGTTGTCCTTGAATTTGGGCTTGTTCTCTTGTTCGAGGAATGCCTTGGCGAGCTCTTCAGTTTCGAACTCGACAAATACACTACCCTTGAATAGCTTCTCATCGGAACGTCGTAAGCGAACTTCGTTGGTAGCGCCGAACTCGGAGAAATATGCCTCAATATCGAATTGGGTACTGGGAACTTCTTCGCCAAAGCCCTTGGCATAGATGCTTCTTCGCATAGCACCGGTGTTGTCAACCGTTGGCTCCCAAGCCTTTTGGCGTCGCACAGCTGTGTCATCTTCTGCAAGCTCGAGGAAAGTAGATTCTTTTAGTGCATCAACAATTGCGGAAAAGGGTTGGAAGTGGCGCATTCGCTTGAAGGAGTGGATGGCTGAAAGAGGGACGGGCTTGTTTTCAGAGCCACCAGTTTGCTCGAAAAGGAACTTATCCTTGGGCAAATTGGAGTCGGAGAAGTAGAATTCAACCTGAGCAAATTAGCATCAAAGTAAAGAGTCTGAGTGACTATTGAATCGGTACCTGTTTGCGAATTGCGACGGGATCAGAGCTCTCTTGTTGGTCGGTGAAGACGGATTTGATATTGTCTCGGTAGTTGCGGTTGCCATAGCCATTTCGATCATTTCCGCCTCGCCCTCTTCCGCGATTAGGACGCTGACCTCTGCGATCTGATCGATCATTATCGCGGTGTCGGTTGTCTCTGTGTCTGTCTGAATCGCGACTTCTGTCTCCCGACGGCTTGTCCTCTGATTCATCCTTCTCGCCAGCATCTACTTTCTCTTCCTTTGGAGCTTTGTCCTCAGACTTTGCGCCATTGGTGTCCCCATTGGTGTGTTTGACAGCCTCGGATGGGCCTGACTCATTTTGCATCTCAGCTAACAACTTTTTGGTTTCCTCTGCAGCCTGCGCATTGGAGTCAAGAGGTGTCTGAAGTGCATCGGTGACTGCTTCTTCTGCAGACATTTTGTATCTGAAATTCGGAGGTCTTGTTCTCTCGAAAGGTTCAGATCAAGGTGAGTTGGTGGTGAAATTTTGTGCGGGGATATGCTACAGCAGCGTTTTCACTGGAGGTAGAGGGGAGGTATTGGTTCCAGAGAACTTGCAGGTGTCGCTTGGAAGAACACCTCTAGAGTGATGGTTGTGAGTAAAAGGAAGTTACAATTTATGAGCTTGAAAGTGCCTGGTAACCAGATCAGTGAACGATGCGAGCATTCACAACCATTCAAAATTTCTGGATCCAACTGGCGGATGGAGATCTGCTTTTACTGGCAGTTCTGGTGGTAGCCCAGTGGCATTCCACCGCTGAAGCCCCGCAGCCGCGAAATCTTGGCATGCAGTTGTTCCGGTCAAGAAAATCCGTTCCGCAGTTGCCTAGTTACAGTCACGTGATAGCTCTTGGCTGGCTCCAGGTCTCATGCGGCGAGAAAGATACTCCGACTTCATCACCCTTATTAGGCGGTCGACAGTCAAGTGCATCTGTCAACCTCAGACTTCTGCACAGTCACGGTTGACTTAAGTGTCCATGACATCAAGGATCGCCTTAATGTAATTATTCCTTAGCTCCTATGGTTATCTAGGAGCCCCGCTCCTCATGGTTTTCCACCGCAGATAAAGAGCTTCACTCGGCCGATGAAAATTACCCTAATAGGAAATGATCGCTACTGAGCCGAACGACGCACACCTTTCTTCTGAGTAAAGTTGAACCAACAACATCTGATATCGGCTACCCGAAACGTTTCGCTCCGGTGAGAATAGCAACGTACTCGGATTCAGGTCCCTAACGCCAGAGCGCGGGAGGCGTTTCAAAAACCTTCCACGTAGGTGTATGTATATATATGCCGAGCTAGATGCCTCCTCCTAAGATGAGGAATATACTCGTAGTACTTCTAACTTGGAACAAAATCATCAACTTTGCTACTTTCTATCAGCCATGTCTTCCACAACCATCGTCTTTATTACAGGTGCAAACACTGGGATCGGATTAGAGGTTGTCAAGGCTTTGCTCCAGTCGCAAAAGGCGTATACCATCCTTCTCGGTGGGCGCAGCATAGACAAAGCCAATGCTGCTGTCAAAGACGTACAAGCACAGTTTCCTGATAGCTCAAGCACCGTCACCTCGATACAAATAGATATCGAAGATGACAACTCCATATCTCAAGCATACGACCGCATTTCCAAGGAATATGGGCGTCTGGACGTGTTGGTGAACAATGCAGGTAAGAGAATGCTGTCCTCATTGAGCTCTAGGCAAAAAAGTATCAATCACTTACGATAAACTTCCAGGCGCCGCATTCGACGGCCAAGTCATGGAAGGCAAACTCAGCATGCGGGAAATGTGGAATAAGTCATGGGCGCTGAACACGACCAGCACACACATCATGACCCATACATTTATTCCACTGCTCCTAAAATCATCTGACCCACGGCTTCTTTTCGTGACCAGCGGCACCTCCACCATGGCCGAAAGCGAAGATCTGTCAGTTCCCATCAACCACTCTCCAGCCAAGGGATGGCCCAAGCAGGGCTTCAGTGTCGCGGCCTACCGCTCCAGCAAAACTGGCATGAACATGATGATGCGTGACTGGGTCCGCGTACTCAAAGAGGACGGCGTCAAGATCTGGGCGATCTCGCCAGGATATCTAGCGACGGGGTTGGGCGGCTCACAGGAGAGGAATAAAAAGGCCGGAGCCGGGGACCCTGCGTTGGGCGGGACTTTTATTCGCGATGTTGTTGAAGGTACAAGAGACGCGGATGTGGGAAAGGTCGTTCGTCGGAGTGGTGTGCAACCATGGTAGTCTCATGTTGAGGCATCTACTCTAACTCAGAGTCTACAGATTCGTCCCAAGTCCAAGAGCAAGGGGTTTGGTAGGAAATGAAAACTGTATCTCTCATGGCGATACTCTTTTCTGGGCGCTTCGCATAGACATCTTCACTCTTGGGTGCTCAGACACGTAGAAGTTGGTGGAGGCCTCCTCTTGAGCGTGAGTGGAGTGGTGTCTCCTTCCACCATCAATTTAATGCTAACTAGCACGCCAACAAACCCCAATGTCCGCTGTGAATGTGAGTAACGTTGACCCGATCGAGTATTGAAATTGTGCTTCCACAGAATCCTACTTCATCAAGAGGTTTGTTGGTCCCAAGCTGGTCGAGGTGTACAATTTTCACTAACTGTCATGGCCAAGTGCAATGCTCCTGAAACGTCAATCAACCTCGCTGGCCATAGGATTGAGCAGACAACTTATTCGTTGCAAAAGCATGGCTGAGCAGGTGTACCTATGGTTGAATTTCTATGGCGGGAAACGATAAGGTAAGCGGAGACGCCTTGGCGCTCAAACGTACGCTGCTTTTAATCATTACTGCTCACCTTTGCACTAACCTGCACCACCGTTCACCGACGACCTCTTCGCGAAGGCCCTCTTCGATAATGAATTCTGCCCTTGCGCTAGATTGGGATCTTGAACTACGGATGGATAGGACCCCTACTTCGTACTCCCCTGACGCAGACCTACTGCGCAGCCTAAAACCACTCCGCTCAACTCCAAAAAACGGGGCCGCTCCTCAAAAGCCAACGTTAGAAGACACTATCCATATACGATTGTTGTTCCTATACTAGGCCGATAGTACCACTCTTGAATGCGCCGCTAAGCGCCGAGCTCACCTGAGCTAGGAGGTCAACTTGGTCAGACTCAGGAGGAATTAGGGGAATGGTAGAGCGGAGGTGAGGGTAGGTACCTAACGGACAATAAAACATTCCAACGGAGTAGGTACACGCCTAACACAGCCCCGCCAAGATGCAACTCCTCCTCGATCAGTGGAGACAACAGCATCTGCTCTTTGCTGTAAGTACTCCGGAGTGTCAGCCTCCCCCTTGAAATGCTGGGCTATTACGTGGTCGCCAAGGCAGGTGTTGCCAAGCCTTTCACGTCTCTCGGCAAACGCATTGTTTGTCTTTTATCGGGCCTTCAGAGACACAGACCTCTCGAGTCTCGACAGGGTTTTGCATGAGATGGGGATTATACACGTTCAACCACTGCTATGGCTGGAAGAATATACTATCCGCGCAGCATACATCGTGGATATTCAGGTGAGATGAGTACCGAAAACAAAGGAAATGCCCAGCCCGTCCAAGGCCGATTCAAGGCGGACACCATCCTGATTCGAGGCGACTGATCCTTGGACAATTCTTAGAAACAATATTGTCTTGGCTGACACCAGTTGCGTACGATACTGAGATTACTGCCAACCAAAATGCAAACTCTCGACAAAGAGGGACTTCATGCATTGATCCTCATCGCCGTCTTTCACCTTTCATTCTTTGTTTTCTTCGAGGTAACCGGCACAAAACTTCTTAATTGCTAAACATTCATTTAGTAGTGTCGAGGGATCAGCTTTCGTTCCATCGCTTCTATTCCCTCGTTTTTGCTTTCCTATTGGCTCTACTCGCTGGATCGTGAGGCCGTGAAATCGAATCTGTACTTGTCTTGTCTTCTTTAACCCTCCTTCTATACATCAAGCTCGCAAACATTTTACATTCGAATTCGAACCGAAGCTCGATCATTCATCGATTGACCTATACACTCAAACATTCGGACCACCTGGAGGAAGGAGACTCTCGCTTACACCTAGGAGCATGAGACGATGACACTCACCATGTACCGTCTATTCTTAACCGCCTTAATTCCTCTCGCTCAAGCGATCGACCTGCAACTCGACTCCCCATCGTCGATCAAAGATGCCACCTCCAAGATTGCCAACGATATGATGACCTTTTACACCGGCGACGAGCCCGGTCAGATACCGGGTCTACTTCCGGGCTCGCTCAACTGTAACCCTTCAGAACCCGACAACTATTGTTGGTGGCAGGCTGGTGCCATGTGGGGATCATTGATCAATTATTGGCAGTATACTGGAGATGAAACTCATAATGCCGACGTGCGGCAATCGATACTCCATCAACGTGGACCACAAGACAACTTCAACCCACCCAACCATAGTAGCAGCATGGGTGTAGACGACCAGGTGTTCTGGGCATTCAGCGCACTGGACGCGGTGGAGGCAAACTTCCCAGAGCAAGAGGGCGCTCCAAGTTGGTTGAGCCTTGCGCAAGGGCTGTACAATTTCCAGATGAAGCTGTGGGATACAAATGCATGTGGTGGTGGTTTCAGGTGGCAAGTCGTTCCTTTGAACCAGGGTTATAATCTGAAAAAGTGAGTGCCAGAGATGCAACCTCCAGAGGCGACCCCACCTCTCCATATGTGACGGCCATGATGCAATAGTCACGGTTCGGGAATTCACATCACTTACTTGATTTAGTATGATTTCGAATGGCGGAAACTTCCAGGTCGCGGCACGACTTGCTTATATCACCGGGAATGAAACCTACGGTGATTGGGCCACGATGGTCTGGGACTGGATGGCGAGTTCCCCCATGTTTGAACGCAGTGATGGCATCCTTTACATCTGGGATAACTTGAATGCCGATCTGGATTGCAAGGGCGAAGAGGCTCTTGTGCGCCTCATCTGGAGCTACAACTATGGTGTTCTTCTCGGCGGCGCAGCCTATATGTACAACTACACGGACGGAGACCCTCGATGGCTGGACCGGGTGGAGGAAATCCTCGAAAGTGCGTTTCAACTGTACTTCCCTGCGGAATTTGGGGGCAATATCATGGTCGAGTTCCACTGCGAGACGCAGGGGATATGCAATCAGGATCAGAAGAGTTTCAAGGCATATCTGTCCAGGTGGATGGCGGTCACGGCATTACTCGTCCCATCCACCTATGACCGGATCATGCCGAAGCTACGAGAAAGCGCAATCGGGGCTGCGAGACAGTGCAAGGGAGGAGCATCAGGGAACATGTGCTCTGCCCAATGGTGGTCGGATGTGCCTACCGGTAGAACGGGAGTTGGTGAACAGGTGAGTTTGACTTTCCTTCCGGACGTTCGAGATGCATTGAAGATGAGTATCGGACTAACGTTGACATCGAATAGATGACTGCACTCGCTGTCATCGGCGCCAACTTGATCAATCCCGGCATGACTCCCCTGAGTCAGGCTTCCGGAGCGACATCTGAGAGCAAGCCCGATACTGGGGTGAATACCGGCCCCGATCCCATTTCACGTAAACCCGTCACGGATGGGGACCGGGCAGGTGCAGCCATCTTCACGATCTTAATCGCAGCCTTTCTGGTCGGCGGTGCAGTGTGGTTGATTTGGGATTAACATGTTTGTAAAGGTTTGAGCGTCTTTTTTTGAAAGCGAGCATAGGGATCAATATTCTCGATTGCCCCATGAGATACATCATACATACACTACCGGCAAGCAGTCTTGCTAGGAAGGGGGAAAAGACTTCAATTTCTCCCCATCTCTTCAACCTCCGAATGTATGTGAACTACGACTTATCGTGTAAAATTGCCCGAAGCCCGCGGTTGATCAGATTTCTACAGTAGACTTCATGGAGCCTTTTCCCCCGTAGTTGCTACAGGCATAGTCAGTGTCACAAGTTTTCGGCATTTGAGATTTGGATGGCTAGCATAGCAGTCGTCGAATTCTTCCTGAAAAGAAAACGAAAAAGGAAAGGATGTGGGAAATCCCGCTGTGGAAAGATTTAGCAAAGAGAGTCTGACAACATCTCGTGCGTCAAGTAGAGGGATAATCGGGTTTCTTATTGACTCAGCGAAGCACTGCGTGCCTCACATGTTCTGTCGCTCATCGTCTCTAATAATGAACTCACCAACAGTCAGGTTGAGTATGGGTTCTTGTGCTATGTCCAAAAGAGAAAGCAGGTAGATATGCTACTTTGAGGGCAAATGCGGACAGTCAGTTTAAATATATCGAGAAAAAAGGTTTTAATATCCATTTTAACATATATCGAGTCTCTCCGCATACTGCTTCACTACCAGTCCTTTGGCGAAGCCTCCAACGGGGCACAAAGCGCAGTCTTGACCATTCAACCGAGCTTCAACATAGTCATGCATTCCTGGCTTCCGAAGTTGTGTCAAGGGGGCCACCGCCAATCAGCCTCGTCCTCAGTTTGAAACAGATCTAGGCTAGGGGTTTTGGATGTGAATGTCCGCATTTAGGCAATGCCCTTCTCCGGGTCTGATCCTGGAACTCGGGACTCGGATTGGGAGATTTTCTTCTTTGTCCTTGTCTACTTATGGATAGCGCTACCCATGGATGGTATCGGAGGCAATACAGATAAGTGTCAGTATTCTGCCTTGTTGTACGAAAACAAGGAAAGAAAATGTCTAACGAGCCTGAGATTTAGAACTTTTGTGGCAATACAATTATATTGCTAGCTTTTGGCCATCCAAACAAAAATTTTCATATATATAAAACAAAGATCATGAGAATCGAAAAGTGTATGATGCGAACGTCATGAAAAGTGGAACAATTGCATCCGAATGTTGAACCGGTGCACAAAGAAGTGTAGACTGGCAGTCCACGTGCACACACCAATGCACACACCAATGCATGAGCCAATCGACAGTGAAAACAAGCTTAGGGCAATACTCTCACAATCGGCCCACTGCTGATCTCCTTCCATGCTTAGCGAGATGCGGAAGATCTCTGGCCATGAAGCTTGTTCTCTTCGTAGCGCTGCTCGCTTTCTTGTAAACGCTGAGAGCGCCGGGACCGCCACATTTCTGACTGCTGTTACCTGTACAGGCCATGTTACACTTGGAGTCATCGAGCTTCGCGGTCGTAAGCTCGTTGCCGCAGAAGCACTGGCCGGAATACTCTGTACCTGCAATCCTGAAGCCGCGTCCGGAACAGAAGGTTATACAGGCCTCGTTGGTGACGTGGTCGCCGTTGAAGTTGCTCCACTGGGGAAGAGATCGAGGCGTGACGGTGTCGACGAAGCAGCCGGCGTAGGCGAAGCCTGAGGTGGACGATGGCGGTGCCGATGCTACAGTTGAGGAAGAGGGTGCTACAGCCGCACTCGAAGACGGCGGTGCCGCTACGGGTTTACTGGAAGAAGGTACTGCCGAAGTAGGTTTGCTGGAAGAGGGTGCTGCTGAGGTAGGTTTGCTGGAAGAAGGTGGTGCCGAGGTGGGTTTGCCGGAAGAAGTTGCAATCTGTATCAAAAGGGTTGGATATTAGTATTTTTTTTTAAGACTTGATATCAAGGGTAATGTAGGGAATATGGCTGGGCTGGTGCTTCGGTGATTGATAGTTGTAGAAAGAACGATTAATTGCTAATGGACGTTGGGCTTAGGAGCAGGGAATACGGAGAGGCGACGTAGCGTTTAACAACTGTGATGACTGAAGTAACGACCTCATCCGATGTACTCGAATCAGGTGAAGTCGTTTCTGTTGCAGCTGTGACGTCTGGACCAGTTGATGAACTTGTATCAGAGGTACCAGAATCACTTGTAGCTGCGGCATCAGCTCCGCTTGTCGAGGTTGTTTCAGGAGAGATGGAGGCATCTGTATCTTTGACATCTGAACCACCCGAAGCATTTATATCGGATGAGACAGTGTCTCCTGGGGCTGTGGATTCCGAAGGCGCTGAATCAGAAGAAGGGGTGGTAGTTACCGGAGCAGGCGAGGTGGCTGCCGCAGATGTAGGCTGTGTGGCAGGTTTTGTAGAAGCTTTTGTACTGGCAGCTGAGGATTGAGCGGCAGAAGTGGATGGCTTGGTAGAAGGAGGAGCTGCACCACCTCCAGCGTTCGTACATTCGCCGGAACACTTCGAGTAGAGGGATATGGCACCTCCAGCGCCACAGAACTCATCAGTGTTGCCAACACAAGGCATAGTACAGCTACCAGCAACTCCAGGAATGGGCTTGGCACCGTCTGGTAGAGAGTTTCCACCTGTCAAGCAGTTAGTGAGGGAAGGCTTTCTTCAAATCGACCTGACTTACAGTAGCATTCTCGGCCATACTCTGTACCAGCGATAGAAAATCCTCTACTTTCGCAGAAAGCAACACAATTCTCGTTGGTCATCTTGTCGTTGGACTGACTAGCACCTGTCAAGGCACGGTTGTAGTAGTTGTCAGTACCACATCCCATGTAACCCCATCCTTTCGAGGTAAGATCGGTATAGTCCTTCTTGCCTGAGTAAGAGATATCGAAGGGGGCGCCACAAGTGTTCGGCTGTGGTTCGGCCTTGGGACCTGGCTGTACGGGATTGCAACCTGGAAGAGCCTTCAAGATACCACTGACAGGCTCATTGACACCTGATGGGACTCTGCAGCCCTGGGCTTGCTTGTCTGGGATGAGATCGAAGACGGGGCAATCCTCAACACGACCGCTGTCATTTGTGCATTGATCAATGGCGTCTTGGAGGTGGTCTGGGTCCCATCCCATAAGGAAATCTCCGTGACCGCCGTAACCAGTTGGGTCACCTTGAGACCAAATAAATGGCTGCTCATTGCCATACCACTTGTCGGCGAATTTTGCGGTATCCCAAATAATTTCAAAGAAGATGGAGACGAGGTGAACGGGGAACTCGGGCGGGCAAGCACCAGAGTTGTAAGAACTTGCAGGGTAAGACATATGCGATTTGTGATCAGGAGCATCAAGGTCTTTCCCATTCCAGCAAGAGGGGAAGAAGACTTGAGCACGGAGACCATTGGGGCAGTTGTAATTTGGGAAGTTGGGGGTTTCTGGTTTGCCATTACCACTGTAGTCAAGGCAGTTGTAACTTCACAGACATGTTAGTAGATCATTCCATGTGGTCACCCTTGAATGTACGTAGAACCTTACCTGATAGCTTGGGTTGCAAAATCGTTACCACCAGCTCGTTTGAATGGATTGCCAGCAACCATGCGGAAGCCAGGAGGGAAAGACTTGATCTTCTCATCTTTGCCACCTCTCTGGAGATAGTAGACAGTAGCACCGCCAATCTGGGGAACACTCTCAAACGTTCCGTCCTGATGTCTGTAGAACAGTGTTGGGGTCCAGTAGTTACTGTTGTCACCAATAACAGTGCAAGATGAACAGGTGGACTTTTGAGTATCGTTATAGTCCATGGTGAAGTCGAACCCATTGCCTCCCATGATGGTATGCAAATGGTTAGAAACCTGACCCGGTTGAACGATCGGATCGGCACGTTCAACAACAATTGGTGACTTGCAGGGAAGTCGCCAAAACGCGGCCGCTGGGGAAGCGGCGAGTGCGGCCATAAGGCCAGCAGCCAATAGAAGAGACATTTCGAGTTTGTGTAGCCGTGTAGCTGATCGACTCGCGTTCAAAAGGTGTAACAAGTTGAGATGCCGGAACGACGGATAGAAGCTATAAACGAAAGGCTTGACAAAGGATTGGATATGCGATTCAATCGCAAGGAGAATAAAGAACGAACGAACGGCGAGGGTCCCCAGGCTCTCTAGCCAATGAATAACGAATGTGATGGTTAAGCAGAACAAAGACTGACAGAGAGCATACAAAAACAGATACTTGGAGTTGAGGTACTTAAGTATCAACGGCCTACCTGAGGCTGTACCAAAACAGTCCAATCATGGCCTGTCAGGGATAGATTACAGGTGTATCTTGGTGCTGGGCCAAGCATACATCCCGGTAGTAAAACCCATGCCGAAGGGTGTGCGTAGGATTGGGCATTCCGATCTGGTATGGTGTTCGAGGCTGGCGCTGACTGACAGAGGTTAGAATAGAGGCATCCATGAGCCTGGATCTCCACAAAGACATCGCATTGGGTCAAGTGACGAGTGTGCGAGGTAAGTCGAGTCGAGGGGGTCAGGTTGAAGATCAGAGCGAAAAGCGTATCTCGAGGAGTTTAGCGAAACTCTGAGCCAGCATAGGGGATTGTCCGCCAGAACAAAGCTAGTCTGTCACTAGCAAAGGCATAAAGAGTAAGGCTGTCGAGCTAGGAAGATGAAATGCGGGCCAGAAGCTGCCATGGCCAGTTTCAGAAATGATGATGGGGACGGCCCAGAGATGTTTCATGATTAAGCCACAATAACTGTCTGGGCACCTGAGTACTTGGGCCCGTACTGGACTTCGAGGACGCTGATAATAAAAATGGCAACGAGTCGGATTCAGAAATCACGCTGGAGTGTCTGCTTTGACTGATTGTCCGTGCTTGACGTGTAGCAGAATGCATTCTTGGTCCTAAGAAGGACAAGTCTTTTGTGGATGGCGTCGTTAAGATTGATATCAGGATCCCCCTTGCCGGGCCGATTGGAAATAGCAATCTTGGCAAACGCGGAGTCTCGGGCACAGAGTGATGAAGGATGAACTACGAGTATCCGTACACAAAAGATACATTAGGAAATAGGTTATGTCGGCGAGCCGGTCGCTAATCACCTCGGCCGATCCACCAAACTTTTCTTCAGAAAGTTCTAATTGTGATGATTTCTGATAGGGGCGGATCCAACACTCGCAATCATACGAGTACGAAAAGCCCACGTGGATTAAGGGACACTATTCAACGGCTGCAGTGTTCCCTTGACCTTGGTTGGAGGCTCCTCGTATCACATAGGTTCATCACATGGGAGGGCAAACTTCGAGATACTCGTTGTCCAGCCATGGTATTGTATTAAACCGAGTCTAGTTGCTGATAGTTGTACATCCACACGTATGATCCTACAAACTCTATTGCTCATTCGTTTTCAGGGCATTCACTTTCCCGAAACCTGCAGCATCTCGTCGACGCTGCTGAATTTCTCTCGAGGCTTACCTCTCGACTCACCAATTCTCCTCTCCTCTTTGTCAATACTTTGCCAATTGTCCCAGTGCACGGGTTCGAGGTCGATCTGCATCGTCTTTGCATCCCTGAGCACACCCTGCCACCCCAATCTCTCGGGTGCCAGATTCTGCTGAGCAACAGATGAGATATCGTCATTATGAAAGGCCTTTTTCCAGTCAGCGATGATGGCTTCGGCGGTTTGAAATGCATCGGTCATGGTGGACGCGATGACACCAGTAGGGCCCCGTTTCACCCAACCACTGCAGTAAAGGCTAGGCCTTTTGCTGGTGCCACTGCCAGAGAGAGGAACCGTTTCTATGGGAATAACTCGACCAGTACCATCGTGTTCTACTGTGCCCTTTCTTTCATCAAAATTCGCCCCTAGTTCCTCCATGCCAGGTATTGCTTCTGCTTTATAGCCAATGGAACGGAAGAGAGTAGATGTGGGTAGAGTGACGGTCTCGTCCGTAGAAGAGACTTTCGACTCCGAAGAATTAGGATCTTCGAGCTTTGTCCTGGAAAAGACAACACCTTCAAGTTTCCTGGAGTTTTCCGCTCCCCATTTTAAACTCTTTGGGGCGAGTAGAAAGTCGAGAGACCATGACTTTGTTGCTTTCTCATTTGGCGGACTTCCTTTTTTGAGAAGCTCAAGTAGTCGACGTCTTGGCCTGGGCAACGCCTTCAGATCCAGAGGAAAGAGTTCATCGGGGATGGGAGTAAAGTTGACGTCGTCCAGGTGGAGGAGTTCCCGGACTTCCTTGATTGTAAAAGCTGCCTGCATGGGTCCTCGTCGACCAACCACATGTACATGTTTGATGTTACTTTGGGAGAGAGCTTCCAAGGCATATTCGGTGATGTCGGTCTTCTTCAGATCCTCGACTTTGCTCAGCAATGTTCTTGCGACATCCAATGCAACATTGCCCTGACCCACTACAACGGCGGTCTCTCCTGCTTGCAGGTCTGGACTTAGGTCTCGATACTCTGGGAGACCGTTATACCATCCAACGAATGCCCGGGCAGAGTAGATGTGTGGTTTGTCTTCGCCTTCGAGGCCTAGCCTGCGGTCTTTAGAGGCACCGTATGCGAAGACGATTGTGTCGTAGTGCTTGGCCAGGAGCGGAAGAGGAAGCTGGTGTCCGAGGTGGACATTGCCAATGAAGGTGTAATTGGGAGAAGCCGCGACATCCTGGAAGGTATCTTGACAGTTCTAGTGGATATCAGATCGAGTTGCATGGTCAAGAACGCGGCACACCCAACCGAGGCGGGCCTACCTTGACTTCGGGGTGGTCTGGGGCGACACCAAATCGAACCAGACCAAACGGTACGGGCAACTGCTCGTACATGTCGACCTTGGTTCCATGAAGTGTTCGCATCAGCTTCTGAGCTGTGTAGAAACCTGCAGGTCCGGAGCCGATGATAGCCACCGTTGGACTTGGGCCACTGGATTGTGCCTTGTCATGGAGGCTTCGGCGAGCGATGGATTGAACAGCTGGAGCATTTCGACAGACAGCTCTTGCGTTGAACACCAGGCGCGAAGAGCTTTTTATCAGCATATCGCCATTATATCTCTTACAGCATACCAAGGTAGAGAGAAGAGTCATTCTTTCTAATGGCAACTACCATTGAGAAAAGGCAATAGAAGTTGATGATATGATCCACCGTAATTCGTTATCGATAACTACGGAGTACTAGTACAGCCAAGGGTGCTGTTCACAGCCTGGGTCACCTCGTCATTCCTGCCTCGACCTACGAGTACGCCATCCTCGCACGGAATAGGCCTTGACCCTCACAGCATTTAGCTGTTTGATGTATGGATGCCTTGAAGCGAGTCTCGAGTTCTGGGCCGACAACCCCACCAGAATCCCCAAAGTCGCATTTTTGCTTTCACGGTGCCCAGTAACAGCCAGCTGGGAGAGAAGATTCCGCAGAGGTCTACCCGATGTGTCGCCAGATGAGACCAGTTCTATGTAGCTGATAGAGCCAATTCCCAGCCACTATGTGAGTGGAAGCATCATTCCCGTCGAGCTGCGTCCAGCCTGCCACCGGCGGGCCAACATACTTCCAAATTGCTCCAGTCGTGTGGATTTGGTAGAGCCCACCTGCTCCTACTGCTATTTCCTTAGTCGCGGGGTTATTGTCTAGGAGCTGCCAGCCAGTCACAGGAATGCCGGTGTATTTCCAGATCTTTCCTGCGTTGTGGAGTTGGTAGAGCTCGTCGCCTCTAGCGACAATTTCGACGGTAGCTGCATTCTCGTCTAGCTTCTGCCACCCGGTGTACGGCACCCCGGTGTATTTCCAGATCAGTCCCGTCTTGTGGAGTTGGTAAAGGTTCCCGCCGGAAGCAACAATCGTCTTTGTTGCGGCGTTGTTGTCTAACTCCTGCCATCCAGTTAGAGGTACCCCTGTATACTTCCGGATGCGGCCCGAGTTGTGCAGCTGATACAAGTCATCGCCACTTGCTGCAAGGTCAACTGTGGCGGCGTTGGTATCCAGCATTTGCCAGCCCGTGTGTGGGACGCCGGTATACTTCCAAAGCTTCCCAGTGTTGTGGAGTTGATAGAGATTCCCTCTTGCGGCTACGATCTTCGTCGTTGCGGTATTGTCGTCCAATTCCTGCCACCCGGTCAGCGGGGGGCCTGTGTAACGCCAGATTTTTCCAGTGTTGTGCAACTGGTAGAGATTGGTGTCGTCTACGATGGTGCTGACAGTCGCAGAATTGTTGTCCAACAGCTGCCAACCCGCGAATTTTGGGTACACAGAACTTGCGAACTTGCGGTCGGTTACATTAATATCGCTGCCGCCACGCACGGCGATGTGATCCTCCATAATCGACGCCGGGAGGAAATAGCACATTATGGACAGCGGATCAGGTGCTGCTGTAGCTATCAGGGCCGAATTATCCTGCGGCGTAAGAACCTGCTGAATCACCATCTCCCCAGTCCATTTCGCGGTTGCCATGAAGTAAGTAATCGCCTTTTCGCGGTTGATGCGACTTAGGATACCACTGGCAGTGTGTTCGTGCGGGAAACCCAGGGTATGGTCCGTCTCATGCCGGACCACGCGATAGATTTCCGAGTCTTGCGTATCCATTGTGAACGAGTCGAGATTCATCGTCGGCTCGCTGTTCGGTACAGAAAGGATATCCGTTCCCAAGTAGGACCAGTGGCCGTCATCTACTTTTCGCGCAACTCGGACCTGGCCGCCCGAGGCTTCTTCAACAAATTCCACATTTGCATACACCCTCCAGGCATTCATGTGGCTCACGATGCGCGCGCGGAGATCCGCAGGTGGACCGTCGAGAAAGCTCACGGTGAGCCTAACACCGGCGCTCCCCCAGTACTTACCCGTCAGTAAAGTCAGGTGGCTTGGGGAAAGAATGCCTCCTGCCACTTCCTGGTGTAGCATTTGCACCATTGGCGCGTTGGCCGGGTTGTGCTCAACGGCGCGCGCAGCCGCCGAAACCCACTTATCGCTGGGGAGGGTCTTGATGGTGCAGCTTTTGATTTCGCCAGGTTCGGCGTCAACCGCGCCTTCGCCATTGGCCATTACGTGCTCCATCTAAGGCAGATGAATGCGAATCGCCAAGGATGGGTGTTTTCAAGGGACGGACGCGGGTATGATACCGGGTCTACAGAGTGATATAGGTAACGAGATGGCAAACTTCAGAGAAACAGAGAGCCTTGCCTCGAAGATAACATCTATATGTATGGGCGATGAAGCCACCTCCATGTCTTCACGAAACGGAGCGAGGTCATGCGACACCACCATTCTCAGCCTTCACATTCAGCTCGCGTTTCCAGCTCGAAAAACCAAGTGCCAAAGTTGGCTCGTATTGGTACCCCAAAAAGGCTATCCCAATCACGTGTACTGATCTTTCGCTTCCATGCTCAAAGTTGTTCCTCGAAAACTCGATTTCACGGTATATGAACCACGGAAAGCGCAGAAGCAAACGTGGCATCATGAACACCGCTGTACATGTACTGTGTTGCAATATCCTCGGCCAGCGAGAAGACATGCATGAGGGCCCTCAGTCCCATCAGCATGTCGCAGCCATCAATCATCCCATTCCACAGTCTCGAATTCATCACGAGGCCAAGCGCGAAATTCTTGGATGCTTCACAATCTGACATCCACCCATTCAATGATCAAGTCTCAATCTCTTTCAAGAAAGCCTCATCCTTGCGAGGCAGCAGTCCCTTGGCAGTCATGGCTGCAATCCTCTTCTTCTCGCCTTCCTGCGCCTTCCTCCTCGCCTTCAATGCCCTCTTCCTTCTTCGCCGGAGATGTTGATGTTTATCCGTCCAGGCTGTGGCATCGATAACCGGGTAGAGGATGTGGAGCTGAAACGAGCAGTATAGGTTCGACGCCTTTCTCAACATGGCGATGGCGTGACCGCAAAGCCCAGATCTGCGATGCGTTCTGTCTGGTAGGTCGTTGATATATTTCTCTGTCTGTGTCGTGTTCATCTCCTCATTCCTGCGTTCGTTGTGTTGTGGTGTCCCAGTGCCACTGGATCGAAGTCGGAGCAAATGACTACGGATAGAACGATGAAGTGTGTCCAAACGGCAGTCAGGTTGTCTCTTACGGGAATGTAAGATCTATCGGTAATGACATGTTGGCTTGCCTCAGCAAAGAAAAAGCTTACGCTCGTGTTAGCCACTCACTGGTTGGAGAGGGGCGTGTGTGTCATATATTCAGATATTGGGAGTGGTTTCACAGTGATTCGATGGATTACTCAATCTCAGGCCCGAACACCCCCAGAGACGTTCAATTGGCGCTCGACAAGGGGCAAATAGGGAGCATAGCCATCTAGCAACCTACGAAACACTGAGGTGAGCCCACAAGGCCCCTCGGCCGCAAGGCTTACTAGAAGTGCATCAGCTCCATCACTACTGGTTCTTCAGGCTCCATGTACTCGTTCGCACAGCATAAAAAACAAGCATCTATTAGCCGTGAAGTTGTGATTTCCAATGATCCGAAGCCACGTACGTAAGCACAGCCAGAGACTAATGAAGGGGGTACCCAGGGGCCACCTAAACAGTAGGAGACCATCAAATGTATGGCTATATTTGTGACGAGAAAGGACCAGAAAAACCACGATCAGCCTTGTGGACGACGGATGAGGCATTTCTCGGAAATTGACGGCTTCCGCACGGTCCGAAACTTACGGGATTTATGCATCGTTGCTCGGTGATCCGTACAGGCATGCCTGGCGGGGAAAACGGGGTGAGAGTCAGACTCGGGTATGATGACATTCTATTGGGAAGAGCATTAATATACGAAGTACTTCGGAACACGACCTCGTACATAATTATGATCGAAAATAGAGGGGGTGAGATGTGAGATGGATTTGTGAGTCTGACAATGGTGTTTGGACCATTGGGGCAGGCGGGGAGTGATTGATCATCTACCGCCAATCTACCTCCTCTCACAGAACCCAGCTTTTGGCCAGTTGTTGGGTTCATCATCTCGAAGCAGACACTTCCGGTTCACGACTTTCTCGACTTCTGTCTGGCTCTGGAGAAAGCCAAGTTCGGAATCAGATGATCTATCGAGAACCTTAACCATCATTCTTGTCCGTTCGTGCCTTGTTAATTTATGCCGTATATTCATAAAGCTCACAAATATTTATTCAAGGACTTCAGTCTAGAGAGTCGGAGCTTGACAGCACCATTCAAGGGACAACCATGAAAATGATCGACGAGGCTAATGATTTCTCAAGCAATATGTTAAGCATTTCATGCATGCATATGGGCAACGTGGACACCAATCAGGAGTGGTCACAAAAGTTATAGATTTGTAGCATGCTCATATCATGGCGCAGATGCTGTGCCGCTCTTATCATTAAAGTCATTCTTAGTACATTCGTTCCAGAACTTGATTGCTTCAACATTCAAAACATCGCTCTGCCACAAATACGAGATACAGCACCGCTCGACCTCGTGCCAATGTAACATAAAAACCACAGGTGATAACGCCAATCGGTGGAATTGAGATTTGTACCATCGCCTTTCCGTTTCCGCAGCATCACTGATACCTCCAAGGATGAGCGTCCAAAGGAAGAATTTGGGGTACATGGTCCAAAGAACAGGGAACTCGTTGATACTTGCTTCCAAGACAGTTCTCAATTTGAAAGCCAACCTGATGCCCACCTCGTTCGTGGGCGAAAGGGGATAAATGACAAGGTTATTATAGGTAAGCAAGGCGAGACGAACAATCTCAAACAAGCACCATCCTCCTTCAGACCTACCGATGGTGTTGAAATGCATAGATGCTGCTACTGGTAGGCTCAGTGATAGCCATTGAGCCCAATTTCTCAGTTCGAGCAGAAGTAAGAATGTCGAAGGAGACTTGTTCCGGTAGTAGTCCCCTAATGTGGTAGTTGCTCGAGCCACAGCTTTTATTGCCGTACGAAGGGATGTGATGGTGAATATCGTGTGATTGATGCCAAGTAAGGACGATGCTAAATCTCCGTCAATGGTGACTCTATCACTGCCAAGGTCGAGCTGAGAAATGTCTGCGAAAAGACTATGGTATGGAAAACCTGGTGGCGTGCTTTCCCTTGAACTCCTCACGAGATCACCCCTTCCACATTGGTTAGTCTCCGATCTCCGACTCGAACTGAGAAATGGACGGAATTCATCTTACAGTTGATACATTCCTGCAGTGGCTTTGTCCTCTATGGCACCGAGCCCACCCTTCATTTCCACTAGTTTATAGAATGCAGCCCAGTGCGAGGGATGACTTGATATGTAGCCATAAGTATCCAGTATTTGTGCATCTGCAAGTGGTGAACGAAATCGAGAAACAGGCAGGGCTGAGCGACTTAGTATATCACCATATGGTACTGTGGCCAGTATAAGGGTAACCAATATCAACGGGTCGGAAGGAGGTCCTTCTAGCGTCTCTAAATGCTCTCTAACAAACCGAATGGCGTGATAGGTGTGCTTGAGGCGTAGCTTCTTGTAGATCTCTTTTCGTGGATGGTTATCATGCGTCCAGTCCAAGTTCGCTGTTAAAGAAAGCTGATATGCATAGTATGCCATTGGCGACTCCGCCATGTCCTCAAGGTAACTTCGACACGCAGTTTGCAGCCCTAAATCTTTGCTAGGAGCGATCATCGGCCAGAAGTGATGTACTCCTACACACATGTTATCAGGGCTCGACTCGCTGATATTGTGTCGAAAACAAAGACCGTGACTAACCATGATCAATGATTTCAGGGAGATAGAAATGGTCTTCATCGACCGCATACTTCGCAAAAGGATCAACTCTACCTTGTCCGAGAAAAGACTGTGGACTTGGAGGGTGGGCAAAACTCCTTGCAGTGCCAAAAATCCTAACTGGCACAGCGTCATCATGCTTTCTTTCAGCTGTCGTTTGGAGCGCTTTTGGTATGATGGGAGGATAATAAGGCTCCCACTGAGTATCTTGCAGTGGAGGACTCATGTTGCCAGGTTGGTATGCCCGGAACCGCCAATCGAACGTGCATCGACGCTTCTGTCGGACAACCAAACCATGACGACTATTTGGGCGCTGAATGGGTTGTACAGGATCCTGAGGAATACGTGGGAGGGAAGAGGAGAAGCTAGATGTAGGTGCGAGGCCAGGACTCTTGGGATTTGGCGAATAGAGACTGGCCTCGCGGGAGTACTTTCCAGTATGCGTTGAAACAATGCGACGATGAGCACGATCTCTAAAATGCGAAGGGCGTTCATAGTTGACAAAGACCAGTGACTTTCCCATGGCACAGAAAATTCACACAATCATTAGTCGAGGTTTTGCATTGGATCTCAGATGGCCCCAAGGGAGTTAGACCAGAAATATGCTGACAAGGGATCGAAGCGTAGGTGACACACTCACGATATTGATTGGCCATAGGATTTACCAGATACTGCTTTGCGTGGATGTTGTGTTGGAAGAACGTACCGCCGGACGAGATAAGATGGGCTCCTAATAAACCCTACCGTGGCTACTTAGGTAGCTACCTGGAGTATCAGCTGTGTGCTTCTTGACCTGGGCATGACTTGGCTCTAAGAGGGAAGGACTGCTACGTGATTCCCTCTCGATACGAGAGAAACATGCGCAGGATTCGATGACAATCCCGGAGTATATCTTGGTCCGGCCTGGCGATCTGGATACGGGTAGGCGCATCTCATTAGGTGACAAAGAAGCAATCAGGACACCCATTGATGTCAATGCCGAGCATGTTGGCGAAGAAGTGAACACCAACTCCCCAGCAATTTCGACTCTTTACCATGGAGGACGACTCGGGTTGGAAGTTACCTAATTACCCAGTACCTAGTCCGTGGTAGGTACAGGAATGGCGGCGATCTGACTGCTTATCGGCACGTGAGTCATCTTTATCGCTTCGTTGAATCTGCGTCATCGTCGCCTCCAAAAAGAACTTCGACTGCGCATGGTCGAGGGTCTAGGGTCTATGGTAGGCAGCAAGGCAGATTCAACCTAGGCCACGCAACGATATATTTATTTATGTTCGTCTTATCTGTCAACTCTCTACCTCGCCTCCCTTTTCTTCCTCGACTGTCGGTCACTCAGTAACACAATGCCACGATCCAGGTCGAACAAGCAGAAAAGCTCCCTCCCTCCTCCACCTTCAACAGCAGTCCCAAGCACATTCACCGATGGCCTGCCTGTGCCCGCGCTTCTTGTCTTCGACTTAGACTACACTTTATGGCCCTTTTGGGTTGACACACATGTCACCGGTCCTGTGAAACCGGCAGCTCCAGTGGGGCAATTCAACACGGCCATGCTCGACCGTTGGGGCGAATCATTCGCCTTCTACGACGACGTGCCCGGTATTCTCGCGGGTGCAAAGGAACGAGGCATCAAAATGTCGCTGGCCAGCCGGACTCACGCCCCAGACCTGGCGAGGGAAATGTTGCGCGGCCTGCACGTGCCTACCCTGACCAAATCCACTGCAGACACGACAGACACACAGACAGAAAATACCAGCGACAATTCCAAGCCTCGCAACGCCCTCTCCTTCTTCGACACCCCGCAAATCTTCCCCGGCAGCAAGACGACACATTTCCGAAATCTGCACTCGAAATTCAGCAAAGGAGATCCCTCAGACTCCATCCCCTACGAAGAGATGCTCTTCTTCGACGACGAAACACGGAACCGTAACGTGGAGAAGGAGCTAGGGGTGATGTTCTGGCTGGTGCGCGACGGCGTCTCAAGAGACGAGGTCGACCGTGGTATCCGCGAGTGGCGCAAGCGCCAAGGGTATTCGACCTTGAAAAATCAACTCAAGGGCCCCGGGGCTGGCTTCAAGGGCGAGGAGATCGACGAAAACGGTGCCGAGAGTGGACCTGCAGAGCTGGAGGGTTGAAGAGCCCAAGGAGAGGAAGGAGATTTCCCAAAGACTCTCTTTGGCCCAAAATCTGCCAGAGTGGCAATCGCTCAAGAACAGGCGACTTGGTGACTCGATGCGAACCAGGCCCCCGTGGAGACCTATGCCGAACAACCAAATGAACGGGATAAGGGGCGGCCACTTCTCGGAGCAATATGGCAAAATGGCAGACAATGCCAGGCTCTAGAAGCAAGCACCGAGATTATATGGGATATTGGCATCGATGATTGACTACAGAACTTCGCCAGTCCAGTCCAGAGGGGCCGCCTCAAGCCCAGGGCAAAGGAGGGAGACTGATCCGGGTGGAAAGGCTCCAGAGGCTCTCGATCACACTACAATGCTAGATGATACAGCCCGATACATATATATATCACTGATTCGATATGGAAGGGGCGAAGTCAAGTCACTGACATATGGAGACTGCTACGAGTATTTGGTGCCTGTGACACTGCATGGCCTATATAGATGATAGACATAGATACGACACCCAGAGTGTAGTTAGAGTTCCGCCATTGCGTTGATACAGTATTTAATCCATCTACAACCTAGACTCCCTTGTAGGCAGGCAGCGCGTACAGATCAATCATCGCACAACTAACTTCAACTCTAGCTCGAACTACGAAAAGAACAGGGATGTTCTGGTATCATTCATCTCTCATTCTCCAACGCAACTGCGTGACTAACTAACCAGGTGCTAAGTATATATCTACCCAGCCTGATCTCAGATAACCGTCGCTATCGTACATTTGGACACCGTGCCATACTCATGCTCATGCTCATCCCCATCGGCAGCGATAAAAAGAGAGTAGCATCTTGTCGCACTTCCAGCTTTCATCCACCCGAGCTTCCTACCATCAACTCCCGAACTGAACGGGTAGCTGGTTCCCACATGTGAAAGCGGACCCACAGGCTCCTTCGGAGTCCCGAAACAAACTCCCACTCAGATAGGGAGCTCTTGAAGTACCTTTAGCAGTACAGAATGGACACGTGCGTATGCACAAGCGCCACTTGACATACCGTATCTCAATCCATCAACTCGTCCACCCATCCCTTCCCCAGGAGCTGCCTGTGTACCCAAATCCTGAAACCCACCATGTCACCCATCCCCTTCCTCACCTAAGAAAATGGATTTCAGATCTGGACCTTGATCTTCGTCTGCCGTGGTCCAGATTCTGAAACTCAATGTTGGACAGAGGATAGAATTGGAATGCGAAATCCACTGTTTGTCGTCCGTGCCACGCCGTACCATGCCGTACCGCCGCTGTGTGTAGTTGTAGTAGTAATTGAATTTGATGATCATTTGTTCCTTTGTCCTTTGGGGGTATCAAAAAAAGATTGAGGTAATTGTACAATGTTTGTGTTTCGTGTCGTGTTCATGTGTGTTTGTGTCAATGGTCGATCAACATTTCCTCTCAGCCTTATCTCATAATTTGGGATAGTGTGCTGACGTAGGAAAAGGGACCCTCTCCAGAACCATATCGAGGATTCACTCGATGATGGGTTCTGGGATCTTCAATCATCGACGTTCCTCGAATCAACCTCTTGATCTCCTCTTCGAGTTCGCCGGCATTGCAATCTCCACCAATTGGTCGCTATCGTCATCGTCGTCATCATGATCAGCTTGTCCAGCAAACTCTGAAGCCTGCTCATCAGCGTCGTTCATCCCGAAACCACGTCCCAATTTCTCTTTCTCCATAGGGCTCAAGACTTCTTCATCCGAACTGTTGCTGCTATCTTCGGTTGGAGCCACCATCTCACCCATTTCCTCATCATCGTCCACATCTAGTGGACGACGTTCAAGACTGGTTCTCGCTTCAAGAGGAGGATGGTCGGCATCAATGTCCGATCCAGACCCTTCAGATGATGACTCATCCAATGAGCCCTCAAAATCGTCGGAGGATCGGTTGCGCTCGGGACTGGCAGAGAATAGACTGGTCAAACCTCGACTGACCGAGAAGCTGTGATGGTCTCCACTGTTTTGGTCCGAAGTATTAGCGTTGCTTCTTCTACCAAACGTGGTAATGTCCTGTTCTTCTTCATCCAATGAAAACGGATCTCCGGCATCCTGATCATCACCATTTCCCAAGGCAGCGAATGGGTCGTCAGCCTGGGAATCAAACTCGGTGGCTGCCAGCTCATTTTCTGCATCTTGCTGTTTTCGTCTCGCTAAGCGATCCGCTAGTCTCCTACGAGCACGTGAGGGCTCGATGTTCAGTGGTGCCGGTGGTGGAGGCAGTAATGGTACTGGTTGATCAGACTGTTTTCCAAGATTATTAGCCTAAAAAACAAAAAAGCGTCGATAGGTACTGGTCGCACTCACATTTTCTGATGCAAGACCAGTAGGTGCAGCAGAAGGCTGGGAGGCGATCCTGCCGTGTTCCTCATCCTCTGCATCATCCATGTCCTCGTCTTCATCATCCGAAGAGCTTCCAAACCCACTGGATAGTGAACCGCCAGAGTTGTAACCGGCACTAGTGGCACTTCCGTTGTTCGAAAGATCTATGCTGTCTAGACCATGCTGGCCACCACCCAAGCCAACGCCGGCCAAGCCTGTACTTGAGCCACCAAAGCCTTGCCCAGCGCTCACGGCATTTAGGACAGCTTGTCTAGGGCCGAGGCCGTTATCGGGTCTGAATCCACCTAGGATTGCATTGTCCCTCTCTCTGGTTTCGGCCAAGGTTTTGGTCACGTATTCTTCCCAGTCACGAGAATAAATGTAGTCCTGCACAACTGGGGATAGTACTTCTCTTGCGTGTCGCTCGCCAAACTTGACGACCTCTTCTGCAACTAATGTGAGATGACCCATATAACCGAGACGCATATTCTTGGACTGTTGAGCTTCATCACTTCGTCTCTGGCCTTCAATGATTTCATCAGTAATGCGACCTGTTTCGAAAAGATCAAAGGCAAGGAAGCGGTTATGGCCACGGTCCATTGAACCATTGAAGACCTGTTGAACAACGTCATAGACGACATTGTGTAAGAAGTTGTTCCAAGGGAAGCGGAAAAAGAAGCTCTGTATGGAAAATTAGTATTGATATGGAATTGAGTTCAGATTACTTACCAAGATCGTTGGGACAACCCGATTCTCAACAAACATGATCTTGAGGTAATCTCCAACAACTGGTGCTTCATTAAAGTCAGTACTGCTTGGTTGTATGACTTCTGTTGTATCGTCATTTGTTGTTTGTAACGATTCTCCTTCGGGTTGGCTCGTCTGAACAGTTTCAGAGACAGATGCACTATCCTTGGTAATACTGGGGCTGTGGGGAGGTTCTGGACTACTGGCGGTCGGTGTCTTATTTGGGTCGGAATTCTTGGAAAACAATGGCGCAGGCTTTTCGTTCTTGATGCTGGGTGGACTGGACTTGTCACTAGAAGGCGAGCCAATCGAATCTGGTTCATTGGGAGATGAAGTCATGTCAGTGTCTTCCGGACTGTCCAGGCTGAGGCGGCGAACAGTTTCATCCAGATTTCCAGGTGGTGTCAGATGACTTTGGGGCTGTTGTGGTGACAACGGTTCATCGACTAGGTCTTGTTGAGATGCTAAAGTGTTGGTTGGGGCATCTGATGCTTCAGAAACAGCCACCTTCTCGAAGCCATCCTCTTCGACGTTGTTGACGATCCGAAGTTCTTCAGCGGATGCCGATGCCGAAGGGCTGAACGTAGTTTCAAATCGAGAAGAGCTGACAGATATATCCACAGTTGAATCTTCAGATTGTTTGGGAGATAGGAAAGCACCTGTGGCTCGTAATCGTTCACGCTCAAGGTCTCGTTCTTTGATGAATTCTTCGCTTCCTCTCTCGTTAAGTAATCCCATATTACTGCAATGGAGCAATTCTGCCATCAGCTCACAGGTCTTGAACCGGTCAAAACCCAGGGGCTCGATTTGGGTTCCCCAAGCAGACTTGAGTCGGCCTCGTTCAACTACACTAGTTTCTTCACCCTTAGTGACAGTGTGTTTTGAGCTCAGAATGAGACTCATGAAGTCAGGAACATGCTGGGCAAACAGCCTCAGCAGGGTTCCAAGGTAAATAGGGTCGTGATTGGTAGGAGGTGAGTCTGGGTTATGGCCTTGGTCTGGATCATAGTCGGAGTTGTTTTTTCGGATGACTTCGATAACAATGCCGACTCCCACAGTAAGTGGATTACCGCCCTGCAGCATGAAAGAGATCAGCTGTTCGACGCATTGCTGTGATACCAGTTGGCGAGTCAAGGAATTCGGGCCGATGCAGGACTGCTCATTTTGAGCGGCATTCGCAGATATAGTAATAATGGCCTTGAGAAAGTCACCGGCCGAGGTCTGAGTAGATGAATTGCACTCTGGTGCCAGGTTGGACAGCAATCTTGGAATCAACTCCTGACCGTGAAGCCAATCAACAATTCCCATTCCCCCATCCGACTTCTCTAGGCTAATGATTTTCAACAACAAATCCATAACCATAGGGCAGTCAACATGCTGTAAGATGGCGGGAACAATATTCGGGAGTGACTTGAAGAAGTCTAACATCTCTTCTGTTTTCTTTTCCAATAATGTCTCGTTGACTTTTGTGAAGTAACCTGCCTGGAGCGGATCCAAAGGAGCAGGACCGCGTAAGAAATCCCAGAACTCGGTCAAGTAGGGTGTGTTGGACATTAAAGATTCTGTGATCGACCAAGTCTCGCAAGAGAGGATCTCGCAAGCGACAAAAGCATATTTCAGCCGCTTCTTCTCCGCCTTCTCTTGTTCTTCATCGAATTCTCTTTCGACATCTTCATCTTCATCATCAACTGCAGGACCTTTGCCCTTTTCGTCTTGATCCAATCCGTCATTTTGGGGCTGTGCCCCAGGCTTTATCACATAATGAAGCAGAGTGTGAAGGTTTGTTTCGTCGCGGAGATACTCTATCAGTTTGGTATGGTGGGATTTGAGTTCTTGAATGAGGTCGGACTCTTCCAGCAAGTCTTCGAGCTTGACATTAGGTTTGTCGAGTAAGGTATCAATCGATGATATATTGGAGTATCCTCCAAAACGCCAAAACATTGTGTGCGGGATGCGTTCGCGCGGCCAAGTTGATAAGGCTTTGTGGGGAATGTCTTAGAAATCGTACAGATCGGGAGGGCGTTGAGATAATCTCAGCAGGCCGTGGGAAATCGTGACTAGTGGGATGATGATTGAACAAGACATAGACGGGCTTCGCACCGCTGTTAAAGATATATGTTAGCTTTGTCAGCTATCGTGGGGGATTCAAACAATCCAAGCGGCAGGCGATAAATGGTGTTTTCATCACATTGGTCAAGATTCAATGCGCTTCGTCGCTGGGAAGGGTAGACACACTCGCAAAGACAAAGAGAATTGATTGAATCTGATGGATGTGGCATTGACATCCGACCAGAGAGAAAAGACGGACTCGCGTGAAGTGATGCGCAGGTGGACAAAGTGGAGGACAATCAACTCACCAAGTTGGAAGGAGTGACTGAATCGAAGTTGCGAGGTTGAGGAAGACAATGAAAGGTCAGGCTCAGGCTGCAACGACACCAAGATTGAGGGAAGAAAATTGGAAAGGTAGTAACTAGTATTGAACAGGCGCAGGTTTGTTGTACCACGCCGTGATGATTGAATTGTGTAGGAAATACAGAAAAGAAGGTGTTGTTGGACGCAGGCTTGGGGACTCGGTACTCCGTAGTACTAGTGTTCCTCCCGAATTGAGTACGAAGAACGAGGTAACGAGCTGTTCAGACGCCAGAAACCGCACGACGAGTTGCTCAAGGGCCTAACCGCTTCCACCGACCATGCCTACAACCACGCCTAACGCCCCGTGCACACGCCCGAGGGGTCCAAGACCTGTCCCCGGACTGCCACTTCAAGTTGGCACATGAGCGATGCGCTGGCAAGGGCATTATTGGCACCGCTGGTTCCACGGATAGTAGCACAGGTGACTAGATCTCATCCACAGGACATGAGTTATCCCATTGACTCAATACTGAACACCATTTTTATTATTAGGCAGACAGTGAAACCCCGTCACATATCACAAGAGCTATTTAAGGTACGGGCAACATTTGTTGCCTGTTGTGCGCCCGTCCAGCTTTCTCTGTGATTGATCAAAGCCCACCAGCAGAGCACGAGTTCGAACTTCGAAGTAGAAGTGTGGAGGACTTAGGCTGAACCCCCAGGCCCTGGCCTCCGTAAACAACCGCCCCTTTTCAATCCCTCCGAGCCTAGACTGAATACATTTTAGCATGGAAAATGGCATCATCACCGCCACGCTTCCACGCCGATCTCCATGTTTTGTGCTCCATCCGCTTTCCCCATGCCGAAAACGTGTCATCATACAACCATGGATTTCAGCATGGTGGAAAGTGACCGAAGTGAGAATATGTCCTTTTGAGTTTTTAACCGAGGAATGAATCCCCCGCCGACCGACCTGTTCGTTTTGGAAAGCACTTTACTCAGTACTTAGGTGGGCAGTTCAAGACTGTGTAGAGTTTCTAACATCCCCTGCTGCCGCACTTTTACTACGAGACGAAGTGGTCACCTACTAGTATCGCCAGAGTCTCTTAGGAGCCAAGATAGAACAGGAGATCCAATAGACCGCACCTGATCTAAAGCGCCACAGGTTCTGTTATCGACGTCCTTGGTATTTGAGTACCTCCCTGTATCCTCTTACCGACAGTAGTCCTCAGGAGGTTTGAATTTCTTAGGACTGAGTATTTGGCTTGATATTTATCGAAGCCCATAGCTACCCGTTGCAAATGTATGATCTAGCCCCTGTTGTAGAGACGAAATGGACATCTTCAGACCTCAAAGAACAACATTCATAGTTATTTAAAATTCCGCGAGAAACTTAAGCCTGAGCAAGGCTGAGCAAGGCTGTGGACTGCCTCGGATAAACATCGGGGCGAGAATCGTGCCAGTGGGGGATGATATCAACAGCGGGCGCAGGCCACCTTCATTTCCGCTCTTGCTCTCTCCCATGCACGATCTTGAAAAGCACCACTTCAGATAATTCTGGGACACTTTTCTTGGACTGAGGTGTTATCCCTCTAAATATCTTCCAACATGAATCGCCTCTTTGGCTCAAAGAGCACTGCTCCCAAACCCACTCTAAACAGTGCCATATCCAATGTGAGCCGCCTCTGAAATCGTCCTCGTTTGACTTACTAACAACACATCCAGGTAGATACACGAGTCGATTCGATCGACGTGAAATTGGCCAAAATCAACGCCGAGCTATCCACCTATCAGGCAAAACTGGCCAAAATGCGCGATGGGCCGGGCAAACAAGCCATCAAGCAGAAAGCGTTGAAAGTCCTACAACGTCGCAAGATGTACGAGTCACAACGCGACCAACTACAGCAACAGTCTTGGAACATGGAGCAGGCCGGGATGATGCAAGATAATCTGAAGAACGTTATGACGACGGTCGATGCCATGAAGACCACCAATAAAGCTCTCAAGCAGCAGTACGGAAAGATCAACATCGACAAGATCGAACAGATGCAGGACGAGATGGCGGATCTGATGGAGATCGGGAATGAGATCAACGAGAGCATCAGCCGAGCATATGATGTTCCTGAAGATGTCGATGAGGCGGAATTGGATGCGGAGCTGGAAGCACTTGGAGAAGACATGATGTTTGAGCAGGAGATGGGCATAGGAGAGAGCACGCCTGGCTTCCTACAGGATGAAGTCGCTCCACCTCAATTTGTGGACGAGCCTCCGGAGCAAGGCAAAGTCAAGGAGGCGGCCGGTGGTATTGGCTAAGACTTGTCCAGTGCACGTATTTCGATTTTTGGTTGTACTTTTCGCAGCGTTTAGCCTTAACGAACACTTTTGCATACATCACGCTCACCTTGGCCTGGTATCCACTTCCCAGTGATCGGTCGCCCTATATTGATCCCACTGATACAATAATGCAGTACAATGAAAATTGCATGAACCCTCATAACTCATCTGATCAAACCATAGCCCGAAACTCCACGCTAATCAGCAATCCATACCCCACTGGGAGATCTATAAGGTGCCACTTCTTGCATTATGTATCCTTCTTCAATTCCACTGTCCACGCCTTCACGGCCTTGGGCCCCTCATGGGCAGCTCTGAACAGCATCCGCTCACTTTCATCCAGGCCACGCATGAAATCCGCACCATCGCCCAATGCACCCCGAGGGTTATGAGCGTGATCCGCAATGCAAGCCGCTCGTTGTTTGAATGTCTGCCCACGTGAGTCAGCGCATCTGGATTGCTTGTCATGGCACAAACGTACATCAACCAGCGTGTCCAATACATCTTGATCCTCGAACAGATCCATGATCCGAGCCCCGAGGGCGTAAAAATGCGGTGCCTGACCTCGTAGATCCACTGTCTTGGGATCGGCCTTCAGAGCATTGATGACGCGTTGCTGCAGCGGCGCTGGAAAATCCAACGATACCAGTGGATTCGCCCCGGGTGTGTTCCTATCGCGGTGATGGGAGATCTCAGTCTGCGGATTCCTCCAATCGATAATGCACAGTATTGGTGTCGATGACACCGAATCTGCACTGAAGTAAAGATATGCCACTTACCCACTAGACACCGCGAGTAGAATGCCCAGCCACATAGGTAGGTCGATTTTTGTGCCAGCTTTGATCTGTGATAGGATGACCCAAGAACATCAGCTGGAGAACTTCGCTGCCTGTTGCCTTTGGTAAAGGAGATAAGACGTGTTTCCTGGTCTGACTCATGGACTACTTACCGTCTGGCCTGGATTCCCATCAAGATAGCCCAGTCCAGGCACGTCGAGTTCAAATGTACATGGTAGTTTCTGCGAGTCCGTCAGGATAGCATCCACGTCGTAATATGACATCGCGTCTGCGTCTTCGTTACTTGAAATTTATGTAAGGACGTCGACCTTTGCGTGAACGGTCTTGGTCTCAAGTGAATTGATGCAAAGAACAGCTTGAAGAACGTCTCAAGTGAACCAATCAGACGCGTCAAGATCAAGTGGCCATCAACACGCTTGCCCGTTTCCGGCAATCATCAATCATCGAACATCGAAACATCTCTAATTCTGCCTTGAACTTCAACCCCTTCTTGATATTCCCATGAAGCCAGCAACGTCCTCAGTATTCCCACTAGAGCACTTTGAATTATCTGACCGACTCAGCAATCTAAAATTCTTCAACAAAAAACCCTCAGTAAGAGAGAAATTCCCAAATGACAAGCCACTCAACGACAACGACCACCACCACAACATCAACCTCAAAACCCCCAGTAACACTCCCACCCTCAACACACCTCGACTCAGGCGCCTACGTGCGCGGCACGCACGCGATAACGCTGGGCGAGCACAACCTGGTTCACGCGCGCGCACAGCTCGTCGCGATCCACGGCCCGCTGATAATCTCGGACCGCTGCATCATCTCGGAGAAATGTATTGTCGGCGGTCCCGTGCCAGCGACTGCCATGGGCCCGGCGACATCATCCTCGACAAATCCCACAGACGCCAAACCCGGAACGTCCAGCGGTGACGACAATGGCCAAGAAGACAATGACGAATCCGATCCCGTCAAGACCCTCATCGGGAAATCTGTCTACATGTCGGCAGGCAGCCACGTGAACGCGGGCGCGACCGTGTGCGACGCCGTGATCCTCGAGCCCAACGTCACGGTGCAGCGGGGTGTGACGGTCGGTGCGCATTCGAAGATCTGTGCGGGCGTGACGGTCGAGTCGGATGTGGAGGATTGGTCGGTTGTTTTGGGCAATGGTGATGTTCGTCGGCAGCGGCGAAGGCAGCGGCAAACGGGCATTGGTGGTGGTGGTGGAGAGGGTGGCAACGATGGGAATGGCGACGAGGATGCAGTGGAGTTGATTGAGACCATGCGCTTGCGAGCTATGGATAAGGAGCGCGAAGGTACCGTCATGATCTACCGGACGAATGCGCGGATGGCGAGTTTGGCGAAGAAGAAATGATCCTCAGTTCCCTGGTTCGAATGCAAATGCGAGTGTCAGCTAGATGGTAGCTTGCTCGATGTTGGAGCCCTTGGTCGCCGGCTCCGCATGTCTATCTAAACAAAGGCCATGTCCTCCCCCAAGCTCGGTGACATCGCCTGCTCCTCCATTTTCTCGGTTTGGACGACAGGCCTCATGAGAAGAGCATTGCCGCACAAGTGTATATTTCACACGGTGTGCTTCAGCACGAGTCAATCCACGCTGAGTATTGCTTTCTGTATGTAGCAGGAGGCTCACGGCGAATACTCAGCGAAGAGCTTGAGCATCACATGCTACATGGGATCGAAGTACCATAAATAGAATCTAGGTCGAAGAAGCCGACGTGCTCTCTGACAGAGCAAGTGTTCATCTGATTGCTGTGTTGATACATACGCTAATCTACCATTATGCATTTCGACTCGAACATAACCGTTTTCAGCTCGAGCCCCTTTTTGGTTTCCCCCAAATGTTGAAAAGCGTGCAAATCTGAAAAACAAACTCCTCGCCATGCTATTCTCGAATCGATTTCCTCCATAATACCACCCATTGACATAAGAAATTCAGTGCCGCTCAAGTCGAGCCTGCTTCTCCTCGAAGTCTCTTGCCTTGACTGGCATCCTCTGATGCACCATCATCTCGGGCTCTCTTGTTTCCTCCTCCAGGGTTGAATTGCGCAGCTTGTGGATTAAGCCCTCCTCGATTCGGACTTCCCGGTGCGTGCCCACCTCGATTTGCCTGTTGGGCATTCCCGCCCTGATTTCCTCCACGTCCACCTCTGGGTGCGCCTCCTCGACCTCGAGGTATGCCACTCCCTGCACGTCCGCGAGATGCTCCTCCACGAGGGATGCCTGACTGCAATTGTTGCAATGCATTAGGTGCCTGCGTTTGCTGAGGCTTCATAGATTCCACAGGGTGGATTTGTTGAAGAGGTTTATCCTGGGCTGCTGCAGCTGTGGCCTTGGGTTCTCCCACACCATCAACACTCGAAGGTTGCGGCTGAGGGGCAACGGCCGTTTCCGTCTTTGACTCGGCCTGAACAGGTGGTTGCTGGACGGCAGGGGTGGCCACAGCCGCTGGCGCCGGCGCAGAGCTTGGTACTGCAGGTGCCGTTGGTAAGGGCGTAGCAGGTTTTGGCTGTGCTGGAGCTGGTTTCGCATCTTTCGCGATCTCCCAGACCTCACTCACTGGCTTGGTGGGTGTCTCCTCAGCGGCCTTCTTCACAACCTCGATCTTGGCATTAGCAAGTTGCGCGCTTCTCTGAGCCATATTGAGCTTAACTGCGCCTCGCTTCTCCCAGAGCTGTTCGGCATTCTTAATTTGCTCTGCGATTTTCTTTTGTGAGTCCTCATCAAATTGAAGCTGCTGGGAGCTGAGTTCTTCTTGGTGTTTTATGACCAAGGACTGTTTCTCTCGAGCCAGGACATCTTGATGTTGTTTCACCAAGTTCTCTTTTTCTTGGCTAAATTTAGCCTCTTCCTCCTGGATGATTGCCTCTATCTGAGCCTGCAGTTTCTCTTCTAGATCGTTAGGCTGCTCAGATACTTGGCCATTCTCCTTGGCCATCGCCCTTTCTTCTTCAAACTTTTTTTGTAAAGCTTGCTTCTCTAGGTCAACTCGTTTTGCAATGGTATTGCTAACAAGTTCCTTCATCATTGGGTTCGATTTAGCCAAGTACAATAACTGTGGTTTGGTCACTCCCGCACTCAATACCTCGTTAGGGAGGCTTTCGATTTTTATGGCAGGGCTTTCAGGCTGGGTGATGTCGTCTGCAGGTTGTTGTGATTCCGGTGCAGAAGCTTGATTGGCTTTATCTGTGGGAGTTGCAGATTCAGGTGCTGTTGCATTTGCCTGAGTTCTGGCAGCTTGAAGCTCTTGCTCATGTTCGGCATTGAGTCTAGTTGCTAGTTCTTCGAGGGCCGCAGCCTTAGATGCTTGGGCGTCCTGCTTGACTTCCTTCAGACGCCCATTAAGCACCTTCTCCATTGCAGCAACGCGTGACTTGAATTTCTCCTCCTGCGTTGATTGAAATTCGTCGAGTTCTTTCTCTTTCGCCGCTAAAGCGGTCTCAAGCTCAGTGACCTTCGCCTCCAGCTCAGCAATACGCTCGTTCAAGGCTTCATTCGGTGCATTTCCATGATCGCCATTGACCTGAGCTTGCGGTACTGCCGCAGCCTGTGCTTGAGACGATTCCAATTGCTCTTTGGTAGAGTCAAGTTCAGTCTGGAGAGAGTCTTTCTCGGCTACTGCAGCGTCGAGTTGAGCTTTGACCTCGTTGAGGGCGGCCTTATTCTTCTGGACGACCTCTTTGAACTGAGTGCTTAACCGCGATCTCAAGTCCGCGTTAGACTCTTTGATCGCTGCTTGTTGTCCATCGATTTGTGTTTGCAACTCGGCTTTAGCTTGATCCAATTCTGTAGCAGCAGTACTCAGCTCGTTGCGTGCCTCGTCACGTTCGGTCTCGAGAGTGCTGATGTTTTCCTTTAGAGCCTCCAGATCTGCTGGGTCAACTCGATCATACTTCGACAAAATGTTCTGAGTTCGTTGTTGCCAATGGTCCCGGTCTTCCTGACTCAGTTTCAATTCGCCCTCTCGTAACTCGACTAGATTTTCGAGTTCCGCTACTCGAGCATTCAAAGTCTGTAGTTGACCTTCAAGCTCTTCAACTCGGGTAGACTTTTCTGCGAGAACCTGAGCAGATCTCTTGGCCTCAGCACGGAGAGTGACGCTACTTTCTCTGAAGAGGTTGAGCTCATTCAGAGTATCCATCAACTGATTATGGCTCAAAGCATTGCGCTCTGCGTCAGCCTCGATGCGTCGTTGTTGGTCTAACTTGAGGCGGGTTTCATCAAGCTGAGATTGAGTAAAGTCCAATTGTTGTCGTAACCTCTTGGCTTCTTGAGTCGAGAGCTGATATTGCATATCCACGATATCTTTTTCACGACGAAGATAAGTGATGACCTCCTGTAGCTTGTCCAATTCGGCTGTCGATGGACCAGAAGGCTCGCTGTCTTGGCCTTCTGCTAGGGCGGCACGATCACGTTGAAGAGCACTTATTTGTTGTGTGACACTTTCGAGTTGATTGTGCAGGAGGTTGTTTTGTTTTGCCACTTCTTCCCGGCGTTTCTTCAGGTCAGCAGCTTCTCGCTCGAAGCGATCCTTCATTTCGTCCCAGCTGCTTGATTTCTGTTCGAGATTGGCTTTGGCTGTCTCGGCTTGAGTCTTGAGGTCTACCATCTGTAGTTTCAATTGATTGGCTTCTTCTCGAACGATTTGCACGGTCTTAGCAGCCTCAGCATGCTTGACAAGCTCATTTTCGTAATTTTGTTGAGCTTCTGTAGCGATTTGTGCTTGAATTTTCGAGGCTTCGAGGTTAAATTGGGCCTGTTCGGCACTTTTCACGGCCTCCTCCTTCAAGCGCTCAATATCAGCCTCAAAAATGGATTTTTGTTCATCCAATTTTCGGCCTGCTTCTGCCTGCTCGTCACGTAGCCGCGAGAGCTCGGAATTTGTCGTGCTGAGTTCGCTGGAGATATCTTCAGCGCGTTGCTCGAGGTCCTTGATTTTGGCGTCTTTTTCGGCGAGAGCTGCTTCAGTTTCCTCACGATATTGCTCATTTGTGTCGCCCAGCTCTTGTAACCGTTCTTCACTTGATTGGCTGATGCTTTTGTATACCTCGACCTGTTCGTTGGCTCGTTCAAGCTCTGAAATCTTAAGCTCAAGATCACGTTTGAGTTCTGAAATCTCGACCTCCAACTCTTGTTGTTTTGTAAGGGAAGCCTCATCAGTAGCGTTGACGTCGACTGATGGCTCCGCAGGGCGTGTGAACACTTCAAGTCTTTCCTCGGCTGAGCGAAGCTCCACTGTCATCTCATCCACCCGGGCTTGGAGGTGGTCACGAGAAGTCTTGGCTGAGGCCAGTTCCTCCTTCGTTGACCCCAAACTTGTTACGAGATCATCTATCCGCTTCTGGCTTTGATCGTGCTCATACTCACGTCGAAGTGATAGCTTCTTGCTCTCCTCAAGCTCCTGGTTTAGCTGTCGCTTGACTGATTGCAGCTCAGTCTCGAGGGCTTCTGTCTGCGATTGCAATCTTCGTCGACTTTCAGCCTCGGTTTGTTCTCGCTCATTGATCATGGTCTGAAGGCTAGCATTCAACGAGTCGAGTCGGCCACGCTCGGTGCGTAAAGATTCATTGTCTTCAATAAGTCTGCGTTCGACACTCTTCCAAAGATCCTTCTCCGCCTTCAGATTCGCAGAGTCACGACGCAAACTATCGAGAAGCCCACGAGCTTCTACGAGTTCCTCGGCCACTTGCTGAGTCTTAAGCTCTTGCTTGGTAGCATTTTCCATGGCAGACCATGATCTCTTCTGAATTTCGCCGTTTTCGGTTTTGAGCGAATTGTAATTCGCTTGAAGCATCTCATAACGTTGATTGGCAGCAGTCAATTGACCAACAGTCCGGCTGATTTCGGTCTGTAGCTGGGAGTTCTTCCGACTGAGCTCATCAACTTGAGTCTTGAGTGTGGTTCGGTCTGCTGACGACTCCTGTCTAAAAGAATCAAAGTGATGTTGCACGTCTTTGAGCAGTTTGGCGTAATCCGACTCCCCAGTCACAGATGCAGCAGGCGATTCGGCTGCTGGAATCGGCAGAGATTTTGAGAAATCCGTTGGTTGAACGCCTCCAGGAAGATGTCCTCGTCTAACGAGCATATTCCGTAGCATGTCGCGCTCCTTCGCAAAACTCTTACTTTGTGCCATCTGAGACTTGAGCTCATCCTTATAGGTGGCAATGTTTTGACGAGCCTCTTCCAATTCTTGTTGCAAGGCATGATTTTGTAACTCCTTCTCTTTGGCTTCGTTGCTTTCAAGCTCGATGACCAGATTGCGGATGGTCTTCAGTTGATCCTCATTTTGCCGTTGAAGTTCGGTGATGTTTTTGAAGACTATCAGGCGCTGGTTGATGACCTGCTGGGTTTCCGAGAGATTTGCCATATCCTCCGTCATTGCTTGATTAGCCTGGGCTTCGAGTTGGTCAAAATCCTCGCGTGTCATACTGCCACCGTGCTCCTTGATATGTTGTTCAATAAGCAAGAACCGAATTTGGGTGCCCAAGTCACGAAGTTGCTGAGCCAGCACTTGAACCTCTTTGGATCTGCTTTCGAGGTTTCCTTGTACCGCTCTTAGCTCTTTGGCAGAACTCTCACGAGCACTGTTCGCCTGATCAACAATCGTTGACATTTCGATGATCTCGGTCTGTAGACGGTCGTGATCCATCCGCAATTCCTCTATCTCAGGCTTGTTGTTCTCAAGTTCTTCAACCATCGAATCGAGATTACTTCGAAGTTGTTCACTAGCACGCTTCTCAGAGGCCAGTTCGCTTTCCAACTTCTTGTACTCGCTGAACAATTGGGTCATTGTCATTTGAGCTTTTGGTCTCGAGATGGAGTGCGGCGAGAAGACACCGCTGGGAGTTCCAGGTCGAAGAGGCGTAGAGAAACCAACACCATTGGTAGGACGTTGTGGGGTGCTTGGTCGAGCGCGACTGTCTTCAAGTTCTGTTCTCAATTGTTCGAGTGCACTTTCAAGCTCAGCCACCCTCTCTTCAGCGGCGACTTTATCAGCGTGCTCGGTCTCGCTCTCCGCACGAATGGCACCTATTTCGTCGGCAGCATCGGCACGGGCTTCATCAAGAGCAACCAAGAGCTCTTTGACTCGTTCTTTGGCTGTTTCAGCTGTCGCTTGTTGTAAGTCGGCAAGGCGTTTGGTGGTTTCCACCTCCCTCCTGAAAGCATCTTCGGATGAAATATGTTCCTCTTGCAATTTCTGCTTCTCTTCCAACAGGTCCTCGTATTTTGTCGCCTGGTCTTCGAGACGATTCTTCAAGGAAGTCTCTGATCGTCTCAAAGTTTCAATTTCGGAAATGTACTGCTCGTTCGACCTGGAGAGTTCTGAGATACGAGCATTCTTTTCCTTCCGGAAAGCAGTGTGTTCATCGGCCTTGATCTTGCGTTCATTCTCCAGCCACTCGTTGTTTTTCTTCAGCATCTCAACCTCTTGTTGTAGACTCTGCTCTTTGAATTTGGCGGAGGCTACGGTAGAGTTGGCCGCCTGGGTAGATTGTTCAAGCGCGGTGATTTGCTTGCGAAGCTCAACACCCTTCTGATGCTGAGCGGAGAGTTCCTGAGACAAGTTCTCGAAGGAGGTTGTCTTTGACTCAAGAAGAGCAAGAGTATCACGGTTGGCAGACTCAAGCGAACTGATGCGGGCCTTCAAAGTATTGGTTTCGGAGGTTTCATTGACAGTCGCAGAGCGATATTGCTCCAGGTCTGTCTCCAGTCGCGACCGAGCATTTTCTAAGATTTAGGTTAGAAGAGTATAACATAGAATCAAGGCAGGGTTGAGCATACCAGAAGTCTGTAATTCGACGCGTAGTTTTGATGACTCGGCAAGGGCTTTGTCTCTTGAGTTTTGCAAGACTTTTGTTTTGGATTCGTTCGTCCTGACGACAGTCTCCAATTCGACTTCAAGTTTTACTTTTTGCGATTTATTCTGTTCATACTCTTTCGCTCTAGTCTCGATGCCATGTAAGAGTGCTTGAACCAACTCTGTTGTTGGACTGTTCAGTAGTGAGGTGATAGAGGCCTCGGGCACCGCAGTGAAGGTGGATATGACACGAACATCCAAGGCCGGAGCAGCCATGGTTGATGTCTAAAGAGAACGCAACTAGGTGACGGAGGAGTGACAACAAGTTGAATGCCAGAAGGGATTGAGAGTTTGGCGCGCTCAAGACAAGATGCGCCCGAGAGGAGAAACGGTGAACTTGTAATGCAAGCTCAACATGGCGCACTAGACACTGAGCGAAGGATAGATAGTGATGCCAGTCGAGATTGAAAGAAAAGTGATCGTCGAGTTCGGGTGGTTAGTTGCTGGTGTCTGGTCAGTGATCAGTTCTTTGGTGGAGAGGAACCAAACAAACTGCGGGCACTGCAGGCAGGAACGAACATGTCCGTGACAGCAGAGAGACGTGACTTCCTTCCTGTAGTTCGCCTCAGCCGAATCTTGGCAAATCTTGGCGCCGTTTGCCTGACGCATCATTCAGCCTTGCCTCCATGTCTCTCACCTCGACTCTTTGTCCTCTTCATTCGCTTCCAACCCAGGTATTGTTTATGCCTTTGTCATCTCCGTACTCGTGCCTACGCTCGCGGCAATTCTATTCCAAAGCGCTATCATCCTCAACAAGGCCCAACCTTGCCATCGAAGTAGAAGTACCCTTCTTCGCGCAATGACCTGATCGCACCCTCCGTTTGCGGAAGAGATCCTTTTATTAGGCACTCTCAACACCGACCTACGCATATCCACCCTACTGTCGACCAGGACAGAAGAGCCCCAATACTGTAAAAGTATGACCAGTCATGCTTCCTACAGGTTTGAGCAAAGATGTTGACCTTGACTCGCAGGAGAGTGCTATTCTGTGCCAGGCAGAGCACTCACCTTGATCTGCAACAGGTCATTCATTCGGCACTTTGAGGCAGGTCTCGTCCCATTGACACCATGTCTGCAATCTACAGTACAGGACTCTCTGCGGCAGGGAGCGACGCCCGCACCAATGTTGTGTATGCCACAGATCGTTTGAAGGAGAAATTTCCCGCTCCGATCCCATCTCAAGAGCTCATAGCATTTGTCCTACCGGCGCATAAACGCAACGACGAACAAGCTGTGAAGCTCTTGAAAACACTCTTGAACGTCAATCCCAAGGTTATCTTTGATGCCGTCACTGATAGCTACACCTTCAAACCTCTACACAATATCTCTTCGGCAGACGATCTTATGCGATACCTACAGAGTCAAGAAACTGCAATGGGTATTCAAGTACGGGAGTTGAAAGATGGGTGGCCAAACGTTGAGGAGACGATTGACAAATTGGAGAGTGACCACAAGCTTCTGGTCACAAGGAACAAAAAGGACAATCACCCAAGAATGGTTTGGGCAGATGACCCGACGCTGATTGCTCCATTAGATCAAGATTTCAAGGATATCTGGGCTCAAATCCCGCTTCCCACAGTGGAGGATACGATAACCCAATTGACCAAAATGAACTACAAGTCGACGGGTGCACCAGCTCGGACAGATATAGGACCAAAGGTCGAGAAGAAGAAGAAAAAGGTCCGAAGAGGGATCAAGGTCACCAACGTCCATATGCAAGGACTGTTCAGGGACTATTCGAATCAAAGACCACAGGGAACAAAGTAGGGGTTTGGAGATCTCGTTGCATTTACGAACAACAACTTTTTTCTAACCCCTCGGGAGCTTGAACGATTATTGCGACCTTTACATCGCATGGATCTACTCAGGCTCTGTGGTCCTTTGTCCCTTTGGGGGTGGGAGTTTGCACGATCATCGCGACTCCCCGGTAGCATTCCAATCAAGTCGTCTGGCAGAGATCAGAGAATGGACGACATATGGAATTCAAGTATTGGAGGCTTGTCGATCGAGTCAGCCTGGTGCTTGATGCACGTGGTCCAAGGTGACTCAACCTTGCGCAATTGTAACATCATCAATCACAGACCTACATGCATGAATAGGTCGACGGAAAACGATACCCATGACACAAAAACTGATAAAACATGTACTCTGAACAGAAATTAAAACTGCGGACTTCTTCAGCCCCGTTCTCCATAATCCATTCCTAGATAGTAATAACGGACCTGGAGAACATCGACAGCCTCATGCTATTTGCTGCCATTAGCCTTTTCCCTACGCCGTCCGCACTGCACCGCACATTAACACACACGTACATCCAGACAAGGCAACCTGTATACCTGCAGCCTTAGGTAGTTAGAAATATCATTCCAACGACATCGAACACTGTAAGCCCGCTATGAAGAAATAAAACAACCATCAGAACGAAATAAACCTCTCCATTATTCGCTATCATCTCACATACATATCAATATCAAATCCCACAACACGCCCTACCTACCTATTTAACCCGTCGTCCCACCTCCACCAGCCGGTCGATGCGGCGGCGCCACCAGGCCCGCGGCCTCCTCATACCTCGGGGGCGGGACGTCGAAGTTGACGACACTGGCGGGACGGGTGATATTTGCGGTCGTGAAGCCGAACCCGTCCTGCGTGCTCCCCACACCCAATCCACCGGCCGCCGCCTGCCCGCTTTGATGGCTCCACGCGACACTCCCCGGCGCGGCGGCGTTGGCGAGCAGACTCTGATTCTGGTCCGGCGTGCTCTCGTAGCCGCCGCCGCCGCCTGGCTTGGAGGAATACGGATACGGGGAGGGGATGAGGTTCGATCCCGCGTGCGTAGGGGACGACGAAGACGACAATGAGCCGCCGGGCCCGCCGCCGCCGCCGCCGCCGCGTATGTTCAGCGGTACCGAAGATTGGTTTCGTGCGCGCCGGGCCCGCCCTCGTCGAAGCACGCGGATCCAGATCACGAGCGAGACGATGGTGATGAGGATGGCGACGCCGACTACGATGCCCATTATTGCGGAGCGCGAGATGTTGTCATCGTCGTCGTTGTCGTTGTCATCGCCAGGCCGGCCGAATTGGCGGGGGAGGAGGGCGTGGTGGTAGTAATTTGATAATGACGGTGCCATTGGTTTATGGGGTGTTGGTGTCGTTGCGTGGTGGAGGTGGAATTGATTTGGGACTGCTCCCTCAGGCTGTGAAATGTCGAATTCGACAGTGAAGAGGTCGAGGTAGTTGGATCGCTGGCAAGGCTTTCTTGATTTCTAGGAGGAGCCCTGCTGCGGTGGAGAAGGTAACGAGCGAAGTGTTCTGTTAGTCTGAGATAGGGTGTTGAGCAAACGACGGTTGATTGAAAGTATGCGAATACCCGAAAGAAGCGATCAGCGAGAGGGAGGGATAGAACCGGAGGTCTAAACTGCTCTTCCCCAGACCTGGATAAAAAAAAAGGCTTTCGGGGGTACAGAACAGCACAGGGTGGTAGGCAAGGAACGAAGGATCAATGGATGGATGTCAGAATTGAAATCTTACAAGCAGAGCACAGCACGGAGTAGCTAAAGATGTTGACGCTTAGCATCACACCTTCTTGGTAAGGTACTCAGGCTGTGTACAGCCACGTTGAACGGACACATCTCTGTGCCCAGTCCAATACGGAGTAGTAGTGTCCACAGTTCTGAGTCTGGGGGGAGGGTATGAACTGGCCGCCGTGAAGACTATCCGCAGGTGGTTAGTAGTATATGTATATGCAAACCTCACTAATTCCTTTGGGTAACCCAAGTACGAGAAGATTAGCATCACAAGGCATATTTTGTGACAAGCTAACTCCGCTCCATGGAAGGTCATTTGGTGGGCGCCTCTATGGCTGAGTTCAACAAAGTCTGGGGGTGGGGGCTGAACTTGAAAGTGCAGGACTCCTAGAGGGTGAGGTGAGGTGAACCGTGAGGCCTGCCATGTCGACCGTCCTTCGGAATCGGAACTCGTAACTTCAAAATGTACGAGGAGAGTCCTTGTTACCGTGTTCGTACTCGTGAGAGATAGAAAGAGACAACGTGAACACAGGCTTCATGTCTCAGTTGGACGAAAAGTGTCTAATGCTAAGCCCGTATTGGTACAACGACTCGGTTGCCCGAAACACAAAGCCCAACACGATTGGTCGTTGATGACTCGAAATTGGATTCCATCGACTGCGCCTTGTTCAACTATTGAGGCGCAAGCAAAAGCCTTACGAATGACAAGAAGCTTGGGTTTTGCGGGGGCGTGACGAGGACGAGCACCTCTGTACTCCCTTTTACGATGATTTGTGCTTTATGCCTGGTGCAGCAGTATGCAGCGAGATTATGGTCGGTAAGAAACACGTCCCGAAAAGACACCGAGCCAGTCTCTTCTCAGACACCTAGTCTATCGATCTCAGTGGTTGATGGGTAGTTGAATTTGGAATGTTTCCCAATCAAGAGGCATTGGGCCAAGCTATGCATATCCCTCCATGTCTTATTGCATATTTGATTCTGGCAAAAGCCTGTGTTCCTTAAGTACTCGTAGTGCTGATGTGAGAAGATGATCATCGGAAACTCGAGATCTTGACTGTGTGATGATACTGGGCGATGCAGATTTATATCTTATATACATGTTATTCGATGCAATCAATACCGGCCTTCAGAACCCGATGGCTGCAAGGAAACCGCCATGGCAAAATCCAAGGTAGAGAGAGTATCAAAGTCCAATATCAAAAGCTGTCATTCATTCATTCTTAACCTCGTATCTGTTTTGTGTTATAAAAGAAGAGTCGTTATCAACCCCATCGATCCCATCGAGCATCCCCCAGCCTCAGCCCAAAGTTCCACCACCAACGGTAAGTCCCCCTTTCCTCTCTACTAATGATGACCATTAGCACCATTACCCAACTTCTTCCCCTCGACATTGGCGACATAATCGACCAAATCCTCAATCGTGCAAGTCTTGAGACCCCATTTCTTGCCGAACGCCAAACAGGCATCACGCCTCATCATGCCGGGCTCACGCATGGCCGTCTCACCAGGGACAACGACCCCATCCTCAATCATCTCGCAGATGACACCGACGGGCGCCTTTCCAGCGAGACGGCAGAACTCGACCGCGGCCTCGGTGTGTCCGGTACGCTCGAGGACGCCGCCGTCGCGGGCTCGCAGAGGGAAGACGTGGCCGGGGCGGCGGAAGCTCGCGGCCGTGGCTTTCTTGCTGGCGAGCGTGCGGCAGGTCAGCGCGCGGTCGTGCGCCGAGATGCCCGTCGACACGGACGCGTCGTCCGCGTCGATCGAGACCGTGTACGCCGTGCGGTTCGGGTCCGCGTTGTCCACCACCATCTGCGGCAGTTCGAGCTCGGTCGCGATCTGGGACGTGAGAGGCGCGCAGATCAGCCCGCTGGTGTACCGCACCATGAATGCCATTTTCTCCGTCGTGAGATCTTCCGCCGCGATGATCAGGTCGCCTTCATTCTCGCGGTTCTGGTCGTCGAGCACCACGATGAACTCGCCGCGGCGGAACGCGTCGATGGTTGACTCGATCGAGTCGAATTCCTTGGGCTTGGGACTGCCGCTGGTGGGGATCTGCATGATTGTCGGGATTTTTGGTGTTGCGTTTTCCTTTCTCTCTCCTTCCAAAATGATATGCAGGGTGATGTTCTCAACCCCAAAGGCTTGAGCCGTTGAAAATTATAAAATAATGATACAGGAGCAACTGGCACCTGTGCAGTCAATCCACAGATTTCTCTGCAAAGAAACAGGGCAACAAAGCGGACAAGTGCGTTGCTCAAACAGTTGAATAACACCTTGAAGTGCCGACAAACTTTTTTCGCCCTTTGTTTTTACCGGTTCCGCCTGTGAAGGCTGGAAGGGTGTGGGTGGGTGTAGTTTAGACGAACCCCGCAAAATGCCCAAGCACGAAAACAAATGTGATGAGGAGGTTCGGGAAGATCAAGCAAGAAAACCGTGATAAAAAAAAGACTAATACTTGGCTTCCGACCTTTCTTTCTTTCTTTTTTGGGGGGAAACTTGAGAGGCACACGATATTTTGGATCGGATTGGCAGGCCGATCTCCTGTAGATAGTTAGAATGGTTGCAGTATGGAAACTGAGGAGCCTTGAGGCGAGGAGACGGGACTATGTATATTTCTTTAAGGGGGGAAGAAAAGAAAGAGAAGGAAAAAGAAGGAGGATCGGAGCGGAATGGTACAGCTACATATTCTTGGGGATGACTACGATGGCGTGCGGATGGCGAACCTGAACGATGAACCTCGTTCGGTGGTGAACCTAGGCTTAGTAGGTACGAGTACCTAAGGTAGGTAGCCAAAGGCGAACCAAGGTTAAACAGACAATATTGGAATGGGGAACCGTACCGCACCGCGGTAGTTTCCTGATAACCTGTGGACATTTGTCATGTGGTCTGCAAAATTGGTCAGAGAGTGACCTCTTCAGAGTTGGAACCGAGACTTGCAGTGTGTCGGACGAGAGCTTTCCGAGCATACCTAAGCAATCAATAATTGACCGATGCCAGTGGGTGGTGTGTGCGTGCCGTGACACCCAAGAACGGATACCGATACTGAGTGCGGAAAAGGTGATGCCTCGGCCTTGCTACTCGTAATCCGGAATGCATCGGGAGGGGACTTCTACGTAGTACCTTTCTGCGGGCGGGGGAATCGTTTCGAAGCAGAGGGAATGATTCTACCACCGAACTATACGAGACACCACGATAGTGAACCAAAGGAGGGACAAAGGGCTTGAAGTCTGTGCCAGGGCCAATAATAATGTTATCGACATTCAAAATGCTACTTCTTGAAGCCGTCATGCTGGTGCTACCTACAAGTAGGTCGTCTTCGACGAAGAACCGACATAAGGTATCGCCCATCGTCCCGTTCTAGTTAGTAGCCGCTCGCCGCTTTACTCACTCTCGACTTCCCTTCCGCCCCCTAGGTCCTCCCTAAGTACTTTAGTCTTCTTTCTTCTCTTTATTTATCATACTGACGTTCGTTAACATTAAACGATGAGATCAGGCAAGTTTAGTGCCGTGATGATCACTATCGACTGTCCTCAAGAAGCGTATCAATGCGTTCTTTCCAAGGCAAAGATGAGTATGCGTGTCTTATACAACAATTCATCCCTTTGGGGATCTTGACGGAACGGCGAAATTGCTCTCGTCCTATTCTCAATAACATTCACCTGGAGCTGAAATACGAGGTTCCTTATAAAACAGGAAGAAAGGCCGTCATAAATCACATTTCAGAAAAGGTCTGTAGCGAACGATTTGATATTCCACAAGCAGGAGTAAATTGTAAGGTCCGGGACACTCATCAATGCTCCAGTTCGCTCACCCTGACAAACATGCCCTTCTGCACGAACAATCCATAATTCGTGTTCTTCTTAATTGGGTTCACAACATCAATCAAGCTCCAATCGAACCTTCTGATCATCTCGAAGAAGATCTTGTTTAACTCTAACCTCGCAATGTTTTCACCCATGCATCGGAATCTGCCATTGCCGAAGACAAGATGGTGTGCCTCTTCCATGACGGCCAGTCGCTCGGGAGAAGCTTCCAGCCAGCGCTCAGGTCGGAAGATTTCTGCATCTGCACCGTATACCTCAGTATTATGACGGTGCATGTTCCATGCGCAGAAAGCGACTTCGGTTCCGGGAGGAAGGTAGACGCCGTCGTGTGTGTCACCTTGTGAGCCAACAACGCGAGGGAGTAAGCCGGCTGCGGCGGGGTGATGGCGTAAAGCCTCTTTGATGCAAGCTTGAAGGTAAGGCAATCTTAGGGCTTGAGCGTGGGAGATGATTGTTTCCAATGGTACATCTGCTGCCACCGCTTCAGCTTGGAGTTTTCGGTATATGTGCGGATGTGCTAGGATTGAGAGGAAACCAGTGCGGACGATGGTTGCTGTTGTGTCAGAACCGGCCAGGAGTTGGAACAGCGACTCGTCCGAGATCTCGAGTTGTGACAAACCATGGTTTTTGAAAGAAGTTACCATGTCATACCGTTCTGCCTTCTCACCAGAGAAACGACTTGCAATGATCTGCCGCGCAACTCTGCCAAGGCGTCAGTCTCTCTCTTGGAAGAATGGCTCTTGATACTCACGCTTTAACCTTTCCTAGCCCAGTCTTCTCTTTCGGCGAAGGAATAAGATTGGCCTGTACGGTTGGGATCCTTGCGATGGATGATAGCAGCGGTACCGCCGAAAAGATATTCATTATCGGAAAGTTGTCTTCCATCGACTTCACGTAGGCATACTTGTCAGTGTCATCGGAGACGAATCCGAATGCTTCACCAAGCGACAAACATGTAATCACATCCAGGGTGAAGTATTGTGCTAGCTCGGCCCAGTCCAGCGGCTTGACGTTAGATTTCACAGAAAGGTATTTCCGTTGGATCAAATGCACAACGTCCATGACCACTTGGTTGATACTTGGCTCACATTGAGGGTTGTCCTTGCCTGAATACTGCTTGCCTTGGTAAATATTCGACCTCGGGAGACGAGCTTCGTGCTTACCCCAGGAGACAGTTTTGCACGCATCAAAGAGTGCTTCTCGTCATTCAGCTCGGTGAAAAGGTTTTCTCGCTCGGCGTCCATTTTGAATGCTTTGTACCATGGTCCACGAGAGTAGTCATTGATCCTGTGAGCATTTGCTTTGCGGTACAATTCTAGGTCCGAAGTCACGACCATACGAGGGCTAATTCTGGCAATCGATCCTGGAACACTCGTCAGATGCATCATTTACCTTGATGGGAGACCTTCATACCATAACGATCACAAGCATATTTCAGGGCAAGATGCCCTTTCCCAGAGATTGCAGCTTTGATCCACCACCAATTGGTGAAAGCTGCCAACGGTGGCCCAGGAATATGCTTCAGTGTATTATATGCGACCAGCGTCGTGACGACAATCCAACTTAGCCAGACGACAGCCAAAAGGCAGAGGCTTCTCGTGAAGCTCGCTTGCAGCGGTCCAATGATTTGTTCGAGCATCTTGAGGTCCCTCTACAAGTGTTCTGCAAGATGTCGAATTGAGCAGAACCAGTCACACTGTACGCGTAAAAATAAGAGAACTTGACACTGGTGCAACTTCAAAAAAGGTAAGATGGTCATCGATAAGCAGGATCGTGCTGCCCTTGAACAAGCCGAGCAAAAGCAATGACTTTGAGCGGCAAGCCGATAAGCTAAGAGCCTAGCTTAGGGGAAGTTCGGAAGTGCTTGGTATTCATGCGGCTTGCTGTGTAACCGAAGTGTGTGCGCACCACTTACCGGTCGGGTCGAAGATGGGAAGCCCAATTTGCCAGCCCAGACGGAGCTTCCTGCCTCGAGTGCAGGAATGAACCGGGGGTATAATAGATCAAGGAGCTCGCCACGTACAAAGTACTCCGTACAGCAGTTTATAATATTGCGACGGGACCTTGGCACCCGGCATGCGTTGGCGTTCTTGAACAGCTAAGCTAAGTACTTAGGTACCTAGGTCCCAAGGTTTACTGGCTTCGGAAAGCTTCCTCCGGAGCACGCAAACTCAAAAACCCTTCCTTCCATCCAAACGGGTTTGCAAGACTATATTACCTTTGCGCAGTTGCCTCATGGTAGCAGAAATCGAAGCAGAAATCGAAAATGGCTTCAACTCCACCAGAAGCCGATGCTAGTGAAGAGACTCAAGCGGGTGGCCATGTAGAGATAGACCGCGGCGTTTGTCCAGTGTTTCACCCGCGCCGATGCTTAAACTAACCGTCGTCTACAGTTTGAAAGCGAGGACTCCGGCTTTGAGCAAGACTCTGTCTTGACACAATCCGTTCGGTCGAGCATATATCAATATAAGGTCGAAAATGGCCGCACATACCATGCATATAAAGAGGGCCAGTACTTCATGCCTAATGACTCGGCCGAGCATGAACGACTGGAATTGCAACATCGTGCCATGTTTCTGGCTGCTGGTGGCAAGCTTTTCTATGCACCTCTCACGGAACTCCAGAATGTCTTGGATCTAGGGACCGGCATTGGAACATGGGCAATCGATGTCGCTGACACGTACCCCAAGGCCATCGTGACAGGTGTAGACTTGAGTCCTATTCAACCCTCCCTTTCTCCACCCAACATCAAGTGGGAAATCGATGACATCGAGGACGACTGGACGTGGCCACCAAACCGCTTCGATCTTATCTACAGCCAATTTATGCTAAGCGGAAGTATCGCGGATTTTCCAAAGTATTTTGGACAAGCTTTCAGGTAAATATCACGCGATATACTGATTTCTGGCACATTGATGTTCTGATGTTCTTCGTTTCTTGAATAGACACTGCAAGCCGGGCGGTTACTTCGAGCTTCACGACCTGGCCACATACCTGCGAAGCGACCACGCTCCAATCAGTGAAGACAACGCCGTTGACGAGTGGTGTCGTCTCATGCGACAAGGTATCGTCGGAATGGGACGCAGGCTTGACCTAAACTTCCAGGAACTCGGTGATCTGATGCGACAGGTCGGTTTCGTCGACGTGGTAGTTCGGCCGTTCAAGATTCCTATCGGGCGATGGCCGGCTGATCCGAGGTTGAAAGAGGCAGGGTTATTTCAACTGTACGCAATGCTGGAAGGTGTTGAAGCACTGACACTTGCCATCTTCACGCGCTGTCTGGGCTGGAAGCCAGAACGTGTTCAAGTATTCCTTGCCGAAGTGAGGAAAGAGTTTAAAGCGACGAAACGCTATACTTACTGGCCATGGTATGTTGATGATCAAACTCGGACCGATGGAGCTGACTTCTTGGTCGCAGTGCCGTTATCTATGGGAGGAAGCCTGAGTCTGTGCCCTCAACGGGCTCTGCGCCATAAGCGACCGGAGTCATTAGCTGACCTCCCCCCCCCCTCCCCCCCCTCCAGTACGGGCATTACCCGCATGCAGGACCAAGGGTGCATACGGCGTTTGGGTCCTGCGCGAACAGTGTCTCAGAGATCCGCGCTACTTACCATGAAGCCACGATCACGTCCGAGGCACGACTCCATACCAGGAACCTTGTTCCGGAAGAAGCTTACTCGGCACAGAGACTAGGATTGCGCTCAACGCCAACAAGAAATTCCGTCGCGTAATAGGATGTCTCTTTGGGTCCTCGCGCATCTCTGTGGGAATCTTCATTACAGCCTTTCTTATACGGTTAGGAAGCTCCCAATCCTGATCAGCAAACGTTCTTTTGTCCTGGTCGACTATTATTCGTGGATGTATAATATGAAGCGCGACGTCACTCATCGATAGAGGGTCTCCTACAGGCAGCCTTTCAGGAAGCCAAAGGCAGGGAACATGAGAGGCCAAGTTGAGGATATCCCCATGCTGGGTTATAACGGCTTTGCGCTGCTCAGTGAACGCTTCAGGACCCGTGCTCAGGATTGCATAGCCTCAGCTCAGAATGGCTTTGTCATCACTCTTGTTGAATAGCGAGCACCCAGTGGGATGCTCAGGTCTGGTCGCTCGCCCTCTATCAGGGATGAAACCGTAAATAGCAATCAGGTTTTTTCGTTCTCGAGTAATCTACTAGTAGGTAGGCATATAGACAAACTCACAAAACTGAGCCTAACCGGTGAGCCAACACACCTCCTTCCAAAAAACTCCGGTTGCTTTGTATATGCTTAACTGACCCCTCTGAACTGGGCAAAATGAGCGTTTGATCCTAACAAAAGCATTCGGCGCAATTTTCGACAGAACGCAACAGGATCCAACACCCAAAAATTCAAGTTGATTTCGTGATAATTCGTATCTCATTCCTCCAAAAAATCCCAACCGGGTTTCCACTCAACGCGCCTTGATTTGGCAAAAAACATCAATTTTCCGTCCTTTGGGTCCTCTCGACGGTGTATTGACGACGATCATATCGTCCTCGATATCACCCTCGCCCTCAACATCGCCCTCAAAGTGTTCGGATGCTGGTGAGTATGGTGATGATGAGCGCTCGTCCGTTATGTATTCCCAAAGCTGTGCTCCCAACCCCAGTCGACGGCCGTCTTTCATTTTCTGCGTCTTGGGTGAGATTCGAGGTCCTGGTGTCTTTGTGGGCTTCTTCAATGCAAGGGCTATTTTCCCCTCTTGTGTGGGTGTTTCGTCGATCATGATGGTCTCATCTTCCATCACTTCATCTGGGAGTACCTGTATCTTTAATGTGCTGCCTGCATGATCCGCGGGTGCGATAGGTGAAAACATAGGTGTCAAAGGAGTAATTCTATGCGCCGGGCTCCGTCGTCCACAAGTATCCTCGTCGTTATCTGGCTTCACCGGGCTGGTCAGCGGTGAAAAGGATGGTCGCTTAACTTGGACGCGCGGAGAGAGCAACCTTCGTTCTCTAGACATCCCATCCTCGTCATCTGGTCGAACAGGACTGGTCAGCGGCGACATTGGTGGTCGTTTGGCCTGAGCAAGTGGGGATAGCATCTTCCTTGCTACATCAGCCACACCGAATCTAGACTTGCTGGGTGTCGACAAATTTGGCGTGGATTTTTGAAGAGGCTTTCGGGGCAAGGGATGAATCAATCGAGGAATCTCCACCGTGATTCTTGCCTTCTTCGTCGGCATATTCTCAACTTCACCACCTTCGGCCACTGACTTCCTCTTCTTTCTGGGCTGCGACGCTTTCTTGATGGTCATGTCGATTTCACCTTGTCGAAGCCACAAATCTGATCGACGCGTTCTCAAATCTTCAACCCAATCATCGCAATCCATGGAAACGAAATCGTCAATGATCCCTTCCCAAACGCTATCGGCTGGACGAGTCCTGTTGACAAATATCACCCTACCCTTCCCGTTCTTATGCGCATGAACAGATTTCGCAAATTCCCGCACTATCTTCTGAAGACCAAAAACCTTCAAAGACGTTCCCATGATGATCATCACTTCCGGCTGGCAGCTGGCGTCGAATGGAATCAGAGGTGTCAGCAGACTGTTAGACGGATGATCCTCTCCATACAAGACAATGTTTGGTCGCAGACACCCCATGGCCAAACCGCGTTTTCCACTCGCTTTTCGATCTTCACTTTTTGCCTTGCATTTCTGACAGTTTGGTGCCGCGCCTTCCAGGTAGATCTCCGTCTCTTCATCTGTCCACTCGTAATGTGCGGCACACATGGTGCACCGAAGCTTCTCCAGATCTCCATGGAGCTGGACAACTTCACATCCACCGTCGAAGTCGGTACCTTGGGCATGGCTGGGGCGAGGAACTTCGTAGTGTTTCTTCATGAACCGACGCTTGTTTCCCTTTCCACGCGTGAGATCCGTCACCAAGCCTTCCCGTCGCTCTAGTCCATCAATGTTTTGTGTGTAGCAGCGCATCAACCTCCCACCGTCACGAAGGACTCTGAGAAACTTGTGGACGGAGCTTGTAGCTTTGACTTCGTCGCGGATCTTTTGTCGTAGCGAAGCGATGAATCGGTAGAAGACGGTGGTGGATGCGGCGTTCTGAAACACTCGAGAGTCGAAAAGATCCTGTCCTCTCAACTTGGACGATGGACTCGCAGATGATCGGCGCGAAGATGTTGATGTTGTAGAAGTTTGCGATGAGGGGAAATCCTCCTCTTCTATCAGGGAAATGGTCCGCTTCAAGGTGGGAGTAGCAGGCTGTGAGGAGGGAGGAGTTGGTAGCATAGCTTGCTCTGGAATAATATTGTATAGTCCATCCTTGGAACGGAAATCCTGCGAGTCTTATTAGAGCGCATTCTTTGACGCGTGTTTTCAGGCGAGCTCACCGGTATGCCGCAGCTTGTACTGATTCCTGCACCAGTAACGACGATTACCTTGTGCGAACCTGCGAGAACATCGGCGATCTCCTGTAGCTGTCGCTCGTCTGTGCTTCTGATGTCCTGCAGGACCATGATGGCGGTGAACGTGTGGAAGCCAGTTTGAGTTGTACAAAGCAAGTACGGATGGTTTGTTTCAAAGTGGTTGAGAAGAATGGTAAGTAGTAGGCGTTGGAAATGGAGTGTGGAAGCTATTCATGGGCTGGTAGAAGGTGGAATCGCGTCAGGTTCGCGTGTTAGGGGATGTCATTCGCATTCACGCTGGAGGGTGGGGACGAACGCGTTCCGGGAAGAACTTGAATGGGAGGAAGTGCACAAAATGAATATGCGTGAAGGTTATCTGCAAACGGTGGGAAGGCTGTTGGACGGAACGAGAACGAGAACGTGAAGAAACAGGTAGAGAATAACCAACAAGACACGATGATAACTGTTGTATTATTATTATTGAGTGGTGCCTCCCGGAGGACCTCTGTTGTTTACCTCCAGAGATCGAGCTGCTGCACGAAACGTGAAAGCGGGTGATCGACCGCTAACGATTAGCTTCCATTTAAGCTTGTTGTTTCTCCTGCCAATAACCATCAGGTCCCTCCTCACGCCTTGATTCTGCCCCTTGCATGGATCATCTCTTGTCTGTTCAAGTTGGATAAAGAGAGAATAGTTATACCGGCCTTGAATTGCACGTTGCTGTCACCTCGTGTCAAAAGACATGTTGCCGTGAGTTTCCCACTCGGATTGGTAGGGAGCAGACCATCCTTGCATCTCCACGACAGTCTTTCTCATGACATGTGGACGTTTGCGGAGAGGTTCACTCTTCTCCTCTTGCATGGCATTCTCAGGCTCGATTCCAAGAACCTGGAGCAACCGGAATTCCTCTTGTTCTCTCACAACTTGGTCGATCTCCTCCATATACTCATCGGTCGCGGCTTCGAGCGCCTCAGCTCGCTTTCGTTTTGAAGTGGTGATCAATGTGGGAGGCGAGCTTTCGGAATCGCTGTCATTGCTCTCATTTTCGCTGCCGAATGGGTTATCCTCGTCCTCTTCGTCATCTCCTTTAGAATTCGCACTCTCATCTGCCAATTTGGAGACCTTGGCGTGCTTTTTGATTGCTAGCGAAACCATTTCTTCGTCCGAGCTTTCGCTCTGCCCCGTCTGCTCAGACATCTCGGACATTTCAGACATGACAGACAGTGATCTTCCACGATTTCTTTCCGACAGTATTGCCTCCAGTTTGTCATAGCTCATGACCGCCTTCGGATTGAAGTGTACGGGGGCTGACTTCTTATGTACAACAAGTAATTTATTCCTTCTAGCCATTCGCACCCAGTAAGCCCACAGGTCATTCTTGAGATTCAATACATCAACAGCGGCACTCACATCCTCTTGCCTGACGTGATGCGGGGGTTTGTGTGAGATGGTACTCGTCGATCGGATTCGCGATTTTGCCAGAAAAATCACTGACTGAATCAGCCTCTGTAGATAACTGACAATAAGTTCGTGCAAATCTGTGAGGGTGTCCATCGTTATGCTAGGACGCTCATCATTTTCTGCAAGGTCATGCCATGTCTCGCCGGAGCCTTGGTTCATGAAGAAGGTCTCACTGAGATTCAGAAATGACGAGACATGAAAGAATCGAGTGCTGTCAGCGAGTGGTGGCTGTTCATCACTGCTGTCTTCTGTAAGATCATCTGAAAGATCAGCTTTATCAGCCTTTTCATCGAGTTCCGAAGCAACGCGATGGTCGATGAGCCAGGACTTATTATTGCGATGGCCCGCTGTGAAGTCAAAATTGTCTTGAAAGGCGGAAAGGGCAGCAGCGGCCTTGTCTAGGACTTGCTCGCAATCACTGCCAATTTCAATGGCAGCAGGAATTTCAACATGAGAGATGTTGTGAGTGCGAGGTTCAAAAAGCTGTCGATCGGTTTCCTTCTGGTTGAGCAAGCTAAGGTATGCAGAGACCTCAGGCTCTGATTTTGTTCCCACAAGCTCAGCAATGGCCTTCACATTACGACATCCTTTACTGTCAAGGGCCTTGTACAACCTTGTCTTCTCTGAAGGTCGCCAGGAAATCACACCCAGCTGTGTGGGCTGGAATTCAGGGGTCCCATCATCTCCGGTGGAATTTTCCCAAACTTGCTTGAAGATTTCCAGGTATCGGTCGTTATAATCCTGGCTGTATCGATTCCATTTTCTTTCGTAAAATGGTTGCAGTGACGGTGACTTGAATTCGGATCTCGTCAAACACGGCTGGTCATTTTCATCGGAATCTGATCGAGCAATATGGCCATCATGGGCCTCGTTTCCGAGATCATGTGGCTCATCCCGGTCTGTCTCGTCGTCCATCGTGTCGCTCTGACTTCATTGACATTATAAAAACTGGACTTGGAGGGCTGAAATCCGTGTCGTGCTGAGACATCTCATTGGCGTTCAGACATCAAGCTCATAAGAGTGGCTTTGATAGAGAACACGAAGGTTTCCTCTAGACATGGATTGATGGAATGGGGACTTGGAGACCTCGTTTGATAACCCAACCCTCGTCTCGGCACTGATTTGAAAAGTGAAACGATGGTACGATGAAAATCCGCCTTGTGCTGGCTTTGGGAAAGCGTTGGTCATTTGAAACAAGTTCTTGGCACGGTAAGATTAGGTCATTCATTCACGTCTCTTCACAACTCCTTCTTAGGGAGTTGATTCAACCAGGCCTTCATAGAGTGAGGGATAGTACCTGGAGAGATTTACGTAACATCGAGCTACAGCATAAGCATTGCCATGGTCGGTTGTGCTACTCAGAATCCTGGTAACGAGCGTTGAGATTGCTGATGAGAAGGTCGATCGGGGGACGCGTCATAGCATCACAAACCTGGACTATGCGAGCTGAAAAGCACCAACAGTGTAGAGGGTGCCCGTGTCTACAACTCTTGATGAGACATATTTCAAGGTTCAATAGTAGGTCAACGTGTTGCATTGAGACTCTAAGGCATCCTGCGCCTTCCTCCCGTTCCTTCAAAGCTGCGCCTCAGAATTCCTACCGTCATACCACAAGCACGTACAATATCTCAGGCAATGCTTCACTCCGCCCCCACTACCCATCTGGATTAACGACTTTTTCAACGCGGAGCTTCTAATCTTCAGGCATCCCTCGTCAATCTCCCTTCAACTTTGTAAGGTGGACCGTGCTTATCCAAATTGACTCTCATCCAGATTCACCAAAGCACGTCTGAGGATCCCGACTTCGAGCATGATGACATAAATATTTAACCACGGTCGATTCCCTCAAGTGCCTTAGTATTCAAGTCAGCACACCTCTTCAAATTCATCATCATGGGTTACACTAAGCGTTTCTTTGCCATTAGCTACATTACTGTCGCATTCTCACTCGCTGTCGGACTGACTGTCCCACTGTCGCAAAGGCATGATGGTCATCAACATACAGCACGTGCTACATGCTCTCCAAGACCTTCTGGCCTCAAGCTACCTGCGCCTGGTGACACCTGGAACTATGTGCTTCACAACCCTATCGCGAACCCATCAAAGATCGACACCACGATCGCTGTGTGGGGAATCGACCTCTTTGACAATACCGCAGCTACAATCTCCACCATGAAGGGCAAAGGTGCCAATGTCATCTGCTACTTTTCTGCAGGAAGTTATGAAGACTGGCGAACAGATGCATCCAAGTTCATCATCGACGATCTTGGGAACGAACTTGATGGCTGGCCGGGCGAGAGATGGGCCGACATTCGCATCAAGAATGTTCGAGATATCATGATATCCCGCTTAGACCTCGCAAAGTCAAAGGGTTGTAACGGTGTGGACCCGGACAATATTGACGGCTTCAACAATGACAACGGACTGAATCTTAAGGAAGCCGATTCCGTCGACTACGTCACTTTCCTTGCCAACGAGGCTCACAAACGTGGCCTCACCATTTCGTTGAAGAATGCTGCCTCAATTATTCCAGATGTCATTGATTGTGTCGATTTCAGCGTCAATGAACAATGTCATCAATACACTGAATGCAACGACTTTGCTACGTTTATCAAGCACAAAAAGCCTGTTTTCCAGGTTGAGTACCCCAAAGGAGATGAGGTCAACAACGACAAGCCAGTCTCTGATTCGGTGAAGAAGAGCATCTGCAAAGATCCCACTTCTGCAGGCTTTTCCACAATCATCAAAAACATGAACCTGGACAATTGGATTCAGAAGTGCTAAGAACGCACTTTGAATTGATTGGGAGGGTCAGCTGTGATAACCTGAAGCCACTACAAACTATCCAGCTCTGTTGGTTCTTCGAAAATCAGTTTGACTTAGCGCAACTGATCAGAGTGTCAATATGACCACGAAGCCTCAATAAGACCATATATTTGCAAGCAGACATGATGAGTTTGCATCCCATATGAAATGGAATATATGACGTTCCACCAGCCTCAGCCCGTTTCTGACTGTTGCTGACTGCGGCACTAGAACTCATTCTGGCGTCCAGCATTGACGCGATGGTGGAATCAAGTCTTCTTGTGAACCTGAACCGCACAGGCGTTAGCCTCGATGATTGGCTTAGCTGATGAGGACCGATGGGCGCAACCTGAGACTAAACACGAGGTTTTGTTGAGCCCAGAGTAACCGGTCAACTTGTTAATATAACATTCTTGTATATATTTCTATACCACTTTCATCTTCGATTCTACCCGCAGTCAATCAGAGGACTGCAGCTTTGTCAATAGGCGGACGATTTTCTTGATGGCAGCAAGGCCATGGATAGGACCGTTTGGCCGGCAACTAGGAATTGTTTCCAGCTACAAAGGCCATACATGCATATTCAATAGCCTTGGTTCTTCCCATGGTCACGAATCGTTGAAATCACTTTGCTCCTATTCCCTGATGAGACATGCAATCGTTCGTCCTCAAGCATATGGACGTAAACGAGGACGCTTGGTTTTACTGATTAGTGGAAAGGAAAGTGAAGAACGGCAGCATCCTCGAGGTCGAGCAAATTCCCCAAGATCGGTCGTTTCCAAGATCGAGTTCGATGGCCTGCATGATTGATTGTGTTGCAGGAGCTTGCAGTGGTGTCCCGAATGTTGATGACAGGACCATGCTTTACGAACGCATTGAGAGGGCTGGACTTCCGGGGTAGGCTAGCTAGACCGCCAGCTTCCATGACCCAACACCTCATTATGAGAGACCAGCCTTGAATTGATGTCTATCCATCCCGTATGGCGTCGGGTCATGAACTTTGGAGGATCAACTGAATCAGGAAAGATGACCTACCCATTGTGGTCGCCCGTCTTTGAATCCGTAGCGCTCTCCCGCAACGCAATCCGAACCTCGATCAAGGACAGGCTACTGTTCCTCCCCTTTCTCAATCTCGTCGGGTCATGAAACTCAAAGGATCGGCTCAATGAGGAGATATAGCTCGCCCATTGTGGTCGCGTTGCCATAGGGCTTGACTTCCGCAGTGACCTCCCGCACCACATTCTGTTCGTTCACAAACGTTCCTGCTGTGGACTCTGTGATCCGCAGCGACCTCTGGCATCACGATCTGTTTCTTCATTACCCTTTTGCCGGAAGTCCTGGCCAACGTAGCGACCTCCCACTGCACATTGTGTCTAACTATAGTTATCTAGTTTTAAGTCCTGACGTCCGCAGCAACCTCCTGCACTGCATTATATTAATGTGTAAGCACTTTACTAGCTAGTACTGCATCTGATATCCGTAATGGCCTCCCGCAACGCAATACTCTCCTTTACCGCAGTGGTCTCTTGCAATATAATAACCTTCTATAGCGCAGTGATCTCCCGCAACGCAGTGTTATTGCGCATATCTAGGTAATTTTGGACAGGGAGCTCAGCTGAGCTCTCACAGACAAATTCGAATAAGAGTATCTTGTCGTTAGATTCCATGCTAGTGTCATAGAATATTACCTTCCGTAGTGGCCTCCCGCAACGTAATGAAAGGACACCATACTATTGAATGCTGTGATCCTCTTCACCAACATCACTTATTATCGTCTGGGAGTATGTGGCGAGCAAATGGGAAGTTCCTTAGTGGTCACAGCCCCTATGGCAAGGCGCTGACCCCTATTCTACCGGCTCGGAAAGACTTTGTTTGCAGCGAGTTCCCGGCCTTTGTTAGCATCACATCATGTTAGATATCACATATCTACGTGTACTACAAGGCATAATTTTAACACAGAATGGACTTGAAACAATAGAAAGAAACCAGTGCTAACCCAAACAATGTTTTTCGATTTTCATACGGCACTCTAGCCGGCCCCGCAGGGACTTTGCTGTCAACAGACAGCCACACACACAAGAAAACAACACCAGCACACCACCACCACCCGCTCGAGAGTCGCACCGCCGGTTCTGAAGAGAAGCACCGCATGCAGAGGTCTCCTTCTAGTGGCCGTTGCGCCCTCCGCGTTGGATCCGGCGACGCAGGGCGGCCAACTCCAGCCGCGTCTCCTCGAGGAGGAGAGCGTTGGAGTCGGCGCGCAGCTGCGCCTCCATCCCCTCTGCTCGGAGCACTTGGGCCAGGTCGAAGAGACGCTGGGTCTGCATGCGGTGCAGCTCGACGGCGCCGACGGCCGCTCGGAGAGCACCCACCACCACGTCCTCGGCCAGCAACAGGCCCAGCCTCGCCCGCACGGCCGCACCGCTACCGCGCACCAGGGTCGTCGCCTCGATTTCATCGAGCACGTTGACCTCGTGGCCCACCTGGTGCAGGTAGTGGCGCGCCTGCTCCACCATCGCCCCCTCGGGCCCCTCCACCCTCTCCTCCTCCTCCTCCCCGTCCCCTTCAATGAAGTCGTCGGCGGCAGGGTTGTACGCCGGGAGGTCTTCCTCCTCCGGGACGGCGTACGCGCCCGCCGGCTCCATCACTGCTTCCTCCTGCTGCTCTTCTTCCTCGTCTTGATCACCGAACACGTCGGCCTCTGGCTCGTCTGCGGCGACGGCGGCCAGAGGAGGGTTTGGTTGTCCGTGTTCGGCGGACAAGGCGCGCAGGGATTCCGAACCTGCGACGCGGCGGAGAGTCGGAAGAGAGGGTGGAAGTGGTGGGGAGTTGAGACGAGGTCCGGATGGACCGAGACGGTGGGCTGTGTTTGCTGCATTGTTTTGCAAACGGTTGAAATGCCATAATGGCGATTGAGGTGCGCCGGGAGCTGTGGGAGCTGTGCGCACTGGACTTCCAGCTTCAGTGACGGTCGTACGTCTTTGTCGACGCGGACGGATTGTTGTCTGAGCATCTCTTGGAGATAGAGGTGCTATTGGAATTGACTGCTGAATTGGAGTTGTTGGACGGGGACCACTGTAGTCGGCTTGGCCGATGAGAGGTCTATCAGGTGTTGTGAATCTGTCCGACACAATAGTTGCCTGAGTGGGAGTGGTCGGAGTGGATATTTCATGATGCTGATCGTCATGCGTAACTTCAATAGTATGAGAAAATTGTGAGACTGGAAGAGAGGTGTCTGCTGCTTCAATGGGCGTTGCAGTGAGACGTGTGTTTGTTTCAACAGGAACTCTTGGTTCTGGATGAGCATGGTTTACACCTTCATTGTCGGTGAAATAAGTGATGCTATTTGTGGAAGACGGGGTATCTGGACGGTACGGAATAATGCTCCTGACATGGGTGGAATCTGCAATGAGACTTGAGTTGAGGTCTTCAGAATTTGATTCTGGCTGGGTATGGGTTACACCTTCAACGTTGGTGAAAGAAGAGAGGTCAATGACACGGGTAGGAGTATGTGGAAGATTGGGAAGAGGACTCGCAACTTCAGTGGATGTTGCAGTGTTGTTTGTGTCTTGGGTGGAATCTTCAGGAACACTTGGTCCCGAGTTGTTATTGTTTACACCTTCAATGTCGGCGTAGGAAGCGTTGATCAAGGTACTACCAGCTAAAAGAGGACGAGAAGTGTTCGCAATTTCAGTGGATACCGCCGTAATGTTTGAGAGTTCAGGATCACTTGGATCTGAGTTTTCAGTGTTCACAGCTTGATTTTCATTCACTGGAGAACTATCATCAGCTAGACTGAGATCATCTGAATGATTGTAAAGAGCCCATGCAACTTCAGTGTTTTCAATAGCAGCCTGAATTGCAGTAGAAGAATTTCCTGAATCTTCGTCTTGACTGTTGACGGGGTTGACAGCACGTGTGGATTGACTTGTGTTTGATGTTTCTGATTCGTCATCACCAGTGTACAAAGCTCGAGTCTGGTTTGTGGTCAACGCATTCGGAGCCGCAGGATGTTCAGTGTCGACTGTGTCAGAGATGGAAGAAATCTCAGGACTATCAGTGACTGTTGGGTTTGGAGTTTCAAGATCTGTACCGACGTCTTGAGTGACCTGGGTTGTGGGAGAAGAAGTCAGAACCACAGGATAACGAGGATTGCTAGAGATGGAAGGACTCTCAGGGTATGCAATACCTGTTGTGTTTGAAGCTTCGCGAGTATCCGTGGTCGAAGCTTGCATGTTCATAGAAGAAGTCTCAGGGTGGCTATTGACAACGCCAGAGGTCGAAGATGGTTCAGGAAGATGAGTGACATTCAAATCTTGCAGTTCGCGCAAGTGATTTTCCAGGACGAGATGGTCCAATGCCGAGCTTTCCAATGCTAAATTTCCTTCGCTTGAAGTCGGAGTGTTTTGAGGAGCATTAGGTGCAGGGGAATGTTGGACTTCGACTTCGTCAGGGTCAGAGATGGAAGAAGTCTCGGATTCGAATTCGACTCCAGGCAAGTCAGTTGCAACAACAAGGAGAGTGTTATGTTCTTGAAAGACCTCGATAGCTGCTGCAGGCCCTTGCAGAAGTTGAAGACCTTGAACGCCTAAAAGCTCGAAATCCCGAAGAGTGACGTTATGTCCAGCAGGACGAAGTCGACTCAATTCAGGGAGTTGTGGTTGTTGCGGGATTCGAGGAATATCAACGCCCAGGCGAGATCCAGTGACGATTTCAAGGTCTTCAATCTGTATACGAGACTCGTTCTGGTCTCGTTGACGACGTGCGATACGCTCGTTTCTTCGGGCATAGAATTCTTCAAACCATTCTCGACTACGTTCGCGTTCGAAGGACTCAAGTTCTTGAAGGCGAGCTTGAATATTGGAGTGTCCTTGACGTGGACGCTGACGAGGATTTTGAGAATCGATCTGGCGTTCAAGATTCTGTCGAAGTTCCGAACGTCGCAGTACCAAGTGTTGATTCGCGTCCAATGGATCTTCAGTTTCCGGAGCTTGGGCTTCAGATTCTTCAGACTCAGGCTCGGAGTCAGCCCCTTCGGGAGGAGAGAGAGGTCGATCTTCACGAGCGTGTTGATTGATGCGTTCTTGCTCGAGACGAGCCCGCTCTTCAAGATCCTCAATTGCTGCAAGTCGAGCCTGATGAGTATTGGGATTAGGATGTCGACGTGTATATTCTTCGGTTTCTGTAATGTCCACACGAATTCCTGGGGTCACAGGTTGAGGAACTTCAACTCCTGTACGATGAGCAGCATAGAGAGCTTCGAGACGCGCAGAGATCACAACGGTATCGTCTGGATCACTATCAGGGGATTCCGAATGGCGAGTGCTTTGCTCACTGTTGTCGCTGTCATTCTGATGGATGTGGACTTCAGGATTAGATTGTTCTCTGTCAGTTGTGGATTGAGGTCTTTCAAGATTGAGACAACGGTCTTGTGCCTGCCAGTAGTTTACACCGCCTCTGATGTAAATGCCTTCGTCTGAGCTTTCAGAGTCTAAACTCTCAGAATCCGAACTGTTTGTTGAAACAACACTTTGCTGCTGAAGATCGTGGTTGACCACGACAGGTGCTTGAAGTGCAGGGGTGTTTGACGTAGCAACAGCACGCTGGGTATGCTGGAGATGATTGTTCCTGAATGAGACAGAGTTCTGAGGCTCAGTAGTATCTGATGAAGCAACACCGTTGTGATTCAAGTTGCTATTGTCGTTGTTGTGGGCTCGGTGAGGGGAGAAACTTTCAGCCGCGTTGGAAGTTCTAGTGAGGAATGATGATCCAGAAGTGAGACGACGAAGAAAACGACGACCACGGCGATTGCGGACAACTTGTTCAGCATTGGCTTCTGGGGTCACGCCGTTAACAATAGGATATTGCTGCTCGGCGTCTCCACGTGCTCTGAAGAGTCTGGTAAAAGCAGCGTTGCGGACAAGCCGCGGACGTGGACGAGCAGTAATGCCATTGACGAGATGAGAGTTGTCAGTGTTGTCTTCAGCAGCACGGATTTCGGCGTTCTCGGCGTGTCTGGTAGCAAAGTGGCCTCTCTCAGGGCCAAGATGGTACACTTGTTGGCGAAGATCAGCGAGATTTGTGAATCTTGAAGTGCGAGCAATTGTCGGAAAGTCCTCAATCGAGGACGCAAGCCGGGGTGTGCTATTGGACGAAGACGAGGAGGATGCGCTGGTGCTGTTGTCGTGATATCCGTTCACTCCTTGATGTCTGCCGTTGAGGAAAGTAACAGGGTCACTCTCACCCGCAGGGGTTTGGTGATTCGCCATGATGAGGGGCTCTCTGGCGCCGAGGACGCCGAGACAAGGGGTTCAACAATGACGAGGACAATAAAGGACAAGGTGGTAATCGCGTGCGATGAAAGAAAACAAGGAATACGACGTTGTAACGACGATGTTGGACGGTGGTGGTTGGTAGAGAAGTTTTGGTCGCGACGGAGAAGTGAGAAAGGAAAATAAACAACGGATGCGACTAGTTGTCACTTTACTCACTCTGAATTCTGCTGGACTTCTGGCCATACATTCACTACTTTACCTGGGATGCGATCTGATATCAGGCCAGCCTTGTTCCCCGAGCCTCGTAGCCTCGTGGGGGCTTTCAGCCTCGTCGGACCCAGCGCAACAACAAATTCCCGACACTTTGTGCTTCGGTAAATACTAACACGTGAGCGACAGGGACTAGACATGTCAGCCAGGAGATAAATGTAAATATTCAACACAGAGAAAGGAGTAGAACAGAACAAGGAAGATAAATAAGTAGGTAAAAAGCCTGGCTGAATGCCGAGAGTGTGCGCATGAGGCATACCATACAAAATCTAGGACGCCTGCTCCATCTCTATAATCAAAAAAAAGGTCGTCGCGACAAATGATAAACTGTCGCAGCATCGTAAATCTTTTGTCGGGACGCGGGTATCAAACCTCACCCGCGTCGTGTAGATAGCTCAATATGTTGTACTGGGAAGCTGAGGCCTCAACCATCATACCATTACATATTGAGAAGGCTCATCTGCCGCTTCATGGGGCTTGCAGCATGATCACCGTCCTCACTAGGGCCAATGCCACTGTCAGTGCCCCCGACGGGACTCGAATCAATGTCGATGTCCCATTTGTCGCCTCCATTGGCGTTTTCTTCTTCGTCTCCTTCATCCCACCCCTTCTGAACAGCACCTCGAACATTCCACCTCAGGGCTCTTTGGACGCTCTCCACCCATTCGTTTGTGCCAGTCATGACTGTGGGGAAAGGATATTGCGAAGCCTCAAGGGTTACATAATCTCCCTGCTTCAGTTCGATTCGTCCCTTTCCATCGAAAGAGCAGTAGGCCGAAGAACGGGACTTGGTTGGAACGGCAATACGCAATGCCAAAGTATCTGAAAGGACCATAGGTCGGAAGGAAAGCGTGTGAGGACAAATTGGCGTCAGGAGAATGGCAGGAATAGAAGGATGGATCAATGATCCACCCGCTGAAAGTGAATAGGCCGTTGACCCTGTAGGTGTGGAGAAAATACATCCATCAGCCTGTACAATGGTCAACAGCTCATCATCACCGTAAAGCTCAAGATTCGAAACGTATGATGATGGGCCGCGGTCAATGACCAATTCGTTCAGAACTTCAAACTGCTCTCCTTCTTCCACGGCGCCCTTCTCAGCATTGGGCGATTTGTCAGCTCTCCAAACCGTGCAAGTGAAACGCATACGAAGATTCACTCGCATACCCGCGTCTCCCATGACACGGTCGAGTTGCTCCTTGTACTTGTCAAACTCAAAGTTGGTGAGGAAACCCAGACTTCCCAGGGAAAATGACAAGACCGGTGGTACCACTCTTTGGAATAGCCAAGAAGTGAACAACACTGTACCGTCGCCGCCCAAAGTGAGCACGAGATCGAACTTTTCGGGCGATGACCAACACAAGTCGGGAGTCCAGTATTTCAACATCTTCTGGAATCGAGGTTCCTTCTTCAGCAGACCTGCAGCATCAAATCTCTGAGAATGACGTAACTTGGCATCGACATAGACATTGACACCCAAGTCGCTCCCATATCTGGGTGTCGATAGTAACCACTCTGCCAGTTCACGGGTCATGTGCACAAGACTGTTGTCGCGAGCCTTAGTCACGATCATAATGTTGCGCACAGCACGCTTTAGAGGTTTCCGCTGCAATTGTTTCGAGACTTCGCGCACTCCTGTCGCAGTCTGCATCAATCGAGAGTGGGAGTATTCGTCTTCAGCGATCTCTTCCAAAACCTTCTGAATATCTACAATGCCCTCGAATCTTTGATGGAAGAAGCAGGGAGACCGAAGGAAACTGGTCGAGGTGGGAGAATAGCCGGATATCGAACTAAATCCACCAAATGCGGCAGTCTGGCATACCGATGACGAACCGTCGTTCTGTGTGTCTGCCTCGGGTTCAGTGGCCAGGGTTTTGAAAACAGCAGCGCCCAAGGGCGCAGTATTGGGTCCCATGCTGGGCCGACGAGATGCTAAGGCCTTGAGAATCGTCTGTCTTGGAATATCCGTCGATTTATTGTTTCTATGACGAGACAGGTAGGGCTTTGGAAGGTGCAGAGGTTTGGGGACAGGAACAGAAGGATGGTGAGCAGTATATGACTTTAAGACGGAAGTGCTGACTGGGTTGTTTGCTAGGTTGAGTGCAGTATTCAAAGCGGTCTCGTGCAATGTATTGACGTCGGACTCGTTGAGGTGATGGACATGGTGGGAGTCGTCATCGGCGTGAAGGGGGTCTAGGTGTTGGGCATATTGGCGCAGGATGGATTCTCCCACGGACACAGAGGCCTTTGAATTCAAGTTGGCCATGCCATGTGTGAGCAGAGGGCCGGGATTATCAAGTTCTGGAGTCGGAGGGGAGAAGGCACTGGCACTGGAACTAGCGGCCTCGGAAGTGGTGGGTGAGGATAATGTGGAGTTCAAGTTGGTGTGCTGAACGTGAAGGGCCATGTTGAGGAAGTGGAAAAATGCTGGATCTTGTGATGCCGAGGATGGTGGCCGAACTGGTGGATGGCTTCTGCGCCTGCCGGACGAATCGTAGGCGGGACGGCGGGCGAGGTTGACCGCCGATGGTGACGTTGTTTAGGCTTCCAGCGCCCAAGAATAGCGGGAAATCGTGATCCGTCTCGCCCGGAGTTAAGCCTCTGGGTGCAACAAAGTCCCCGGGTGTGATAGCTGGGTGATTACTCGTACTCGGTACTCGTCAAAAATCGACCACAATGCTCAGAAATGCACAGAGATCGCTGATCAGTCAACCCAGAAATGCTCGCTTGCTGACAGAGAATAATGCAACACACCGAAACAAAAAAAAAGAAACGAAATCCGAATGGACGAAAGACCTGCAGCCAGCTGCTCGGTTCTGCTTGTGATCACAATTGGGTTGAATTGGCTGACACTCCTCTCCCTTTCGCAATGTGCCATACCTGAAGTTCTTGACTATTAATACTCTCGGGCTTGGAGTACCAAGTACTTCGTCCCGTGCACATGCCCTTCCAGTGAGTCCAGTAGCGAAATGCCTGTGGATGTTGAAGTGGATTGTCCCCATCAAGTTTGAGGTTCAGGAACAAGGGGAAACCGCAAAGGCTCGGGCCCCGGGGGGGTTGCATTTACGCCCCCGATCCGATTTTCTGGCTATGCCTTCTGTGCACTGTGAGACAACACGTGGTGGAGAAAGTCTACGCGTAGCGGTCGGTTCTGCTGGGCCCCCTGGACATCTGGGCATCTCGACCGCCCAAAGACCGCCTAAGATCGACCATAGACAATCCTTATCAACGCCCAGCCTCCCCCTATTATCCCCTCTATCGGTGCCCCTTCTCAGCACCAACGCCATTAGCCGCCCTTTTTTGGTGATCCGAGGCATCTGGGTGAGGTGGATTTGTCTCATCTTGGTGTTTCTCATGCAAAACTGGTAACATCCTCAGTCCTGTCGCCATCTTTCATCCTTAATCACCCGCTCTTCCAGAGCTTTTCTGATCACATCTAGCATACAGATAACCGAGCTCTCACTGGCTGCGCTTCCATTCATGGCAACATCGCCGTTTTGTTTGTTGTTATTCTTGGATTTGTTGACGTCTGAAGTACCCAGGACCGCTGACCTGGCAACCTCTTCTGCTAGGGTCCAGTCCTTTGGTTTGAAGTTACCCTCACTTTCCATGAGAACTGTTTTCCCATCACTGGTGAAAGCGAAAACGTGAAGACTGGTACTGCTCTTTCGCTGTGTGACGTTTGGGTGAACGATCAACTGGCCCTGGTGATCAATTGCAACGAGTGCTGCTCCCGCAACCGTCCTCATCTGAACTCCTGCATCGACACATCCCAAAACCGCAGCATTGATGGCAGATGGCAAGATATCGAGATACGTCTCACCCTGACCACCTCCCTTCATGCCACCGGGTAACGACTCGTCGCTCTGAACACCCACCACTTGAAGAGTGGCTTGCAACATCGTTCGAGGCGTCTCCTCTCCAAGAACGAGACATTGCAGTGTTCTCTTGACAAGCTGTTCCACGTGTCGTTCTTTAACCATGCCTGCGCCATTGTGCGGGCGGAGATTGACATCAATCAATGTAGTTTCAGGGATTTCATTGCTTCGAAGTGGCACCTCCACTGGGTAATTGACACCGGCAATGATCTTGTAGGTGCTCCCTGGTTCTGTGTAGGTTGCTGAGCCATCTGCATTTGACAGTGTATGTAACACTGCCTGTGGAGGCCCATTGTAGATTGCAGCCGCCATGGTATCAGGCGATGTGATATTCAACCTGCCAGTGTGATGATTGAAGTGATACCCTAAGCGGCATTAAGATGCAGGGCCGATGAATTTCTCATTGGATCTTGGCACCCATAGAAACAGGCTTGGCGACATGCGAGGCTCTGGTGTTTAGGAGGCCACCGTTAGCAAGCACAGCATGAGTTTCATCACTATGCCTATTCCGCATACGAAGAAGTCGAGAAGACAGGAGTACCGTGAATAGAGATTTTACCTAATTCTACATGAAGCGTATGTTCTACAGCTTTTGCTTGGATCAGGAGTATGTGAAGTTCCGAATCCCCATATATGCAAAGACATCAATCAGGTAACGAGCGCATGACACCCTCAAAAGCCACCAGCGCCATTGCATTCGCGGGAAATGCACGTAGAAAACAAGGCAGAAACCCTCTCCAGTAACCCCTCCACCCAGACTCCCTGTACACAGTAACCGCCGCGTCCTTCCAATGTCTGAAGCGAGGGGTGCCATCTTTCAGTCCACCCCCTAAGGGATCCGTCATGATCCTCTGTTTGACCACGTCGGAGGGGTAAGAAGTGAGCCAGAACACTTGGGCTGACAGCCCTCCAGCCCAGAAATTGATGGCGGGAGTTGAGAGCGAGGTGCGTTCTTTGAAGGCACGCGAGAAGACATCATAACTGCCCCACCAGAAGAAAAAGAAAGATCGAAAGATCAGGGTCGCAAACAGTCCGTGGTACAGGCCCGGAACACCATGGGTTTTGAAAATTTTACGGCAGCAGTCAATCGGGCCTTTGTAGAGTCTCTCCGACTTTTTCGCTGCATATTGGATCTGTAATCTAGCCTTGACGTGTTCAACTGGAGCAGCAATGAAAGACACAGTTGAACCGGCCATCATGCCGGCGATTCCATGTCCAAAGGAAGGCAATGGTTGACTGGCCAGCTCTGCCACCGATTTCCCAGGCCAGAATGCAGGGTTCGAGAAGACAGACTCGTGGAGCAGCCTCCGGTATAGTGTGAGACTCCCCAGCATTACCGAGTCCATGGCCATCCAGCCTAGCAGAGGTGGTGTGGCGCCCTTGTAGAATCCACTGGCTCCCTCTTTTCTCAGTGTCTGCATAACGCAGTCTAACGGTCCCTTGAATTGCGCCACTTCGGAAGTCTGTAGGCGGACCTTTATCGTGTCGAAGGGATGACCGACCGACAATTTGGCGATGCCTGAGAACACACCTGCGACGAAGCCTTTATAGTTGCTTGCCAGTGATCTTTTGGCGGGTTTGATCTCGATATCGTGCTCGTCCAGGACGCGTGCATTTCCGGGAGATGTTGCGTCTGCACTTGTGCTCAGGTCACCTCCGGCACTGATTCTATCAGCGGACCGTTGAATTTCAGGAGTGTTTTGCATGACACTTACTGCTTGATTGTGGCTGACATTAGATGTCTGGTCCATATGGCCGTCTCTGCACGTTACCGCTCACTGAAACCCACCAGACGATCAGCGATCATGGGGGCGACGGTGTTCTCACACGTTATTTAGAACGGTATCGACGTCTTAGGGAATACAAATGGTGGAGGGAGCGGAGGAGAAGCACCCTCAGCGCGCACACTCTCGTGATTCTTTTTCGTGCCAAAGCACCGAAGATCGCCAGATCGGGGTTGGGCTTATCTCCCCGACGTTTGATGACGTCGTCGATTTGCTCCGAGCACGGTACATACCGAGAAACGAAAATTATTTGTTGAGGTGAGAACGTGCTTTGCAGGTGATTATTATTAGGAGGTACAAGAAAGAAGGTTACGGAACACAGACGACTACCGATTAAGGCCAGTCGTCAAAAATTTCAGACAATGTAGTCTCAACTCCTTTGAACCACAGGATTGTTAAAGAAACCATTTGTACTAAATACCAATTAAAGAAAACCCCCCAAAATGGCTACTGGAGGGCCCCCCAGCAGTCAAGGAGAAGCACCGAAAAAGGTCTGGACGACATTAATCACCAACACCAAATATCTATCTGGCCTTCTCACGCTAGATTATTCATTGAAAAAGTATGGATCGAAATATCCACTGGTGGCTCTTTACACCGACACTTTCCCTCCAGAGGGTCTTCAGGCGCTGAAGGCGCGCAACATTCTGGTCAAGGAGATTCCATATCTGTTGCCATCTGTGCCCAAGGAGTACACCAACGACCCTCGCTTCTATGACTGCTGGAGCAAACTCACCCCGTTCAGTCTCACCGAGTATGACCGGGTGGTTCAGCTGGACAGTGATATGATGGTGATGAAGAACATGGATGAGCTCATGACGCTGGAACTCGATGCACCGGAGCTGAACGGTGAAGGAAACAGAGTCTATGCGGCCAGTGTTGCATGTGCCTGCAATCCCTTGAAGAAACCCCATTATCCCACGGACTGGACACCCGAAAACTGTGCATTGACGAGTCAGCACAAAGATCCCGACAGTGCGCAAGTCAACGGCCCGGGATCTACTACTGGCATCGGTTTGCCCAACGGAGGACTGGTTGCTTGCAACCCCAGCAAAGGGACCTACGACAAGATTCTCGAGACGATGAAGGACGGCGGGTTGACTTCTTCCTACGATTTTGCCGACCAGAGTTTACTCGGTGAACGATTCCACGGGCGCTGGGTCAGTCTGCCATATGTCTACAATGCCCTCAAGACTCTGAGGTGGAAGGGCGTCCATGATGCGATCTGGCGGGATGACGAAGTCAAGAATATGCATTATATCTTGAGTCCTAAGCCCTGGGATGAGAAGTACGAGGATATTCAAGACGAAACTCACAAGTGGTGGCATGATGTGAACAATGAGAGGCTGAAGAAGGAGAAGGAGAATGGCATAGATGATGGATTTTGAACGACATTCAATATTTCTGGATAGAAAAGAGTTGGTCGAAGAAGGCGAACACAATCGTCGCTGTTGTTAGATGGGCGATTTCACCTTTACTATGGAATATTTAGACCGGCTATGCTCAGTGCTCTACGCCCTGGATATCAGTCATCAGTACCCGTGCCCCATTCTCCTACAACCTTTCTTCATATGATCGTCGATGGCATCCATCTTCGTATCTTCACTTCAAGTTGGGCTGCTCGCTTGGAGATTAGCCGAGTAGTTTGCGGCTCATCTAGCACATGATTTCTCAGAGTACTGTGTAATCTCTCCTCTTTTTTCTCGTTTCATCTCAGATACCATCTGGACCGCCCCTGAATCATGAACTTCAATGCCTAGCTAAGCTAATGGCATGTTCAATCGCGATCCCACTCGAGAGTAGTTGAGATATGCCTCCCAAAAATAAGCGAACAACGGGTAATGATTCGTTTAGCACGTTGAACTCGCAGATCCCGCCTTGATCTACAGTGGAAGAGGTTTCACTAGTCACAGATTTGCTTGTTTGGGTTATTGCCATTGCGGTGATTGCGAGGCGTCATCATAGTCAGCATCGTGGATGAAGGTTGAAAGACCACTTGTCACAGGTCTTTACATTCTGATCAACAGGAGGATTTCAGCCAAAGAATTGTCCCCAGCTCGATGCAACTCTTTGAGAAGTACTCGATATTGAGACTAGTGCTGCACCGAACCTCAACATCGGAGGATTAATGCCGTGGGCATGCACTGGCTATGCAAGTCATACAGATCGGTGTTCCAGATTGTTTCATCCTTCTCTCGCCAATTCTTCCCTGCAGCGTAGAGTTGTGAGCCAGCTTCAGATCAACCCAAAGCTAGGGTCAAGTGACACGATGAGCTGCCCTGAGTCCTGGCGTTGGTTGGTGGCCAGATTCCTTGACTCCATTGGCTGCATGTTTTGTGAAGGACAAAATCGCGCGATCTGCCACAAGATGAGTGTCAATGATAACACGTTTTTGACGTGCAAGAATAAAGGCCCATTTTGGTCGAGAATGGGGCAAACTTCAAACCTCGAGTCTCACAGGATGGAAGTTCATCTTACGGAAAACGTGGTGTCACTGGTGGGTATCCCGTGGACAACGTGCATGAGTTTCTTCCGGGTCACGAGTCAAGTTCATTCCTTCTTCTCATTGCCGTTGTCATGAGCTTTGAGTGCTGCTTCCTCATTGCACTTGGACCGCCCTGCTTGTCCCGTGACTCTGCATTCCCAATGAACCAGATGAGCTTGATTCTGTGGCTGTCATGAAGAACATGCGTTCATGCCCATTGCAGCAACCATTATTCAGCTGACCTGTTGAGTGGTAAACTCGCAGGTGTTGCTCTGGCGATGACAAGTCCAATTGGCTTTGCTGGAAATCGTCAAAAGAGAGTTCGCTTCCCAAACAACTTTGGCCGGCATAGCCGTGAAATCTTCATCAGCAACCTACTGCGTCCCTATCCGCAATGGCTGTTGTGTTCGCAACGGGCCGAGGCCTGGAAAGACATGGAGCCACCCCCATCTACTGGTGGAATTACTCCCGATTTCATCCCAAGGTAGGTCAAATATGGGTAAATGATAGGTGTTGAGAGAAATGTTTCTCCCAATGCTGCCGAAAGTGTCCGTTGTTGGGTGATGGATCCCAGTGCTACCAGTGCCACATGTGCTTGTCTACAACCTATGGGAAATCTCATCGAGAAAAGTCATGGAGAAATCATCCCACTGCTTTGGCGAGATCTTGGGAACCAACCGACTTCGCTCAACCTCAAGCTCCGAACTCCAGAACAATCCTTGGAAGTTTCTTGGGCTCGACTGCTGGGCTCAAAGTCACCTGTCAAGTCGTGGCTCGGTCAGCGTGGATAGACTCCCAATCCAATGGCTCTGTGCTACGTGGGTTGCGTAGAAGACACCAGATTCCCAATGATTAATCTGTAGTCCATCAAAGTTCGACCCACGCCGCCAGATCATTACTGAAAGGAATGCCGCAACTGGACTTCCCCGTTTGAACACAAACCCAATACGTCGCCCCAAGATCATCGTGGCTATCCAATGTCAGCTACAGTGATGGTGGGGCGAGGAACAGTGCAGACTGCAGACGGCAGACAGCCAAAAAGCGAAGGAAGAGAGCAAACGGGAGCCACAAGAAGCACCAGCCCGCCCAAACCAAAACTCCAAAGCCACCACACAGGCAAGAGGCACTACTCCGACCTAAAGTACTGACGAGGCAACTTTTCAAGCCGAGAGACCCCACCATCCAGCTGTGAAACTCGCTCTTACTCGCGGTGACCGGGAGAAATAGAGGCGACTGGCCAGTGATCGGTCACCATTAGCCGTCCTCTCTTACACTGGTCCATAACCCCTGCTTTGGGCGTTCAGGTCCGCCTTCTTGTGACACTAGGGTGCCTGCAAGATTCATGCCATTCCACACCATCATCAGCACCTTCACCGATGGATCATCAGCCTAGACTGCAACGATAGCTTCGAGCCATGCGTTTACCTTGCATACGTTGTCCTCCACGACTCGAGTCTGAGGCGAGATGGATTGGACTCTGCATCACTGGTACTGGCACACACTCGCATCTTGTCTCTTGCCTTTAGACCTGCCTTTCTCGTGTCAAGGTATCTTTAGCTCCCTTTCCTGCTCAATGTGCTCACTTTGACTTTGTAGCCCTGGTATGGGAAATATCTCAACTTCCAAATTGTCACCATCAGCGAGCATTTTCTCCCATTCATCACAATATCTATCACTCCACGAGCGCTTGCAAGCTACGAATATTCTACCCATATATTCCAGCATAATTATCTCTGTGTTTGTCTGCTTCCATCACCTGTCCTTCATATGCATGCTCCCTGTGGTCTTGTGGGACAGAAACTGTCACTCATGAACTACATTACCCTTCTGTAGCAAACCGGTCCAGGTCTTGGATGTACCTCGACGTCACAGTTGAGAACACTTTTGAGACCTATTTGCGTGACCTCTTTGTGTCTTCTATTCTGCACATGACAGTGTAATACTTGACTGTGGCCACATCGTGGACTTTTGTACACAAGTCTTCACCGCCATCTGGTACCTGAAGACCTCTGCTATACTTGTTGTGAAGCAACTCTTTACACCACATTGACTGGTGTTCGAACCAAAGATAAGAATTTCATACGATCCGCATCATCGCAACACAAACACAAAGCATCAAACAGTCTATCAAAGAAAAGTCTACACTTCTAGACCTTCGGACTTTTCATCTCTTGAGAGCAGAATGTGCGTACGCACCAAAACATCCTATGGTTGTGGGCACGAGTACAAGACGACCAACGATTGTAGATCGTCACGATGTACTGGTGTTGAGAAGTATCACTATCCTAGAGAAGGGGATTGCAAGGAGTGCAAACGTGGAGGTGTTGAGGTCACTCGAGGTAGAGAGGGTAAAGGTCGATATGCCCAAGCTATGATCAGGCGCACACAAGAGAAGGACAGATCTAGAACACGATCTCCTCTCGCCGAAATCTCTCACAATATTGAAACATTGACACTGGATGTTGGTGGGGGAATCAGTCCTTGGGGAGCGCCATCTCACAAAGAGAAGGATTGGGGTAGTCCTTCTCGAGTAAAAGCTGACAGAGCATGGTTGGAGGAGCATGGAGAGAGGAACGTTGACCTACAAACCATTCGAGAAAGCATGTCTTCCACAGCCTCTTCTTCTGACGAGGCATCTACTGCCATCTACTCACCGACCCGCCATGACAGACCCATGTACGACCATGATGAAAACCGCTCGTATCACGATTATGATGAAGATTACGATCGACGAAGGCACATGGATACCACAGAACGGAATCTTCAGATTGAGATTCGGAGTATCAATGATGACTATGAACGACGAAGTCGACGACCGACACATCATCGTCAGAGGCACGATAGCCAGGAAAGCTTCCACTCCATGCACAGTTCTCAGTCGTCTGGGCGCAGACTCAAGCCTGCCACAACGACTTACACAACATATGACTACTATGAGACTCGTGACTCAGCATATGGATCACTAGAGTCTCGAGGCTCCAACGGATACGAGGTCGCAAAGACTGAGCCATACATGTACTCACCACAGTCGCATACCTTGAAGCTGAAGGCACCTTCAACAACCGCTCACGGGGTCTATCACACTGGCTTCGGCATCAGCACCGGAGGAGGAGCAGTTGACATTGTCACACGCGCTCCTCACTATACCTACAGTCATCGACGATACTAACATTCGGAATTGACCGACTTGAAGGGACACTGGGCCACGGCTTTTGAACGCCAGCTCAAGTGAATCCATCTTCTACCATTATCATCACCCAGAAACATATCCAGGGGGGATTTTATTCAACACTTGTTCCAGTCAAGACAGGGATCAGACATATCATTTTACTTTACCAGTTGACAATGATGTCAGGGACATCAGGAGGATTTGGGAACCACATGGACAGGATGAGCACATTCAAGCTATCAGTTGGGACGGGAGTGACTTGGGAGGGGAACGGCCAGGATCATGTCAATCTACTTTGGAGTCTTAGTATGAGAGCGGCAGGCTATGCGTCCTTTCCAGCTTTGCTGTTTGATTCCGAGCGCTCACGCTCTGCTTCATTTCTTGTATGATGTTGGACGGCTTGGAGGTGACGGTTGATTTGGGGATTGGAAGAGAAGGTCAGGGAAGGAAAAGGCTCGTAGGTAGTCTGTATTCTAGCCAGGTGTGTATCTGTGTGAAATGGGATGTACTCGAACCATACTCTGATCCGAAGAATATCTAGTCTTGCTCCCTTACTTGAGAAGAACCCTTTCCTCGTTCTTTTCAAAATCAATAACTGCACAATGATACACCTCTACAGACTCAATTTGATCGACACTCGACCATCGAGAAACACAAAAATCTTCCCCACCACCCCTCCATCTCAAACCTGCTGATCTCTGACCCCCCACTGGCATCTCTACCAGTCCGTACCTGAATCTAAAACCTCGTGTCCAACCTATCACGAGTCACCTCTTCGCATCACAAAACCTCGGATCCAGGACCAATGACCAGGGGATGATCCGTATTCCCACGACCGGGACCTGCCCACCATCGTCAGAGGCGGTTGCTGTCCCTTTCACTTCCCCCGCAGAGAGAAACGGGCGGGCGGTTGGAAACAATCCAAATGTCGTGTCGTTGAAAAAAAACGCCCCCAAATCCTCCCCAATATTGCCCCAATCCCAGAAGTCCTCGGAACGCCTACTCGTAAATGACGCCTATCACACAATCGTGGTGGGCATGGGGCGGCACGCTCGGGCGTACCGTCCACTGCCCGCCCCATCCGCCGTGAAGTGCCCCGCACTGAACTTTCAGAAAGCCTGAAGCCCTGAGCAAGGTAGCCATCGTGAACCCTACCTACCTACTCTACCTACCTCGAAGGTACCTTGTCCTGGTCCTGGTCCCGGTCCGAATGTGATTCGGGTCAACGACGTCCAGGCACACATCTCCCTTTCACACCATCTATTGTTACTGGGCTAGCTAGCACTGCAAGCTGTGGTTGGAAACATCACAATCTGTCAAGCTTCGTCATTCGTGCTTCGTATGACGCCCTGCCTCTTTCTCTCTCTTAGACTCTGTGCATGTATGTCAGCCTCACCTCACCTCACCATGCTATTCCATCTCGTAGTAACCTCACGCATGGCTCGAGATGCGAGAGTCAGCCGGAGATTCGGACTTCAAACATACAGAAGTTTAGGTTTAGGGACTGTAGGAAGGAAGGAAGGACGGATACAAAGAGGGTAAACGAGATGGTGCCGTCTCTACATAGCAAACGACGAGGCGTGACCTGTAGCCATCCCACTACTCAACTACGACGTACGGTACCAGAGATCAGGTGCATTGGCAACCAGACCGCCCTCCCGCCGGCTCACCTAGTTGACTAGATCCCACGGGATCGGAACATCCATTTACTCTAGTTAGTAGGCAAAGGTCACATATCGGGATCACGATCAGGATGAGGAATGCCGTGGGCGCGTGAGGCTGAGCGAGTACTCTATATCACGCCGGGACGGACGAGAAGAAGAGGAGGGAAGGGTTTCTGGTTCCTTTCACGGATTTGGGGCGCTTAGTGTACGTCAGGTGCGACAGGTAGGTAGGTACAGTAGGTAGGTATTTTTATTTCCCTTGCGCATCGCCGGTGGTAAGTACCTACTTAGTGCAGGTCATGTAGATGTGGACATACCCCAGAGTAGAGTAGAGAAGAGAACGGCATCGAGGCCCAGCAGGGGACGGGAGACAGAGAAGAGAGAAACGTCAAGAGTATCCTTGTACATCTACATCGGATTTCGTGCATGTCTCTACGAATAAACTTGTACCCTCTGACCGGTGAGAGCCTGACGACCTGAAACTTAAAGGTATACTAGGTATCCCGCTTGTTGCCCCGCGGCCCAAGGTTTTAACCCTCTGCCATTTCGGGATCGCTCGTGAAGTTCAGCCTTAAAGTGGCCATTGGATACGATGGGAGGTCGCTACGTCTGTACTTTCCACTCCTGCCCGAATGCACGCGTGACCGAGGAGCGATGCAAGGTTCATAGTTGTAGTTGACCTTCTACATCCATTCACGGAACCGCCCGCCCAGCGTGGGAGAGGATAGTATCATACCCCACAGCCTTACTATCCTGGGACACAGAGAGCACACTATTAGGTCCAGCCTAACCGACCTCGTATGATTCATCAGCCGGTGAGGCTACGATGGGACATAGCATGGCAAGAAAGGACATGAATTGCCCTGTGAGTCTGCCTTTTCCTCCTCCCTCGGCACTGGATACAGGCCGACAGCATCCCGAAGAATTCATGCTCCGATGATGAGGCTATGTTTTAGAACGGCGAGGCGTGCTCTGCCGTGTGGGAAAAGTACCGTGCTTGCATATATAGTCATATCGTAGCCGAAGCGAAGATTGTGAAGTTGGAGGAGAAGGGGAGATGGAGGGCGCACGCTTGCAAGTCCAAACGAATGGCATGCCTGACGAGGAGCGTGATTGGGGCAAGATGCTGACGGAGTCGGATGCGGTTGCTTAGAGTCAAGTCAGGTCATGTCCTTTGATGCTGAAGGCTTTGGTAGTCTCTATGAGGTCAGCCTTGGTGGCCGGGTGAGCCTGAGCAGGGCGATTGAGGGCTTGCAGCACTATTCTTAGATACCCTGGGCTTGGAGCATACTCAGCCGAGGAGATGGACGGTCTGATTGTCACAAGTTCTGAAGAGCATTCCCAAAGTAATCAAGCGGAGAGGCATCGGATGTATCTGGTAAGGAGAATCATTCATTTCTTAGTATTAAGGCTGGCAAGGACCTGTGTCGAAAGAACCCGAGACACCACTGCATACATAGTTAGGAACTCGCATTACCGTGCTCAGCCAGCACACATTAACACCATTTCTAGACTGCACATGGCCACTGTCGTGAATTAAAATCGGCGTTGATTGCCATTTCGTATAAGCACCCAGGATTGCTTTGAAACCGCGTCGAGTTACGCTGCTCTGCTTCCCGCACATTGCATCCCTTCTTCGGATGTCTCGCTCGTCTCGATCTCTCTGCGGGTTGTGAACCTGTTCAATCTAATTCGTAAGTCTTCTGAAAGTATTTGACAGCCTCGCGGGACAGGTTGCGGGAAGGACAGGCAAGGCGGTCTGGCACGCAAGGCTGAACCCAACCGTTGCTCCCGAACAACCTCACCTGCCCCACAACAAGCCGACGAGGACTGTGAACACTTTCAATCCTCACACGAACTCCTTCTCCTTGACACCATCCAAACCAGCCTGTGTACTGGCAATACTGTCATCGTCCTTCCACAACTTCTGGCCCTTCTCATTGAACACCTTGACGGGAGGATGGTTCTTGCTGATCTGACTCTCGACCTTCAACTTGATCTGCTGCTTCTCATCGTTCCAGATCTTGGCCCAATCGGCGATCTTGCCGTCCACGACGTCAGCCTCAGGAACCCACTTGCTGGAAGGGCCCATCTTGACGGCCGAGCCGAGCTTTGCCACACCGTGTCCGATCGCACGCACCGTGAGGCCTGCGCCGCTGATGGCCAGCCCGATGCCGCGGAACGGCGCTTTGGCGATTCTAACGCGCTTGCGCTCCTTGATCTCGACCATGGGCATCCGCGGCAGGGCTCGCCGGTCGCCCGGTTGCAGTGCCAGACACCAGTCCCACGTGTATTGGCTGCTGGTGCCGCGGTATTGGAAGTAGAAGTTGGCCTGCAATGGATATGTGTTAGTGTCTGCCTGTCTTCCATCAAACGTGATGGGATTCATGCTCACCACGCCAGTTCTGTCTGCCACACTCCAAGTCAGTTTCTGGTCGGAAGTGACCACGGGTCGAGTGAGGACGATAGCGACGAATTGGATCTTGGCATCCTTTGGATGAAGTCTGCTGTCACTGATGGGGCAATAGGCGTAGTCGGGGAAAGACTTGGTGTCTCTGACCAGCATTTCGGACTCGGGGATTAGATGGATGGTCTCATGCGGTGTTAGAACCTTGACTGTGGAGGGTTGGGTCAGCGGGGTCATGCTTTTGAGCGGACTAGAACATCACTTACAAAGCCATCGATAGATCTTCTCGGCGACTTTTCTCTGACTTTCTTCATCATCTCCTTCTGCCTTGATCTCGAGGTGGTTGGTTCCGTATCTGGCGAGATCGTCGATTTCAGGACCAAGGGTGTTGCCGTCCCAGATGTTGACGCTCACAAAGTTGCAACCGCGTTTGATGGCAGCATCGCGGAGGGCTGTGGCGGTTGCAAGCTTCTTCGAAGTGTCGTCCCTTGATTCAGAGTATTGTTCGGCGATTAGAGGGATTTCAGTGGTGGAAGTGAGGTTGGTCAGGAGAAGATCTGCCAGGGATGGTTTGTTGTTGGATGAGTGATTGCGGTAGACGATAGTAGAGACTGGGAGCATGGTGTGCAAATGTCCAATGTGTGGGATGCCATCCTTGGGGTCATTGATGTAAATCCATGGAGCGATTGGTGTTGGGGTTGTGCTCGCAGCAGAAGTCTTCTTTGATTTCTTGCCCATGATGAACGTGTTTGATGGTCAAGCGTCACAGTCACACGGGAGGTGATGAATAAGGAAGAAGTCAGGATAAGGCTGAGAATCAGTGGATAGATAGACAGTCAACGAGAAAGAGAGGGAGGGTACGGTATCAGAAGGTCTTGGATGAGAAGAAGATGAAGATGATGATGGATGATGAATTTGGCCTGAACCGTGATAAGGCAATCCTATCCCACTGTTCACAGTGATAGACTTACAGAAAGAGAAGAGAGAAAGCTGAAGGCTTACGAGACAAAGCCACGAAGGATGAGTGAAGTGACTTGGTGGAACAGGTCACGACCAAGTGTGCATTTGAAGTTTACACGAGCCTCAAACCGAACCATTGATTTCAAAGGAGGGGTAGGTCAGTAGACCAAAAGACTCAAGAGTAAAACCAGTCATCATGAGATTGTACTTGGAACAAGGCTGAATTCCTGCTCGGTTACGTGAGAGATCCTATCTCTTCTGATGATTGTCAGTGGTCAGTCAGGTTATCTGCAAGCTTCAAGGTTGTTGAGCGTTGGGTTAGCTTCAGACAGTGTGTGGTTGGCGGGTTGCCTCAAGAGCACAAACTTGAAGCTGCAGAGTCCGCTATCAGCCCCTCTATCCTTCCATTCGACTCTTATCCCTAGAGTCCGCCGCCCTACTCCGACCAGTTCAAGAGATAGATAGACGCCTTTGAGTTCCAAATAGACCAATATTGAACTTTGAACGTCTCAAAGCTAGTCTAGACATCTCCAAGTGAGGTGGTCTGAACGTTAGGCTGAACTGACTAAGGAGGGGAGTCTATCCACTCCCTTCCGGTCTGGATGTTGATTCGTCCTTTGTCCCACCACACGAGAAGGGAGTCGTGGCCACGCATGGGCCAATGCAAGGCAAAAAACCTACCAGCGCCCTGGCAGTGTTGGACTGTGCCCTCCTTCGAGTCCTGTTACGAGTACGTCTCGCAACACGAACGGGAATCTGGTAGGTAGCCTAGAACTCGCCTGAACAAGCCTGGGGCTGATATTTATTAGTCAAAGGGTATTGGCCGGAGTGCGCCTGAAGTGCCCATTCTCTTGCGCATCTCTTCTCCAGCCGCCACTGTACTCGGCACTTTGATACCACAACAGTCACCCCAATAGTCAGGCTCGTGTCCACGTTCTTTCACATGTTGCATTCTCTCCGTTTGAAGACGAATCGTTTCCGGATCAAGTTGACCCATATCTTCTGTGCCCGGGATGAGCCCGCCAAAGAGGAAATGCTGCATGATGGGAAGTTTGCTCAGAACCTCTTTGACAAACATCTTTCTCATACCATCGTCCACCTTTTGCCAACTCTTTGCTCCCGAGATATCGTCTAGCATGGGGCTGTGCCATCGAAGACCTTTGACCGTCTTGACACTATCCACCCACCGGACTTGATTGAGATAGAGGTACTTATCGCCTTCTTCATCCAATACCACGTTGTTGTGGATGGATTTGGGCGTGATGTAGGGATGGCCAACCAATTGACTGGCTCCAAATAAGAAGGGGAGGAATTGATAGTCATCGAGACCCCAGACACCGTGGCTCCCTGCCGGCTCCAAATAGTAGGTAGTCTGTATCTTTCTCATCAATCCCAAGTATCGGGGGAATGTGTGTAGGGCCACAGCCGGAAAGTCTGGCCGCTGGATCTGCCCCAGTTGGTACAAACACAGCAGCCACATCATGAAATTCAATTCATGGCCAGACCCATAGTCTAAGCGTTCTTCAGAGCCGAAAGAGTTGTTCAGGTATACCGAGATTTCTTGTACAACTTGCTCATCGTCAATCCCTAGTATTTTTTTATGTATCTGCTCAACATCAGAGACGATTGCTTTATGCAGGCTGCGGAAGATTGGATTGCCGAAACGAGAACCAGTATCTAGAGGAGGATACTGCGCAAGGAGAGAGTCAAGCTCATCAAGGACGGAGTCGACTCGAAGGATAGTGGCCGACAAAGGATGGGAATCAATTGAGGTGATGGTTTGACCCCGAACAGAGTCAGCCAGAGTGAAGATCCATGCTTGTAGCAAGATGTAAGTCGAAGAAGCGAGGAATTTCTGGTGATCTGCAGGAGATAGAATTCGTTTGACTGGTGGTATAAAATGAATGGCTTCTAGGGTCGGAGGGGATGGTAAAGTGGGAGTTTCTGGCGCAGTTTCTGATGGACCTGAGGGGTTTGCTGACTTTCTGCGCAGTCCTGGGATCAACTTGGGTATCCCAGTTGAAGCAGAAAGTCTCGGAATGGCATGGGAAGTCATAACGAGGATGAGAAGATCCGTGTCAAGAGTATTCGATGAAGGTGACCACAGATTTGTTAGTAAAAAGCGTTTATTCCCAGGATGACTGAAATTGGAGAAGGCCAATTGTGCTTAGCTAATTCAAGGGTCTAACGCCATGAGGGGCGATCCTAGGGAAGTTTCCAGTTAAAGCTTCCCGAACCTACGGCCTGACAATAGTGGTCACGGGAGCTTCCCCAGGTCTTTCCTCACGCCTAGAGCTCCCTCCAATCGCATGCCTAGCACCCTCTGGAATGCCGATGTCATCGGCCCCGTCATGAGATCTTGGACCTGATATCATTCCCGCTGTCCAAATAACTACTTACTACTAAATCTACTACACCTGCATACAATCACGCAATTCATCCATCCTATGATCAAATTGATTTCACTCTTCATTACTCGCTCAGCTCGTTTCCCACCCATCCTCAGCCTTATCACTACTCCATCGTGCTCCATGTCAGCCCTTGTTTGACTTCGCTAGCTAAGAGCCTAGCCCTGAATTACTGATCGTGTTACCCATTAGTTTGCACCTTTTTGCCGGTGTGATTCGTTGCATCTCAGGTACACTTTTAGGCGACAGAACTCCGCTGATATCGGCTCTTTGAATGCCAAATGATCGCCCCAGTCCCCTCCTAGCGAGTAGAATACGAGTAAAGCTGGTAGGTGGTGGTCTTAGCCATGGCTCCGGGCTCTCGGACCTATGAGCAAGATGTACAACCAAAGTCGAAATCTACCGCCGCCGAGGATCCTGAGATTTCCGACTCTCCTCCCGAGTCCTCTATCCAACCCATTCGAAGACAGTCCAGCATTCGCTTTTCTGAAGACAGCAAGAAGCACTCCCAGTCCCCGATGTCGAGTCATCGTCGTTTACCAGCAGACTCAGATGAGGCCACGCCAATAAGAAACGCAGACGGCCATGCCAGTCGACGATATAACACTGATTCGACGTCATCGATTCCCACTGATCCCGTCGAGACCCCGCAGGAGCAAGGGCAAGGAGCGAGCGATGATAGCAAGAAAAAGCCGTCATGGTGGAGAGGAATAGTAGAGAAATACGGCTCGGTGTCGCTGGAAAACAAGGGTTCAGTCGCACGAGATCATCTGGCTTTGGAAAGAACATTTCTTGCATGGCTGCGGACCAGTCTGGCATTCGCTAGTATAGGAATAGCCATCACACAGCTGTTTCGCCTGAACACGAACATCCAGAGTCGCCAGAAGGCCATATCAGCATTCTACCGCCGCTCTGACGTGCCATTCTCCCCCATGGTCGGACAATCACTCCCACCCGAGTTACTACCATACCTACAAGAGCTCATCGCATCTGCCTCATCGCTGGCTCCGCAATCGCTACCGACTCTAGGGCCGACTCTCCTTGATCAACTACTACTGCTCGGCCCCGCGGATGAGCATGGCCATCAAATCCGCCACGCGACAGCCGGGCTGATTCGAGACACGGCGTTCGACGAAGAAAAAGCAGCCCGACTGCGACATATTGGAAAGCCACTTGGTGCTACATTTTTGGGCATCTCCATCATCGTGCTATTTATCGGTTTCCACCGCTATTTCGAATCCCAGCATTGGATCATGAAGGGGAAATTCCCCGCCAGCCGGGGGAGTATTTTTATCGTGGGGTTTATCACTGGTTCTTTGATTATTGCTAGTTTGGCTGTTGTGTTGGCCATTGCACCTACGAGTTACGAGAAGAAATGATGCGAAATTGTGAATTCTTCCTTCCTTGTTGTGGTGAGCGAGAAACGAACAAAAGCAAATCGAGGGTGGTGGTTGACTGTCACTCTTCGTATGGAGGTCAGATTGAGACTAGGGCATACGTATGCCCAAGTGGTCCCTGTCTATTGTTGGCCATACCCAGTGCGTTGGCGAGGATGCAGAGAGCTCTCTCTCTCTCCCCTCTCTGTCGATCGGACGGAGTCCCCAGTCCATGATCAATCATATTCTATATAGCGGGACCAAGTAATTCTCAATGGATACACTAGCAAGACCACTCCTCCAATTCTACTCAGATGAGTCGACATGTACCCATTTGCTCACAGAGAAGGACCTTGCACTCTCTCACCAGAGACTAATATGTCACCAAACTTGGCTTGTGATTGCATATGTCCCTTTCTCACCATACCTCGAGATTTTTGGGTCTCGGATCTCCGTTGGCTGTGGCATTCACGGTGATTGCAATCCACTGTCGGGATCTTGGCTCGGTGTCTTGGTCTCTATATTGCCCCGGTGTTGGCAAACATGGTCAAATCATGTCAGGACCACTGCTGGCCACTTTGACGACCGCTGTGACCATGTCTGCTTCTTACCTGCCTCGGAACGTACAGATTCCACGCGAGCCTGGTGATGAACAGGCCAAGATTGCAGTAGTGAACAAAAATCACTGGCCGTGGACCGCAGCAGGCATCCTGCCAACCTCATCTTATTAAGCTGATCCGAGTTGCGTGGTATGTGCTATCAATGTCATTTGTTTTTGAGGTGAGCACGAGTATACCTGCTTCGAACAGCGAGTTGTCCGTGCAAGGCTTTCAAAACTGTGGAGTCTTGCTCGGTATGATCGTCAGCCAAGTATCGACGCCAGCTTCTTGAAAGAAATATTGGCTGGCGTGCGATGAATATCTCAAGTGCAACTGCAACAGCAGTCCAAGTTTACCTAAGTTTTTCATTCTTAAGCGCACCGTTGGAAAGTCAGCTTACCCCGTACATGAGCCTAAAAGGCATGTTCAGATCCATCAGCACTTTATCTGAATAAAAGTGTTTAGGCACCCCTAAAGGCCCCCAAATCCGAGATGCCGCAATGATGCCAAGCCTGGGAAGGATAAATAAACTCAGCGAGTCACGAACGCTCGGAGGATTTCTCTTGATGCAAGTCATGGAGAGGCGAAGGGTTGGCAGACGCACACGCTTCAGGAGTACGAGCAGACTTGACAGGGCATCAGGATGAGCGTGTTCAACTTTCCCAGCCACAACATTTTTTCTTCCCCCTTTCCAGATTAGCGATTACTGGATCTTGCTGAAAAGTGCCGCGTGAGTTTTAAAGTTTTTGTTTTACGTGTTCTGTGTTTACGAGTGAACATGGATGAAGCCTGGAAGTGCTTGCATCAGGTTGAGAAGGGGGAGAAACCTGGACAAACAAAAGTGAGTGGGAGTCTGGTGTTTTTGCGCACGCGCAAGATTAGCAGGAGCTGCGGAGGAATATGAAACACGGCAGCGGCCCTGGGCCATGCGCGTCCATGACGATTCGGCTGCATAACCACCAATTAGGCGCGGCAATACCTAAACCTTCGAGGCCTGTGGTCATGATTGTTTGGCCTGTGCCTGGCTGGCAGGACGCAGACCGATGGGTACGAAGCATTTTCACCCAGGAGTCTAGGACAGGGGAAATGAACCTACGGTTACTCCAAATCTGGAGGATTCGTCCAATTGAATATCTTCGTCCACGAATTTGTACACGCACTGTTGGACTCTTTTTCAAGGTTGGCTTGAGGTCTCTAACTGGTTCCTGGATGATGGTGGCTTCAGTGGCTTGGGATCTTGGTTCGACGGTGGGCAATGCTTGTTGCAAGCCCCTTTGGCCCCTTTGATTAGGTACTCGTAGGCACTCCGCTCGGCAGATGGAGATATTGAGGGCATACGTAAGGCTGGTCCTTGCCCACGGGTGTTGGGTTGATTGACGCCGTCGAGAGGTCACTGACACTCTGTTTGCAGGCTTCACCTTCTTCTTGAGCCTATAGATAATGAGTATTCCACGTTGTACAAGGTCTCCTTGACTAGAAGACATGGGCAACAGGGAATATATCGAATGGATACCTATCTAGGTGGTACAGAGCGGGTATACGATCAATATTAATGCAACTTTCCAAGTAACACCAAACTGTGGCCTGTTCACGTTACGTGACTTGCAAAGAATAGTAGAGCAAAGATCGAATCTCGATCCCAGTAAGAAAGCACTTTCAAAACGGTCATCATGTTCTGAATGGGGAGACGCCGAGTGCCCACTACGCAGGTACAAATATGGCATACTCCATAGTATCCACGGTGGCATCCCAAGGTGTTTTTATTATAGCGGGTCATGATTGTTGATTTTGAGGATTCATCACTCAATTCCAATCTCTCAAGAACCATTTTCGACCGGGGAAACGCAGATCTCGAGCAACAATCGAATACAAGACAACCATGTCGACTCGTTGCTGCATGGTTATGCGGAGAGAAACGAGATTCAAACCTCGCCTCTTCTGATCTCTGGAGGTGTTGATGTCAACGTGTGGTTGTTTGAGATTGGATGGAGTCCAACGCAGATACAGTATTGTTATCTAAACCCATCTTGTTCACCTCAGGTATCAATCTAGGGCACTAAAGACGCACTCATATCGCTACCCGCGAGTAGTGGCTCGTAGCTGGAGTTTACAGATTCACCATGCATTCGTCACCTCTCCAAAGGAATCTGTAGTCCTCGGTAGAGTGTGTAGTCAACAACACTTTCGCTTGCCTTTGTTGGTGGGTGTGGCAGTGGCCGTTGTCGTCGGTCAATGTCTCTCTTGGTTCTATTATAGTTTGGTCGCCAATGACATACGTCGGCCGTGGTGGTTGGAGTGGGGTGCAATCTCTCCTTTGTCACAAGCATGGACCTTTCAGAGGCAGGGGATCGCCCAGTTGGTGGCTAGTCTCTAGGGGACAAGGGGCCCTTGGAGATGGAGTTCCAGGCTAAACCTGTTCCTGGGCGCCTCGTCCTTTGGAGCACCAGATTCACCCACAGCCGCCCATGCATCACGCAGCCTGCACCCACCACCCAGCATCCATGCTCCATCGCCCAGAAGCTCGCCCAGCTTCTTGAACCTTGGCTTTCCTCCTCCTGCTCCCTCCTTTCCCTCACCGTCTGCAGTACCACCAGCATTTGTATTTTCGACATTCGTTCAGTCATCACGCTCGTTCTCTTCCCTCTATCCTCTCCGTTGGCTCACGCTCATTACTAGAGAGACTTTTCTCTCGTTCCATTCCTTTGAGAATCACCGCCGTCGTCCTCGTCCTCGTCCTCGTCCGAAGTCGACCACCTACCTGCCAACTCCTCCCTTTCTACCCATCCTGCGAATTCCACCTCACATTCCAGAAGAATTGATCATATGAGTCTCGGGCTTTGTACGTCCAAACAACCTCCCTTCTGCGAACGGGTCTCTTGTGCTTTTGGGAACCCGCCCTTATTCCCTCTCTTTCTACCCTCGTTTCCTACAAACAATCGCCCAGTGACAAAGACAACCTCAACTAACATGCTGGTCGTGACAGATTCGTCGATCCTTGCTCCAATTAGTCGCACATAACAACACCAGACTCAAAGTCAGTACTACGACAGTCTTTGAGAGACTCGATATCAATCCTGCGTACACAGTCGAATATGAAATTCACCTCGATTGCCTTGACGGCGGTCTCGGCCACCGTTGTTCTGGCCCAACCTCACAACCATGGACATCAGCACGCTCATATACACAAGAAGGACGTTACCGCAACTGCTTGGGCTCCAGGACCGACCGCCTACAAGTACATGTTAGATGGCAAGGAGATCTCTCCGGAGGAAGTCTGTGAAGGTCTTCAGGACAACGAATTGAAGTTTGTGGATGGTGAGGATCCTGGTGTTTGCTCTTCTTCCACCTCGAGTTCCACCACGACAACAAGCTCTCCTCAACCCACAACCACTTCAACCACCAGCTCAGCCGCCCAGTCCTGGTCGAAACCTGCCGAGTTCTATCAATCTCCTGCCTCGTCTGCTTGGGCCAGTCCCAGTGCGGCCGCCAGTTCCTGGGGACCACCTGCTCAATCCTCTTCTGCTCCCTCAACCGGCGGCTCTGGAGGAACTGGAATCAATGCTGATTTCCCTGATGGAACCCTCGACTGCGGAACTTTCCCCTCTGATTATGGTGCGGTTCCAGTCAGCTACCTTGGAATGAGTGGTTGGTCAGGACTGCAGGCTGTCTCGATTGCTGGTGGTCTGGTCAATCACATTGTCACTGGTATCTCAGGAGATTCTTGCAAGGAAGGTTCCATGTGCTCCTATGCTTGCCCTCCTGGCTACCAAAAGTCGCAATGGCCTAGCACTCAGGGCGCTACCGGCCAGTCTGTTGGTGGATTGTCCTGCTCGGGTGGAAAGCTTCGCTTGACCAACCCAGGTCTTTCTACCAAGCTTTGCATTCCCGGTGTTGGAGGTGTCCAAGCTACCAACAAAGCTAGTGGTGTGGTTTCCATCTGCCGTACTGATTACCCCGGTACCGAGTCCGAGACTATTCCCGTTGAGCTTCAACCTGGTTCCACCGACCAATTGACTGTGCCTGACGCTGCAGCCTATTATGAGTGGCAAGGCAAGTCCACATCAGCACAGTACTATCTCAACCCTATCGGAACGACCAAGGAGAAGGGTTGCCAATGGGGTACCCCTGGTCAGCCATATGGAAACTACGCACCCATCAACTTTGGCGTTGGTGCCAAGGATGGCAAGACATGGCTTTCCATTTTCCAGAATTCCCCTACCACCGATGCCCAATATCAAGGTACCGTTGAGATTCAAGGTAACTTGTCGGGAACATGCAAATATTCCAATGGACAATACTGTGGTGTGACTGGATGCAACGCTCAAGGCTGCACGGTAAGTTTCCCCCTATTCTTGTATCTCCACATGCTGACATAAGAATCCAGGTCGCAATCATTTCCGGCACAGCCACCTATGTGGTCTCTGACTAGACTATTTGTTTGAGAATATAACACATTGTACACGACATGACCCGATTGCATTCCATCTTGCATATTTTTCCGCGCCGGCGTTGACGTCAGGTCTTTCTCCATCTGTTTTTCCTATGTTGTTATGTTTTGTGCTTTAGGAGCTTAACCCGAGAAAGCTTTGCCTCCTGGACGATCCCCTCCGACCTGGATATTCGCGGCATGGATTGATGGATCAATTTTGCAAAATCAGAACACAGGCTGGCGTCCTCCATCAATCAGAAGATCACCAATATCTTTTGGATATTTGACGGGCTCTATGGCCATGTCGGGAACGAATAATCACCAAGCTGGATATGGCGATCAGGGGAGATAAATCTGATCTACTGATAATCTGGACACTAGATCTCGTACCGGGTTGGGGGTGAAGCATTACTGTCAATCAAGATTCGATCTCGAGGCTCTAAAGTATACCGTGTACAATATTTGATCCACTGAAGACTCTTCTTGAGTAACACATCCACATCCACCGTCTTGGAAATGGTCACATAATTTCCCATGAACCAAAGGTCGCTGCTACTCGCACGATACTGTCACATAATAGACGACATAGATCCCAGTCAAAAGACAAGAAGAGGAGTAAGAAGGCAAATCTGCAATTAGTTTTAAACATCGTGTTATACTGCCCTCGTTTCGCTATTGCTTATTTCTTCGCAACATTGTACAAAAAGTACCCAGTGTCACGGGTGTTGGAGGACAGGGATCTCCTTGCAACTACGTGCTGCGTGCTGCGAGTAGCATGCATTCCAGTCCTCCCAGGCGTGGCGCTCTTGGGAGGGATTTTTGCGAAGATAGAATCTCATTTTTGCGTGTCTATTCCTAACCTAACTGATTTCCTCTTTCTCTTTCTCTTCCTTTTTTGTCGTATTAGGTATTGCTTTGGTGGTGCCTGGTTTGTCCTACGTAACTCGTCCAATATTCGTGATGGTTTGCCGTCGACATGAGTGTCTGTAGTCCCGTTATCTCTCGAATCCCCTTGGTGGGTATCTCGCCGGCCATTCTTTTGGTCGAGAAGAACCGTGACCCAGATTCTCCGTACCGAGTTACTATGATCTCACATTTTCCAAGGGGTGATCTTTGCTTTTATAAAATATGTCGTCTTTCAATTCGGCGATGATAACCTATTGTGGCGTCGGATCGTTTCATGACCGTATGAAAAATTCAGTGTCTCTGGTGGTATTGTGATCGTTACTGGTCTTCCCCAGTGGTCTGTGGATCTGGCAGGTGATCCCCTTCATCCACGTCCTCGCCTTCAACCTCTTCAAACCTTGCTTCCTGATGGCCCAAGTCTCTATCATGGTCATCATGTCTCGGCTCTTCATCTGAGTCGCTCTTTTCCAACTGGAAGTCCTCGAACGAAAGAGCAAGTGCATTTTGTTGACTCCATTTGGCAAGAAGTCTTCGAATCGAGTTGCACAACTTGAAGTCGTCCTCAGGAACAACCTCGCACCAGTGACGGTCTATTTCTTCCTTGGACATGATGCTTAATGACACATAGTCACCGTTGTTCACCATTTCGCAGAATTTACCTTTTGAAACCCCAAGCATGGGGCTGTGACGGTGTAAGAACAAAATCCTCGCAATATCGACAGGAGTCAACTCATCCAGGTATTGGTTCAGAATAGCTACTAAACATCCACCGAACTGCTCAGGAGCGTGGAACATTGTGTATAGTCTGGAAGTCTTGTCAGCAGCAAGGATAATCTTCTGCAAAGCTTCATTGGCTGTGGACTCGACCTCGAAAAAGCGCTCGAGCCCCGCTGGAGAAAAGGAGCAGAAGGACAACGCATGGAGTCCCCATTCTGCAGAATCTTGCGTGGCCATGTGGATTACAAAGATATCATAGCCGGAATACCTTTTGGCACAAGATGCTGCGTCACCCGGTACAAGGCAAATCACTGGATACGACCTCCTCTCGTAGAGATTTTCTGTGTAGATGAGCCAGCCTTCCACATATGACGATTGAACTTCTTTGCTCCAGAGACCTTGGAGGAAACTTCCTGAAGCCGGAATCACCTCTTTGACACCTCCATCACAGTAGGCGTGTATTAGTGCAAGCTGTACATGCTGCCACAAGCAGCCAGTCACCAAGGTGTGAGAGCAGAATTCGCGGTGCAGATTATGCACAAGGGTAAGTTGTTCTGTCCACGATAGATACTGTTCAAGCCGGTCGATGAATTCGCGCCCGGAAGCATCGAATGAAAAGGACGGATTGAGAATCACCCGCACAAGACTATATCCCGCCACCAGACTCGCTGTACCAGAGCCAAGACCAGCGAGCTTGGCCTCCAAGTACGCAGACATGGAAAACTCAACGGTCCAGTTGTATGTAAGGTTGTCAAGCAGCGAAATATCAGTGCAAAGTGGTTCTTCATAGTTGTGATCCCAATCGCGGTCCTTGCAATAAGCTTCGGGGGCCAGTGATGGCCATTCCAACGGGTTCCGCGCTTGCGCTTCCGCAAAGAACTTATCCACGGCGCTGGTTTCGGGTGACCCCCAGAACTCCGCCTGTATGGAGCTTGCATTTCGCAATGGTCTCTGGGAAGACACCTCGTCAGTGTTGAGGGAAAAGGCGATAATCGAAGCAAATGTCAATCTCCGAATCGCGTCCTGTACAGAAATGTTACAAGATTGAAGGAAGTTAACACCGCCTTCGCTCTCCGCCAGAAAATCTCGGGCGCTGCGGTGGATAAACCTCACAGCAGTTTTATTTGCCTTGGAGAGTTGTCGATAAGGAAATGAGCCTGGAAAGCTAGTATAACTAAGGATATCACGGGCATAAAATTCAACGAGACTTGCACACCTTGCCAGAATGTTTGCCTCCAAGTCAATTGCGAGGCTCTCCCAGGATGCGATTCGAGCGGCATCTGAAGTTTTCAAGTAGTCAGATGTCAATTCTGTCTCACTTTGCGATGCTAGAAGCAGTTCAAGAATCGTAGGATCCTCGAGCGGGTAGTGTGAAGCGTAGATGAGAGAGAGATATGGTTTCGGATGTTTCGCATAGAACCTATCCTGCCGCTCGAGCATGAATGCGAAAAGGTCGTTCATTTCTGTGGGACACTCCTTTAAGCGCAAATTGAGATCTTCTAAAGAATCGCCCTGGCTTGCGGCAGTTCTCAGATCTTCCGTGACTAGATATGCCCACAGGAAGACGCCTTCTGCCCGCAAGCAGATCTCTCTTGCGTATGGTGCAGCTCGAGTGGCAGTAAGTCGACTGTCGCAGTGGAGTTTGATGTCATCATAGTTGAAGTCCTGCAGCCTGATCGACGGGTATTGGCGTGTGGCATCTTGGAACGGGTGCTCTGGTCTACTTGAGCAACAAACCTTGACCCTCGTCGAGCGAGACGCAATGAATCTAACGCAGTCAAGTAAGGGCTCGCGTATTTCCTGAGTCACTTCGTCAAGACCGTCAACCAAGATACAGTAATTATACTGCGAACGTGTTGCCAAATATGAGAACCATGATTGCAGCTCAGAGACTATCCAGCCTTGAGCACGTGACCCTGATCTTGTGAGATAGGACTTGAGACTTGCAGGCACTGAGGCATCGTTGTCGCTTCGTATCCTTTCCGGGAGACTATCGTCTGTGTTCAAAATCTGATGGCACAAGGATCTCCAAAATCCTTCCAATGATTTTAGCAAGGGAGTGGCAGCAGGTCTGAAGAACCAAAAACTGAGCAGTCGCACGGAGATACTGCCGGGCCATGCTGCGAGATGACCAAAGCCAACCTGTCCCTCTTGCAAGTTCTGGTATATATACTCCATGAGACTCGATTTTCCACTTCCAGGTTTGCCGCTGATCCAGAAAATGTTTGTTTCATTGCGCAGCCAGTTGACAAATTCATGTTGCTGGTGACCGTCGGTGCGAGGAGGTGGATAGAATATCCAACGATAGGTGTCACCAAAGTCGGTCACACGTCCTACGATCATGTTGAGCTCAAGTTTGAGCAGGGCAGCCGTCTTTGTAGCATCATCACAGATCTTATGTAACTTGGTCGTACGTATTGCTGACGTCGGTGCTTGCTTCGTGAACTCAGTCTCGAGGTTGGCGTTTGCAGCCGTTAGGTAATCAGCATATTCTTCGATCCTGTTGTTTTCGTCAAGTGACCCTTGCTCATATAGTTCTTTGCACAGATCCGCGGCTTCGATGGCTTGTTCGACGAGCTGTAGGACATTGCATGCAAGGGGTAAAGCAGAGATTCCATCCATCTCAGCCTCGCACGACAAGTTCGTTCAGCAAAGAGGACAGGGACAACAAGCCTTATTTGAGGCACGGCCCGAGTACCACCGATATTGAGTTTCATCTGCTTGGGCGCGGCTCCTTGGCTAGGCGACATTAAGTCCTGCTACATCCAACTGGCGAGGAATCAAGAACGATGAATGACCAGTTCCTCGTGGTTAGGCTACAAGTTGAATGATGGTCCCCTCATTTTTGAATTCGACCAACTACTTTGGGTGAGTATAGAAAAGCGGGGAGACTTTATGTCAATTCTGAAGACCCAATCTTGACTCTGAAATCTCCGTTTTGGATCAGTTTCGCTTATGAATCTTATTGTGGAATACCACACATTTTACCATATCCAAAGTGCATAATGAACGATGATTCAGCCGTTAAGGGGGTCTTTCAATACACTACCCGGGTATCACTGGGCTTTGGACATCGCCTATCCTTTCAACGAAGGAGCTGCTTAATCAGGAAATTGTTCCGCGTGTCAGTTTGAGCGAAGCAAGAACGCCTCCCCTTCCGCATCAATTTTTCTCGCGGCGTTCAACAGCGCTTTTGGTGGCCAGATACCCAGCAGTACTGTGGCGATAACCACGGTAGCCATCTCGAGAGTGCCAAAGTAGACTTCATGCGAAGACAGCTCACCAAAGACTCCTTGGGCGCTCTCGACGAGGCGGAAAATGGTCCGGACGAAAATCAAAATGCCTGCCACCGACACTACGCAGGTGTACATTCTTGCTCGGTGGAGATGCCGATCAGTTGTCCCCGGTGCGCAATCTAGGCTGGGGTTGGTGGCAAGCAACCAGACAAACATCGCTAGCAGAACCAAAAACAGACAGAACGATGCGACCTGAGCGGCGAGTCCGGCAATAAGGATGTCGTTCGCCTGCGTTGGATCCTCGTGATTCGAGGTCCGCTCACCCACCACGGCCGCGCCAGCGACCTGCAGCGCTGTACAGAGGATGTCGGCCGAGATGAATGTCCAAAGGATCGCTTTGGGACGCAGACGAGAGAGAAAGGAGCCAGTTTTAAGGGTCGTGGATGTCGATGCCCAAGCGACCAGCTGGCCGAGCCCGACATAGATGCTTGCCGAGATAAAGACCGGCGCGACCGTGATGCAGAAATATTGGCCAACGAAGAAAGAAATGCGGTAGGGATCCTGGTGCGCCGACAGGAACCGGAAGACATAGCCGATCAGTTCGCAGACGCAAGCAATGCATGCCGGGATGAGGCTGAACGCACGGAGGCGGAATACTTGTGCCAGAATGGCGATGAAGAGGAGCACGAAGCTGGCAATGCCGATGATTGCCAGTGCGAGCGAGGGAGTATATCTTCATCGTGCCCGTCAGTTGTGCACAGAGAATGAAAGAGGCTGTCTTCTCATACCCATAAATGATGATTGACGCGTCTCCCGGTCCATGCGGGTTTGGCCAATCTCGATCGATATAGCCCACTGTGTTGTTCATTTTGTGGTGAAACTACCTCGTTCTTGCTGTGATTCTGAAGGCGTTTGAAGTCTTAGTGGTCTTCAAAATCTCGATCGCTAAGAAGTTCTCTTTATGTGTCCTTTCCGGAGAAGAGTCAGTCGGTTCCCAGGAACAATTCAATCCGTGCCCTTGGCCATTCAACCGGTCACAGCCATATTCAGAAGGAGCTTCGCCACAGGAAACACACTCGTGGCCCTGTAGACGCAAATTATGGTGCTCTGTGTGACGCTTTAGGGACCTGGAACAGGGAAGAAAAGATGCCTAGTTTTCAATAAAGTCCGATCGGGACGGCCTCCAGATCGGATTTTGAGCCCTCGTCAACAATCTGCTAGGATTGGGGTATGTTCAGCATGGTCCTAGGTTTTCGACAACGTCTTCTCCTTGTCTCCTAGCATGCTTCAGGAAGCAAATTGACCGGAAGGGTGGAAGTGAGCCTGACCGATGTGGAGTCACGGGATGTCTTCTTCGGAGGTTAATAAGGTCCGCAGGGTTATCGAACCATTTGAGCGCCTCAATACTACCTCGAGATTTGATCCAGCCCGAGAATATCAGGGCATGGGTCATCTGATAGTCGGTTCATCGCATTTAAGCTTTCTGTACGTCGTTGTTGACGCCATTAATGCGGTGCTGCTGTGGCTATGTTCTTAAACTCCGAAGATCAACTCGCGACTAGCGCCTACTGCTCAATCCTGCAGACGAAGAACTGTGGGCATAGGTGAGTATGATGCTCTCTTAACCATGTTCTCTGTTGTATCAGCTCTCTCGGATTCTCGGGCAGTAGCAAACCGCGTCAAGATTGATATAAAGGGTCGTAACGAAGGGTCGACGACAAAGGGGGTATGCCAGGTCTACCACAAGCACGAGCAACAACCGCAAAATTCTTCAGCTGTCTCACACGTTACCTCCAAAGTCTTCAAAGATACCTGTCCAACTCCATGATGCAAACTTACCTTCTCAAAGCGACGAAATTGCTCCTTCTAAGCGCTGTGGGACAAGCCCTTCCAACTGCACAGCGAACGCAATGCAGCCAGAGTACATCCAATCCCGCGGACCTGCTCAACGGTGTCATTGATGCGATGGGCGGATTTGAGGCGTTGAACATGACCATTGGGTTGACGTACGAGTCTTCAAGGTGAGACCTCTCTTTCCTACTGCTTCACAGGGCTGGTGGTGGACTGACCTAATACCTCTCTAGCATATATCGAAGCCAAACTCTCACCCAGAACTATAACCTCCACCTCTCCGACCAAACCGTTGCCGAGGCCGGCACACAGAATATCTCCTTTCTCTTCTCTGATGGAATCCTACGCCAGCGGCTCGATCGCAAGTACCAGTACGGCTTTTACTGGCTGTGGGCATTCCCTGACCTGAAGCCGATGATAGACTTCTCCCTGGTCGTCCAAGCCGGACCCAATGCCTCCGCGTGCTTCAACAAGGGTCAGAACTCGTTCTTCGCCGATGATCCCAGCCAAGCGCTGGGATATGCAGACGGATATCTGACCGACTACCTGGTGCAATCCGCACAGCAACTTGCCCTCCCGCATCTCCTGCAGCAGTTCCATACTCGGAGTTCGGATCTAACATCTTCCTGCGTGACGGTGGCGGCTGGCGACAACAAAACTCAGGTTTCATACTCGGCACTTCATGATGCTCACTTCGACCTAACTTTAATCATTGACGACGATACACGGCTTCCTTATGCTGTGCGGGTCAATGAGGACCACAAAGTGTTCGGTCCTTCCACAAGTGACGTCGTGTTCCTCAACTATACTGTTGATCCAGCAGGGAATGGAAATAGCCTTCGCCTCCCTCACCGCGTGCAGACGGTGTACAACCAGGAGGCGGTGCTTGAGGACTTCGTGATTGACAAAATCATCGTAAACCCGACCTTTGCTGCCGACCTTTTCGATGCCTCGCCTCCACCGTCTGCCACAGGGCCAGGTTCCTCTTCAAGTGAAACAGCCAACGCGCCACGCACAGATCGAGAGTATCCCAGATCGGAGGTTCACGAATTTTTTGAGGCAGGCTTATGGGGCGGCCCATTTGGAGACATGTTCAACGTATCCGACGTGGTTGTCCAGCCTGTGTTTCCCAACGGTACCACACCACAGATCATGAATCTCTATGTTGGATACCCCGACTATATCCAGCTTCTGGTCGAGTTTGACGACGGTCTGCTCATCACTGACGCGCCGGGGCACCGGAGCAAGATCATTCTGGATTGGGTGGCGCAGAACATGCACGGCAAGAAAATCACTCACGTGGTGCCCTCCCACCACCATCGCGACCATGCCGGTGGAGTTGCCGACTACCTCTCGGCTGGCGCCGCGTTGGTTATCCCAGAGGTCGCGAAAGAATTCTATCAGAATCTACCAGGCGGGCCGTTCACTGTGATCACATATAACGATGCTGCCCCGTTCGTGCTCAAGGATTCTCAGGTCCAAGTCTCGTCCTTCTGGCTGGACGAGAGCCCTCATGCACGAGATTGGTCGTACGCGGTGGCATCGCATGGCTGTCAAATATCTGACGTTGTCGTCTTCAATGCCGACGTGGTAAATCCCGGCCAAGGACCTGTGGCAAAATGGGACACTGGGGCCGCTAGAGCATTCCTGCGAAATGCCATTGATAGGGGAGTACCTCGGGGCGCAACTCTTGTAGGTTCTCATGGATCCAGTGAAATTGGGCTCGGAACGCAGGACTCCCTGGCCAATATTGCTGATTTGGCTGGAGTGGTCTATCCGCAGATGGAGGATGACGGGCTGTGGTGCTAAGCCGCGCAGTTACTGGCTGGAGAAGGGGGATAACTGTGTCTCTCTGCGACAGATACGGGGTGGCCTTGATTCCTTCTCCTCTTGATGCCTCATAAATACACTGGTGTCTAGTTATGCAAGGGGATATAGATTTTCCTGATTGAGGTTGTGAAATTGTCGGAATAGGCTGCTTGGTACCGGACCAGACACGGCAAAGAGATGTCTGTCGACCGCTGTCTGATGGATTATTACGGATCGTCTACAACGGCAGAGGCATGGTATCACTCCTTTCGTCCTGGTCTCTTGCTCAGCTAGGCAGAAGGGCTGCACCGGAGAAGTAATCCCAAGCCCTCGAATCCTCGACGGGTGGCATAGCGAAATGGGTGAAATCTTCATACCAGAAATAATTATCCGACATGGCTGGAACACCCCGAGCCAACGAAAAGTCAGGCGCCACATCGACGGAGGAGCCAAGTATGAATAGTTTCGATGATTCTGAAGCAGTTGGAGGTGGCGGGAAAGGCTGCTGCACAGAACAACGCCCGGAGTCAGCCGACTCACCATTTCCATCTTCAGCTCGTAGCGATCGTGGAGAGGGCCCGGCAACATCTCGCAATTTGAGTATGGCGGCAGGTACCGCGTAAAGACCCATCGCACTGGCGGCTTCTAGCTGCCTTGCGACAGAGGAAGCATAGTGGTCCCACCTGAGCGTATCTTCATCAATAATCCTGCCAATGCTGTCATCGGGATTTCTCATTCTCTTCATGAGCACCGCCAGGGCTTTGAAGGCATAGGGGACGCGGAGCATGGTCAGGACCGGCAATGTGCGGACTACGTGGACGTCCGCCGCCAGGATGATGTCGAGGATTGATTGGCAATTTCCAATGAATGCCAGGAGGGTTCGTATGTACGTGGGTGTAAAAGGGGTTTGAGGCGCTGCTAGTGGGTGATCAGTTGCCACGCCCAGCTGGGGAAGATCGAGGTGCTGGCTTTCCTGGTCTAGGTAGACAACCAATTCGTAGAGTTTGCTTTGACAGAACTTGAGTTCGATCTTTAGAGACTCTGATCCAGCCTTGTCAGCGAGTCTACTCAGGGGTAGTCTGGGTATGTTACATGCCATTCAAGAGAGCCACCTCAGTGATGGCTTCCCAGTCGCGCAAACGAGCCTCGAAAAGGGCGATGTCGTCTTTAAAACGGCCTGCCTCTGTGGCAGATCCAACTGCGGGATTGGCGATCTTCACCTTCGTTTTCTCAATATCTTCGGCAATGGACTGCAGTTTCAGCCATGCCAAAAGACGTTGGTCATTCGGATCCCTACTGGACTGTTTGAAAAGTGAGATGGCAGAAAGCGTCGTGGGACTGTATGATATCATCCTCTGTCGACCTGCGCTGGTAGCGATTCTGAACACATGTCAGCTCCAAAGCACTGCTACGTTGCGCATTTAACATACCTAGAGCAGGTTAGATACACCCCGAACATGGTACGGAATCTCTCTAGCATAATAGGGGAGGGATTGTGCAATAGTTCGTCCACATCACGGTGCTGCACTTGCCAGGACGTTTGTCCTCCCAAACCTAGTTCCATGGCCATGGTACAGGCCATGTGTGTCCACTGGTGGATGTTCAGCTTCCTCAGATCGCCTCGCGGGTAGCACCAGACAGCAGTTATGAGCAGAGCCTGCAGTATATCCATATTTTTCTCGCCCTCGACGATGGCGGCCTGGCACAGAAGCTGGGAATTTGCTTCAGACAAGCTTTGGAAGAGTCGAGGCTCGGATATACCGCAGGCAGCAGTTATCGCAGCAGAGAGGGTGAAGGGCCGATGGCTCTGCCAGGACTGGACTGTTACATCCACTGGGATAGAGATGACTGGGTACTGAGGCAATTGGACCGCAATGAAGTCCGCAAGCAATCCCGATGCTTGCTCCGGAGACAAGGTGCTCATGACAGGCAGACTGGACAGGAGGCGAGGTGCTGCGACAGATTCGTGTCCCTTGTCCGCTGCTTCCGCTAGGTGGAGGTCGCAAGTATTTGTTCTTTGAGCAGGATAGCGTGGTACCTGTATGGTCCCATGGTCGCCTGGTTGAGAAACAGAGGCCAGAGAGTCTTGAGCCACAGGTCGAGAGGGTGTTTGAGCCGCATGCAAAGACTCCATGATGGTAGAGAGCTTGTCTTCAAGCTCCATGATTCGTAGCCCAGTACGTTGTCGTCGACGAGTCTTTGAGATCTCCTTCCATTCGCAATCGACTCCGGTATTGTGGCATTTCCGGCATTTGCCGTGGCGCTCCATGGTGTCTGTGTAGCATCTCGTCTTGGACTTACGGCAGCATTCGCATGCATGCTTGCCGATGTCGCGTTTTCTCTGGCGGTCAGACATACGTCTTGGTCGTTGCGAGACCTTCCGATGTGTACATGAACGTGGAGGCTTAAAGAGACAATGTCAGGTCCGCCTGAGAAAGTTGCTATCACCTTGGGTCGACAGAGGATCTTTCGGACCTTGTCAGACTCCGAGTCCCGGCTTGGGGAAGGAAGTGCGTCACGAAGCTTGCCCCGAGCACCAGTCGAAGGCTTAACAGGGAAATATATATGATTGATCGGTTTCTGCTTGGGGACGACAGGTGTCCTCATGCCATGTACGAGGTATGGAGTTGGGTTGCTCATGCATCCTGTTTGTCTCGATACCACGCGTTGTCGTGGCATTGATGACTCCAAGGCAGCTGAAGAGCAGCTTGAAAGATGTGGGGAAGTCAAGGGGAAGCCAGAAGGCAGATCTGTGACAAAGAACAGGGGACAAGGGACCCCTGGGCCCCAGTTAGTTACTAGCTAGGTCGCTCCGGGGAGTACGGCACACTCTAAATGCACCTCCTCCGGGCGCGGGGTTCGTGACGCTTGAGGCTAAGTGGTGCTGATCCTTCTATCCAACTATGCGGCCAGGCGCTGTATTTGGGCAATCAACTGTTTCACGACTGCTCAGCGTGCAAAACCTCACTGACTATATATGTATCAATCCGCCAGACATAGAAATAATAATTTCGAGCCTGGGGATCGCTTTTTGGAGGAGCTTGAGCGTCCTGAAAGCTTACAACGATGCAATTGACAACTGAGGACGGCCTTGTGCTCCCCATCGAACGAAGCAATACAACAGCGGCCACCAATACCAATAACAGCGTACCAAACAGTACAAGTCTCCCAGACTGGTGCAACCAGAAAGTGTTTGAGCGAAACAGGCTTCCTGCTCGCGCATACTATATTCCAGACACCTCATTATCGTTGAATGGGAAATGGGCATTCACCTATTCACCCACGCCATTCCATGCTCCCCACGGAGAGAACTACAGCAATGAAACCGCAAGTACTCTGATCGACCAAGATAGAGATACGGGAGCCAGAAACTGGGGCTATATAGAAGTCCCGGGTCATTGGCAACTTCAAGGCTACGGTAGGCCTCAGTATACCAACTTCGACTACCCCTTTCCGGCTTGCCCGCCCTATGCGCCAACGGAGAACCCTACAGGCACATATTTCCGAAGCTTTGAGCTACCCTCCACCTGGGATAAATCAAGTCATCTGAGATTGAGATTTGATGGTGTCGACAGTGCCTTCCTGTTGTTTGTGAATGGCATCAAAATTGGTTATTCTCAGGGAAGCAGAAATCCAGCCGAATTTGATATCACTGACAAGGTCACATTTGGTACACCAAATTACTTGTTGGTGCAAGTGCTTCAATGGTGTGATGGAAGTTATATCGAAGATCAGGATCAGTGGTGGCTGTCCGGTGAGTACCATTCTACTGAGAGGATGTGATCGAGCTTCCTGGACGACGTGGCGCTTTGACTATCGAACAACATGCATTCCCATTTCCCTCGTACACTCTCGGAGTACTACTGACGCAAACAAGGTATCTTCCGTGACGTTCACTTGATCGCACTCCCAGGTGGTACCAGGATAGAAGACTTCTTCATCACAACCGGACTAGACAGCGGATACAAGGATGCCGATTTGAATATAAAACTCAATTTGTCTTGGGCTGAGCGATTCAGCATTTCTATCACTATCAAAAACGCTGATGGCAATCCTGCTGCCGAGACCGAGTCAATGAGGGTACTAACTAGTCGCTCCACATTTGTCAGAAAAATCAAAGTCAAGAGCCCTCACAAGTGGACAGCGGAAACACCATACCTATACGAAGTGCAAATCACGCTCAGAGGTCTAAAGAGTCATGCTGTTCAACATATCAAACAACGAATAGGCTTTCGTGCCGTCGAGCTAAAACGTGGAAATATCTGTGTCAATGGCAAACCCATCACTTTCCGGGGGACAAATCGACATGATAATCATCCCCATTTGGGCCGTGCTGTGCCAGAAGAATTCGTGCGTCGTGATCTCCTCTTGATGAAGAAGCATAACATCAATGCAGTCAGGTGCTCTCACTATCCATCGCATCCAGCGCTCACGGGTCTTTGCGATGAACTTGGTCTGTGGGTCATCGACGAGGCCGACCTTGAGTGCCATGGATTCGGGTCCGCCGATGCTCCTGACGAGGACAAGGATTCCACCAACAATACAATTAGACGCACGACTCAAGACGGGAGAATGAAGCCCATGTCCAAATCCCCTGCCTCGTTTACATCCGACAACCCAGAGTGGCAATCAGCCTACCTCGACCGTATGCATTCGCTGGTGGAAAGGGACAAAAATCATCCCAGCGTCATCATCTGGTCTCTGGGAAACGAATCCTTCTACGGCTGCAATCACGTCGCCATGTCTGCATGGGCCAAATCCCGAGACCCAACCCGCCTGATCCACTACGAACCAGATTGGCGTGCTGAATCCACGGACATGGTGTCACACATGTACACATCGCCTGAAGAACTCATTCGGGAGGCGACATCACAAGACTCGGAGAGTTTCGACAAGCCTATCATCCTCTGCGAATATGGGCACGCAATGGGCAATGGGCCAGGTCTGCTGGAAGACTACCAAGCGGCATTCCGCAGCCATCGTCGTCTCCAGGGTGGATTTATTTGGGAATGGGCGAACCATGGCTTGTGGAAGGAAGATATCGACACGGGCAAGAAGTATTATGCCTATGGAGGTGATTTCGGCGATGTACCCAACGATGGCGACTTCGTTATGGATGGCTTGTGCTTCAGTGATCATACTCCCACTCCAGGCCTAGTGCAGTTAAAGAAGGTCTTCGCGCCGGTTCGAGCCTGGCTTGACGACAAGGATGGGACGAGCCTGGTGGTCAATAATGAGTATGATTTTGTGTCGCTGGACCATATCTCTATTGATTATAAAGTCGAAGCATTTGGCGACGAGTAAGTGCCCATTTTTTCTTCATCTCGTTGGTGATTAGCTTCGCTGACAAAATGCAGAACCAAGATCTTAGACTCTGGATCTCTGAATCTACCATTCATTGCCGCTGGCACAACGTCCAAAGTGCCACTTCCCAATACAATATTCGATTTCCGCCATTCTGCAGAGACATGGCTAACGGTAACCTTTCGTCAAGCCAATGATACAGCCTGGGCAAAAGCAGGCCATGTCATCGCCTGGTCACAGACATGCCTACCCCATGAGAAGCCACCGAAAGCCACATCCCTACTAGTACGACAACCACGCAGCTCGACACTCGACTCCACCTCCTCAGACTCTCTCATCCTCACCGAAACCCCAGTCGAATACCGCGTCACCACCTCAAGCGCCGCCATAGCATGGGACCGCTTTCGCGGACACATTGTGCTGTGGAACGTCAATGGCGCTCCACTTCTGCACAACAGTTCCTCCTCGTCATCCGACACCAAGCCTTTACTCACACTCGATTTCTGGCGTCCCCCAACCAACAATGACGCCGTGTGGCAAACCGGCGAATGGAAACGATACGGTCTAGACATGATGACCAGCCGGCTAGTTTCATTCTCCTTCATGGGCGCATCCATACACACCCGACAACTTCAAGACGGAAGTGGCAAATCGACCAAAGGCCTGATATTCCAAGCAATCCACGAGTTCGCCCCACCTATCTTGTCCTGGTCATTCAGCGTCAAGATCGAGTACACGGTCTTCATTGGATGGGATCCGCACGTGCCGTTCAGACTGATGATCCACACGGAGCTGACGCCAAAGGGTAATCATCCGCCGAATCTCCCAAGGGTGGGTTATAACATTCAGATGGCGCCAGCGTATGACACGGTGTCCTGGTTCGGGTTTGGACCAGGAGAGAGCTACAATGACAAGAAATCCAGCCAGCAGGTTGGGATCTGGGAGAAGAACGTTCGCGACATGGGAACCAACTACGAGGTGCCCCAGGAGAATGGCAATCGCGTCGGCACGAGGTGGTGTATGCTTCGCTCCTCAAGCGGTGCTGGAGACGACGCTCAGGCACAGGGAGGCCCGACCCAGTCTCAGCACCAAGTCCAACACCAACGGTACTCAAGATCCGGAGAGCACGCAAGCCCAAAGCAAAAGCCTACCAAGTCTCCCAACCCACCATCCCTCCGCGCCAGCTTCCCACCCACCGCTTCCTCGGCCTCCTCAGAGAACCACTTCCAATTCTCCACACAACTCTACGACGCCGCCACGCTCGAGAAAGCCGCACACCCCTGTGACTTGGACGCTCCCGGCGCCAGGCGAGAAGGTGTGTTATGGCGCATCGATGCCGATGTTGCCGGCGTGGGCACCGCGGCTTGTGGGCCGGGCGTCTATGAGCGTGATCAGGTCTGGTGTACGCAGCGGACTTGGGATGTGGCTTTGGATGTGTTGGCTTGAGTGAGTGAGTGATTGAACTGGATTGACTGGATTGGGTTGGGTTGAGAAACGGCCTGGGACGTGTTGGTGATGGGGATCTTGGATGTGAGTTGCATTGGGTTGAGTGGTGGCGTGTCGAAATGGGAGGCAGATAAGACCAAGCGAGCACGATGTGGAAGGAAGTGCAAATCAGGGTGTGCACCCTTGGTGACAAGTGCGAAAAGGTGGTTTGAGTTGGGAGACGAAAAGCAACGCGAATGGCGCCGTTAGAAATGCTTCGGAACCTGCTGCACTTGAGGATAATCACGGGAACTTAAGCTTGTCAAACCTCCTCGTATCGTATTCCTTAGTAGATAATATGCATTACGATTTGTATACGCACAGACGGAGTATATACGCTGCATGTCCACGAGTCCAAACCCTTCGCACACACGGTTTTGCCCACGCCTGACCGACGCCTCCTATTGATGAACCTGGGCAACAACGCTACGGCAAGTCCCTAATCACTAACTAGTACCTCCCTTTCGATTCGGGAAAGGTGTCGGCCTGAGCTCTGCGACCTCTCTCGAGAGACTCACGTCCCTCCCTGGAGCTATCATCATGGCCGATTCTGTCTTCTCCCACGGCTTTCGAGTTTGGCTGCTCATGCGAGTATTCATCGAAACCATCTTCCAGGCCACGCGTAGTTCGCATGTCGCCTTCCCCAACGAGTACACTGGGTGCGTATGGTAATTCACCCTCGCCACGACGGGCTTTTGGAACGAAGACGTCGAATGATCGAGGAAGGATTAAGCCGAGGACCACGAGAAGCATGACGACGTGTCCGACGCAGAATCCATAGATGTGCAAGGGGTCGTTTTTGACTCTGTTGAAGGAGGGGTAGGCGAAACTGGTGAGGATCGCGAGGATGGGTGCCGAAACGTATCGTAGGACTGGTGCCCAGAAAGATGGAAGTGGCCAATTCTTATCGACTGCGATAGTCACGTTCAAGTCGCGTGTCAATTGGTTGCCCTGGAGAAGCGTTAGATTCCTTATCGAACAAGAGTTGCACAGGCTTCAACTTACCGAATAAAACACTAGCCACCAAAAGCGACGAAGGAAGACACTCTTGCCCCAGAAACGGGGTGTCTCCGCATCTGGAGTTCTGCTTACCAGTACCGCAACAATGGTGCCCACAATGAACAGGCCAAAACCGAGTCCTGCTCCGGCAGAAGGGCCAACTAGATGGCCAACTACCAGTCCAAAGATTTGACCACCAAAATAGCCAGAGTTGTAAACCAGGTAGGCGGGCCAGCCAACTTGACCAACAACATCCTTGTGACGGTAGATCGAGGTACTGAACACGCATTCTGACCACGCGACGAAGAACAGAGACATGAAATTGGTCCATGTGTCCACTGCGTCCAGTAGGTAGAAGCCAAACTCGGTACAGAACATGAAAGAGAGCAGGCATGAAATAATCACAGCAGCCGAAGCGACAGCCGATCGTGGAATCCTTGCACCCCAATCTGTGTCTTTGACGAGTGTCACAACTGACTCTAATAGGGCGAATGCCGAGCTAATACCAAGGACCATCAGTGTGAAGAAGAAGAGTACCGACCAGAATTGTGCTCCAGGCATTTCCGCCAGCGCTGCCGGAAGTGTGACGAAAGCGATAGAGAATGTCGATTGCCTGGTCTCTTCACTTGGAAAAAGACCGATGTTCCCAATGACTCCAAACACCGCGAAGGCAACAAGAACCTCATAAAGAGAGTTACATACGGCGATGATAATGCCGTCTTGAACACAATTGGCAAATTTCGGTTTGTAGGACGCGTAAGACGTGAAGTAGCCCATAGCGACGCCGATGGAGAAGAAGATATGACCGCAAGCAGCCTGCCAGATGTCCCCTTGGGCCAGTTTCTCACCGTTCCATGTGCCGATGTAGAGTCGAATCCCAGCCCAAGAATTACTCAAAGAAGCCCCCCGGCCGATGAGTATAATACCGGTCACAACAGGCAGTCCCATGGTAAAATATACAACTCGTCCGAGAAGTCCCACGCCACGGAACATACAACAGAAGATGATGAACCATGTGAAGACAACCCAGCCAGTGGTTTCGCCGACCATTCCGGTGCCAGGATATTGAACCCAGCCTCCATTTTCTGGGGCAATAGGCGCCTGGTTGGCAACCACCTCATCCATGTAAAACTCCTGAAGCCTCCCTTCCCAAGGCAGAGGACTGCGGAACGAGTTTCGGAAATACCGCATGACCCAGCCGAGAAGGGGTACATAGTAGAGCACGATGCAGTAGCCGGTGTAGACCACCGCGACACCGACACCTTTAGCACGCTTGTTGATGTGATCATATGCAATGGCACAGCCACCTCGGTATGCTTGGCCAATGGCGACTTCAAGCCAGAGAATGGGTATCCCAAGGAAACACAGCGCCATCAAGTAGGGGATGAACCACTGTCCGCCGTGATTGTTGAAGACTTGTCCTGGGTATCGAAGAATGTTTCCCAATCCGATTGCACCACCCATAGATGCAAGAACGAATTGGGTTCGCGATCCCCATTCATCGCGTCCATCGGCACCTGCTTTGGCTTTGGGTGCCAGAAACCTCCCAACTCGTTGCAATTTCTCCATATTAGCCTGAGTCCAAACAATTCGATCTGGCGCCCGACACGTCGAAATTTACAGCGCCGTTGGTGGGAGAAGAGTAGAAGAGACGATAACAGCCCAGGCATTGGCCTGGTACTATATCTTCAATGTTACATTGATACCAAGAGATTCCAAGACTTTTGATAACAGCAGTGGCATGGCAATGTTATGGTCAGCGGAATCAGCCTCCTGAAAGAGTAGAGACTGGCCGCTTCGAAGAACGAGGACCCGGAATAACCGAGGAAGAGTCGTGGGCCTGGGGGCGATCACATCTTAGCACTGAAACCCAGCATTTTGCCAGATCATTAGGAAAGATGACAGACCGAGCACGGCGAGCTTTCTATGTGTCGTGTGATAAGGCTGTCCAATCGTTCTTTAGCCTTGTGGTAGAAATACCTGGCAAGCCAAGAAAGGTGATATTCAATGATGGACGCCGAGCCTTGGTGTGGATAATGTTTTCTTGGTTATGTTGTTCTCAACGTGACCCAAGGAACGCCAATTATCAAACGAGAGTATGAAGATGGGTCATCGGCTCCTCTGAGCATTTGTAGTTGTATCTTGTGTGTTCTTGGAGTCTTGGGTAGATTGCAGATATCCCTGTGATTTGTTGTAATTGACCTAGATGTTGACTCTGGAGCTGAGTCCCCCTTGCCACCTCCGCAACTCATCCCCGCCATGGGCAAATGATCCAGTCATGAGACACGTAATCGTATCATTGCATGTTGATAGCCATGTGGTGAGTAGCAAGGAGGATATCATTCTCATGTCGTCCTTTTGCTTGATTCCACCAAGCTTGGTGCGCTCGTGACCAATTTCCGTGGTCCACAAAATTGTCTCTTGGTGTCCGTCTATGGCTAGTGGCGTGGAGTGAATTCCCTCTAGGTTGCGCATGGCTACCTACTCGTAGGTACAGCCAAAGAAAAGTGAATTGCTTGGAACCGTAATATCAACATTTGCAGCGAGCAGGACACTCTCAGAAAGACGCTCTTGCAGTCATCATTAATGCGAGAGGTAATCGAAGTTGATGTTGATGCCGAATTCAGTTAGGTGGTCAAATTTTAGATGGAAGGAACGCCTATTTAACTAGTTAGAATGCGTTGGTGGGCGCCACCATCCCCTAGACTTGAAGTTAGCTGGTATTCGTGACCTTCTTTTGGGATGCCGACTGAATACCTTCCCAAGCTCTTGAGACCAATTTGACTTAATTTTTTTTACAAACGTTTAGAGCACAGAGGAGAAATACAGATAGAACGCTAGTGAGTTGCATGTAGACTCGGTGGCCTTCCTTATTAGCACCGCTTGACGTATTGACTCATGGTGCGGGATAATAAATACCTAGCAGTTCTGAGGCCGTACCATTATTCAACAGAATGACTAGAACTAACTAGCAAGGCTTTATCCCCTATCCCATGCAGATCATTGTACGGAAAAGGGTCACAAGAAACCTAATGAGAGAGCTACGATGGCAGTGGTCTATATGTGGACATCGTATTGATTATGGTTGATCTCACAAAATTTGTGGTATTACATCCAACCACACCCACATTGTTGGCTTGAGCCCGAAGTAGTCAAGGACAGAGGTTGATATGCTCAAATAGCAGAAAGATATTGTGCTTTATCTCCATTAATATTTCAGGATTAGTAAACAAATCAGCTCAGGAAGAGCCCACTCCCCTGGACTGTAGTGTTCCTTTAGCGGTGGCGTGCCATTCCCTTATCACAATCCAGGATCACGGGTTTTGTTGTCGTCTTTGGGTTGTGCATGAGTACTTGTCTTTTTTCTCACTCTAACGCCTTAGCTCTTGGGAATCAAGAACCCGACAATACCAACGCTATAGAAGTGAATAATCTCCTTACAATGAAAGGAGATAGGAGATGGGGTCAGGTGTCAAGCATAAGCAGACGTGTAGTGCTCGAAGACTTGCATAAACTGATAAGACCGAAGTTTTTGCGAGCAATCCTGTGAGTGTCAAGGACGCGAACGAGCAGTGGTCTGTGGAATATTTCCAATCCACTGAGAATAATAACCGATTTGACCATCCATACGTAGGTATTTTGAAATCGTAATGTCGAGCGTACGAAACACACCAGAATGAATAAACTGGCAAATATTTACTTACTGATATGCGCTCATCACACCTTCCGGCAGATGGAGAGGTTGCAAAAATACCCCGGAATTTCGTCTCAGGAACCGAACTGAGCGTTGCGGGTGAGGAAATATATCATCAAGTCCGTACACTGGCGCTGGAATTTCCGGGCTGTAGAACTTGCGAAACGCAAAGCTCGAGTCATGGCTAAGACACTGCCTCTCACCTTGTGTGTAAACTCCTAGCACCCATACAACAAGCACCAGTCTGGCGCCAAGCTGGCCTTGTAGATAGCTACCAGCCTGAGTGCCAGCATTCAAAAAGGGGGGTAAAGTGTGATTTAGGCGAGTGTAGCATGAGCTGGGACATATCCCAAAGTTCCCAGATTGTCACAAAATCCCCCTACCGACATGCCGCGTCAAGCATGCAGAATTAGTAAGTCTCGTCACCAATATCAAGTTCTCAATAGTATCCCAACATGTCATCCGCACAGCTGTGCCCAAAGGCAAAGGTCATATAGCGCAGTATCTGGGGGTGCTTGGCAATAATAGCCGATCGAAGCGACGTAAGCCCCGCAACAGATCTGATGCTCGTTGGTGGACATGTTGAGGTCCTGAAAAACCCAATGCAGTCAAATCCGGGGATGCACTGCATGAATATGTGCCAAGTGACTGTAAGGGAGTATTTTGTGGATCGACGGGTAGTGACACTAGCGCTTTTAATTCATCTTCAACTATTATTGCAGATGTACGTGTGGTACTGTCGCAAGGTTCGGTGCCGCTTTGATGAGAGACACCTCTAATTCGAAGTTGGCGACCGTCGAATGGGAATTGGAAGAGCGATGATGATGATGATGTGGCAAAAAGATACCGAACAGAGTTTGGATCGATCAGGGTTGTGTAAATGCGGTTGATGCTGTTTCGAACTGATGTTGCACCAAGAGTAATGCTCTTCACTAGAGGGTGGCAGGAGACAGTAGAAATGTCTTGTTCCTAGTAGATCGCAGATTTGTATCTGTGCTTGCAGGCTCTGGACACGAAAAGTTCGTACAGTAACTACCCGGTAGTCCGACCTCTGGGCTGTAATGGATGGGAATTGACATTGACATGCTATTACCTGTCAGTAATTCAGCATGGGTTTCGTCGGATGGCCATGGAGAACGTTCAGCATTTCCGAACTTTCAGCTGGACACAGACTGTTGTGCTTTGTGGGGTAGCGTTGCAGATCGGAAGACAGTTCTGGCGTCTGTCAACCATCATCTAACTGCTCTTGTACTTTCCGGACTCAAGTGGGCAAAAGTCTATTCTGAATAGGCATCCTCTTGGACCAAGCACAGAAAGAGGGGAGACTGAAGGAGATCTCGCCTGACGTCAAGATGATGAATACCCCGGGTGCAGTTGTGCCACAAACTGTGAGTGGTTTGTGCGGAAATGTTATCCATTAGCTAGGATCCCTTGGCTTGACACATCGATCGACCAGAGAATAAGAACGAGGAGCTCATTGCTGTATCGAGCTCTATCGTCAATGGCCAAGTACCCAACGGTCCTTTCGTAGTGGAAATCGAGACCTCGGTGTTGAGATCTTTGTAAAAGCTGCTCATTCAGTTCGACAATCGTGTCAGACGACAATTCATTTTAGCCAATCGAGTGTCTCGAGAAGGATGCGTTGGGTGAGGATGTCGTCGATGAGGAATCTAAAGTACATACTGTCAATGAAGAATCTAAGAATATCACTGATGATATGCTTTGATGAGGAAGGTAGGTTTGATATATGCTAGTTTTGAAGATAATGATGAGGTTGAGCGATGATGAAGTTCAAAGTGCAGAAAAAGTACAAGGGTTTTGAGTACTAACCTCACTCTTCCAGATGTACCTTTGCTTTGCTTCGGCTTTTTGGTTCAATGTCAGACTGGGGATTTTTCGTTTGGCAAGGGTGTCAACTTTACACCGCAGCACCGATATTTTGCCGAACGAGAATTTCTCGGCTGGATTTCAAGATTCGCATATTGGCACCGAGAAGAACCCTGGTAGAACCGATTCGTCTGACTGGAACTCATTGTGTGCTTGATTGCAGGAACATCCGAGATATCACCGTCTGACCACGCGAGTAATTAATGGAATAGGAGCAGTAACAACATCAAAGTCACAGCCATGAAACAGACCTCACTGCCACTGGCAAGTCTCTCTTCATGGTCACATTTCAACCAGGTTCGATTGTTGGGGGCTTCTGTGGAACCTCACATAGTTGCGCCTGATGGGACCGATAAAGGTGGCGGGCTCTTAGCGACCGCTGACCATGGACCAGGGGCATCACTCCTTGCAGTTCCACTGGAGTTGCTACTATCGAAAGAACGTGTTGAGCATTATGCAAAGGAAGACAAAAGTTTCAAGGAATTGATCGAGGCTGTGCCCTCTTTATTTCAGGTGAGGAAGATCAAATAATGCATCCATCATGACTTGCTCGATGATCAGGGGGATTTTAATGTCTACGATGGCTAAATCATGACCTCAGACTCCACGAGCTGCCGTTCTGCTCTTTCTGGCATGGCAGATGACAATCAACAACCCAGAGGCTGCTCATCATGGACTTGGACTACAGAATCCATTCGCAGACTATCTCAAGTTTTTACCCAAGAAGATTCTGCTTCCCACCTTCTACACATCGGAGGAACGGGATCTTCTCGTTGGCACATCCCTGTTCGATGCTCTGGATCAAAAGTCCACTAGTCTAGAGAGGGAATTCAACAATCTCAAAGAAGCCACAGAGACCATCCCCTGGATCCAACGTGTCTGGTGGGACGATGAATCTGGCTGCCTGGACATGGAAGATTGGAAGCTCGCAGATGCAATTTATAGGTCTCGTGCGTTGGACCTACCTCGAGGGACGGGCATCGGCATGGTCCCTGTGGTGGACATGGCCAACCATGCTTCGGATGATCGGTTCAATGCCCGCTTCGAGGTCGATGAGATACACGAGCACGTGCTGCTCGTCGTTAGGGACAACAAGTCCATCCAGCAGGGGGAGGAGATTACTATCATGTATGGGGTCGGTGGCGCATGTGAGATGATATTCTCATATGGTTTCATTGATGAGCACGCGACCTCTGCAAGAGAGGTCTTTCTCAACCTGACCATTCCATCCGATGATCCGCTGCGACGGGCCAAAATCCGGTTCGCTCAGGAAGCGCCTGGTGTGCGCCTCTACGTGGACGACCAGAACGAGGTCAAGTGGGAGAGTACCTTTGTTTGGTGGGCATGTGTCAACCAGGAAGACGGCCTGGACTTTCGAGTGGAGCAGTTGGTAACCGGAGACACGGAACTCAAGGCTGTCTGGAACGACCAGGACCTCCCAGCCAACGCCCTGCATTCAACACTACTCAACCATCGGCTATACGATCTTTTCCTACTTCGAGCGATCGTCACTATTCAACAGCGTGTTGAAGAGCAGGGAATGCGAATGGCAGAATCCCAGGATGGTTTTGAAGCTCTTGTCCCTGATAACGTCCTGATTAGGACATCAGTACATGAAACCATCGGGAAGCTTCGGAGCCTGGAGATGGATCTACTGAGCAGAGCTTATGAAACACTGGAAATCCAGGTAACGTGATTCTATGCTTTTACAAAAGGTGACCTCGTCATAACAATACTAATGCTCGAGTAGAAGAATACACTGTTGGAATCTACTACTGTTCGGCAGTATCTAAATGCCGTCAAAGGGCCAGCTCCTCCTGAACTCGTACCCGACACGGTGGACGATTTCTCGTGACTCGCTAATGCAGTGTAGCATTACGAGTCTTCTGAAGCGAATAAAGATCAATGGTAGGGGATTTTCCCCCGTCCTGATCTAATATACAATTGGTCAAGCTGCCTTCAATGCGTTGGAGGGGCACGGCCCAAAAGCGCCAGAGAAGTGGTGTGAAGATAGTTTCAGATCCGAGCAAAGTGAGCTGATGCCTGTATGAGCAAAAATACAAGCTTATTCCAGGCGGTGGGTAAGATTCTGCAAAATGTCCGGCGTCACGGTCCAGACACTACGAGCCCAGAGCGGTCGGATGTGGATGCGACAGACATTCTTTGATTCGTCCGTCAGTTTCTCATTAGGGTTTTCCGCAACGTTCCGCTCGTCCATCAGACATTCTACGCTGTTTGGGTAGAGCCTGCTAATTGTGAACTACTCGTAGATGGCACCTGGAAAGACTTCCTCTGTTCGTAATTAGTGGGAGCTGACTGTGACTCTGATGTTCCTCGAGTCGCAACATCTAATTCGTGTCTCGTCACAGGCGAAGGGTGGCTCCAGCTCAATATATGTGGCCTTCGGGTTTGCTTGCCTTGCACTCATTACAGGTGAGGCGGATCCGCAAATCCGGCTTCCCATGGCCCAAGCCAAACCCAAACCCAAACCCAAGCCCTGGCAAGCAAAAGTTTTCGGTAATGCTGCTGGATGATCAGAAGTGTCATCATGGTTAATCAAGAGATTTATGAACCAGGAAGATGCTGCATTTCTCATGATGATCACAGGATGGACTTACAGACAGACGCCTGGTGGGGTATGCCCAGTCCAGCTGAGTACGGAAGACTGGGCGGAACAATCTCGGATTGATGGAAGTCCAGCTGGGGCACGATGGGATTGGCTTCATGCCCTGGAACTGACTAGGTCTTGTCGAGCGTCGCCTACGTGGACGCGTCAAAGCTGAGGCATGTAATTCGCTATACTAATAACACTGAAAGATCGAGGCTTGGGGCTCGAGTCATTGCCAGAAGCCAAAGGCCATTAAGATTTTTCCATTGCGGGGCAAAGGGGAGATGGAAGCTGTTTGGAAGAAGCAAAATGATCAAAATAGACGATACAAGCAGCCGTCCTCGTAACTCGAAACTCGATTCTGAAGCAGCACGGCCACTACGGGAGGGGGAGGCATGGAGGGGCGACGACCGCTTGGAAGGATTAGTTAAGTCCCCTGGATGTGGATATTCTCCTTTGGCCCTCGTAGGCCGTGAGTTGGCCTGCATTTACCTGGGTCGGCAGCCCGGAGACTTTCAACTGCAGCATCACGGCACCCATGACGGTCCTTGATGGCCTCACCCAGTCCTGTAGATGCCCCTCCAAGTCTAGCGGACCCATCCATCAGGGTTTTTAGTGTGAGTGACTTGGAGAACAAGTGAGGTGGCCACTGGCCAGGTCAAGGACGTCGCGCATCTTTGCACATCTCTCGAGAAGTCCAAGGCCTCAACAAAATAAACCCAAGAGTCTATCCGTACTCCGCCTGTACGGAGACCTGTTCTCCCCCAAATCTGAGCACCCCAGCTTGTCCCGCGAACCACCCACAATCCTCCCCCGGAGCAAGGTTGGTAGCGAGGGCACAGGCACGACATCCAACAGGTCGACGCAGTATTGTATCTCTTTTCTTCCATCACCCCAGACTCTCTACTCCTTCTTTCTTCATCCCGCTGCCCACACTTCCCTCATCCTTCCGTGTCTGCAATACCCGCATTGTCTTTGGTTTGTCGCACTAGTCCAACTGGTGGCGTATATCACCTCACCCAATAGTCATTTTCTAACCCTGACCACCCACAAAAATCTCAAGACAATCCCTCCACCGTCTCGAGTGGCATGTTGTCATAATCCTCGTCTCACCCCTTTGCCCTTTGCCTCTTGCATCAAACCCCAGACTTCTTTGATCTCCGTTGGAATTCCAAGAAAGCTGACGTCGCCTACATCTTCGTCTACTCAACTTACCCCATTGCCAATCTACTTGGATCCGCCACTTCTTTGATCCATGTCTCTGCTATAACCAGGACTTGATATCGAATATATACCGACTTCGCCATCATGCCTGGCATACTACCGATGAAGATGATTCGGGTGGGCAGTGCTGCGCAAAGTCGCATTGCCCAGGCCTGTGATAGATGCCGAAGCAAGAAGATTAGATGTGATGGTGTACGACCGACATGTACTCAATGTTCCAATGTCGGCTTCGAATGCAAAACCAGCGACAAACTGAGCCGGAGAGCCTTCCCACGTGGCTACACAGAGTCATTGGAGGATCGAGTAAGAGGGCTCGAAGCTGAGGTACGAGAGTTGAAGGACTTGTTGGACGAAAAGGACGAAAAAATCGATATGCTTTCGAGAATCCACAGCTTTTCACCCCCCTCAAGAAAATGTTCCACCTCGCTTTCACCAGCACATGCTGCACAAGTCAAGGCTGAAGTCGAATCTTCTCGCGAAGAAGTTCTTTATGTCGAAATTCCTGCTCCTGTATCACCAAGAGCCACCTCCACCGGGTCCTCAACAACACCCGCCTTTATCCAAGCATTTGACCAAAAAGTCCAAGATGCCGGACGACAAGTCACTGGGCTTTCATCATCAGGCCTTCACAAGGCCATTCAACCCACGAAACCGACCATTAATGCAAAAGTCCCCCCAAGGATCCTGTCAGACCAATATATCAGTACGTCCCTGTGTTCCATTCATTCTAGCCAGAGCACATGACTAATCCAAGTAGATCTCTTTTTCCAAGAGTGGCAGCCTCTACTACCAGTTCTCCATCGCCCAACTTTCCTTAGAGTGTACGAACAATATCTAGCCCATCCTGAGGCTGGAAATTGGCAAAGCAACAAGCAGGCCTTAGCACAATTGTTCCTCATTTTCGAAATCTCGGCCCTCTCATCGATGACGACGCCCAAGAAAAGCTGTCCGTCCTATGAGAGCCAATGGCGAAAGGCATTATACTCGACCTCTTCCAGCGCATCCCTTGCGACGTTACAGTGTCATGTACTGGCACAAATATGCTATCTATTGCGCGCCGATTATACCCATCTTGCCCGCCATCGAGGTATTGCTGTAACCATGTGCCACGAGCTGGGTCTTCATCAAGACCAGAAGTACCATAGTTTATCAGTGCTAGAAGCTGAGACTAAGAAGAAAGTCTTCTGGTCGCAGTATGCTCTGGATAAGTAAGCGTGTCTCAGACCTTTCAAAACTACTGTCTCCTAACCATCTGACAGATTCACTTCTGCTGCCACTGGTACACCGATGCTACTCCGCGATGATGATATTACCACAGAGTTTCCTGCTGATGTCGACGACGAGAACCTCAGCTCACAGGGATTCTCACCAACCCTTCCCGGCGAGCTGACCAAAATCTCCAGTGCACTTTCCCTTTTCCGCGTATCCAAAATCATGTCCAAAGCTCTTGAGGGTCTTTATCCTGCGAAATCCAGTTATCAGCTGTCTCTCACTAAGCTACATGCTTTGTCTGATGAGCTTGACCAGTGGTCTGAAGAACTGCCTGATCACCTTCGCCTGCGATTCTGTAATGATAAACCTTCCACCAATCTCATCAGCTGCAGATCACCTTTGTTGGTAAGTTGCTCACTGACTATGGTCTTCTACTTGTCTAATTCCCGCAGTCCATTGCCTACTTTTATACCAGAAACTTGATTCATCGACCACTGCTCTGCCATGGGTCAGGAAGCGCTGCATCAGCTGCTGGCATCGTCCTTGCGGCTGCTGGGAAGCACATCCTGCAGATTCTAGATTTACTTGTTGAGAGGCGCATGAATTACACCTTCCCAATGAACAAGACCGACCTACTACTGAACTCTGGATTCTCCATCATGTGGCAATCGCTCGACCTGGAGGATGACAGCAAGCTCGTCAAAGATAACCAAAAGTCATTGACACTACTTTTGACCCTGTTGAACACTGAAAATCAGGCTGCAGCTTTTGAATTGCGAAAAATGGCTCAGTGTTTGGTAACCATAGAAGGACACCCGGCTCCATCACCAGCACTTTCCCCCGCGACTTCATCGCGCGCAAGCCCGGCATCAATGGCAGCTCCAAATGATGCAAAGTCGAAATCTACCAGGAAGCAATTGCAAGCAATTGCATCAAAATGGTCAACTTTCAGCAACAAAGGTAAAGCCGAAGACGTCCCAAGACGAGCAACTGTTCCGCAGACCAATTCGGCTGCCAGAAGCCCTGCACATCGCGCCAGCAGCACAGTGAGCTTGTCATCTACCAGATCAGCTCCAGTGCTACCAGTGAATACTGCTGATCCAACCCAATTGTCGGCCACCAACTCCATCGACACTTCGGCGATTAATCTCGACTACATGCCTCTTGGCGACGAATTCGGGAATTCGCACACGAGAACCTCTTCCAGCACCATGCTTCCTCCTCGCAAGCAACAGACACCAAATCTGACGGATGCCAGCTGGGATCAGCTCCTCAACAATTTCGACGGTAGTCAGAACGCCTTGTATTCTGATATGAATATTGGTGGGCAGACGTTGTATCAACCGACTAGCAATGATTGGGTCCCAGATGCCTGGCATCTCTCACCCATGGATTTTAACTCCAAGGTCAATGTGCCACAAAGCCTACTCAGCTTCTCGGAAGAATCGCTTACCAGTGGCGACGATTTTTTATTCTCGGCGCCACCCAGTAACAACGGATCTACGGCACCGGGCGAAAATTTCGACATCGCGGACAGATATCGAGGGATCACGATCCCGGTCGACGACGAATTTGACTTTCACGAGGTTGAGGCATGAACGTGGATGTGGAAAGGCTGTTTTTATCCGGGACCCGGATTACGGATTGATGGAAGGAGACGAATTGCGAAAAGACAAATTGTACAGTTTGGGAAAAATTTGATTTGCACCACACAAATTGTGACGATACTGAAATGATTTTCCAAGATGAAATCCGACGGACAGACGGAAAGTTTGAAGGTGGTTTTTGATATTTTTGTATATGATCTATCTATTCTTTGGTTGATGAGGATGAGAATACGGACCAGGAGATATACCCGAGTGCGAAATGCGAAATGCGATTTGGATGAGGATTTGCGCTCACCTTTGGCGCGATCAATTGGGATGATTAGGACCTACTATTCTGGGGATGGATTTGAAGCAATTTCGACCACCCTCAACTCTTACTGAGAATGGTCGCATGGACCTCTAAAAGAAGATAGAGGTTGAGGAATCTTTCATAACTGTTTACCAATTATACACCGTACATTTTACAAAAACTTCGTTTACTACGCCACGTTGTAGCATTCTTTCATCTACGGTGGCTTGGGAGTAGCTCTTCATGTATGGTGCTATATTCGGTATCCTGCTGCCTACGGGATCGCAGGAGCTCTTCCGTGACACCCCCAAAGATTCCGATTGATACCTCCCAGTGTACTTCGGAGGTTCAATACCATTTCATCGGTATCTGGACCCTTGCATTGCACACACTTGTGTACCGCTAGTCTCTAGCCTAGGCAGGAACCACATAAGCAGACTTGAAACTAATTCCGACATCGCCCGAAGCTACCTCTGTTCGGTACCTGATCACCGAGCCACATCTTCCATTTGTCCCTGTTCCTTGCGGCTCAGACTAGCGTATTCGTCGCAGTCATATCCTGAACGTTGCTTGAGACCTGTATTCCGGTCATCGGAATCCTCGTACGATAGAGTGCTTGGTGAGTTTTGACAGACTTGCAAAAGATCAAGTGGATCACAAGGGAAGTCGGCCATAACTCCGCGGGTTGGACGTGGAAGCTTGACACGACCAAGGCTTCGGTCTACAGTCAATCCAATGAAAATTGCCAGATGAGTCGCAGTACGCAAGGCTGCTGGACGTGTCGCATTCGTCACAAGAAATGTGACGAAACCCGTCCTCTCTGCAAAGCTTGTACTTCACGCAAGGTCCAATGCCATGGCTACGGGGGAAAACCGACCTGGCTGGACGGCGGTGCCCTGGAACAGGCGCATCGCAAAGACATCAAGAAGGCCGTCAAACAGAACTTCAGGTTACTGAGACAGTCCAGGTCCCCAATTTCCACGGATGGCCGTGCACGTACGGAGCACCGGCCTAATGGCAAAGATCTCAAATCTCTCAAGAGGCCCGCTCGTCAGGGTGATCTTGACATCTCGATTTCCCCAGAGTTTGTGGAGCTATCCAATTCAGAGCTGAGCAGTTCATTACCACTCACAGCTCCACCGACTTCATCGAGCATTGCCCCTCAAGCACAGAACAGCGTGCCCCTGGGTCGGAATGTGTTCGAATACCGGGACGCCGAGCTGTTGATGCACTACTTCGATTACGTATTCCCACTACAATTTCGATTTCTGGCGCAAGATCTAGACAAAGGAGGGCGGGGGTGGTTGCTGTGGCTGCTGGTCAAGACGGGGCCTCTCTACCAAGCAGCACTAAGTCTAGCTGCGTTGCATCAATATACGCTCCGCTATCGAGATCAAAGCGAGAAATATGTCGAACTCCACAGTTACCATTCCAAGGCATTGCGGGACCTGCAGTTGTTTCTCCAGGAAAATCAAGCGACGAACACCATCGGAGAAACTACACGACAGATGGAGGTGCTAGCTTGTGGAGTATCGTTGATCAGCTTTGAGGTGATTCTCGCCTTTTAATTCCAAATTCTGTGCTGCTTCCAGCCAGCTGACCATGCGCAATAGCTTTTTCGGGGAGGTGTCAGTGATTGGCAATTGCACCTGAACGCACTTGCATCGATTGTCCAGAGTCTTGACCCAGAGGTGCTACCGAAGTCCATCAACAGCCTACTGCAAAGTCCATCACCATCTCCACCGGGTCCAGAGAGGGCAGCGTTCCCGTTCCTAGTTGCTGTTGTACTGTGGTTCGACCTGCTCTCATGCGCATCCACTGGTGAGGCTCCGCGCCTTGCATATCAAGCACTACTTCATGATTATCCCATCAAACTCGAAGATGTTGTGGGTTGCCAAAACTGGGCCATGGTAGCAATTGGCGATTTAGCCATCCTGGATCTATGGAAAAAGCAAGCCGAGCAGGATGGAAATTTGAGTGAGGCAGACATGCTTCTACGAACTCAAAGTATACAGGAAAAGCTGGAAGACGGACTCAACACTCTCGAACTAGACTGTATGGCAGCAAGCAGTCAGGTTCCGGGCCTTGAGATCAGGAATAATGTTGTGTGCAAGGTCACAAGAATATTTGCTTCTGCAGCCCTTGTCCAATTGCACACTATCATTCATGGTGCTCAACCTGGCCAAACCAACGTCAAAACCGCTGTTGAGAGGACTATCAAAGCTCTTGACCAAGTCCAGGACCATCAAGATATGCGTGGCCTCATCTGGCCCATCTGCATATCCGGTTGCATGGCGGAAGAACATCAGCAACCGATGTTCGAACATCTGATAAAGAAGGTGATTGGTGAGTCACTGCAAGATTTCGGAAACTCAACGACTATTCTGCACATCATGCAAAAATGTTGGAGCATGCGACTTTCCCAACCAAACAAGCAATGGAACTGGCAGAGCGCGATGGCTGAGATGGGCATTTGCGGGCTCTTAGTCTGAGCAAGCGATGCTGGTGTCAACCGGTTGAGACCCTAGCCACGCATGTACGCTAGTGCTATGCCGCAATTGCTGCTACCTTATCTTCTAGGGTGGTGATCTTGTACAGACTACCGTCCTTGTGTGATGACTGCTCAGTTGCCAGAGCTCGTTGTGCACAATCCAACTCAGATACCACACCTCTATCAATACCATTTGCTGCAGCAGACATTGAAGCCTCCACGCTTGCAACGATCTGAAGCAGCCTCTCCTCTTGCAGCCTTCTACAAACAACCTGGACACCAACTGGTGCATTTACATAGCGATCTGCTCCTTGAGGCCCATATCGCTCCTGGAACCAATCATTGGCCGCATTCGACCCGGAGAGTTGCTGCGCTGAATTGACCAAAGTGTCGGAAGGAAGAACCTTCCTCCAGGGTACCACGGCTGCAGAATAGTCAAGGGCGTTCCAGACACTGGTATATCCCCAATATCGACTTTCTCCGTGGACAGAGGCCACGGTGGGGCCTGCTGGACAGATGATAGCGTCGATGCCTGCTGCGTTCCATTGTTTTGCGTACATAGTTCGCAGGAGATCCAGCTGTGAATTTACCTATGCACTTTCTCAGCGACGTGCGATAGTGATGGGATGAACGGCAAACATACCTTCCAGGTCTCTTCAACTGAATAGGACCGCTTTGCGTGGGTTTTCAGAATCCATTCAAGCATTTGCACCGGTGGCTCACCACCAGCCTCGAGAGTCTCCCAGTACTCCTTCCCTCCGTCCAGAAAATAAGTTTCATTGATGGTGTTGATCAGAGCCTCGTGGAGGCCAGTATCCCAATCGACAATGGTATGACCCGAAGCTTCCAAAGTTGCGACTACTTCCTCAAGAGCATTAATGACCGGAGGGTGTGGATGGACTATTCCATCTGTCCGAATGACAGCAAACTTGAGCTTGGCTGGTATCTGGATATTTTCTTTCCAGGGAATCTCAATCAGAGACGGCTCATGGTCCCAAGGACGATTGGCAAGCGCCGCGGAAGAAAACAATTCAAGGTCCTCACGGCACTTGGCCATTGGGCCAACTGCACCGATGATATTGTGCATCCCATCGTGAAGACCGCACAGCCCACTATGCGGTAATCTTCCAACGCTAGGTTTTAAGCCGTAAAGTCCACAAAATGCGCTGGGAACACGAATGGAGCCACCAATATCCGTACCGATGCCCAGAGGGCTCCCACCCATCGCAATCAATGCTCCTTCACCTCCAGTACTCCCACCGCAGGTCAGACTCGGATTGTGGGGATTGAGAGTGCGACCAAAAAGATTCGAGTCCGTCTCAATGGCCATCAAGGTTTGAGGATTTGTCGTTTTGACGTGGAAGACCGCGCCTTGCTCTCGGAACGTCTGCACTATCAGTGCATCGCCTGGACTCATCTGGTTGGCCCAGGCGATGAGACCAGAAGTTGCCGTCGTCCCTTGGACGAAGATATGCTCTTTCACCGATATCGGCAGACCGTGCAGCATTCCTTTGGTTTTACCGTGGATGCGCAGGTATTCATCCAGTTCTGCAGCTTGTGCCAGTGCTTCCTCGAACAATACTTCCGCAATGCAATTTGTCTATCAGTTGCGACCCCGATTAGTCCACGAGTTCCTTCTTCGGGAGTACCAGTCTTATCCAGCCAAACTTACCGCTTGATGAGCAATGACCGCCCTCTTACAGAACGCCCTCGTCACATCTACCGAAGTAAACCTTCGCTCTCGGATCCCAGCCAGGATGTCGACGGCGCGCATCTCAGTGACTTGCAGCTCCCAGGGCGTCAAAATCCCCGAGACGTGTGGAAGTGCCATCGCAGGGTGAGTCTCGAGCAGGTGCTCTGGAACAAGCCATTCGTTGGGGATCTTGCGATTGATTTCGTGTCGGCGTTGGGCGGCGACATCGCGCCACAAGGGTTTCATGCTACCCATATTCTTCTTCGTTTATTAGAGATTTCTACCTGCCTGTCGATGGTAGTATGGTACGCTTTGCGAAGTGGTCAATTGGTATAATATCGCAGCAAGCTTTTTAGACTCTAGGGGAAAGTTGCAGATCCTCGATGACCAAGGACAAGATATAGTAAAAAGTCTAGACGCCGGAAGAAAACGAGCCTTCTATTGAAATCAATGACAGTATGAAGAAACAAATCAAACTAGAACCATGACTCCCATGGGGGACGCCGTGAATAAATAGCACTCAATCATCAATCACTCTTTCACACCGTCACTCAAACGCCAATCCCCGAGCAACGCGCCTTAGAACAAGCAAGCAAGCAAGCAAGCAAGCAAGCAAGCACTCGATGTCTCACCAATTCAATTCGACTCGACATGCCGATTCCCACCCAAACTGGGGGGCAAAAATTTCACCATCTGTAACTCTGTCCGAGAATCTATGTACTCGTAGCACCATGAGGCTTGTTAACGTGAGGAATGCGCGCGGGGAAAGGCGAGACGAGATCAAGAGTCGCGTCTATTGGTTCGGCATGTCTCATGTGGGAATGTTTAGCCGGTGCGGGCGAGCGAGCGAGCCTCACGTCGGGATTTTCGGGAGGACTGTTCAGCCTTGCTTGCTTGCTTGCGCTCCGAAGGCTGCCTTACCTACTACCTCCATCCATGGAACACAGTTGTGAGGTTCTATGTTCAGCTTGATGTTGGGGAGATGATGTTGTAATATCGCTAGAGGTGTGACTTGATGAACATTACGCTGCATGGACATTTTCGCTGTGGTTATCGGAGGATACATGCGCAATGGATCCGAGCAATGTGTAGACCAAAGGATGTAAAATTAGGCCACAGTCACATTTGACGAACTTGCAGCCATATGTAGGAACTCCATGATCGACTTCAATCATCACAGGTTATTATTATCTAATAGATGGAATATATCCCGAGGTGTTAAGTAGTGACCCCTTCTTCAACGTGTTACCCGGTAGAATGTCGTCATAATTTCGACATCGACACTTTTTTCGGGCGATGCATGATGCGTGCTGCGCGAATGCCATCCGGCCTGGGGACTCCGCAATATTGCAAATCGTAATAGCGAGTTGAACATCACCTCTTGCTTCAGCTTTCGCATGCTCTCTTACTGCGCGAGATAGAATAGCTAAGGATCATCCAGAGTCACGTCGAATCAACTGAGATATTTCCTCGGCCATTGCAGATTTAAGCCATCGATAACCACCCCACTTGACATCCTTAGAGAGTCCTCTTCAGAAAATGCCTCGCCTACCAATTCAGTCACTCCGGCAGATGCTGCCGTCTGCGAAGCGATCAGGCTCCCCGTTCGAGCTGCGTGCTCTCTCGACAACTCCCACTCATCGCGCAAAGGACGGTGCCGGTTGGCAAGGTCGGGAGGGGGATGAACATGCGGTGAATCGGGATGGCAAAGATGTCCAATCAGAACAGTCGCATGAAGCCATGAAGAAGCATGAGTCTCTAGAGGAGGGCAGCCAAGCTATCAGTCGCAAGGATGAGGGTAACAACAACAAACGAGCTGAGAAGGATAATCCAGAGGCCCCGAAGCCTGTTATCGGGATGAACGAGGAGAGAGGATCGGTGAGTTTCCGCAGCCCAGACCAGATCTTGGTCAGATGTTTCGGATTTGCTGACGATCGTGACAGAAAGGTCATTAGCCTGTTTGTTGATGTCGTCTGTCATGACGCTGTAAATATTCGTTTTTCAGAAATGTCAAGCATAGTCGATTGTCATAATTATCATCGTCCAACGTGAAATGAGAGGATGTCGTTCTTGCCCACTGCCACAATTTGATCTTCTGCGACTCTGCGGCCACCGTCACCTTCCACAAAGGCGATTGGTGCATCTCCCATGACTTTGCGAGCAACATCCGCGACGGTACTGTTCTTTTTCACGAGAACACAATCACGGAATACCGCTGATGATCCGCTGCCAGCGGAGCCATAGGTGTGGATGTTCTTGACAGGGAAAACAGGCACCAGGCCAAGTAATGCAGCTGCTCGAGTCAAGACTTGAACCACACCCGTACTCCCGAATCTGTAAAGGACCATGTCTTTCAGATTTTCGATCCTCTGACTCAGTTTGTCGTCCATTTCTTTGAGCCCTCCCCCGTCGGGATCTCCTTGTTCAATGAGATCTTCTCGCGTATCCAGATATTCTGCGCCTTCTTTGTACTTGATATAGCCTTGTTTTGCCAGCCGCCGTAGAAAAACTTCGGATATAGCTGAGCAAAGAACAATACTATCGGGAGGTTGCTGTTTGGCGATTTTGGCAATATTTCGATCGGCATCTGGATGATCGATCTTGTTGAGAGCGAGTACTGTGGGAAACTTTTCGTCGGTAAAGGCATTGACAACTTTGAGAATGGTTTCATCGCTCCATTCTTCGAGTGGTTGTTTGAGCTGCATGCGATCGAGACAACGAGCAACAACATTGCTTGTACTCCCGTACCCGGAGAATTGCCCTTGTAGAGTATCAACGGCCGTAGCTTTAACGGCGACATGTCTTCTCTTGATGCTTCCCCATTTCTCCATCAAGTTTCCTTGAATCCATCTCACGATTTCTCCTCGTAACCATTCGATGTCGACACTCGGGTCATAGCCTCGGGTGGCTTTTCCCTCTGCGTCTGTTGTTCCACTGACGTCCACCACATGGATTAGGGCGTCTGCATGCCGCAGATCGTCGAGGAATCTATTGCCCAGTCCCTTGCCTTCATGTGCACCAGGGACCAGACCAGCAACATCCAGCAATTCGATGGGAACCGATCTCTTGCCATTTATGCAAGCACCATAGTTGGGTTTACATTTCTCAACTAGATCATGCCGCGCGCATGCGCAATCGATCTGAAGATATCCAACAGCACGTTGAGGGTCTATAGTTGTGAAGCTGCTGCATTTTTAGTCTGGGAGTTGCGGTGGGAGAGATATTGAATCCAGATTCTTACGGGAAATTGCCTGCGCAAAGATATCAGCCTGATCCTCCTCTTCTAGATGGGAATTGTATCGGAGACTGACCAACTTTCGAAGAGGCATCTGTCAAGCTATGGAGGATTGTGAGCAGGGGTTTGGAGGGGTTTATCGCCAGAGGCAGCCGCCGCACCTGTTTAATGTAGTTGATTTACCTGAAGATGGCTTGCCAACCAGGCCGATCAGTGGGTCGCGAGGCATTCTTTATACGGATGGAGGTGAAGATTATCGTTATTCAAGACGAGAACTTGAGACTCCCCAAGTCAGTGGGACAGATGAGAGATCATCAATGGCCAGAAGAAAGCGCAATGGTGATCTTCAGCCGAGTCACTTTGAGTCTGCTGTGCCCGCAATGTTTTTTGGGAAGCCACACTTTTTAAAATGACATGTCATTCCATCTTGAAGAAGGTGGAAGCCCACTCGTGGCCCCTTCAACCCCGCGCAATATGTCTGAGCTTACTATCAGCCTGACTATGTGTGTCTAGGTTTGCTAATTTATATCTATGTAAGCCCTCATGATAGACAATTTCGATCAAGAGCTATCAGACGGCACGTGCCATTGATCCGGCACTCTGAAGCCGCTGGGAAAAGGGTCCGTGGGATCCAAAACGACCTGCTTGAAGCTGGTGATCCACGCCCTTCCTGTGATTCTTGCCAGAATCGCATCATGCTCGCCGACCTTGGTGGTGGCCCGAATCTGGCAATCGAACTTTGTGCCTATGATACTTCGGTGCTCAAACTGCTGTTGCACCTGCAATTCCCCGCGAGCATGCATCACAGCCATCCGGGCACAAGTGCCTGTTCCACAAGGACTTCTGTCGAATCGTCCGGGGGAGACGACCACAGTGTTCACTGCCACTAGCTTATCTTGGATTTGCTCAGACGGCTGTGTCCAGCAGAAGTTGGTGACACCTTTGATGAGCGGATTCTCTGGATGTATTGGGACATATTGGCTTTGCACGGCTCGCTTGATTCGTTCTCCTACCTCCACCAGCTTTGGGCCATGGCTGTTGTCGATTTTGAGACCACACGAAGCGGCGTCAACCAGAGCAAACATCATGCCACCCCATGCCACATCAACACGAACGGTGCCTAGCCCAGGTACCTCAATAGGTATGTCCAGACCAAACACAAAAGATGCCGCATTATCAAAGGTAACCGCCTTGCACTTGCCATTCTCGCATGCTGCTGTAATGCCGACAAGACCTGCTGCTGTGTCCAAATTGAATGTGGTGACTGGTTCCACCATAGGGATCATGCCTGTTTCGAGCAGTACCGTAGCCGTGCAGATCGCGTTCGAACCAGACATGGGAGCGTATTCATCGCTCTCCATAATGAGGAAACCAGCTTCCGCTTGAGGGTCGCATGGTGGCAGGATCAGATTGGCGTTCATAGAAGAACGTCCACGCGGCTCGTTAAGGAGCAATTGTCGAATGTCATCGCGTTGCGTCTGAAAGTAGACGAGTTTCTCATACATCGTCTTGCAGGTCCTGGGTGCATCAAGAACTCCGCCGACAATGACATCGCCGACCTCGCCCTCTGCATGGCAGCCGACAACGGAGATATAGCTCTTTAATTGCATTATGGCGTATATTCCGAGAGGTTTCAAGCAATGGTCTTTCCAGAAGAGTTATGCCATCGACTAAGACTCGATGTACACTCACCATGAATCGTGGTGTCACGTTTGGACATGCATATATCACTCTAGGTAAGCAATTTCGATCAGCCAGGCTGGGTGTTGCATGTGGTACTACCACAAGGGCGTATTATTGACAAGCTGATATCTGATATCGGAGACACTTTCCCATGTAGGGGTGATGTGATAAGCTAGATGACAATTTTGGGAACTGAACTTGAGGTTGCTGTACTGAAAAAGGCTGCTACGCTTACTAATAGCATTGCCAAACGCAACACTATTGAAGATCTAGGCAGGGGCCGGAGGGTTAGACTCTCTAATTACTGAGTTAGACACCAGAAGCAGATCTGCAAGCAGTCAAGGCAATGTAGTTACTCGTAAATGAGCCTCTACATAAATCCTGGTTTCGAGAGTCTGGGCTCCACGTTAGTTAAGTCGTTTCAAGCCCAAGCCGCCCGAGGGTCCCCACGAACAGGTGGAGTTTACACCCTGCCTCCCCCCTCGCCCCGCAGCTTTTACGAGACTCTTGGCATGTGTCCTTATCAACAGCACCGACTTATCAAGAACATCGACTTCTATTGTTCACCAGCTAACACGAGCAAATGAGTATATCGCCACCTTCCATCTCAAATGGCTTGTTGAGACGCGAGGCGCCTGCTTGCACGACCGTGAGGCCGACACATACGTCCTCAGCGAAGTATTTATCACAGCACTCAATGATCCACAAAACTATCACTTCTTGTGGGACGAGTTCGAGGCTCCCCAAATCGAGCCAGAAGTTTCGCAATCCATCAATGCTCTAGCAATGGGGAATGAGCTACGATTTCCCGACTACGCTCAGGAACCGATAGACCCAACGCCATATGAGCAATGGAGTCTGCTGTCCAAGGGTGGTCCTCTAGTAAGTATTTCGGCGGGATCGGAGCTGCTATCTTAACTTGTCACTTTAGAGACTATGCGATTCAAGCCGAGCGCACCTTAGGGGAACATTGGATGAAGTTTATTTTACACTTGCTGCTATACTGTCATATACGACTCTCAATCGGTCGTTGTGCTGTGCCAGATGTTCAAGGTCATACTTTGCAATATATGTGCCTCCAGTCATATACTCGGCCGCCTTGTTCTGCGGGGTGCAAGGTGGGCGACTGATGAGATCCGTCCCGCTACATTCGAGGACGTGGCCGTTGAGCGTGTCGTCGGAAAGGAACCGATTAATAGCGTTCACAACCGTCTGAGGCACTGTTACCATATCTGCTTCCATTGCATTGATTGCGGTTTGGGGCATGAGACCAGAAGGTACCATTCCAGGACACACAGCATTGACCGTGATGGGCTCTTTACGTATCTGTAACTGCTGTCCCATGGCTCGTGTGAGTCCGAGAAGCTGACAAAATTCAAGTCAGTCACCAGAAGTACCCATGAAACGATGCTAACGAACCGCACTCTTTGCTGCCGCATACACCGGCAGAAATCCTGCTGGATACAGCGCCGCGGCACTGGCTGTCATGACTAACTTGCCGCCCTTGGAAGCGTTTTTGCGGAAGTAGTGCAGGGCCAGGTACGATGTCCACATGACTCCATGAAGATCAACGTCCAGCGTCAACATGCTGGGTCGAGGAGGACCGCCATTGGCGAGGTCTTCTTGAGGCTCGTAGAAGTCGTTTCGTTCACCGATGCCCTAGATATGGTCAAGTCAGTCTCGCGATAGTCGTATCTTTGCATACACGGTGAGTCGGTGGCATACAGCATTGGCATACACTGCAGGATGTGTCAGCCACATGTCTTTATGCAGGTACTGAGATATTACCAAAATCCACTCGACCCCATTTCCGCCACGTGGTCGAGAATGCAGCGACCTGCTCGTCATAATTGACGACATTCCCTTGGATGAACAGGACCTGCTCTCCGAGATGCTGTGCGACTTTCCCCCCAGCCGTCTTGTCAAAATCGAAAATTGAGACGTTCCAACCCTGGGCAACCAGATCTTTCACCACCGCTAGCCCCATTCCGGAAGCTATGCAACTGTCAGCTAAGCTCTGCATCTGCAGCGTGTGGACATGTCTACCTCCCCCCGTGATAAAGGCGACTTTCGTGTTCGTTGCCATGGTCAATCTTTACCCGTACGAATTAACACGCAAGAGATCTGTAATGCAAACCGAACAGCAAATGTCGTGTCTACATCAATGTTTTCTAGTTGACAGCAGTAGCCATTGCAATGCATAGATCTCCGTCCTTGTTAACTTGGCTACACAATCGACGTGTCTAATATACGTGTGTCCTAATTTGTAATCTATCAGCTAAGTGTGCAGTGCCTCGGTTTATTCTGCTTTGGCCATTTGCGAACTTGACTCGTGACTTTCCGATCTACCTTCGAAGCAGTTCATTCTGGCAAGATTGACTCTGCCTTGTGCATAATATGGGGTTCGAGACCCACTTTTGACTCGTCTCTCCACAGACTCAAGCTTTCTGACTCGGACCCCAGCCTGTGTTGGAATGGTCACGAACAGTGAACTTGAGGGGCGGCTATGAAAAGTGGCTAGGGGGCGAGGATGCGTATACCCTTCGGCTCGAACTAGACACCACTTCGATCTCACAAATACGGTATTATTGTTGTGTCTCAAGCCCATCTCCGAAATTTGTAGACTTCAGGCACTCCTTAAGCATGATCGATATTCCACTCCTCATCAATGACATGAGGGAGGCTCCCGGATTGGAAAACGTCACAAGAAAAGCTAATCCTCCAGAATTGTCCTCGACAAACCTTCTTATCCCTGACAAGAGTAGGTTTGAATGATATTGCGACGCTACAGTCTGATCCAGCAATCTTGACCGTGACCAGAGAGCATTTGGGGATCTTGTTCCAGGCTAACTGCTCAAGGACCTGACGACTATCATGATCCCAGGAGGTAATCTGGGACTGAACTTCGGTCAATGCAGCATGAAATGATCGATAGTCAACCAAAGTGCATTGCAGGTTATCGACTTCTAATGACGACCAGCCCAGTGCATAAAACATACACTCAATGTCAACATCGACTTCTCGCTCGCCTGTTTGGACGGTGACGTTGATGCCGAGTCTCTTTGAACAAGCATCCCAGTAGCCCGGAGAGTTACTGTTTATGAAGAATACTTGATCTTCGTCATCGAACCGACTCCAGGGCCATCCGTCAATAGTCACCATCTCAGACGGATATCGTAGCTGAAGCACGTGTGAACGTGATTGCGCAATGAACTCGCTTGTATCTGTTATCAGAAAATGAGAGGATATGTTGATCCCAGGAAGCCTTGACAGAAGGAATCTCTCCCTTGGGCCATTTGGGTAGAAGTCTCTGGTGTCTTCCACGAGACTCCATGGATCCTCTCTCACAAACTGGTCGGGACCACATTTCCTAAGCTTGACGCCGATGAAGCGTTGAGGCGTCCAGTAGCAGTCAAGTGGTAGAATGTAACGAAATGCCTTTTTCTTGCCTTTGATGGGTTCTGACAAGATCTGAATGCGAGTTTTAATTCCATTGTTCGATGTCCAAAACTGATGTCCTCCGTAACCCGCATCTCTTGAGATCTGAGAACACCCAATGAAGCATGATGGTGTTTCTGCCAACACACCACAATAATGGCGAGTCTTGGACTTATGATGTCCTTCCCAGGGGGGAGACATCCTCCACGCAAAAATGCTCAGGTCAGATGTAGACTTGATAATCTCTTCTTGCGGCCGCTGAAATGCCTTCTCTTTCTCGCCATATACTAAGGGCATGTTGACGTCGAATATTCCAAGTAGGCAATATGCCATATCTTCGATTCGAGTGGTTTCTCTTTGACCGACCCAAGACATTCTCTGGGCCACTGTAACTGTGGAAAGTGGCTGTTCATGACGCAGAACGGCGGGATTGATCCCCGTGGCGTTGGAAAGTCGTTCCACGCTATTTCTCTTTGAGCCTCTGTGGTTCCAATCTTGGTCGAAGAATTGGACCTTTTTGGGGGCAATAAACTCCTGTAATGTCCAGCCGCGCGTGAGCCATCGACATTGTTGTAAATCGGTCTCCAAAGATGCGGATTCCGATAAATCTGAAAGGAACACATAACAGACTTCTGACCGTTGATACCATTGGAACATCGAATTGATGGCCTCGGTCAATTCGGCACTACTGGACTTATCAATGCAGCAAGTATCGACCCAAAAATATTGTAACCCGTCCTTTTTGGCCTGCTGGCCGCAACGCCGAATTTTATCATAGCCGGCCTTGCTCTGACCGGATCCACTCTGTACATCCTGGAATGTTACCTCATCTCCGTCCGCTCCCCATGTATGGGACAGTATTGCGTATGCTGGAATATCCTTGGTCAAATCTTGGGTTAGAATGGGCTCATCATGACTGTCGAGACTGAGGAGACGCATCGTGTAGATCTGAATGAGGTCTGCACGTATGTCCGCAGGAGTTCTCAGAGTACGAGGTTGAGAAGGCTAACTATCAATTCTCTCTTATTGGCTGTGGCATGGTGCAGCAAGGACTGGACCAGACGATGGATATAAGCTTTCTGCGGGGTTTTGAGATACGTGTGAAGCGAATGATGTTCAGGCGATAGACTACTAAGTGAAACGTGTTCGCACGGCTCATTGGAGTTCGAGTACGGACAGTATCAATGTTAGGATTGGGCTGCAATTGTGCAGGTTGCTACCTCAGGATACGCGGAGCGTCAAAACGATAGGATAATTAGGCAGCATACCACAGACACAGTGTCAATGGCAAAGAAATGGGTGCTTTGCCCTCATATGGAGTGGAGTTCAATAGCTCCTAACTAGCTTGCGCAATTCACATAGGGGTTATGTGGCACTTCAAACTAGTCTCCCACAATTGTCTCCGTGTCATCAACGGATTTCCCCTTCCGCCAAGTTGAAGTCGTCACAGATGTGCACGCTCAAAAGAGGTGTTGTTTTCCAACTGCGCGTACATCATCTTCGCATCGGGCTCAGGCAAAGCGTCTATCAGTTGCTGAGTCTTTTTAATCGCTGCTGCAAGAATCCTCGTTGTGTTTTTGAACCAGGCGGCTTTCTGCTCGGGGTCTGTTGGAATACTGCCCTTCGTCGCGTTCAGACGACAAGATTGCAGCCAAGAAGCCGTTTGGGGATGCGTAAGCCAGGCTAGCATGTTTAAGTTGGTCTGGAGCATGACAAGAGGATAGTCGAGGGGCTCATTCGGCATTGGGACAGGTCCACAGAGGGAATTTTTGAGCTGTTCGCCTTGGCAGGTCGCCTCGACGTGTGCGATCATTGCCGCGCTGAATGTCTGCTGGCACCACCGGACAGGCTGCAGTGTAATGCTGCGGCTTCGGAATATGGGCACAGAGGGTAGTTTGGAAACGGCTGAAGCTGAGCAGTCGATGTAGAGTGTGTCCGGTTCGGGTTTGTAACTACCGTGCTCCAGTGTCACATCTTCCCGCGTGATACTGGTAACACGGCCCTGACGGATGACAGTTTTGATCTGTTTGAGAGCTTCGAACTCAAGTAACGACACTGTGGCGCAGTGAAACATGGTAGGCGCAACCTTGTCGTCCAGCAACAACAGGGTTCCCTTGCCCACATTGTGGTCTAAAATATCTCCCAACGACGAGGCGACCATGACTGCCTCAACCATAGTCTTGCCAAAAGCTTGAGATCTCGCAGCAAACTCTGGTCCGGGCTGGACACCAGCCCTGTCTATGAGGTATGAGTCTCGTGGTCGGATCCATGTTATCTGAGTGGCGTTAATGCCATTCTCAAGGAGCCACAAGCATGCATCCATGCTTGTTTTGCCGCCCCCAACGACACTGTACCCTTGATACCCCCGAGAGACGTCGGCCAGATTGTTCGGCGTCACAATATCGACGTCGTTAGCAACGGTGTATGGAGGCGGTCGCATTGACGGAACAACCGTTTTGCTGTAAGTCGCATCGACAACACATGTTTCCTTGGGGACACTGTACGTGTTACCCGTGAGGATGGAGCGAAATCTGCCTGCTCCAATGTAATCACACTTGGGAAAGTATTGCACTCGTCCTGATGTCAAAAATGTCTTCTTCATGACCCTATTGAAATACGCACACACATCATCGCGGGTCGAGCAGTCGGCGAGACCTTTGTTCCAGCCGAATTCCTCGATGCCATCATGCTCGAGACGTGTAGAGCTCACACCGTACGCAGCAGCTGGTTGATGAAGGCGGACAAATGGATATGCAGTCGTCCAGTGGCCGCCTGGATTGGCATAGCGGTCGACCATGACCACCGTTTTTTGGCTCTCGGTGAGAAGTGTGTCGACAAAAGCCATTCCCATGGCCCCGGCCCCGACGACAAGGTAATCGGCAGTTATGATCGCATCCATTTCTGGTCCTGTGGAATCTATAAGTTATCGCTAATGGAGATGGAGATGACACAAGCATTGAGGGAACGAAGGGTTATAAGTAAGTTGTTTGCTGTAACACAAAACTCGGCGGCCTGGCCAGTTGGTCTTATTATTTGGTTCGTCCAGCTCAACCTTGGCCTCAGCTGCTCAGGTGGTTACAAACTCTCAATTGATACGAGTACGAGATTTCGGGGGTCATCTTACCCAAACAAATATCTCACTCTACCCGTATTCACGCCGTATCTGATATCGAATTAGTTTACTCGCTGAATCTGTTAGCTTCGTTGCCTCCGGTGAGATATAACTACCTCCTCTCTACTTGGTCATTGGTAGGAGTTACATCCTTGATGGCAGCATGGGTCGGTGGACTGCCTATCCGAGAATACTGCAGACCATGCCTTTTTACTCGCTTACCTCGGGCTCGAGTCTTTTCATAGCCATCCGCAATCGTTCCGCAGCCATTAGGAATAACAGTAAGTCAACAAGACTTGCGATACAACGTTGCAGCTCGTCAAAACCTGAGCCTGTTCGATGTATTGTTAACCTGTAGTGCTTACGGTTGGGTAGACGATTAGGCCATTGATCGGATGTGAAAGGCGGTAAGTAAAGCAGGCCCGGTCCGAGAACTGCCTGGCAGCCCTGCAGTAAGCAGTATGCAATTTGCTGGTCAATCAAAGATGAAAGTTCGGGAGTTCCATATTGAACAAGTTGAGCTTACTGGAAGAGATTGGAAGGTGGTTCCAGTAGATGTGATGCTTGGAGATTCAGGCGGCGGTTGGTGACCACAACTCAAGCCAAGGGGGCACCCAACGCTTAACTATATCAGGCTAGGTAGTGCCTGTTAGTGACTTCGTATGTACAGAGTGCGTCCTTTCGCACAACGTTCTGTGCCTGAAATAATCGACCTGAAGACCTGCATACCTCTCATGGCCTCATGATATAGCTATGATAGTTGGATTCTCTAAGGGCTGAATGGAAGACACGAAATCGAAGACCGACCATCACATGGTCAGCAAGCACGCCACTTTTACGCTGAGAGTTACGCGTTAAACAATCTCCATGAACAGCATGGTTTTCTACCATATTTACTATCGAATTGCATTTCTCACGGCAGGAATCGTTCATTTGTATTGGAATGACCTGATTGACTACGGTTGGCACTTAGTCGCCATTTGTCTCTCAGCTACCGCACAGCCGCTTATCTTACGGCTCGTACGGTTACATGCCATGGCTATGATGTGCTTGGTGCTCGGTGTGCTTTTTAACACGGTCTCCGCTGCACCTGATCAGGCCGTTCTCAGTCATGGAGACACCTCGTTGCATGTAGGCTAGTGCTTTATTCTTGAGGTGTCCTAAGCTAACAGTCGCCAAGTTTGATGACCTGGACACATCGACCGGTTGGGGTCTCCTACCAGAAGCATACAACGGTCTAAGTTTCGATGGCTTCTACCCTTTTAAGCCACAGCACCCAAGATTCGAAGGCCTTATATCTGGATATGACCTCAACTGTGCCGTGTCAAAGCCCAATGCTCTTCATGGCTCAAGGTATAATGTAGGGTCGAATGTCTTAGCAGGGGACGGAGATGAAGAACCCAGCACGTTTCCCTCGATTCAACCAAGCGACGGAGGCACCTCATTCGACTTGAAAGCATTTAGAGTCAACCCTCTGAACTTCCCGATCAACTTTGTCACTTTAAATGTGCGTGGGACTCGAGCTGTACAGTCAGCCTCTCACATTGAGGAGAGTGAAGCTCAGCCGAACATGACATGGAGTGTTGATTTTCCGGCTGGCTACCATGAAGTCTTGAATGTATCGATGCACGATTTTACTCGCCATGACTGGCATAACTTATCTCGGATCGAGCTCTGGGCCGATTTCCACAATGCCAATAACCTTATGGACTGGGAATTTTGTATCGATAACCTCGAAATCGAAGTCCATTCGATATAACATCCTACGGCTCCCTGACTTGGAACATTGATGACAATCCGATTCCCTACTTGAGGGCCACTTGAAGAGAAGTCTCTCTTCAGCCAAGCCGTTTCAAGCAGCAACGAAACCAGCCCTTCATCCCCACCAAGTACGTATTTCTATGAGAGTGATTCAGGGGCTAGGAAGTTCACCTGGTGATTGGGATGCTAGGTCCAGGCCGCCCACAGCCATGGTATATACGTTGTGCTGACAATTGTGTTGAATCACTCTGGCAATATCGTTGAATATGAAGCGTGCCGACCAGAATATTCCGGGGGCACCTACCAAGTCCGTGGATTCAGAAATGTTTCCGGAAAGCCGACCATTGCTGTGACAGAGACTGTTCCTGTCCAAGATCTGGCCTGTGCCTCAGGCGCCGCCAGTGGAGTTACAGCATGAGGGGGCATTTACTCGGAGGGGCCGCATACCGGCCGACAGATGGGAGAGAGAGTCAGACTTCCTGGATGTGTTTGACTCCAAGAAAATTCCAGTTCGGCTCGACAGAGAGCCATTTTTCCCAACCGAGTCCAGCATTGCAGGTACTTTGTGATGTATACAAATATTGGATCGCTTATACCGATGTTGATGGCTTTGATGTCGACATGGTAAGGTTTATTGGCTCTACACCGACACGGTACTTCACAGAGTCAATTCGTGACTTTGTAGCACAAGTTGGCAAGACGAGATTTCTGATTACTGGTAGGTTGAGTGGGAGTCTCGGCATTGAGGCTGCGATCATGCATTACGGTCTAGATGTCAGTAGTGGAATTCCTCACATCCACAAACAGGTTTGGACCGTGCCTAAGGGCAGTGGAAGCCCGAAGGCTTACTTTGATCTCCCAGGCTTTTCTCTGTATGGCGATTTCGCCCTTGTGGTGAAAATGGCTGACGATTTGCACCAGTCGTGGAGACCCCCTACTAGTCGAGCTCGGTATTGCTCAGATAAGATCGTTCGAAGAACCATAAAATGCGCCATTGCCTTCTGTTTGTATACAGTCGGCATTCCAGGCATTTACTATGGTACAGAACAGGGATTCGATGGTTCCGGCGGAAGCCACAGCTATCTTAGAGAGTCAATGCTTGGAGGCCCTTTGGAGCATTCGGATCTCGAGACCGACATTTCTTTGATCGCTCAAACCCGATTTACCAGGCGGTATCGAACCTGTGTCGTTTTCGCTCTCAGAGCAAGACGCTACGACGTGGCGACCAATATCTGCGACAAATTTCGGGTGAAGGCGTTGACTTTGGGTATCCTGAGGAGCTTAGTAACGAAAGGATAGTTTCCATCATTGCCTGGTCTCGGATTCTCGATGACGAAGAGTTGATCTGCGTCATCAGCACCGATGATGAGGCCACACAGACGGCTTGGGTCACAATTGACTCCACAGATATCTATCTGGAAAGCCTTTCTGTCGAGTGTGTCTGCTCTTCGGATGAAGGTCTGGAAGGCAAACGATTTCCAATTGAGGATAGGAATGGTAAGGCGGTCCGGCTTACAGCAGATCCTGGTCACTATGCGATTTATCGCAGAGTTTGACATCGAGATACTTTGTAAGATTGTCAGATAGCCGAACAGGATGGAATTCCTGTTGACAGCAAATACCACCGTATGCCCCACCAAGTCACTATTCCTTGCTTGCAGCTGTTTCCACCATTTCATCGACTATCAGATTCTTCTAGAGGTTTCCAAACACCTACCTCAAAGGTCAGGTACAATGAGGATCTGATTGGCTCGGAAGTCTTATACCGGTCTTGTCCTTACTCCAACTCGCCAAACAACCTCAACCTTGGACCATATGATCCTCCCCTCCTTTCCCCACCGTGGCCACAGACGAAAGACGAATTCCTCACGACCCTCATGACGTACAATCAACCCTCAAACTTCTCCACCAAGATGAATGGCATTTGCCATGAACAACCCATGTTGAAACCTTTTGCTGCGATGTACTGGTCCCGTGAGATTGCCTCATGCTGCAAATCAGTGGGTAATGTTGCCAATATGGTCCCACGTTTCCAGACTCGCACACAATCTCTTACCAAGAGTGACGTAGACTTACCCTCCAGCATCGTGATGATGGTGGGATGAGGAAGTTTTTAAAGAGGTTGAATATTCCTCTTCTGATCCCGTCGCTGCATATACCATAAAAGCTGTACAGAACAACTCTCAATACTCGTCCAGTCTAAAAATTAAAGCACAGCATCAACCAATCCAACATGTCTGAGAATACATTCCACGTCACGAGCGAAGAGGTCCGCGACCTTGAATCCAAACAAGCCAAGTTCACCGATGGGAAGACACCCAAAGATTCCGATGTCTCAGCATTGAAGGTACAATGGCCCGCACACCCACCCTCTACTAAATCAACTCACAACTAACCCTCTCGTCCTCTACACAGCAACTCCTCTCGGAGCAAGAATCCAAACAAGACCAGATCGACCGCGTGAAAGCCGGGCTCCCACTGCCCGAGCAGCCCGTCGGCGGCGCCAGCGCCGACCTGCAATCCGCGGACCAGAGGACCGTGAACGTCGGCAGTGGAGGCGTCAACGTCAAACTCGGCACGCAAAGTTCTGATGGCCTGAGAGAGCCGGCTACCGCTGAGAGCTCGGCGAGAGTCGACGGCGAGGAGTTGAAGAGGCCTACTGCGCCATGATTTTTTTTTTCTCAAAATTCCTAGTTAGCAGATCTGTGTGAGACGAGGTGGTGGATCTATTGAGACACAAGTCATATCATCTTGAGAAATTGCGTTCTTCAATTCGTGTCGCCTGCGTGATCTCGTTCCCTTGTGGTGTTTCGTTATAACTGCTATAATGCAATCTATGTGTTCCGGGTGTACTCCAGAACCAGATTGGCTCATTCTACCATTCTAGCAAGGCGTTCTCTTTCTTTCCTTTACTGTTACAGGTTGTCCTTCACCTAGTCAAAAGAGATTCGTTACTTGGGAATCAACCCTCTCAAGCTCAGATCATAGACGACGTCCTCCACCTTTTTCACCGAGTATTTGACACCGTCGGACCGTCTTCGCAGAGCGTCGTTCTTCAGGTTCAATAGCTGAAACCCCGCGTGGACGTCTTTGATGAACTTGCTGATCTGGAGTGGTCGATTGTAATCCCCGAGTGTGACTGCGTTGGGGGCAAGACGAGCGAGCTCTTCGATTGTGTTGGTGAGAGCCAGGAGGTAATCTTCTATCGTGATGTGGAAGGCGTCTTCATTCTTCAGGTTCACGGGGACTATTCAGATCTGTTAGCATTGATGACCTCGAGGCTGCCTGCGGGGAACTTCTTGTAGGCTCTTTTTCCATCTCACCTTGTAGTCGCTGCCCTATCTCTTCCAGGGTCGCTAAATTGCCACTCTTCAGCCATTCCGACACTTGAATACTGCTGATCACTGCCTGAATGTCACGTTGCCAGATCGAGTTCCATTTGTAGAAGGGATATTTGGAGGCGGATTCGCTAAGACTCTTGACGGTTGCGGCTTGTTCGGACAACGCGTCAGACGCGGGCTTGAGCACGGAGTCATTTAGTTCGTCGGTGGAAGTATTGTGTATGCGTGACAGGATTGACTGCGTCAAGCGCCCTTGCTTCTGGATATTGTCGACGTGCGCCCGCAGCTCATCTCGTACTGCCGTCTCTTCATCGATCTTGGATTGCAGTGAGCTGAAAATTGCAGGGTCGACATGCGCTGAGGCTGAAGCTGAAGTTGTCATGGTCGTGTCGCCTGACATTGTAGGGTTGGAGAGGGTGGTATGCTAGTGCGTTTTCTAGATTTGGAGTATGACTGCAAGCTGGGTTTGAGAAATTTGGCTGAGAATTTAAATATTGTTTTCGGAGAAAATCGACGCTATAGATGTCTTACAATAATTAATGAGAGATGCTTGACTGCCACCCGGGGGGTGTCATAATTCGTGAACCACCTTCCCCGATTTCCGCCCTGGAGTACGCCGTACTCAACAATCACAACAACGAAAGGAGGTCTACATATAAAATTGGTCATATATTCTAGTAGCTATAAGTACTATAAGAGCTACCCTACCAAGTTATACATCATTACAAATTTCAAAAGAGAACTTATGGCTAAGAAACATGTGAGGCTGTCACCAAAATTGAGGTGGTGAAGGGTAGAACGCAGTTTGGGTGGTTCACGAATTCTGACACTCCCTACGTGACTGCGTTTGGGTCAAGTTCAATGGACTTTTACGAGAGGTTTGAACTCTGTTGTGAGAGTGGGTGTCGGCATGGAATGTTGATGAGATGATGATTTCAAGAGCAACTTCGACTAGTACGAGAACAAACAAATCGAAGTGCCAAGGACATGAGATTCTGTGCTCGTCGTTGATGGCTGGCCAGTGGGGTGCCGGCGAGGTGCTCGCAACGAATTTTTCCGGTGGCTTCCTTCCTCATTGCCATGACTTAATATCAACCTCACTTATCAAAAATCTCACATGTGAAATCATCTCCGATATCAAGAGTCCAGAATCCACCACACAACCAAAACTGAATAATTCTTTCTCTTCTCCAAAACTTTGCTCAAGGCAAGAGGAATGATGAAAAGGTGGTTCGCATCACGAGGTGGTAGTGTAAGACCAAGGACACGGTGCCAGAAATCCATTGCGCAAGCACAGAGGGATTTGACCAGCGAGATCCAAAAATGAGAATAATCAAAGTATTCATCCCGTAGGATGATTTCAGAGATTAAACTGAAAAGAACAGATACTACACTTGATCTAAGCCAAAAGGCAAAGAGAGCTGGAAAAGGAAAAAGAAAAACTTCCCAAAGGTTGGGAGGACGAAGGAGGTACTTATAGATTAGAGAATTGTCGGCTGTGGCCAAGAATCAATCGCCGCCTCTTCACAATCGATGGAGACAGTGAATGAATATCAAGTTTGATTGGCTGAAGCAAGGCTGGCAGCCTAGAGCTGTGAAGGAAAACAATATCCATGGATAGCGGTAGAAGGACTTTCGGCAATTGACTGGCGGAACTGAATGAACACTGAAAATCGGATCTCCAAAGGAGTGAATGTGCCGGCAATAGGTCGGCCAAGTTTGAAAGTGAAAGCCACTCGGCGATTTTTTGGCGAGAAGCCGATAGTGGATTTCAGCCTCGTGTGTACTGTCATGTAATAGTGTTTGCTCGCACGGAGGCCCCCTGAATAATATCAACGCAGGTAGCATAGTTAGATTCCTGGAGTTCTCCAGCATCAATGGCCCTAGTACTCCGATATACTCCTCCCACTTTCGTATCCTCCTCCGTTGCTCCTGACATCGTGCGCCTTTCAAGTTGACGAGGCTCTGGCCTGGAGAATCTGGCTGTCCCATGTGTGGGCTCCCAAGTGTTTCTGAGTAGCAGCTTGTGTTATGTATGAAGCAATCGTGTAGCCTTATCGACAAAGGTGTCTCGTTTCCTCAGTAACCCTTCATTCTGGCATGTTGTTGCTATGTGTACTTTGGCTGTCGATTGAATACTGCTCGGGAAAATAAGTATTGTACGTGTTTAAGAGACTTTGTATACATGGCAGAGGAGCGTGAACAGTTGTTGAGTGAGAAAGGTATTGTTGATGCGGAAGCAACGTAGATAAATGTATTCGACCAGGTAAGCTGGTCATCCAACTATGGGAATGAGTTCGTGAACGGGTTGACTTGCACTCTCCTCTAGTCGCCGGCGTCGAAGTAAATGTAAAGTATCACATGGTTGTTCGGCTCTGGCATAAGCGTACTGTCGTGTTGGAGCTGGAGTTTGCCATGAGAGGATCCGGGAGAGAGGCAGGCATCAAACCGAAGCCCATTTGCGCATCATCGGGCCCCAAGAAAGTACTTTTGGGTACTTGGAGCGAGCGCCAGAGTGTTTCGAAGCCAGCCTCGGGTGTTGAAGAGTAATCGGTGGGTGCGGCTCAGTTGTAACGTGCAGCGTCTGTAGATGCACCTTCTACCTAGAAAGTTCATTGCATTCTTTCGTGACTTACGTGGAGCTCGCAGACTTCGCTCGGCTGCTTGATATGGAATATTGAAAGTGAATCGTGTATCGTAGTTACTCTGTTGATTTCCCTCCGACAACTTCTCCGGCTGCATCAGCAAGGCGTGCGCCAGCCGGCAAGGAAGAGAGAGGACCTGTTGGACTGGGATCTGCCATGCATTGTCAGTCACCTTCAATCTTTCGTGAGGTTGAAATATGCCTGTTAGAGCATGTGACGGCGGACTCAACTCTTCAACGGTGTTGAGAGGAGGATATGATGGTGGTGGTGGGACAAAAAGCGTTTCGTCCATCTCAAGTGGGATAAAGGACAGAACTTCAGTAGACCCATCAGCCTTAAAAATGAGGATACTCCGACAGACAACAAATTGGGCTGGTTGTAAGTCATCTGGGTGCGGATCATGTTCGACAACGGCCGGCTGGTATTTGAAAAATTTGTCAGAACACTTGCACTCAGGCGTGTTTGCGGATATGTGGGACTTTCTCGGTTTGTGTTTAGATTTGATGTCATCTTGAGGAATCTGGAAAGGCACACAAGAGGAGCACGTTCGGTAGGTCATGTGACAACCAGGATAATGTCGTCTTGTGCACCAGGAGGACGCCCTCGAGACCAGTAGCAAATCACTCACCACTGTCGACTCAAAGCCGGAGCCTGGCATGCTGCAGCAGACTTGATCTCTGGTCCAGAGGGCGGAAAAATCCAACGAGAGCCTGCCATCATCTACCTTTCTTCTCCTATCATAATTTACCCACTCATTGAACTTACACGGTGATACTTGAACCATGAAGGAAGGTCTGTGGGTAGACGTAGGCAATTGTACGACTTCTCGCAAACCCCAGCGTAGAGGATTTCAATCGCCCGTGAGGCTTGGCAGCTTCCCTACCGGAGAGGAATCAACTGCTTGAGCATGAGTGATACCAGTCGATGGGCCTCGAGTGATCGATGTTAGAGCCTTTGGACAAAATCTTCGACAATTTGTTTTGCCAGAACAGAGTAATCGTCTCCTGAACTCTGACCGGAACCACGCTCTGGATGACATTGCCGTGGAGACCACCGGACTCACCTACTCGACTCATTTGGCTCGGTCTGCAAAGGCACGAGGATAAACTGGCGACTTGCTTATAGTGCTTGGAGAGTCCATAAAAGTGAGCAAGGAAGACCCCATTCAAGTTGTTGATTGCGATTTGAAAAGTATTTGCCTATTCTGGACAAGGTCTTGGACAAGGCTGCGCAAGGCTGGGCTTTTCTGCTTAAATCCTGCCAAGGCCGCCAAAAGCGGCATGTTCGGCGAGCACACAACCTCGAAATTTCCCCGGCCTGGTCGAACATTTCAATCTGTCTGCACAAGTACAGTTTCTCTCCACCACCCTCTCAAAACACCACCAAAGGCGCAGGATATCAATTTCTTTGCGACCGCACATTCTCTTCATTCGCAATGGCACCCACACAGTCTCAGGTAAGCCAACCGAACCGCTTTGCTGCTTCGCCCTGAAGTGGTTCTCCGCGAAAAGCACATTTGCCCATGTGGCTGCGGAGAATCTACCAGGGCATGAAGAGGACAGTAGGCTAAGGTTTTCTCGTTTTGGTATCATGTAGGCACGCAGCCAGAAAGGCAAAGGATCAAAGGCCAAGGTCACAAAGAAGGTGAGTTTTCCCCGGACCCCGAGCAGATGGGACAATTCCCTTTGCCTGCGGACGATTGCGCAACACTAACAACATATTCTCAGTACGTGATCAACGCCAGCCAGCCCGTCAGCGATAAGATCTTCGACTTGGCTGCGTTCGAGAAGTTCCTGCACGACCGCATCAAGGTTGAGGGTCGCACCAACAACCTCGGCGACAATGTGTCCATCTCCCAGGTCGGAGACGGAAAGATCGAGGTCGTCACTCACATTCCTTTCTCGGGCCGCTACCTGAAGTACTTGTACGTTTGCGATGTCAACATGAATACTGGAGGCGGTGGGGCTAATGATCGTGTTAGGACAAAGAAGTTCCTCAAGAAGCAGCAACTCCGTGACTGGCTCCGTGTGGTCTCAACAAGCAAGGGTGTCTACGAGCTCAGATTCTTCAACGTCGTTAACGAGGAGGGTGACGATGATGACGAGTAGACAATGACTACATCTGTATTGGGAAAAGCGAGCAAATAGAGACGTCCAAAAACGAAAAAAGTCATCAAGAACCTTCGGATTCTATTCTTTGATAGAGATGAATCTGATATCTCATGTTCTCGAGATCCATGGGATATTTCAGGGCCGGGTTCAGCCTGAACCAGCGTGAATCATCAGAGACATGTTTCCTCCACTTACTGTTCTTACCTCCTGCAACCTCCAGTAGTGTATGATCGAGCAGCCATTTCATGGGATATCGCTTTGACTTTGCGTCCTCACCGTTACCCAACTTGACCTCGGAGTAGCTACCAGGACTGTCTACGACCAGGAACCATGAACCCAATGCCATGACATCAGTAAGCGCCAACAAGAAGGCGGTAGCCCGTGCGATCGAGTCCGTGAACAGCTCGTTCAAGGTGAACATGATGGTGCATAGACCGACGCCACCGAGCAAGCCACGGAGAGCATCCTCGTCCGCGTTCAAGATATCGCGCTGCGAAAAGCGAACCTGCAGACAACCCGGGTCGATCAGGGGTTTGTTCGCGGCTTTGGCGCTCTCGCTCGCATACGCCGACAGTTCTCGCGGGGCGGTCAGAGCGGTCGTCAGCTTTTCAACACAACCCGACCAGTCTGCGATATCGATGGCGTGAATTTCCGCTTTGGACGACGGCGACAACGATAAAGAAAGCGGGCGTGGTCCCGAACGAGCAGAGTCGAAAGTGGTGGTGCTGAGGGCCAGTGCTGCAGCCGCACATGCAGCCACCTCCGCGCCCCCACCACCTCCAATGCAAGCGATTCTACAAGCGCCGCTGTCGCTCTGCTCTCGCGGTGGATCAGCTGCGTCCGTACTCGTATGTGCGTCTGCAGCATTATTATTGTCATCTGGCCTCGAAGTGATTTCGCCGAGCCAGAAATCCTGCAGGTCGCCGTGTAGCAGGATGTCTAGATAACCCAGAGCACGGCTGGCACTCCACCTCAGAGCATACGCGTCCAGGTATTCTTGCTTGGCGAAAGCATGTGAAAATTCTCGCAGGAAGAGATGGCCTTTTACCTTTTGGATAGACGCATTGATGTCGTCTAGGGAACGTTGATCGCCGTGGAAGGCGCGGCAAAAGACGTCCAGAATGGATTGCTGTAGTTGGATTGGGGCGGCCTGTTGTTGAGTTTCAGAGATTTTCTGTGTACTACGAGTACTGGTGGTGCCAATAATGCCAGTGAAGGTTTGCTGCTTCGGTGGATTGTGTCTGGCTTGTTGTGACTTGTTTGCAACCTTCTGCTTCTTTGGAGGTGCCATTTCGGAATTTTGGTTTCACAAAACGTGAAATGACTGCTCGGAAGGGTGGATAGCAGTTAGGGCGTACAATCCGAGACTGAAAAGACAGCCTGAGGTCTGGGTAACCCCGTAGCCAAGGCTCATGGATGTAGAATGAACTTTGACAGCTCCTGAATGCAACATGCAATCCAAAACTTTGGACCAGTAGTCCCTACCAGTGAAAATGTGAGAAACTTCTCTCAAAAGCTCGTACTCGCCTGTTCATGCGAAGGCACGTTGGCCCACAAGGGATTGCCCAAGACGGTCAACTATTCGAAAGCAGTTATCAAGGTGGGTAAAGGTATGCATACCCGTGAAGGATTTTTGACTAGTTGTCAATCATCCAAGTTGGTTCGAGTGATGATGCGAGATGGTGAGCACAGATAATTGGTGCCACGCAACTGGGCGCGGAGGTTAATGCAGGGCAACAGGAGAAAAATTTTCCCCTCCTCGTGCGGACAGACGTTGTGATCAGAATTCAGCGATGCCCTTGCATAATCGGTTATGTAGTGCAGAACTTACAGTGCGCTAAAGCCTGGTCTGCAGGTGGTCTTGCAGGAGATGGATGTGAAGCCAAAGGTTGTTCCTCTTCATTTGCGGCGCTGAATGGTCAACGTCAAAGCAAGTAGTATTGACGTGAAGTTGGCCCAGAAATGGATATGTATCTCGGATTGGTTCACCATGGTTCAGCTTGGGGGGGAAGCGGTGAAGAGTGGCAAGAAATGTTATGTGCCTCGTAGGGAGGGCGCGGAGTGTGGGAGCAACAATGGGCACCTCGCGAGTCTCCATCCTCGGTAGTTTTCAAGTCTACGAGGTAGTTACAAAGTGTAGAGAACTAGTCCTCCGTAGGAGCTACACGATGTTATTCATCGGTGTCATGTGGACACTTTTATCGTGGTTATCGAAGTAGCGAAATTTAGGCGCATCGTCACTGGGGTGACCAACGACAAGCGAGTCTCATGTTGAACTGAAAAGATGTGTATCCGAGTATGATCATCAGTGGCTTTTGATGAAGGTTTGTACCGATCGCAGATTCATACGATAGTTGCCGTGCAGACTTTCCTTCAAGATTCGATGGCAAAGGCCATGAAGCCAACAGATGCGGTGATGAGATAGCGATAGCTCAGAGTCGGTAGTCTGGACCATCTCCATCCGCCTATCAGTTTGGTAAAGGTGGATGGATTTTGGGGAGACCGCCACGACGTACTGGCACGGTTACTCCGTGCCAATTGATGGCAGAGCTGGGCAAGTTCCTGCATAAGCGCAATGGACCAGGGCCGAGGGGCCCAGACGGCTCGGGGGGCTCGTGTTGGCCGCCAATCTTTACTCAAAGGGACACGAACTGAAGCCGTGGCAGTTCTTGACTTCCCTTCTCCACAAACTCATGCTTCAGAATCACCATCAAACATACGAGTACTCGTGATGGCTCAGATCAAATGGCACGGAGCTTAAGATAGAGTATGGAGAACGCCTCTCAACATTTGAGTCAAACCGGCAATGAAACTTGGGTTGACAAGAATCTCCAGCACAGACACAGCCATAAAAGTGGACTCGAACCAATCTGATTCAGTAAAATTGCTCATCTGCTGGCCAGGGATGTGCACGTTAAAAGCCATACCTTCATTTTCCTGGGTCAGTTGGCGGTCGACGGCCGCCTGTCAACGTAGCCTCTTCCCACTGGCAGTTTGGCACTACCGAGTACTACGGATAAAGTGTCAATCAAACTGTGCCATCAAGTACGAGTAGTTTCAGGGCCACCGTCGGGGTGATCAAACCAGCGAGGATCATGTTGGAGAATGGAAATCACCATTACTCGTACGAGGGCGGTGGATTGTCACTACCTACTCGTAGGTACAGACACCAATGTCAGCAGCAAAGCATCAAGCATTAAGCATCACGTACGGAGTATGTCGATAGAAGAACTTGAAGCCTGAGTTGAAGCGTGCATGATCCACACAACCCTCTTGCTCCTATGAAGGCTTTCTTTGGGGCTGCTGGTCGGCAACGCTAAGCCTAAAGCCCATGCCTAAGCTGCAGAGCGAACCCACCCTTTCAGGCACCCAATCCACTCCCACCGGTCATGTTCCTGTCTCGCGCTGTTCCTGGTTTTCTTGTTCAGGCCCTTTAGGCTCTGGTTGCCATTGCCCACCCACCCACTGCCGCCGCTGCCGCTGCTTCCCGGCCCAGAGGTCAGAGTCGTTCATTCCCTCAGCTCCTCCCTCAGGCACAGGCTCCAGGCTGGGGCTCGTCTCTTTGTGCTGTTCTCGTACTACTCCGTCCTCAATCCATCCACCACTTCTGGGCACCACCGACTTGCACACCACTCCTCCCTCCTCTTCCTGCTCCTCCCTCCCTCAGTCTATCTCACCTTCACTCCATCCTTTGGCGGCCTCACTTTTTTGGCTCCTGCAGACGAAAGATCCTCATCTGGATCTTTCCTCAGGTAGCCGTCCACTCCTTCAAAGCCAACCGATCTTGAATCACCCCGATTCTCCACGAGTACCGAGCACCTCACAACCTCTTCTCTCACCTTTGCGACCTTTGTTTGTGTGTGCTCACCTGCCGATCTTTAGGTATTAGACACTCAATCTAAATCCTTCTGGAGCGCATTCTAACACAGATCAGATCCATTATACACGTCCTTCCTTTTTCAATCTGTTCCCTCGGACTGCCTTTTTTGCCCTCAATATTGTAATGGTGGCAGCCGTGCCTTTGCAAAAGCCTCGAAGAAAGACTTCAAAGGTGCTGGAACACCTGCAATTCTATTGATTGCTCCTACCTGCTGGACAGTCTAATAGTTATTTACCACTAAACATATTATCAAAGGGTGGCGCCTTGTTCCAACATGACTTCTCTTTCAATTCCGGCCACGGCTCCCGTTCTCTCACCATTCGATGCAGACACCAGTACTCCTCCAAGATCACCCCAGCCTCATCGAAGACGAGCATCTCGAAATCCTAATGCTATTGCTTTGCCAACGTTTAATTTCAATCCCGGTCAAGATGATGCTGTGAGACCAGACAATATCGACCAAGGAAGTCCCTCCACACAACACATGGCTTCTGATGGACAGCGACGGTCTCCTCGCCCTACCCTGCCTGCTTTCTCATTCAATCCTGGTGCCGATCTACCGCCCGAGAGAAGTCCTAGTCCTACACATCCAGTCTTGCAGGAAATGGCCCTCAATCAGCAACGCGCGGTCCGTTCTGCTAGGCCCGCTCCTCTTCCCGCCTTCACCTTCGCACCACACACACCTTCAGTCCACGCATCACCAAGTCCTACAAAGGCAGACTTCACCGAGTCCCAACCTCCTCTTCGCACTGGCCACCGTCGGGGTGTCAGTGAATTTGTTGGAGGTGGCGGGACTGATGGTCCTCAGATGGTCAGTACCAGTCCGGAAAAGCCCGAGTATCGACCACCTCCAAGAATGCACGCCCACAAGCGCAGCCAAGCGGTTTCTGTTTCCGACATCGACACGTCCGAGCTGATCAAAGCCAACGCTTTGGCCAAAGCTCGGGCGGGTTCGACCCCAACCACCCCATCCGATGCACAGACATTCTCATTTGCACGATCAAGCCCCCAAATCCGACAGTCAATGTCAAACATCGTCAGGACTCCACCATCGTCCCCTCGACGCCGAGATAGTGCTCCTGGTGTGCGACCACGTGTGGGATTTTCGGAACATGTCGATGTAATTCCACGACCTCTGTCAATGATCTCATCCGAGACTGAGGGAAGCAATTCTACGATCCGCGGTTGCCATTCGCTATCAGGAAGCATCAACTCAATTGCCAGCCCTACACCAAGACCTACCCTGGTGATAAGCTCTTCAAGTGAATCCACCAATGGTTCCCCTGAACGACCACAAACCGCCGATGCTTTGTCGACTTTGACAGGCAGCATGGCCTCTGGTGACAAGTCATTATCTGTGATCAGTCTTCCCAAGCGTCCTCTGTCAGCCTCTGGATCTCCTGGAACTGTGAGTTCGGGCAGCCCACCAAACAAGAAGAAGTACTTCTGGCTGAACCAAAACAACGTTTCGCCATTGGCTACTCCAAGAGCAGAAACTGGAAATCCAATGGATGTCTTTGTCGCATCCACCCCTCCACCAAAGCGGCTGGAGGTATTTGGAGATCGAGCAAGACCAAAGACTTCCTCTGGAGAGGGCGCATCTTCCTCTCGCAAGCGGAAATATCATACGTGGACTTCGGGCATCTTTTCCAGGAAGTCAGAAAAGCGATCAAGCAAAGTAAAACATCCACCGATGCCCACTCCGCCTGTATTGAATAGGAGACCCAGTGATCGATTGAACGAGATATTCGACGCAGATGACACCATTGTTCTGCGAGAACCATCTCCTGTTACCACACGGATTCGACCACGAACGCAACCTTTACCCGCCCTCCAGACTTTCAACAGTAGCCCGGCAAGTGAGCCAATCATGAGCCCAATCTTGGATCTTGACGCTGCCTTGGGACCTTTTGGGAGCGAGGAGAAATTTAGCCAGGACAGCCATAACAAACAAGTCCACGCTTCCCGAATTGCCAAGCTACATAGCAGCGAACGTCGAGGCACGTCGGATGCTTTTGGTTCGGTTCATAGGAGAACTGAATCTGCCCCCACTATGCCAGCTGTCAATCGAGCGACCTTCGGTGTGCATCGAATGGGTAGTAACCCTTCATTATCCGAAGACGTATTCGATGAGGAAGAGGAAGACAAATTGTTGGCAGAAGAAAATGCAAATGCGATGTCATCTGGAAAGCTTGTTCGAATTCATTCTCGCCCAAAGAAATTGGTTACCTCATTGAGTGAACCTACATCTGCGACACCCACCTCAAGATCTGGAGAAGGATTGGGATTGTCCATGGACAACGACGATGTGATCATAGTTGACACTGAAGAAGAAATCGGAAGAGTGGCATGTGCACGATCCTCAGACTCTACCATCGAGGCTCCTGTTTTCTCGGAAATGGCATCTCTGAAACGCCCAGCATCGTCCCCAATGACGTTCGCATACCCGGCTCCACAGTCTCAATATGCTTCATCAACGGAAGGTCGAACAACTTCGGCTTCGATGATTTCTTCACCAGACGCAGATCATATCTCTTTCGACAACCTATCTCCTCCATCTCGGTCTCATGGTGAACTGAGCCCAGACTTTGTCCTCCGAGCCTCCAACGACGATTTGCCCTCACTCAGCGATAGCATCTCAAGTGGCGCACTACCTAGGTTCTCCAGCAGTGCAGGGACCAGGTCCTCGATTGAGCATCGTTCCGCTTCCATGATTGTTCCATCGACATCTCGCTCCAACAACCAACAAGCATGGAAGAGAGCAAGCTTGGCAAGCCTGAATCGATTGATTCCTGGATCTTCACATGGCAGCAAACTGAAGTTTGAAACTGTGCCCGACATCTCTGTCATTGATGACAAGGCTAAGCGGAGGTCTCACAGAATTAGCAAACTTTTGTTCTGGCGGTCAAAGGACAAGGACGAGAAATGATCAAACAGTGCTAACCAACAACGTGGTACACTTTTACGCTTTATGACCAGTGCTCAGGAGTTTTGGAGCTCTGATGAATAATGGTTTTTTGGCCATTGCAGCAATACGCATTTTTCGATTGGCCAATTTGCTTAACGATATTCTATTACAGGAAAGGAGGCGATTTCTATCCAGATATGGCCGAACACCTTTCCATTACTCTATTCAATCAGCAAGTTAGCAACAGACCTTTTCCCAACTCACTTATGGCCATGGAGATGGAATGCCTGAAAATTGAATGAGGATCATAACTTCTACCAACTTCCCAATTTTGAACGGGGTGCAATTCACTTTTTTGCGCACAACAATAAAATACGAACTCAGATGTTGATATGGATGAAGGGTTGAGAGTTTCAGACGAGCTGTACTATCCTGCGGGGCCGGAGAACTTCGAGGATTTTTGACATGGCGAGGAGATGAGTGAAATTATGCATGAGAGGGATGATTACCATTCATGTTCAATCAAACCCGCCTTCAGTACAAGCACGCGAATGATGGTACATTAGGTGCAAAATACATAAGGTAGCATAGCATAGCATAGCAAACAAGCAAGCAAGCACGTACTTGGGTGACTTGTGTTTTGATGCGAATCTACCCATTCGTTTAGCGGACGCAGTTGATTGCTAGAAAACGAATGATGATAGCACATCGTTGTATCAATGAACACAGGTATAAAGTTTGTCAAACTGTGCTCGCGTGCTTAAGATGTTGTGGACTGTTGACACCGTGCGAGAGCATGGATTGCTGTCGTAGGTTTGTGTAGAAAATGATGCAGAATCATTTCAAAGTGTCATTCTTGAATTTAAAATCACCCTTTCCCGTAGAGAATCAATGCTCTAAACAGTACCCAACATCTTTGAGGGAGCACTCCCAACGTGATCTACATGCAATTAGTTTATCTTTTTATTCATTCTGCTCCTCCCTCAAGCCACAAGGGACACAGCGGCGTTCTTACCGCATTCACAGCACCATGTCACGCAGGGCCATATGCATCCGCTGCACGACGCGTTCACTAACATCAACTCGAGGCTCAACACTGGGGCATTCCTTGCGAGACATTGCAGTCATATCCAATCTAGGTTCCAACAAGCGGAATCTGCCCTCGAGTATAGCGCGGATCGCTGCTTTTCATTGTCAATCAACTCGGTTGGGGAAAGCAGCAGCATCATCATCATCTCAGCCAAAGGATCCGAAGACTAACATAAGTCCATGGCTCGAGGAGAGACATCTGGCTCATCCACGATTCTCCAGTCATGAGGATCCTACGGACAGTGTTCGTATTGGGATGACGTGGTTTAGTGGTGGAAATCATTCTGTGAGTTTTTTTCTGGCGATCAGCCCTTCCCAACGAGAGCAGTCCTGGAGTCCGATCTTTTCCTTCATTATGATGAATGATCATAAGACTAATGGATCCGCCTTTATCCTCGCATAGGACTGGCAAGACTTTCTCGCTCAAGTACCCAAGTTCACGACTAAAGAGTCACAATCCATTAAAAATGTGGTCATTCTAGCTACTCCATCGTTGGCTTATCTGCTGGAGCAGAAGGACTTTCTGCACACCCTCATCGCCAGGATTTACACTACTTCTGAGATCGCGCCTTCACAAGCGCCTGGTGCAGTCGAGTCGAGGGTTGAAGTCAAGTCGGTTGCCGCCATCGTCGATGCATTGCCATACAGTGAAACTTCGACGGGGCGGCAGCGTGATGTAGAGGGTTTGTCAATACTTTTCAGCTCGAGCTTGACATACACTGAGCCAGCTCCGCCCGAGCTTACTGGAGATGATAGTGCCAATTACACACTCACTTTCGTTTCAAGAAGTAATGCACATGACCTTTCATATCAACTAGGCATTGGTCGTCGTCAGTTGGCTGTTGGATACCTCACCCTACCAGTCGCCAACACGTTCTTCGTGAACGGCAGTCGTGCAACGCTCGTTGAGGATACTTGGCGAGTCACTCTTCAGCACAGCTCGACCGAATCTGAAGGGAAACATGACACGTTGGCGACAAATATCAGCCATGAGCAGAGGAAAGATCTCCAATCAGCGACTATTGATGCAGCTTTTCAGTATGACGCTATAGGTCAGTCTATACTTCCACTTACCCCTCTCACCAAACGACGAGCAATCACGAAAGCGATGGGCAATGTGGTGACGGAAATAAAGACCGGAGCAACAGTAGTACCTGCCTCAAGCGAGTTAGAAAAGAGTGTTTCGGACTACATCGGCAAGAACTCTGAGGCCACCTCTGCGGGCCCGTTATTGATATACGCTTCTGTTATCCCTCAATTTGGAGCACAATTCGCGGATCCGGATTCGAATCTTCTCCTGACGCTTCCACCACAGTCGCTCCAACTGCAGTCGTGGAGCATGATCAATAATAGGAACAGATGTACAAGATTGTTCAGAGTGACTGGGGGCGGTGGTGGATGGGGCAAGAAACAAGGACTTCTCTCGCTTGACCCGGCAGTGGACTTTGATGGGCAAAGTACGGTATCGAGCTTCCCCGACATCGACGACTCAGGCGATATAGGTCAAATTTCGGAACCCAAGGGAATGATGCCTTCACTAAGCACGATTCAGTTTTGGGTATTCAACAATGACAGTACACCGCTCGCCGAGGACCAGCGATTGGACCTTGACAGGATATTTGGAAGAAGTGGTGTGGAGCAAGAAAAAAAGAACGACATGGACAAAATGTATTTCGTGCTTGGCACAGGGCCAAGGGCGGAAGAAAGAGAAGGGATTGAAGGACACGAGAGACAAGCCTTGAACAGATCGGAGATGCAACAGCAGTTTGTTCGTGGGTATTTTGGAATGCTCGCATATGGCGGCGCTGCCGTTGGAAGTCTGCAGGCGCAGGGAGAGAATGCTGCAGGGCCTCTTTATACCGGAGCCAGGAGCCGTGTCGATGTGCCCAACACGACGTTCGTTCTTGAATTTGAGCCTGCCACAGAGGCGGGTGCAGTCAGAGCCGCACGGCCAAAGGAGAAGACCTCGTGAGTGCCTTGGGCAGCGTGGTTCGGGTCTTCAAGTGCTGTTGGGAACGGATCGATCGGTCTGATCACCTCCCATGGCCACTACTACATATTGGGGTCTGGGGCGTAAATTATCGTCATCAAACCTGTGGTGTCTGAGGAGGTGGGAATTTCTCCTTCATTTTAAATGGTACGATCGAGCCAGGAATGGATGTGAGTTTGACAGAGCATCTGCCTGAGGTTGAGATTCTCAATTTGCATCTAGTGGAGGTGATGGGCCTTTTTATAGTGGCTATTGTACAGCAGAAGAGCATAGAACTATTCCCATGCGACATTGACAACACCCACAACAGAACTCAACAAGTGAAGATAGAGAGAGATCATGACAGGTGCTCCTGCTCATTCAGATCCAATTCCTCCATAACATGCAGAACAACACCCAAAGACTCCATGAACCCATTGACAGCCACTCGCAGCATTCGATTCGTGGTAGCGCTGTACTCAGTGCGTAATACGGTCGCCTCTGGCTTACCCAGACCATCATCCGCCGTGATATCCTCCGAGGCAGAGACCACCAAGGACAAGCGACGATGGACCAGCGGGGATAGTTCAGCGTCTACCTGCAGAGCTCGCATGGCCGACGAGGCCAGGCGGTGGGTGAGCAAGGGGACATGAATGACTCTGTGTGGTGAAGGGCAAGTTTAGTGTTAGTTCGTGCTATGGTGGGCTGGGTGAGCAGGCGCACAGTGAGCATGGGAAGCCATCAGGCTCAGCCATGATAGACTGACTGATAAGGTTTTGGTTTGGAGAGGATGTCGTTGCTGGTGGGATGTGTTGATTGAGGATGATGATGTCGGCGGTGGTCATTGAGGAAAATCCCACGATCGAAAGGGGAAAGGTCGATGCCAAGAGTTGAAAACTGGCCAGGGGAAGGGGCAACTTTGTTGATGGTTTGGGGTTGGGTCGTGGCTGCCGTGGTTGCTGGGGAACGGGTTCAAGTCAAACAAGCAATCGAGTGCAACAACATCTACCTGCACTCGCCTGCTGTTATCCGTACTATTATTACTGGATACTCACCCACTACCATCACCATTCACCATTTCCATCTCCATCTCCATCTTATCCCTTCAGTCTGTCCCTTCAGTCTCTGTTCTCTCTCATCTTTACTCTTCAACTGCTACTGCTACTGCTATTCATTGCTCTGCTCATCTCATCCCATGCTGCTGCAATTATAGCCCACTCCTCCAGTCGAACAACACCACCACTATCGCCCCTCCTCAATCGATCAATAACAGCTATCGCAAACACAACCAAACATTGTCCCTAGTAAACCACCTCTGACCAGCAATGGCGCCGACGATGGCCCATTCGGCCAGTTATGGACAGGTCATAGAGTACATTCAAGGTATGCCCGAAGTCACTGTTTATTTGCCTTGTTTACTTGAACAACATCGCTCACAACACCCCTCTCAGATCGATTATATCTCGCCTCCTACACTCAAGCGCCCAACGAGCACACTCCATTTCCCTATCCTACAACGCAAGCAAAGAGATCGCCACATAAGAAGTCGTCGAGAGTCCAAAACACACCTTCATCACCAGCTCTGCGCCCCCCACCTGTCTACTTCACAATCGACGACACTCTCCTGTACAACGCTTTTCATGCCGACTTTGGCCCGCTACACATAGGCCATCTCTACAGATTTGCTGTTCAGTTTCACGAGATCTTGGGTGACCCAGCGAATAATGACAAGGCTGTTGTTTTCTGGTCCAGAGCTGATGCAAGAAGTCGTGCCAATGCCGCATGTTTGGTCGCGTGCTACATGGTCCTGATTCAAGCTTGGCCGCCTCACCTCGCTTTGGCCCCTATTGCTCAAGCAGATCCTCCCTATATGCCCTTCAGAGATGCTGGCTACAGTCAAGCCGATTTCATTCTCAATATTCAAGATGTTGTTTATGGTGTGTGGAAGGCCAAGGAAGAGAACATCTGCCAGTTGAAAGAATTTAATCTCGAAGAGTATGTTCCCATTACTACCATCCCTCTCTCTTCTTATTCTAACTTTGTCCAGATATGAGCGCTACGAAAGAGTTGACATGGGTGACTTCAACTGGGTTTCGCCCCAGTTTGTGGCTTTTGCATCGCCACAGTCTGAGCCTGTCGCACCAATTCCAGTCACCTCTCCAGCCTATGAAACATTACCATCCTGCGTCCCCGAGATTCAAGCTGCTAGGATAAGTCAGCCTTTCAAGAACGTGCTCACTCACTTCGTCCAACGCGATGTCGGTTTGGTTGTACGGCTCAACTCCGAGTTGTACTGTCCTACCTACTTCACCGCTCTCGGCATCCAACACATTGACATGATCTTCGAGGATGGAACATGTCCCGCTCTTCCTATTGTGCGCAAATTCATCAAACTGGCCCATGACATGATCGCCAAAAACAAATCCATCGCAGTCCATTGCAAAGCCGGTCTTGGCCGTACTGGATGTTTGATTGGTGCATATCTCATTTATCGACACGGTTTTACTGCCAATGAAGTCATTGCCTTCATGCGTTTCATGCGACCAGGAATGGTGGTCGGTCCTCAGCAACATTGGCTGCATTTGAACCAAGGTCAATTCCGGGAATGGTACCTTGAAGATCAATGGAAGGCCAAGATGGAGTTGGCTAAGCCTTCTACTCCCCGAACAATGTCAACGAAAACACCCATGCGCATTTCCAGTGGTGCCCAGACCGCAACTCCAAATCGTTCCAGTGTGCAGAGAGCCGCTCTTGGAGAAATTGATGGTAACGATGTCACAAATGGTTCCTACCAAGATGAAAACCTCCCTGCACCAACACCAGGTCAACCCAGAAAATATGCTCGTATGGATCCTAGAAACCATCCTTATGCGCGATCAACATCCAACTCCATGCGTGTGAGTGGCTCAAAGAATGATGAGGCCCATGTATCAGAACAGGGCCAGAGCACTGGGGTGGACAGTGAAGAGGAATTGATTCTACAGAGGGCAGCTCTACGAAGAAGTCAAAGCCGAAGCCCCAGCAGTAAAGGAAAAGCCCGGAGTGTTTCATACACCACTACGACGACAACAATGACTAAGACGTTTGATGTTGGCGAGTCAATGGGTATATATGAGGACGAGGCTGAGATGAACTTCCAAATGGAGGATACCAACGCCATCTGGGATGAACTTGCTCAAGAACAAGAAAACTTGAAGCTCAGCACCAAGAGCGAGAAGGTACATGTCGGAGGTAAACCAAAAACTCCACGATCTGCCAGTGGTATGGGAGCCATGAGCGTTTCAAAAACGAGATCTCTACGAGAATCACCTCGACGAAGTGGTGCAGAGGACAAGACAAAGGTTCGCAAGACCAGTGGTCGGATCGCAAGTGGAAGTCATGGACCAGTGCCTGTCAAACGGTGATGACGCAGGATGCTCCTCCTTACTGCTTCCATGAGAATTGGGGCTGATGAGTCTTGATATCTTTCCGCTTTTGATAACCTCATCAATGAGCGACATGGCGATGAAATGAATGACACGGCTGAAGATACTTGTACTTGGACTGACTGGGTCTCCCACACAAAACGGATCTGTTTGGTTTTTCTCTCTCTCTTTTTGCATGGTCCTCAATAATCTTAGGTGACATGTAATCTGTTTGGTTTTTTATTTCTGTTCTGTACTTCTCTACCTCTACAAGCTACACATATGCTGGGTGGCAAGCATGATGAGCATGGACATGGACATGAGCATGAGCATGAGCATGAGCATGAGCATGAGCACGAGCACGGAAGGCAAGGCAAGGCAAGGCGCAATGGAGTGAATCGGATGGGGGACATTATCTGACTTTACTATTACAGACAGCACAGACCAGGCTAGGCTGGCTGAGGTTCATTGAACTGACTGATTAACCGATTAACTGGCTGACTGATTGAATCACTTGCTTGCTCGTTCGTACATGAAATGGAAAACGCAGAATGTTTCCTCCTCCTTCTCCTTCTCCTTCTCCTTTAATATTGAATCTGTAGTGGTGTGACGTGCTTCTGTGATCCAATTCTTGCAGTACTGTACATCGATCCCGTTCAGCCTTAGTTGAACTATTAAATTATGAGAATCAGCCTCTTGAATAAGTAGCGCAGTCGATCGAGCGTCATTGAGCCGAGATCTCTCTCAAGTGTGTGTAATTATCTATATATATATATATATAACTATAATCCTCGAAC